AGCGTGATATCATGTGAAAGGGGAGAGGGTATAAAACAAGAGGGATGAGAGGAAACGAGTGGGACATTCGTTTAGAAGTCCTCATCGAAGTTGAGACCATCGTTGGCAACAACCTCGCCCTGCTCGTTAGTCTCCTTCTTGGTGGAGGCCATCACACCGGCCTTCTGGTAGTCACCGACACGCTTCTCGAAGAAGTTGGTCTTTCCGGCCAGGGAGATAGACTCCATGAAGTCGAAGGGGTTGGTGGAGTTGTAGTACTTCTTGTTACCGAGAGCCACAAGCAAGCGGTCGGCAACAAACTCAATGTACTGGCACATGAGCTTGGAGTTCATGCCGAGCAGACCGCAGGGCAGAGCGTCAGTGAGGAACTCCTGCTCAATGCCGACGGCCTCGACAATGATGTCCTCAACAACCTTGGGGTCGGGACGGTGGTTCAAGTGAGAGAACAGCAGACAAGCGAAGTCAGTGTGGAGACCCTCGTCACGAGAGATAAGCTCGTTGGAGAAGGTGAGACCGGGCATCAGACCACGCTTCTTCAACCAGAAGATGGAAGCAAAGGAGCCGGAGAAGAAGATACCCTCGACGGCGGCGAAGGCAACAAGACGCTGAGCGAAGGTAGATTCCTGGTCGTTGATCCAGCGAATGGCCCATTCGGCCTTCTTGGCAATGCAGGGAACTAGATATCACGTTAGCTAAGTGATCAATTTGTGGGCGATGCGGGATTCTTACTAGTGTCAATAGCATCGAAGAGGTATGTGCGCTGCTTGGGCTCCTTGATGTAGGTATCGATGAGCAGAGAGTAGGTCTCGGAATGGATGTTCTCCATCATGATCTGGAAACCATAGAAGCAACGAGCCTCGGGAATCTGAACCTCTCCACTGAAACGCTCGACGAGGTTCTCGTTGACAATGCCGTCAGAGGCGGCAAAGAAGGCAAGAACGTGGGAGATGAAGTAACGCTCATCGTCGTTCAGGCGGTTGTGCCAGTCGTGGAGATCCTTGGAGAGATCAATCTCCTCAGCGGTCCAGAAGGAGGCCTCGGCCTTCTTGTACATCTGCCAGATCTGTTCACAAATAAATTAGCCCAAAATTTCGCGAGCGAAAATCTCCACTATAACCACTTTACGCGTAAAGACGCGTTAGCGACGTGACTTACCTCGTGGTACTTAATAGGGAACATGACGAAACGGTGGGGGTTCTCTTGGAGGAGGGGCTCGGTTGCTTCCAGCTCTTTGATAGTGGGAGCAGCCTTGGGGGCAAGAGCCTTCTCGGTGGGCTTCTCGACGGTGTCGACCTTGACAGTAGTGGGCACGTTCTCCTTGCCGACGGATCCGAAGTCAAGCTGTTTGGCGGGTGAGTCGGTCATCTTGAGGTTCTCGAGAGAGGAAGCAGCCTAATTGAGGATAATTGTTAGCTCCACGAATGTGCAAGACGCGTCTGACGCGAGAGGCAAAAACCGTGACATCACGTACCTGCTTCGAGGGGGTAACTTGAGCGGCCATTGGGACAAGTATGTGAAGAGTATTATGTGACGGAGACAATGCTTCAAGACAAAAATAGACAGAAGCTTGTGGATGGGATGGGAGATTTGGAGACAGATGAGGGAAAAGAAAGTTGATTAAGTAGTGTTGGGCGGGTTGGCGATTTCTCTAGCGCGACTTGCAAAGTCACGTCACACGTGACCACGCGCAGCTTAGGTAACACCGCGAGAACGCGTTTTTTTTCGGTGGATTTGGTGTCTCATGCCACTTGATTCCCAGCAACATCCGAAAGGATATGGCCGTGCTCCATACCAGCCCCTCAAGACCCATTCTTGTGCAGCTGCTCTAATGTACGAGTACTCTGGGCATTCCGATCTTATCTCAATCTGCACTCGCTTTGACAGCTTTATACTTTATCCCCGTACTCACTGTGTAGGAATTCTGTTTATTCATATCAACAAGTCTATAAAAGATACAGAATTCAAGACATGTGCCACGGTACTCTGTACTCCATACAATGTAAGCGTCACAAAACAGCACGAAACGCGTCTCCGGTCCTAGACGTAATGAGTCTCCACATCAAGATCTGATAAGCCAGAGAGGCTAAAACGCGCGACGCGACTAGCACAACAAGCCGAATTTACGGATGTCATTGGCCTCGCTAGTTGAGGCCTGGATCCAGCCGTTGGCATCTCATTTGTGAATTGGGTTTGCTTCCAAGGATGTTCGGATTTCGGCCGCGCTGCGGAGTCGTTGAGCTCAGCTCCCCACACGCGTTCGCGTTAACTATGGGGTCTCCCTACATTTCCTACCTTGCACCTGGTTACCGAGTACATACACAACACTAACCTATCACCGATCCTACCCCGTGCAGAAGCCTACTTGTATTTACTTAGGAAAATATTCTAGAACAGTACAGAGTATGTATACGCTCTGACATGTAGTAGATCCTGTCAAAGAATGAAGGATGCACCCTGTGCATAGAGGCTGTGACTGGACGGTGTGAAATAACGCCGATCATTCGTTCGCGTGTCAATACTCCATAACTATGAGTAAGTACTCCGTACTCGTAGGCAGCAGGACGGAATACTCCGTTGGATTTTCAATGCCAAGTCTGTGGCTTGCTGAAGTTCGATGGCGTGAGCCAAAATTTGTACGCCTCATAGGAGATGAGGCAAGGGTAATCCATTCTATTTAGCTCTACGGAGTACTACGTTGTACGATATTCCGAGAGGAATTGAGTACTCGTACCCTCAAAGTACCCCATGTAATGTGGCAAATCCCTTGCAGGTCTGAAATCTCCACAAGTTCGCGCTTCTGCACAGGCAACCGGGGAATCTGTACGGAGTACAAGGCGTTCCTTGCATCACCACGTGCTAGCGCGTTTTCGTGTTTTGTGATCGTAGAAGTGTGCCAAGATATCTTTTATATGTAACAGATACGAGTATATACAACCAACTCCCTTCTAGAAATCTAGGAACGCCGACTCTATGCCCAAATCAAAAGTAGCATGCCCAGAACATCCCATGCAAAACACTGTGCAGATGGCGATAGTCGACCTCGACAACTTAGGATCTCTGTAACAATCATCTGGGTTGATTAGATTCCCTCGCGGAAAGAGTCAGGCAAGACCCGATTTTCGACGCGACGCATCAACTTGTTGGTTTGCTCAGCCAGACTGAGTGTCAAAATCTAAATGCGGGGTTAGATCTTAGCGTGAAAAGGGTCCGGGTTGTACATACAGTGTGGGGTAGAATGCGGGCCAGGTGGGCGAAGAAGCCCTTGTAAATGGCAAAGAGGCCCTCGGTACGAATGGTCTTGAGGAGACAGTCGAAGACACCTCCGTACAAGTTGCCGGTCTGATTGTACATACGGGCCATGATAGTGTCTAGAAACGAGGTCAGCCAAGCACCAGTGCTGTCAAGTAGATCCACTTACCAGGGGGATGCATGAAGCAGCACACGACGAAGCCAGACGCCGCACTACTAGTCAGATGCAGAGCAGGACCCTCCTCCATACCCAAGTGGCGGGTCAAACGGCGCTTGGCGAAGAAGTATGTGGGGAGCTGGACGGCACTGCCGAAACTAGTACGGATCATGGCAGCTCCAACACCACGGTAGATACCCTTGATACCCTCACTTTTGTAGATCTTGCTCAATCCATCGTACGAGTTCTTGTAGTTATGTTGCGTGCCGACCGGGAGGAAGGGTGAGTATGACTGAAGACGAGTCTTCACAAGGAAAAAGGGCGATCCAGCAGCGGCACCGATAACACCAGACGCAGCACCAGCGACGATGTTGGCGCCGAGGGACTGGACCTTGGGATCGTTGTAAATGGTGGATGTGAGGTTGGAGCGGATGGGCTCGTAGAAGCCTAAACGGCAGCCGTTCAACAGGATTTGATATATATACTAGAGGCCAATTGATGTTAGTCTGATGCGCTTGGACCCGAAACCTCTCTGGTTAATACTCACAGCAGATCCAATACCCCGGAATAGACCCCGAGGTCCCTCATTCTGCAAAATCACCTTGACGCCGTGCAGCACACCTCGGTATTTCTTCACAGCCTCATTCTTGGCCTGCAGTTCACCTTGCAGTTGTAAACTAGACCCACCCAAAACGAATTAGAACAATTACCCTGAGAGAATAGCGTGATGGAATACCCACCGGATCTTGACCGTCTCGAAACTGTGGGTGACTGTGACCGCACCGCATGCTGCGATACCACCTGCAATGAATGCGCTATGATGTGTGTTAGTCCTAGAATATAAGCTGGCACTTAGCGCAGGGAGAAGCCATACCCTCCAGTTGTTGCCATGGTGTCCGCTTGGTGGTTGGGTAGTGACGACTGGGTGTGTCGGTTAGCGGAGGAGAATCGGGGCCCGCAGGTGATGACGATGCCGCCAGGGAGCCTTCAGGTAACGCGGTCTGTGCGAGATATACAGGGCCCAAATGGTCCACAGTCGACCCAAGTAAATAAATAAATGTGAGTATAACTTTAGAAAGAGAGAGAAGAGAAGCGATGAGAAAAGTATCTGGACAGCATAAAAGCTTACATGCGGCGAATTGCACTCGGCTAAACACTCATTGGTCAATTTGTGCCTGGACCTCCGGCCTCGGTGCCGGTGTGGGTAGCCCCGGAATTTCACAGGGCGGTGAGTCGCCGGTGACGGCAGGCGTTTATGGCCATGAGACAAGACTGGAACCCTGAGCCTTTTAGGTTGTTTTGTTGATTCAATTATAACACAGTTTGATATTGAAGGTGAATGCATTGAGCATTTGTCATAGACTGCCATCGACTATCATAGCCATGCAACACCCCCACCTTGTTTGACCACTGTCGTAACAACCAAAGGCGGTGAAGCGCGCAAAAAAGCAATCGCGCGGAGCTCTGCTTGGGAGCTTTAATAGTCACCATTCTCACAATATCTTCTTCCTCCTTCTTTTCTCCCTGGCTAGCATGAGCATTACTCGGGCTTCGAGAGACTCTTAACTGCAATCCTATCTCACTATCCTGCACAATGACTGAGGGTCAATCAACACCCCAGCTGGCCTCGGCCACTCAAGCTCCCCTCAGATCACAAAAAATCACAGAAACTGCTGCTTACTATCGCCCGAACAAGGTGCGTCGACCTAGGTATTCAAGATAGCTACCTGGAAACTAACAGCTCTCCGAACCAGGGATTCTTCCCCTGCAAGAAAGACCCGTCGAAATTGGTGACTTCTCTGGACTTCGATGACCAAGGCGACTATATGGTCGGCGCCGGTAATGATGAAAGCATTCACACCTACGATGTAAAAGAAGGAAAATTCAACAAAACCGTTGCTTCGAAGAAATACGGTGTTCACCTTGCGCGATTCACCCACCACTCTCGTCAAGTCCTCCACGCGAGTACCAAGGTTGATAGTAGGTGGTATGATGCCTCTGCTCTGGGTTATATCGCTAATCATAGACAGACAATCTGCGACTTTTGGATCTTCATAACGAGAGTTATGTCCGATACTTTGTCGGCGTGGGTGACCAGGTCACTTGTCTAGCTCTGTCTCCCGCCAGTGACGCCTTCGTATCCTGCTCCAAGGATGATACAGTCACACTTTGGGACCTTAATTCTAGAAATCCACAAGGAAAGCTTGAAGTCGCGACCCCATACCTTTCCGCCTTCGACAACTCTGGTGCCGTCATTGCCATTGCCTCTCAGTCCACCTCCACCGTGCTCCTTTATGACTTCCGGAATTTTGATAAAGCGCCCTTCTCTACATTTGACCTTGCACCATGGGAAGAAAGATATACACCGTCGACACGAGGACGCGCATGGACTAGGTTGGAATTCTCCAACGACGGCAAGTCGTTGCTTCTTGGAACAGACTACCACGGTCATTATGTTCTGGATGCCTATGAGGGCAACGTCAAAGCCTTCCTAACTGGCAAGAGCGGTCCATCAGGTCGCGCGGCACCCGTCTCTACGACAGGCAAACCCCTCGGGCAGGGAGATGCATGCTTCTCTCCCGACGGGCGATTTGTTGTTGGTGGAAATGGCGACCAGTCCAATTTGCTCATGTGGGATATCAACCAGGCAAGTGAGGCGGATCCCTTACTTCAGCCTACATACCATTTGCCCTATTCAAAACCGACAGCCATGGTGGAGTGGAACCCACGATACAACATGATCGCCAGCGCCGATAAAGAAATTGTCTTTTGGGTCCCCGAGGATCCTTCCAAATCTTCTGAGAAGTAAACTCAAATGCATGAAACGACTCCAAAATATGGTCAGGGTTCGCAGCTTTCAAAAGTGACAAAAACGCCCTCAAAACTTGATATCCAGCGGACGAGAGAGCCTTTATTGATGAGTTTATGTTTTTCTATCTCTATCTTTCCCCACCAAACTTCGCGCTGTGTCGCAGATCCACACATCTGGGCCTTTCAAGTCATCGTCATCTTGTCTGTTGGCCTCGACCGTTGCCTCGATCTGTTTATCAATGGTGCGATTGCTTGAGATTGTCGTCAACCCCGTGACCCAACCATACAAGAACACACTATTGTTTATGTCCGACAAAGTCTTCGCAACTTCATGAACCACAGCATTGAGTTCGTCTTTTTCTTTGGCTGCTTCGATCACTGGTTGGGCATTGATCACTTTGATAGGAAGTTTCCACCCTGCAGGCACTTGGTAGTCGGACAGTTCCTGGAACTTTTGCAAAATAACCTCGCGATTGAGATTATCATAAGGCTGTTCTCCCAGGAGCAATCGAGTGCGACTTTTCTCTGTGTCTGTGCCAATTGTCTCGACAATTTCCTTAAAGCGAACCGCAGCCTCTGAAGTGGTAACGAGTTCGCGGTCACTCATGGCAGGCCAGAGCTCGGAAGGCAACAGTGGTTTTTCTTTTTCAACCTCGATCTGTCGAAGGATGGCCGGATGGAGCTTGAAGGTTGGGACAATGTCTTTGATGTGCGACAGGTCGGACACCAAGGCTAGCAGAATTGTACAGTCGACATTCAAGGTTGATGTGAAATTCTTGAAGGGTTGAGGTAGGAGATGAGTCAGTCCAGTACCAATGCTCTCTGGCAAACGATCCTGGCACTCAACCTGAACCCCATAGCGACGCATTTCTGTCAGGATAGAATCAATCGAAGGAACACTTCCTTCCTCGATTTTGGGTATCACAACACGTAGCCGAGGGTGCCCGTACCTTACTCGCGTAGCATTGGCAGCCCTCCTCAGGTCTCGAGCGAGTTTGATAAGATCCATCTCGTCGTCATCTTCATCGTCGTCCGAATGCTGTAGCACCGTCCGCCCTTTTCCATCCTCGGACCACTCCTCTTCGCTATCACTATCACACTCCCATCCTTTCTCTGCCATTTCAAATAGCAGCCGATTTTCCGAAACCGTCGAGACCTTGACCCACTCCTGTCCGTCATCCGCAACGATATCAACAAAAGCACTCTTGCGTTTGTCCTTATTGGGTGGTTTCTCAGGTTGCGAGCCAGCCTTCTTCATGTTCTCGCGCACAGTCGCTTTTGATTCACCATCCCAGTAGAATCTCCTCCCAAGAGCAACCAGGCCAGTACAAGAATCCTTCGCAATCCTCCAAACAACCTGATAAAACGGCAAATTCGACGACCGCAAGGCATGCACCAGGCGCATCTCGGCGTCTGGGTCAGCCGAGCTTGGATCAGCCTCAACGGCTGCTTCAATTTGCTTGGCCATTTTCTGGAGAATTTTTGATTCGGCATTCACATTCGTGCGGAATTGGCGCACCTCCACCATTTGCGGATTGCGGAGTGTGGATGCCACAAGGGCTGAATAGGCATCGATTTCAGATAGTAGATCGTTGCATTCTTGATTCAATTGCCTGGATAGCGTGATACTCGTGCGGGATGTCGGTTCTTCGGCCTCCGCTGTTGGTCTGGCGGTGCCTGTGCTTGTGTGGTCGGCTTGGTTGTCATCGATTTCCCGATGGTGATCGGGATTTGTTGCCATGACTGAGTTCTAGCCGTAGGGCTTTGGATGTGACGCCTTCCGGTCTTTAGATTCATGCGCTAGGATGCAAGAGTAGTCAGATTTGCAGGTTCAGCAAGGATGTGTGCTGTGCATGGAACACGTGTGGGGCAAGCACAATGGGCGTCTTATCAGATTGACAGGATGCCTCGACTTAATAGTATCGACTCAATTACCACTTTGGTCAGAAAATGGAAGTCCATAGCATCATAGGTGTGAGAAGGGACTAAAAATGTGACTCATGAAATGTTCTGCTCGCTTCTAGTGATATCCATGCCACTCCAAGAACCACGAGGGGGCTAAAACTCCGAGTCAAGATCCACCTAAGATCAACGTGCAATACTAGTCGTAAGGAAACCTGCTATTGCTAGACAAATTACACTGCGTCTAAACAACAATATAGAAGAAACCAGGAGAACAAGATTTTCTGACACCAGTGTGAAGGATAAACAACGCCATGACATGCTTGCACCCTGAACCATGAGATGTTGCTCCCTCGAAGACCGTGCTCCGGGTCAACAAAAGAATATCATTGACCTTGATAGGCGCGCAGGTGCTTCTGCACTGAGTGAGCTCAACACACATCTATGACCTAGATGTAATCTAATTCTTGTTTTTTCCGGTAAGTCTTTCTCTTTCGCTCGAGTTGCGAGGAGACTCATCGTCCTCCGACCATCTCTCACCGTCTTCTTCACCCACTGCGAATATTGTCTCCTCCTCGAGAGACTCACGCTGACGTGGCGCGGAAGAAACAGGCTTGGGAGGCACCGGGGACAAATCACGACGGCCTTCGGCAGCCGAGCTGCCAGGGTAATCAGGGGGAGCATCGTAGGCATCTTCCTCATCCAGTCCACTGCCGAATGATCGGATCTCGAATCCATCATCATCTTGAGCAAGCTGTGAGAGTTGTTAGCGTTCGTCGGTTGCACTTTCGAGGAAGGGATACGTACCTCATCACTCATGGCAAAGCGGCGGTTGTTGGCGGTTGGTCTCCACAGGTAGGCCACAAATCCAATATCGAAAAGATAGACCAAGTTGAGCCAGCCATCAAGAACGAACCATCTCGCCTTCCAGTGTTCAGGAACAAAGCTGGCGTCGCTACGTCCGGCGAAAGCGAACGAGTTAATAAAGAAGAAACCGAAGATCACGATGATGCTTCCGAGGATACACCACCAAAGCTTCTTGTACATCATAGCCTTGGTCTTTTGCTTTCTGTCGATAAGATCCTTCATGGTAGCGTTGAGGGAGTTCAGGGTCCACACGTAGAACGCAGTGAGTGTTCCGGCAAGCGGAAGAACGATCAGAAGCACCAGGGGACCAGCACTCTCTGGGGTGATCGACAAACTGGCCACCGAGTAGACCACTGCAAAAATAAAGTGGGCGATGGCCAAGATGCGAACATAGATCATTGTTCGGCCAAGAGAATGTTTCACCACACCGTAGCCCATGCAGACAATGAGAAGAAGGAAGAACGAAAAGGCATTTCTGCCTGCGTTGAGAACTGCCACAATAACCATCAGGGCTTTCGCTCCGCCGTTGAGACCATTGCGGTTCTGGAATTCTGTTGCAAGAGTTAGATAAAGGTGACAAAGAACCTGATTGCGGTAAACTTGCCGTAGAAACCCCATGTCATCAATTGCTCAACGATCAAGAAGACAACAATCGCTGTGATATAATTCTGGACAGGCACTGTTCATGTAAGCGTTGGCTGGAAAATCGGGTTCAGGTCAACATACAGATATCATAACGGTTTTGCACATAAAGGAAGGCCCAGAAGCTAAGTCATAGGTTAGAAAATCTCCGGCAGTCAAGTAATTGGCATCAAATTTGACATACATTCCGATCACAGCGTACACAATGGTCAAAGCCCCATAGAATGGAAGCTTTGCAATTTGTGCAGCAGGAAGCTCGCCATAGGAATTTCGGAATGTGACAACTGCATTGTAGTCCTCTCCGGAGTACGCGTAGGTGCTGACACAGTAGAATCCAGTCTTTCTGACCGGGTATTTCAAGGCATCTGGGTTGTTAAGATGGATCGCCTTCGAGATGATGGGGCTTGTAGATACGTCGGAAGCGTTGTTCGTAAGGACAAAAGAGCCGAGTTGATCCTCAGTACATATTTTCGCATCAACGTTGGAGGCGTCACAGATTGTTTCCTTGACCTTGGATCCTTAAATTAGCTTCGCGGCCAGGTGTGAATGGTTCAAGAGGCATACCTCAGCGTCGTCGGAACGGTATTTCCCAATCAATTCCTCGTCAGACCATTCGAATATGACTAGACTAGCCATCGGATCGCTTTCTGTTGCCGCTGACTTGGAGAATTTCACCAATATGAAAGGGTCAACGTTTCCTCCCCAAGCTTTGCGACTGTACATCCCTGAGCATCGTTGTCGGTGCGCATCATCGGATTTCTATGCACAACTAGATTAGTCTTTGTCAAATGCCATTTTGGCAGGAAGCGGAAGCTTTATAAATATCTTACCAATTCGACATCGTTGGCAAGCGCCTGGCTTGCGAGTAGGGCTGTCAGGCCTAACGTCTGGAGCCAGCCCTTCATGACTGTGTAGTTGAGCTAGACTAGGCTCCGGGGGTTTGAAATGATGTCAAAATCACACAGCATCAAAGCAGAGACACAAGCGGCGTAATAGATTCGCTGTGACGTTTGTAAAAGGAAGACGGGCGATTAAGGAGATCTTGAGCTCAATGCGTGGCCCCAAACCGGGGAAGCCGCGCGTGGATATTATCTAATCCAAAAACCGCCACTAATTTTAGTCTCCAACTTTAGTCGATCTTTTTTTTTCTCGAATCAAGTCTACAGTGACATCTTCACAAGATAATTGATCATGCCTGCCAAGGAGCTGAAGGAGCCATGCATGGAGTGCAAGGATGCTGAATTCCAGATCACCGTTCGCCAGAGGAAGCTTTGCAAGTATGCGACAATCTATAACCCCTCCAAGTGAGAGCTGCTAACATTCTCAGCTTTTGCTACAAGCGCTTTGTTGCTTATAAAGTCATTGCGCGCATGAGTCGCTATAGGCCTTATGGCTTGGACCAGCCACGTCATCAACTACTGCTTCCTGTGTCATTCGGTGTCTCATCGTCGGTTTTGCTGCACATACTAGACACTGATCGCCAGAGGCGTCTAGATGAATCACGTCTTGTAGGCTACGACTTTCACATTATTGTCGTTGATCCATCCACTGTCTCAGAGACAGCGCAAGCCTCGTTCGATCAGAAATTTGAACTGATGCAAAAGTCCTTCCCTGCCCACACTTTTACCCGTGTTCCCTTTCACAGCATCTTTGACCATGCCTCGGAGATGGAAGAGATCATGCGGGAGTATGCAGGAACTCATTTCAAGGATGATACTTCACTTTCCAACGAAGAGCGTTTGGCTGCCTTCCGTGCATCTATTTCTACAGCCACTTCCCAGGCCGATATCGATACCATCTTACTGACCAGGCTCATTGTCGCATTCGCAAAGAAGTTCGAATGCAAATCCGTACTTTGGGGTGATTCGGACAGCCGTCTCGCCGCGAAAGCACTTGCAGGTGTTGCTAAAGGGCGTGGGGCCTCCCTCACTTGGCAAGTCTCCGATGGCATGTCTCCATGGGGGTTGGAATTTGAGTATCCGTTGCGTGATCTCTACAAGGCAGAATTACTCCAATACGAGAGCCTCTGCCCAGAGCTTTCGGATATAGTCATTCCCGATCAGGCACCATCTGAAAACGTTCTCACCAAAAATCTTTCCATCGATGAGCTGATGCTGCGGTATGTCCAGAGCCAGGGTGCAAAGTACCCGGGTGTCATGGCGAACGTAGCAAGAACAGCGAATAAACTCGAGTCATCTACTTCCGGTGCTGCAGCTACGTGCGCTTTGTGTGCGGGTCTCTTGGGGAACACCGAGGGAAACACTGGGGTGACTGTTGCCAATCAAGCCCAGGATAACCACAGCTCTCAATTCTGTTACGGTTGCATGCGATCTCGCCCTGAAGAGCTTTGCTAAAACGAAATATCCGTCCTATTGAGAAGAAAAATAAAACAAAAAGCAGCATTTCACACGAAATCCATCGCCATAAACCACGGGGTATCTGAAGCTACATCTCAAAATCGTCAAACCCAAAGCATTATCGTCCACCTCGCTCTAAGTCATCCTCGGGATGGCTAGCCCCGCCAAACCATCGACCAAAGGAACGGTTATTCTTGGGTTTCTTGGCTGGTTGCGGTCTGGTTGGAGGTTCAGGGCCATCGTTTTGACCTGCCCCATGGCTCGATGGATGGATGTACTCGTATGCTGGGGGGCTATCACTGACGACCCCACCTTCTTGTCTGTCGAATGCATCAGGAAGACTATGGTCAATTTCGACTTCTTCTCGTCTTGATTGAGACCGTCGTCTGCCCCGCTTAGAGGCGGCCTTGGCTCCCTTTTCGCGCAGGTGGGTTTCGAGGATGACCGCGTTTCTGGTGTTGGCTTTGTACACAGCATCGGCAAGGTCACCAATGAACGGAACAAGACCAATGACGAAATCGACAATCACATTGATCATCATCTTCATGCGCAGGGCTGCAGGAAGTCCACCATCGATGCCTTCACATGATCTCACAACCATCATTGCAAGGGCAGCGTCACCGGCATCACCAATACTATTGATCCATTGTTAGCGTTGATCTCACTCGTGTAATGTCGTTCTGATAGATCTCACAATGGAACGAGTCCAATTACACTTCCCCAGCCGAACTGGATTCCGCACAAATTGAAAAGAGCATAGTCTAACTGGTAGGCTCTGCGCTTGACCTTCGTTAAGACTTTGCTATCATTTTCTGATAAGCCTGGGGGGATGGCCTTGCGACGCTTCTGCTTCTTCTTTCCGAAGGCACGACCGAGTCGGGAGGCCGGAACTTCTTCGAAGTAAGGATCCTGCAAGAAACAACGGGTTAGCGCTGCCTGTCTTGACTTAAGTGATAGTAACACGCGATGGAACTCACCTCAGTGCCGAAGTGATTCTTGGCAGTTTCGCCCAACACTCGTTTCCCAATCAGAGATACCAGTGCTTTAGACATCCTGAGCAGAATTCGAGACCGGGGGGAAGACCTCTTCAGAGATTGACCGTAGAGATAGGGGGATTTCGGTTAATCGCCGTCCTATTCAAGCCGATGCTTCTTCTGAATATACCAAGCAAGGATAATAAGAATAGCTCATAAGCCTTTGAACCTCTCGAAAGCTTAGCGCTGGTTGGTCGATCAAGTGTTTCGGTAGGCGCTCGTTTCACCTATGTTGGGTGCATAAAGATTTGAAAGAGTAGTGGTAGAGATTTTCTCAGGAAATGAAGATTATTATAGCAAATCCACCTACAAAGGGGAGCCAGGGTGATCAACTGTTTTGCGCGCCAGACGTCATACCCTTGAATCCTGGAACGCCAATCTCGCGCCACATGTGGCGCTCGGCGACGCACCGCCACAACTTAGTCATCAGATCATCAAGCCGGACTTGGGCAGCTCCGGCACGTTGGTCTTAGCTGCTTCCCAACACCTCACTTCACTCTTCTCTCTACGCTGATTGGCACTCTTTCACGGCTTATCCTCCTACTCTGCTATCGGATTCGATCCAGCAATTTCGCCACATCCACACAGCCCTGGGTTGGTGCACCCTTCCTAGAAGCTGTTATCTCCACAGTGCTAGCTTACTAGTTTCGACTGTTTGTGCCGTCGGACTAAGTGAGCAACCAGTCTCAGGTCACTAAAGTTTTGAAATGCCAGAGATTATCCAACAATATGACAGAAACAAAGATGCAACTAGAAGATTGTGAGTGTCTGAGCTGTCATCGATCGGAATGACGACAGCCCACTGACCAAGGCCCGCGGGGTGTTTCTAACAGGGCTGGATGACTTGTGCGTCCGTTTCATCATCAATCTTCCCCGCGAAGAACTTGAGTCTGTCGAGCGAATATGTTTCCAAGTTGAAGAAGCGCAGTGGTTCTACGAAGACTTCATACGCCCGCTGGACCCTGCTCTGCCGTCCCTCAATCTGAAGACTTTCGCCATGCGCATTTTCCAGCATTGTCCGCTTATGTCGAACTTTTCTCACAATGAACATATCGTCGCTTTCTCCGAGTTTCTTGCATACAAGACGCGCGTCCCAGTCCGCGGTGCGATTATGTTGAACGAGGACATGGATGAAGTCGTACTAGTCAAAGGTTGGAAAAAGGGTGCCAACTGGAGTTTCCCTCGAGGAAAAATCAACAAGGGCGAGAAAGACCTCGACTGTGCAATCCGTGAGGTTTACGAAGAGACGGGCTTTGACGTGCGGGCTGCCAATTTGATCAAGAATGACGAGGACGTGAAAGACATTGAGGTCACCATGCGAGAACAACACATGCAACTCTTTGTTTTCCGAGGTGTCCCCCGTGATACCTATTTTGAACCACGTACTCGAAAGGAGATCAGCAAAATCGAGTGGTACAAACTATCAGACCTGCCTACCATGCGGAAGAACAAGCAGCATGATGACGGGTACGCGGCTGCAAATGCAAACAAGTTCTACATGGTGGCTCCTTTCCTCCATCCCTTGAAGAAGTGGATTGCCCAGCAAAAGAAGCTGAACCCCAAGACAGAGTCCGCCACCAAGCAGATCAGTCTTGCCGAGGGATACACATCAATTGACGAAAACGGTTACGCAGACCACACTCCTGGCATGTCTGCTGCAGATACCGTTGTACCGAGTGATCTCCCAGAAGTGGCTTCGGCGCAAAATGCCTCGGACCACCTGAAGCGCCTTCTGAAGATAGGTGCTCTGCCATCGCCAACTCAACAGCCTGTTCCTGGGTCAGCCCAGCATTCTGCTGACGATGCATCGAAGTCTGATGCCCTCCTCGCTTTGTTATTGCAAGGTCAAACCGAGCAGGTTGCTCGTCAGGTTTCTCGTGTCGAGGATATTCCACCCCCCAATAATGGAGTTAATACAAACCTTCCGCCTTCGGGCAACGCCATGGGACCAAGCTTCTTCCCCGGATTCCCCCACCAGCATCAACAGCAGAACCTTCCGTTCCAGTCCTACCACGGGCTGCCGTACCCCGCAAATGGGGCGCAGAACCTTCCCGGGCCTGGATTCTCGAACGTGCAACAAGGGGGTCATGCTGTTCCATCCATGTCACAATTCCCTCAGCCTCCTCCTGTGTCACGATACCCAGTACCTCCGGGGCATATGCCTGCACCCTTCCAGCGCACAGGTGATCCTGAGTTCTCAGAATCCGCTTCAGCGTCTCGAGGTCATGGCCCAGCAGTCCCACCAGCTAGCAAATTGCCTCCGCCTAAACTCACAACACACTCATTGGCACTCCTGAACGCATTCAAAGTCAAGACTCCCAAAGCCTCAGCTCCCGCGACCTTGGCGAGTCCTGCAATCCAGGGCCACTCTTCTCACGCGCGCAAGACGTCACACCATCAGGACGGTCTCTTGAACTTGCTCAGAGGACCTCAGAGCATGGCCACCTCCCAGCCAGCAGAGCTACTAGGAAACCCAGTTGCGCCCCCACCGGCGCCTCCAAGTAAACAAATTCTCCAGCGCCCGCAAACCCACCACTCGCCGGCACAGTACTCAAATGCCCCAACTCAGAGCACCATGGTGCCTGGTCAAGTGCCCGCTACTGTATCAGTACCTTTAAACACCCCGCAGTTCGATACAACCACCAAGCCGAATTCGAGGGCCAACGGAGGCCCAGGCCGCAGAGGCCCAGCAGGCAGGAGAGAAAAGGCTCAAGCGCCCCAAACCTCTGCACCAATGACCATATTGTCGCGACCCCAGTCTGCCAAGCGGGAAGTTGCCCCTGGGCACCTCCCACAGGCGACATCGATCCCACCTGCTCAGGTTCCACAGACCCCTGAACCGGTCAAGAATTTCCAACCCAAAATTTTGCGTCGGTCTGACAAAACTGAACACGAAGGCTTCATGGCCGCGGCTCCACAGGGGGTCCCTGAGCGGAAGCCAAGCCTGCCAGATTCTTGGGCCAACCAGGGCCTGGCTCCGCAGAGCAATGTTGATAGACGACCCAGCCAGACAGCTGAGCAGAAAGCTTCGCTTTTGTCCCTTTTCGCCAAAGGAGATGGACGTGCTTCTCCGTCGACCATTGCATCTGTCCCGCTCGACCCGCGAACCGGATATCACCAACCAACAGGTCTTGTCAGTCCAATGTCATCTCGCCATCACCCTAGTAGCGGTGGCACTATTTCTCGACATGGCACACCATCTGATGGAGGTGCTCAAAACCACGCCAATCAGGTTTCCTCTCCCAGCAACAAGGCGTTTTTGCTTGGGTTCTTGGAAGGTGTCGCCAAGGGAAACAAATAGGTTTCCGTCGGCTGTTTCAGTAGATTACTCTACCATAGCACATCTCTTTTGCATAGCGATCCATAGTCAAATGCTGGATCATGATTCATCTACATTCTCAAGTCTTTAAATTTGCTACTCCGTACCTGTCGCTTGTTGATGTAGCGCTGAGATCTCGGCATCGGACCCGATTTGAGTTCTGCCACCGCCCAACGTCATCGGCCGATTAATAAAGAAACAGCTCAATCCACATTGGCTATTCTCTACCAGATCAACCATGATGCGCCCACGCCCCTCGGTCTGCAATCGCTGTCTGGGCCGCAGTCGGAATTTTTCAACGACAGCAAATCGGTCCCAAAATAGTCAAAATGCCCCCTTCCCGCCGACAGCTGGGTATAGCCGACTCACAAACCGCGGTTTGATCTCCATCACTGGCATCGACAGCACCACCTTCCTCCAGGGCTTGATGACCCAAAATATGCTAGTAGCCAACGACCCCAATCGAAGTATCCGCCGCACAGGTGCATACACTGCCTTCCTCAATTCTCAAGGCCGAGTTCTCAACGACGCCTTCGTTTACCCGTTACCCGGTGCCGAAACCCAAGGCCCTGAATCAGGCTGGCTGGTGGAAGTAGACAAGGACCAGGTCCCTGTCTTGTTGAAGCATCTCAAAAAACACAAGTTGCGCGCGAAGCTAAAGCTTCGCGCTTTGGAGGAAGGCGAGCGCACCATTTGGTCTTCGTGGAAGAACCATGCGGAACCCCAACGCTGGGCTGCTTATAGTTTAGAATCCGACTCTTCATCTCCTTTCTCTGTGACTTCTGAGATCGCCGGATGCATCGACACACGTGCACCGGGCTTCGGTTCCCGCATCATTACTCCTGGCTCCGAGGGCCTGCGCACACATCTTCCGGACGAGATGCAGGTCCCTGGGTCTGAGGTCGAGCTTGACTCGTATACAGTGCGCCGGTTCCTTCACGGTGTCGCAGAAGGCCAGGCGGAGGTTCTCAGTGGATCGGCTTTGCCACTACAGTGCAATATGGACATGTCCCGCGGTATTGACTTCCGCAAGGGCTGTTATGTTGGACAGGAATTGACGATTCGCACACACCACCGTGGCGTAACAAGAAAACGTCTTTTGCCCGTCCAATTGTATGATTTGGCTTCAGATACGCAAGGCGGGCCAGAAACCCTGACATACGATCCATCTGTGCAACTCACCTTACCTCCGGGTGAGTCGGATATTGTCAAGGCCGGTGCAGCCACCCGCCGAAATCGCAGCGCAGGAACCTTTTTGAACGGAATCGGAAATATTGGGCTGGCGCTTTGCCGTCTTGAAGTCATGACTGATGTTGCGCTTATGGGCGAGACACCTGCCCGCCCTCATGAACATCAGTTCAAGCTCTCGTGGACCCCGGAAGTAGAACAACAGAATGACGTCGGTGTTCGTGCTTTTGTTCCACCCTGGCTACGCGATTTCATTTCCGGTGGCAAAGAAGAGAAGCCTGCTCCGCGAAACATTGAAGCCGAAGTTGCTGAGCGGGCAAGGGAATTTGTTGAGCGCTTAGAAGAAGAGGAAGAGGAGTATGAATCTCAGAGACAATGAGACGATCATACGTCGGCGAAAATTGCATGTATAATACAAATCTCAAAACGCATATGTAAATAGTTCATGTTTCACTTTTCAACTCACTTGACACTGTATATTGTGCTTGGGGTATCTCTTGTATCTATACAAACGGCCGGTGCAGGCTTACCGGTGTGGAATCTTTTAATAACGATGGCTTCGCAGCTAGGTATCCTTGGCCACGGCTGCTTCTGCTGCATCTGCTGCTTCGTCTTCTCGGGCGAGCTGTTCTTCGAGCGCCTTTCGCTCTTTATCTCGTTGCGCGTTCTTCAAGTTCATCATTGTCACTTCTTGGAGGCTGGGAGTGCCCGAAGACGGGTTAAAGGACGATGCCTTCGGGGCAGCTGCAGCGGCGGATGCAGAAGCAAATGAACCAAATGATGGCACTTTCCCAGATGGAGGAGCTGTGTTCATCCCCGGAAATTTGAAGGAAGGTTTGGCAGCTCCGTTGGAGGTCTGCTTTGATGGGTTCAGGGTTGCTGGTGTAGGCTCGGCTTCTTTTTTGGATGATGCACTCGCAGCAAAATGGGTTCCAAAGTCGGGCTGCTTTTCCGTTGCCCAGCAGACGGACTCGATGAGAGCCCAGTCACTCTCCTGGCTCGCATGCTGGCGAAGCATTTTCTCGCTATCAAGGACCGCAGTATGGGCGCTCACAATAGAGGCGTAAACGATCACGCCAGTCGCGATGGTCTTTTTCTCTTTCTTCTCTCCAACTCGTTGGCGCTTGTCCTTTAGCGTGAGAGTACTTTCAATCTGTCCGAATGGAGCAAATAAGACGGCCAGTCGGTCAGTATCGAGCTCCAATCCGCGGCCTTCCCTTACCCAGCGTACTTTCACCGCACGCTCATTCTCAGGAACGACCGCATCCTTCGACCGATCCACACGCTGACTACTGCGATCCGCCGCCTTGCGCGCTTCCTCCTCTTCTTCCTGCATCTTCTTCTGCTCATCATCCAGCTCTTTCTTGAGCTTGTCCTCCGCCTCGCGTCGTCTGCGTCGTCCATCCTCCGCGATCCTCTCAATTTCCCGCTGCAGTTTCTCTTCCGCATCGTCATCGCCCATCCACGATCTTTTGACGCCTTGCGTAGCACCACCTTCGAAAGCACCTGCCCTCTCGCGCGCTTCCAGGTCCTCGCGCATCTTCCGCTTCGCGGCGCCCATCATCTCCCGCTCGCGCTGCTTGCGCTGCCGTGCCTCCCGCGCATTGTCGTACAGCTGCTTGACCTCTGGATCGGAGAGGACATCGTTGGCAATCTGGAGGAGGTGGAACTTGTCGATGTCTGCTGCTGTGGGGTTTGTGATCTTATCCGGGTGGTACTTCAAGGCTGTGCGGCGGTATGCGCGTCTGATTTCTGATACGGTGGCATTCTGTTGGATATCAAGGAGGGCATAGAAGTCTTGATTTGAGGCTGCGTGTGCCTTGAGATCGTCGTTGGACATGTTGAATTATGCGACTCGATACTCCGTACTGCTGGGAAGGTTTGGTAAATGAGGGATTCGCTGTCGCAATCTTCAGGCGCTTGTTTGCTTGTTTTCCAGTTATAGCGAAACCTCGTCGGAGATCAAAGAGGGTAAAGATTGGAGAGAAGTTAAGTCTGGAAATTTGTCGAGTGAGCTTTGGGCGGTGGGTCAGAGCGCCTCAGGCCGCCAACTGGTGAACTATCTGGGGCCAGGTATACTTCAGATGGAATCTGCCAAGTGCGTAGAATTCAGGAGCATATCGATTCAAAGATGATAGATTAAATGGACATAGACTCATGTATCCTTGGGAGAATAGTTCTTGCCTTGGAAAGTTCATAATCGCTGGCATATCCACGAAAATATATCGTGGTCCTGGGGAGCAACTGACATCGCCAAGTTCACATGTCCAAAAGTCAGAACTCCCAAATTCGAACGCACTTCGCACTTTTCCAAGGTCGCCTTGTCGGGTTGAGATCGTCCGTTTCTTTGTTAAATGTTATCCCAGAAGCTCTATAGATGGGTGTTACGGCCCCATCCAAGCCCCAACTAGCTCTGGCATTGGCGGTGGTCAAGCAGAAGCCTCCACACAGAGACCTCAGAGGTACAACATTCAGCAGCCGTGGCGTAAGCTGAAGTTCTTGGAGAACTGACATTATCATTGAAGATTACATATCAGAAATTCGACTCTTCATCAAAAGATCCAGAGAACTGGGCCATGGTGGTTCGCTCGACAAGTTCTTCGACAGCGTCTCTTTCTGGCAACAAGCATACGAGGAGTCCGAGGCAAGACAGAGCAAGCTCCACGATCAAGTACACGACCTACAACAGAAGATTGACGATCTCGTGGGAAAATTGCGGGCCAAACATGCTGATGGCACGGAAGCCTCCCAGATCAACAAACGCAAGGCACCTTTGCCTCGCACCGGCAGGGACACAGGAAACCTGAATTCAACCACAAAGCGCGCAAAGATACCTGGTAGCCTGTCTCAGAGACATATATGGATGGATGATGATGATGAATCGGGCGATGAAAATGGTAGGGACCCCGAAATCAGTTCCAATTCAGTCACGACAATGATTCTAATATCGATACAGCCTTGTGCACCAGCAGGCAATTGTATACACTCCAAAGGGCCCTTCAGAGAAGATCAACCTCCGATTCTTCGCTCGGAGATCTGACTGCTGCGGCAGTGATTCTCTGCAAGTCGGCAGAACAGCAATTGATATCAGCGGTCCAACGCGAGAGCACACCGATACAGCAGTCATCAACCCAGCCGAAACCCGATAAGTCGAACGCGCCAGATACCGATATCATCCTCAATGGGGTGATCTTAGCTTTTCATCTTGCACACAAGGCATTGAAAAAACTTGCTGCGAATGCTCAGAGCAGACAGCACCAGGCTCAGATTACCTACTACCTGGTAGGCTTGTTCGAGTCTTGCATGACTGCTCTCACCTTGCATTGCACTTCTATCTCCGCCCAGGTAGAACAGAAGAAAGAAAAGAACACCAGATGTACCGAGAGTCAATTAGCATCTCACCTCGCAGACGCACTTTACAACATGACACTTGCCCTGGATTTGACTCACACGGAAGATCAGGATATCATGGAAGGGCTCCTCTTCCTTGTCCTAAGACGAATGGGCAGAATGTTAGCTCTTCATGTCTTCCATGACATCAGACTTCCAATGAGCGTCTGTCCTGGAATGACATATCCCGAAGGACTCGAGGCAATGGCAGATGAAGGTCTCATGCCGACTCAAGCGCAAGTTGAAACCAGATATCTCATTCGGGTTTTGAGCAGAATGCTTGATATAGAGTGTGACTCGTCGCCGAAAGCTCTGGCTTCTCGCCAGTTTATTGAAAATGTCAAGGATCGTTTGCAAAAGACTCTCCTCCAAGCAGTTTTCGGGCCTGATGACCACATGTTTCGGGAGATTTTGCTACGCCCGCAGACCCCACCTCCAGTCAACAGCTCACCAGTGGAACAAGAGAAGTTTGGGGACTGGCTGACGCAAGAGCTGTGGCGACTGGTAGGTTGGGATGTCTTGAAATCCATGTTTGCCTCGAAATAGTTCACTGCCTTTTACCCTTGAGCATCTGTGACTTTGCGATGTTGAACTGTGCCGTCGTTTACTTAGCCTCTTTTAGCAGACCTTGAGGTAGCTGATTATGTCAAATATGGTTCCAAGAGAAAGCTGGTAAATTGGTATGGAATAGATTACAGATCTTACTCGAGATTCAGAACACGAGAGGCGTTTCCACCCAAAACAGCAGTCAGTGCCTCCTTCTCCCCGTCAAAATTCTCATCAATGGCTTTATAGTTGGTTGTTACACTGAGCCATTCCTTCTCACCTTCATCTAGGGGCGGGAAGAATGGATGATCGGTCCCTGAGATAACAAGTCAGCTTCAAGTCAATATCATCACTCAGATCGGGGCACTTACCGAACATGAGGCGATCAGAGCCTCCTCCAACCGTGACTGCCGCCTTCAGCCCAGCGACTCCATATACCACTGCATCGAGGAATATGTTCGTTTTCAAAACCTCCCAGATACTTCTCTGCGGCCCGGGAACGTCGCCCCCATTAGCGACAAACTTCCGCTCATGCATAATACAGCTTTCAATGCGCCCGGCCAAAAAAGGCAACGTGCCACCCGAATGAGCCAGCAGAATCTGCAAGCGAGGGAACTTATCAAAGACCCGAGACAACAGCATGCGAGTGACCGCAATGGTAGTTTCGAGTGGGAAGCCCAAAGCCAGAGGAAGCACATGACCGTAGCGACTCATCGCCTCCGAGCCACCGAACGCCTCACTCGGAAGACCGTAATGAGGATGCAAGAAAGGCAGAAGCTGTGTTTCTTCCAAAGCGGCCCAGATTGGCCCAAGTCGCTCATCATCCAGACCGGCTCCCAGCCCCGATGTCCCCATTATCACACCGCGAATGTGAGGCAGGGTTTTGAGTCTCTTAATTTCATCCACGATTATTTCAGGGTCGGGTGCACTCAGTGGCAAAGCTGCAAATGCAAAGAGAGTTGATCTTCCTTGCAATGGCAGTGCCTTATCTGAGCTAGAGGTTACCCGCGCGCAGGTCTCTTCTAGATCATCGTTGATCCGCTGAGCCCATATCTGGGCTTCGGCTGGATCAAGAAAGTCCAGCCATGGGTTTGCGAGGGAGATTACGCTGCAGTCGATGCCATGCTGTTGCATGAATGCTAGCTTGACGTTGGTGTCTGAATAGGATGAGTCGACCGGACGACCGCGTTGATCAATTGGGATTGAGGGGTCGTCATCTGAAGATAGGATAATTAGGCGTGGTTCTCCGCTGGCTGGGTCGTGGATGTAGGGAACTGTTTTGCGAGCGCGGAGCATGGCCATGTAGGCTGGAGGGTAGACATGGGTATGGACATCTACGACGAGAGGACGAGACATGGTGAATTTCTAAAGTTGAATCGATTTCGGGGGATATGGAATACTTTAGAGATCATACAGAGTAGAGAGAGAGACGGGTGTTTTTCTGTCCAAGTGAGGGGGAGATAAGAGGTGCATATGCGGGGGAGATGTGCAATGTTATTGTACACAGTCTCCTTTCAAGATGGACTCTGTAGTGCCGTCCCACTTAATCCCAGTACTTTTCCGGTTTTGGAAGCATATACATAGTCCACGTACACTGAGTATGGAGTAGCCTTGGGGTGTTGTAATGTATAAGGTAATCAGCATGTTTCATTTGGAAAAGCCTAGCCTCTATGGATCATTTTTCAGCCCTCAGCACCAAGCAGTACTAGGAAGAAGAATATCCCATAAGCAGCTAGATTAAGATGAAAACCTCGTTGACTCGTAACATGTTCTGGAAGTGACACGCTTGTCCTCGTTGCCTATCAATGTCAGCAAGGTACCGAAGAAGAATTTCACTATGAAAACATACATTTGAATGATACCGCATTCACAGCTTTCCTCCAGCAAGTGTGATAGGCTTCTGGTTGGTGAAGTTGGGGATATCCGAAAATACATTAGCACTTGCGGGGTCCTTGAGAGCAGACTGCAGAGCCTCCTGGCTCTCCCACTCGAGAGTTGCCATGATCAAGTATTCAGAGCGCGAGCCATCGAGCGCGTTAGGGAATTTGGTGACCTGCCAGCTGTTCAGGCTGTACTTCTTCCAGGTGGTTTCAACGAGGGGCATGTGAGTCTTCATGTAGTAATCCTCGTCGAAATGGATATCGGCTGGATTGGGGTACATAACAATGGCGGTGAAAGTCATATTGGCGGTTTGAAAGAGATTGAGATCAGGAGATGAATAGTAAGAAGAGAAGGAGAGGCCCCGCGGTATTTCGAAGCTCAACAGATCGACGCTTATTAATTCGGGTGGAGCCAACGTTAGAAGTCGCCGAGGTCCGCCTGGTCATCTTCACCGAGATTGCACATCTCATGGACTTTATGCTGGATCTATGCCTAAATGGAGATGAATTGGATCTATGAAGGTGCTGAAATCAGTGCTGAACCGGCCCAGGCCGGACCAAAACTGAGGCCGAGGGTGTATTTTTAACGACATTGCTTTCAACACCCTGAATTGGCCCCGCTATGCCATTCCACCGAACTGGTGATGGCAGATAAACATCTATTTCATACACGCATCATCTTCATTATCGAGTTCCCCAAAGTGTCGGAAAACCCACAATCTCACAGAGCTTCTTATAGTGCCTTGAAAGTTCGCTCGACTTTGCGAAGGATCCGTGCTGGACTCCCTGCCGCGACGTGGTAAGCCGGAACATCCTAAACAGAAGAAACACATGCTTGATTAGAACCACAACGAGAAATATCACAGCGAACCAGGAGAGGGGGAGGGAGGGTCTACCTTGGTGACCACGCTTGCAGCACCGACAGTACATCCATCTCCAATAGTAACACCGGGGAGGATAGTAACGTTTCCACCAATCCAACAATCCGAGCCAATAGTGATAGGTTTACCCATCTCTGGCCCATTGGTACCGTTGCGTAAGTCTGGATCTGTTGGATGGGTACCACTGAAGAAGGACACATTGGGGCCGATGAGGGTTCGCGATCCGATCGATACCAAGCAGGTGTCAAGAAACGTGCAGTTGAAATTGATAAAGACATTGCTTCCCACTTTGATATTTGTACCGTAGTCGATATTGATAGGACGTTCAATCCAGGGGTATTCATGTAGCACGGCATCATCTTCCTCGTCAGTCAGAGCAGGTGGCGGCAGGGGTCGGTCATCGCCAGTGATTCTAATCGCCATCCAGAGTACATGTCAGCCAATTCTCACTTGATTCTTCTCACCAGAAAGATTTCCTAAGCCCAGAAAATCAATCGGGCAGTATCCATCACTCACTCCGTCCAGAATGCAGCAATTTCCCTTCGGGTCAGTTCCCCGGAGTTGTTCAATCTGTTGACGACACCCGCACAGCGCCTGCGAGCGGCTACAAGCTGTGGAGAGAAAGCAAAGTAGAGCTGTCCTCTCCTCATTCGGGCAAGGTTTTCTTTCTCGTCAACGTTTGACAACATGGCAGGCGATGTCAGTGCTCAAGTGGCTGACCAGGGTTAAGATGCCGGAGTTGAAGTTCACAGGACAAGTGTTATACGAGCAGGATATATGATCGCAAGCACCTGTAATGCCACTGAGATTTGCCAGAGAAAACAAAATGAAAGCCCGAAGCCATGAAGTGCAAAGAGAAGGGTATCTATACCATAGAGCTAGACCAAATTAGGCACATCGGTTTGCGCTAAGCTGCTCTCGGTTGCTAACAGCCGCGATCCACCGGTATTTTTGTTGACCTCGATGTTCTGTCTCAAAAAGATTCAACATGACACAAGGACAGTATTGAATCAATTTTCTTGTGAGACTAAATCCGGTCTCTTGCTTATTGGGGAGCGCAAATCTCCCAAATGGCCCGTCAGCAGCTCAGAGGCTCTGCGCATTCCAAAGTTGGAGCGTACATGAATCTCGAACTTGTAAAAGCATGAATGTTTTCACAGGCTTTGACAGCCACTTTTCGGCCCACCATTGTCATAGAGAACACAAGGGATACAATGCAAGGACGTTGCCAAGCCTTTACAAGAAGAGGCTCCAGGGAGAAAAAGCGAGAGAACGGGGTCTCCCCGCGGAAGATGAATCTTCATCTCCGCCCAGGTTGAACTTGGGATATGACGTGGTAAAATTGACCAACTTTATACACAAGAACCGATGTTCCAAGCCCGCAACTGTATCCTGTTCATCTGCTACCCAGGTAAGGAGAGCTCCGGTGGGGACAGGATCTCACGCACCACTACACCTACCTAGCCATAAGCCACACGCCAGGACCTTGTTGGCAGTATTCGCACGAACAGGACTATTTCAGTATTACAAGGTATTCAATAAAGCAACACACTTACCTAGGTACATATTCGTACTTTGTCCAATATCGAGTGCTTATCGCCTTATCACGGAGTATGTGCACCTGGTATGCAGGTGCTCAGGTGTTTCCCCTCTTTCTTGACTGTTATCAAAGTGCTTCCATGTTTCCTCCTTCGACAAACTCCGTATCTTTGCCATGGTTTCCAACCCAGTCCAAGAGATCCACCCGGCGTCTACAGTAGTAGACCAGGACGAGCTCCAGATTCCAGTAAGCGGTGACGTGAAGCACCCGGAATTCAAAGGTTTATCATTCCTCACAGTTCATTCTAGCTCATCGACTTTGGTCTGTTCTTCACGGGGACACCATCCGATAAACATGCCGTTGCGCTCTCTATCACCGCGGCATTCAAGACATCCGGCTTCCTCTATCTGAAAGCGCATGGAATCCCGCCATCCGTCGTGTCCCGGGTATTTGCATCATCGGCTCAATTCTTTGCACGACCGCAGAAGCAGAAAGACGCGCTGGGCTGGACGACTCCACAGTCGAACCGTGGATACACTGCTATCGGACGGGAGAAGTTGACCACCGTCGAAGAAACCGATAGCGATACCCTGCGCGCTTCGGCACCGGACATCAAAGAAACCATGGAGATCGGCCGTGACGGGGTGGAGGACCGACCTAACCACTGGCCAGATTCATTAGATGAGGAAGGCAAGGACTTCAAAGAGACTATGCAATCGTTCTTCGAAATGGGACAGAACCTGCACAAGCATATCATGCAAGCTATTGCATTGGGATTGAATCTCCCAGAACATTTCTTCGATGAATACATCGACACCGCCAATAATACCCTCCGACTTCTCCATTATCCACCAGTCAAGCAAGACGTGTTCAAAAATAACCCTAACCAAGTGCGAGCCGGTGAACACAGTGATTACGGCTCGATCACTCTCCTTTTTCAGGACAGACATGGAGGTCTGCAAGTGCGCAGCCCGAGCGGAACATTCGTGGACGCAACTCCGATTGCCGATACCATTGTTGTGAATGCCGGAGATCTGCTAGCTCGGTGGTCGAATGATACTATCAAGAGTACCCGTCACCGGGTGATCCAACCCCCCAAATCCGGGCTTGAGGGTCCAGACGACATCCTGGGGGTATACCCTGCGCGTTACAGCGTTGCATACTTCTGTAACCCAGACGATGACAAGTTGATCGAAGCATTACCAGGTACCTTTGGTGAGGATGCCCACGTTGACAAGAAGTATTCCGGTATCACGGCAGGCGTCTATTTGATTCAGAGATTGACAGCGACTCATTGACCGATTCTGATGATCTGAAGCCAGCTTGGAAACGTCTTGGTGTCCAACCTTGGCCGCACCGCTTTCAAATTTCTTTCGAATTCTTTCAGAAGCTTAGTTGATATTGGGCCGGTATCTTAACCTCCTGTAGAATTTCCATATGTGCATAATGGCCATCTAAATATTTGACTCTGTGTACTTCAAATCTGAGTAGCACATTTAAGGCGGCATCAAACCGCTTAGTAGACTGCTGGCACGACCGAAACGCGGCCACCGTCGGTGATTACAATATTACCATTGATATAGCCACCCGAGTTGCTAGCGAGCCAAATAATCAGCCCCGCCATGTCTTCCTCGCTGCCACCTCGAGTGGCAGGAATCATCTCTCGTGGGAAAGAGCCCTCAGAAACTCCCTGGCCATCAATCCCAGTGTCATTGAACAAGTCGGCCGACATCTCCGAGAGGTAAAGACCGGGCGCAATTCCATTGACCCGAATATCGTAATCGGAGAAATTTGTCGACAGCATCTTGACCAAATGGGTCGTCGCAACCTTGGAAGAGTTATACGCGAAGCTGAATGGCACTTTCCGATTATATCCAGCGATCGAGCTGGTGATGATCACCTGTGCGGTGGGCGGAGAAAGAACACCCGGCTGCGGCGCGGGCCGTCTCTTATTTGCTGCCTCCAGCAAGGGCAAAAATGCCAGGAATGTATAGTATGCGCCTGTGACGTTGACATTGAGAACGTTGGTGAACTCTTCCATTGGAACGTTGAAGAGTTCATCCCGTATTTTCGAAAGGGGCGGGAGTGATCCATCTGCTGCACGCTGTGGTGGTTTCATGTGAGGGCCCAGGATACCACTGTTGGCAATGAGAAGGTCCACGTGCGTTGTCTGTGCCGCGACGGCCTGGTAGGCAGCCTCAAGAGACTCTTTGGAAGTGACGTCGCATTGGATTGGGATGACGGATTTGTGTACGGTTTGCGAGGCAGTTTCTTGAAGAGCGTCTTGGCGTCGACCGAGTACGAATATTTTGTCCACGTTGTTGGCGTCCAGTGCTTTGGCCATGATGCGGCCAAGACCTGTCTGGTTAGTTTATGCGCGAAATGTCGGTGGGCGTTTCTTACCACTCCCGCCTCCGGTGATCACAATCACTCGGTCCTGGACAGAGAAGAGATTAGATGCTTGGAGATGCGCCATGATGCAATATGATTTGGGATCTGGGATTGGGGTGAAGATGAAGTTGAGTTGAAGTTGGCAGTTCCCCGCGATCTCGCAATTGTTCTCCACATCAACCTCGGTAATCCCAAGCGTGTAGAATATTGAGTTGATCTACTGCAATAACTCCACTTTGGTTCAGTTCCAGACTTCTTTTTCATAAGAGAGATCAATTCCAATTATCTATGACCTCAATTCGGCTGTGTTTTGTCAATGGTCTCTTGCTCACCGCAAATCGTTTGACCGCTAGCACATCTGTTACTGACCAGGTCATGGATTCTTCTCAAGTTGCTCTACGAGTACTCGTACAGTGATCGAACTTTGGATAGATCAGTAATAATATTTATCAAACCACATGGACTATGTGCTTGTTACCAGAGCCATGGCTTTGCTTCCGGGCTAGGGGTCGCTTGGTGCTTCGTGCATGGTTGCTACTACTGGCTCAAGAATACCCGGTAGCTCTGCGGAGTAGCTCGAGAAAGATACTTATTTCAAGCAAGGAGTAATTCAATCCTGCCTCTGTGATTGTAGCCGCATGCAGAATATGGTATGATCTTACTATTTAGTTTCATCAGGGGCTAACAGTTCTATTCCAAACCAACTGATACACATTCCCTACTCCATATTATCTACCCCCATTGATTTGTCAGTTTTCTTCTGAGAGCCATTCAATGGACATTCAATGTACTCCGTGCGAAGTACAAAAACAACCTAACTACTAGTCCTTACTATAGATTGTATACGATCGAGTGGGCCGTGCTTGGTGGGGCCTTCGGCATTCATGCCCAAGCCAATCTGTTGTACGAAGTAAATTCACTGTAAGTAAATGCAGTCACTGATCAATGGATGGGCTTCAAGACCTTGCAGGTATTGCTGATTTGTCTAGAGTCCTGCAGGTCCACACTCGGTGTACTCCGTAGCTCATTTTTGTTCATGACCGCAGTTCTGAGTAGACCGAATTTCAACAGACCTTGGGATAACATACAAACAATGGGATATGACGAAGAGCATTGAGCACCCCAGACAAGATCAAGTCGTGGAAAATATCAACCAATGGTATACCAAACATTCCATAGTTGACTTTTTTGAAAGTTCGCAGATTGGAGATCCTCCTCTCTTTTGTGCTAGTCACTACAAGCACTACTAATCTATTGATCAGGCCCACTCCACCTGAGCACTTTGCAGAAATTCCGATCTGTGGCTCCGATTGAGTCCGAGACCACTAGCTTGATCCGGTCTAGACCGAAACGATATATGGTTCGTCTAAGTGGAACTCATCGTCTCACGGTCGCGCCGATCCCTTCAATGCACGATGCGAGGGCAGCTTGGTGAGCCCGAAATATGTGGAATTTCGTTGAGAATCTCGTCTTAGATACGCAATTATGACAGCTATGTGTCCAATGAGCCAAGTCGACAGGGAAGCTCCGTTACATGTGAGCTCTGAGATCGAATTCTGGGTCCTCGAGACACTATAAGCCGCCGCGCGTACGCTAAAGAAGCGGTGTGAGGGGAGCTGAACGAGGCCCGATGCCGTGGGAAGGCTTGAGTTGCCCCCCTGATTGGATATACCCGAAACTTGCAGATGATATAGGCAGAACGTGCAGCTGTGTTCTTTCTACCAAACTCTGCCTCCCTTCGTGTCGAGCAAATAAAATCCTCAACCTCATTCCCCACATATATTCTCTTCTTCTTCTCAAGGACTCCCGTACATTGTACCTTTAGAGTCTCAGAAAAAATCCACTCAGTAAGTGCCCTTACGAGTAGAATAACTTAAACATTGTCGCTAACCAACTCAGCCATGGTCCAGTGGCTTGGCTCGATCACCACCCAGAAAGACTCCTCTCTGGCGGGTGTCTTCATGATCAACGGCGAGCCATGGGTGTTTGAGAATTGTGGAAAGATCGCTCCCTTTCAGAAAGCTCCGGCGGTTGTAAATATCCCCTGGAAGGAGGTCGAAAGCATTCGCAATTCGCTTCGCCGGCGTGACCCTTTCCGCGCGACTATCAGCGGATCGACGATGGAAATTGTCTGGGCCAATGGTGTGAGGATCACAGCCAATGTTCCCCATTCGGCCAGCTATGGCTCATTTTCGGGAGAAGGGGGCTGGAGGACGCAGTGAATTTCTGGGGTACGGATCGACTTACATGGTCTTAATGTGATCTTGATGACTTTTTGCTTTGGACATGGCCTTTTGTTCTGGAAATATTTTTGCCTTCTACTTGTCCACTTATCAGTGTCTAATTGCTCCCAAGATTGCAAACGCATTGGATTTCCTTCTTTTTCTTCTTCTTTTTCTTCTTCTTCTCCTCCTTCTTCTACCTTATTGTAATTTCCCAGGGTTGGCCTCTGGTTGAAGCAGAGAAGTAAATGTATGACCCTTCAACACTGTCATGATCACTCGGCCTCCAGGGCTTAGAGCAGTCTCAGGCTCCGGCATAAACGACCGAGATCTGCTTTCAGGTCATTGAAACGTCTGATACCTAAGCAAGTCCCATGGAATTCCTTGTTTTTTCCCGACATCATCCCTTACCGACACCTCCCGAGCCCATTGTTGGGCCATTCTCGGTCCCTGACCTCTACGCAACCAATGACACAGAACATTTCTCATTAAAGATGGAGATCCCCAATCGGCTTGACAATGACCTCAACTTTAATATAGCCATGTGGCCCCTTGGTCGTCCGGATTTCATTCCGTTGAAACTACCGCTGGACACTTGGTGTGGCCTTGGATTGTTAGTTCGTTGCTCTTGATCTCCACGGGCATTTTAGCGATATACCACCAGCATAGCCGTGCCTATGACGGTATCCCAGGTCTGTCTTTCGAATACTGACGAAATCTCGCCGATGGGATCATATATGTCCTCTACTGACTATCCGTACTCATCCGGGGTGGAGGGGAGCTTTGATCAATAAAACCCCGCCTACTTCTCTCCGTATAGCTCCATGCAGGGCCTCCACAATATCGATCTACTTCAAAGTGAACCGAGAGTCACATCGTCATGATCTGGAAGAGAGCCTTTCTTTTGAGCCTATTGTCAGTTGCAGTGGTAGACGCAAAGAAACATAAAGGAGGACACAAAAATGGAGGTGAACACCACGAATCGAGCTTAACGACTTCGCCGATAGAGACTTCATCGGTTTCTGGGCCTCCACTCCGAAGTCATTCAACTTCGGAGCCACACACGCCTTTCACCGACACGGCAACCACCACCGGCGCTTTGACTGCAACTTCAATTGGCACAGGTATCCCAAGCGCAGGCGTTGCAGCGGGTGCTACAAGTTACCCCGCCGATGGAAACCTTCACCACGCTGAGCCTGCCCCTTATGAACCAGCAGGTGGCGTTGGAACGAATGGAAGTACGCCTGTTTATAATACAAAAAGCGACTTCGACTACGAGTCTTTGGTGCGTACTCAACCGGAATTGCTAATCTCCAAAACACAAAGCTGACGAACTTATGTTTAGGCTCTCGCTTTATACCAGGAATGGATCGAATACGATCTCTTCCAAGATGGGCTTAGACTTTTCAATGAGTCGGATTTCCAAGCAGCTGGTCTGTCCTCTGCAGATCGCGAGTTAATCAAGTTCATGGCACAACAGGAACTAGGTCATGTTACCATGTTGAGCAACATCTTAGGCCCCCGTGCGCCACAACAGTGTTCTTACATCTACCCGTACACCAATGTGAGAGAGTTCATTGACTTCTGTCAAAAGGTCACTCGATTTGGGGAAGCGGGAGTTCACGGATTCCTGCCTCATCTGGACTCTCGTGAAGCAGCGACGCTCCTCACGCAGACTCTCACCGTTGAAGCCCGACAGCAGCTGGTCTTCCGTCAGTTCGAGGGCCTGTTTCCAATGGTAGAATGGTTTGAAGTTGGTATACCGCAGTCCTGGGCCTGGACACTATTGGCCCCGTTTATCAGTACTTGTCCTGAGAACCAAACTCGATTGATTTGGCAAAATTTCCCGACGCTCTTGATTGTCAACCAGCCCAACCCCTGGAATATGGGAGTTACAGCAAACTCCTCTTCGGATCAAGCTCAGACTTCCGGTTCCAGCTCTGCATCAAGCTCCAGCCAGTCAACCGGCCCCAGCCAGAGCTCAGAGCCGACTCAGACTTCGTTTAGTAGCCAGCCCACTGGACTCAACCAGACTGCAGGGTTCATATTCAACCAAACCACAGGATCAAATGACACTACAGGTCCGGGTGTTAGCATTCCGCGGATACCCAAAGGCAGCAACTCTACCGACTTGAGCTCTAACTGTGGAGTCACTGTTAGCAAAACTCGACCACTTCCACTCACTTTTCCGGGTCGTCGGGTGCTGTTGCAGTGGGATTCTCCTGGAAAGCAAGTTGGTCCCAACAACAGCTACATCACTGCAACTCAAACCAATCAGAGTGCCAAGTACGTTATCTGGGTGTCTCAGCTCAATGTGACTTATACCACCCTGCAAGTTGACAACGGTACCAATAGCATCAATGGTACCAATGGCACCAGTCGTACTGGTGACCGAGGCTATACAACCCAGCCAGACTTGGAAACATACCAGGGAGATCCTGCTATCAACGGGACTATATTCATTGCCATTACGGACAGTGATCCGGCTCTTAGTCCGTTCAATCTAAGCTTGATCAACCCGCATGTGGTTGCTGGTCCGGCATTGTACCAGGCTGGGTGAATGGTGTAGTTGGTCTGATAGATGTTAGAGACAGCCCTGAAGTCGAGTTTAGATATGTCAATCAGGTTAAGCAAATGCAGACTTTATGAATGAGCATCTACCATTATGAGAATTACACGCATTCTTTGTAGAGCCAACTGGTCAAGGTCTTGGCGGTGTTAACTCCGGGCGATCCACTTATCGCCGAATCAACTCATTTTCTCCACGTCAGTGTTTGTTCAACTGTTCGCAAAAGCCCAACCTCCCACATTGCGACCCCAACCCGGCAACATGGAGAATCCACGTAATCGCAAACAGCGACGTGCAGCTGCAGCCTCCACCCATGATGAACCCGAAGTCCCCATGGCCCACCCACCGCGCAACGATCCGACCCAAAACAAACCAACCGTCGAGAAAACATTATATGACATCATCGCAGAGCGACAACACGGGCAAAATAAGAAGGGAGGCAAGGTTCCACCAGCAGCAGAAGGATTGGGCATACCTTCTCAGTCAGGGGGAACGCGGTTTGTGACGGTCGATTCATCCGGACAATTGGTCGACACCCACGGGGACATCAACGAACATCTCTCAGAGACTCCAGAGAGCAAAACGGGCAAATCAACATCAAGACCGAAGGCAGTCGCTCAACCCGAAGCCAAATCAGAGTCGGAGACTGTGGTGGACAAGCCACTTCCCCCGTTCCTCGACACAATTCTCCTTTCTTTGCCGCTCACCACTCTCCACCTCACCCTGAGCTTCCTAGCAGCGCATCAATATGCCGAAACAACCGACCTACCAAAACTCTTCAAAGACTCCGTCACCACTGCCTTCCCTCTCCTGACATTGTTTGTTCACCTGGCGCACGGGCACATCATCTCCTTCGGCAAACCCAAGTCAGGGAATGAAAAGCCAGATCCCTCTTTGTTCCCATTGACGGCAGACAAGCTCAATGTCGCTTTCCTCCGAAAGCTGGTTTTCCCTCCTGCACTGAGGACTTTTGTTTTTCTTCCTGTTGCCGCCATGCTGGGCGCGCATTTGATCGCTATCACCAATGGTGAACCCTATTATGCGGTTATGAAGAAGGCCCCAGCCGTCGGTACCATTTGGATTTGGTGCATCCTAGAGTTGTCTTTTGGGGCAGCTCTGCTTGGAGCCATGGGACCTTTGATTTGGGGTGTTTGGTGGATGGAGTATGGCATTGTCTGAAGTCGGAAACACCTGTTGGCACCTTGAAACGATGGGGTTGTTGGGAGAAAGAACAGCTCCACACGAATACAAGACGTCCTCAAGGTCTGCTTACCACTGCCGTTTACATTCCGATATAGACAAAGAACGCAAACATATGGTTTCAGTCTGGAATATGTTAATCAAGGGTATTAACTTGGCTCACAATGGCTTAAAGACTGAAAATGCTCATTGTTCACATATCTCGATGTTTCCAAGGCTTTATACCATAATGTTATATATGAGCTCACCCAAGAACAGATATCACCCTACCTTCATCCATCTCCTCACCTCACCATGTCTACCACCACGCCGGACAAGAAGCGCTTGGTTTCAACCAAATTCCTAACCTAATCCTATCCCAATACTCTCTATAGTTAGAGTCAATCTATATTCTTCTCAAGTGTGTAGGGTCGAAAGACATATGATGTCATAGTACTAATGGCATTCTTCATCATTCAACCTCCCTTGCTGGAAAAGTTCTTTCTGTTACTTAATGCAAACAATGTCTACGGGATACAGATATACTCGTACGAGTAGCCCTTTTTTCAAGAATCTCATCTCATCCCATTAAACTCCCGTCAGGATCCGCTACATTTTACACCGCTACAACCAAGAAGCGGTATCCAACGTAGCGTCATGTGCTAATGCCATAGTGAAAGTATATCCTGGTAGCTCGTGTACTGATCGACGCCTGATCCTTGACGTCGATCAATACACATGCAACTTTTCTGTTATAGTTTAATCTTGGTGCCTTGGAACATGAAGTTCATGTCACTTCCGGAAGTGGCGCAGTGCATCTTGCATCCGGATTTGCAACGTTTTCGACGCCCAGCCTGGCCAGGTGGCTTTGCAGAAAGTTTAGACTATAACCCTTACTGTATATTCCGAATCTGGACATCTTTTGCACCAAAGATTTTGCATCTTTGGGGTAAGAAAACTGTCACAAGACCGGAATGAAATCAGACCTGGAGATTTTTCGCGAAGGGGTTGGATTTGTCTCACTGCTCAGGTGGATATGGGCTACTGCAATGCACTAATAATCAGATCTATAGTCATTTCATCTGATGACCAAACATAGGGCGGCACCTGTAGACCTGGTGTAGTGACCGACACTCCCTTTTTTCAAAAATGGAAAGCCGAAAGTGGGTGGTGTCTATTCTAAAGTTTCTAAAGATGGAGATATATCGATTCTGTGGGTCTGATGTGTTCTGATTTGTCTGTTCAGCTAGGATTCAAGACCAAGGCTAGCTCGGTAATCCTGAAGTCATACAGAGCTCAAGTCTCGAAAAGCTCTGACGATGCTCACGTATACTTAAGTAGGCTTCTCAAGTTTTGTACAGCATACTTAAGTACGGAGAAGTTGCTGGGATAACTTTGGAAATTCATAGATATGGCACGGAATCTGTTCGTCTGCTCAAGTAATACCCCGATTCCATAGCAGAAGATATATGGATGACCATGGCACTAGTTACGTACATATGATATCCAAACTTTGGAAGATATTGTAAGATACTTCGAAAACCTGAGCCTTGGAATTTTCCTTCTGAGGCCTTGATCCTTGATTTTTGAGACGCCAAGAGAACATGCAGTTTCACGAGCTGGGGTGTTCAATCTGGACACCAAGAGTATATGATTCTGTACAAGTTCCTTCAGCACGGTTTGTATAACCAAAGACTTCAGGACAGGACACTGACAACTTCAGAACATGAGTAAGTAGAGCTCAGCACCTGGGCAAGAAGACCCTCAGCTCTAGAGCCTGAGAACCTCCACCACATCATCGGAGTCTACAGGTGTACTGAGTAGGCTTTACATAGCGGCGGATTTATCCGTTCAAGTCCAGATTCACAGCAATGCCGTATCCTATTTTGGGCATTCATGTTGGCCTCGGCCTTGACGAACATACAATCTGAAACATAACCAATCCGAATGGTGGCAAATAGAATCCGGGTCAGATACTCGGCCACACCGACAATTGCGCCTTGAAGTACGGAGTAGTCCGTACTTACTCGTAGAAAAGAGCTATCTGAAGCACATGTCTCCACTTCCATGTCTCCGATCTAGACCACGTAGCACAGGTGAATAAAAGTGATGCACGAGAATGAGGTAAAATAGGCGGACTTGACCCGCGGACATTGTCCGGACTGCCGGATGCAATGGTATGCGAAGAAGCCCACCGTGGATGAAAGGAAGTATGATCCGACTGCAACTTAATCTAACGAATGACCGGAAACTCCGTCGATCATTTTAGGGTCCCCCCTTGCAGGACTCCACTGAATCCTGCCAAATTAATCCCCGCCACATACGTTGCGTGTGCTATGCTGCTTCAAGTATAAGTACATGTACCAAATGGCAGGGGATCATGGGTCCGCCTTGTGGGCCAACCGTTGCTTTTTCTATGGTATACATCACATGTAGGGGACTCCGAGGATCGAGATCGAGTTCCAGGACTAGAAAATGTGGACCCGAGATATTTCAGGTTGAATTGGGTGTTCCTGCATGAACACCTAGGTGGTAGATGTATACATGTACGGAGTAGAGGTCTGATGATACTTATACGGAACCTATACGGAGATGGGGATGTTCAAAAACGTACAGTATGTGTATTGTTCGAAATACCTACATACGTGATCCCCGCCTGTAATGCTGGTGAAAGTGGTCGTATCGTCATAACAAGAAAACAACACAAATGTTGCGGAAATAGACAAGAAGCAGAAAAACCCAAACGCCAGACCCTCGAAACAGGTATTTCCAAGTACTCCGCGTAATGAAGATTCAAACTCTGACACGCTTTTTGGACGCGACCCTCACAGGGGTACGTCTTGTGCGTCGTCTGCTATCAGAGGCACCATCCACATCATATCGCGACAAAAGAGAAGCAACCATCTCACGATAGGTGTTCATCTGGTCAAGCTTGAACCGTTGGATTTTGCCACTGGCGGTGCGAGGAATTTCTTCAACAAAGACCACACCGCCTTCGAGGGATTTGTAACTCGCCAGGTGTTGGCGGACATGGCGATACACCTGTTCCCCCGTGATGCGACCTTTTGTGGGGTCGCGGGAGCGAACCACGAAGGCGCGGGGAACCTCGCCCAGTCCGTTCTTGTTAACGCCGATCACAGCCGCATCGACGATTCCAGGGTGTTGAAGGAGAACGGCTTCAACTTCGGCGGGGGCGACTTGCCATCTGTGAAATGGAGTTAGTAAAAAAGCATCGATCTGGCGGGGGTGAAAATCCTTACCCTCGAACTTTGATCAGCTCCTTGGTGCGCCCAACAATGTAGTATTGACCTTGTTTGACCATGGCCACATCTCCCGTGCGGTACCACCCGTCAGGCTCCAGGGCGTCGGTCCGACCCTTGTATGCGCTCAATAGACCGGGGCCGCGAACATACAACTCACCGGCTCGCTGATCACCCTGTACAATGCCGTCTTGGTCCATTAAGCGCACCTCGTACCCGGCAAGTTGGGTGCCGATACTGCCTGGATCCCCGGGCTGGCCATAGCGAGTTTGGAACACCACACCTACCTCCGTCATGCCCCAGATTTGACATGCGTATGCCAATGGGTTCAGACGGTCACGGAAGGCCTGAATAGAAGTGCCATCGATGCAGGCACCGGCAACACCAACATAGCGCAGTGAAGTGAGGTATTCAGACACTGGCTGGGCCGATTGGTTGAGAGCGTGAATGATGGCAGGGACTAAATAAGTCTCGGAGATTTTGTACTTGTGGACCGTGGCGATGAACTCGTTGACCTCGAATTTCGGCAGCACGAAGAGTGGGTGTCCATACCGGACCGGGAATAAATGTGTCCACAGGGCCCCAAATAGGTGAAACATGGGTAGTGACATGAGTCGGCTAACCGGATATGGAACGTCATAATAGATTGAACGATGTTGTGAGACAATTGCATGGTGAGACAGGACAGCAGCCTTTGGCAAACCGCTTGTACCACTGGTCGTGAACATGGCTGCAGGTGTGGTTTGTGCGATGGTTTCGTTGAACCTCACCCAGTCACTTTGGCCATAACAGAGTAGATCGGCGAAATTGCTGTGATGGGCATCATGCATTCCAATGAATGATCCTGCAGCCGAGTGTCCCAATTCATACCACAGAAACAACTGGGCACAATAATCAATGGCTCGGTCATCGACGACACGCACTTGGGACGGATGGATGCATCTGGGGGCAGAGACATCGAGGACGGTAGGCAATGCTTCGTGGGTGGTGAGAATCAACTTGGGCTCGGCCAAGCTGAGTATATGATCCAGTTCTTGAGGCTGGCTGCGGGGATTGGAGCCCATGTAAACTCCACCAGCACCAATGATACTGAAGAACAGTGCAGGATAAACGATCTATTCCAATCGCAACCGGGTCAGCATATTTTCACACACATTTTTGTTTGCTTTTTGTGAACAAGATGTGACATTTCTTTTTTCTCTCTTCTTTTTGTTTCATCTCCGAATGCCTCTGCAAACCCATGTTTATGACGAAAAGGGTTGGGATGAAACTCACGCTGTTTCCTAGATGCAACAGTACACAGTCCCCCGGTTTGACGTTATGAGCCTTCAAACCAGCGATAAGCGTCTGCACCAGTTGACGGAACTGGGTCGCCGTGAATGATCGTGAGGGATCTCCGGCATCGATAAACAAAGGTTGGTTGAGGTTGTAGGGCTTTGGGCCTCCAAATGTGAAGCTCAGCAGATCGCCGGCCATGTCTGTAGGTAAAGACATGTTTGATTATGTGTGGAGAAAAATGTAGGGGAATGAAGTGATCCCCCCCTAGGGGTTATATATGATTCAAAAGCCCAAACCCTCCCATGCTTATGATTTGATTTCTCGACTGTCCTTTGATTTGGAATACATTGCTGCTTAGGTAAAGGGACGCTAGTGTCTCATGCATATCAAAAAAGGGCTCCGGACTCGCTCACATAATTTTTTGAACAAAGGTACGTTTCCTTGACTTCGGAGTCATGGAACGCATCTTTCCCATCCATCTTGCAACCGAAAGACTCCGGACGATGTCATCGAGTGCGACAGCTGAACTCGTCCACTAGTGAGATCGCAAAGTGCAGGCTCCACCTGTTCATTTTAGTGCAAGTGGAGAGTTTTCTTGATTCCAAATTCACTAGTTTTTTTTGGCCCCACTGACTCAGCCATGACCATGGCCCCGGAGCACTGTATACAGTATGTACGATGTACTCTGAATTTACTACACTCCGTACTCGTACGCTCCGTGCACTTCAGCCCCTTGGCTGAGCCACACGCTCAGACCTTTTCATCCTTGCACATCCTTGCTTCTACCAGTAAGTTCGCATATCCACGATCTGAAATCGGATCTACAGAGGCTAACTTAATATATTGCATTCCCAATGGTTCAGCACATGATTCTGTCAGGTTCTTCATAGACCCACGAGCCAAATTGTTTTTGTCAGGTATCGGTCAGACACACGGGATTCTTCAACTCGCTTGACATGATCTGCGATCTTCGGCTACCAATTGGAAGTGTCTTTTCACCCGCTTGAATGTCTATGATGGGCCCAATGTCACTTCATGCCCAAAGCCCGCAGCCGCTCATCAGTGGAGAACGATCCTCGATCCCTTCCCGAACTTGCCTGTCTAACCCCCCTCCCACACTCAGATCGACTAACGATTTGTTTCTCCACTCCACGCCAGGTTCTGCAGCACGCCCATGCGCGCAAACGCTGGGGCATGGAGTGGAGCTGCTTTAGAGCAATCAGCGTCGAATGTCATCCCATCCCAATGAGGGGTTCGAATATGCGGTCACAGCTGCACACAATGATCGACCGCGCGGTTAAAAAATTTAAGAAAAAAAAAGGTCAAAGTAAAAAAAAAAGAAAATAGTACAAGTATAGAAAAAAAAGCAAATAAATCCCAACAACCATGGCCGGCTGAATGCAGCTACCTCATGGCAGGATTGCATTGATCCACATTGGCATTGTCTCTCCAAGTATCGCGCTGAATGAGAGGGCCACAAGCCACTCGTCATCCATATCTCGGCTGGAGATCGGCCTAGGATCGAAGCCTCATCCACCCGTGTCATCATGTGCCAGTGCTTGATCTCCACGCTTGCAGCCCTGGGTCGAGACTAGCGAATAGCCCCGGTGGCCCGATAGCGAGTGGGATGCCTCGTCTCGACTGATATCAATTTGGAGACCAAGTTCATTGGCTCACATGAGCACATTTCTTGGAACCGATTCCGGTCGAACCCGTCAGAGACTCTTCATTCGCCTCTTCTGAGACCATCGATCAGAGTTTTGACAGGCTCCATATCAAGGCCCGGGAACTTGAAGGATTGTCCCCCGACGTCCATGTACGTCCATGTCCAGCCGAAAGCAAGGGCCCAGAGTGGCTTTCAGCCTGCTCATTGGCATGGTCGTTTCCACTAGCTCGAATTCTGGGTCCAAATGTGATGGGAGAAGGAAGCAATGGTGTCATAGTGCAATGGTGTGTCAATGCAACGAAGGGATAGAGATAAAAAAAAAAAGAAATGGGTAGTAGAGATCACGAAGGATTAAAGTCAATATCATATGCAATGCATGTCTCGACAGGGATCCTAGACTCCAAACCCTAAAGGGAATAGGGAAAAAGACAGAAAGAAGAAAAAGGATCGAAAGAATACTTGCTCAAAAAGGAAATCGGGGTAAGAAACGACTGCGAACGGTGAAGCCCGAAAGGGAAATAGTAAGAAGTGAAGATGTGAGCTGGGCCCTTTCGATATGAGAGCTGAGCTCAGGTGCCCCAAGTTGGATAATTCGCCGTTTGGTTGGGTTGAGAAACTAGAACTGCTTTCTTGACTTTCCCTCACTTCTTTTTCTTCTTAAAATCAGCACACGCATTCATCTTTGGGCTCTGTCATAGATCATACCTCTTTCAAAATCTAAACACAACGCCTGGGCAACCATGTCGGAATCAACTCAACGCGTCCCAATGGCCCCGAAAGTTGTTGTTGACCCTGGCTCGCCTACCTCCAGCGCAGATACCCTGAGCGATGGCGAAATTGCCATTGAGAAGTGCGGCTCCAAAATGATGGAAACACTCGACCTGGACAATCACACCGAGAAATCAACTGCCAACGTTGACTTGGAGGCCCAGTCCCCCCAACCTCGACGTGAGCCAAAGATACTCGCCGGCGTTCGATATGCCATACTCACCCTGTACCGCCGTCTCTTCACGCTTGTCTTTCTAGCCAACGCGGGAGTCTTTATCGCGGTTATGTTGAACCTCAACTCACAAATGTTGTTGACCTTGGTCAATGCCACATCTGCCAACCTGTTAGTGTGCGGTCTGGCCCGTCAGCCTCTCGTGGTCAACGCCATCTTCAAGCTCGTGCTATCCATGCCGAGGTCAGCACCACTTCCCCTCCGCCGCGTTGCCGCCAAAGTGTACCACTACGGTGGTGTCCACAGTGGATGTGGAGTCGCCGCCCTCGTCTGGTACATTGGGTTTGTGGGCGTATTGTCCCGCATTTACTGGGACCCATTCCCCGATAGTGTGTTCACTATCTCAACAGCACCGGTCGTCCTCTCGTACGTCATCCTCGTACTGCTGCTGGCGATCATTTTGGTAGCGCACCCTGCAGTGCGCATGAAGCGACATGATTATTTTGAACTCACCCACCGTTTCTCGGGGTGGCTTGTGGTAGCCCTGTTCTTCGTGCTCTTGATGGTTGTTTCACACGACGCCAGCCAGTCCATGCAGCAACCACTGGGCAAGTTCCTCATCTCGCTTCCAGCCTTCTGGGCCCTGCTCATCACCATCGTGGCCATTATCCAACCCTGGCTATTGCTGCGGAAGGTCGCGGTGCGGGCCGACCCCCTCTCCGGCCACGCCACGCGTCTGCACTTCGACCACGCCATCACCACTTTCGGCAAGGGCATCCAAGTCGCCAAGCACCCACTGCGCGACTGGCACAGTTTTGCCACCTTCCCAGACCCGGTCCCCGCCGGCCCCGCCGGCCCCAACGGTTCCCCAAGCTTCTCCTGCCTGGTCTCCAAAGCCGGCGATTGGACCACCGCAACCATCCAGAACCCGCCCACACACCTGTGGAAGCGAGGTGTGCTGATCTACGGCTTTGCCTATGCCATGCGCGTCTTTCGCAGGGTGATTGTCGTCACTACCGGATCAGGCATTGGGCCATGCTTGTCCTTCCTCGGCGATGACAACCGGCCTGGCCTCCGTGTGCTCTGGCAAACCCGTGCCCCGCACAAGACCTACGGTGAGGGTGTCATGAAATTGGTTCGGATGATGGACCCCAACCCCATTGTGCTAGACACGGATCAATGTGGCCGCATTGATATGGTTCCCCTCATCCTGCAGCAGGTGAAGGAATTCGATGCGGAAGCGGTGTGCGTGATCAGTAACCCCGTGCTGACGGGGCGAATTGTGTATGAGCTTGAAGCGCGAGGGACCCCGGCTTTTGGCCCGATTTTTGATTCATGATTACATGAAGTACCTTTACTGTTCTTACGTTAGTTCCAATGTTGGCTCTTCTAGGCAGGCCCTAAATGTTAGCAAAATACTACCTTGAAATGCATGATAATGTGATCTGCAATATCCATGGATATCTGAATATCAAATACTCCGTATTCCTGTACGTAGTCCTGATAGAGGGGGAATTCCAGTCTTATACGAGTAAAGAGATCTCCCCTGAATTTTGCATACGCATTGACCAGCAGATGACAAAACTTCAAACTCTATATAATTCCAAATACTCTACAGTAAGTACGAGTACAGAGTATGTATACGTTTGAATAGAATATAAGCATACATTGCAGAAATCCCTACTTGGAGAGTAATAAACCGTTAGTATTAATTTTCTTCTATTGTTCCATTCTATTTTCACGTACACAGCCCAGTTTGCAAGGAAATCCTGCATAGATCCGCGGCATCTCTTTCCTAATCGAGCAAAAGCCTCCGCGGAGCAGCCCCGAAGTATAGACAGAGTAGACCACATAAAAAGGCCATAAACAAATCTTAACCTATATCACTGTGTCACTTTTATTTCAAAGAAGAAAAAAACTCTCAAATCTATCTACCAGGATCAGGACCTGAATTCACCGTGCAGACACAATGTCCGAACAACGCAAAGTAAGCACAGTCCAGACCAGCACCTCTTACCCTTGTCCATGTTCCTGCACAGAGCAAACAATAAGCCGAATTACCAAGTACATGGGGAGCAAAAAAGCAAAGAGAAAATAAAAAAGCAAACACTTCACAATTACTGAAACTAATGCATCTTTTAGGCAATTGTTATTGGCGGCGGCCCGGCCGGGTTTGCAACGGCGCTGCGCCTACACAAGCACAATAATATCACATGTGTGATCTACGAGTTGCGCGACCAGCCTAGCACCCTCGGTGGTGCAGTGGGTATCATGCCTAATGGGCTACGGTTATTTCACCGATTGGGTGTTTATGATGAGCTCTGTGCGAGAGGATACGGTGGCGGAATGCTAACGCTTCATTCTGCTGCTGGGGGTGTGGTTGGGGCGGAGGATTTGGTCGGGTGGGCGAGAAGTGAGACCGGGTTCGGGTATTTGAGGATTAAGCGAGTTGATCTGGTGGATGTGTTGCTTGAGGCTGTTCGGAGGGAGGGGATAGAGGTGAGGTTTGGAGTGAAGGTTACGGGGGTTGAGGATGGGGTTGTCCATACTGACAGTGGGGATGAGAGGGCTGATTTGGTGCTGGGGTGTGATGGGATTCATTCGTTTGTGAGGAAGACGGTGGTTGATCCTGGTTTTGTGAGTGAGTACTCTGGCATTGCTGGGTCTTTTTCGATTGTTCCTGCTTCGAGATTGCCGGCACAGTCGGTGAACTTGATGCATGGGTTGCATGCTATGACGACCGAGGAGGGGATGTTCATGGTTAACCCCTGTACGGCCAACAAAGACGAAGTGATGTGGGGGTTTTCGCGTGAAGTGGAATTGCCTGGGTCTGGAAGAGATGGGTGGGAGGAGACTCGCAAGGCTGAGGTGGAGGGATTCAGAGACTATCTGCTGGGAGTGCTGCAGACTGCGACTGGTGAATGGGGCTCAGTCGTCAGAGACCTTGTTCAAAACACTTCTGTCATCAAGTTTTATCCTGTCTACCGTCTCCCGCTTGGGGGGCGTTGGTACAAGGATCGATGTCTTTTGCTGGGCGATGCCGCGCATGCTATGTCGCCGCACGCCGGACAGGGTGTGTCCATGGCCCTTGAAGATACATTCTTGCTTTCGCGGCTTCTCGAGGATCCAACGCGACCCCTGCCGGAAGTCTTCGCAAAGTTCGACGAGATTCGTCGCCCAAGGGTGAATGAGATCTACCTGCAGGCAGCCAAGAATGCTAGCGCAAGGAAAAAGACTGGACCATGGGGGCTGTGGATGAGGGAGACTGCGCTCGGCATGTACATGAGAGTGAGTTGTGCTTTGGGACTGGACAAATGGGGACTTGGACAGAAGCATTTGGTCTATGATATTGATGAGGCACGGTTTTGAGATGCTTGGATATTATTTGCTTTGTACATAAACCGAGATCTTCCAGAGCGTTTCTTATTCCTGCTCTTCGAGATTATGAAATGATATCACGCTAAATTGCTTGAACTAAAGAATATCTTCAAACGGGCCTCCGTATGTGCATAAGAGGAATGGGTTAGAATAAGACACTGATAAGCGTCTTCAGCTTACGGAGTGAAAGCGGCTTCACGAGATAGTCGTTAACGCCTGCGGTTCTTGCAGCTTGTCGCATAGTATCCGACGCGACACCGGTTACAGCCATGATACAGGAAGGCGTTTGGGCGTTGTCCTTTTCATGCTGGCGTATTTTGCTTGTGGAAACAAGGCCGTCCATCACTGGCATTGACAGATCTAGAAACATTAAGCGCCCTATCAGTCAGTCGTTCATGTGCGGGGGATATGAAATAACAAAAAGAAGCTCAACTCACCCATCAAGATCAAGTCGAATCTTCGACGTGAAGACTCAACCTTTTCCAATGCAATTAATCCGTTGGAAGCCGTGTCGTAACTGTAACCAAGTTTGCGCATGAATGTCGCAAGAATCTGACCACAATTGCAAGTTAGAGTCTGAAGGGGCCATTCATCAAAGCAAAGGGGGGATAGGAACTTGAGAAGCGGCTGTTGGCGCGCTTGGACGTTTCAAACTCTTACTTACCTGAACATTGATGTCATTGTCATCCACAATAAGAACATGCATTTGATCTTTTGCTTCAGACTCCACGTTCCCAGGGGGATTTGGACAAACCACCTCAATTGGTGTTTCCGGAACCAATTCCACTGGTGTTTCTGGGATGACGATAGGTTCTACCTGCGATGGAAGCTCCTCAGGTCCAACAGGTGGGACATCCAAGTCAGTAGCACCAAAATATTCATCTTCGGGCTGCGATGCCAGCAGATCCTTGGCCTTTGCGGCAGCTTGGTATATCCTCTTGGGTCCGAATCTGCGCCAGGTTAGTTCACACGTTCTTATGCATAATATGATTCATAACGTACGGTTGCTGTACGAAGACAACATTGGAGGGTAGGGAACTATCGTCCAAAGCCGAGCTGGTGCTGCCCAAAACTATAAAGACCTTGAACCGACTGCCGAGAGTGCTCGGGACTTTGGTGCCGCCCCATGTATCTTTGAACCTTGCCTCTTCGATAATTGCAATATCACCCAGTCCTTTTTCGATGGACTCGGCAAGAGAGATGCGGCATGACATCTGACTCATGAGAACACCAGCAAAGGCATTCTGAATAGCAAGCTTGCGTTTCGCATCAGGACTCATGATACCGGTAGGTGTTTCCGCTAAGTCGGGATAAGAATTGAAGCCAATGAGTCCTGCTGTCAACTCATTTGAGGCCGTCTCGATGGCATCTTCGGCCAGATCTGCAGTGGTGGGAACAGAATTCTCACACCGCGGCGAAGGGATGTATACATCAACTTGAGTGCCCACGCCAACTTCACTTCGCATGTTAATATGGCCACCAAGGAAAGCAACGAGCTTATGTACGATGCTAAGTCCAAGCCCGACGCCTTCGGAAAGAGCATCTTCCTGGGAAAATGGGGTGAACGCCGAGTTCTTAAGAAACTCTGGTGCAATTCCTCGGCCGGTGTCGGTGACTCGTAGATGTGTGAGTGCGGAGTCTGTGGTCTGGTCAATCACCTCGGACAATGATAACTCGATCAGGCCATCTTGTGTCCATTTCAATGAGTTCCCAAGGAGATTCATGACGATTCGTCTCCAAGCGCCGGCTACCGATCGAATCTTCCCTGAGCGGGACTGCTCGATATTGATAACAACTGATAGCTCGGAGGTTCTGTCCTGAGAGGGTTGTGCCGACACCGGAGGAGACTCTTTCTTCGAAAGTGAGGTATGTTCAAATGGGCTTCGGCCTGTGTGAAGTATCATCGCGACGTCCTCGACCAAATGATCAAGATTGAATTCAGAAACCAGACTCATTGTGCCGCTTTTGTTCTTTTTCTTGTCGAGGTCGTGCGCCGTCCCTAAGTTGTTGATTTTGCAATAATCCAACCTGGATCCTGATTAGCAGAATATCTTTAAAGAATATGGAATTACTTACAAATGATCTATGGTTTCCAACAGTGTGATGCCAGAGGTAGAGATCATTTTGACGATGTCATGTTGCGCCGACTGAAGAGAGAAATCGTTCAACAGCTCTGCACTTGCAAGTATTCCATGGAGCGGTGATCGAAGTTCATGACTGATCGATGTGACAAAGTCAAATTTGGAATTTTCGCTTGCAGTCCAATGTAGACGCGAAACCTCGGATATTATCGAGTCTCCAAATGCTTTGAAATAGTGGAGTTCTTCTGTGCCCAGAGGACGGTGGCAGCCATTAATCCAAACCAATGTACCCGCAAGCCAACGTGATTTACTCCAATCCCAGAGCGGATAGAAGAGAACAAATCTGGAATCTGGAAGTTGTTGAGACACACGATCAGTGATGGATTGAATGGGCTCAGAAGCGGAGGCAGAGGGTGTGGTGTCATCTTCCGCGATGGAAGATTCATCGCTGCTCTCAAGATCGAAGACATGACCTTCCGGAAAATGGGTGATTAGAGAATGGAGCAGATCTTCGGTCACCATTATCCGGCAGTTAAGAGCTGTTGAACCATTGGCTGTCCAACAATTTGGGGGTTGACCCAGAAAGCCACAGTACTTCCCAGCATCTTTTGGTAGCGAAGCTCGCGGTGTGAGAGGGAATCCCGGATCAACAAACTGAGGCACAGCTTCCCAACCTTCGTTTTGTCCCGATTGTTCACTAAATACATTAAAAATCGTCCGCCATGATTGGGACATCACTTACAATTGGGGATCATTTCGGTGAGCATCGAGAAAGACCACACCGTCAAGATCCAATGATTCTTTGAGAAGTATGCTAGCGCGGGAGAATATAGCAGCGATACGCTCAGTGATAGGTACGTCTTCCGTTACAGTCAACTCGGAAGGTCCATCCAGGGAAGACACCGGATCCGTTCGATCCGAAGAAGTTCGAGAGAGAGACGAGGGGAGTGTCGATTTCGATCTCGAGCGGCCTGTTCCAGAGAAAACAGATGCTTCGCGTGCATTGAGACTTGGCGAAGATCTTTGGTCAAGGGGCGAATACACCCCGCGATCTTTGGCAGATAGTGAAGCAATGCTTTCCCCCACATCACCCAAATTGACAGATGGCTCGAGGCTGTCCGAGTTGATATTCTTCGTGGATGTTTCCAATTGATTTTGGGTCGAATGCCCCGTGGGATCGAATTTCGAGCCACTTTTGACAAAGTTCGTTAAGCCTTTCACCAGATTCTCGGAGCGGCGGTGGTACTGAACGACCCGGGAATTTTCAAGATGATTCGTGATAGCATCGGCAATCTCCCTTAACGCGGAAACCTCTTCGTCGCCAAACCCCGACCGTGGTTTGTCATCCACCACGCAATACGAACCAAGTACGTACCCCGAAGGACTGTACAGCGGTACCTCGGCGTAAAATCGAAAGTATGGCCATCCAAGCACATAAGAACGGTCTTTGTAAAAGTCCTCCTTGGTGAAGTCCCGGATGATGTTCCTCGTCCGGTTGGCCGTTACATTCTCCGTATCCTGGATATGGGATTCATCCTGACCGGTGAAAAGACGAATAGCATGTGGACACACCCCCCATTCCAAATCAAGGGTCCTCACGCCCAGAAAGATTCCATCATCGGGTCGATGGTTTTCGGCATCGCGGAGAGAGATCGAAGCCGTCGCCTCGGAAATGACATGCTGGTTCCCACCATCGATGATGGACACGAACGAACGATTACATCCAAAGCGGTAGACACCCAGCTGGGTGAGTGCAGTGAGGGTAGTATCGGATGAAAGACGCACGGCATCTATTGAATCTTCGGGCAAACCGTGTTGATCGAAGGTGCAGTAGTACCTATCGGGATATGTCAGTGACGATCGAGATTGAGGCGGGGACAGATCGAACCTTGATAATTCCCGAACTCTCTCTTGCTCCTCTGGCTGACCCATCGTTGGTGGGCCAGCTTGATTGCAGGTTTCTATCACATAGGTATTCCCCCTCTTTACCAATGTGATATCAAACGTTGAAGGGGGAGTAATAACAATAAAAAAAAAAGGTAAAAAAGTTCAACGGCCATAAACCGGTTTTTTGGGGAAAACCGATGACACTCTATTTTGCTAGTCTTTAGTGCCTCGGTAAGAGGGTCTAGACCGGGGACTATCGTTTATCCGTGGGGAAGTGTCAAGTGTCAGTGTCAGATATTAATTTAGTCTGGTACTCTCACTGGTTCTATAGTACATATTATGGTCTACTGTAAGGTATATGATCTACAGGTACTCAAGTGAAACAATGAGATGATTTGGATTATCAGAGCCGAGAGAATTCTTTACTCAAGCAAAACTAATAACAGACAAATGAACATGAGCTCCATTACTCAAGAAAGAATAAATGGGAAGAAGAGAAAGTAAGATCCACGTCAATGTGAATGGGTATCATGCAAACTGGGCTGGGAACCCGTCCCGAAAATGCGCTGCAACCCGCTATCGGGATTGATTTGTCCTCCGTCGTTGGTATCATTAGGCCCTTCGTTGAGATGGGACCGAAAAGGTAAAACAGAGATGAAAAACGTAGGAGAGAGAACCATTATCGTGTTGTGTAATTTTGGAGGGAGGAATTTTTTTTTCTGGCCGTGAGTCGTAAAGTCATAATGAGGAACCGGTAATCAGAAAATAAACTGATCACACATGTTGAAGTGTAGGGAGTTTAATGACGGAGTTTAGTGACGGGAGGAATCCACAGAGGGGGCCCGAGAGGGAGTGCGCGAAGGAAGAGGAGAGGGAGCGGGTGATTCTCCGGTAACGAGGTCATCGGAAGTGAATCGCAGGTTGCGAGCAGAACCGTGAGTGGATCGGTTGGAGGAGTGGGTGGAACTGCTGTCCAGTCGCAGAGAATCCATGCGTTCCAGATCTTCGTAGTCTGGAAGTGGGAGTGGGGAGCCGTGGTAGTCCTCGAAATAGCTCTGGGCATCGTCGGGCTTAGTGTATCCAGGCGGGCTGGCAGGGACATCTTCATAAACAGGAGGCATCTCCTCGTCCCAGCTAATGCCAAGACCACCGCGCTCGGTGACGTGGAGGTGGAACTGCATGCGCAGAACACGAGCGGCACCGGTAGGTGTGATCAGACGAGTGTTGCGGTTGGGGCAGAATTCCTCGGCCACGATGAGCTCGATGACCAGATTGTGCTTGACCTCCAGGCCAGCAGGGGCCTCCATGTCGCAGACAGCGTTGGCGGCGGGGTTGATGTTGGCTTCGAAGTTCATGCTAATTTCACCGCCAGCAGTGTCAAAGTCGGTCTTCCAGCCAGTCTTCTCCTCGTTGTGGCCGATGATGCGAGTTTCCTGGTGCAGAACACCTTTGCCCTCACCACCGATCTTGTGGGCGTGCTTCTGACAGGCGCTTGAGACGATCTTTTGGTGTTCCTCAATGCGCCACATCATCTTACGTAGACGCCAGCGGGTTTGGGTCTCTTCGCCCTTGTCGACAACACCGCTCAGTGTCATGTCCACGGGGAACTTGCCGATGGGGTGAACGACGGAAGGCAGAACGATACGGCCAGTGAGATTGGTGGGAGGGAAGATGCGAATAGAGGACTTGTCGTTGCCCGGGTGTAGAGAGCGGCGAACGTTCAGAGGCAACTTGAGAGAATATTCTTCGCCGGTGATGCTCTGAGCATGCGCCACTAGGAAGTATTCAATTTGGCCGAGGGCGCCATTGCAAGACGCAGGGAGGTGACCGGGGAACAGGTAGCTGAAGGGGAATTCATGTTCTCCGCTCTTCATGTGCAGGTCCTCAGTGAGGAAGTTCCATTGGGTCAACTCCTCGGTGCGAGTGGCGCAATTAGCGCAGTGCGCGGAGACGGGCTTTTTGGTGGTGGACTTGGAGATAAGGCGGACGTCAAACTGGTTCAAAGTCACACCCCCAATCAGATCTGAGACCAGAACACGCAAGCGGCCCGAGAAGAGAGCACCGGTTGAACTGGCAGGAGGGCCATAGCAGACGAGTGGGGGGGATTCAACCTTGACCTCCAGCTTGGCAGCGGGAGGGATATCGTGAGCCGAACGCTCCTTGGATCGTCCTGCACGGCCAAGGCTGCGGCGCTTGTCTTTGCTGTGGTCTCGATGCGGGTGAATCAGGTGATCCATCGAGAATGATAGGCGACGCTCGGGAGATCGTGCGCGATCAGTGTGGTTGTGCGCCGGCTTCTTTGCACCGGGAATCTCGTTCACAGAGACGGTAGAGGAGGAGTTGGAGTGATTGGGAGTAGAGGAGACGGAGGAGTGCAGGGAACTTGCATTCCGAAGCAAGTTGGGGATCAATCGGCCTGGCATAGTGGCGGTTGTTCAATTGGCGACAACGATGAGTAGTGCTGTTGTAATGTTGTGATGTTTTAGTGTGTTGGCGTTGTAGAGTGGAAGTCAAGAATAGTAGATAGACAGATCAGGAAGTAGGGAAGCAAAGTGCCACATCGTATAGAAACAAATTCAATGGTAGAAAATGAAGGGCATGCCACTGCTTTTGAATGGACTTATCATGTGGAAAAACCCAATCGAAAATAGAATTTTTATTTTCGAATTTTTAAATCAAAATTTCTGTTCTGGAAACCAAGTTCCCTACAAATCCAGGTACCGGTGCAGTCAATGAGAAGTGCAGAAAATGAAAAAAATGAAAAAAAAAATCTAGTTGGTGGGGCAGAGCATAGCGTCATGGCCGGGCCTGACCATACCATTACCGTTTGTACTCCGTATATTACACCGCATTCGGGACCTCCTTTCGCCTGGACTACTCGTACGCGCATGCTCTTACACTCTTACACTCTTATTATTCTTATTCTCTGACGCAAGTCAAGCTGTAACACGCAACGCTATAAGCCTCATATCGGCTCAGACCACTTCACTCCTTCATCATCTCGGGTCCCCGGGTCTGGTGCCGAGACAGTGCTCCCTCAGGCCAATCCATGTACGAAGTACGAGTAGAAGCATCTCGCCCGTTGCTTTGTGATCGTCTGATGCCATTTGGGCTTACCCCACATCAGCCGGGCCACAATTTGGGATATTCCAAAGAGAACCATTGATGTTGGCAAGCTAGACCTCATCCAGCGCGAGACCCAAGCACATGATGCCATATTAGCTCCAGGGCGTGCCAAATGGAAAACCCAAAAAGACCGTGCGTATGACTCACGGTCTTTGTGCCGGATCGGCTAAATCGGTCGGAGAGGCTTGCGATGGCCTTCGGGCTCTGTTCACCAGCTAGGAGATGGCTTAGCATGTGGTTCGGCCTTGGGCGGGGGAGCAGGGGCACTTTGCCGCGGGGTATGCGCATCGCTCATCGCTCATCACTCATCTACACGGCCGATAGCGGGATCTGCCGCTTGGGGGCCATGCTCAGCGGGCAAGGTCCTGGGCTGATGGAGATTCCTTCCTGAGATGGTCGCGATCCTACCGATGCTACCCCGGCTTTGACATACGTTATACTAGACTATCTTCAGAAGAAACACGGAGACGTACCCGATCAGGTGTCTTTGACTCATGCGATTTTATCTGCAGGCAATGCCTTGGAAGTGGGATGGGGAATATATTTTGCCATTCTATCCGGTGTGTCTTTCAGTTTCGGGTGTTAAACATCCAATAATACAGTGTACTCTGTGTGAAGTACTCGTAATATCTGATGAAGCAGAGGTTCCATAGAAAAGAAAGTGCTCCTCGCTCTCACGTGGTACAACGGAGGATGATGAAAGGAACGTAACCACCGTGACGACGGTAACGGGCAATACCGTAATCCGTACCTAAGACTGATCTGCGACTAGCGCCATTCCCTAACGCCATTCCGCATGAGGACAACGAAACGCGATGGAAAGACCCTTTCGCGGAGCTCCACTAGGAAAATTTTTCTTTGGTCGCATTCAACTTCAGGAGTACACCGCCTATGCTTTCCACTTAGCACTTAGTCGGACCTTATGATCTTGTAGTCACGGCGCTCGCCTATACCTCTCTGTCTATACAAGGTGTGCGCCTCTACCCCGCACTGCAGGCCTTGCAGTTTGTGGGGCAGAACGCAATGTATGGTCTACATGTAGGACAGCTACAGACTTACGAGTACATTGTACAGACCTTCGACTCAACATCTCAAAACAATAACATATGATCAAGTTCTAGCCTTTCCGCTGTCAAGAAAATGCTCCGTGCTTTGATGTGCCCCGTTGACGAATCAGCTGAGTGATCGCCCCCATACAGTTACCCAAATTACCTAAGAGCAACAATGAGCATCCTTGTAGCGCCTATGGACAGCAACCTTGTGCGCAGGGGCCCAGGTACGCGTTCGAGCTGCAGCTTCGACACGTTGATGAAGAATTGGCTCGTGCGTGTGCTCTGAGTACCTTGTTTCCAACTTGCTTCCCAGGGTTCCCAGAAGCTGCGGTGAGCCCTGGAGGAATCACGCCATGGGCGTGTGTTGTACCTGTAACGGGTATGGAGACGCGGTGATGCCATCCGGGTGCGCATTTGCACTCCCGCACGTCAGCTCGGAGATTTTGGTGTCCTTGGCTGGTAGATCGATTTAGTCGTACGTTGTATAATTGTACCTCATCCGACTAGTATGTGATAGTATATGATATCGAACGTATATATTGCCCTGATCAGGGTAGTAAGGTGTGTCTACAGGTCCTGCTATACAAATCAAGTATGTCCACGCTTTCATACCTGTTTGTCTCCCCCGAATGACCACAATGGGGGGATACTCCGTACACCGTATCGAATGCAATATAGCTTCGGTGATCACGATCGTAAATCAGTGGCCCTGGTGCACCGGGAGGTCGTCGGATGGACTAGCCAATGGTTGAGGAGAGGGATGCCGTCTCAGGCGAACTTCCTGTTTCGGGGCGATCTCGGTTTACCCCTCCGATCTGTTTCACCCGGATGTGATCCGCCTTTTTTCTTTTTCTTTTTCTTTTCTCCTTTGAGAATTTTGCCCTTCTTTCTGCTTGATGCCTTATTTTTCGTTGTCTATGGGGAAATATTCTCCGCAAATTATGCCATTATAAAAAGAACACGCCATCTCGTCATTCCATCTCTCATACTTAAGCACTTATATTATACCACCCTCACAGTCGCAATTTCCGCCATTTTAGTCAAATCCCCTTCTCAGCCCAACTCTCAAACTATTATAAATCCCCTCCAAATTGCGCCATTTACGGCCAAAACAACACTAATAGAATCCGCGGAGAACGGCCGGGTCTCCGCTTAAGCGGGCAGAAAATTTCTGTCGGAACCTTATACTCGGCCCGTCACAACGTGATGTCCTAGCCCGGCCCGTTCAGCCTTTCTGGAAAAGGCTCGACGTATTTTCCAAGGCCTCCACTTCATCTCGTCGGAGTCCGCCTGTTTGCTTGGCACTCTTACCCGGTCCGTTGCCGGTTAGCCCTCGAAACAATGCACCTTCTCCGTGTACGCATGCTGGTACGCTGTATGGCATACAAAATGCCCTGAAACTAGCAGCTCGTCGTAAATCAAGGAATGAAGGCGATCCTTCGGTCTAGGCCGTGTCACTAATTGTCGCAATCGACACCGGTAAAGACAGCCACAGTCGAATTCATGGGAAACATTCATGTCTCGACAAACTTTCACCCAAGACTTTCGACGTTGGACTCAAATTCTTATCAGATCTTGGCTCTGAGGACGGTGGGCCCTCCCACTTTGCGTCCGCTGCATCTTGCAGCATACAATGCCCCATTAGGCGAACAACTATAGTACTCGTATATCAAATAATTAGCAGTCTTTGTGACGAGCAGGCTAGTCCCGATCGGGAAACAGGGGTTGGTTCTACTTGTAGTTCTCAGCGGATTCGGGAGCTGTGAACTCTTACTACCGCGGGGGCCTCGGAGTGCAATCAAGCTGATGAGGTCACCGCGGGGTATTTGCTATGCGTGCGGGATCGACCAGGCTGCTCATGCAGTTTGACGGAGGGGCGATTTCCGCTCTCGCGTATATATAGAGGATGCTTTGGCGGGGGATCTAGTTCTTCATACTACTTCTTCTCGTGATTAGGACTCAATATCTATTGACTTTGCCTGCTGTATCTCAGTCCTGACGGTATGATCTGCACTTTGGCTTGGTGAAGTGTAAACGGGGTTCCCTGGTCGAGATCATGGGGCTCAACTACAAGTAGATCGCCGTGATAGCTACGGAGCCCCATGATCTCTACCAGAGAACCCCGTTTACACTTCACCAAGCCTCACAGATGCAATTGAGACGACCGGAAAGACCTTCCTAAATTAAACGTCAACACAATTCCATCCCTGAAGGAACTTTATCCCCATACTTCTTTACTCAATATCGACGTCCTCCGTACTCCATAGTAGAGTGACAGGCATTGATATGACACGTGACTACCCCGGGCGATCGTCACGGAACCACGAAAAGCTTCCCCCTATTGCGCATTGAAAGCTCAACCGTGTTCTTACGTGCACGTACGAGCCTGACCACATGGGCGGGAGCTAAGACTCTGTTATTGCAATCAGATAGAATTGCTTGACCTCAAATTGAGCCTGCATCGAGCAGTCGGATGCTTTACACTCTTCCCGCCATGCCATGATCTTGAAGCCGATCTACCTTAATCCAACCCACCAATTCCTACGGGGTAAATCACAACCAACCCGCAATTGAATTGCCCGCGCACAATTGATCCCGCCTCCATCTCAACACACCCACTCAACACCGACTCGCACTCCCCAAACCACAACCCACCATGACAGCCAGCTTCAACTGGACGGCTTTCGCGGTCGCCATAGCCGCCGTCTTCCTATTCTGGACCCTCAGCTCCACCTCCTCATCCCCCTTCACGCGCTCCTTCCCTCGTCTCGCAAACAAGCGCATCTGCCTCCTAATCGCCCACCCAGATGATGAAGCTATGTTCTTCGCTCCGACAGTGTTAGCCCTCACAAACCCCGAACTAGGAAATCACCTCAAGATCCTCTGTCTGAGTACCGGGGACGCAGATGGGCTAGGCGAAGTGCGCAAGAAAGAATTACAAAAGTCCGCCCTGCGTCTTGGTCTACGTAGCGAGTCAGACGTTTTTATTGTGGATGATCTCTCCCGCTTCCCCGACGGAATGGACAAAAATTGGGCCGAGGAGGATGTCGCGGGTCTTCTGGCTTCTGCGTTCGCGCCACCAAAGGGCAAAAATGAGGCCCCGGCCGCGACTATCGATGTCATTCTCACTTTTGACAAGCACGGGATTAGTAACCATCCCAACCACCGGTCGTTGTATTTCGGTGCTCTGCACTTCTTGCGCACGCTGATGAAAGGGAAGGCCGGCTTCCAATGTCCTGTCACGCTGTATTCGCTGACGACGACTTCTATTTTCCGGAAATATGCTGGTGTTCTTGATGCGCCGTTGTCTATGTTCTTGGGCGTGTGTAGCAATGTTGCTTCTGCGCTGAGTGGATCAAAAAAGAAGGATGCTGCTGCTTCTGGGGAAGGACCGGCGCGCTTGTTGTTCGTGAGTTCGATTAATGAGTGGATCACCGCACAGTCTGCTATGGTGAGCTGCCATCAGAGTCAGATGGTTTGGTTCCGATGGGGCTGGATCACTATCGGCAGGTATATGACTGTCAATGACCTCAAGCGGGAGAAGATCTGATCTCAATATCTCTTCTACAGGAGGGGGAATTGGGTCAAGATCTTGGATCAAATGATTTAACGGCCTTTCCTTGCTATCTTACGTTTGACGTCTGCGTTTGATTTGGGCATGGTTGCCTCTTGTATATCTAGTATCGCACTGTCTTCACGGCACAAGGACTCCAGGGATCTGGGGCTACATTTCGTGCTTAATAATGGACATACATCTTCTCAAAATGAAAGGCAGAATATTTCAGACCGGTAATACATCGCTGTGGAATTTTCAAATGGATATCAATGGCATAACAGCGTCACATAAGCCCGCTGGAGGAATTGTCTCATCGACATGCCAAGCCTTTGGGCGCTCATACGTTCCAAGGATTGCCATTCCTCCAGTAAATGGAGCGGCGAGGATCCACATCCAACTCAAGTGCATGAATTCGACCATAGAACCCGCCACCAGGATTATTCTTGTCCGAAAGTCGGTGCTCCTCGGGATATTCAACTCGAGTCGATAACTTGTTGAGCTTCTCTTTCAACTCTGTGGTGTGTTCGAGCTGGAAAGTATATAGGCGGTTGAGGGGCGAGATGGAAGGATCAAGCTTTGGATAGTCAAGAAGTAAGAATTCCCAGAATATCCTATCGTCGAGGACCTTTTCTTCAATGGGCTGGAACAGCTCGGCTTGGTCTGGTAGGCGCCGCGCATGGATCCGGCCATGCTGGCTCATATACCGGCTGTGGGAGTTTGTTCGGCCTCGGAACTCGACTGTTCCACTCTCGTGCTCTCTGTAGGATCGAGTACTCTCGTAGATGTTGTGCTCCGGGAGAAAGTCTTTCCATTCTTCTTGTAACTTGGGCCGTTCTTGCTGTTCCCAGACCTTGTCCGGTGTGTCTTTCCAGAATTTCCTTTTGACAACCGCGTAAGCAATACGTTGCATCAGGTATATTTGCTGGAACACCTCCAGTCGAAGCAGGTCATATGTATGAATGGCTTCGGCTAGAAGTGGGCACTGGAACAAGGTTTCGTCTGGCTCAAAGCAATTATCCCGCTGGTATTTCACTCGGCGGCTCGGCGTAAGTTTGTTTTCACTTGGCGGTGCCTTCATACTTTCAAGCACTGGCTGCAAACAGCGCATGACTGTATCTCGTGCTTGTTTTCTTCTTGTCCTCGTCTCACTGAGGATATCATATGCCTTGCGCATGTCCTCTTTGCATTGCTCCAAAGCACCATCCATGATGTGAGTCTGGGTTGTAAAACGATACATTTGGAGAGTTGGAGAGACGCTATGAGGCTCCTCCGTCATCGTCTTGAACATCCCGTGAACCGTTTCCCGGGAGACTTTACCGGTTCGTCCATCTTGTGCCTGTCTGCGTTTGTGCTCTTTTGAGAGAGTGTATGCTCGCTCAAATAGCTCAGTCCACACCTGGTCTGTGATAGGGATTTTGTATGACGAAGCTATAAAGTCGACAGTCTTCATGGCAGCTTGGAAATTATTACCGGTTCCAAAGGCATGGGCGACGGCAAAGAGAAGACGGTCCGTTGGGTACAGTCCAGACCAGGTATCGTATGGTGTGACAGGTGGCAGTGAAGAGTGATCGCTAGCGGCAACAATTGCATCCACGTCCACATTCCACACGGTGACGAGAATATTCTTCGTCGCTGTCATATCCCCAACACGTGCTGACGCAAGGAGAACGTTGATGTATGTCTGTTCGTCCCCACTGAGACCATTCTGGCTCATCTCACTAAACACATCCAGCACAACTCGTCTGACACTGTTTGCCGCGGTTCCAAAGCCACGCCACCCAGGACTCGGGTTCGTCATGCGCCGTTTCTTGTAACTGTAGGGGAGAACTCGAAGATTGTATGATTCCTTTCCCACATAGCAGTGGTCCCAGACTTTTGCCCCAGTGTAATGATTGAAGCAAATGACATCCGGGGCGATAATGTTTGTGTTCATTTCTTCCCACAACTCGTCTGCCAAGGGCCCGTTACCCATTGCGCGAGCACAGTCCAGGAGGTGGGTGTATTCCGCTAGTTGGGGTGGATACCCGGCCGCAACTCTATATTGCATGATCGTGAGTAAGGCCCTCGTGAACTCGTCAAAGATCTCCTCGAGCGGCTGGAGTCCTTGCATCAAAACACCCCATCCATGAATAGTGTGATGCAAATCACGATAGGGCTCCACGAAATGTGATGGAGCGAGCAGATGTAGAATCTCGATGAAGGTGGTTGGGGCCAGAGCTCCTACCAGCCCCACCGAGCGTGGGTCAACCATGGCTTCCATCACTTGGTTCGGTTGTCCGTTTTCGATGGTTCGGAAAAAGCCCCGTTGGTATTCTTCCTGTTCTTCTAGAGAGCTCCATTCGGGTAATGGGATGCGGTATTCTTGCTCCCTCGACGCAGGACGTGGCACGGCTAGATCACTGTTCCAGCGCTTACTGGAACACAATTGGCGAGCATCGCGTTTGTTAATGTTGCGACGCCGGGGAGAAGGAGCAATTGTCGATATGGGGATTTGTGAGCAAGGTGTGACGGACGATGGTCGACTTGAATGCCTGATCGGATTGCGGTGGAGTTGTTTTGGGTTGCTGCCACCATTGGTCCCAGGCCGAGACGAGGTATTCCAGTGAGAAGCGAGCCTCCCCCCGGTGAAAATGGTCCTCCGCATTGGACTGAACAATGTGAAAACAACGCAGAATCACAAATCTAACAGCGCCGAAGAGAACAGCATCAGGGGCCCGAATGAGGGGAAGGTGCGCTTCGACCCCGGATCTTGGGGGACGTGGTACTTTGTGCATATTGTGCTTCAGACTAAGTGCGACACCTGCAGAACGTTTGAGGGATTACTTTTGCATTTACGAACACTATGAGATTTTCAGGGGTCCCTGAATCTGACTGTGGATAATTACCCTGTATCATACCGAATCTATGTTCCATCAAATATAGAGTATAGAACATAGAATATACCCACATGCCTCGTGTCATAAGACTAGATCCCGCCTGTGGGTACGGGAGAAACCTGGGGAAAATGCTGACTCACAAGACTCTTGGCAAAGTCTCACGCTAAACCACATCGGGTAGCCACCAAAGCTCGTTGATTCTGCGTGTGTGTGGACCTGCACTTAACCCAATTCAACCTCCCCATCCCGTCATGGCCGACATTGAAGATTCCGGTCCCTCCGGCTCGGAGCCCCTCGACCTCGTCCGCCTTTCTCTCGATGAGACTGTTTTCGTCAAGCTGCGCGGTGACCGTGAACTCAAGGGCCGTCTTCATGTGAGCTACTATACCTGGGATCATTTGAAACCCACGATTGACCATGATTTGCGCGCAGGCCTACGACAGCCATTGCAACCTAGTTCTCGGCGATGTCGAAGAGACGATCTACGTGGTGGAAGAAGATGAGAACGAGCAGGAGATTGTGAGGGTAGGGGATTCTTGCGACTCGGGCTTCTCACACATGGCGCGCTAACCTCGTTGGCCTGAACAGACAATCAAGAAGCAGGAGGAAATGCTTTTTGTGCGAGGTAAGTGGGACAAACAGCTGTCTATCATGCCACACAGTCACTCATAACCTTCGCTAGGTGATTCCGTCGTCTTGATCTCCCCTCAGGCATGAAGTGCCCCACGCCCCGATGCATAGAATCGGCGCCCGGCGACTGCGACATGGGCCAGGAGGACATGCGATACCACAAAAGGCAGTCAACATAGATAACGATACCACGGAATGCGGTTTATGATCAAAGTGGGATATCCGATGGGATTTCATCGCTGTGATGTAGGCGATGCAACTGAGTCATCACGTTCCTTGTGATTCCATACTCTTCTTGCTAGACTTACTCGTATGATGTCCACTATATGCGAGCTCTAGGCGCGGGAATCTTCCAGGTTAGGTTGCGGCTCATAGGCGATGACTCAACCTGTGACTCGATCTGACTGGGTCATTATCGATAAAGCTCCCCCGATTTCCCTTAGAACCTCGCTAGGCTTTACTGATATTTTTTTTCTCTCTTTTGAACCCTTCCAAATATATCCATCCTTCTAAACCAGAGGGAATAACTATGATCACTCGAATACATCTTCGAACCCAATAGCGACGATCCGATCCACCAACCAATAACGTCACCACCCAAAAAGGCGGCCCAGCGCCGACCGACACGTTTAGCCTTATCAAACCCCACGCCATGCCGACAGCGAAACAGAGCATAGAGGAGCGGAGGCGAGGGGAAGTTGTATGTGACTCAACTTGTATCTGACAATTCCCTCTCTTATCTGAGTTTCTCAACAGGCACTCAGCGAGTTCGCGGAGTATGCCGAGAAGCAGCAGGCCCACCGCTCCGGCCGAGTAGCCCCCAGCGACAGCGGCTATTCCACCGCCAGTGTATCCCACGACGTCGAAGACCACGCAGAGCTCGACATCCTCGACCAACTCGGGCTGTCCGATAACCCTCGGGCCGCCAAGCTGAAGGAGCTCTTGCTCGGCACTGGTGATGCAATTGAGGACAGCTTACAGATGCTTGCCAGCACATTACAAACACGAATAGATGAAGGTCATGGAGAAACTCTCTTCGATCTCGGGTTGGAGGATGGTGGTGAGTCCATGGGGTTCGACCTTGCTCAATGGAACACTGCGCTGCAGCGTCTGCGCGAGGCCGCCGAGACCATCCCTGCCCATTGCCGAGTATTGTTGACCTACAACGTCGGTGGCCCGGAGGAGTCTCCTGTAAATGCTGGACGAGTGTCAGGGGCATGGGGTAAAGTACTCGTGCGCCACCATGCCCACAACATCGAGGACATGGCGGAGCTTCGGATCGCGGTGGTAGGGAATGTGGATGCCGGAAAGAGTACCATGCTGGGAGTTTTGGTGAAAGGTGGTCTTGACGATGGCCGCGGCAAGGCGCGAGTGAACCTCTTCCGTCACAAGCATGAAATTGAGAGCGGACGAACCAGCTCTGTGGGCCTGGAGATCATGGGCTTCGACAGCCGAGGCGAGATTGTCGGCAGCACCAAGGGTCGCAAACTATCCTGGGAGGACATCGGCAAACGATCCGCTAAAGTCATCTCTTTCTCTGACCTCGCGGGCCACGAGCGATATCTCCGCACCACCGTGTTCGGTATGCTTAGCAGCAGTCCCAATTACTGCTTGCTGATGGTTGCCGCCAACAACGGGCTGATCGGAATGAGCAAAGAGCACCTAGGCATTGCTTTGGCCCTCAATGTGCCTGTCATGGTGATTGTCACGAAAATTGACATTTGTCCACCTCACATCTTGCAGGAGACCTTATCCCAGCTATCCAAAATCCTCAAGTCGCCTGGCGCACATAAGATCCCTATCTTCGTCAAGAATATGGAGGAGACTATCAACACAGCCACGCAGTTTGTGAGTCAGCGGATATGTCCTATATTCCAAGTCTCCAACGTCACAGGCGAGAACCTTGACCTAGTTCGAACTTTCCTCAATATCCTACCCCATCGCGGCCAGTACGATGAGGAGGGTCCCTTTGAATTCCTGATCAACGACACATTCTCTGTACCTCATGTGGGCACGGTGGTCTCGGGTGTGGTCAAATCCGGTGTCATTCATGCCGGTGACTCGGTCGTGGTAGGACCTGACTCTCTTGGCCAATTCACTACAACTGTGATCAAGTCTATCGAGCGCAAGCGTATCCAGGTGAATGCTTGTTTCGCTGGCCAGTCCGGATCTTTCGCACTGAAGCGAGTTCGTCGCAAGGAGGTTCGCAAAGGAATGGTCGTCCTCAAGAAGATGGAGGAGGCCCCCAAGGTTTTCCGCGAGTTCGTCGCAGAGGGTGGGACATATCATTCATGTATGATCGAGCTCATGCTAACAGGAATTTAGTTCTGATTCTTTCGCACGCAACCACTATCAAGCCTAAATACCAGGCTATGCTCCACGTCGGGGCCGTCAGTCAGACATGCTCAGTGATTGACATAGACCGTCCATTCATCCGCACAGGAGATCGAGCGCTCGTTGCATTCAGGTTCATCCAGCGCCCTGAGTTCTTGGCGCCTGGAGACCGAGTACTCTTCCGGGAGGGCAAAACTAAAGGACTCGGTATCGTTAAGCGCATCGGATACGATTCGTCCAAACCCTTGTACTCCGGTGACCAGGAAGGAGCTACAACTCCTACCTCCACGAAACATCATGATTAAGCTCTCTAACACACATTTTCAGACATCTGTCCCAGCGAAGCCGCTTTATTTACATTCTTTGCTTTGTTTCTGATATTCGGGGTCCAGGCATTGTCTTCATTTTTCATACCCGAGAGTTTTCCTAGTTCATTATTCCTCTTATCAAGACCAATCGAATTATTTCTGTCCCAGCTCCGCCAAATTGTAAGTGCCATCGCTGTCTACAATTCGTGCTCTTTATGTGGTGTGAGGTCACCTGATTGTCGTGACGTCACCGTATGACGATGGGCTTCGACGATCACTTCGTGCAACTCAATTGATTAATTGATTCTCATTTGCAAGCTATCAGTGGGCATCTCGGGACGCACTATATGCGCAAGCCACAGCCCAACTCTGACGTATTTTCCCACTTAGGCCCTTAAAGCTTGACATTGCCCGTCCCTTAGGGCTTTCCTTTCTTACATCTACATTCAAAAATACATCTCTCTGTTCTTATACCTTCTCCATAAACACATACCCTACATTTCTCAATATATTCTAAAGCACAAGAAACATGGAGACAGTCAACAAATACGTCACTGCCGCTTCGACCGCCATCTGGGGCCAGAATGGTGATCCCAATGCCACACAGATCACCCAACAGCATGGCGAAGAGCCACTCTCCGGTGTTCAGGGCAAGGGGGACACTACAGATCCTTACGATGCTGGAAACCGTGAGGGTAAGTGCATCATATCCAATCAAAAGAAATATATCTAACTGCAATAGAACAACCCGACGCCCCCAAAACAGATGGAAACACCGCACCCCAAGAGCCCAACCTGGGCGGCAAGACACAAACATTCGAAGAAGCCGCTGTCACATCAGACCCCGTTGCTACCAAGACTACAACCGAACCTGCAACCTCAACCTTCGACCCCGAAGATACCAGCTCCACTGCCGCGGTCAGCAACTCCGCACAGCCAATCTCCAGCGGATCAACCGAGTCCAACAAGGACAAAGAAACCGACACCGAACAGCGGGACTCTTCACAGAGCGCTGGTGAAAGCAGTGCTCCCCCACGTCCCGCCCACCCCGAGGCAAGCATAGAGGCTCTCGAAGGTCCCCAGGGTCCCCCACCAAAGCCGGCTGAGGAATTTGAGAGGGAGGCCAAGGGAAAGGCGCCCGTCAAAGATGATACACAGAAGAGCGAGAAGAGTGAGTTTGAATTTCGATTGCTTATATCCGCTTGATACTGACGTCGGCAGGCCTGAGCGATTCTAAGGACAGTGCCCCCAAGGACAACGCTTCCAAGACCAATGACTCGCCTACCAGTAGTAACAATTCTTCTCACTCCCAGGAGAGTGGAAAGAGTAGCAAGTTGGCTAAGGTCAAGGAGAGCGTGAAGAAGCATCTTCACCATTCAAGCAAATAGATGTTCTACTCGATTGCAATTGGGCTTTGGGTGAAGACTTCAACTTGGTTCAATCAATTTAGGTGTTGAGGATTGGGGGATTCAATAATGTCTACATCATGTCTTGTTTATCCAGCTTTCATTTCACTTTCATCTGTATTAATATCCAATGGCACCATGTTCCATGTTCTCCCATAAGTTCTTATACACGCATGTTTTCTCCACAAAAGGAAAGGTTGAAGTTTGTTGATTTTATACTTAAGTATAGAACGGAATACTCTCCATAATTTCATTGATGGCATTGGGCGTCAGGTATGAAAGCGCTATGCGTGCCCGTAAATACATTTTAAAATACATTTTAGCATGGCTCCAAACTACTCGAACAACATCTTCAACTCTGCGAGTTTCTCCTTTCCCTTATCCTCATCGCCATCATCACCACCGATCTTCAACCCCAACGAGCCAGCAATGTTCATCTTGCGCTCTTGCACGCGCAGCATGCGACCCTCGATGGAGTCCTTGACCACGAAACGTGTGACATTGACATCGCGCGTTTGCCCCATTCGGTGAACGCGGTCAATGGCCTGTGCTTCAATGGCGAAACTCCACCACGGGTCCATGACGAAGACGTTGCTTGCAGCTACCAGGTTAAGACCTACTCCACCAGCGCGAAGCGAGATGAGCAGAACTGTTGGAGCAGCTGAAGGTTCCGGGTCACCTTGAACAGTTCCTTTAACGGGGGCTTCGTTATCCTCATCGACGATATCATCTGCATAGGTCTCTGATTTTGTAAACTCCGCCAAGACTGCGGCACGTGCCTTTTGAGGCATTGAGCCATCGAGGCGGAGGTAGTTGATTCCAACTCGGGCGAGTTGAGGACCTATGAGATCAAGAAAGGAGGTAAACTGAGAGAAGACCACAGATTTGGTGTTTGGAGGAATGCGACCCAGGTGGGAAATCAAGGCATGAATTTTGGCAGAGGTATGCGCGGAAGGGGAGAGGGGGTATATACGACGAAGAGAGATTTTGGGAGCGGGCTGTGAGCCGGTCGGTGGAGTGCTGGTCATGGTGCTTTCGCTGAGGGGTAGTGTGTGGGAGGAGGGATGTCGGACAACTTCGAATGTGTTCTTTGCTTCAACAGGTGCACGGCAGTTGAAACATCGTGCCTCGGTGCCCTTGTTCATTTGGTGTTGTAAGAAATCTTCGAGACATTTCTTGCATGCACTATGCCAGCATGCTGTGACAGCGGGATCAACCATGGGCTCCTCACAGCAAATAGGGCACTCGCCACTGGATTCAGTTTGAATTTGGCGAAGGGCATGAGCTGTGAATTTGACCGTCGTTCCCGGCCGATCCTGAGAGTCGGCGTTCTCGTTTTCTGTCGTAAATTGACTGATCAACTCCTGAAGATCCATATCGTCTTTGAATTCGTTGGATGCATCCGCTGTTGCTGCGGCATTCTCTTCATCTGCAACGACGGCTTTGTTGCGTGTCATGACCGGATGACAGCAGGTCTGACGAAGCCGAAGGATCTGCGCGAAAATGGTGCTATAGGACTGTAGAAGAGTGCCGGCCTCCATGTTGTCATTGTAAGTTCGCTTAGCCCGTGTGAAGATGCAGTCGTAGATCTCTCGCTCTGGTTTCGGTAGCTCTACCTCCTCGATTATGACTGTCTTCTTAGGTAGAGGAACCAAGGGTTCGCCTTCTGGTGTCTTCATCGATTTGGTTCGCCGAAGCACTAAAGGTTCGAGTACGCTTTGAACGACATTCAAAGCCCGCACATATTCTTTAGACTCAAATGGTACAGTAATGAAGGTCTTCCAGAAGGAGAAATTGCTCCAGGGCTCAACTCTTAGGAAACGGACCAGACTGAACAGGTCTTCAAGACGATTGACAATGGGCGTCCCGGTGAGAGCCCATCGGTGCGCCGCCTTCAGCTCACAGCACGCCTTAGCTGACTTTGAACGACGGTTCTTGATTACGTGGGCTTCATCTAGAATGATCCGAAAGAACTCCACGGAGAAGAGACCCCCGTTGGCGCTGGGTCCGAAAGAAGACTGGAGTATGTGCTGGCGGAATTCCGATAACACAACACCATAACTGGTGACGATCACCTGAGGAGCTGTTGCATACTTGGACTCACAGCATTGGACTCTCAGGTTTACAGCCTTATCTGACCCGTAGTACACCAATACTCTCAATGTACCGGCCTTGAGAGCTTCGCTTTCCCATTGTGAGATCAAGGATGTGGGTGCGACAACCAGTGTGGTGTAAGGTGCAAAAACCACTCCAGCAGAGTTTGGCATCCTAGCAAGATCGTTGACCGAGGTAAGACCATTGGATACTTGGGGGTCAGGCTCGATCGCATGTGAATGAACCAAGCTGAGCATCTCGATGGTTTTACCAAGACCCATCTCATCGGCCAGGATGCCACCTTGGCAGCGTTGTTCCTGGGCAGGAAAGTCAATGCTCAGATCTCCGGAATACGGGTTGACATAGAAGTGGTCGATGTTCTTGATCCGAGGCAAATCCCTTTCATCGACATCCTTTGTGGGCCAGGTATACTCTTCCCACAAGGGATGCATTGACTTTTCTCGCTCGTCTTTGGCGTCTTTTTCTTTGGACAACATCCAATGAAGGGCTTGCTGTTGATATTTCCTAAGGTCGAGCTTGAAGCTAGGCGCAGGATCAGCTCCAGGCATGTTGAAATCGAACGACTGGGCCTTCTGATACAGCGTGTCGAGCTGATCCTCTTCTAGCTCTTCCGTGTCATTCTCATCAGATGAGTCGTCTGGATCTTTGGACGATTTCGGTCTATCCTTTTCCTTTTTCACACCGTCATACTGCTCCGCAATTTCAGCGGCCCGCAGTATTCCATCTCGCTTGTGCTTCTCTGTAGTTGGGTTCGTAGATGTGGGATGTAGGTTGATCTCCTGGAACAATTTTACAAGAGAGACTTGACGAAGTCGGAGGTTTTTCTCCTCCGTGTTTTCTTTTTCTTCAAACATTCCAGTAGATCTGTTGTCATCCTGGTTCAAAGCGGCAAATGCACCATGCTGGAATGCCTCCTTTCGCAAGAATACTCGAAGTTGTAGGTATATAGTGTCGTTCACGCGCACCACGTCAGGCACATATACACAGACTCCTTCGAAACAACAAATCTTCTGGTCTATCAAGGTAGAGACCCATTCGGCAGTCTCGTGGGGCAGCCGTCCAACCTCCTGGCCCGATGTGTTTGTGAACCGAGTCAAGACATCGCTTTTGTGATTGACGAATGATTTGCCCCCTCGGCCACGCTTCATGGTTGGCTGTGAGCGTGCACGTTCGATCTTCACGGGATCTCCATGTTTGAGAACCGCAAGGCCACTCCTGGTCGCCCATCCCCCCACGCCAAACGCGCCAACGTATCTCGTATCTGGGTGGTTTCGGAGGACGGATTGATTTTCTATCGGGCTTTGCGGCTCAGGGTTCGTCCGCTGGGGGTTTAGTCGGCCATTGCTCAGAGCTCCACTATTGGTTCGTGCGGGCTTCTTCCACGAACCATCGAAGTATACATTGACAGCTTGTTCAATATTGTTTGAGGCTGCCGACTGTATTGCTTTAATCGACTCCACGGGGAGCTGCTCCCCCACAATGCTGGTGAAGAGGTCAACGTCAAATCCTTCGATGGTTGTGTTCGACGTGTCCGTAGTCCCTTCGGGTTGCGCTGGTTCGGCCGCATGTGGAAGGCAGGAGTCGGGTTCCGAGATCGAAGGTTGTGTTTTTGATGTCTCCGCCAGACATTGTCCCGATTCTTGCTCGGGGGCTTCTAAACCGGGTGAGCTTTCCGGAATGCGATCAACGGACCGAATCTCAAGCACGTCCTCATGGCGCTGTTCCGTCGGTGGACAGGATGAAAACGCGTCGGTATCTCGAGCCTTATTCAAAGGCAAATTATTATCTGTGAAGAAGCGCGGTCTCTTTAATGGTCTTTCCTCGTCGCTCATGTTGTCATTGAAGCAGAGAAAAGTACACGGGGAAGACGCGCCGAGAAACGCGAAGTCAGGTGGATCGGCAGTGGCAATTGAGATGCGATGCAGTACTCCAAACTCTTGTTTCGCTTTCTTGTGTCTTTAGAATGATAATTAGCATAATTTGTATATCATTCTCAATTAATTCCTGATCCTTTTTCCAATATAAACTCCCTTTAAGCGTACTGTAGCTGTGCAAACGAATGCGCTGACAAATATCAATATCTGCTGTGAGCCAATGCGATTCGCCTGATTACGTCGAATCTTTTTTCCCCGGAGTCGCAACTTCACCTTCACATCAATGTCGTTCCTCCAAGCAGCTCGGCCAGGGGCAAAAGCCTGTCGATTCTCCGCGGGATTTCAGAGACGAACTTTCAGCCGGTCCAAGTCTCTCGCTTCACCCATTACCGCGGAAGAAATACAAGGCGCTCATAAATATTGCGTGGCTCTTCTCTCGTACGCCACTGCCTCTACAGCCTTGAGAGCTCCAAGAAGCTTTGCATTGGTCAAACAATTACAATCGCTAACCAAGCTTTTCATTTGCGAACAGAAAATATGACCGACCGTCCTACACATTAAGCACCTTCATCCCGCGGCATGCTCAGTCCTTCTACATTGCGCTGCGCGCATTGAACGTTTCCCTCTCCATGATCCCTGACACCACCTCTTCTCCTACCATTGGCCTGATGCGCCTCCAATTTTGGCGTGATTCAGTAGCAAAAATCTTGGCCGGCACACCGCCAAAAGAACCCGTTGCTATCTTGCTTTCGTCTGCTATCTCCGAGCTCCATGAGCGCACCCAGGGTCGCGCACGTATTAGCAAAGGCTGGCTCACTCGGTTAATCAACTCAAGGGAACAGACTTTGACAAATGACCCGTACCCAAACATTGCAGCGCTAGAGTCCTACGCCGAGAACACTTACTCTACCCTGATGTACCTCACTTTATCCGCGTTGCCGATGGCATCCGTTACTGCTGACCATGTTGCGTCGCATATTGGAAAAGCAGTGGGAATTGCGGCTGTCTTACGCGGACTGCCGTTCGTCGCCTTCCCTGCTCCGTCCGCTCAGGCGCCTGCTGGGGCAAATTCTCCAATGGGCGGCGGCGCGAAGCAGGGTGCTGTTATGTTGCCTTTGGACGTCATGGCGCAGACAGGCGTCAGGGAGGAAGATGTCCTCCGACACGGAGCTGATGCTGAGGGGCTTCGTGACGCAGTGTTCACTGTGGCCACTCGAGCCAGTGATCACCTCATTACTGTGCAGCAGATGCTGAGCAATCTCCGTGCCGGCGAGGATGTCGGTCATGACTTCGAGCATGAGGGCGAGGAGGGACATGAATATGATGTTGTGAAGGGCAATGAATCGCCCCTCGAGGAGGTTAACCGGGCGTTTGGCGTTTTTATGCCTGCCATTGGCACCCGCCTATGGCTAGATCGCCTCCAGAAGCAGGACTTCGATGTATTCAGCCCTGCATTGCTTCGGTCTGATTGGAGACTTCCGTGGAAAGCGTACTCCGCGTATACAAGGAAATCTCTTGATTGAGTGCATACACGCAAGATTTGCGCGATGTATAATATGGCTTGGATCTAGGCCGATTGAGTTCTCTGTACATTAGGATCATTATAAAATAGATACCACGATATAAATGACTGATTGAAATTTCCTCGCTCTCCAGGCTGCATACAACAAACTTTCGCTATCTCGTTGGAATCCACACTGGAGGCCGCTTGGCAGACTACACGGTGCGAAAGTGGATTGATACTTGCGGAGATATCGGCCACCGAAAGGCCGTATACAAAGCAGCTTCTTCTGTCTTTGCATGATGCTTCAGGGGTCTAGTTGTGTCTCGGAGTTCCAGTTTACCGGACGATACAGGGCGTTAATCAATCACACTAAGAGCTTCCAAATGACGCGGTATTACGCCGTAGTGCTAGGTGACCCAGCGAGCTCTGTTCAAGCTGATACTTAAGTATCATTGAAAAATTGAATTGTTTCCATTGTTGAATTAGGATACCAGTGCCCTCGTTCATAACCTAGGCTGTTTCTGGATCGAACAAATATTCCCCTTTGGTCCTCACATAGAGACAGAATTCACACCGTGTCATTTGGGTGCAATATTTGTGATTATGTTCCCTAGAAATTCGGGTTGCTGTCGGCCAAGTTGAATGCCTCAGGGTCAAAATCATCCAGATATCCATCGGCCCAGTTGCTTGAACCCCAAATGTCTGTATTATCTGCCCGCGGGACTGAGATGTATCCATAGGAGAGGTCCACGGTAGACCCAACGGGAGCTTCATCAATAAACCAGTGGGTGTTCGGACCTGGCAAAGCAGCACCCTCCTTTGGGGCCACAACCAAACCTGACAAATGAGAATCCGGTCCTTCGTACCGCAGCCAGAGTTCATCAACGGGGGGAATAAAGTTCTAATTGAAGAGTCAGTTGGTCATTCCAGATTTCCAAAGCTAGTTCCAGCCACGCAACTCACCGAGATGACCCCCAAGATAGCATCTACGTGATGTTCCTCGATTCCATCCTTGGGCAGACGCTTCTTGAAATACATCTCCTTGACCCATTCTTCAGGATGAGCGAGGGGAATCACGTATAACCGTTTCGTGTAAATACAGACGGAGAGCTGAGTCAAGCGGGGGAACTTGAGTCCGTGAAAGGGACCATTGGGTCCGAAGCTGTCCATGTAAGGATAGTCCTGCACATGAGCCCACCAGATGAAATCGGCGTAGTATTGACGACGATGGGGCGGAATGGTTGACATGATGGGAGCGAGCTGGTGGGCGGGGTGACCCCAAAGCTCCCGGATGGCTTCATTGTACCAGGTTTTGTTGACGAGGGCGAACTTGAGCAAGTTGCTGGACTCGGACCTGGTTTTGAAATGAGTGAGCGAGTTCTTGGATCTCTGAGCGAAGATGTTGCTCAGAATCTCGGGCAGAGCGAGAGCACGTTGAACCGGGGTCACACGCAGGGTTTGCAGTGCTGGGGTAGTTGAGGTATTCATGATGAGAGAGGATCTATGAATTGAAACTGGCGATGGGATTCCCAGAAATAAGTTCACGGGATGAAAGAGTGTAGGGAGCACGAGTAGGACAGAAGGATGAGAGAGACAATTAAAGCAAAAAGTAAACAAACGAAAGATATCAATTCTCAGATGTCAGGCTACAAGGCTTCTCTTTCGGTTATAGAGTAGTCATTTCAAGTAGTTCAGGGTCCTCTTGGTCTCATTGGTATCTTCGAGAATTGATCATAGTCAATGGAGTCTACAGGAAGTTCTAGACATATTAATACCCCATTACCAACCTCGCTCTCGCCATGAGCCCTGGAGATTCCCAGACCATTTCTGCAGACATGACGGCGGCTCAGCGAAGCCCCCAATATTCCTGAAATATTGGAAATGATTGTCTCGCCATTGCTAGTCAGGGTCTTCTGAGGCACCTGGCTGGCATCATCACGCTCAGAATGAATGCTTTCTCATGCTTTTCCACACGTTGCCCCATACAATCTATATGAGGTCATCTCTGACCCCCACGCCAATACACCAGCTCTACTCGAGTCATTCTCATTGAACGATCCTGTAGCTTCGGAGGGTGACTATATCAGCTCCCATATGACAGGTTATGCTGACGGAGAGCGAGTCGGGGTTCTCGCCTCCATGCCCAACACCAACGTGGTGAGGTACCGCGCACAGCAGCCTGCTATGCAGGATATGCAGTAAGTTATTCCTATTCCTTTCAATACTGACCACACTTGCGCTCTCGACCAGCTTCTCAACCCCTTTACTCACTCCTATACTTCATGCTTACCCTTTTTCATAAGACTCCCAACTGTGCGGGTGATCGAATTAGTCTACCCTCCTGGTAGCCTCCTCCAGATGGTTCAGTCCATCCAGGTGATTTGGTCCCTCCAGGAGCATTTTCCTGGAATCCGTACCACTCTGAGCAACGTCGAGTTTCGCATACTCAGATAGTACATCAAGAAGCCATGAATGCTCCCAGTCTGTCTTTTACTGGGGACTCTGAAGCCTTTCTGAAAAGGTTAGTTCTTGACGATTTCGAGGACCCCGAGTAATCTGCCGATGACAAAAGAACGCCTCGGCAGAGAAAGGGCTTCGCATGATAAGGACAATGCCACATATCTCTGTGATTTGATCGCATGCATGTGGTTATTCTGCTGATTCGCTCTTTTTCCAAGAAGACCTAGATGGAAATGAACTCTCCCCCCTTTCCCCATTTCGTTTCCGTTTCATCTTCATCTTCAATTATCTTGATGAACGAATTTGTCTCTTGCGATGTTGCTTCTGGTAGACTTGCGACCTGGCAATGCTCGCATCGCACCAATGAACTCATCACTACGCGGTCATTTAGCTGGAAACTGTGCACCAGTCCGACTGTACAAGTGTATCGGCGCTTCTGGCTCAGTCACCTACACCGAGCCACTTTTCAAGCCAAAAGAGGGTAGGTTCGGTATAGCAACACAGCGAGAGGCCGAATACCAGACCCGGAAATACAATTTCCCGAGCCGAGCCCTAAACCGGAAGCACCGAATCTTCACGCAACAGCACGCCAAGTACGGAGTACTACATCGTAACCTGGATTGTTTATGGCTCGGATCTGATGACCCCAATATTTTGCTGGATCGGCTTCCAAGCCGACAGTGGTCATGTGGGTGTCCTTCTTCTAAGAGATTCGGGGACCGAGACACTTGAGCCGAGCCCTGGAGACGCACTCGGGTTATCCGAATCAGCCGTTTGATTGCAGAATCAGCAAACGACGATCTTTCTCCGTACAATTTCTGTTGTGGGGCTTTTCCCCAAGCTTGTTCCCGCTATGACTTCTGGCCGTAGTGGCGTGTAGCATTGCCGCGTAATAACAACTTGTGGGGAGGACGATGCCTTGGAATTGGATCGTTCCCCACTGGGGCGGTGAAGTGGGAGAATTAATAGAGTGATCATCGCCAGCATTTGGGAAATAATTGAACCGCTCACTCTCATCTGATACCCCGGGCTGCGCCTGTCATGCATTTATCCGCCCTTTTGCTGCCCCTTGCAGCTTCGCTTGCTGCGGCGGTACCATCTGCTCGCGCTTCAAGTACTTCGCGCCTGCCTACTGTGTCTCTCGATTACAGTAAAATCCAAGCAGTCGCAGGCAATGAGACACTCGGATACTACAAGTATCAAAATATTCGCTTTGCTGCAGTGCCTACTGGTGATCTTCGCTTCGCCAAGCCAGAGTGGCCATCTGTTGAATCCATCGTCAATAATGGAACAACTTATGCCAGTCAAGACGTGGATTGCGGATCTTCCGAGGATTGTCTTTACATGGACGTCTGGGCTCCTGCCAATGCAAAGGGCAAAAAACTTCCCGTTATAGTCTGGACATATGGAGGTGGATTTACTAGCGGTTCCAAATCTAAGAGCACCCCCGAGGGTCTATTCGATCTTTCCAAGGATTTTATCTTTGTGGCTTTCAACTACCGTCTTGGAATAACTGGCCTCGCCAATTCGGTGACTGCTGTTCACCAAGGTGCTACCGATAACGTTGCCCTGTACGATGTCGAACACGCCTACAAATGGGTTAAGAAGTACATCAGCAACTTTGGTGGTAACCCTGATGATATCACGGCTGTCGGATTTTCCGCTGGAGCAAGCATGCACCTCTTCATGATGACTCGCTTCGGAGGTCATAATGAGCAGCTATTCAACAAGGCCTACCTTACCTCACCAGGGTTCGTACCCGGTGCTGGCCACCACCAAGGGGAAACCTTCTGGCAGAACGTGTCTACAGCCGCTGGTTGTAGTGGTGGTGACCTCTTATGCATGCGCAAGGTCCCCTTCTCGAACCTTAGCGACATTGCCAGTGATGTTCGTCAAGATTATGGATACCAATTCCAGCCTCGTGTCGATGGTGACTTTATTGCCGACACTTATGAGTCCCAGCTCTACCAGGGACGTTTCAATTTCACCGGTCCTTTGGTCATTACCCACGAGCAGCATGAAAATAACGGTTCCCCAACCTCTGGAGTTAACACCACCGCTGATGTGAGAAGCGAGCTGCGCACCTTCTTCCCAGCTATCACAAACGATGTCATTGATGAGATCTTGGAATTGTATCCAGAGTCCGACTACTCCAGTCCTGGATATCGCTTTGCAGATATCAGACAGTCGTTCGATTTAACTGCCCATGACTACGCTCTTACCCGGGCTTTGAACAATAATACTTGGAATGCCATGGTGGCTCTTAACCAAGCTTCCCATGGAACTGATCAGAGTTATTACTGTGAGTACCTCGAACGTGTCGTACAGTTTCTTCTACTTGCAGACCGGTATTAACCCCATCTTCCATAGGGTACAACACCTACTCCCTTCTCCCCAGCACCAGCTCCAAATCCGCACCTGCTGCGGGCTCCGGGGTCACCATTGCGGGTAGTATCTCGCCAAACCCTGTAATTGCTGTAAGTCCTTGCTCCGATGGTTTCGATATGCTGGCTGACAAGACTTGACAACAGCGCAAGATGCAAAAGTATCTTCTCTCATTTGTCTTGACTGCCAACCCCAACACGAAGTGGACTAGTGACAAAATTCACTGGCCCAAGTACGGTACCAACGCTACTGAACTTGTTTTCAACTCGACCATGTATACCATGGAGGATGATCTCGCCAACGCGAAAAGCCTGTACTGGAATAAAGCTCTCTGGTATTAGACCCCCGAGGTCGCAGACCCTGTACATATAGTGAAATTTATAGAGGCAACTCTTGAAATCCAGTTTGATTTTCTCCAGGTCGACCTTTGGCTCTAATGAGGAGCTCTAGAGAGCAACGTAATTCTTCAACTGACTCCTCACAATATCTTTTTCAAACTTTTCTTTGGCTCATGAAATTCAGAGAGAAGTTGGACCTTACTAGTTCGAGACTAGCTTCATAGTTTGTCTTGGGTTTCAGCCCCAAAATCAATATTTGCTTTACCTATCCTCAACATGGCCTACAGCATGAAAAGAGCACAAGGCGTTGATATCAAACTATCAGTCGCCGCTTCAAAGCTTCGAATGCCAGGTTTCAACCTGCCACTCAGTCATGAACCGGGAGTGGGTCTCACCTTTTCTGCCTGAGACTTTCGCTGATAAAATTAGCCATATCCCCTTTATCCTACCGAGTTCTCTCTCAGTGTTTTGGATGAAGCTCAAGTAAAAGGAGGCTACTTCAAGTAATGGATATAAAAATCAGAAAAAAAGTACAGAATTTTGACTGATTGAGGTTATATCTTTCAGTGATCTCGTTACCCATCGGGAGGTTTTGATGATGCGTGTGATGAACGCCATCACAGACAAGTTTGAGTGGAATCGAAAGGTAGCATTTGTTCTAATGCTACTTCGCTCTGAACTGACATTGATCAGGTCTTTGACGAATCCATCACTTCCAAATGGCGTGAGGAAACTGCAGCCAGCGGACAGGATGTATCACCAAGAATGATGAACTGGATCATCAAGGAGTTGCAATGGAAGGCTGGCAGCTTTCACAAGAAGGGCTTTATCAGAGCATTCGACGTTGGAGTCGTCAAGTCGGATTCGGCTATCTCTAGCTCTCTGCGGGAGGAATTAAAACGAGCTGCTGCTCCGTTTGAGAATCTACCGGAAGACCAGAAGGATTTTCATCCTGGATCCAGCCAAAAAGTCGTCAATCTGATACACCCTTCACTATTTCCAGTGACATGTTTTACCACAGCGGACGATTGGTCTTGAAGACTGCCTTAGCAGTATAGGACATGGGAGCTTGGTTCCCATTCCCCCCGAAGATGACACCAACCTCTTATATGACGAAGAATCGGGTGTATCCCGAAGGGGTGGAGTGAGGAGACCACAGATCCGACAAGTCCCTTTCAGCCGGAAGTTTCAGTGGCTTCCTTGCGATGTGGATTTCACCGAAGGTTCCAACTCGGAGGCAAGCGTTGACAATACTTTTCCGGATGAGAACCGAGAGGAGCATAATTCTGAAAATGCCACTATGGCAACCAATGGATGTCAGGTCAAATCCTATATCAATAATGCTCACCCTGTCACGCATCGAGGGCTGTACGAGGTCATCGAAAAGATCATCACCGCAACGATATCTCTTTGGGATGAGAGTCTCACGAAGCGGAAATATGGTGGCGCCAGAATACCATACGAGAGGGTAGAATATGGTGAGCATCCTCAGCCAGAGCCTACTCAAACCTATCCAGACAACCCCGAGGATGTGGATGAGGATGAGGATGAGGAATTTGAAGAGCGTTACTGGAAATGGTTGCAGTCCCGCCCGATCATACAGCCTGAACCGGGCGAATTCAAGGTCATTGAAGCCAACGAGCGAGATAGAATGAACCTGAGAGAGAAATTTGCCGAAACTGGTTTGCAAATCATTGTGAAATTGGCGAATATTGAATTGACGCCTGAGAACCCTGATTATGAAGGAGGTGCCTGGCACATTGAGGGTCAACTGGTAAGCTCGCCATTTCGCTTCTTGAATCTTTGTGGCTCTAACTTTGGATGAGAACGAACGTATTTGCGCCACGGCAATCTACTATTATGACAGCAAAAACATTACCGAAAGTAGGTTGTCATTCCGGCAACGAGGAACGGACATGGATGATGTCAACTACGACCAAGACTGCCACGAGTTCCTGCAGGAGGTTTATGGTCTATCCATGAACGAAACAACCCTACAGAGTGGATGTACTCAGAATCTCGGGGGAGTGCTTTGTCGCGAGGGCCGGCTCTTGACTTTTCCCAATGTTGTTCAGCACAAGGTCTCGCCGTTTTCCCTCGCTGATCGGTCTCAAGCTGGACATCGCAAAATTCTGGCTCTTTTCCTTGTGGATCCTGCTAGACGTATCATTTCATCTGCGAATGTTCCTCCGCAGCAAGCGGATTGGGCCACAAAAGCGGGGAAGCTTGGATCTGAGCAGCTTGAGGGGCCGTTAGTGTCTGACCAGGGCGTACGCCCTACCATGACTTTCAACGAGGCAGCATCCTATAGGCTCGAACTGATGGAGGAGCGTAGTGTTGCGGGGGTGCGCAGCAAGAAGCTGTTCGAAGATGAGAAATTCAGTCTCTGTGAGCATTAGCTGCCTTCAGCTCATATCGCACGGTGTGGGGGAAGTTCCTAGATATGAAATATCACATATTGTATAGCACCAGGCTTGTCGACTTTTGAGGGTTATCTATCTTACTCCGTAGGCCATTAACAGATCCCGAAATTTAGCCGATGGTCCGTCAGATTGTGGACGGGTGAGATCTACGAGATCACATCATATCGCGTGGTTATTAGCTCTCAATATAGCCCACCGATCATTTTCCCCCAGACACTGCCTCGGTATACAGATATGGCTATCAACCATTCCTCCTTCGAGTAGGTGTGTTCACGAAATTGGCTCCAAATGATCACTGACCTTGGGATGTGCCAGGCTTACTGGTCCGTATGGCGATTGGCGGGATGACCTTCAATCCCAGGGCTACGCAGTCATCAAAAATGTCATCGATTCCGAAAAAGCTCAGTATTACCAGCAAAAAGCCTTGGACTGGCTTTGCTCGTTCAATCCGGCCTTCAAGCTTGACGATCCTACCACCTGGGTCAATGAGAACGTGCCTATACAAAGCAAGGTAAATACATTCAACGGGTACTCTGTCACCCATGAGCGATTCATGTGGGATGCCCGCACCGAGCCAAAGGTCCTGGACGCATTCGCCCAGATCTGGGGTACGGATGAACTACTAGTCTCGTTTGACGCCCTCAACGTGACCTTGCCCAACCGGAAGGACCGGCCTGCTCAGAAGCCCTGGCCACATGTCGATCAGTCTCCGATGCGTCGCGGACTGCACTGTGTCCAGGGTATTATCAATCTCAGCCATGCGGGTCCTGAGGATGGGTCTTTGATGGTATTCCCCCGGTCCAACACGGTGACTGAGGAATTTTTCGATGGAACGGACCCGTCCACCTGGGAGCAAAAGGACATCCGACTTTTCAGCGAAGAGGAAATCGAGTGGTTTTCGCAGCGAGGAATGAAACCCCTGAAAGTCCTAGCCGAACCGGGGGACTTGATCGTATGGGATTCGCGCACGGTGCATTGGGGTGGAGAACCAACCGCTGCCAGCGACACCATCCGAACGGTGATTTATGCATCGTATGCGCCAGCTCGACTGGCCAACGAGGAGACGTTCCGATTGAAACGGGAGGCTCTGACGAGTTTTCGCGCGACCACTCACTGGGCGCATGAGAATATTGTGCTGCGCGATCAATTGGTGCGTCTTGCGGATGGGAGGGTCGATCCCCGCAGTCGGACCGCGCCGTTGGAGTTACCCGAGTATAGCGACCGCATGCTTCGGCTGGCGGGGGTCAAGTCGTACTAGGAATGTTCTGTTGTTTTTCGTTGCTTTTGTTGCTTTTTGTTGCTTTTGTTTCTGTGGTGCTAGATTATTAAGACTAGTCGCGTTCTGCATTTGCTGACGACCCCGCACTTGTTCTTCTTTCTTTTCCGCGCCCAATATGAAAGCATTCGATGCTGCGGTTGAATATCCTCGAAAGCGTGCCTCAATTGCCTGTAATTTCTGTCGTCATCGGTAAGAGATCCCTGAGGATGAACACGGCAACACACTAAGTAGTGACTAGGAAACGCAAATGCGACGGGCAAAAGCCGACTTGTGGTCTCTGCACGGATGCAGGCGCACAGTGCGTCTATCAAGAAAGCGAAAGGTAGAGAGGGGAATTCGACTCTCAAAGTGACTGCCAGGCCATGGATAGTGACCTTAAAAAATCAGGGTGCAGGATGTCCCTGCGGAAATACTACATCGCTTGAACAATTTAGAAGCTCTCCTGGAGCAGCAAAAGGATGCCATCGCCCAACTTACAGCCCAGGTGGCATCTAGTCCCACCTCGACGCAATACTCGAATCCCTCCTGTTCGCCGCAACCTCGCTACTGGGATCCCTCCGAAAACCATAGGTCTCCCATCGGCTTTCCACCGCAGCAAAGCCGCGCCTATGAGGTGCCTTTTGCCATTCCACTCGGTCATCATACGCCCACCGGGAGTTTCTTCGCCCTGGACCGCATAAAGAATCTCATCGGAGAATACCCTCATGATTTCTTTTTTCGGCTAGAAGTCAAGCGCCCCTTTGACGATTTCAAGGGGTTGGGAACACCACAATCATTCGACCAGATCGAGCCCTATAGATTGCAACCTCATGTGATCCATCCACTCGTCGTCCAGTTCCTTGAACACGTTCATCCCTTCTTCCCTATCATAGAAGAAACCTCGGTTCATGCACTTTTTGATACGTTTCCAGCATCTCCCAAGGCCAACGTCCGGACATCCTTGTGTCTTATTATTCTGGCATTGGGAAAGGTATCCCTGAACTCTACAACCATTTTCGACATCGAGGCGGAAAGAGGACATAGCGGCGTTGAATACTTTGCATCGGCGTGGGTCAATTTGAGCCAGGGACCCCAGCCGGATTTTTCGGTAGATCATATGTTACCAGTGGCTCTTTTCTACGGTTCTTTATATCTACGCTATATCGGACGGCCACTACAGGCCTGGCAACTGATCAAACGGGCCTCGGATAGTGTACAGTTCATGATCACCCAGTAAGTGGTGCTCGGGTTATCACTTTATAAAGAGATTGACAAGATATAGACTACAGGCCACGAAGACGCAAGAGCAACGAGATATCCTTCTTCGAACTGCCTGGGGCTGTTACATTCTCGAATGGTAGGCAATACGAATGGGAAAAACCAACGTGCCGACTAACAGTTATTTAGTGATGACCTAGCAGAGTTTCACCACCTCAGTCGTAGCGGTATCGAAATTGTTGTCGAACAACTTGGGTTCCCTGGGTTTTCAATCTCAAACAACGGAAGCAAAAGCCGTGAGGTCTTTCTCGCTATGTGCTCCATCCGAACGATTCTCAATCGAGTCCAAGAGAGCTCTCATTCTATCCCAACTCAGCACGCAAATGATGCCACTACAAGTCCACAGAGACACTCAATCGGCTCACTGGAGAAGATCTGCGGGGAGTTCGACCGTCAATTGGAGACATGGTTCAATTACCTCCCAAAGGCCATCAAGCCAAACTTGGATGTCGCAATCGCCCCCGATGATCCATACGACAGTTACATTCGAGCCCGGTATTTTGCAACGGAACACATTATCTGCCGCCCGAGCTTGTTCCTGGCTGCTCAAAGTACCACGGCTTTGCCAGTGTATATCTTCGAAAATTGTCAGAAATGTGTTCACAGCTGCCGCGAGTTCATCATGGCAACGACTTATCTTCTACAGAAAAGAACCCATTCAAACTGGCCTAGGATGCAAGCGTAAGTACTCGAATCGTTTAGGCGATATTCTGTGCTTCACTGACTCCAACTCAGACTGTTAGCCGCCGTCTTCACTCTCTCAATTGCCAAAACCACGCCCTCCTTGGAAGCACTGGTTCATGACTTCGATGAAATCGCGAAGGAAGCAATCCAATCGATTGAGCCCTGGGCACGACACTTTGAAACTGCGGATACCATCATGGGCATGATGAAAACAATCCGTCAAAAGCTTCGGGTGTCGATCCAGACGATTTAACAGCAGCACTGGAAACATACGGTGCTGGAGACATCGCCATTCGCCGAATTGCCACATAACCAAACATGTACAAATTCAATATCCACTTCAAGCCTTATCAGTAATGTTGTCTTGCCCCGCAGTCTGTGGGTAAGCCGGTCGCGGCTCCAGGGCTTCAACTTGTAATCATTCTATATCCATCATGCCTCCCCAATTATCACACCGAATTAAGTCAATCCAAGGCGTTCGTCTGCCTGGGAGGTCTTCGACTTGGGATATTCACATTGACCACTCGGTGGGCACACCAACAATCACCAGCGTGACCCCGCATGTATCGGAGGTGGCCGAGTCCCCTCTGCTCTTACCAGCTCTGACACATCCACACATCCATCTCGACAAAGCATTCGTCCATAGTGCGCCCGCATATATAGACTTGCTGCCCTCGACTGGAACTTTCCAGGAAGCACTATCCTCCACCACAAAGGCCAAGCAGCGATTCAGCCATGCCGATCTTCTCAGAAGGGGTGAGTGGTTACTGGCCGAGTCCGTCGCATCAGGAGTAACCGCAATGCGAGCATTCGTGGAAGTAGACCACACAGTAGAGCTCATCTGCATAGAAGCCGCCATTGCGCTGAAAAACCGATGGGCGCAATCGTGCAATATCCAGATCGCCTGCTTTGCACAAGATCCCATTTTCTCCAGCGAGCACGGTGAGCAAAATATGGGTTTCTTGCAAAATGCCCTGTCGGGGTATGATCAGATCGACGTGATAGGCACAACACCCTACGTTGAATCCGACCTCGAAGCCGCGAAGAAGAATATCGAGTGGGCGATTGACTCTGCTCTACAATTGAATAAACATGTCGACTTCCATCTAGACTATAACCTTGACCCAAAGAAAGAGCCACTCGTCTGGCACGTTCTCCACACTCTCAAAGATCGAAAATGGACTTCGCATTCGTCCAAGCGTGTCATGATCGGCCATTGCTCGCGTTTGACTCTCTTTTCGGAAGACGATTGGGCGCGCCTCGCTGCCGAAATTCACGATCACGGCCTGCCTGTCACTTTCGTGGGTCTCCCCACCAGCGATGTTTACATGGCAGCAGCTCCAAACGGTAGTCCCCAGGATCGACCCCGAGGTACACTGCAAATCTTGCATTTGATCCGCAAGCACAAGCTTGATGCTGTGATGGGTGTGAACAATGTCGGAAACTCTTTTACGCCGTGGGGTTCAGCAGACCCATTGTCGTTGGCTTGTCTGGGTGTCGGTATTTACCAAGCCGGGAGTCAGGCTGATGCTGGGTTGTTGTATGAGTGTGTTTCGACACGGGCTCGAGCGGCCATTGGTCTGGAAGCCCGGGAGGGTCTTTGTGTACAGGATGGCTGGGCGCCAGACTTGTTGCTGGTGCGTGATAGGGATGAGACAGGATGTGGCGTATCCAGACCCAGGTCAAACGTGGCGGATGTTGTGTGGTCTCCGCCTGGGGTGGTGAATCGGGATATTGTGGTAGGTGGACGGTTGAAGGGATCGGTTTGCAAGAAAGATGATCTTTATCATTTTTCGTCACTTCCCCGTCTTTAGAGAAACTCGTACATAATGGTGGTACTGGTAGATACTGATACAAGAATGGGGTATGCATGCAATTTGGCTGGACATAAACGCAACTCCTGTCGGCATTTCAAGAGCGGCAAATCGACCTGACGATCTCGGGACATTATTACCTCGCGGCTACTCTGTACTCGTAGCCTTAGGTCGCAAAGCATAGGATTGCACAGGCATCAAATTGAAGTTTTTGGGGAACCCCTTCTGCAGCTCGGCCTTGATGACTTCCATGCCCGCAGCGTCGAAGATCTTTCTGAACTTCGCATCGGTTCTGGTCACACTGCTATCCTCAGGATCATACATATCCTGCCCGGAGGTTTGAGTGGACAGATTCTCCTTCACCACCATCAAGCCATCATGTGTCAAGGCATTGCGACAGCGGACGGTGTAATCCACGAGTTGCGAATCGGTCAAATGGCCCACACACCACTGCACCCAGATCAAGTCGTATTTTTTTTCGGGGACCCACGATTCCAGACCTCGCGTGTAGATGGTGCCGATCACACCGTCTTTTTTCAATTGGCTGTCTTGCATGACTTGAGTGAATTTGGCTATCGGCTCTACCGCGTCTACAACCTCGCAGACATGGCTGAGAAAGCCTTCTGTCACGCGTCCCACTCCAGCACCACCGTCCACACCTTGTTTGAATTTTCCCTCTGAGGAAACACCTGGTATCAGACGGCGGACTTTGGCCAGGAAGTTTTTGGACCCTTGCAGATCGATGCGCGACACCGAAGGAAATTCTCCGAGCATGCTGCCAGGGGTGGCTGGTACACTGTTCCAGTACTTGAGGGAGGCAGCATGATCGATCTGAGAGTCTGTGGAGGCCATTATGGGAAAAGAGAAAAAGTCGAGTGTGTATAGAAACACGTGACCCAGATATCAACAGAGTCGAGGAAGAGAGAATCCCAGTTGACGGTCGAACCGAAAACGATCAAGTGGGGTTTTTTGAGAACCCTGTTTTTGGCTTGGCTACTGCAACGAGTAATGGAGACCGTGTGCCGTGATCGACAGGGATGAAAAATGCCAGACACACAGCTAAGATTTGTTAGGGGAAATCTCCCAGAAGCTGAAACCAGCAAAATGGACACCTCAGGATTGGGGGGGGTTACGTGTAATCGCGGTGGGGGCGCGACACACCCGTTGGGACGAGACTGTGATTGGAAGTCCAGCCCAGGAGGCGTTAGGGTGTTAACTGCCGATCACTTTAAATCACTTTCATTTCCCCTAATCTCTTCGAACATTCTTTCTCACCACAGTCACTCTTTTATTTCGATTCATTCTTAACAATGGCAAACGGTCGCTCATCAGAGGATGAGCGTAAGCTCGAGGGTGGTGCTGCTGCTGCTCCTCCTCAGGACAATGGCCTTCACCCGGCCTTCTACATTGCGTACGTATCTTCTGGCGACAGGCTGATCAGCCATTGACCTGTGTCTTTATTCTAGTCTGTGGATTGCTCTGAGCTCCAGTGTCATCTTGTTCAACAAGTGGGTGTTGGATCCTCGCAAGGCCAACTTCAGTATGTAAACCCCTTCCCCTGCGTGACCAGATCGCATCGCTAACCATGATCGATTTTAGATTTCCGTGAGTGCATTCAACAAGTTCGCAGCAGGACAAATACTAACATGCTGAAATAGCCCTGTTCCTGACCACCTGGCACATGGTGTTTGCGACTGCGATGACCCAGATTCTCGCTCGCTTCACTACTATCCTCGACTCGCGTCACAAGGTTCCCATGAACCCGACCACATACTCGTGAGAATCCCCGATTTTGAGTCGCTAGAATGCGATTCAATCTCGAATTTCGATCGCTAACCGTGTTTTCGCAATTTAGTCGCGCCATTCTGCCCATTGGAATTATGTTCAGTTTGAGTTTGATTTGTGGTAACCTGGCTTACCTCTACCTGAGTGTTTCTTTCATTCAGATGCTGAAGGTTCGTTTTGTGCAATGCTGCAAATATTTCCAAGAATACCGAAAACGTGGTCCTAACACAATATGTTTTTTCAGGCCACCAACGCTGTTGCGACCCTTCTGGCCACTTGGGCTTTCGGTATCGCCCCCACCAACATGAAGGCTCTCAGCAACGTGTTGGTTATCGTGTTCGGTGTCGTGATTGCCTCCTTCGGTGAGATCCAATTCGACATGATCGGTTTCCTCATCCAGGTCGCCGGTATTGTCTTCGAGGCTCTCCGTCTCGTCATGGTCCAGCGTCTGCTCAGCTCCGCCGAGTTCAAGATGGATCCCCTGGTCTCCCTCTACTACTACGCCCCTGCCTGTGCCGTGACCAACGGTATCGTCACCCTCTTCACCGACCTGCCCCGTATCACCATGGGCGACATCTACGGTCTCGGAATCGGTACTCTCGTTGCCAACGCCCTTGTCGCCTTCCTCCTTAACGCCTCCGTCGTCCTGCTGATCGGCAAGACCTCCGCTGTCGTCCTGACCATGGCCGGTGTCCTCAAGGATATCCTCCTGGTCGCCGCCTCCATGATCATCTTCCTCGACCCCGTCACCCCCCAACAGTTCTTCGGTTACTCCATTGCCCTGGCTGGTCTGGTGTACTACAAGCTCGGTGCTGAGAAGTGCAACAACCTCGTTTCCGATGTGCGCCTCCAGGTCGGCGAGTACAACCGCTCCAACCCCGCCCGCACCAAGGCCATCGCCATCGGTGTTCCTTGCGTTCTCGTCCTGCTGTTCCTGTACAGCAGTGGCCCCTCCGCCGCTCAGGTCACCAACTAAAATCCCATGCTCGGATTGACCCAGTTGACGGGAATATACCCGCTCGGAAACACCACTCCTGGCGGGCCCTCACGAATCCAAGCTCGGGTCTAACCTGATGCTTATGTTAAATTTGATAAGGACCATGTCTTTCTTGTCTGGACAGGACAGAACATGCATGTAAATTTAGGGGATATAGATGATATCGGGAGGGGTTCAAGGTGATAAGTTTTATAATAAACGGTTGTATGAAATTGATAAATTCGAACTTTTTCATCTTGGTTAAATTGTAATCAAACGTGTTTCAGATATTCATTTGATGACGCAGTATAAAGTGTCCACGGGTTTCTGATAAATCTTTATATGAAACAAGCACTTCGCTATTGAACGGCCTAATGGCGCTATTAGACTCCACTAGAAACGCTTCCCGATATGCTCAAGTGCAAGCCGAGGCCGCAATGTCCTTCAGAGCTGCGAACTTGGCGATTGTTATAGCGAGGTAAAGAAAGCACCCTCATTGGCGAAGTAGCCAGTCAGAAGTATAGTAGCAACTTAAGAAAACAGCACCCTTGATACATGTTCACGAGTATGTAGTGGGAGTGCAAGAGCAAGTGTCGGCTTTCTCTCCGAGCATGACAAGTGTAAGTGATGTACTCATGTACTCCGTCGATCTATTGTTGGTGTCGCAATAGAAGGCTGCAAGTGTGAGAGCCTGAACATATCCCCGCAGTAAACAGCGTAAAATCTTCATGTCTTTCTCTCAGCTCTATACATTCCAAGCCCTGAAGATTCTCCAGTGACGCCTACCCTACCTTTCCCTGAAGTCAGAATCACTCGAATTAGCCGGCCTCCAAACATGGCGCAGTGAGATAGATTGTATCCAATTACCAGCAGCAACTGACACTTCTTTGCTGGTGACAGAACTAATTCAGCCCTTTATCCCGACCTCCAAGGTCGAGTTACTCTGGTCATCGGAGCCGGACAGTCAGGCGACCCTAATTCGAAAGTATGGGGGAATGGAGCGGCCATTGCTAAAGTCCTAGCCTCCTCCGGGGCAAAGATCATCGCCTGCGATGTGAACCTCGAAGCAGCGCAACGAACAGCAGCCCGCATCCAAGCCGATGGAGGATTTTGCGAGGCCATCCAGCTTGACGCAACACTCAGCAGCGATATCACACGAGTCGTCAAACAGGTAGTCGACAAATACCATCGAATCGATATCCTCGTAAACAACGTCGGTCTCACCAAGACCGGCGACCCAGCAACAATGCCAGAAGAGGCATGGGATGCTCAATTTCAACTCAACTTGAAAACCGTCTATCTCACCTGCAACGCCGTTTTACCGGTGATGGAAAAGCAAGGCTCCGGGGCCATCGTCAATAATGCTAGTATTGCTGGGATGAAGTATCTTGGTAAACCGCAGATTGCATATGCATCTGCCAAGGCGGCGGTCATTCACTTCTCGAAGATCACAGGCGTGATGTATGCCAGTAAGGGAATTCGGGTCAATTCTGTGTCTCCGGGGATGGTTTTTACACCACTGCTAGAGAAGTTGGGGGCTAGTAAGCTAGCGGAAGAGCGGGAGATATATAAGAAGATCACGGATCATAATGTCCCCATGGGGTTCATGGGGGACGCGTTTGATGTCGCCAATGCGGTGGCATTCTTGGCTAGTCGTTCGTCGCGCTATGTTGTTGGTCAGAACTTGGTTGTTGATGGTGGGCTCACGGGCTCGACTGGCACAGGTCAAATTGTGTCTAAGCTTTGAAGTTGACTTTGTTCCAAGTGATGTATTTTTGTGAGTATATCCAGTCCGAGTTGGGAGGCGATAATATGCCTAGCATCTTTCAAGACTTTTCTATCTTCAGATCAGCCTCAAGTAGCGAGTAAGCTATATGCATTGAGAATGAAAATGAAGTCAAAACCAAAGAATCAAAAGCGAAGAAAAGGAGAATTGTTGGAGATGTCGGCTCGAGGGCTTCGGGCAATGTGTCATTGTTGCGTTCGGGCCCTACCCAAACATGCCAAATATTTCACCGACTTCAACTCCCATACATACACAGAAGGGGGCTTGGATACCATTCCAAAAGGGTTTAGATCATGGCAACCACGCCGAATAGAGGAATCGTGGTGATCTCCGGGGGCAGTGCGGCGAACAACCTTGTGGACGTGTTCAGCGCAGTCCGTGAGAGCAAGAATTGCCCATTGAGCTACATCATCCCCATCAGTGACAATGGAGGATCATCGTCCGAACTGATCAGAATCTTTGGGGGCCCTGGGATTGGCGATGTTCGAAGTACGTCAAATGGCCAACCATCGATTCTCCACGCTTACCGACCTCAACAGGTAGATTGGTGCGCTTGATCCCCGATTCACCAGCAAATCCCGAGAGGTCGGCAGTCAAGGCACTATTCAACCATCGACTTCCGGCTGAGGCCAGTGTCGCGGTTCATGAATGGCAATCGATCGTGGACGGCACATCGAGTCTATGGACAGCCATAACCCCCGCGAAAAAAGAGTTGATACGTTCATTCTTCAATGTACTGAATCTGGAGATTCTGAAGCGTGCGCGTCCGCCATCATCAACCTTCGACTTTACGTCTGCGAGCGTGGGAAATCTCTTTTTGACTGCAGCAAGACTTTTCAGTGGCAGTTTTGAAAGCGCCATCTATCTACTGGGCAGTATCTGCGGTGTTCCGTCAGATCTGGTGCGCGTGATCCCAGCGATCAACTCCAATTTCTCACACCACATTTCCGCTTCGCTGGCTGATGGCACCGTCATCGTCGGCCAAAACAGCATATCTCACCCCAGCGAAGCGACGGCTCTTCAACATACCTCTGGCTCCAGGCGCCCGAGTCTACTTCTCGCCGATGGAGATGATATTGAGTACACAGATTCAGAAGCCTCAGACCCGATGATCTACGAAGAAGACCATCTTCCAGGTTCGCTGGCTACCCTTCGCAATAAAAATATCAAATTCAGCAAAACCGAAAACGAAGACTTGAGTTCCCGCATCACACGCATCTGGTACATCAATCCTTATGGCCAGGAAATCCGACCACCCGCCAACCCCCGAGTACTGGAGGCAATCAACGACTCCCAGGCCATCATTTATAGTATCGGATCTCTTTACACTTCAATCATCCCGGCGATAGTCCTGCGTGGTGTGGGCAAAGGGATTGCCTCCAGTCCAGCTCGTCACAAGATCCTCATTCTTAACGGATCATTAGACCGAGAGACTGGGCCCCCATCAGCACCATTCACCGCCTCAGACTTCGTCGAGGCCATCGTGAGTGCCGGCGAGGAAAGCCGTGGACGAGGCCCGATAAATATTCCCGGACAAGAGGGTCAGCACTCAGCACTACCATGCACTGCCCGAAAGTCCAGAAATCTTCCATATACTGCATATGTAACTCATATCTTGCACCTGGAGGGCCCTGGGACACCACATGTGGACCGCGAGAGGCTCGCGCACATGGGTATTGAGACGCTCCGTCTGTATGGGCGGAAAATCACAACCATGGAGGGCGACAAGGAGGTTGTTGTAGGCATGCAATATGACCCCAACGCTCTTGTGCAGGCTATTGAGGTTGTGTTGGGAAAGAAAGGCGACGCCATGATTCGGGGTGGAATAGGGAGTGGGCTTAATAGACGAAATACCCTCGACCCTGCAAGGAGAGATCGATGAAGTCTGCAGGTTAGCAATACGAGTTGTATCATAGTGACAGCCTTGCAAGTCAGTCTCCCGGCAAATGTGCAATAAGTCAATAGACGATAGTCAAGTTTACAGTCAAGTTTCATTAAATTTCATTAGAACATCAGATCAAGGTCACTGGGTAAATAGATCAGGGCAAAATGCAAAATGTAGATGAGGCTATTTGCAAAATCAAGACGGAAATTTGGCGAAGCGGTGCCCGACAGTCTGACAACAGAGGCCATCCGCGATGTGTTGGTTTCCTAGTATTTAGATTTTTGCCCTGGGGGCATGAAGCACCCACCCGCCTTGACAAGAGAAACATTATTCATCATTTCGCCGTGATAGAAAGCAGCAAAATGCCATCGAACGCCATTCGCAATGTCACGAAATCCATAAAAACGGGAGACAACCGGCCAAATGCAAATCCACGGGTAATTTATTCCTCTTCTTTCTTGTCACCATTCCGGGCAGCCTCGAGCTGGCTTCGGGTCTTGGTGTGAAGTTTGAATTGGATAGGAATGAGACTATGCCTGCTCTTCGTGGAATCTTTGCGCGAAAGCGGTTTGCGACACACAGGGCAGGTACCCTTGTTTTGTTTTGAGGAATCCGTGCGAGTCTCTTCGGTGACTGTCAGATAGTCGACAATGCACTTGTGGCAGAACAAGTGACCTGCAAGTGAAAATTTAGCATGATCCTCAAAATTCCAACGGCCGCATATCGCGTAGCGGACTACTTACCACATGAAGTAGTTGTCGCATCCGTGAGTGTATCCATGCAAATAGGACATATGTAAGCGACCAGTGGATTGAGTGGTCTGTCGGGTTTCTCTGTGGTTTGCTGGGCTTTGATTGCATCTTCTCGCTGCTTCGCAACCGCTCTGGCAAGGTCCCTTGCATCGGATTCTTCGGTCATGTCGATGGTTTCAATAGCTTCTGCTCCGAGATAGACATCCGAGGATGAAGACGCAGACCGGTGATGTTCATTTTGGCGTTGGCGCTTCGGTCCCCGGGCAGAGTGTTGCTCAATGTGGGAAGACGATGCGTTGCTTGAGAAGGGTGGGGAGGAGGACAAAGCGATTGGATTGCGGCGAGTGGCGGAAGTCAGATCGACAACCTCAGGTACACGACTGCCCATGGTGGTTTATCTTGAGCTGATGTCCAGATGAGGCTGTCAGTACTATTAGTATGTGTTTTTACTGTCAGTATTGTCTGAAGGATCTTTCACTGAGACTTCAGATTGAGCACGCCGGCCGTAATCTGTACACTGGGCCTGGGTACAGTCTTCGAGCAGTATTCCAGTTGTAGATCTGTAAGTTTCCAGGGCTGTGATATACTCTGTGACCGACGAAGATAAAAATACAAGCTCCCAGGCTGTTTTGGAAAAAAACTGATAATAGTCGCAACCAGGACTGAGTATGGCGGGGAGGAGTCAAACTCATGGGCATACTCCAAAAGCCACAGGCATCGCGATAACTTATCGCCACGTGCCGATAGTGCATGATAAGGCATAGACCAATCGGAGGGAGTGGCAGAAGTACCTACCTAGATATACAAAGCAAAGTAAGCGACCTGCCTCCTCCTCTTTTGTTTTCCAATTTGCCAGCTCATATATTCGAATTTTCATAATTCCCAGGGATATCTCAATGCATTGTTACAATATGAACCCCAGAGGCACTTGAATAAAGTTGTGGACAAAATGTATCAGGAGGATCACGTGGGGTCTCGGTATCGGTCCCATGATAGTCCGGGTTGAATGACGCCCAGATTATGCCGCGATAGGCAATGATATGGAAATTACCTTCAACTCAATACAAAACTTGTGACACGCCTTGACTCTATTATTGCAGCCCCTGTGGCTGTGCCCTACGGTGATACCATGAGCTAGTGCTGCCTAATTTAAACCCTTATGATGTTATCTTGGAAGGCCTCTTGCGCTCCGTGTTCCAGGGGTGTTTTCAGGTCATTCTCCCGACATGAATCGTTACTCTCGATCCGAGCGCAAACGTGGAGATTATCGCATAATGGATACGCGAGGTTCTCCTCTTCAAGTACCAATGGCTCTCCACACGAAGAGTCTCTTTCTGGTGAGTGTCCATCCGTTGCGCTTGGTCAATACAAAATAGTGAGCCGCAATACTGACAAGGTACAGTCCCCGCCTCATCTCGGTTCAACGATATCGGCGTCCAGCAATTGAGCGACTATGTCCATGCCCAAGTGTTTCCGGCGAAAGGCCGTGTCCCAAATCCCGAACTCGTCGCACTTTCAAAAGATCACCTCGCGCGCCATGAGCTTTTGGGCAAATCGCAAACCGGCGCCAGCCCCATCGCATTCGATCTTCCGGCTCTCAAGGGTGAAACATTGGATGAACATTTCTACAAACTTGGAATGGATTGCTCTGAGCCGTATTTGACTTACGCGAAATCCTATGCGGCCCTCAGTTGCCCACCGAAACCGCGCAAATGGGTGAAACGCAGTGGTTGGACGAAATACAACAAAGATGGAACTTCGGAACCGGTCGATGCCCCAAACGAATCGATGCTTACATTTGACACCGAAGTCATGTATAAGCAAAACTCATTTGCAGTCATGGCCTGTGCTGTAAGTCCAACTGCATGGTATGCGTGGCTGTCGCCATGGTTGCTTGGTGAATCGGACAACGAAGTTCAGTTAATACCTTTGGGAGACCCATCTCAACCTCGCATTGTGGTTGGGCATAACATCGGTTATGATAGAGCCCGCATACTTGAGGAATACGACATGAAACAATCTCAAAATTTCTTCCTCGATACCATGTCCCTTCACGTGGCAGTCAATGGCATGTGCTCACAGCAACGACCAACCTGGATGCGGCACAAGAAGAACCAAGACTTGAAGGACAAAATTGCAAGTGAACACGAATCTGTGGAGCTTGCAGCTCTTCTTGAAAACAACATGTTAAGGGAGGAGGAAGAGGAGCTTTGGGTCGGCCGGAGCTCAGTGAACTCCTTGCGGGATGTGGCCAAGTTTCACTGCGATGTTACCATTGACAAAGCGCAAAGAGATCTTTTCGGCGAACTTGACCGTGACGCCATCAATGGCAGACTGGAAGAGCTTCTTGACTATTGCGCCGCAGACGTTGCCATAACGCATCGCGTTTACCGCAAGGTTTTCCCCAACTACCTTGAAACATGTCCACACCCTGTCAGTTTCGGGGCCCTCCGACACTTGTCGTCTGTGATCTTGCCGGTCAACGAAACCTGGGAAGAGTATCTTGTTCGTGCAGAGGAGACATATCACACGCGACTCGAGGGTGTCCAGCGGAAGTTGCATGAACTCTGCGATGAGGCCTTGAAAAATAAAGACCATCCTGATATCCACATGAACGACCCTTGGCTGTGCCAGCTGGACTGGTCTGGCCAAGAGATTAAAATGGTTAAAGGGAAAAAGAAGAACGACCCACCTCGCCCAGCTGCCAGGCAGAAAAAACCAGGAATGCCCAAATGGTACAAGGATCTTTTTCCGACCAGTGCTTCAGATATCAACTTGACAGTGCGAACCCGTATCGCCCCCATCCTACTCAAGCTTTCCTGGGACGGATTTCCCCTCGTTTGGTCTGACAAGCATGGATGGACATTCCGTGTACCCCGTGACCAAGTCAAACAGTATGATAACCAACCTGTCGTGAAGTGCGATATGACCGAGGAGAAAATCATTCAATTGCGGGAGGACAGACAAGCGACATACTTCAAAATCCCTCATAAGGATGGCCCGCAGGCTAGATGCACCAACCCTTTAGGAAAAGGGTATATGCAATACTTTGAGCGTGGGATACTCTCATCCCAGTATGAGCTTGCCAAGGAAGCGCTTGAAATGAATGCATCATGCTCCTACTGGATTAGTGCCCGAGATCGAATCAAGGGCCAGATTGTGGTCTATGAAGACCAAGTGAAGAACAAAAAAGTCAAAGAGGAAACGAGCGGCCATCGTGTCGGCTTCATTCTACCCCAAGTCATTCCCATGGGGACGATTACTCGGCGTGCAGTGGAAAACACTTGGCTTACGGCAAGCAATGCCAAGGCCAATCGTGTTGGTTCAGAGCTCAAGGCCATGATCAAAGCACCACCGGGCTACTCATTTGTTGGTGCTGATGTAGATTCCCAGGAATTATGGATCGCCAGTCTCGTTGGAGACGCTCCCTTCCAGATTCATGGAGGAAACGCCATTGGGTTCATGTGCCTCGAAGGCTCTAAAGCCGAGGGAACTGACCTTCACTCACGCAGTGCTTCGATTCTGGGCATATCGCGTAACGATGCTAAGGTCTTCAACTATGGTCGAATTTACGGAGCCGGTGTCAAGTTCGCTGCTACCTTACTCCGCCAGTTCAACCCGTCCCTTACTGAAAGACAAACCCAAGAGACTGCTCAGAATTTATACAAGGAGACCAAGGGCACACGTACCTCACGTCGCTTGCTGAGTGAGACGCCTTTCTGGCGCGGTGGCACGGAATCCTTTGTATTCAACAAGCTCGAAGAATTCGCAGATCAGGAGCGGCCTAGGACGCCTGCCTTAGGTGCTGGGATCACTGAAGCACTCATGAGGCGTTTTATCAACAAGGGTAGCTTCATGACGTCTCGCATCAATTGGGCCATTCAGTCGTCTGGTGTTGACTACCTTCATCTCTTGATCGTTGGCATGGACTATCTCATCCGGCGTTTTGAGATCAAGGCTCGATTGGCAATCACCGTCCACGATGAAATCCGCTATCTTGTGAAGGACGAAGACCGATACCGTGCCGCGATGGCATTGCAAATTGCTAACGTTTGGACTCGCGCCATCTTCTCACAACAAGTGGGCATCGATGATCTTCCGCAGTCTTGCGCCTATTTCTCGGCAGTCGACATCGATCATGTGCTTCGCAAGGAAGTCGATATGGATTGTGTCACTCCCTCCCACCCACACAAAATTCCACATGGCGAAACTCTTGACATCGCCGAACTTCTGAAAAAGAATCAGGAGGCATTCTTGGATCCCTCTATCACCCCCACGTCACCTCCTCACCCCGAACAATACAACTATACGCCACGGGAGTCAGTCATGTCTGGCTTGCAAGCCTCCAATGATGTTGATTTCATTAAGGCACAGATCACCAAGGATGACAAAGAACTCCGTGAAATCATCAAAGAGAAGACTCGGGCAGCCACTAGCTCCAACCCCCCTACCTCTCGCTCCTCCACCAAAACAAACGCAAAATCTACGCAACGCCCCTCCTCCAAACCACAGCGAGCGGTCATGATGGAAATGGACTCAGGCCTTTATCCTGATTTCCACAGTCCTCCCCGAACCAGCATTTCCCATGGGAACAAGCCACCCCACATGGGATTCCAGCGCCCTTCATGGAAGCCTCGGCCCACTGCTCGAGCCTAGCGCGCTAGCTTTCCTTTCTTTGATCTTCCTTTCTTCTTCCTTTCTTTGTTCTTCACGAGTCCTCTTTCGGCTGTAATTATTGCTCTACCTCCTATTTTTCTTTAAAAACTGTCTTCATATGTCGGAGTCGAAGGTCAGCATTGGAAAGGCGTTACTGCATATTGATGTGAAAAGGCTATGTACCTATAGAGGTATGATGTACTATGTACTATATGAATCAATTACCGATTTTAAAGATATTCCAAGTGCTGCAGCTGTGCTTTTAAGTTACTTTGAGTAGACGATCATGCAATGTAAGCATTAAAAGCCAAGACTTCGATTCCCCGTTAAATAAGATAAAGGGTCCACATGCTCCGTGCGGCATACCCTGCCCCCCTTGGCAGTTCTCTTTCTTCTCTTTCTTTTCTTTGTCTTTAATCTTTCCAACCTCACTTTGTACGAGTACGACTCTACTGGCAGGTTTCAAATTGTGTGGATAGCGCCTCTTCGACGTCATACCCCGCAGATCTCAGCATGTTTTCCTGCGGACTGTCTCAATGAGACGAATTCAATCAATAAATACCCTGTCTTAATGGCACTGCCAAAGACTGGACAAGCAGCATCTTACATCTTATCTGTATAGGCGTGGGAATCTCACGATCAAGGATTGGAGCCAAACTCGATCCACAGGGGCGATTGGATGATCGCATCCACCTGAACCCTCACAATGAGCGTCCATTCGCTCGACTACGCCCAGCCCAACGCAACTCGATCTGACATCGATGTTGAGGCTGGGCGCCAGTCACCCATCTCCCAAGTTTCTCCGAGAGGGGGCGACACAGAGCCGACATCGTTTCTCGCATTCACCTCCTCGGCAACACGAGTGGAGTCCACCGATACGACGAAACGGCGCGCAAGACGGAATACCGCACGATCCTACCACCCCGAGGGATTTGCACAAGATCCAAATTGGCAACCAGGAACTGAGCCGGGTATTGACCCCAGCAAGCCCCTCCCGCCGTATACCTCAGAATGGGCGTCGAATATTCCTGCAGATCTGCATCGACAGTGCCAGATAACTGTCGTGGACTTCTCCCAGAATGAGATGCGACAATACGAGCTGGATAATGATACGCTGGCGCCGTTCTTGGAAAGGGAGAGGGAGCCTTGGGTGCAATGTCGGTGGATCAATGTAAATGGGTTGAGTTGGGATGTGATCCAGATTCTTGGAAACCACAAGAGATTGCATCGTCTTGCCATTGAAGATTTGGTCCATACCACCAACCGCACCAAAGCAGACTGGTATTCCGATCATGCGTTCGTGGTGCTGACACTGCAAAAGTTGATGAAAGTCTACGAAGAATCCTCTTCCGATTCCGAAGATGAAGAAGAGAGGCCGATCAGTCGCTGGAAGTCCAAGGATCGAAAAAGCTCTGTGGCCAGCGAGAGGAGTTCTATCTCTTTGAAGAGGCCAACGAAACGAAGTGTCATCCTGGCAGCCTTAAAGGATATCTTCACCTTCAAATCAGGCCCACCCCCAGAAGACAAAGAGAAAACAACCTTCGGGTCCAGTGTTCGACCTGGACTCGGGCGACGGACTTCAAAACACAACTCTCATTTTGGAAACGTTGGGACTGCCTCGGAGACCACTGCCAGAAGTCTGCAGCGATACCGCGGTGGGCCCAACGAGGATCGAATCGAATTCATGGAGCGACACGCTGCGCTTACTGGTAAAGGTCTGTGTGTCACTTTGGAGCAGGTTTCGATCTTCCTACACGCTGACAACACCGTCACATCCTTCTTCGAAACAAGTGCGGATGACATCGAGGCTCCCATCGTGAGGCGTCTCATGTCACCCGAGACTATCCTCCGACAGTCATGCGATGCTAGCATGCTGCTACAGGCTATTCTCGATGCGGTGATTGATCTGGCAATCCCGGTCACGATGGCATACCAAGATGCCATCGGAGACCTCGAGCTAGAGGTCCTCACAGATCCAGATATCGACCAATCGAAGTCCCTGTACATTTTGACTTCTGAGATTGCCGTACTGCGAAATTCGATCCAACCCATCGTGGCAGTGATGAACGCTCTCCGCGATCACCGCTCCGAGCCCGTTGGCACTCCGGGATTCGGCATCTTGCGCAATCCACTCAGTCCAGCCGGTACACCTGCGGAACCGGCTGAAACTCGTCCCCATTTCGGTACTGTCACGCCGAATCTGAAAAGCCTTGGAGGCTCGAGTGTCACGATCAGCTCCATGTGTCATACATATCTGGGTGACGCCCTTGATCACTGCATCACTATCGTTGAGGGATATGATCAGATGCGGCGCAATGCTGATAACATGATTGACCTCATCTTCAACACCATCGGTGCCTACCAGAATGAGAGTATGAAACAACTAACTCTGGTGACCTGTCTCTACCTCCCTATGACATTCCTCACGGCACGTTCCTAATCAAAATCAGTTCAGAAATAGTGCTGACTGGTGTTTCAGGGTTACTTTGGAATGAATTTCACAGACTTCTCTGGCATTGAGCACAGTGATAGGTAAGCCAGAGATACACTCGTCTTCTTCAACTCATTGCTAACTCCAATAGTTATTTTTGGAAAATTGCGATTCCATTCGTCTGTGTCACAACTTTCCTACTGATGTAAGATCCCTCTCTCTTCCTCGACAGACTAAGATACTGATATGTGATTACAGGCGTGACAAGATCCAGCGATACGCAGTCATGTTGGCCCAGCGCCGCTTGATTGTCAGTTCGAGGAAGCAAAGACGCGAGAGAAAGAAGAAATAAGTGGATTTCTCCGTGGCTCACTGTTCTATTTTACTGTACCATGACTTTTCGGGTCCCAGGCATTCCTCTTGGCCTTGGACCTTTTTACACCTGTACTTATATTCCCTAACCAACCAAATATACCGGGTCTACACGTCTAATACAGACTGTATACCTCACTACCAAGGCTCTGAAGCACATTGGACTTGTTACTACTTCGTTTCCAATTTCAATCACCTCCAGTAGATACAACCAAACGTATGCGCCACGAAAGGCTGCACATCCTTTACACCCCAAGTGAGCCATGAACGTCACAGTATGATGAGAATTGCCATTACCACCGTTTAATCTACTTAGGTATATTTGCAATCTAGAACAAATTAGAGCAGAGAAGCCTCCTAGTATATACTTGTAACGCCACGAGTTTAGACATGCATTCTGACTTCGCTCAGACCCAGGGATTAACACCAAAACCAACAGAACTCCAATCCGAAGAATCAAATATCCTGCGTATCCAAACCCCAAATCTCCCAATGCTGCAGCGTCTCCCACCCCACGCGGCGCATACGTCTTCTCCAGACGAGATCCTCATCAGCCGAGGTATGTGCGTACCAGCTGGGATAGGGTCTTGGCGTTGCGTCCCGGTCTTCATTTTTATCTTGGGCCCGAGGCGAGTCTAAAGGAGTTTCGCTATCCCGGGTCCGTTTTCCTAATGTTGACGGTGGGCCTCTGATTCTCGGTGATGCATTGGGCCAGGAGGGGATTTGCGTTGTCTGGAGATCTGGGGATCTGTGGGCAGAGATTGGTGCACCATTGCTGTATATAGGGCTTTCAATGACTTCGTGGACTTGGCCAACTGGGGATTGGGTTTCACGAGATGGCCGAGGTGACTTGTAGAAATCTCGCAGCTCCCATGCTTTCCAGCCCATGCCGATTACTTGGACGTTTCCGTATACTTGCTCGTTGGCAAGATCGTAGCTCATCGATTCTGTCAGGAGGTCGTCGTCGATCTCCACGACTTCGGCGAACGATTTGGCGTTCATGAAATTCTCATCTTGCATGATTTTGCCTTCGAATGAAGCTTTCCCTTGATCGGTCAAATGTTTGACGGTCGTGCCTGCCGGTACACCCCGCGATCCGGACACCGAGGGGATCAGAAGCCGGAGTGCTTTCAGTTTCCTCAAGAAGGGGATCAGAAGATTGAGCGAATCCATGCTCGCAAATTCTGTGGCGAGGGCGAGCTGTTCCAGATTCGGACAGCTGTGGACGAGACGGGCGATCATAGCTGTGGATAGAGGCCATTTAGAAGGGAGGAGCAGATGTCTTAATGTGGCCCCGTGATTTAAGGTGATGTGGGAAAGATAGCTGTCTCGCATACTTGAGGACATATTGAGTTGGCCGCTTGGAGACGCAGAGGTGATGGGCGAATTGGTGGCTGTCCCGCTACCAGCACCAAGGGCCTGGGGTTCGGAGACTGGTGGCGTGAGGGCTGATGATTCCAAGCCTTTCGGTCGTGGTGAATTGAGGTAGTCACTTGAATCGGAGGTCACATTGACGAAGTACAGTCGCTCAAGTCCTCGGAAATTACCAATGAACTCTGAATTCCGTTTTGAGACCGCATCCATGCGAACGGATTTGATTTTAAGCTGGGCGTGTGGTGGGACAGTCGGCCAGCTGCTCTCAACGAACGTGTTGACCAGACTGGAGCCCTCAACGCCACTGAGGAAAGTGACATCTTCTACCGTAGTAGGATCAAAAGCAAAATTGAAGTCCTCGGTGTGGAACGCATAGAGGTTCTGGAAGGTCATTTTCTTGACCGTCAGCGGCTGTTTAGTTGAAATCAGCTTGCGGAAGTAATCATGTAGAGACACGCTCGGTTCCTGCGCATTGCGCATGCGCGGGGACCAGTGCATTTTCAATTCGCGCAACTTCCTGCTCTTCACTAGCAGTGTTGCAATATCATCCGGGTAACACAACGGATCGATATCCGTTATTTTGAGGCACTTGAGATGCGGCATTCCCGGTATGACAAAGGTGGGCTGCGGGTGACGGCTGGACGGAAAACGAATTGTCAGAGAGGTGAGCTTGGGCAGCTGTGTCAAGCCTAGGAACACTGTGTCGAGCATCTTGGTGTTCAATTCCCAGTGGAAACTTTCCAGGTTTGTCATGCGGTCCACGGCAGCTCGAGCGGCGATGTTCAGTAACATCGAGGAGTCGGGCACCCGACCAACTCGGGCGTGTTCCTCCAGCTCATGCTCCCTCCATTCTCCCCGTAGTGTCATTGACCGAACCAGGGACGCATAGGATCGCGTGATAATTGCGTTCAGGCCCATCGTAAAGGGACTCGCACTCCCGATTCCTTCTGGTTGTTCGTCGCGATAGCGGATTTTGTCGTAGGAGGTGAGGGTGAGATTGCGATATAGCTGCGGCAGCGCCATATAATTGAAGACACGACATGTGCGACATAATCGGGCGAGATCGCCTGTATCGTTAACCTGTTGGAAGGTGAGTACATAGAAAGAGAAAGGGAGTGCTGGAGCTATCCACTCACATGTGATACGATCTCGACTATGAGGTTCAAAGGCAACACCATTAACTGGGCGCCTCCAGGTTGCTCGGAAATGGTGGCGCCAAACATATTCTGATTGACAGTCGCCATGATGCGACGTCCATCCAGTGCGACATGAGAGACCAAAAGTGACAGATCAATATGGGGAAAAAGTGGGAGATGCGACTCGGAGCCTCGAGCACCCGGACTTGGGCTCCACTTGCGTCAGCCAAACAGAAGCCCTGAATAGTCATTACTGTAAGTATAGAGACAGGTCTATTATATGTACTTGATTATGTTCGTTATATAGCACGGGTATCTTTTGGATGTGAATAACCCCCCAAAACACCATTGGAATCTTTTAATCCCAATTCCCAAAATATAATCCCAAAAGAAAAGAAGAAGGAAAAAAAAACACTGCACAGCTTGGAATCAATCTCTTTGTTCAGAGTGTCCATGCTGATTAGACCCGAGGTCTGCCGGCGAAGGTCGAGACTCGCTAGGTGGTTCAGCCTGCTCTCTTGACTCATCCCCTTCATCTCTCTCTTCGGAGATAGTAGTATCTGTCCAGCTCCGCTGGTCAAAGTCCCGAACAGGTCCGTTCGAGGGGAGATGGTTGACATCCTCATCAACCAGTGCCGCAGTCTCCGGGTCATAGTGTAAAATATAGTCCCCGCCTCCTCGTTCCACATCTGCATCTGTCCATGGGGCAGATGCCGATGGCTGAGAGGGGATGACCCGGACAGGAAGACCTGGGCGGCTGGTGGACACTGCGTGGCGAGGCTGCTCCACTGGGCGGTTGTCTCCTGCTCCAGATGGTTGGCTTTCCAGCAGTCGGTTCTGCGGGGACCATGTGTGCTGACCACGTCGACGCGCCGGGATCACAGTGACATGTAGCTGACCGTCGTTCTGCTGCGACCCAGACCCCGGACGGACTCTTCGGAGAGAGAAGAAGTGATCACCGCGAGAGCGGTTACCGCTGGCCTCTGTCTCTCCATCTCCACCAGTTGCGACTGACGGTCTATGGTCCGAGGGTTCTTCGACAGCTTGCGCAGATGCCACTTCTTTGGGCAGAGAGGCGCGGCGTCTTTTGAAAGGGTAAAGTAGAGCATGCCATCGTGGATCTGTGTGGACGATCTGGGGCGATTGCTCTCGGGTGTTCTGGGATGAGATGCGGTTTTCATCTGCGTTGGGGGAGTGCTCTTCTCCTTCCATCTCCTTGTCTTCCGCTAGTTCTTCCTCCTCCTCCATGTGTGGCATTGCCACTGGGGGCGTGGGACTAGAAACTGGATGATATCTGACGTTGTAGACTGTACTTGCCGCACTGGTAGTGTCTGCACGACTGACTGGCGTGATAGCCGCCGGCGGTGGTGTTGGGCGATCGTTTGGCCCCCGTGGTGCTGTGGCAGATGCCTGGTTAAATTGAGTAGCTCCCGTGCCTTTGTTGCGGTTCACACGGGGTAGTCCAGCTCGAGCCCGGAGAGGGCGATGGGCCAGGCCCATCATGCCGCCCCATCCAGAAGATGCGCCATTCCCACCACCTCGGTCGTTTCCTTGTGATGGATATCGTGGCCAGTCAACCTCTTCGGATGGGGTCACATCAAGCATCTCGTCACCATCAAAGACCTCTCTTCCCAATATACCGTCTTTTGTCTCGTCTCGCTCCAAGGCCTCAATGCGCTCCACCCACTCCCATACGACCACACTAGCTGCGGCCGATCCAACCCATCGGATATAAGTACCCCAACCGGCGATTTCCGGTTTGGCAATATCCATAACGAAGAAAACGACCGGTATCAAGATCGCGCAGAGTGACAATAGAGCCACTAGGCAGATGTTCCGCATCTTGGGATGAAAGAAGGCGAAACGATGTTTGGAAATGGAGTAAAAGATGACCCAGGCAGCATAAAGCAGATTGAGTGATAGTTCAAACAAGTAACTCAAGGCAGGAATTGCATCGTCATACAACCTGGGTCGGTTCGACGAATTCCTCACCCAGAAGTTTTCCAATATACTGAATGTCGTATCCAGCACAATCAATGCAAACCCAGCCCATTTGATCATGACTTTTTCCTTATGTCGCGGGAACAGCCTGATCAACGTTTGAACCTGCGCGAGCCAGAGGAATGTGCTCGAAATCACGCGCACAATCCGAATCTCCAGCCCATCAATCACCTCGTCGGTCAGCGCCTCGGCATCGGAGTAACCATAGTTGTACTGTCGTTCTGCAACTCTGAAAGAATCCACCGTCGCGATAGTCAATGAGATCGCCACAAGGATGGCGGCCACTTTCTGTAGCCATGGCCGTCCACCAACTCCAACCACCGATGAGTTCCCACTGTACGAGCCGCTGATCATGCCATGGCGTCCGAGGAAATTGGCTCCACCGCTGGGGCCTCCGACGTAGAATGTCCGTGGGGTAATGAGAAGGATAATGACGAGAAGGTAGCTGACAACGGTCGCACAGCCGATGGCGTATAACTGTGGCGTGACGGAGGAGTAGAAAGGATCCCGGGTATCGAGGGCGGCGGTGACGTGAACCTCATCGGTCGGTGAGCCGGTGCAGACGGGCTCAAAGATGGCGTTTTCGCTGAGCGTTATAGGGAATGATTTGTTGTACCAGATGACTCCTGGATGCGCGATCAGACTCAAGTTCGAGGCACAAGTTCCGAGGGAAAAAGGGGGGGCCACTCACCATCACTCGGTAATACGACAGGCGTGCAACCGGGCGCGTAAGATCTCGTCGTAGTTGTCGTTGGGTTTGCCCAAATCTGGCGGGGGGCTAGCTGGGAGACATGGTCCATGATCGGGCGTGGACGTCAAGTCGGTGTCTGTGGAATGATTCATATACGCGATTTCCACCGATGGGCCTGTCTCACATTCAGACTCCCATGGTGTACAGGTGTCTTTTTCCGATGAAGGTGTAGTCCAGATACTCCGAAGGATGGGTGTACAAAAGTGAAGGGGAAGTCTGGAGGTGGATAATCCGCCCCAGCCTAGACTCCGTGGTTCCTCCACATTTTTCTTCGACGCTAAGTGGCTTTCTTTCTCGGTACTTTATTTTACTTCATGGCGTACGCTATATTTGAATCTCACGGTTGCACGCAATTCCTTTGTACTATATAACGGGAAATATTCACAAGTTTATTCGCTGTCTCACGTTTCTCGGTACAACATCACAGTTACTTCGTTTCCCTCGTTCCATCTTCGATTTATGCCTGGGCAGCGAAGCCAAGACGGGGGCCCTGGGAGTCGAAGACAACGTACTGGCTCTTGAGGAAGATATCACCGAAGATAGAGAACCCAATGCCAGAGTTGCTCTGGATACCACCGAAGCAAGTGGAGCTACCAGTCGACACAGCAGCATAGTTGATCAGCTTGCCGGGAACAACGGCATTGTAGCCGCCAATGGTGACAGTAAAGTCAGGCAGGGTGGCAGAGCAAGGGAAGGTGTAGCCACCGACAGACAAGTTGTTACGGGAGCCGGAGACTTGCTTGTAGTAGGCAGCAACAATGGAGTCATCGAGCAGAAGCAAAGTAGTACCGGTGTCTATTTGAAAGAGTTAGTTCTGGCAAATCGAAAAACAACCAGAAAGAGTCTACTTACCAGCAATACCTGTAATGGGTGAACTCTTGGTGCTGGTTCCAATCTTGTAGCTGTCGGCCGTGAACGACCAGAAGCCCTGAGAGCTGTCGACATCGGCATAGACCAGGCTGCCAGTGTATTTGGACTTATCGATGAATCCGAAGTCGTAGGTGCCGGGGGCATTGTGCTTGAGGGTCACAGCGAACAAGGGCTCATCCAGCTGGGACTTGACGGTGTCAAAGAAGGTGGTCTGGGGGTTAGGGCTGACAGTGTTGATTGAGCTGAAGGCAAGACCAAGCAGACCATCGTTGTTCTGGTCCTGCACAAACTGGGTGCTGATCTGTTTGGCCGCTTCGACGGCCTGGTTAGTAGCCTTGACACCGCCGACGGTAACAGTGTCCTTGTAGACATCACCGCTAGCACCGCTACCATCGCCATAAGAGATGGACCAGCTGGCGCCGGAAATCTTGGTGCCGGTGCTGCCAGCCTTGTAGATGGCGTGGCCACTCTGCTCCGAAGAGGGGAGCTCGCTGGAGAAAACCCAACTATATCTGGTCAGAGATTTTGTGATTAGATTTTCAAGAGACATCAGCTTACAGATCAGCAGACCCGGTATCAAAGTCCAGGTTCAAGGTAGTGCCACCAACACTGACCGGAGTCAGGTACTCGATGTCCCCGTCCTCGGGAGTGGTAACAGCAGAGCCGCTAACGGCAGCAGCTTGGACATTGGCGGGAACAGTACCACCATATTTGGAAATTGCATTGGCGTAGACTCCAGGCAAGTTGACAGACTTGGAGCGAGTCGGTGCCCGGGTCACCTGGTTGACCGTGAAGCCCTTCCGGGGGCTCTGTACTGGCACGGCCGCGGCCGACGCAATGGCCGAGAGGGCGAGGACAGCGGTCACTTTGCTGAAGACAACCATTTTGAGATCAGGTCTATAGATTCGGGAATTGAGTCTAGTAGAGCGAGAAAAGGCGAGGATGATATCTCTTAGAACTCGGCGACGAGCCCTACTTTATAGATGTGTCGAGGATACTATGCTTCGAAAGCCTAAAGGTGTTCATCGCGACATCCAGCAGGAGATACTGCCCTTCCAGGAAGCTAGAGACGACGATCTGGCACAATGCAGGATGGTTGAGGGGAAACTTTGAGACCATCACGGACCCCATCGGTCCTCCAACATCGCGTGCAACGGAGTCCGCCAAGCGGCGGAGTGACTAAAAGGGCGTAGTAGCGGCGGCTTGTAAAGCCACACGGGAATTCTGTGGACCTGATAGGACTATGGCAGCCATGGCAGGAGGGACAATCCAACCAGAACGCCGTGCCCAGGGAGCTTGGTCGTGACAAACTATCTCAGATGAAGCAGGAGGTGCCCCAGCCAAGGCCCGAAAAGTCTTGGAACACTGTATCTGAGCCCATCTAGTGCAAGGCGCCATTATCACATTGCAAGAGACCCTAGGCTTTCGATTGGGTCTAGTGATGTTGTCCAAGCGAGTCAGGAGAACAATAAGCCCTGGAGGTCCCTGAAGATCCTCGGCCGTTATCTCCACATCGGCCAATCATCCCAGTGAAGGGCGCCAAGTGACTAGGTAGACTTCACACCATACTCGCATGGTCACATCGCTTCAGACTAACCTTTGTTGTGTCATTGGGTGTAAGGCTCTCGGGATCTCGGTAGTGTGGTTTCTCCGTGCATTTTGGCACTAATACACAGGTACAATCTCCGACGGGATAACACGGGCATCCGAGATACATCTCAAGCCCTGATATTGATATCTTCAATGTGACCCTTCACGGAGATCACGGAGACCGAATCGTAGTGCCTGCAGCGAAGGTGTCGAAGGATCTAGCGGATCCATTGATCGTCGAAGATCGGCAGTAGACAACGACCCTAATTGTGATGCTGTTCGCAAGACAGGTGGACTACTATGTATTACCTAGGTATGCATCTCGGTGCAATCCACACTTTTTTTAAGGGGTTAGCCTACATTGTTGAGCTTTTCTGATGCCAGCCTGGGCTGTATCTAACTCATGGCTATGATATTAGCAATGCTTTTACAATGTTCTAAAGTTCCGGCCTAATGGATACCATGTCTGTCACATTTGTAGACGAACCCTAAGTATTTCATCAAGCAAAAGCCACCAGTCACCAAAAAGCTTCTTCCAGAGCTGCATATTCATGTGAAAGTCCGGAAGTAGAGTAATATAGAGCCCGCATGAAACTACCACCCCACAGTCTCGTGTCCGACGGAGACCGGTCGGAGAAAATTAATATCTACAAGTACACAGTCAACATGCAGGAGATGGAATTACTCGTAGTAGTATTGTAGAGGTAAATTACAGTGTCAAGCTGTGGGTTTCATGCAGAGTACGGCCTAGGGGGGCATCGTGGAGAGGGTATAGGCCCGATGTGCTGCATGCCATTGCCAAGAGATCCCCATGCAGGCGCAAAAGTGCTACTCCGTCTTCCGTACTCGCTCAGTTGCATCCAATCAATGTCATAATATTGATGGTGAAAAATTAACTCATAATCATCGTTACTGTCGTCACAAATATTGGGAAGATAGCCCCGCGTTCTCCTCGTTAGCCCCGTTCCCATCATAGCCTTCGTTGAGTAAGACTTCAAGCATATCAAACTCGCCAAGCATAGGCCCGGTGCCACCAAGACCCTGATCAACAACACCCGTGGAGGAATTGAAGAATTGATCAAGCGGGAGGGCAAACCAATCCGGAAGCGCCCCTGTAGACCCGCTTTCCATGGCCTGGGAGGAAGCGACATGGTTCGGTGAGGATCGGTCCATCTCAGTCGGGAAGGCCGCATTCGAATCATAGTAGTTATGATAGACTGACGGGGGAGGAGGCATGAAAGAGACGTTGAGATTGGACGAATTGATCGGCTGGGCTGGAATGCCTGCGAGTGGATCATGACCTGATCCCATTCCATTGGTATCCACAAATCCGAGACCCGCCCCGCCTGACGTTGTATCATGGTTAGTGGGCCATGGAGCAGGGCCCTCACGGCGAGTCTCGCGTGATGGTGAATTGGGCCGTGAATTGGGAACCGAGGTGCGATCATGGCCATCTTCTGCGCCTCGGTCGTGAGGTGCGAATCGCAGGAAACGCGTGCGAATACTACTAGTCAGGAGCTCGAGGAGTCGGGCTACAGTGTTGCTGAGGTGCACGTCATCCACGACATAATTGCGCAGGGCTTCGACTGTTCGATCCTGCAGGTCGAGCGAGACTCGGACATCGTCCTCTCGGGCGCCAAGTGTGAATGTCTATGGTCGTAGTTAGTAATGTGTCCATTTAGTGCTGAGCAAGTAGAGTTAAATCATACTTTGAGAATGAAGATCATGCCCGACAAGACACGGAAGAAAGTTCGAATCGGCGCGTGTCTGAGACGGCCTTCAGGGACCAGTCCGTCCAAGACAGTCTGCAGAATCTTGCGGGAGGAATCGATGACCTCTTGAATGTAATGCTCATTGACGCGGTAAAGCTCGTTCAACGTTTGGAACCAAGTGTTGCTGGCATTAGAAGATCCTTGCCCTGGTCGGGCAGCATTGGTCTGAGCAGATTCGTTGGACATTGTCGTCCATCGATCGACGACCGCTTGTAAAGCAAGAGAATTGATGTAGAGGCCTAATCATGTTAGCTTGAAGAGATACAGTCCGTGGCTGTCCCAACTTACGTGTATACTCAAGTTCAATCAGTAGAACGCTCCGCATGGCCGGCGATACTGCTTCTTGTTAGCCTGACCATTGACAATTCTGTGAAAATCTCTCAACTCACGGTTGACACTGTCAAGTTGCTGTCTAAATTCCCGTAAGTACGGCTGAAAGCGGTCTATTTGTTCGCGATATCTTCCGCTTCTGATCAAATCCATAGTTTGATCACTCGACGCGAAGAGTAGGTGGTTGGCTTGGTACACAATCTTGGAGATGCTGATCCAACAATCTTGCATGCGATCAAGATTCGCATCGGCATCATTTGCATCAGTAGAGGTCGGCGTGATATCTTGTCCCCACTGGGGCAATGGGAGCATAGAAGGAATGCCTAGACGCCCACTACTGTGCGTGATGAAGACGAGGATTAAGCGACGAAGACGACGCTTGCGTGTCTGCTCAGCAAGGGACTCGGTAGTTAGCTTGCCATTTCCTTTGGGGTCAAAAACACCAAGTTCGAATGCAAGAGCTTGTGCCGTGCTTAAAAGCATCCACGACATCCGGTCTGAACGCCAGGCTGGCTCCAACCATTTTTGGAAGGCAAACCTTCCTTCCGAACCTCTTTGGCCTGTGTGTTCTCCGTCATGATCCAAGGGGTTGTCGGCCCGGCTTTGTGGTTGAGGGTCCGTATCTAGAAGAGAGTTCTCATCGTCGCCCGGAGGGAAGTGCAGGTTGCGTGGGTGCCATTCCGTCAGAAGTAACATGGCTTCTACGGTGCCCAGCGACCTCAACTGCCCATTCACACTGCCTTTACCTGACGTCGGAGAACCCAAATCAAGAGATCGAGGTCGACCAATGCCCGACGTTCCAGGGTCAAACTTCTCTTGACCCCAAAAGAGACGTTCTATCATGCTGCGTAGGTATGCCCAGAGACGGTCATGGATATAAAACGCTCGCGTATTAGCGCCATCGCCCTTGGGCTTAAGATGCCTTGACGCGATAGTAAGGATTGTGACGGCAAGCACCGGCTCATCGGTGAGTAGTGTGCGGTGAGTAGAAAGCTGAGAAAAATCAGGGATAACGACTGGGCTCATGGGCGCTAGGTTTTCATAATAGTACGCCACATAATCCATACCCTCATCCACCGTAAGCCATCCGGCACGGACAAATCTCAATCTTGACCAGGCTCGAACGGCGTCAGTATATGCCGCTTCCGACGGAGGCATATTGACAGGGCTCTCCCTCTGAGGGCCACTGTCTACAATCTGCGGATCTACCGGCGCTGATCCCCCAGCTGGGTAATAAGTAGACCCACCCATGGACATTCCTGATCGAGGGGTCCGTACAAATGACCCGCCTAGACTGCGGGGGGAGCTGCCTTGTGGTAGAGGCGATGGCCCTGAGTTGAAAGAGGAGACGGACTGCCGTGCGGCGAACCTATTCTCAAGGCTCTGGCGATTGAGATCCTCGGTTCTACCTGCCGCTTCGGAGAGTAGATGTAGGGCGTCGTGGGTGTTTGTAATAGCGGGCGACAGTAGTTCCACCGCAGTTCTGTTCATCATCGGAGGTCCCCCATAGCTCTGTGGCACGGTGCGCTCACCCACGGGGTACGTGGGGGCTCGTGATATTGGGGCACTGGGTGTGTACCGCTGATGTGCGGGGGGAGCCTCGGGCCATCGTTGTGGGGGACGCACGGATTCAGGGTCGAATTTGGGTGCTGCTGAGGGCGCAAATGGAGCGGCCTCGCTGGGACTTTCATTCTTGGCTACTTCGCCAATCATCATCCGCTTGTCGCGGTGCAGGGTGGACTCTGCCTCTGTTTCGTCGTCTTCTGCGGCATCGGATGTCTTGCGCTTGCGGCGAGTAGCTGAAAATTCACATCGTTTACTTTCGCGACGGCACCGAACACAAGGTGGAGGCCTTGGGTTGTCAACGCCTTTTTTTTTTTGTGATCAGTCAAAAGTAGATTGGATTGGGACGGGGACATACTTCCTAAGTCGCACTTGACCTTGCGTTTGCGGCATGGATCACAGGCCTGATAACCGCGCCTATGGTGGGCATCATTGGCCTCCGACTTGCCGTGAAGGCCGCTATTGGCGTCCTGGCCCATGTCTGTCCTGTCGTCGGAGAGTGGATAAATTGTCTGGGGAAGACCCCGACACAAAGCGACACAAAGCGAAAGATAAGGCGGTGGGGTTATGGCTGACCAATACTCCGACTACTCGGAGAAAGACAAATAGAAACAACGTTAGACAGTTAGGGTTAGATGATATTGCGGTTTTAATCGCAATTGGAATATAGGTGGGATATCAGCGTGTTCCTGGAGATCCTGTTGGCAAGTGTAGTCCATGTGGTCTGAGGATTCTGCGGGGTAGATTGACCTCAATGCCTCCCTTGTGGTAACAAGGGGCTACTAGGTACATACTACATTCCCATACGTATATATACATCTGCGTTGAAAGTTTATGCATTTCGATAGATTATATTGGAAGATAACCTGTTGGAAATGAGATCTCATGTCCAATATCCATAGATTATGCATATGTGCATTGTTTCCGCTGCAAGCCGAGAGAATATGCATCATTTGGACGGAGTACAGATTGTTCGTATCCACCCAGATGGCATGCTAACTTATTGGCCCAAGCACATTAGCGTCACGCATCAACCAATTGCTGACAGTGACTTCCTTGCCTTGTCCGAGGCAAGGCTGACATTCATCTTGGACACCGATTCCCAGGCTTTGCGTGGCTGCACGACTTCACCAGATGCTGCACTGTCCATGCTGCCACGCCTGGAATGATCTGGAGTCAATCGTCCAATAAGTGCCCGAACGCCACCGGCTTTGCGGGCGGGGATCTCCGAGGTACCGGCAGTAAGAACATAGAGAAGATATTTGAGGTTGGGGAGAGTGTGCCGTATGTCCAGTACCCGCAAGCCTTTCTTACTGAGAAGATATTCAATGTCCTTGTTCAAGAGAAAAACGGCATACTCAAATCGGTATTGCACACTGACCGGGTAAAGAGGATATGTGCGCGCCGAGAGTGATGCAGAGATGGGGTCCTGGATAAATGACGTCGACCCATTGGCGTTGACTGGATATGGGAGGGCCGCTGACAGGTAGAAAGATAGCAGGTATACCAAATGGGCTGTGTGTCCTAATGCCGCGGCCACAACCTCACGATCGATGTCTTCAAAACAAGAGTTCGGGAGGGCAAGTCCCGCGATGGTGAATGCGAGGGGCTCGTCAGGTATGGGCTCGATGGGATAGACTATGAGGAGATCCTCCGCGATTCGTCGGGTTTGGCCCTTGATTTCCTCCGCATTTTGGTTGAGCAAATGTTCGCTTGACACCAACCGCTCTTGGGCTTCGGGAAGATGACTGTTTATCTTGGTTTGGCTGGTGCGACCTTGCTCCATTGCTTCTTTTCGTGCTTTGATACTGGCAATTAAATCTTCCTTGTGTTTCACTGCCGCGCGCACTCGCTTACGCTCCATGGCGACATAATTTTTGGTGAGAGCGAGCTTCTCTAGTGACTCGGCAGCAGCACTAGCAGTGTTCAACGAACACTCGTTTTGTTGTAATATGGAGCTTATTTGAGCTTCCAGTTTTTCTCTGGTTGCGAGCGCATCCTGCACACATTCGTCCAAGTTGGCTAGTTTCATCAGGGCATCATAGGACGATGATGGTAAGGTGGCACCACCTGCAGTGACCTTTTGTCCAGTAGCTTGCAGTGATGTTTCGATCGGTGGAAGATCCGTCAGATTGCTATAAACACCATCTGAGAAGTGGAACAAGATCGAGTTTGCCGGGAGCGGCTGATGGAAACTCTCCAGCGTCTTTCCCAAGAACTGCAATGATCGTAGATGAACCTGCATTTCAACCAACAAGATATGTTCTGGGATTTCTGCCGTCTTGGACCAGATCTTTATTATCAGTCTATCCATTCGGGAGACCTGTGGACCACATAGATTCAGATCAAAGGCCCGGAAGTTAGGATTGTTTGCACGCTCGGCGACCTCGCTGACGTAGACCGGCTCTTCGATTCCCTCACAATGCAGCGAGAAAAAGGAGTCCACCATGCGGCTATTGACTATGTCTTCGAGTTTCACCTGTCGAGTTCGAGGGTTGGGGTCGTTCCAAAATAGAGTGCTTCGGCGACGTGGACGCATCGCGGGCTCTTTGTTTGCATTACTGTCTTTGTCCGCATGCGACTGCGACTTCAGATCAGTGAATGACTTTGATGGGTGTAAAGGGTGATTTTCGTTCTGTGATAGGAGCTTCGAAGCGGACTTTAAGGTATTAGGGATGTCGTCGTCATCAATAGTCTTGCCACGAGCCCGAGTCGCGGGAGGCGTCACAACCAGGTTGCGGATGGATATTCCTTGTAGATGTCTGAGCCTGCGGTTCTAGTCTCGTGTGAGTCTTTGGGGCAATGAGTTCCCTCGGTAGCAGAGCATACCCATGCGTAGAGCCACGGCCGCTCTCTGCGGGCACTTTCAGGCTCCGTGTCCGAATCCATGGCGCCGGTGCAAGCGCTGGGGAAGCACGGTGTTTAGATGGTGAGTGTCAAAGAGAGATAATCGCCCATATTCAAGTCGAACAATCCATCGCGTATAAGAAGAAAGTCGAAAGCAATTGAAGCGTGTCAGAGAGGCCCGATAAGAGATGCGGAGAGCAAGCAGGGCCGCCAAGACCTGCGTGTTCCCCGTCAAAAAATCGACCTCCCGTCTTCACTCAATCCCGCAAATCAACACCTGCGACACTCGATCCAGACTCGTGTTGCCACCTTCCGCCTTATATTAGCAGTACGCAGCCTTCGGATCGGCCGCAATGGCCTCCATCAAACAGGCCTTCCAGAAAGTGCTGGACTCAACGGCACTCGCGACCACAAAGTTCATCCGCCGACCCCCAATTGACCCGAAAACCCCGATTCAAGGACAACCAAGACAGCCATCCTCAAATGCATACAGACTTCACCAGGAAAAGGAAGGTCGGCGGTTACAGAAGGCCCTGAACTCGCTCACACACGGCCAAAACATCTTTGTGTACCACAACCTTCGCACGAAGCAGGTAGTGTACTCATTGACCCGTTACTTGGAGGTTAGTAGCAATGTTTATTTTTTCGGATGGACACAAGCACCTCGAATTGAGCTTCCATCCAGGCTCCTGCGCCAATTCCCCTCCAGGCTCTCGACAGTGCGCAATTTTCTAACCCTCGCTCTAGAAAGCCAATGTCCTCAAGCAATGTGTCTACCTTGGAAAGAAGACTGTTCCCGCCGAGGTCCGCAAGGACATGTGGGTTCCTTATTACTCCTTGCACTTCAACGAAGCACAAGTCGGATTGAACGTATACAACCTGCTGCGCCAATTCGCACTCCTCCGCCAACTCTCCCCACCTAAGGAAATGATCACCGTGACAAAAGAATATCTCGACTCCAAGCGTCCCCGGGACCCGCGCGATCAAAAAGAATGGGATGATCACAACATGGGCCGACTTGGTCACATTATGAAACAGAAGGAGCGCGCCAAGGTTCTCATGGACCAGAAGGCCACTTCGATTGCCGATGTTGCTTTTGTTCTTCAGAAGCAATCAGACGATATCCTCAAAGGTCTCCCTGGATACACAAAGTCCGGATACAAGACGCTGAAGGCGCGTAAGCGCAGGCGTGCGGCTCTCAAGGCTGCTACGGAGCTTGCTTCGGAGCGTGCCGAGCAGATTTCTTCCCTGGAGGAACAGCTTCAGGCTGAGATCCGTACGGATGTGTCCAAGCCTGAGGAGCAGCAGGTCAAGATCCTGTGGCAGGATCTTTACGATGCGCAGTATGCCAAGGAATGGCCTGAGTTCATTCATCACGGTCAGCTGCGTTGGACTCGTAACCACATCATTGGTCAGGAGGCAGTTGAGGGAGCCGATGTCATTACTGATGGTACTTTCGAGGAGGCTAAATAAGCCTTTGGTATCATTAAGTTCTTTTTGATCTTGCCTGTCTTTCTTAAAAGTCAGGCAATGTCATGCATGTGTTGATATCTACTTCCATCTGGTTTCGGCCTGGGCGATGGACGGTGCTTTTTTTTGTATTTTCTTTGCCGTGTCTTTTGTCTAGCTTTATTCTAGCATCCATCGCTACATAAATTGTACTTTTAGATATATCAAATCCCATCCCACAGCCGTGTTTCAGTGGCTTGGTTCTTCTAAACATCATCTGGCCGGAGAATATCAATCCAAGTAGCGTATTGATCAGAAACTATTGGCGATTTTGAGCTCAGCTGCAGCAACGTAAACACGGCAATGTCCCTTTGTACAGAGCACGGAGTACAGTGGGACAAAGATATGTGGAAATAATTTCATAAAAAAGCACGAAGCCTAATCTCATACAAGTCAGGTTTAGGACAAAAGCCTAATAATAAAAACGTCCTATGCTTACAAGACACTCAGACTACCAGGTCTGACATCAGAAGTTTAGAATCTCAAAAAGAAAGAAAGAAAACAGGGGACCGAATTCGCCACTGCCGCCAATGTATGATCTCAGAGAAATTCCAAGACGGTATACACATGGCACACATTGCCAGCCTCGAAAACAGACGAACGGAAAGAGGATCTATCCCATTTTGAAATCTCGTATCACTTCATTGAGCCAGAGGGGTTACTGGGACTCTTGTTCGGACTCAAGATATCCACAGAGGGAAGGTCGTTACTCTCATTAATAGACATCTCAGGTCCAGGCTCCTGTTTATGGCTATGGCTGGCCATCTTCTGGAGTGTGTCGTTGGTGGCTTTCTCGGCCGCTTCTGGGTCGTTCGCTAGGCCTGATGAAGCAATGGATTTCCGTGCTCCTTCGACGATATTATCGGCTTCACTCATGCCTTGGGATGTTGTGTTATCGCCATCCACACCTATCGGGTCTGCATTGCTGCTGACGACGTCCTTGACGCGATTGGAATCAAGTCGGATGACCATGATGGACAGATTGTCGGTGCTGAATCGGGCAAGTGCGTGATCAACCAAGATCTTGGAAGCTTGTTGGGCGTCATGCTCGTTTCGGATCAGATCTACTGCTTCTTGGTCGCTGCATACGTCCCATAGCTGGTTTCTAGTCAGTGCATGTGTCAAAATCGGAAGGGTCAATAGTCTCAACTTACACCATCGCAAGCCAGAATGATGAACTCATCAGCATCTGGCTGGATGACCGTCTCTGTTGTATAGGGATGTCCGGTCACGAGATCCTTTAGATAGGCGTCACCTAGCGCACGGGTAACAGCCAGCACTCCATTGACGCGGTTGTTCAAGATCAATCCTCCGGCATTGGAGATTCGCCTGCCTTCGGCCTCATCACTTCCCTTATGGTCATAGGAAAGGCGAAGTGCTTTCCCATTGCGACATAATACGATGCGCGCATCGCCCACATTTGCCGTATACAGAACCCGAGAGCGTATAGCTTTGTCCTGCAGTTTCGGCAAAACATTGCCCGGGGAATCTTGGGTTGGGGTCTCGGTGTTCTCGGCATTCTTTGTAGCCGCAGCAGCCGCAGGTGCAAGTGCTGAAGATCCGGTTGCTGACTGTGAGCTGGGTACGCGGTCCTCCCATCTGAGCACGGCGGTGACGGCGGTACATCCAGAATTCTTGACAGGAAGCTTCTCCAGTTGCTGATCCACACTCGTAAAAGTCTGATCAAGAAGCTCTGGAACGGGGGTGTTGGGGCTTCTGCGCATGACCTCCTCGAGAATCAAATGTAACTTCTTTCCACACCACTCTGCTGCAAATGTTCCCGCATGACCGTCAAAGATCGCGAAATATCCATTGTCTGTTTCTACGACATTGGAGGACTCCTCAGATGCTTGCGACGCACTAGTCCCCAGGGGAGCGCCATTTGTGCCGGGTGAACCCGGTGCGGGGGTGCCCAAGAAGTTGTAGAGATAGGCATGGGTATCCTCCATTGTACGACGGCATTTTCGGTTACGGTCTTCGGTCACACCGACGCGGAATGATGATCGAGCGGTTGGCGCAGACTCTCCAGCAGAGTTGTTGAAAGAACCTTGGGGGACGCTCAGGGCGGGGTCCATCTTTCCAAGCTTCTGGAGCGGGCTTTCCGCGATGGAAGGGCTGGTACTGAAAGACGAGCTGTCCCGACCGTTTATACTCAAAGAGCTCTTTGCGTTGCTGAAAAAGTTGGCAGCTTTGGTGACAGTGCTGCTTCGGCGCTTTTTCTCTCCGGTGGGACCCTGATCCTCACTTGTTCGACGGAAAAATCCAGCGCCTGGGGGAGAGAATTGAGAGAACCTCTTCTCGCGTGGACTAGTGCCGGTGGTACCGGTGGTGTCGGTCTGGATGGTCAAGGAGCTAGGGTCGAGGCCGGTCTCCGGGAGAGTGTCTACTTTGTCTTTGGGTGGACTCGAGGAGCCACTGAACATCCTGTTCAGTAAGCCACCCTGCGAAGAGAAACTGCGGCGCTTATTTCCTGCCAGCTTGATTGTATCCCTTCGAGAGGAATGAAGCGCACGGGGTGGTTTGGGGATAAGCGGGGTGAATATGGGCGCGAGACTGACGTAGGGGTCGGTTGAGGCGGAAGTGGATCAAATGGACTATCAGTTCAATATAAATCAGTGATGAGACTCTTGGGGACCCAGAGAGGTGTCTGAAACGCGAGAGGTGAAGTAGGATGAATTAGGCAGTGAGTAACAGACGTGTGATCAATTGGGGCGCATAGCACAATCACGGGCAGTCTATCTCCTTTCTGCCGATGAATTGCAACAAACAATCAAAAGATGAAACAAGGTGATTCAAGTCAAGCAATTCAAGCAATTCAAGCGACGCAGAGAATCCAGCGAGACCTCGGGAATTCAGAGTATCCCCGATAAGCTAATGAGACCGATGCTCCGAGACCAGCGATAGCAAAGTACGGGGGGAATGTACGATGTATGACAGCGCATCACCCTCGCAATTGGAATAAGTCACTTACCTGATATGTATATGTAAAACGGTTCCAAGTCCTGAAAGTTGGTAAAAAGGTGCAAAGGTGAAGAGGAAAGTGTCCAGAGAGAGAGAAGTTGGGAGAGGCACGACGGCTCACGCGGCAAGCCAAGGCCGGGGACTAGTATCAATTTTAAGATCGAATCTTTAGATCTTCAAATGCAAGGTACCTTAATACCGATCCTGCTCCTGAAGTCTTTAGTTTCCTTATACTTAAGTCTTATCATACAGACATGATATACATATATGCCCAGTCTATACCCCGGATTTCCCAGGTCAAAGTGGATGACGCAGGTTTCTTGTTTTCTGAACTATGATGCCACCATATATATGCATTGGCGAAAACCATACTCAAGTAGTAAAATTCCATCATCGAATGTACAAGTATCATTGTAATCACCAAGAACTAAAGTCTCCATACCCTCCAGATTTGACCTTTTTCCGAACGGGCTCGGGCTCGGGCTCATCTACGATCCCATCTTCTCGATCCGCCAAGGCAGCCTGAAGATACTTGCCAATGCCACCAGAGCCTTCGTTCGTTTCAGCACCAGCACCGCGAACTCGTTTTCCAGTCCATGTGACTTGATCGTCTTCTGCGCGACGGGCGCTCTCTTCCTCTTCCTCTGCAGACGGGCCAGTAGCACCTGAAGCGCGCGACTCTTCCGCTCGTCGCTGAGCGAGGAAATCCTCAAATGGATCGACAAAGACGACAACATCCTGAATGCGGACTTCGGGTGTTGGCCGGTTTGTGTTTGCTTCCACAGGGCGTGTCTCAAGCGAATTCAAAGTAGCAGATGACGGGGTAGGGTCATCAATGATGCGGCCAAAGATAGTGTGTTTCAGGTTGAGATGGGGCAAAGCTCGATAGGCAATGAAACTAGAGATGGGGGTTAGGGAGGTACTGGGGCGCTGCAGACCAGACGGTGCACTTACAATTGACTGCTGTTCGTGTTTTTGCCCTTGTTGGCCATACTCAGCGTCCCCCGGCCATCGTGCTTCAGAGGACCATCGAACTCATCGGCGAAATACTTACCCCAGATGCTCTCGCCACCACGTCCAGTGCCAGTGGGATCACCACCTTGGAGCATGAAGCCTTTGATATTGCGGTGGAAAGGCACATCTTTGTAGTAGCCCTTTTTGGCCAGTTGGATAAAATTCCACACGGTTTTGGGGGCATACTCAGGATACAGCTCCAGGTTCAGATGGCCAGCGGTGGTTTCGATGCGCGCATAAGCCTTGGCCTTCACACGACCACGCTTGAGCATGTAGTCCTCTTCCGACAATAATGCAAGCTCGGCGGAAGTGTGTGGCGTCAGCCCCGTACTGGTGAAAGAGGCAGCCGCCTTTCCTGTGGTAAATTTGGCGGCGTTGTAGGGAGTAGGCTTTCCAGTTTGAATACTAGCCTTGGTGTTCGCAGCCCCAGGTTTTGAAATAGCCTTAGAGCCAGCTGTACTAGAGCCAGCCTGCTGGGCACGCTCAGCTCGAGCCTTCGCCACGGCCTCTTTCGCCTTCAAGATCTTCGCCGAGCTGCCCAGCGCATTGGCGTTCACACTCCCAGAAGCCTGTTGATCCCCCACAACACCCGCCTCTCCTTCCTTGATGTAGTTGAAGGAGCTCAGGTTGCGCGACTCGATGTTCTGCGGGTCCTGTAATGTGATAATATCCTTCCGGCTGAATTCCTCGTCTGTAACCAGGTCGCGCCACAGCTTCCCCTTGATGTTCAACCGCTCCACTGTATCCCAAGAAAACACATTGCCTGTATTCCGCAATGCGACAATATGTGTGTTATCGGTCAAGATCTTAAAGGTAACCGGGTCCACGTAGTCGCCATCCTCGTTCTTAGCAAGCGTGAGCTTGATTAACTCTGAGCTCTTCAGGGGCGACCCGTCAACGGGGTTTGTCCCATGCTTCTTGATCCAGGGTAAGATGTTGGTAAGGTCGAACAGCGTTCCATTTTGCGTGCAGACTGGATGCGAAAACGGTTGGAGAGAAAGGGAGCAGAAATTGAACGGTAGTCGCTTGAACGCGGCGTGCGGACCACTGTTCTTGGCCCTGGAAACACCAGCGCCTGCACTGGCTGAGAAGGCATCCTCTGACGCCCACTCGGAGTGTGTAATCTGGAGAAAGTCATGTTTATCAGCGAGGATTCGGCATGCGATCGCGCGCAAATCAGGTGAACTTGATGGTTTTGCATACGTAGAGTTTATCGGTTCCTGCAGATATAGTTAGTCAAACCACGATGCTATGACACGGAGCTCATTGTAGACACACCTTTACCCATGGCTGGTCAAGAAGCTGGTTCCAGCGCAACTTTCCGCAGCTCTCGGTGATTCAATGATGGCAAGACCTTACCGCTTCCGGTTTAGCCCAATCAGATCTATGAGAAGTACGAAGTATTTTTTGGGCGTTTTCCTTCTAGTCGTCTACCTAAGTAGTCCTCACAAGTTTTACTCAAGATCATACGGGATTTACGAAGATCACTTGAAGCTTAGAAAATTATTTCGCTATCTGACACTTTTGGGAGTCTACTGAGACAAGCCCAAGGGATAATCATACATACACAAGGGCCGTTCTTCCCACAAGAAAGCCCATGCAGAATAAAAAAAGACATGCTTGCAAGGCCCGAGTCAGCCCGCAAGGTGAAAACGCCTTGACAATGTAGGTCATTACTCATGTGAACGTTGAAGCCAGGAGAATAGCATTTAAGCCATCAGAGGCTGGTACTTTAGTGGAACCACCCATTTGTTTCCGAAATCAATACCGTGACGACGGCGAGTGCCATACTTGCGCCAGACGATTTGAGGAATTCCGATGTCGGCCACTGCCACTGTCCAGGAAATTCGTTCAGCGGACAGAAGGGCATTGAGTATTCCAGTCTTGGGGGCTCCAAGACACACCACGGATGTGGCATTAACACAAAGGCGAGCGCCCTCGGCGATAGTAATTTCTCCTATAAAATTCGTGTTAGTACAAATGTGCGGGGTTGAGTATTGTGCTATAAGCGTACCAGTGGAAGCATGGAGCCCAGAAGGAACATCCACAGAGAGCACGCCGACATTGCTGCGGTTGATCCATGAGATCATCTCGAAAGCCACAATTTGGTCGTCGGTTCGAAGATCATCAAAAGATAGATGCATGCCGAACAGAGCATCGACGAGTAGATCGGGGCCCAGGTCAGAGGTGGCCAGGCGGGAAGAAAGCTCCTCCCACTTAAGCACTCGTCCACCGACCTTGCGGAAGATGTCAAGTTGCTTACGGCAGCTCTCAAGCAGCTCGGCCTCATGTTCCAATCCAAGCAAACAGACGGTGACTCGGTGGCCACGATTACGGAGATGACGAGCCGCAGCGATCGCCCGCGCTCCAGTACGGTGGTTACCGGTAATGATGACCATGTTTGGCGCGGCTGCATCGTTGGATACCAGAGCGACAGCGGCCTCTGCGATGCCTCGTCCTGCATTCTCGGTAATAATCTCTTCGGCCAACCCAAACTCAGCAACTGAGATTTGCTCGATCTCCAGAGTCTGCAAAGGGCTCACGGTAGGGCAGCTGCGGTTGGTAGTCGTAAGACGAAGAGAACCGGCACCTGAAACATTGGGGGCAACCATTGGCGAGACTGACGATCGGTTAGGTCGAGGGCTGGTCGTACGCGAGACATTAACATGCAACTGGCTGCGACCAAGGGCACTAAGTTGAGGCATCATTGGTGGAGCGTGAATGGCACTATCCTTGCGAGATGGCTGAGCTCGTGGGCGCTCACGCGCGGAGAGAACCTCGGCACCCATTTTGATATCATTCCCACCCTCAAAGTCTTCGCCAGTAGTGTCACCGGTGTCACTGTTCTGGGGGCTATCAAGCACATTCTCAGTCCAGTGGAGGTTTTTACCTCCGTTAGTCCCTGGCTTGATCTTGCGATTGAAACTGACCAGGCGCTCTTCATCCGCGGTAGTGTCATCATTGCGAATTTGTTCAAACACAGTCCGCTTGTCAAATTTGGACAGGTTGCTCGCGAAATCGAATTCACCCAGCTCCTGAATATCAGTCGCATCCTCGGTAGCCCATCCACTAGGGTCCTCAGTGTAGCGTCGCGACTTCTTCTTGCGCAGCTTAGGCCCAGGTCGAGACATTGGCACCGGCGAATCCGGGAATGCAGGGCCTGCTGGCTCCACGAAAGCAGTTTGGCGCCAGCCCTTGCTCTTGGGGTTAGTACTTGCTGCAGCGCCATGTTTCGCAGCATGTCCCCTTTCATCGCTCAGATTTTCTTGGTGAGCTCGTCGGTTACGCTTGGGCGTTTGCTTTAGAAGTGACGGGTCTTGTCCTCGGTTCTTGTTGGAAGCCCCCTGCGTTCCTGCGTTGTCACCATGTGCATTTAATTCCAGACTGCTGAAAGGCTCGGTCAAAGAGGCTGAGGTTTTCTCCGGAACGTGATGAGCGAGTCCAGCGGGTGGCCTGTTTTCGGCGGACGGCTTGGACTTCAGAGGGGTGTAACTCAAGATCGCTGGATCCGTAAAATCCTGCGGGATCGGAGCAACCTGGGTAGGAGCCAATGGCGCATATGATTGAGGAAGAGTGGGAGCCTGTGGCTGGGTTACCTTTTGAGGCTGCGGAGGCACCTGGGTGTTGGTTTCGAGAGATAGATCGCCGATCAGAGAAGCATCGATAGAATATTGAGGAAAGCGCTGGCCATTCCAAAGCAGTGTCACTTTTATATCGTCAGATTGAGCATAAGTCAGGGTTGTCGACCGCCAGCTTACCATTGTTAAGCACCAACCGCTGCCCGAAGACATTGGCGACCTGGCCGATCAGCCTGGCACCCGGTGGCTCTTTCAGCTCCACCATGACATTGTAACCGATAAATTGCGACGCCATGATGATTGCAAGCCTACTTAGCCCAGCAAACAACCACCTAACGCGAAATTGACCTCTGTTGAGAAAGCGTGTTGAGAGAGGGGAGCAGAGTACGGACGAAAGCCGAAGGTAGCTTCGGCAGTGATCACGTGCATTCACTTATCGAGGCTTTTCATCGCGCCTTATCGCGATAAGCAGTGGGGTGTGAATCTAGCCCTGGAGGTATACTTCCCTGCCCAGATGTATAGCCCTACTCCCTACCTAGGTACTAGTATACAACCGATACCCCGTGCCCGTGCGGAGTACGGGGTAGGGATTACGGGGTACGGGGTACATATCGTAAGGTTCACTTACCCCGGAGCCCTGGAGCGTGTGAGCTCCACTGAGTATCCGTGGACCTGGATACAGATTCATGCCTACAGGTACCTGTGGACGGAGTATGGAGTGAGATGTTTTACATTCTACCACGTTTAGGAGCGGTTTGTACATTGCACATTGGATTAAAGATTGTTTGGTTGCGATGATATTATAGATAACACATTGTGCCCAACAATGCCCACACGAAGCCAAACACCGTATTCCACACAAGCTAGTGATGATCAACAATAATCAAAGTCGTCAAAATCATCTGGATTCAGCTCAGGTGGCTTGGGTTTGGTGGCCTCGCTGATGCTAACCAAGTTAGAGTAGAATTCCACTACTCTTGGATGTACCATGACCTTTCGAGGCTCAAATCGGGTAACCTGCAAACCCTCCTGTGACACTGCTCGACTCAGCGCGACGTAAGCTTGGCCCTTTTCAAAGACTTTGCCCAAGTCGACCTTGACACGTTGAAGTGTTTGGCCCTGCGCCTTGTGAATAGACAAGGCCCACGCTAGAATCAGAGGCACCTGTTGACGCTGCGCCTGAACCTCTCCATTGGGAAGCTCGATCTTCCACGTCTCGGGTTGGCACAGTAGGTGACGTTCTGATCCATCAGGTTGCATGAATGAGACCAATGGCCATTTTCGAGCCATGGGCGCTGGTGCCTTTTCCATTGCCATGGGTTTGAGTTTCTTGCGAGCATGCATGGCTTGCTCATCATCACCGCCCACTACTTCCGCATTAAACTCTTTGTCGTTTTCTCGATATAAATCAAAGTAATCTTCGCTCATGAAGGCCACCACTTTTCCAATTGAACCATTGACGAGCGAGTCCTCCATGTTCTTGATGAGCATGACCTGAGCCCCCTTCTTTAATTTGATCATGGGAGGTGCCATGCAGTTAGATAACAATCTGTCACGATGGCTCTGATCCTGGATCGACCCAGAATCTACGGCATTGAACATCATTGTTTCACCTGAAAGTCTGCCCATTCGTGCAGAGTTGGCGCCTTCCACTTCCGCGCGAGTGGGGAATCTTCCTGGGGTTAGTTTCGGCATTTGAATAGGCAGGTTAGGGAGACATACAATTCTGTCGCTTCAAGTGAGTCGTGGAAATCAAGAGGGCGAGAGAGCCTTCGGAACGCCTCAATTGTCTTGGGGGTGATTTTGCCAAGTCGCATTTCATTCAGCATGTCTGCAAATTCCGGATCTCGCTGACGGAAGACGTTCGTCAATAGAATCGTATGTTGGATGCAAGTAGTCCATGAGGCAGCAGCGAATGCAAATTTGGCCTCACGATTGCCTCCTTCTGGCACCGGAGGAAGCTGGAAGAAGTCACCTGTGACCACAAGTTGAATTCCTCCGAAGGGTCGACCGTTATTGCGCATCCGCCGGGCGATCTCTTCGAGTTTATCAAACAAGTCTCCGTCGACCATAGACACTTCATCAACAACAAGAACCTTTGTTCGAATCCAACGGTTCCTAGCCTTTTGGTTCTTTTTAATCTGTAATTTGTTAGTGTTGACTGCCATCGGTTGAAATGAGCATACCAACCTTTTTAACGAGTTCGGGCACCGGCTCTTTACCCAAGCCTATACCCGCAAAACTGTGCAAAGTCACGCCACCAATATTACAGGCTGCAAGGCCAGTTGATGCGGTGACTGCAACACGATCAGGCTCCTTGCGGAATTTGTTACGCAATTTGGCAATAATTTCCCTCATGAGCACTGATTTACCCGTTCCCGCGGAACCAGTGAAGAACATGCTTTTCCCTCGATCAACAACTGCATCAAGGACAGCTCTTTGCTCGTCACTCAAGAAAACGGCAGGAACTTTCTGCTTTGGTTCCGATTTGGCGTCAGGTTTTTGAGTCTTTTTGTATTCCTGCCGTAACACCTTCTGCTCTGCCTTGATAGTGCTCTCTGACTTGTTCCAGGGCTCTGTAGGCTTGGTACGTTTCGGTGTCACAAAACTCTCGTTCTTGGCCACGACTGGTTCCTTGGCCTCTCTACTCCACGGAAGAGTTCGGGGTTTGTTAACGGGCGGCTGGTAATGGGAGGGAGGCGATGACGACCATGGCATTGGCATGCTACTTGGAGGGGCCAGTGCATCTTGGGAAACGGAGGGAAGTTCTGGGTAGTCAATGTCGGGTTGTGTGTCCAGACTTGGATAAGTGACTGGCTTGGATGTGATGATGCTTGCAGAGCTCGGTGCAATTGGTGGCTGTGGCTCGTCAAAGTCGATATCATCGTCGAAGTCGTTTTCAGTGAAGAAAACTGCGCTGTGGAGAGAGCCTAGTGACGATTCGGTCTCGATCTTTCGCTTGACACCAGTAGATTGAGGTTGCGATTTCGGTGGAGCCGATGCATTCGTGCGTAAAAGGTCGGTCTGTTGAAGAGGTTTCGGACCTCCGCCCGGGTGATCTTTGACGGCTTTCTTGAACATTGTGCTTTCTTCTGATGTTGCGGGTCGAGGTGAGGATGAATACGCGGATGAACTCAATAATCTCCTTGAGTAGCTCAAAGAGAATTGAAGTGTGTATAGCCCCCGCGCCCTAACTCGAGCAACATGCATAAAATGAGATGCCAACAGGCAATTGCATGGAGACACGCAAGTTCCGATGGGGACGGAGATCGATTTTCCACAACGCGTCGTGGGACGCGCCTATCTACACGTGATCTTAGATAACAGAAAAAGACAACAGGAAGCCCCCCCTCCAGGGCTACCTAGGTAATATTGGGCTGATCTTATACATGAGTCTCTGCGGAGTACGGAGTACATCTAACTAGATATATACGAGTACAAAGCAGGCTTTGTGGGGAAACATTTCTAGACCATGTTAGATGACTTGCGACTTATTTGATGTCTACCCGACGGCCTGACACACCATTCTTCGAGTGTAAACTGAGCGAGGCGTAATCGATTGCAGTGCCGCAATACATTCTGCGAGAGCTTTCAAAATACTGGTTGACACATTGAAGTCAAGTAGAAACTGCGCTGGTCCAAGAAAGTCACGTGATCCTTATCGCTACGGAAAACGCGCGGGACGCGATCCACATCTCCAATCGCGACAATACCTCGCTCACAACGCGCTATTGAAGCATTCTGCATGCGGTGACCATGAAGCATGACAGCAATGGCTGTTTCAAGTACGTGGAACCCTCGTGGCTCCTGACATGACGGTTCAATCGCTAATGATATCGTGACGTAGACAAAGACTACCCTTTGAAGGGTGTAGTCATTTGCTTTACGTCGGTTCAGATTGAGAGGAGGGCAAGTATACCTCGGGACTTACTTCCCAAATCCTTTGTTTTCTGGCTGACTTTTGCTTTATTCATCAGACCCCATTGACCCAAATGGCGGAGCAAATGGGCGCATTACACAGTATCCATCTTACTTCGGATGTGACCCATCTCCTTGTGGGGGACACCGACAGCGACAAATACAAGTTCGTGGCAAGAGAAAGGAACGATGTGTTGGCCATGAAACCAGAATGGATCGAGGCCGTACGACTATCATGGACACAGGGAGAGGACATGGACATAGCAGCAATGGAAAAAGAACACAGACTGGCACCTTTGTTTGGTCTCAAGATCTGTATCACGGGGTTCTCGGACCGTGAGTCGGTTCCTTTGCAAATGGAGATAAACGTATTACTAACCATTACTCCGCAGTTCCATTCCGAGCTTACATGCAAAAGACAACGGAGGAGAATGGAGCCGAATACCGCAAAGACTTGACGAAATCAGTGTCGCATTTGATTGCGCGCGACGCAAGCGGCGAGAAATATAAGTTTGCTACACAATGGCAGATAAAGGTTGTTTCAGTGAAATGGTTCACCGACAGCATCGAGCGTGGAATGATCTTGGATGAGGATAAATATCATCCAACGGTACCGACAGGAGAACAGGGTGTCGGCGCGTGGAATCGATCTCTCCCGTCCCAAAGGGAACCCACCCAAAGAGACAGCACAAATCACAACGAGAACCCCGGGAACCCACGGCCTCGAAAATTGCGCAGGGTGGCAAGCACCAAACTGGTAGACCAAAATGAAAGCATTTGGGGCGACATCGTGGGAACCGGATTCGCCAATGAATCGAATGGAGCCGACATCACCCCCAAAGGACAAAGGCCTGAAGCGCCCAGACCTGCGGTACAGGTACAAAAATCATTCGCCAGCGAAACTACATTCTCAGAAAGCACTCAATCCAATCAACAGTCAATGCCAGCACCAGCCCCGGTCAAAGACAATGGCTTTTTACATGGGACCTTTTTCTTGATCACCGGGTTTTCTTCTAAGCAGGTTTGTACTCTTTCTCCTTTTATTTCAGCTCAATGACACTAACTGGTGGCCAAGACTAAAGTCCTGCGAGAGCATCTGACTTACAACGGTGCCCGGTTAGTAGACTCACTAACTGATTTCTCCCGGCCTTCTATCCCCAAAACCGGGCACGGCCTGTTCATCATGGTGCCCTATCAGACCCCAAGGTCGAAAATCCCATCCACGGACGATATGGCGTTTGAATGTGAGGTAGTTACAGAGATGTGGTTAGAAAGGTGCATTGATGCCCGGGCTTTTGTCCCACCAGAATCCCATGTTGCAAGCACTCCATTCCCTGATTTTCCTCTACCAGGTAAGTGCTATCAACCTACAATAGTATGGCGAATCTAACAGACTAAGGATTTCCGGAAATGCGTATCTGTTCCACTGGCTTTGGACGTATTGACCTTTTGCATCTACGCAAGGTAGTTGAGCTGATGGGTGCTACGTATGGAGACTTCTTAACGCAGAAGGCATCTGTTCTTATTTGCAAGGACCCTCAAACGGCCAGTTCAGACAAATTACGCCATACATCAGAATGGGGAGTTCCAGCAGTCTCTGCGGACTGGCTTTGGATTTCGATCCAAGCAGGGCAAAAAAAGCCGTTTGATCCGTATCTTGTTCGACGACACCCTTCACAAAATGTCAGCAATACCGAACAAACTGGCCCTGGTTCTGCAAAGCGAAAGCACCTACACCAAGCCGTTGATGAACGACGGCGAACAGACTCGCCACTCAGTGGCTCTATTGATTCTCAACCAAAGGATCTAAGGAGACAAGACTCCGCGAAGGGAGCAACGAGCAGAACGGTACCGGTTATCGGAGACGGGTTCGAGGACGATGCACCAAAACCCTCTGTGCCCGAGTCTAGATCTCCATCCCCGGCTAAGATACCAGAACAACAGGCCGTGGAGGAACCTAGCACAAAGGAGACAACTCCGAACACTGATTCAGCACCTAAAACCGGCCCATCCGCATTAGATACTGCACTAAGTGGCCTCCTTCAGCAAGCCCGAGCTGCCAAATCAAGGCAGCAAGCTGAACCCACCACCGACACCAGCAACCCATCCAGACGAAAGCGCAAGCCCCTTTTAGGCCGCGCGCCTTCCCATACTTCAGCAAAGACTCTGGAAAATACACTCTCACGCGCCAGCTCAATTGACACATTGAACGACGACGGCCTCGGCAGCGCCCTTGAAACCGCTCATGCAACAAGAGACAACTCCCAATCTCTCACCCGAGGCGAACAGAGTCTATCATCTATGCTCAGTGGTGGGAAATTCGATTTCTTGAATGACCGACTGCCAGCTCACACCGAGGAAGAAGACGAGGAAAACCAGCAGCCACAGATGACACAGCTGGATTATGAGGACCCCGACGCGGCTGCCATGAGGACTGAATTCCTCCGAGATGCAGGGAAGCTATCGGACAAAACGAAAACCGGCGGTGGTGTGCATGTCGGGGAAGTGCGGGAGTTAGAGGATCTTGGGTGGGCTTCTGGGCGAAGGACGAGGAAGCACCCTATTCGAATCGATGATGACTGACATCTGTTTGGGTTGGTTCTTGTTTTCGGACGCTGAGTTTTGATGCAATCATATTGCATGTATTAGCGCAGACGTGGCATTGCATTGCGAATGGCGCCCTCTTGTCTATCTAGTCATTTGGGTGATACATCAACCCTTGACTATGATTTAATATCACTTAAAGCATGAAATTCTTACATGCACAAGACCATGAACATGGAAAGGTTGCCGTAGACTAGAGTCAACATTCATTCTGGTATTCGTGGTTGAGTTGGGGCATAAAGTACAAAGTACGAAGTAATCTGATCATACTTGAGAAGGGAGAAACTTTCGGGCAGAGATACGCATTCTGAATTCAGGTGGGAATCTTAAATGAAGAAAAGTAAAATGCTACCGGTGCACGTTAGGTGGAATACAACAAAGACCAAGAAGTCCATTCGGTCGATGTGGGTACACCATAGAACGAGGGGCAAAGAGAGAGCAGGGAATAAAAGATGGAAAGATGCAGACTGTACAAGTGATTAAAGGAAGAAAGGAGGCAAGTGAATAGAAGGATCGTAGGAATCATCAGTGGTTGTACAAATGTGGGCCTGGGGATTAAGCCTCCATTGCTGCAGCCATGCCGCCAGGCAGGGGAGCATCGAGATCCAGATTTTCAACAGTTCGGCGGTTCTCACTGCTATCCCGGAACAGGTTCGAGAAGTACTTGGTGGCAACATCACTCTCCTGCTTGATTTTGGTGACCTCTTGCTTGCGTCTGCCCAGATCCTCCAGATCTTGAGAAAGAGAAGTTTGGAGATTGCCAGCGGGCATGCGCAGCATGCGGCGAACCTCAGTCGAGATACGGTTGGCGTTTGAATGAATATAGTCCATATCGGCAAGCGTTGCAGCAATCTTCCGCGAGAGGCGTGGTGGAAGGGTTGACGGGATAGAATTGAGCACATAAGCGGTTGTCAAAACAGCTGTTTTTCTCATGTTAGCGCTTTCGGTAGTAGACTATGGATAGATTTTTGAAAAAAAACTTACCAGCAGCAAGAATGCTGGGGAAGAACAGTCGGCGCAGGTTGTTCGGACCGATAAGTTTGACGGCACTCAAGGCGCTGTCCACCCAGCTGAATCCACCCAGTGCCCGGCCACCCAAGACAGTGACCGCAGTCATTGCCACACCTGTACCCGCCATCTTCTCCTGGCGCTCCCACAGACCAGCGACGTCAAAGAAGTCCCATAGTTCGACCTCGGTGTCAACTTGACGACCAAATGTGTGGCGGCGACCACGGCGGAACATGGCGTCGGCACGGAAGTTGAGTGGGCTGAACTTATCTTCACCGATGTGCAGCAACCCAATGTTTTGGATAAAACCGACTCCTTGAACAGTCTTCTCGCGAGCGTAGTCCTCACAATCGTTAACTGATGAAGCGATTTGGTCCAACATTGCTAGCTTCAGGTCCTCGGCATATTGGAACACCGAGAAAAGACCAGGGTATTCGACACCGAGGTCCACATCAGATACACGGGTGATTGTATCGGTCAAAGCTGAGCGAGTGTGGTTGTAGACATCATCGCACGAGTCATCTATGGCTTTGTTGACGCCTTCTGCAAGCTCCACCTTCTTCTTCTTGCCACTCTCGAAAGCTGGCTCAATTTGAGCAAGCTCATCTGTCACTCGCTTGAGCTCTGTTTGAGCAACATCGCGGTTGACAGTGGCAAGGGAAGTAAGATCAGCCAGAAGATTCATAAGATAGGTTTTGGCAGGCGCAAGCTTAGACCGAGAGCGCTTTTCGAGGACAAATCGTCGCAAAGCTCCTTCGAGATTCTCAAAGTCCTGGAGCTTCTCGCGCTCTTTGCCCTTACCCTTATCTTTGGAATCTTTCTTGTCATCGTCGTCATCATGGGGATCAGAGCCACCGCCATCACCACCACCAGAGCCTGACTGGGAGATAGCGGGGGGTGCAACTGGAATGGCATTGCTTGAAACAAAGTGAACAAGCTCAGCAGACTCCTTGTATGTACGAGGGCTGAGCTTGCCAATCTGGTCCAAGATCATGCGTTCACAACGCTGCTTGTCCCGGATTTGGTCGAATCCGTTGACGACCATGAAGATGTATGCCTTCTCATGAGCAGCATTCAGGATGAACTCCTTTGCAGAGAGCGTGAAATGGTTTGCAGCTGAGACAACGAAAACAACAACATCGATTTCCTCCTGTCGAGCAAAAACAGCAGTGGTCTTCAACGAGTCGGAGTTGAGACCAGGCGCATCGATCAAGGCGATGTCAACGACACCGTTGTTAAGTAGCGATTCATCGATGGACCGTACATCCTTGACATAGACCTTACACTGCATGTACTTGGTATTCTCAATGACAATGTCCTCGAGTTCGGCGAGAGAGTAGACGTCAAATGTGCTTTCGTCGTTGCGGTTATATGGCGTATCCTTGTGGACGGCGTGTACCTCTTCAGTTCCACAGTTCTCACGAGCATCGAGGACTTCGCAGAAGATGCTGGTGCAGGGCTGCTGGTCTTCAGGCAAGACCTTTCGGCGCAGCAAAGCATTGCAGAACGTCGATTTGCCTGCGTTCAAGTCGCCTGTAATCAAGACCTTGCTTGATGTGTCTTCAATCCTGTCTCGCAGTGAAAGAAGATGTTTCATGCTTTGGCTAATCTTCCCATCCAGCAGTGAAGCAATTGAAGCCTTTTCCAACGAGTGGACCAGTTCTGCCTGTGAGAGAGCACCGAGCTTGAGGTCAAGTTTCAAGATGGAGAACTCTTGCGCAATCTGTGGGGTCATCAACCTGGGCTCAGCTGGGGCCCGGCGTTCGGCAGAGGCGCTGGATTCTGCGAGATCCTCACTGCCCATCGTCGTAGCTGCGCGTCTCAAGTCGGGGCGGGGCGGGGTGGTTGGCCTATCGCCGTCGCCGAACTCTGAATGGGTGTGGTTCAAGGGTGGTCGATCAGCAGGAGGAGTAGAGGCGCTCTGTACGGAAGGATAGTGGGCAGGCCATTGGCGGTTCATGTCCTGGAGCTCCTTCAAGGTATCGATAGTCCGGGAGATTGCGCGGCCGAGTTTTGTTCGGTTCGAGTTGCTGGAAAAGCTTGTAAGCCTTGGAGTCCCAATCCGATTTCGATTGGAGGCAAGTTAGACATACTAGAGAAGTTGAGAGACATGACTGGCAACCACTTGCTTTTCATGCTCAGCTGTGCACAAACAGATTAGCCCGGGTTATTCGTACTGCGATGCGCAAGAACTGGGGTTACCAACCAGCGGGGTTCCATTCTCCTGGACGCGTTGGTGTATGTACTGGTGTCGGGCGATCCTCCATCAGTCCTGCACGCCAAGCCGCGTTCGAGTCTTCTTCCATTGCGCTTTCGCCGGCAATACTGCCTCCATATCCAGAATCTTGGTTCAAGGATGTCATTAGAGCCGTGGCGCTGTCGGAGGTCGAGCCGTTGCCGACGGTCATATAGGCCGGTGGGGGAGGGAAAAAAGGGCTCTGCTCAGGTAACTCTTCCTCGCCAGGAAATCTGGACGAGGCAGCACCGGAGGAAGAGCCCTCAGCAGGGTAATATTCCTGACTCATGACAAAAAGAAATCCACGGCGTGGGCAAAATCCATCTAAAGCAGAAAAAAAGAGGTTGTGTTTTTTTGACCGTTTGATTAGAGATGATTTCCCAAGGTTTGATGACGTCGGTCCCAAAGAGGATTAGCGCTCATGTGACCCGGTATTGTCGTAACAACATTGTAATATTACCATACTGCGATTGATGTCACTGTTTCTAGGGTACTCATCGGGGCAGCCTTCTACATCGGACTTGACATTACTCCTTCCCTCGATCTAACTGCTCACTACTAGCCTTAACCATGAATGTAAGGCACCTCAGAAATTCTCCAAAATAGTGTCTCTACTTATACGAAGCTTATCAGATCGTGGAATGGGCTTTTGGCAAGCGCATGACCCCCGCGGAGCGTCTGCGCAAACACCAGCGTGCCTTGGACCGAACACAGCGTGAGCTAGACCGCGAGCGGGTAAAGCTGGAAAACCAAGAGAAGAAGCTGGTTCAGGATATTAAGAAGAGCGCCAAAAATGGCCAGGCTGGAGCCTGTAAGATCCAGGCCAAGGACCTGGTTCGGACACGGAGGTTGTTTCCAATCACACCTATGGATCGTTGCAGTCTGGGCTAATGCGACGATGAAACCAGATACATCCAGAAGTTCTACCAAATGCGTACGCAATTACAGGCGATATCTCTGCGCATCCAGGTACGCGCAACCCGTCCTCAGTTGCCCCTCTTGGGATATCAATGCGCTGACTGTTATCACCCCAAAGACCGTGCGAAGCAATGAGCAGATGATGCAATCTATGAAAGGAGCTACCATGCTTCTCGGTAGTATGAACCGACAAATGAATCTACCAGCGCTGCAGCGAATTGCGATGGAATTCGAACGAGAGAACGACGTTATGGACCAACGACAAGAAATGATGGACGACGCGATTGACGAAGCTACTGGGATGGAAGGAGAAGAGGAAGAAGGAGAAGACATCGTGAAGGAAGTTCTGGACGAGATTGGTGTTGACCTGAACCAGGCTGTTTGTTTACCCTCAGTCATTGGAATGCAGGTTATAAGGACTGATGTATTTTGCAGCTGGGCGAGACACCCGCCGACATACAGAAGGCGCCAGTCAACGAAACACGGGTTGCGCAAGCCATCGGTGGTGGAGGCAATACCAGCGACGATGATCTCCAAGCCAGACTGGATAGCCTTCGACGATAATCATCACTTTTGTGTTATAGACAGGAAGCTATTGATACGACCTTACCCTGTCTTGCTGTTTTTAGCATGCCCTCAAAGATACTCATACCGTTGCCATTTTATGATCTTTCAACACGTCCAAATTTTAACGTCTAGTTACTCTTTACATCTATTTTCCCATGTCTGGGTAGTATCACATTGTTATAGAATGGTCTTTGTTTCCAAAGATCGGCCACCGTCTTTGATCGCCAACATTCGGTTGGAGACACTGAATGCTGAATCAAAACTATCTGGAACGAAGAACAGCCAAGACAAGACCAATGATGAGGGATCGCAGCGAACTTATATCTGTCCAGGGGGTGGGCGACCCTTCCAGATTTGTGCTTCCTCGTAACGGTCAACGCGAGGTCGCTTGAGAGGTCGGCCGGATTCGGCTTCTGCAGCAGACCATGAAGAGTACCAAGGGAACGAAGCCATCTCTTGTATGTCTGGCCGGTCCTCTGGGTTTCTAGCCAGCGCAGCTTGTAGCACATCCTGACAGTCCTGGGAGAGGGTCTCATGCGTTGCTATATCCTCGTTGATCATCCTCTTGCGTCTATTCTTGACCATGGTGTACTTCGGGTCCTCATACTTCGCAGAAAAATCCCCGTGCCATTTTTCGCAAACCTCTCGTCTCTCCCATGGCCAGTAGCCGTGTATAAATCCGTACACAATCGCCGAATATTTCCACAGAGAAACTTGTCTTTTGTCAGTTGGCAAGTACACCTCACTAGGCTCTCGAGCTATACCATTTGCATCACGTCGCGCTGAACCTTCATCCTGCCACCGTTGCTCGTGTTTCATGAGCTCAACGGCCATCTCCGGTCTCATCTGGTATTCCTGATAAGGGATATGTCCCTGATATTTAGATTGAAAGCCGTCCGCAGTGAGTGAAAAGTCAGAATTTCCTAGATCAATCAATTGGACGTTCAGGTCTCGGTCCAGGATGTAATTGTTCTCTGAAATATCACCATGGTAGATGCCCATATCAGCCAGATGAACCATACCTTGTAAAAATTGTTCTGCAATCTTGCAACCTTGCTCTTCGCTCACCTGGATCTCATGGTTGTCGGCGTTGATCAGATACACCCCCGAGAAAGGCGGGAACGTTGGCAGCACATATTTCAAAGTTCTGCTTTGCCTCCTTCTTCGTAGAAAGGCATCCTGATCGAGAATGTCAGCCTTTCCTTCTGGGAAATCGTCACCACAAGCTTGCATCACCAATGTCCATTGCATACCGTGTGTGTAAATTGAGTCGACGGTGGGGAATCTTTCACTGTTGTTGAGATATATTAGTATAACAGCCTCCTCCGGAATATAGTGTTGCCTCCCGGTAGGCTCCATAAACTGAACCATCTCCGGGTATGAGATGGATTCCATCAAATCATATATCCTCGTCTGGTGCCCTTGGGCCTTGATCGCATAGTGCTCGGGATCTGTGACGGGTTCTACTGCATCTTTATCCCCTTCTTGAGCAAGGAATGCTATTCCAAAAGCTACGTTTTGTCAGCAATGATTGCATTCGAAAGAAGGGAAATAAACTTACTTCCTTTACCTAGCACACCATGAATCCTGATTCTTTCCTGAAGGTCTGGGCAAAGCATCAGTATACCTCCAGTTACCCGCGCATGACCTCTTAACTCCGCTAACTTGTCCTGTTTAGTTTCCCAGGTATCTTGGAATTCTTGGTCATGGCCAACACAAGGAGCCTTAGGACTAGCCTTGGGGATATACTTGCAATTACACAAGGAAAAGTCCCGGCTGCCCCTTTGCTCAAAGACTGCCTGAATACGGGCGCGGAGATTCCGGCTGATCTGTGGATGTTGGTTAGATATGTCATGGTTGGGGTTCAACAGATTCGGGGCATTAGACCCAAACGAGCGCTCCAAGCTAGAGTATGACATACTACCTGCCGTACCCTTTGTAGTATAGATCGCATTCTGGAGGCTCTCGGGGTCGTTTAAAAAATGCAAGACCATCCCGAATTCATCGGCCTGATCCAGATCCATGCCCTCCTGTGTGAGCAAGGCCTTCCGCACTAACAAGGCCCCCTCAAACGGAGAGATTTTTGCTTCGCCGTTTTCACCCAGTGATTCCAGCGGAGCATTGGCTCCCCCAGGATCTCCTTCGGCCATAATGCTTTCTAGAGATCACGAGAAACAAAGGTATTGAAAGTGCGAAATTGGAATGGGAAACATGAGTACTCCATAACTACTGGGGAAGATGTTGTATTTATGCCAAAGGGTCCGAAGATCAAAGGAACAAAGTCATAGTATGCTAAACAATGAATCCCAAACAAGGAAACACGTCTCAGGTATCGAGGGCGTCCAGGTTACAATGAAAAATAATGGAAAACATATTAATAGTCACGCCCGGGTGAGCTGGGGCAATGCGGCTGAGGCAGATCAGGGCTACGATTGGCCCACATTGTAGAGCCTCAACCCAAACCCGGGCGAAAACACACATCTGACCTCCAGATATTGGAAGGCAGCCTTACTATCCGCAATCGGATAAATATCGAGGAATCTCTAGATATTTCCGTGACCATCCTATCCTTTGCAATCTCAAGTTCTATCATCTCTGAAATGCCAATGTCTTTCAAAGCCGAAAGTTTTCCCTATGAAGGCTACACCTTCGTCAAAGCAAGCCCGACGACCTCTGGTCAAATTCCAACCTGGAATTGCGTCAAACGAGTGCCGATGCGTCAAAGTCAACATGACTACTTCGAGATGATAAAGAAGCGGGCGACCAAAAAAACCGCATTGCAACAATATCAGAACATATCCTCGAACGCCAGACGCACCCATATAAATCAGTTGATAGACGAACAAAGGCAAATGGACCCTACAAAGGAGTGGAGCTGTGTCTACATCAAAGAACATACAAAGCCATTCAATGCCCAAAACGCTCGTTGGGGGGGATATGAGACTGTTTCCATGGATGTGATCATCATGCAAAGATCTGCAAGGACAACTCATCCAAGGCCCCCAGCTGGGAGCCAAGTGGACCTTGGAGCTGGATTTCGTCCATCATTTTGGGCTCAGCGCAGAGATCATCCTTCGATGCCGGGGCAGAATGCGAACCTGCCACGGGCTATGATCGAGGGACCGCAGTCTCCGGTAGCTGTGCTAGGTGATCGCCGTGAATCCCCAGGAGAAGGTCATGGGGCATATCCAACTAAAGATCAAGCACAGCATCGTGAGCCAAAGCAATCGACAGCAATTACGCCTAACCTGGCATCCAGTGCAATGGACAACAGCGACACAGACTCTGATTATACTTCACACTCATCGGGGGGTAGCAGCGATTCAGAGGATGATGTTATGGTATTCGACTCACCCGATAAGAGTTCAGAAGCAGGCGATCAAGTTAGTTTGGATCGCAAGCAACAAGCAGTCCCCCCAAAGAGGGCTCCTACTCGTCATGAGAACAGCCCGGTTCATCGAGGAATGACTCATGGGCCTCGTTCTCGATCTCGTGCAAAGTCCCACAGTCGTAGCCTTGAGAGGAGACTCAATCGAAGAGGCCCTGCCCGCGAACAGTACGAAGCATCTACTGCCAAGGGTCCTGGGCCTCTGGCTTCCGAGAGGGCTCGATCCAGAGGCTCTGTATCTGGAATCAGATATCGGAAGCAACTAATGAGCGACAATGAGATTCGAAGTCGAATGCTTGATCATCGTGAAGCAAGTATTGGGCATAGGGAGAGACAGTTCAAGAGGACCTTATATGGAGCTCACCAGCTTGAGTTACAGCCAATGAGTGACAGTGTTGCCGTCTGCCATTGTACCTGTCGTTGTGCCATGAGTGGAGAAGATGTGGATTGAGACATTTATTGGCAATGTATTCACGGATCTCTGCAGCAAGTTGTTGGTTTCTCGGTCATTTCGGATCCTAGGTTTGCGCAGACAAGGGCAACAAGATTGATATATGTGATATATGAATGTTTCGGGTGGACACTAGATTTATTTGCAAGACACGTTAATGAAAATGACTTAATTGGGCGAGATGCTGCACGTAAGGCCTAGGCAAAATCCAAGTACGGACTACTCCGTCAGTGTGGAGGGGAAGACGAAAAGTAAACGGTAGAGGTTATGTCATAGGATGCCTCGTAAATCAGGCCACAAGTGCCCCTCCATTTCACTTAACTACTTTAGCTTTCCCAATCTTCCTCTTTAGCTACTCCATCATTTATCTCTTCTTCCTTCAATCCCAATACATCCTCTCATATCCATCAATATGCCTCGCCAATTCTTCGTCGGTGGTAACTTCAAGATGTATGTGACCTCGAGCTTTGCTACATTTGCCCCTCCATCCTTGTCGATATGTAGCTGCAAAGACCATGCAATTGACCCCCTTGCAGGAACGGTGTTGCCAAGAGCATCACCGACATCGTGAACAACCTCAATGCCGCCAAGCTCGACGACACCACTGAGGTCGTCATCTCTCCCCCCGCCCTCTACCTCTCCTTGACCCGCGAGCTCGCCAACCCTAAGATCGGCGTTGCTGCCCAGAACGTCTACGACAAGCCCAACGGTGCTTTCACCGGAGAGATCAGCGTTGAGCAGCTCCAAGATGCTAAGATCAACTGGGCTGTCATCGGTCACAGCGAGCGTCGTGTCATCCTCAAGGAGACTGACGAGGTTGGTACCCCCCCGCAGTCCTTCGGGCTTGCAGATCCTACACTTCCACGAAGCAAAAAGCTAACCACCGTAACAGTTCATTGCCCGCAAGACCAAGGCCGCTATTGAGGGTGGTGTCTCTGTCATCCTCTGCATCGGAGAGACCCTTGAGGTACGTCATTTTGAACCCGGTTTTCTCATTTTCGTCCCGATCCCGATAGTGGGGTATCGGGTGAAGACCGGCTATTAGCTTGGAAAGAATATCCCGCTAACACCCGACTTATACAGGAGCGTGAGGCCAACAAGACCATCGAGGTCGTTACCCGCCAGCTCAACGCTGCCGCTAAGGAGCTGAGCAAGGAGCAGTGGGCTAAGGTTGTCATCGCCTACGAGCCCGTCTGGTATGAAATCACCCACTGACTGTATATTGACATGATCTATGATATCTAACACCTTCCTATAGGGCTATCGGTACCGGAAAGGTCGCTACCACTGAGCAGGCTCAGGAGGTTCACGCCGCCATCCGTGAGTGGCTCGGCAAGTCCATCTCTGCTGAGGCCCAGGAGGGCGTTCGCGTCATCTACGGTGGCTCCGTCAGCGAGAAGAACTGCCGTGAACTCGCTACCCAGCCCGATGTTGACGGTTTCTTGGTTGGCGGTGCCAGCTTGAAGCCTGCCTGTAAGTTCCAATCCTGTTTCACTTTGAACGTTGGTCATATCGATTCTAATACATCTGCAGTCGTCGACATCATCAACGCCCGCATCTAAAGGATTCCCATTCGAAACTAATACCCCATCTCCCCTTGACCAGAGCAAAAAGCTCTCATGTAGGCGTCAGATAGAATATTAAAAACTTGGAACGTCAAGTATATTGTCATGAATCTATGTACAGTTTTCGAAGTATATGTCGATATAATATAGGCGTCAACACCTGTAAAGCTTCGCGACTGCAAGCCTGGCAATGCAGGTGGCAGTTGAAGCAGTCTACCCACATCCAGCCAACAGCCTACGAGGAGTACAAGACCGACACACCAACCCCGCGCCAGAACGACATAGGAGCCCCGCCTCCACTCTGGGCCGAGCCGCCCCCCGAAGTCGACGAGAGGGAGGGTGACTGGGAGAACGAGCCCGGACCCAGCCCGACACCCGCACTCACCAGGAGCTCCTTAACTCGACCCTCCCAAAGAAGTCTGACGTTCCAAGACTGATCAACGCGTAGCTTGATGACAGAGTCACTCGTCTCAGGCTCACTATTAGTTGCAGAGCGCATAGACGACTCGGGACGAGCCGGGTCCTCTAGAAGCGGGGAGACCGGTGAACCGGGCAGGGCAACGCCGAAATCATGCATGCGTACTTTGCGTCGGGCCCATTCGAGATCGTCATCGGACGTGTTCTTGCACTTGGATTGGCGCCAGAGCTCACAGCCTGCCACCATTTCACTTTCCCAGCTGTAGACATTGAAGCCGAAGCGGGAGCTGAAGGCTAGGTTTGGTGTGGCTCGGAGTGAATAGCTCGTGGAGAGGGAACCCGTGATGGGTGTTAGGGTAAGTGTGAGGGTGTATGGGAATGTGGAGATTGGTGTTGGGATGCTGGAGAGGGATGAGCGCGATCGCGGTGAGGGGGTTGCTGTAGCTGCTGGTAATGTGCTGAATCGCAGGCCCGTGGACATGCCGATCAGCGATGATGTCGGGGAGTAGTATGCCTCTGCGCCTGCGGAGAGGAGGGACAAGCGTGATGGCGCATCATCGCGCGTATATCGAGGGTCTGGTCCAAAGTTCCAGAGCCCGCGCCAGCCAAATAGGGCATTGTCTGTGCTGAATAGATACTCGTTGCTGTATTTGCCCGTGTCATGGGAGAGTTGGGTGAGCATTGAGGCCTGTGGTGCAGATTTGGATTGTGGCGGTCCCTGTGTAGAGCAGACTGCTAGTGATAACTGCATGTTCGTGGAGATCCGGCGCAGGAAGAGCGCATAAAGGGTGGTAGGTGGTGGAAGGTGAAGGGAAGCATGAAGGAGGGTTGCTTTTCGCTTTACTTGGTATTCTTCGCTGATATTGCCATCCCCAACAGCTTGTTGTTTTGATTGTTTCGCATCCTTGAGCCCTGGAATACTCACACCATCTAGTAGCGAGTCCCACCCCCAGGTTTGTATGGGGGCAGTGGGGGCTTGTACTTGTCGGTATCCCGGGGAAATCTTTCGAAGCGGTATCAATGCGCTTCGACTAGGAAGGTCGTTGAATGGAACAGTACTGAAGAGGTATGAAACCGATCCATCAAGCAGTCCAACAGTGCCCAGTGTGTAACTGGTCGCAAAATGGGGGGTAGACAGCGATGAAAGATGAACGCGCAATCGCTCAGGTGTGGAGAAGTCGAGGATCGCTGCACATATTTGTTAAAAGACCCCCTCGCCGGTTAATGATTCTAGAACCACATACACTGAGCAGTAGTATTAAGCGATGAGTATGAGTTGTCGCGGTTCCAGTTAGTCGCCTCAGCGAAGGAGAGCTGAATGTAATCCATGAAATCCAGCATTGTCTGGGATCAGTGCTTGCAGGCAAACAGAGAGCCTGCAATACTGAATCAAGAAATCAAAAAAGGTCCAGATCTCGCGCGATTGAAGTCGAACTCGAAGGGTCCACCGCAGATATCCAAGCTTTATCCCCGATTCGGGTTAGCGTTGGATAAGCGGTGGAAGGATAATCCGGTTATCAGTGAAAAAAATGCCAAATGCCTGTGGGGGAAACATTCGATCTCTTGTTTGAATTTCTTGAATCCCCAATCACATTCATATAATTCATCATGCCCCGTTCAAAGCGTGCGCGCGTCGTCCACGAGTCCAAGACTGCCAAGAAAGACCACAAGGAGCAGACCCGTCGTCTGTTCGCCAACATCCGGGAATGCATTGAAGAATATGACCATCTTTTTGTCTTTGCGGTTGATAACATGCGTAACACCTACCTGAAGGATGTGCGCACCGAGTTTGCCGACAGCCGGTAAGCGGGAAATCAATTAGGTTTATGCATATCAAATTTATATCGAGAAGAGCGGATAAGAAATGTCGGACTCGATATCAAATTGATATGCAGACCTCCCATCAATGATCAATATTAACACTATTTCTGTACAGAGTCTTCTTCGGTAAGACCAAGGTCATGGCCAAGGCCCTTGGCCAGAACTCCGAGAGTGAAGCCGCTCCCAATGTGCACAAGCTCACCCCGTACCTCACCGGCGCCGTCGGCCTCTTGTTCACCTCTCGCACACCGGAAGCAGTCACTGAGTACTTCGAGACCTTCCGTCCCCAGGACTTTGCCCGCGCAGGAACTGAAGCCACCCGTTCTTTCAACATTCCCAACGGCCTTGTCACCGCCCGCGGTGGTGAAGTCCCCGCCGATCAGGACGAGCCTATCAGCCACACCATCGAGCCCGCTCTCCGCAAGCTCGGTGTCCCTACCCGTCTTGTTAAGGGCAAGGTTATGCTCGACCTGACCGAGGGCCAGGAAAGCTACCCCGTTTGCCAAAAGGGCGAGACTCTGGACTCCCGCCAGACGACATTGATGAAGATGTTCGGTGTGCTTTCTTCCGAGTTTAAGGTTGAGCTCAAGGCCTACTGGACCCGCAGTACTGAAGAGGTCAAGATCCTCGAGTCTGAGGGTGGAATGGAGGTTGACGCATAGATGGGGATCTTTATTTCTTTCTGTTTTTCTCTTTCTCTTTCCATTCGGCCTCCATTCGGCCGATAAAAAAAGAAACTCTGCTGGGCATCTTATGGAGTTTGGTGAGGGCGCTTTCTTTGCAAATATATTGAAGACTTGTGTTTTATATCTCTTTCTCTCGTCTGGTTTTGGAGGGCCTGTCCTCCTTTCGGATCATGAGCTTATGATAAGATTTGGATGCCGAGTCGGAAAAAATTTATAAGTATTACTCGTTCTGCGCTGTCGTTCACTGTATCAAGCCGGATTGCCTGAAAGTTCCAATAAGCTATTGCGGTCTGGGCTTGAGGAAATCTCATATCAAGCATCCAAAATGACACATCACTCCACTTGATGGGCTTTGACCGGGATACAAGGTAACCCGTAAAACACACCCCAGAGTCGTTAGAAATTCAGAATGGCGGCTTCAGGATGAGCGACAACGTCGAATCAGCTGCTTCGGCCTGGGATACTACCTCAACATCTCCGGTGTTGGGCCAATAGTCGATGTGAATAGCTGGGCGACAGACCAGCCCAGGTTCACATGGATCCACATACCTAGGTAGATCCTTAAGCAGCTGTGCGAACTGGATGGACAGACTTTAGATGAGGTATGTATGCTGGCTCGCAAATACCTCCCAGAAGACTGATCCGTGCGGTAGGATGGCTTAGCCCCAAACTTCGATTGTACGGGGGTCAAGGACGAGGAAAGCTTTATTCCCCGGAAAAAAGGATATGTTATGAACATATTGACATAGATGTGCCTATAAAACAAAATGAATAACGCCTGCCAAATCCATGCATCTTGGGTATCGGGAATAAGAGAGAGATGGCTATGAACACCTCTAAATGCAAATGATGGCTAAAAAGACGGGCAATCCAAGGACTCAAAGGAACAAGTGAGTCATGGCCGTCTGATTGCTCACTGGTTTATTGCAGTCTGCAACTTGACATCTTGAAAATGGCTTTGTCTTTGATGCTGATTTCTTAGACTTTGAGATCGATCGATTCTCGGCGCACTCGCCGCAATATGCCTAGAGAAAATATATTAATTTCAACTCCCATGCAATTAGTCTTCGAGCGAGAAACTCACATGCCCACAGGCTTTTGCGACATATATTTCTGGTTTGCGGCCGGATCCAGTGCCTAGCTCTTCATCGCAGTTGGGACAGACTGGTACATCCTGCTCTTCTAGGCGCCGCGAAAATCCCTTTGATGCCGGAGGTGGCGCTTTGTAAGAATCACGCTGAGAACGCGGTGCCGGTTGAGTAGGGGTATTGTATTCAAAGGCCGGGACATTGTATGGAAGCATCGCAGGCATGGAGTTCATGAACGAGAGCAAATCATCCCCATACCATGAGCCCGGGGTGCCTGACGATGGGATACCTTGACGATGAGTAGATTCTCGGCCTCTGGATCTCGAAAGAAGAAAATTATCACCTACCCACGGCCCTGAGAGACTTGGGAATGGAGCGGGCCTTGCCGGAGGGGGATGATACATGGAGAACCCATTGGAGTCAAAATAGGTGGGTTCCATTGGCATCGGTCTCACAGCGGAGGAACCGATAATCTCTACATCTGGGCCGTTTGGCGAGCCTGCTGCAGTGTTCCCCTCCGCTTCCAAGTCAATGACATTTGGTCCAGAAGAGTCGCGATTCATTATGTCCCGGAGAGGAAGGCGTGAGCTCGGTTGCGGTCTTCGTGGGGATTCTGGTTCTGCCGTTAAATCTATCACATCGTTCTCTATCCCCGGGGAGAGCATCACAGGGCGCCGATGATCGTCTCCATATCGCGGAGTTGGTCGATTTCGTGGAGGTGGTAAATGCACGGAGGAGCTTCCGGAGCGCGAGTATGGAGGTACGAGCCAAGGAGCATCGCTACTGCTGCCAGATCCTTCAGCCATTTGCCGATGTGTTCGCTAGATTAAGATCTATGTTAGTTGGGTTCTTGGACATTAGATCAGGTGCCCCGCCCGTTTCACAACGGATGGATGGCTTACCTTGGACCTGGTGGCCACAATCTGGATGCCATGGTTGTCACTCATTTTGAGACTGGGTTCTGAGTCCCGGGACTGAAAGCGAAAGATTGAAGAACACACGCGAGGTGTGAACAAAGTAGTGGAAGCCATCTGTGTTTCAATGCCGAGTCTCAAGGCGGTGAGTTAATGCCTTCCTCTTGGAGGCGGTGGCGATAGCCGATTGGTATCGCAAGTGACGGATCGGCCGCGCAGAAGTCCGGAGTAGCGGATTAGTAGTGACGGATCAGTAATGGTCAAATTGTTGCAAATCTGCGAGTTTAGTAACGGATATGATGGCTGTCCACTCGCATGGATGTTGGGTCTGGAAACTCACTTGTGCGTGAGAAGAGCAGATTAAATAGAAGAATGGGAAGAGGGCGCAACGTTGTCCTAATGGTGCAAGATGTCTTTAAATTGAGGTAGGCTTGAATTCGGTATGCATAATACATGGGCTTGAGATCACCATTAACTTCCAAATAGCAAATAGACAAGAACGAAAAAAAAAGGCAGAACCCAGGCCAATAATACAGTACTCTGCGACCGTGATGCCTGATATTCACGACCGCTGAGAAAGGAAATGCAAAGAGAAAGCAAGAAGAGACATCTTCTATACACCGCGCAGATCACCGTGGTAGGGTGACCAGATACCACGCACACTCTCGTTCAAACTGGTCACAGGCTTCTTGGTGCGCTTCAGTTTCTCTCCACTAGCTTCCTTAAGAAGGTTTGCCTTCTTGAGAATCTCGCTTGGTTCCAGATTTCGTACACACACGGGCTTTTCACGGCCATTTATGTAGAGTCCCTTGATGAGAGGGTGTTTCTGAGGCCGGGGAGACACACGGATCTCAATCTGAGGGTTCTCGCGAGCGAAGGCGGGGAGGAAGTTCTCCAGGAAAGTACTGCGCCAGCATTGTTAGTACAGTGGCTATAAATGGGGGACACTCTGATCTTTTCAATCAATACTCACACCATGCCCTTAGAGCTACCTGCCCAATTGCAGTAATGGAAGTCAAGGCGTTTGCATTGTAGGATAAAGGCTCCGGCGCCGTTCTGAGAAGACCAACCATGTTAGTTCAGCTAACACCACTGCGAAAACAACCTATACATACCCTGGCAGCCGTTGAAGTCCTGATTCCGCGCAAAGGCATTGTGTAAATTGTCAATAGTTGACCTAGGAGTTGCCAATCCCCAATGGCTCGCCGGGCATTTTCTTGCTCACGTGATGGCAAGGCGGTGAGACAGCTGCGCCAATTGCGTCTGCAGTGTCCACCACCATACGCTAAGGACCAGAACTGCGACGCGAAGCTCTCACTCCTGAGGTTTAGTTGATCCCACACTTTAACTTCAATCAACCAAAAAAACCCGTCTTCGTTGAGCTTTGCTCTCAGAATGACGGATAAGCTACCCCCGCCACTTCTGGCGCTGTTCCAGCCGCGCCCACCCCTTCGATATCTACCCCCAAGCGATCGCGCACCCGAGGACTGCGGGAAGAGTACCATTTCCGGTGTCGCTCAGTTCCTTGCTGATGCGAAATCCGCCGAAGAGATTCCCTACAATGCCACTGAGAGCTGGATCCAGCGCAAATATCGCCAAAAGATTGAGAAGAAGCAACAGCAGGAGAAGCAACTTGCAGACGGTTTGCAAAACTGTAAGATTCATCTTACTTTGACCCCAGATTTACCTCAGGATGCTAATATGGCTATTTTCTTTACACAGTCAACCCTGAAAAAGATCCTCAAGCTCGAGGCGATCCATTCAAAACTCTCTTTATCGCGCGACTCAGTTATGAAGTCAAAGAAGCCGACCTGGAACGAGAGTTCGGCCGATTTGGTCCCATTGAGAGAGTATGTTTCTTTGTTATCGTTTTGAGATGACCAAGGTATTAACATATTTGCAGATTACACTTGTCAAAGACACCACATCGGACAAGAAAAAGAAGGCCCACCAGGGCTATGCCTTCGTGGTGTATGAGCGCGAGAAGGACATGAAAGGTAATACATCCATGCTGATCCTTTTGGCACTAATCCAACCTACTTCTTGAATCCTGCGGTAAGATATCATGCTAACACTAATGTTCCCCACTTCCAGCTGCATACAAAGAAACAGATGGCATCCGGATTAAGGACCGTCGAGTCCTGGTAGATGTTGAGCGTGGCCGTACCACAAAGGGATGGAAGCCTCAACGTTTCGGTGGTGGTCTCGGTGGACGTGGCTATACCAAGGCCATGCCATCCCGGCCTGGGGGTCCCGGATTCAATGCTCCCTCCGGTCCCGGTGGGTATGGAGGTGGATTCCGCGGTGGCTTCGGAGGCCGTGGTGGTGGTGGAGGTTTCCGTGGCGGCGGTGGCGGCGGCTTCCGTGGTGGTGGTGATCGATTTGGCGGTCCTCGCGGGGGAATTGGATACCAGGGCAACCGCAACGGCTTCGGTGGACAAGCTCCTCCCAATGCCCCTTCGGGTCCCGGTGGTGGCCGTGGAGGATTCAGAGGTGGTTACGGCGGCGGCGGCGGTGGTCCCCGGTTCGACCGTGGAGTAACTGGCAGCAATTCGGAACCTGTGCGGCCTCGAGGAGATGGCTATGCTGACCGTGACCGTCGCGACTTTGACCGTGATGACCGCTACAGAGACCGTGGTGGTGACCGTGGTGGGGATCGTGATCGCATGGGAGACCGCAATGGAGACCGATACCGGGATCGGGATCGTGAGCGTGATAGGTATGGAGGCGGTGGCCGTGAGGACTATGGACGCAAGCGACACCGCGAAGATGAACCTGGACAGGATGATCCTCGTTCTAGGAGACGGTACTAGACATTGGACGAATTCTTAGGTCTTGTCTCTCCGCTTGGCCTGGTTTGATGGTGGGTATCACTGATCTACCCAGTTTTCACGACTTCTCTGCAAGGGTAACAGGCCGCATCAAAAGATCAAAATCGGCCCATGGCAAGTTGAATTCATTATCACGATCATCCAACATCCATGTCTTTGATCCCGTGCGACAACATCTGCCTTGTACTCGGATACCCTGCCTATCTACATTCATGTTCACCGAGGCCACTTCATGACTTGTGCTTGCATTCCCCGTTTCCATTTCCCCTCTACGGAGTTCTTTTTCTCTACTTGTCTTTTTTTCTAAAGTTTTTTTCTTCTTCCTTCTCTACCTTTTTTGCCTGCACTATTCGCTGCTTTCCTGGGGGTAAGTATCTGTACTTTAGTTGATTCGTGCGAAATACCAAACTCGCAAACTGGTGCCATCAGGTAAGACCAGCTACGGTGGGAATGACTCTAAACAGGTGCCTTGCTAGACAAATGAAAGTATAGGTATGTCTTTTTGGTTCCAAGGCTCTTTTTGAGGACTGGTACTACAGAAGTCCCCTAGCTAGTTCAATCATGCCTTCATTACCTACTTCTCACACCTTGGGGGACAAGAGGCCTTTCTTTTGACAAAGCTGTTTAAAAGGTATCATGTATCAAATTTCTTCTGCATATTGTAAAGGTCGACACATTTCGGAGGTGCTTGTCGAAAAGATCTCATCGTAGGAAGAGTAACAGTGTGATGAATTCAGAGCAAACACCAGTGAGAAAATCAAAAGACGCCCAGCTCTAAAATTACACGATATTTTCCGAACTCATGACTGTGCTGCCAAAACTGTGATAGCGCCAGCCTCGTTCAATGCCACAATGCTCTGGGCGGCTGATCCCCAAGCCACTGAGGCAGCAGGCACTGCGCTGCGCAGGGGCTCTGACCATGCCTTTGCGGCCTTGGAGAATTGCTGAACAGTCACTCCACCGGGTCCACCGGTCAGGAGGAATTGGCCAGTGTAGTCCCAGAAGATTGATTTGACCTGGCTGCCTGTGTCCAGCACCTTTGTTTCCTTGGAGCTGCGAAGATCCCAAATGGAGACAGTGGTAGACTGGTCGGCCACAGCGGCCAGGAAAGTGCCGTTCTCGGAGAAGAACAAGCACTTGACGGGGCCGGACATAGCGTAATCCGCAGCAGCAGCCCCAGTCTTGACATCAAAGATCTTGACTTGTGAATCAGCACCACCGGCCGCAATCAAGTGACCGTCGGGGTGGAAGTTCACAGACAATAGAGCTATACATTGTGATTAGCATGTAATCTGAAAGTTTGCGTAAAATATAAACTTACCTGCAGTAGTGAAGATCTGGGATGTAACCGTGTTCGTAGCAAGGTCATAAAGGACGTAACTCTTGTCGACACCAACAGAGGCGACAATGTCACCGGTAGCGTGCACAGCCACAGCGGTAACCTCTCCAGCGTGGGCCTTGAAGCTTGCAACCTCGGAGCCATTCTCAAACACCTTGACAGAGCCTGTGGCTGAGCCAACAACAGCCTTCTCGCCTGCCCATTTGGCATCGGTGACAGGTCCATCTGTGTTCAGAGTCTGAACAACACTCTTCTGGACGAGGGAGTAGACGCCAACCACACCATCAAGACCACCAACAAGAGCCAGCTCACCAGTCGAGTTGACAGAGAGAGCACGGCCACCGGGGTATAGAGCTTCGGTGGTCTCAGTTGGCTTGAATGAAGAAATTGTCTCGCTTGAGGCCCAGTTCTCGGGAATCGCGCGCTTGCGGCGGGTCTTGGAAAGCCTGCCACGATGTTAGTATCTCGGCCATGTGACATTCCATTGGATTTACGTACGCTGCTTGTGTGTTTTCAATTCGCTCCAACACTTCCTGGGGCAAGCCCGTGGAGTCCACCTGCATAGCCTCACCACCCGCACGGGTGGCACCAACAGACACATTCGAGAGCGCTTCACGAGCCTCGTCTCTCTCCTGGGTCAGACGCGCGATGACACGGACCGCAGCATCGTGCTGGTAGAGGGCGGAGCTCAGCTCGCGCCTCGTCTGTGCCAAGTTCTGTTGCAAAGTGTATGTTTCCAGAGCAAGGGCATCCCATTCTTCTTGGAACACGCTGAGAAGAGACGGAATGGATGTGAGAGTAGGAGGTCGGGGGCGAACGACGCGCTGCGACTTGACATCAATCAAGTCCTCGGTGCTAAGCTCCTCGCCGTTCACGGGATCCTTGTCATGTTCGGCAATATATGCCTCAATGAGGCGCTTTTCGAACACACTGCCTGTTCGGGAATTAGATGATATGTTGTGCGCAAGACCGTTGGAGGGGACTTACCGCTCTTGGGAGAGACGACAGGCACTTGAGGTGCCTCTCCAGAGACTGTGATGAGAAATCGGTCAGAATTACAGTCCACACAAGGTAAAAGAAGCGCAATTAGCATGAAGCCACTTACTAGCACAAAGCATGGTGAATTGGGGGTGGTTGATGGGGGTTGATGAGGTCTTGACGCGGAGCGGCTCCTTTGGACTTTTCGATGTGTCCCGTTACGGTTTAGCGTCCCAGAGCTGTTCGCGGTGCAGCTATCGCACTTCTACAGAGTGCTCCATACACTCTCTCCTGCGGTTGACTTTCTGTAGCCACCTGGACGCACTAGACATGCAAATTATTCGATGATCTACAAGATTGGCTGAAGGCAGCAGCAAGCTTCATTTGAAAGCGCTGCGACACCCGCATAAGCAACGATTGCCAACATGCCCAAAAACCCTAAGTTCGAATATGGTATGCTGCTTTTCGTTGATGTCGCATACTCTGTACTATTCTCACACACAACACAGATGCGAAGCAGCCTGCATTCCTGCAAAAACTCCGAGGCGAGTATGGGGACAACTCCGGTCGCCTGGAGCGGCCTGCCGTGCGAGCGACCCGACTGAAGGTCAACAAGGATGACGATGACGACGAGCCTATTTATGTCGACGAAGAAAGCAACGAGGTGATTTCCAAGGAGGAATACAAGACACTGGTGGGTGGGAGCGAATCCAAAGGAGAAGAGAAGGACGATCCGGCAAAGGACAAGTCTGGGGATGAAACCCACCCCCAGGCAGAAGCCAGCAAGCAGAGCAATCTCACCGAAGTTGGAGGCCAGCGAAAGCGAAAGCAAGTCAAAGTGGTGGGGGAAGGCAATGCAGAAGTAAAAGCAGAGGCAGAGGGAGAAGAGCAACCCAAGCCGACTACAAAGAAGCCAAAGAAAGCCAAGAAGATCAAGCTCTCATTCGACGAGGAATGAAGCCCATCTTTGCACACGAATCATACGTGGAAATATCCCAGGATTCTATTGCGAGTCCAAGCATACAAGACTCACAATGAGTCAAACCGGGCAATCGTATAGCGTCATAGGCCCAGATGCCGTGAAAATCCCATACCAACAATAGCAGATCAGACCAAATATAAGCAATGTCCCTCGTCTAGACAAGGCTCAGAAACAAAGAGAGAAAGAAAAAAGACGGGGAGAAACACTGTAGTTGAAGGAATCCAGATTGGCGGCCTAAGGGCACATTTATCAGCAACTTTTTTTTTCCTTGCGGGATATCCAATCACACTTCCCGGCTTCATTCTTTTGACCTCTTACTCTCGCTTCAGCAATTATGCCTGTGGTGAATGTCGACCAGCTGGTCCGCCTGCAGCGGAAACCAGAAGACATAAGAAATGTGTGTGCCCCTCCATCCCACTTTAATCTGTGATGTCAGTTTGCCTTATACTAACCCGCAATCAGATCTGCATTCTAGCCCACGTTGTAGGTTAACCCCCAGTCTTCATACTATGTTTGAAATACTCATATTTCTTGCTCTGATTAGGACCACGGCAAAACTTCTCTGACTGATAGTCTCATTGCCACCAATGGTATCATCTCACCCAAGTTGGCGGGCAAAATCCGCTACCTGGACTCTCGTCCAGATGAGCAGCTTCGAGGTATTACAATGGAATCCTCGGCCATTTCATTGTTCTTCTCTATGTTGCGCCGCCCCAGTCCGGATGCTGCACCAGTACCCAAGGAGTACCTGATCAACTTGATCGATTCACCAGGACATATCGATTTCAGCAGTGAAGTGTCAACTGCCTCACGTCTGTGCGATGGAGCAGTGGTTCTCGTCGATGCAGTCGAAGGTGTGTGTAGTCAGACCGTCACTGTGCTGCGACAGACCTGGGTTGAGCAATTGAAACCGATCTTGGTGATCAACAAGATGGATCGTCTAATCACGGAACTAAAAATGAGCCCTGCTGAGGCTTTCTCGCATCTGAGTCGCCTGTTGGAGCAAGTCAATGCCGTCATCGGTACTTTTTACCAGGGCGAGCGCATGGAAGATGATTTGCAATGGCGTGAGCGTATGGAAGATCGCATTAACACCTCTAGCTCTCGGGATCAGGATCGAAAGAAGCAATCAGCAGATGATGAATCAGCATCGGTTATCACAGAAGCGACAGAGGCGACAGAGTTCGAGGAACGTGACGATGAGGATCTTTATTTCGCACCCGAGAAGAACAATGTCATTTTCTGCAGTGCTGTTGACGGCTGGGCTTTCACTATCAGGCAGTTTGCGGCAATTTACGAGAAGAAGCTTGGTATCAAACGAACGGTTTTGGAGAAAGTGCTCTGGGGTGATTACTACCTGGACCCCAAGACTAAGCGGGTCCTGGGAGTGAAGCACTTGAAGGGTCGCGCTCTGAAGCCCATGTTCGTTCAATTGGTTTTGGACAGCATCTGGGCAGCCTATGCAGCCACCACAGGCGGTGATAAAGGCAAAGGGTGAGTAAATATCGAATTCTCTCCCCTTCCTCACTGAAACCGGCACTGACATGAACTAAACAGAGACCCGGTGTTGCTGGAAAAGATCACTAAATCTCTCAACATTAACATTCCGCCCTATATTCTTCGATCCCGTGACCCTAAGAACATTATGACTACTTTGTTCTCTCAATGGCTTCCTCTATCCACTGCTTTACTGGTGTCTGTCATTGAGTATCTTCCCAGTCCACCTGCTGCTCAAACGGCCCGGCTACCAGAAATGATCAAGTCATCCCCTGGCTCTGATTTCATCTCAGAGGATATCAAAAAGGCTATGGTCGATTTCAAGACCGGTCCTGATGAGCCTGTTGTGGCATATGTCAGTAAAATGGTTGCAATCCCAGAGAGTGAACTCATGTCGAGCAAGAAGCGGACTGGGGGCACTATGACAGCGGATGAAGCTATGGAAATTGCTCGCAGGAAGCGAGAGGAGATAGCAAAGATGCAGGCCGAGGCTAGGAGCGGACAGGCAGATGATTTCGAGCGCATGACATCAGCTTTCGAAAACACTACTTTGATCACCGAGACAGAGGAGGAGGAAACCGAAGCAGCCGAAAAAGACGAGGATCCTGACCATCTCATCGGTTTTGCTCGACTTTACTCTGGAACCATCTCCGTCGGTGATGAAATTTACGTGCTGCCACCTAAGTTTTCGCCAGCCAACCCTCATGCCAACCCTGAGCCCAAGAAGGTCACAGTCACAGACCTGTACCTGCTCATGGGTAGAGCCCTGGAGCCACTTCAATCAGTTCCAGCCGGTGTGGTCTTCGGAATCGGGGGTCTTGCAGGATATGTCCTCAAGACAGGCACTCTCTGTAGCCAAATCGAGGGCAGCATCAACCTGGCTGGTGTTTCTTTGAGCACACCACCCATTGTGCGAGTTGCGTTAGAACCTACCAACCCCGCCGACCTGAGCAAGATGGTAACTGGCCTGCGCTTGCTCGAGCAGAGTGACCCGTGTGCACAATACGAGCAGCTCCCCAGTGGCGAGCACGTTATCCTAACTGCCGGTGAGCTTCATTTGGAGCGTTGCGTAACGGATCTTCGCGAGCGATTCGCCCGTTGCGAAATTCAAACCGGTGAAGCTATCGTGCCCTACCGCGAGACGATTGTTCATGGTCCAGAGATGGCTGCGCCCAAGAACCCGGACCTTGGCCGAGGAGCTGTTCTGTCTGTTTCTGCCTCTAAGCAGATGACTCTTCGTCTGCGGGTGGTGCCGATGCCTACAGCCGTGACAGACTTCCTGACAAAACAAGTTGGAACTATCAAGCAGCTTCAGCTGGAGAAGCGATCTGAATCCGAGGGAAAGACGGACGCTGAAAAGGAGGCTGAAGCCGTCGTCGATGGCACTGGTGAAGCACCTGAGGGTCAAATCCTTTCCAAGCAAGAGTTCCGCGAAGGACTAGACAAGGTCTTCAACGATGAAGTCAAAGAAGATAAAGAGCTATGGAAGAACGTCGTCGACAGAATCACTGCATTTGGTCCTCGGAGAGTTGGTCCCAACGTTCTGGTCGACGCAACTGCCGTCAACACCTGCGACAAATTGTAAGTCTACAAACCCCGCCAAGTTGGATATAACTAACATCCCCAGTTTGGCCGACGACATCAAGCCACAGATCGCTGGCGACAACCACCAGGCCCTCCTGGTCCGCGACTTCTGCGACAAAATCGCCTATGCCTTCCAACTCGCAACAGGACAAGGACCTCTATGCCAAGAGCCTATGCAAGGCGTTGCCGTGTTCCTAGAGGAACTATCCGTTCAATCCAACACAAGCGACGACCTCGACATGGGTCGACTAACAGGCGAATCCATCAGACTCGTCCGCGAAGGCATCTCGGCCGGATTCCTAGACTGGAGTCCTCGCATCATGCTCGCAATGTACAGCTGTGAGATTCAAGCAACTAGTGAGTTATAATACCAACATATCCGAGGTTGCACCTAACTAACGCATCCACAGCCGAGGTCCTGGGCCGCGTTTACGGTGTGATTACCCGTCGTCGAGGCCGTATTATGTCCGAAGTCATGAAAGAAGGTACTCCCTTCTTCACCATCCTGGCTCTTCTGCCTGTGGCCGAGTCCTTCGGATTTGCGGAGGAGATCAGAAAGCGGACTTCTGGTGTTGCTCAGCCGCAACTTATATTTGCAGGCTTTGAGGCACTCGACGAAGATCCGTTCTGGGTTCCAGCTACCGAAGAAGAGTTGGAGGACCTGGGAGAGCTGGCTGATAAGGAGAATGTTGCGAAGAGGTACATGGATGCTGTTAGAAGTCGGAAGGGATTAGTTGTCCAGGGAAGGAAGTTGATTGATGCTGAGAAGCAGAAGACGCTGAAGAAATGAGCGAGATGTGAAAAAGAGGTGAATACTATGTATGGGTATACAAATCAGAACAAATTGCGTCAATATTGTCAAATTGATGATTGATTCCAAGGCTGGCTCATACTTCGGATTTGAAACCTTGAAGTTTCGTACATAGTACATGGATTTATAAACCTTTGCAAAATCGCGAACCGCACAATTGATTGGCATATTATATGAGTGTGATTCAATACCGATCTATTAACAAGATTTGGAATAGTATATTACAGAGGGTAGTTTACGTGATAAGGTTTTTAGATGAGAGCTGAGCGAGGCAGTTTAATCAGTCATGAAAATTACTTGGAAGCCAAGAAGAGAGACTGGCTGAAATGATATTCATTGATGAATCGTGATTCCATGGGGTATCTTTAGTCTGAGTCATTTCCAACATCAATATCCAGGAGTGAGCAATTGGATACTCAATTAGCCCCAAGGGCTGGCAACCCTGTCTGTAGGAATGAATGGTAATGTTCAAGCAAAATGCCGATGCATTCAAGCATCAAAAAGGCAAGACTCGAACAGCATGCCTCACAAAGGGGCTGGTATGTCTCGCACGAGGGCCAGAAGCAGCATTGTCTACATATATCTCATGTAGAGACCATGCCCTTGAGATGGGAGAGGCCAGACTTGGTGTGCAAATCAAGTACGGCAGGCATTTGAAAGAGCCAACAGACTGGCCAGTCAAGTCAAGACAGACAGCCAGAAGCCAGCCTCGCGAAGGGAGTTCTGTACAGGGACCTATGGTTCCTCAGAAAGGCCTGGCAACCTTTCTCGGCTCTCCGGTTCCAGTCACCGGATCCCTCATCTCTTTCCAACTAATTGGGAACATCATGTTACCCGCCTCGCTCCGAGCCATGACAACACCAAGATCATTGCGCGCGGTGGTGATGTAGTAGAAGCTCTGATCACCGAGCGAGATAACGGAGCCGCGAACGATATCACCAACACGGAACATTTCATCCATGACGACACGATCCTTTTCAACGGCGCGGACATCTTCTTTGCGGATAAGCGCTTGGAAGCGCAGCTCATCGGTGCCAGAATGGTTCTCCGGGTTGGCGGCGGAGGTGAGAATGGAAGCGACGTTGTCGTTGTCTGAGGCGGTTTGTGATGATGTCAGGTGCTCGGATTCGTCTAGAACGACGAGGATGGAGACGGTTGCTTGGCGTTTCTGCACTCGCGTGACTCGTGCGAGGACGTTGGATTCAACTGCTGGTAGGGTGTTGTAGCGGGGTTTGAACTTTGCGCCATCGGACGCGCCGGCATTCTGGGGTTTTAGATCTTGTGCTGATATCACTCTTGAGACTCGGAGGGTAGGCTTTGGTTGAATCTTTGGCTGGGCTGCGTCTGTGACCACTGGTCCGACGATAGAGGCATGAATGAAGGAATCCTGGACGTGTGTACCTGGGCCGGCAGAATATTTGGATAGAGGGCCTAGACGCTGCCCGGGGATGGCGATTTGCGGTAGAGATGCCATATTAGAACAGAGGCTGAAGGGATTGAAGAGGTAGAGTCCTTTGTGGCAGAGACAGCGATTTTGTTCCCCAAAAAAATCGGGGAGCTTCGATGCGGGCTCGGTAATAAGTTTGTCCGGCCTATCTAAACCGGAGTGATCTAGTGTCAGGGCAATTGACAGCCTTTACACCAAAGTCAGAGCGCTGGAATAAGAATCACATTGCCTATGAGAAAGTACATAAAAGCCATTTGGCTGCAGGCAGGTAATTATAGGGCCCATATCTAACATAGCTTGACAGTGTATGCGATCCAACAAGAAATAAGACAACACCGGCCCAAAAAATATCATGGGCATGTAGGAAAAGGGACGAAACAATACAAGAAAAAAAATTCCATATCACTCCAATTACCCGCCGACGAACAAAAGCCGAGCTGAATGGATCGGATGCCATACAGCACCCAGTGGTGGGACGAAGGAGATCCAGCGTAAGAAGGCCAATAACATATGGCACAGAAGAGACCGAAAACAATAGTTAATCAGACAAACGGGGTTTAAGCTTCCACCAGGGTTTGCTTAGGACCTGCCCCAAGCAGTTCAAGGCAGCGACGAGCGAGTGTGATGACTTCGCCCTCGCCATCATCGATATCTTCCTCATCCGATTCAATGTTCTTATCGGAGATTGTCTTCACCAGCTGCACGATATCATCAGATCTGGATATATAACCGATAAGCTTTTTGTCTTCGGACTCGAGCAGCTGTAGGAGAGTCCAAATGGCGATGTGTTGGAAAGTTGGGTCACCGCTCGCGAGGAAGCGATGAAGGTAGCCGTGGATTCCGCCATTGGAGTCTGCCCAGTCGCGAACGAACATAGAGTAGTCGCCGACTATTTTGTATGTTAGCAATGGATTCGTGTATCAAGGCAAAGGGAACGATGGGTACCTTTGGAGGACAGATTTCCTAGAGCGGCCGCACTGTTACCTTGCACTTCGATGCTATCAGAGTTCGTCAAAGGAATCAAGACGTCAAAGACTCCCAGGCTCAGTAGATGCGGCTTCAGATCCTCGCTGAGTGCCAGCACAGCGATTGCAGCAGTCATTTCGGACTGCACTGTAAGAGGGACCCGGAGAACCAAGTCCTTGCACTTCTGAACTGCCCCAGCTTGCAAGACGAGCTCTTTGTTGCGATCAGAGCTGGCGGCAAGATTGCGGAGAGTCGAGATAGCGTGGCACTGGATTTCTTCGTTGTCGGTCGAGCCCAAAAGGTCAACCAATGGCTTCAAAAAGCCCGCTTCGATGATAGGTGATTCATTAAGAGGGTGAATGGAGATATTGCGAATACAAGCGACCGCAGAGAGAATAAGGGGGAGGTAGGAGGATTGCAGGAGGCGTAGCAGTGGGGAGAGACCTTTCGCCCGAACGATTTCAAGTTGGTATTTTTCATCCGAGGCGAGATTGCGTAGGGCGAGTGCTGCTTGGCACTGTACTTTGGGAGTGGATGAATCCATCAGGTGAACCAACGACTGCACTAGGCGCGACTCGGTCTGCGCGAGTCGCTTTCGGTTGGTAGAGTCAACGGCGATGTTGCTGAGAGCTGTTGTGCAATAGTATTGAACGTCCACGTCGGGGGAGGATAGAAGATGCACGAGCACGGGGATAGCGCCAGCGTTGACAAGTTGTTGACGGTTATCATCTAGTCATGGAATTAGAATAAAATTTGCCAATTCAATATCAGCTAAGGTCAATCGCTTACCGGAATGGGTCATGTTGAGCAATGCGCCCGTCGCATTGCGCTGAACGCGCATGTCCTTCGACTTGGCCAGGCGGATCAGAGGCCCGAGGGCGCCGGAGCGAGCAATCTTGGCCTTGTTCTCCTCGTGTGTCGCCAGATTCGTAATGCATCCCACGGCATTGCACTGTACCTCGACATTTGGTGACATCATCTGTCGAATGAGGGGAGCCAGCCCCCCGAGGGTCACGATTAGGACCTTGTTCTCTGCTGTTCCTTGTTAGCGACCGTGTATAGTAGAAGGGAAGTGAGACGGACCATTTACGGCAAGATTGCCCAGCGCTGCACTAGCAGCCCGTTGTACTTCGATATCCGAGCTTTGTAGAAGGAAGAGTATGGGTTCAAGGGTATCACGGTCGACTTCGCGCACATCTGTTTAGGGAGTGGACTGTTAGAAGGCATTGCATGCGCCTGCGGAAGAGAAAAGGACGCACCTCGCTCTGTGATTTCCGCAAAGGTCAAGCTCGCACTCCGCTGCAAGTCGACATTTTCGGAGTAAACCAGGGTGCTTAAAGCTCGGAGAGGCTCGCCGTGGAAGAAGTCGGTCTCCGCGCGCTATACGTCGGTGAGGGGACTAGGTCAGCGAAATTCACATGCCAAGGTCACACTCGGGTTCAACAAGTCCCACGTCGACTTGGGAGGAAAGATCTGGAAGGTGGTGAGGGGAGCGATAGCTATGCACGTACGTTCTCCAAGTAGCCCAGCAGGTCTGACACCGCTTCTCGCTCATTGTCGGCCAGGGTCGTTTCGTAGATTCCATCTCGAGAACGAGCTCCAATAGGGCCGAGGCATGCTGATATATGACACCATCGGTCGACTGCCGACAGACAAGACAGACAGGTCGCTGCGATTCCACTCATGTTGGCTAGCAGGGCCGCATCAGGCGCGGTCCTGCAAATAGAAGAAAGGCGAGGGTAGAGGAGGATATCGGCTTAGGACAACATATAAACCCGAAGAAAAGATGGAAAGCTGCGCGTGACGAAAGGGACTTTTGAAGGAGGAACACAGGCTCTGGAGGCTGGAAAGGAAGTTGGGGGAGGGGAGAGGTGTTTCGCCTCAGGCAGAAACCTGGGCTTTTGGGTTTTCCCACACCAAGTTTTTCAGATATGCGACATTCTCGTTCTTTTGGTCAAGATGAAGGTCATTATGCACTATAGCTTCGAGTATCTCTTCTTTCGGATCCAGTCCCTCTCCAACGCATACATCCGTACTCCGTTATGTGCTCCCCCGCCCGGTACGGAGTACCCGTGGACATCGGTAGCTCCCTGACCAATCCGAAACAAGGGATCACCTTAGCTACAGTTTTTACATTCGAGAGGTTTCACTTTCTTTACTGTAACTGCCATTGCCACTGTCTACAGGTGAGGGCATTCTCGGAGGTATAATTTTGCCTCAACTTTACCTTTAGGTCCGTGCCAGAGGACGTGATCTCGCCTTGTGATCACCAGACGGCTGTTCACGTGAAGGGTGTCACGAGTAATACTTTTGGAGTGGATTGGAGTTAACTATAGTGACGACAGTAACTACTTCTGTAGCTATCTTGGTACAAATGCAGTCAGTATCCAATGGGGACATATATAAGCATAAAAGAGACCCATGGGTCCGGATTGCGTCAAGGCCTCCAATCCAGTTTAGCCTCCTGCACATCATATGCTTGGATTTTTATACTCGTATATACTTAAGTATAAGTCTCGGCAGTCTTCTAGAGTTGTCATACTTGAGTAGTATGTAGTCTGTACTCAAACACGTCCTCAAGATCAGTATGGTCTGAAAAGGTAATCGGCACCGGTTCGCCGAGGTCTCGACATAGGCTAGTCCTAAGGTTAAATTAAGATCGGTGCTCTCTCCACCAGAGCTAACCCCGAAATCCCTGGAAGAGATTTCGACGGGTCCGCTGAAGCCCTAGTTGGATCTTGGAAGTAGAGATCGGTGAATTTTAATTTGCGCACAGAGGGTCATGCCGAAATGAAATGGGCTAAACAAGCGCATCGATTGGCAAGCGGGATTTTCATACCGTAGTCCACTCTTCTCTCGATCCGTTCTGAAAGGGGAGAGACTCTGTACCCAAGGATACCAGCGACGCGCAACATGGTTGTAAATGTTCCATTCAGAACCCTAGAAAATCAGGAGAGAAGTACTAGATCGGACTTTGTAGATGTATAGATATCGTTGCGGGGAAATAGGCTCATGGCATCGCCAAGAACAGGGCATTAATAGCCGATGGCAAACGGAAGAGTATAACCTTGGAACCAGATCTTTCGTCACTTCAGACTCTTCAGATTCTAAGACCTTTTGGATCTGAAATCGCCTTTAAACCCCCCTTTTGCTCAGGGCTCTTTTTTGGACACTTTACTGCACATATTTTCCTGGTTTTCTTTGAAAGCACGAGATCCATCATATGATGTCTTGCTAGCCAGTCTCTTGATATTCTCAGCCTTGCAGATCCTTGTGACATTGCCCTCTTGATTCTTTGCTATTTCCACCGAGGCAACCTCTTTCTTTTTTATTTGTGCACTTGGGTCGCAAAACCGATTCCATGGCGAGTACTTCAGTCACCGCCTCCACCTCCCTCCCCGATCAACCTCGCCCGAGTCGTTTGCGCCGCTTCAGTCAACTGCGGACTTACACTCAGACTCTATCGTCCACTGGCTCTCAGCGATCGAGAAATAGTATAAGTAGTCGAGTGCCTTGGCGCTCCTCGGTGTCGGGCTCAAACTCTCCGGTGGAGAACTCCACCACTCCATGTCCTGAAATTGAACCATCTCTCTCCCGCTACACCTCCGCGCCTGCCCCTACTTACGGTATTGGTGAACTCAACAGCCACACCTCCTCCACAGAGTCTGCCACCTCCACCCCGTTGAACGAGGTTGCGGAAACGCCAGATGATATGGCGCGGCTGAGGAGCGCATCGGCCGTCCAGCGCCCCCCCTCTCGCACACTGGAACGGACAACCACTAATTCTCAAGAACCAACCCCGTCCCCTGAACCGAGCGTAGCCTCAAACCATACAGCAGAAGCTACCCCCGCGGAGTCGAATACCCCACCAAGGGCGGAAACAAAAGCGACGATTCGGTTCTTTCCCTACACGGACGCCTCTCAGAGCTCCAGGCCGTCTCTACCTTTCGTCCCAGTCACTCGAACTCTTCCATCGGAAAGCTGTGTGATTCGTGTTGGCCGATACTCTGAACGTGATGGTGTTCCGATCCCCAACCCAACTGAACCTACCGATACCCCTGTTGGTTTCAAGTCCAAGGTTGTGAGTCGGAAACATTGCGAGTTCTTGTATGTGAATGGGCAATGGCACATCAAGGATGTTGGAAGTTCATCGGGAACTTTTTTGAACCATATGCGCCTAAGTCAGCCGAACATGGTCTCTCGTCTGTACTCCATCAAGGATGGCGATATTGTGCAGTTGGGTATTGATTTCCGCGGGGGAGAAGAAATGATTTTCCGATGCGTTCGAATCCGTATCGAATGTAATCGTTCATGGCAGCAGAAGCCTAATGAGTTCAAGTAAGGTCCCGCCCTCACCCCTAGAGCTCGGGTGATACTAACATATCCAGCAAAAACACCGAGAGTTTGATCAAAAACCTTGGGAAAGGAGAGACTGCTGACTATTCGGGCTGCCGCGAATGCTCGATTTGCCTTGGCTCTGTCCTGGTATGTCTAGGATTGCTCTTACCCCTCCACTGCGATGAGACTAACCTTGTCCCAGCGGCCCTACCAGTGTTTATTCATGGCAGCATGTGCGCACGTCTGGCATTACAAATGCATCAGTCGTCTGCTGCACTCGCCAGACTACCCTATGTTCCAATGCCCGAACTGTCGCGCGTTTACCGACCTCAGCGCCGACGTTGATGATACCAACGAAATCGATGACACGCCAGCAAACGACGAGACCGGAGATCAGGCCTCAAATTCCACGGGAGAACCGGAAGCAGATGCACCCTCGACTTCTGCAACGAACAGCACAGCAGAGCCGCGTGACCATCTGCAAGAACTTCCCGAGGAAGCAATGTTGGCCAACAATGTCGAGAATTTGCATTTAGAAGAGCTGGATCAGGAAATGGAACACGCTTTCCGCACAGCCTCTCCAGCTCTGGATCCGGCCAGCACCAGTCTCGCCCGCAGCGCCACTATAAGTATACCTGGCTGGCAGCCGTCGCTGCCACTCAGCGTGCCTGCGGGTCGCCAACCTCATCTGCGATCCGACACGCCCACTTCCGATGACAACCCATTGACTCCGCGAAATGACTCTGGACCGCTGGCATTTGATGGTCGAGCAGGCATGCCGTAGGCTCGACCAGCCTGGAAATATATACACATCTTCATGGCATTTATCTTCCACAGCGAGATCATCATTTGTGCATTTTCCGATATCTCATTGCAAGGTTTGGTTCCTGTCTGGGCTGCGGGGCCCGCTCTACATATACACCGTTTGCATTCTTGGGTAGCGCTTGTTCTCATTCAATTCGATCCACCGTGGCGGCTGATTCTTTTCATTTTCACTTTACGTCCTCTTGTTATGTTCACGTTTCAACTTCTCTTCTATACCCACTTTGCATCCTATCGTTCTTCAATCTCGGGTCATATAGCGAACCAGAAAAAACAAGATTCGTCAAGTCTGTGCATATTAAATGTCATCTATATACATGGATATCACACTCACTTGATGCCCAAGTGGACATTTAGATTAACGTGTGATTGACTATCGAGCATGAGGCTCCATATAGGTGCACATGGTAGTCTTTGATAGTCTTGGCACGGTTCGAGAACTTGGAGAAACAACCTTTAGAGTGTCTTGAAACCTCGAAAGAAGTCTAATCTATGCATCTATTCTAATATACACCACTCTATCCATGGTCCCAAACAACTATACATATCACGCCAAGTGAACCTCGAAGCTCCCATGCTTCTTAAGGTCCCTGGAAGAGGCACCAACATAAACACGGTATGAGCCCGGTGCAACAGCCCAGTTCTTCGCCTTGACATCCCAGTAGGAGATGTCACGACGACGCAAGTTGAACTTCACCTCCTCTTGCTTACCCTTCTTGATCTCCACATTCTCGAATCCACGCAGCTGGCGCAAAGGCTGCTTAGCAGCTTTGGGGTAAGAGATGTAGAGCTGGGGCACTTCCGCACCGTCAACAGAGCCAGCGTTGTGGATCTTGACGCCGACACTAGCGACAATATCCCAGAGATCCTCATAGCCACCGACAGCCCGCTTTCCAGTAGGAAGAGCAGAAAGGGCCTTTGGTCCATTGATGTGAAGATCAGAGTACTTGAAATTGGTGTACGAAAGACCGTAGCCAAATTCATAACGGGGAGTCACGTTGTAAGCGTCGAAGTAGCGGTAATCGATGAAGTTGCCTTCAGTGAAGTTGCACTGCTGTGTGTAACAGATATCGACATTGTAGTCAGATTCGTTCTTGGCGATGGTGTGGATGAGACGGCCGCTGGGGTTGACATCACCGTACAGGACATCAACGATTGAGTTACCAGATTCCTGACCGAGAAGACTGCCGTAGAGGACGGCAGTAACATTCTCGTTCTCGATCCAGTTATCGACGAGTCGGACACCAGCGGAATTGATCACGACGACTGTGTTGGCGCAGTTGCCTGCAACCTCGTTGACAAGGGCATCCTGGTCGGTGTTATACAGCTCAGTGCGATCGGCACCCTCACCAGCAAGAGCATTGATGAAGACAAGACAAACATCCATGTTCTCGGCATAGTTGCTGATAGAAGGCGTGGTGGAGGTAGTATCAGATCCTTTCGTGACCAGGGTGGACCCACTGGACGAAGCGTAGGTGTCGTTTGCGACCCAGCGGAGCATGGTTCCATCCTGGCTTGCCTTGATAGTCAAGGCAGTCTCTGGGGTGATCAGGTAGGGCAGAGAACCTTGACCAGATCCGGAGTCTGTGGCAAGATGGCCATCATAAGTGGGCCCAGAGCCCTGGACACTGAAAGCCATGTTGGGACCAGCGAGGGCGGCACGAGCGTGGGATCCGAAAATCGCCATCTTGTGCGGCTTGTTCAAGGGGAGTGTGTTGTTCTCGTTCTTGAGGAGAACCATGGACTTGGAACCGTGGGATCGAATCAGCTTGGCGTGGTTGCCGCGGACATCGACGTACGCATCGTCTGACACAGTGGTGGTCTGAGTGCCGTTGTCGAGATTGGCATGGTACCAACCCATAAGATTACGGGTGGCCATGTCATCCAAGCGGGCCTCGGTGAGATTCTTGCTCTTCAAGTAGCCCGTCATGGCAGATGTGCTCCACAGACTCGAAGAGCCGTAGTCCAGGCCGCTGATTGCCGAGGCCAGGGCGTTCTGCTGCGCCATCTGATCGGGGAATACCAAGCCAGGGTAGCCCAATTCTTCCTTCAAGATATCCAGAAGAAGGGCGGAGGATTCACAAGAAAGTGTGTTGTTGACCTTGTTCATGGCACACATCATACCACCGAGGCCTGAGTGCACAGCATCGTAGAAACTCCAGAGGTAGGTCTCATGGAGAGTCTTGGAGTCTGCGTTGGAGGAGTATGGTGCACCAGAAGATGAGCTTTCGCTCATAGAGCGAGCAGCATGCGAGGAACCCGATGAAGATGGAGGTGCGGCAGAGGTCGAAGAAAAGTTGGAGCTGCCTGGAGGGCTTCCCATACCACCACCCATACCACCACCGCCGCCACCACCACCACTGGAGGATCGGTTGGTCTCTTGCTCATTAAGAATGAAATGCTGAAGCCTTTGTTAGCAATCTTGATGGTTTTGGATGATGGAAAAACAGAATCTGCCTACCTTGGCACCTGCAATGACACCAACGTCATTGTATGCCTCCACGCTCAATCCCGCGGCGATACCGTTGAGATAAGGATCAGGTCCAAAAGTCTCGACCAGACGTCCACCCCAAGGGGTACGTCCCATGGGCTGAGAGGTTGGTCCGGTGACAACCTGAACGCCCTTGAGGTAGGCCTCCAACGCAACAGCCTGGGATTGCTTGTACATAGCATCCTTGTCCCAGGTCATAGCCAGGGCCGAGGACTGACTGAATGCGGAGACATAGTAGTAGTCCTGCAGACCCATAGCACCATCCAAAAACTTCAAGGCAGTGAAGGACTGGCCATCCGTTGTCGTGGCATCGCTGCCAGTGATGAGCTTCAGCTTCTCAGTTGTGTTGAGCTTGGCGACAAATTTGGTTGCCTTTTCATAAGCGACCTGCCAGTCACCGAGGGACACTGAATGGAATTAGTTAGTTTTATGGAGAATATTCCTGGAAGCTTGGTGGGTATACCATTGTCGTTCGAGAGAAGGCCTGCATTGGAGCTAGAGGCGGCAGTAGTCACCTCCAGCAGAGCACAAAGGAAAGATAAAGAAAGAATCTTCATCTCCAAAAGATGAAGGGTAGATTAAGCGTCGAGAAAGAGTGAATGAATTTTCCATTTCGATACAGGATGGCCTGGAGTTTTCATAGTCGAAGCCGACGCGTACAACGGCTACAGTATCGCCGGTCCAGGGTGAAGAAACAAGGTTTCATATCCACTTAAACGGCTTAGCCCTATGGGTTCTCATAGTGCCATTACGCGGACCGATGATCGTTCTCAGACTGTGGACTATGGGTGCTCGGCAGAACTGCGGAAATTCCTGCATTCCGGAAAAGCCGAGATTTAAAGTCCAACTTCAGAGCGTCAATCGGCATTCCCATCAAAAGCGGAAGGTCTCCCTGCCGATCCTATAACCGGAACTGTGCCCTTCTGAAACGTGAGGTCGGCTTGCCATACGAGTACGGAATATAGATATGAAGCCGTGTTTCTAGTTGTCGTTTGAGGATTTATGTGGCTGTTCCGGAACCCGTAATGTTCGTTTACCATCGTTGAAGCTAGTTCGATGTAAAGTGATTATCGGCAACAGGCCCCACTGAGATGACGATTCGAGGTCGGATCCCCCTCCCAGTGCCGAACCTCAATCTGCTAATGGACATAGCTACATAGTTCGCAATCACCGGATTCTTTTCCCACGACGGTATCCTCTTTCACCACCCAGGGGAGGTTAGAATGTTGGATCCTTTCCAGGTTAGTCGCTCAATTCTTTCTCTCAACACGATTCCAAGGTTCAGAATCTGTTTTCGATGTCAATTCTGTGGTCAAAGTATACGGGCTCAGACCGAGGAGATAGGAGAGTCATGTCATTCTTCAGGTCACAGCACTACAGTTTAGAGCCATTTCCAGGCAGTGTACTACGTATCGTCGTCATATATTACTCATTGTATATGGCATCTTGCAAGTAATTGGGCTCTTTGTTCTTTGCAACTCTCTTATGGTTATTTGCTTGTTTGCTTGGTTTGCATGTCTTCCCTCCATAGATCCATTGATATTTCTCCCTCCCCACCTGCTAACTCTATTCTTCTTCTTCTTCTTCTTCTTCTTCTTCGTCATCTTTCTATACATATACAGACTGAATTCTAAGAATCTTATCCAGTGCGACATTAATGGACGAAGACTCCCAGACTCTGTATAGCACCACGTGACCTCGCCCCGCTGCATGCCAAAGTGGACCTTGAAACTGAGATTGTCACTGGACCCGCTTTTGATATCTTGTCCTGGTCAATATCTCAATCCTACAGCGGTGGTGTACACCTCTCGGGAAGACTTGATTCGGTAAATCCCTTACTCAGGTGACACACGTCGCCATCATACCCAGCAAGATGAGGTTGAATTTCAGCGAGCCCCCCACTCCAACCTTGAGTCGCCAGAACACCACAATTCAAGGTCATCACCAACGACGTGGTACCCATCCCCACCGCCTGTCATCACGTGCCAAGCCAAGAAGGTACGATAGTACGAGCAGAGTCTACAGGTTCAAGGTATTGATTAATCTAGGTGGCCCTTGGTTTTCCGATTTATTAAAGGTGCAATCCATGGCGCAATATTACTCTCAGTCGCTTTACATGCTGTGTTCACAGCCCTGATCGTCTATCTGGATACATACGTGTTCGACACTGTCGGTTTACCAAGCACTATCGTATGTATTCAAGTCGTACTTTCCTAGATCGAATTACAGCTAAACATGAGCCAGATCCCCTCATTGTCCATAGTCGTGGGACTGATGCTTGTCTTCCGTAATCAAACATCCTACAATCGATTCTGGGACGGGCGCAACGGGATGAATTCAGTTAATACCTGTGTACGGAATCTTGTCCGCACAATCGCAACAAATAGCTACAGCGCCAAGCGTGGGCCGCCTACAGCCGCAGAGCGCGAGGACATCGAGCGCACGATTCGAATCCTCATGGCTATTCCGTATGCCGTCAAGAACCATTTACGTGCTGAATGGGGTGCCGCTTGGGTATTTGGTGGCTCTGTTGACGAGGACTTAAGTTTGCATGGCAGTACGCTTTACAATCCCGAGTACGCCAACTTGTTGCCGGCGGGCCTGGTGGGACATGAAGACGAGGGCCTGGGCCTTCCTTTCCAGTTGACCTTTTTCATTGATGGGTTTATCAAGCGCGGTGAAGAAAGGGGGTGGTTTCCTGCTCCTGGTGCTAGTCAGATGCAGGCTCAGCTGAATACGCTGACTGATGCGTATGGCAAAATGGAGACAATCAAACTGACTCCAATTCCGGTTGCACACTTGTAAGTTCTGACTCTAATTTTCATTTCAGGTGTTTTGTTAATGGGCTTGGTGCAGAATCCATCAAAAGCAAGTCCTCGCTCTATTCGGCTGCGTTCTCCCTTTTGCAATGGTTGACGAAATGGGATGGTGGGCAATTCCCATTGTCAGCCTGGTCATCTTTACTCTGTATGGAATTGAGGGAATAGGGTCCCAACTTGAGGATCCATTTGGGTATGACCGAAACGACATCAAGATGGATGCAATTGCCGGTGACTCCAAGGTTGAGATTGACGTTGTTTTATCTGAGTGGCGCACACACTCCAAAGCCATGGATGCTTTGAGAAACCAACCAGCAGGTGCATATCATGGGGATCTATGTCTGACCCCCACTCGCAACGAGGACGGTGCTGGCAAAGGGGATGAAAAGTACACACCGCCAGACTTGTTCTTGAGACTTAGGCCAAACACCGGGAGATAGGACGTTCGAATGAATAGTTTTCATGGTAACATCCAATGTATGATATGAGTTTGTAGGTTCTCCTTTTGTGAGATGTGGATATTCTCTAGTTCTCCAGTTTCCAGGTTCTAAAGTTCGTTCAGATTATGGATCCGATCCTAAAGCCATATGATAGTTTCTTGCGAAAAACAACATCTTGCACAGTAAAATTGACTGCTTGTGGAGATAATATATGGAGTGATCATAGTAGAATCAACCACGAGGCAAAGCAAAATCTTGGATAAGTTTTGGACATAAAAAAGTCTTGGGTATCTAATACAGCAAAAGAGAGGCTCATAACTAACTGGGGACGTTACAACGGTGGCTCAAGAGCCAAAACACCGTCCAGTATTGAATCTGCGGTTACCTCTGAGAGTACGTGCGATACTGCATGGATATTACTTCCGTACTGTAGACTGCGGTCTTCGCCTGGTGTTGTGATGATGATGCGGTGGCGGAAAACTTTTCTTGCAGCCAATGCTACAATTGACGGTGTCAAAAAGTCAATTCCATGTAAAGGAGCCAAGAGTCTGCAGGATTTGATCAGTTGGTTTGTCAGTTGTGTGTTGAGAAAGATGTTTAGCTCACTGTGCGAATCGTGAGAATTCAATATTTGCTTTAGCAGACACCCCGCCAGAGACCGCACGACTCAGGCGTAAGAATACAACGATGTCTTGGATGTATCGCGCTATTTCGGCGCTGATACTGACAGACAAGCTTGATTCTCGGAGTTGATCCATATCCTGGGATATAAAGCTTAATATGCTGTGCCCTGACTTGGACAATCTGCCCGACTCACCTTCTGGCCAAGAGTGGCACTTCGTTGTATACGATCTTTTGATTTGTGAATGACAGAGGAAGCAGAGAGTTGTCCGTCTGAATTCCAATCGTCTTCTTCAAGATGTGTATACCCAACCTCAAGACTGTGAAAATGAGATATGAAGAGATTATCGAGCTACAGCGATGTTAGTCACAACTAGACGAAAGGAAACAATCCCTAGTTCGTTCGGTCTTTAGCTCACCAAGTGTTGCTTCAAGGGCGGCTGAAGATGATCAGAATCTCGGGCCACAAGAGGAATGCAAAGAAAGTCTTCGGGCGCGGTTAGGATACCACTCTCAGTGATTAGTTCTCTCGACCGCATTAACTATACTAACGGTTAGAGTTGACTTGACGGGTTGCTATTGACCCACTTACTTGCAGAATGTGCATTTGAAGGTCATCGCTAACAAGGTTGAAGTTTTTGGCGATCACTATATTCACAACATTGTTGTTCGTTAACGGTGTTGGTGTTGCTGGTGGCTTGCTGTGATCTCCAAAGCTTTTGTAGGAAGAACGCTTGCTTGACTAGTCTTGTCAGCTCAGAAGAAGGACTAGAAATTTGGGATGACAAACCACTTCAGGATTCAAACAAGGACGCGTTGCTCGATGACTTGCGCGGGCATCAGGAGAGAGAACCTCATTGTAAATGTCCTCAACAGACGTAGAAGAGGAGCAGTCAATGATGCTATATGAATAATTGAACGTTGAACAGGCAATCTGAATTTGTAAGAAGATCGTTCAATGTGCAGTCGACAAACATACCAGGGCAAGCTCTTTGGCAAGGTCATCAATGCAGTGACTGATGGTCTCGATCAAGCAATGTTCGCGAGCAACGAGGCACAGAAAAAGTGCCACTTCAAGATCGGATAGCCGTCTGGCGATATCTGCAATTGACTCATCCATTGAAAAAGTCAAGATCAACGCAAGTCAAGGATCATACCCAAAGTAACCGAAGTGGAGGATGGGAGGTGTGGAATCTCCGCCTGGGAACCAAGGCGTTAAACATACCCGAATTGGCCTAGCGCGCGCGACCTCCCGATCAACACCTCCTCCAACTTCAGAGGGCCTCGTCTGTAAATCAACAACATGGCACCAAATCCACTTGCCAATTGGGAAAAGATTGGAAACAGCTTCTATCGCAAGATCGCAGTCTATGACGCCATCTTTGAGGATGAAGTGGAGTTAGAAAACTACCTTGTCGCGGGTGCCCCCTACGGTGGAGCGATTGGTGAGGAGCGTTCTAAAGACCATGAGACCTAAGGACTAATTCACTTCAGCATTACACCGCGACGAGACCAAGCCGCTAAGGTTGCGAGATGGACAGGGGTCTCGCTCGACTGTTGACGTTCATTCTTGTTCTGGACAACGTATCAACCGGATCAATGTGAGTCTGCAACTGATGATCGAATGAACCATCGTATTCTAATGCATGAAAAGTGGGAGCAAGCCACAATCAGAGGGTTGGGCTGGTCTGACAAGGAAGAGCTGTTAATTGTCTCCGAGGACGGCACGGTACGACGATATCTCGGGCTAGATGGCGAGTTCACGTCCTTCTCACTTGGCAATGTGAGTAAATCTTCCTCCGATGAAAGTGCAATGCTGATTATGCACCAGGGTGCTGAGGAATATGGTGTGAGAGCTTGTCAGTTCTGGTCGTCAGGTCTCGTGGCATTGCTTTCCAATAACCAACTAATTGTTGTATCCAAATATGATGAGCCGCGTCCACGACTCTTGGCACCTTGTCCAGAGGGCGAGGTATCTTCTTGGACATTGATACCCCCAGCTCATACTTTGTCGCGTTCCGTCGAGGTTCTTTTGGCAGTTGATAAAGCAGTCTTCTTGATTGATACAACGGAAGCAGAAGAAAAAATATCACAAAATGGACCCTTCAAGCATATCAGCGTATCCCCCGATGGGCTATCTGTTGCGCTTTTCACCGCAGAAGGGAAACTATGGGTTGTCAGCAACGACTTCCAAAGCGAACCCAGTGAATATGACTCAAAATCACGGGTACCGCCAAGCACAGTGACTTGGTGTGGCAAGGATGCAGTGATTCTGGCCTGGGAGGATGAAATTCACCTTGTAGGGCTGAATGGAGTTGCGTCGAAGTGAGTGGACTTGTTTGTTGTATGTAGACAGGCCACGGCTAACATTACCAGATACTATTATGACGGCCGCGTTCATGTGATCCCTGAATTTGATGGGGTTCGCTTGATCACCAACGACACATGTGAATTTTTACACAAGGTCGCAGGTCTGTGAAATTACAAATTCTTAAATACACAGAGACTGATCATCCCCAGGTGTCACTGAAGAGATATTCCGCCTTGGCTCTTCTTCCCCCGCTTCGGTGCTTCTGGACTCGGTAGATCAACTAGAGAAGAAGTCGCCCAGGGCTGATGAGAACATCCAGCGAATCCGATCGAGTCTGCCCTCGGCGGTCGATACATGCATAAAAGCAGCAGCCCTTGAATACGATGGCTTCTGGCAAAAGCGCCTTTTGAAAGCTGCCTCGTTTGGCAAGTCCGTTCTTGATCTCTATAATAGTGACGAATTTGTTGAGATGACCGAAAAGCTGCGCGTTCTCAAATCGTTGAGAGACTACAGGATTGGCTTGCCGCTGACCTATGAGCAATACCTACGCCTCACGCCAGATGGTCTCATTGAACGCCTGATCAACCGTCATGAGTATCTGCTCGCAATTCGGATTTCAGAATACCTTCAAATTCCCGCAGACAGAGTCTATGTTCATTGGGCCAGTCAAAAGGTTAAGGTGTCAACTGTCGATGATGAAGCCGTGTGCAAACTGATTGTGCAAAGACTTGATGGCAAACCAGGAATCTCTTTTGAGGCAATCGCCCAAGCGGCCTACAATGAGGGTCGATCTCATTTGGCTACCCAATTGCTAAACCATGAACCTCGGGGTGGCAAGCAAGTTCCTTTGTTGTTAAATATGGAAGAAGATGAGCTTGCCCTTGACAAGGCTATCGAAAGTGGAGATGACGACCTGGTGAACTACGTCCTTTTACACCTCAAGAGCAAGCTCCCTTTAGCAAGTTTCTTTCGACTCATCAATACTCGTCCCATGGCATCTGCGCTCGTTGAGACAGCTGCACGAGGCGAAGACACAGAACTACTCAAAGATCTTTTCTATCAAGATGATCGACCCATTGATGGAGCCAATGTGCTATTAACCGAGGCACTACGCGAGTCTGATCGGGCACGCCAAGCGGAAAAGCTACAACTGGCAGCTCGCCTTTTGTCGGATTCCAAGGAGCCTACTGTTGTTTTGAACCAAAAATTAGTCACCGAAGCTTCTCAGCTTCTGAAAGCCCAAGAGGCATTGGACAAAGACTTGGCAGATAACAGCGAGTACCTTGGTCTCAGTCTAAATGAGACAATTTATCGACTTATTCGAGCGGGCTACAGTAAGAGAGCACAGAAGATCCAGAGTGAATTCAAAATGCCGGAGAAGACATTTTGGTGGCTAAGATTGAGAGCATTGGTGGCAAAACGTGACTGGGGGGAGCTGGAGGAAATCGCTAAGGTCAAGAAATCCCCAATTGGGTGGGAGGTAAGGTTGCTAACCCCAACTGTCCTTACACATGCTCACAAAAAAAATAGCCTTTCTACAACGAGATTTTGGGTGCTGGAAACACAAAGCTTGCTTCAGGGTTTGTGCCGAAGTGCACACACTTGCCTCCTGCCGAGAGAATTGAAATGTGGGTAAAGTGCGGAATGATAGTGAAGGCGGGAGAAGAGGCGCAAAAGGCCAAGGACCTCAACACTCTGGAACTCCTCCGGACCAAGGCATCTGGCCCCGCAGCCACCGAGATCGAGCGCATGATCAACCAACTAAGGCCGAGGAAATGAGCCTGTCAAAAGTTCTGGCCGTACATCGGGACCGACCAGCCGGGTCTGCTCTTGGTTCCTTCAGGTGATTTCGTCGGCTTCTTCCAAGACCGCAGTGTCATCAGTAGCATCGTTCGCTGCATTGTTGTCCACTTCCCCGTCCTCCATTTCAAAGACATTCTTTGCCATAGGAACCTTCGCGGGGGCAGCATCTTCGGCCATGGAATCGTCGCCCTCCTCATCCTCGTCGTCATTATCGTTGTTCTGGAGAGCAGCGAAAGCTGATGCTTTACGGTTGGTCTCCTCCCAGTCAGCCTGTTTCGTTGTCAGCACCTGTATACCAGACCAAACCGAGACTGTGTAATCATACCCTTCGGCCATCGACGACTCTCGCACGAGCGAAGCTTTTAGCTTTCTTGATTTCCAATTGATCTAACACCGCCTCGGCTCTGTCCATTCCCTTTTGTTGTCTCAGCCGCTGGGCCCTTGAGACTTTGTCGTTCTTCTTCTTTTGCTTTTTCATGACACCGGCGTTGGCACGATCAGCCAGAACAGCAGGGCCCTGGGTACTCGGAGATTCGGCTCGGGGCAGTGAAGTCACAGACTTGTCAAGGTCCATACTTGGAGACGCTGCTCTTCGTGCTGCGCGGGAGCGCGGGGCAACTTGAGCTAGTAAATGTTAGACATAGCAAGATCAATGGAAAGTCGAAGTTAATAGCCAACTTACATCTGCTCTTCGCCATGGTGGTTGTTTTGAAGAATATGCAATCCACTGTGGGGGAGCCGCTATCGATAAAAAAAATTTTTACGGAATGCGATAACGACCAGTAACGCAGCCCGCCTTGTATACGGAGTACTTCTTTGCAAGCGCGTCTTTTCCGCTCACTTTCTGCATTAGCCCATGCTACCGCCCATCGACCTTGTGTTTATGCGGTGGCAATTCATTCGGCTATCTCTACAATGAACAAAAGATACGGGCATCCTGACACCGTTTCAAACAATCCTAATGACTACATGAACCGCAGTTATGAAACCGCTCGTGGGATGCTAGAGAACAACCCAGTGATTGCATACGGCCTCACTGCACTGTGTTTTGTCTTCATCTTACTAGATTACTTAGGTCGCGCCCCAATATCGCTACTCTGCCTCCCCAGAGACTTCCTTGTCTATATCATCCCGTCCCGAATCATTGTCGCAATGGATCCCTGCATGGCCGACACTGAAGCTATCTCCCAAGGCGCGTCTCTGCCCTTCAAACAAAAGAAAGACGCCATGATGCGAATTCTTGGTGGTATGATGGCCAGCACCGGCAGCTTCAGCTCCCTTGCCTCCCTCCCTCGGCCTCAATCCTTCTCGAATCTCGGAAATGCTCTACTGGGATCGACAAGGGACGGGGCACCACCGGGCCTAGGAAATTGGAATAATTCATGTTTTCAAAACAGTGTGATGCAAGGTCTGGCGTCTCTGAGGTCCCTGATGAACTTTTTGGGACGCAACATGGGTAGCGCTCCACCAAAAGGCTTCCTCGAGACACACGTTGCGCTATTCAACCTGATCAATAGTCTGAACAGCGCTTCGAACCATGGAAAAAGGTTTTGGGTTCCGGAACCTTTGGATTCGATGAGCAGCTGGCAACAGCAAGATGCGCAGGAATACTTCTCCAAGATCATTCATCAGATCGACGTGGAGGCTGAGCTAGTTTCACATGGAGAGACGACCAATGCGGGCTTGAAGATGGTGGGACCCGAAGAACACATTGTGCAAGGTAGCTTCGATGATGAATCCTGCTCTGAGAAAAATGACATGGCATCACCAGCCCTGGGCTTTCTTCACAATCCTCTGCAAGGTTTGTTAGCTCAACGAGTTGGCTGTATGGACTGCGGTTATTCAGAGGGCCTTTCACTCATTCCTTTCAACTGTCTCACGGTCCCTCTTGGCGAAAAACTCGAATACGACATCCGCGAATGCTTGGATCAATACATGACGCTTGAGCCTATCGAAGGTGTGGAGTGCGCCAAGTGCACTCTTTTGCATAAAAAAGAGCAGCTGACCAACTTACTCGACGGTCTTGGTGATGAAAATCGGAGCCAGTCAACCAGCTCCGAAACACCCCAACCTCTTGAAGGCGTGAGACTGTCGGCCCTCTCCAGACTAGAGGAGGTCAATCATGCCCTGGAGAATAAAGACTTCAGCGAGAACACATTGGCTCAAAAGTGTCACATTCCCTCCAGGGACCGGGTCAATACCACCAAGTCCCGACAAGCAGTGATCGCAAGAGCTCCTCAGTGCGTCGCAATCCATATTAATCGCAGCCTTTTCGACGAGATGACCGGCATGCTGAGGAAGAATTATGCGTCAGTCCGGTTTCCTCCAACCATCGATCTAAATTCTTGGTGTCTTGGAACTCGAGCTGCCGGCGAGTCTGGTGATATCCTTGAGGAATGGGAGACCAACCCCTCCAAGTCTATGATTCCGCAGCTCGGCGAATCGATTGAGATATCTAGCAGGCTGTATGAACTCCGAGCTGTGATAACCCATTACGGTCGCCATGAAAACGGACACTACATCTGTTATCGGAAATACCCCACCTCAGAGTTCACGGCCCCTCCCCCGGATGAAATTCTCCAAGCCGAGGGCGACCAAGATAAACCTGAGCGCTGGTGGCGACTCAGTGACGATGATGTTGAAATGGTTAGCGAAGGGCATGTGATGTCCCAAGGAGGTGCTTTCATGTTGTTTTATGAGGCTATCGACGAGTCCACCCAGCTTCGTTCCCAGTCCCCATCCACGGAGGAGTATCTTTCCCTCACCTCAGGCGATGATGATCCTCTTGAGATGTCAAAAATCCCCGCGGACAGTCTCATGGAGGACATCTCCGCTTCATCGACAGTTACTGACTTTGAGTCTTCCACCCGTGCGACCAGCATCTCGATGCCTTCGGAGGAGGCTCCGCGCAACCTCCTTCACACTAAAGAGCAAACTGTTTGTGACGCCTACCTCCCTCCCAAGGATGATACCGAATCGCACCCTGCGACTGCCATATGACACGTTTCTATCTTCTCTTTCGCCAGATTTCTTATGGTTTGTCTTCTGGTTGTCTTTTTTTTTACCCTGCATAGTCGTGCCGTAAAGGCCGCTTTTGCATCATGATACCCAACGACAGTCTCGTTCAATGCTTTGGTTTTTCAAGACGTATGGTGTCAGGGAGTGAATTTTTATGTATGATGATGTACTTGTAGGTAACCTGAACCATTCTTGTCATGATACAAATGAACTTTATCAACTCAATTTTCCTTACATTGTATTCCCGCTTGTCATAACCTCTGAATAATGGCTCTGCTCAATGGCTCGGTCGATAAGCAGCGGTTTGGCTTGTGTAGATGACCGCCGTGCATGGGTCTTCGCCTCTGGCGACTTTCACTCAAATGATTTCTTGCCAAGCTTGATAAGAAGGATTATTGCCATATTTGGATGTGAGCACCTTGTAGAACACGCCCCATCACGGCGATTCGGAATCACCTAATCAGGTACCTTGGGGCCAGCCACTATGGCATCAGACAACCCCCACTCACATTTCCGGGGTATTCGGTAGTCAAACATATTGAGTCCTCTCGAATTCTTTCTTGAATTATTTGATACAATTCTTGCCTATCAACTGGCTCTTCTCTTCCACTAGAATTGATTCATTGAAATTGCGAGCGAACTATACAGATCCGCGGCAGATCCCCGGTAGATCCCCGGGTCCTCACTTTATCTGATCACAAAGTATAAGCTCCCCACGTCCGAACATTCAAAAGCTGAACAATCTGCTAATCAGTCTCCAGTTGCATTTTCTTTGGAGACACCCGTGTAATACACCATGTCTAACAGCAACCCTTCCCCACAGCCCCATGCCATATTCTCCATCAACGAGCTCCTAGAGAACATCCTTCTGCATACAGACATGAGAACCCTTGTGACATCCGGTCAGCGTGTATGCCGTGGTTGGAATGATACGATCAAATCATCACCAAGTCTTCAAGAATATCTTTTCCTCAGGCCATCCAAATCTCAAGCATCATGCTCTTGTCAACGGTCTCGCAATCCACTTCTAGAGGATATCCTCTGGGTCCAGTTTTTCCTTAAGCAGCAACAAAACTCAGATTCAAAGGCCGAAGTGAGCAGGTTTCCACTGCGTGAATCAGATCGGCTGAGGCTGAAGGCCTACCTGCGGAAAGACGCCAGCTGGAAACAGATGCTTCTACAACAACCCCCAACGTCATCAATTGGGGTCCTTGAAATAGTCAGAAGATCTGATTCCGAATTCACAAAGTTAGCTGTCAACCCAGACTCGGAGTTTCTCCGAATGGGCCACATTCTGAAGCTCCTGCAAGGGCGCAGCACTTTGGTACCAACACGCAACAAATGGATCCTATGGAGTGGACGGTCACGCATCAGGATGCCGCTCAACTTCGAGCTCTGGGCACCGAAATGGGTGTACGAGCCGGGTACATTGCAGTCAGTTCAAGAATGGGTTCCTGATAATATCGACTGGGACAGTCTACGGCTGGAGGTCGCGTCGATGTATCTGAATGATTTCGAATGTGATTTGGTCATTGTGTCTGAGCGAAGACAAAAGCTTTTCCAGGGCGAGGATCGAGTCCATAAGGAGAGTAAACTTGATCGTCGGCTTGAGAATGTATTTGGGGAGTGTCGGGTTGAGATTGGAAGGCGACATATCAACCATTCTTGGATCCCTATCAAGGGAGTGGGTGTTGATCGGAGATGGGTTTTGAGACCATGTTCAGCTACACCTCTTGTTCCGACTCTAAGTGCCTCGTCTGATGTTTCTGATTCGTCTTCTTTTTCATCTTCGTTTTCAATGTCTGTGTGAGGGGAATTTAGGTCGCTGCCAGAAGGCCGGCGTTGGTGCTTTGTTACTCGGAGTTTCGGATACCATAATGAGATGCAACTTTTTTTCACGGGCACTACAGCGCTGTGGTTCTGTGGGGCTTCAAGTAGATTATCCTAAGCTCTTTCCAAGTTATTGAGTAAGCTGCTGAGTTGTGAAGAACTGTCATTTCTTGATCAGCTGGGCTCTTTGTCATACTTCGCATATCCCAATGTGAATCACTCCGGGCAGTTGGGCCTCATCATCATCTGTTGGGAAATAGTGCCCGAGGAAAGCCAAAATTCTAGGGCATATGCATACACTTTGAAACTGAATGCCGCTGAAACCTTCCAAGGTTCCCGTACTTAGTTAGATTAGATCAACGAGAGAGGGGGGAGGGGGAGGGATTTCATTCGAGCAGGTGTAAGATCGTGATTGTCTCCAGCCAGATATGTATATTGTTAGGTGCCGATGTCGGTTCAATGCATATCTGAACTCCAATGTCCAATAGCATAGCATGAACCATGACTCGCGATAACAGGAGCTCCCTACAAGTCGTGCATAATCTATTCCTGCGCCTAACAATGAAACAACGGTGAAGATGAAGATACCTAGCAACCCCTCCAGGACCCGATCAAACAATGTCAGCCACAACCAACGGAAATTAAGTCTAGTCCAAAGCTTTGACAAACATCTGGAGAATCCTAAGCTCTATGTATCAAATAGGAAGTAGACACAATTCACCGCCATTCTAATTATCCGAGCGTGCATCGGGGAAAGCCAGCGACCAGCAACCCCATGTCGGTCGAGCGCTTCCAGAGCCCCGCCAACCAATACAATAAGCACTCGGACAATGTCCATCAGTCATGCATAAGATTCGAAATGCACGTTTAGGACGTTCTTCAGCAATGTTCACCGTATCATCTAGACGCGCATCCCACGGATGTCCCTGCCCAGCTCGAAATGAAATTTTCACCGATCGAAACACCCCTCGGGCATCGTTCGGATGTGTACAGACAACGGCTAGGACAAAGCGATTGCTGACTATGCCAAAGAGGGCAACTGGAAGAATTACGCAGGCGCATCTACAATGTAACGGGACTCTGCTGCACGGGTCTACACATACTGCATTACGAACGTTCTCGAAAGTGGATGATTATCTGTATTTGCCATGAGACTTGAGTTGGGTCGACTTTCAAGGTTCATTGATCTGGCCGGGTCTTTTGTTGGTGCTTATTTGTTTTTGTTTAATATTATTTTTAGAGTCATCCCAAATCATGCAGAAACGCGACCGTGGCAACGACATGCTACCCGGTGGCAAAAATCGGTCAACGCAGATACCCTCCACGGTCGCAAGGCGGGAAGGTTCTGAGTCAAACATAGATGATTGGAGTCAGTGGAAGAGTCAAAGGCTGCAGTTAACATCCAATGGCAATGCGTAACTTGGCGGTCTCGGGAAGCGCTGTCTGATCTCACAATCAAGTAATGAGCAGATGACGGCTTACGACGGTGTCATCCGTGCGGTTCATGTCTATCAAGTACTCGTACACTATGAATCAGAGGCGCTGTATACAGGTTTAATATACATATGGGGAGGCGCCCTATGTGCAAGCCTCACACTTCTCTACACACCGTAAACCAGCCACTACCATCACACCCTGGCCGATCGCTGCAAGAGACAGCGCGGATGGGAACCCGGAAGGGAGCTGGGTCACACTGCAAAAGAACTGCAGAGCGTACTCCGTACATGTCAACTCACATTCTTCAAGTCCCCGCAAAAGTCAAAGGGTGGGTCGGAATCTGATACCCGGGACCCCATGGGGGCGTTCCATGGTTCAGACTATGCTTATTATCAGCCGGATCTAGACCAGCATTCCTGAGATTATCTTGTGAATACTCCGTACATGTGAGATTGAATGTCCCAATGTGGCTGAATTCGGTGAGTCAGAAGTCGGAAATTACTTAGGATGGCACATTCTCTGCTACCTCATCCTCGTAAGTCCGGAGTACCGAGGTGTAGACCTCGGTCGGCGTGAAAATATATTCGGTCGCTGTTACTCCTACTCTTTTGAGAAATATGTGATGTTGTGCAAAAGGCCCAATGTAAATGGAGTATTTAGCTCCTTCCTTTACGCAGTGTCATTGTATATATGCAAGAGCAGACCCGACCATCTGTCCTTGCGATTTTAGTTCTGAGATCGTACATATGAACTGCAGCTAGAGCTGCAGGGAAACCCTAGAATGGCTGGAAGGGCGACTGTGGATCCGAGCCCCTGCACCTCACAACATGTACTCCGTAGCTACTGTATGGAGTACAGTGCAATGTACGAAAGAGCAAGAGCTTCAAAATTCATAGCAGATCAAGCTCTACAGAGTCTCACTGCATGTGTTACAATCCACTACAGACATATGCGAGTAAACCTGTCTCGCAAGCCGGGTTTCACAAAGCTCCATCAAGACCCAAAGCCGAGGCAATGAATAATAGACAATCCACAAGCCGAGCTCTCGCTCTCGCTCCTGAAAATTAGAACCTTTTGCGCCCAACGTCAGTAGTACTTCTCTTCCGGGAGCCTAATAACAAAGCCGGAGATCACTCAGGAGGTTCCGCGGAACCCATGACATTATCCGTCTCCACAAAACCCAGGAGACAGGTACAAGGGCACGCGTCGCAAATCCCTTGAAACCCACCAGAGACTGGAAAAAAGGGAGGGTCCGACGCGACGCGCTGGATCGCGGGCCGTCCCCCAGACAAAGCTCAGCTCTCGCAGCCCACGCAGCTCTTCTCACAGCTCCCGTTCACGGAGTAAGCCGTATCGAATATGATTTCATTAGTCCGAGGCCCAGTGGAGCTGTCATGTCGACCCAATATGATTTCCTGGGTCATCCACGCCCCTGGTTCCCCGACGGACGGGACGGGGAAGCATCAATTGGTACTCCGTAAGTACGTAGGAGGCGGAATCGCATTGCAATACGGAGTACTCCGTAGATCTGTAGCAGACAGCCAAAGTACTACATGCGGGCAATCGTATCAAGGGTCAAAATCGATGTCCTCGATGGGCCAAGGGGAGGTCGATATGATGGGTTCGAAGGGGTTGTCGATCTTGGGCCGAAAAGGGGGTGAATCAGACTCCCAGGGTAACGGACTGCTCCACTTAGTCTTCCGGGGAAGGACATGTGTTTCCGCTAGGCTTGCATCACGCAAGTCATCTGGCGCATCATAATTGCCCAAGCCCTAAAGATCGAATAAGAGTGCTTACGTAGGTAATGTGGGATCGGGACTGGGGAAAAAATTTAAATGAGAAAAGAAAAAGAAAAGAAAAAAAGAGAAATCCCCCAAATCAGAGGAGAGAATTGAGAGATGGGAAATCTCTTTGTTTTGAGTCTGGACCGACGATCTAGGCCTGTGTAGTGCGAGTATTGATTTAAGGATTCCCGAAAATCCACCGGGGCCTCGGCGGAACTGTGGAGCTGTTGATTCGTGCAAAAATCATTAGACACGGCGAAATCCCTTCTACTCGTATGGAGTACGGAGTAAAGAGTAGTGCTAACAGTGTACTCCATCTACCGGGATCTCCTATGAAGGAATTCAAAACGTCTAGAACAATAAGCGAAACAGGCACAAGCAAATTGCCGAGGGAACTGCATTTAGCCGAAAGATGGGGAGCATTTCGGAGCGGAAACCGTTACCCATTTTCGAAGGGGCCACTTTTTACGTTCTAAGGCGATTCTCCACGGGCTCTAGACTGGTCCCGAGGGAGTGGAGAAACGAACACCTTTGAATCACCGAGAGTACTCCGGAGCCCTAGTCCTCACGGAGTACATAAATACTAGCCCTCCGGATAAGTACAGGAACCCTCCCCTGTGGCAAGTTCCGACTTTTGGTCTTTCTTATCTCTCAACTTTGCTAGCAAACTGTCAAAGAACGGTGTTGACGTGTTGGATCGCCAAACGGTCAGATCCCTGAGGCGTTTAGGCGGAAATTGAGCGGTGAAGTCGATCAAACAGCCTTTACAAATATTCAAAATATTCAAAATTCCAAAATACTTCTAAAGTTCTGAATCTATAGGTACAGAGTGCTCTGTACTCCGTATAAAGTGCCAGATAGAATACTCCGGCCTTAAGATTTACTCGTACAAAATCGGGTGTGGCAACTGTGACAGACTCCAGATCACAATTCAAAGGCCTGGGATTTATTATTTATTATTTTTCTTATTTTAGGCCGATCAGTTCGTTGATCGACGTGCTTTGACGGAAGCTGCTTCCGTCTGATTGTTCTGATTTTGCTTTTTTCTCGTTTTTCTTTTTTTCTTTTCTTTTTTTTTAAATTAATTTATTATTTACTTTTCCCTTTTTTGATTTATTTTTGATTATTTGGTTTTTTGATTTTCATTTTCACCTGCAAGGGAGTCCGGGTGGTCTAGAAGTCTTCCCCGGCTTTGATATCAACCCTCTTTCACTTTTATTGATAAACACTCCCCTCGGCTCTCTCTCTCTCTCTCTCTTCACCTTCACTTTCATCACCTCAACTTCACTCTGTTGTTACCTACAACTTCAGGACCCACTTGGTCCAGGCTGTCTTCGACTCCTTCACAGCATACAACCACAACATGATTCCTATTCAGTCACGCCTACAAGCCATGTCGCTTCCCAAAGCGGCGGCTCCCATCGCCAGCACAGATCCAGCACAGGTCACTTTTTGCTGGAGTGGTAGCTCCGGATCTTTCGAATCCACGGTTTCCAGCCCTTTCTTCGCCCCGCCACCAACTCCTACCGACTCTCTTCTCGACATCAACCCTCGCAAATCATCTTTTTCTAGTGAACAGGGCGCAGCATATGCCTTCCCATCATGGCCCAACAGACCCTCACTCTCCACCAATGATTCAATGGATTCCTGCGCCAGCGCCTACCTCTCTGATGACGACCTCCTCTGGATGCCCGAGAACGCAGGCACCGAACAGGAAGTGGAAGAAACCCCGGCCGCCGAGCCCATGTGCTCCGTCACCATGGAGCAGCAGCTCCAGCGCATGCGCGCCATCGCCGAGGAACAAGATCGCGCCAACTTTATGGCCAAGGTCGACGCCCACGCCCGCGCCACGCTCGCCTTGCGTCAGGAAAAGCAGACCGTCATCGAGCGCGACACAAAGCGCAAGAAGCGTCGGGTCGTACCAACCCCAAAGCGACGCGCTCACTCGGCCTCCAAGGTTTCCACGCACTAAGCTCACCGGCCTGACCGGTGCAGCGCAGGCGCTGCCCCAACCAACTTCTTGTCACTACCCATTACCTTATCGTTTAATTTCATGGAGGCTCAGGCCCCATGCCGTGATACCCGCTTTGTTCTCGAATCGACGATTCCGATCTCGGACGTCAATCATCTCCATTTCCTTGGGATGATGCGATCCCCGCAGCTTACCTAATGGCGCTGACGGCGGTTTCTCGCGAAATGATCTTCTTCACACCGCTGGTCTTTGACTCATTTCCTTCTCGTTTCAGCGATTTTTTTTCTCCCGTTCTGCATTCCAACCCGGTGTTTCCCATTAGCCTTTGCTTTTTCCTTGCCTTTTCTCTCTAACGATGTTTCCGAGCTCCAATACCCCATCCTGTATACCCCCCATCTGTTATTATTCCTGTATCTGATTGCTTCTTACATTGCGCCACTCGCCCCATAATATGTACTCATACTATCTTTATGTTGGGCATCCCAATCAGAGCCGTTGGCTCTTAGCACGTTATTAGGTAGCCTCACTTAACTGGCCTCACTATTCACCATGTCCTGATTCCCAATCCTTCCGAAGTAGACTAAGATACTTGTACCCAACTGTCAGATATTCAATAATAATATTTGATTAACCTTGTCTCTCCCCCGTACCCCCAATGCCACGTTCGTGGAGATGTAACCTACGAGCAAACCCCCGAAATAGAAATTCCAGCACCCGTCGATCAGCCCTGTCCGCCTCGTGTCTCGCCCCGCGTAACCGCCAGAAAGCCAAATCCCGGCAGTGAGGCTGCAAGAGCTTATTGTCTGTCCGACAGGCCCTGCAGGTATCGTCGCAACACAGAGGCTGATATGGGGCGCCGGGGCTGTTAATCTTACGGATTTGTCATTTACGATGTGACTGTGCCGAACACAATCCCGGAGAGAGGGGATTATTGCAACCTGATTTACTGATCTTTTTTTTTGAGTCATAGTTCTTTTGCGGAATATCTCGGCGGGTAATAAGGGAAACTTACGGCGGACGCTTAAATTGGTAGTGTTTACCGCTTTACCCCTCCACAACTTGATGTTCATTTCGGCTCGGGTTAATGTTGGGGTATGGAGTACCGGCGGGTATTGTTCCTTTTCTTGTAGATTTTTGATTTCTAACAGAAAAAAGAAATAAGTAATCTTATACTTAAGTAATATTATTAACAATAAGAATCACTTTGACATATGCCAAATGAGGGCCCAACTCTGGTAATTGGTAGCGTGTCATTGTTGGACAGTCCCAAGGCCGAGTCATGTGCTGACTGAAATACCTTCATCATAGCCTGAAAACTCTACCAACCCCGTTCTAACGGCCCTGGTTGATTGGAATGATTGGACAAGTCGAGATATCAGAGCCCATGTGCTATCATGCGCGGCTCCAGGCGGAACAACAACAGGCCAGGATGAGTCTGATAAGGGACACAACTCCCAATATTGTTGCAGGGGGGACGGAAATGGAAGTATCCTTGGACCTACCTAGGTATCGAGTTTGCATGCATTCACATGTAGGAACTCATGACTTCCTACTCGTAGCCTTGCTGAGATCCAAATGTGGCGGACAGTACTGTTATCAGTAACTGGTACATCTTGATCCAACACAACCCAAAGCTGCTGGGCCAGAATGAGGCATCCTAATACCTGGAAGATACACTGGCCAACATTTTTGGCCCGGGTAGAGCGCCATCTTTTAAAACAGGGCGACCCTTCGCTCCTGGAGGCCAGCAGAATGACCACAAGGCATACCGGATGAAGAGATGCCCAGATGAACCAACCCCTGTACGCCTTGCATGGATCTAGGAAACTAGGCATTATGTGATAGAACCAACAGTGAGATCGTGGGCAAAGACACAGTCCAAAAGAGCAGCCGATGCAAGACTCAGACCTGGAGTGTTGAGACCCCCAGCGAATAACAGGGAAACAATAGCCCCAGACAAAGCCGCCGGAGCAAAGACTATAGCCATATTAGCCAACTATCGGTCAGCAACGAGGCCCACAGAATAAGCCCCAGAATGTGACCGATATTCTTCCCATTTTGCAAATCGCTATGCCATTTCGAGGTCCCATGGTATCCGTTTTTGGGGGCTATGACTCCGATTCGTTCTCGGAAGATTGTGATCGATGTTGATCGAGCAAGCAGTTATTTTGGAGCCTTTCGAAAGAAGACCAAAAGATGGCGAATGGTGCTGTAAGTAAATGTTTTAGTAAATTGAAAGAAGGAGATGAGGAGCCAACTCTCTCTCTATCACTTTGATACTTCGCACTGCCGTTGTGTAACCCTTTCCATAGCCACATGGCAGATTTGGCTGCGGGGAGATTGTGGGGAAGTTTGATACGACAAGAGCTTTCGGTCCTGGTGAGAACGAGACTGGAAACCTCAAGTCGTCTGTCTCTCCGTTGCCATTTCCTTTTTGCGTTTTTTCTTGAACCCGATAATTAATGAACATTTTTTAATGCCTAATAGTAGATTTGGCCCCTTATCAATGAAAACATCGGGGCGTACGAGCCGTGCTGTTGACACTATACGATGATTCTGAATAGCTAACGAGAGCTTTCATTGTTGAACACGCCGAATAGTCAACTGAAACTGCAGCGTCTTGATTCAGTTGAGAGCAAGCTATACAGGCCAGTATTCTTTTGCATCGACTCGAGGCAGCAAATCGACCCATTATTGTTCTTGGATATTCAAGTTCAGAAAGACAGCTTGAGAATGTAGCGTGCTGAAAATCAATATTCACAGGGTATGTATAGTTCTATAGTTTATCATTCTAACAACAGCAGGGCTCCACCTCTTAGAGGATTTGATTGATGGTCTCACCACGACACCATTTCTCAATGGTGGTCTTCACAGCGGCCGTGAGATTTTGCAATGTGTTTTCCGAATACCACGCCAGATGAGGAGTCAGGGTCAAGTTCAATCCCACTGCCTCGGTGCCAAGCAAAGGAGAGTCTCCCCTCCCAGCAGGTTCCTTGGTATAGACATCCGTTGCCGCACCGGAGATTGCACCACTCTTGAGAGCATCAACCAGGGCTTGCTCGTCGACAATACCACCTCTGGCGACATTGATCAGCAATCCATGGGGTGACATCATCTTGAATTCCGCAGTGGAGATCATGTTGATAGTATCGGCGCTCCGGGGCAAACACAAAATCACCACTGTCGACATCTTTAAAGCCTCTTCAAATCCGACTCGGCCAGGCCGAGGGGATATGCCCTTGCGCTCAGCGATAATCACATTCATACCAAGACCCTTCGCCATTTTCTCGATATGTTTCCCCAAGGATCCATATCCAACAATGCAAGTTGTCTCATCGCTACACAGCATTGGTGCTTTTCCATCGGGTGCACGGACCCGACTGAGCAATGAGCCACGGGTCTTCCACTCCGTATCAAGTGATGGATCTGAGGGGATAGCGACTGTGGCATTATGGAGTTCAACGAACTTCCGCCGAGCTGCAAAATAAAGTCCAATGGCGTGTTCACTGACGCTGGCAACATTGCTACCTGGGCAATTGCATACAGTGACTCCTCGAGCTGTCGCAGCAGCTACATCGACACAGTCGGTGCCGCTCGCCATGATCACTATGAGGCGTAGTTTTGGGGTGTTCTCTGGGCTTAGAGTTTCCGCTGTCAAGCGGGTCGTTGTGGTGATAATAATCGTGGCATCTTTGACACGCTCGGGAAGCTCTGATTGAGCTGTCAACCGGTGAACGACTCGAGTATGGGGCCCTGGGAGATCGAATTCCGGAATTGGGCAATGAACGCCCTCAATGGCGACGATGTGATGCGCGGTGTTGTCCATGATAGGTTAGAGTGTCTATCAATCCCACGTCTGTGAGGTATTTGTGTGATGACTGATGACCGTGAGTAGCCGAGGTGTCAGGCTGCTGTTGTGCTCCTGGGCTGATGTGATGTTGAAGTTGAAGAAGTTGGATCTCAAACAGCGTTCACTTTAAAATGACTTCACGCTCGCCTATCTTATCTTGTGCAATCAAATTCTGCATCGGAAAAGAAAAACGGTGTTTTTGAATACTTCGTAGATGTTTGTGTTCCGATGATAACCGAAGCCAAAGCCGATGTCAAAGCCGATGTCAAAGCCGACGCCCTTCGAGGTACTCAAGTCCACGGGTGGATATGTTGATTTGTAACAATGACTCGAAGTCTAAGTTGAGGTTAAATCCAATATTTATAATACATTGGATGTGATGCATTGGACGTAATATCATCCATCTCGGATACCCTGAACCATCATGCCCGAACAAAGTGCACCCTATGGTAGATGAGCCCCAACTTGTATCAAAGGCCTGGTGTTAATACTACCTCTAGTCATCCTGGATGTCTTTACATCAAATAGGTACATCAATTCGACATATTCATTGGATTCAATGCTTACCAGTGTCACGATAGATTCAAGGGCAATCCAGTCGCCATTGTAAAAGTCGCCGATATCAACCTAACGCAGGAGCAAAAGCAAAGAATCGCGAATGAGTTCAACCTCTCCGAAACCGTCTTCCTACACCCTGCGGATGAAAATGGCAACCCGAAAGTCGATATCTTCACACCTGTCAACGAGATGGAGTTTGCAGGCCATCCCATCATTGGCACGGGCCATTTCCTCTTCCGCCAACTATCGGCCGACCTCAAAGACTCCAAATCTCTCACCGTCATCACAAAAGCAGGCCCCGTCCCAATCGAATATGATGTAGCCGAAAAGACCGTATCCGCCGAAGTCCCGCATAACATCCACATTCACCAACAGCCAGCAACACTCAATCATATCTCTCCCGTCCAAACGGCTCTGGCCAAAGCCTCTGATCTGACAGGCGTACCCGAGAGCTCGCCTGTGGTCTCAGTGGTCAAGGGGGTGACATATGCGTTGGTGGATCTTACTGAAAGACCTGATGTCTTTGCCAATATCCGCCCCAATGGAAGTCCGGCCCTTGATCTTGACGAGGAATGGAGCCCTATGTTCACTGGCGTCATGTATCATCGCCACCTTGGATGCCACAAGGAAGAAGATCTGGTGGTATGGAACCTTCGTGTACGCATGGTTGCCATCGATCTGGAAGACCCTGCGTGTGGCAGTGGGGGGAGTTCCCTGGGCGCCTATATCGCGCTGTCAAATGCTCACAAGGGCCGACACCATCGATTCCGCATCGACCAGGGCATCGAAATGCGGAGGGATAGTCTGGTGATTGTGGATGTGATCCTAGATGACGAGAGGAAGAAGGTGTCGACCATCAAGCTTACTGGCCATGCTGCATTTGTCGCAGAAGGCAACATCTTTGTGTAATGAAAGCTACTAAAATGCAATTCTATGATACTATGGTAGTAAAAGATTCTACCCGTGAAGTTAGGCCAATCCTGATGCTATTACAACCCCTTGCTAAACAATTCCCTGCCCAGTTCTTTCAGGAGAGGTTCCTTGTTCACGGCCTGGACATTCATCTTCTCGGAAAGAGTCTCTGCCACGCCCATCGCACGACAAAGATCGACCAGAGACCCATCCATTGGTGCTTCGTAAACGAATAGTCCCAAGGCATACAGTAGACCATGCAGCGCTTCGGTACTCTGATCTTCGCGCGAAACAGCCTCAAGCAAGGATGCGCTCAATTCAACCTGATCTTCTTCCGGTAATGGATCATCATTTCCACCAAAGCGGGCATTGTGGTTGAACGCAGCAAGATTGTATGCAAACGAGGCAGCGACAACACGGAGACTAGCATGTGAGTCTAGGAGGGAATTGGTCGCCAAGCTGAGACAAGCCGCGCGGAGGGGAGAAGATGAAGTAGTCAGTTGTGCTGGGTAGAGAGGTGTGCTGAAGAGATTACAGGCGAGTTGGAGTGCAACGATGCGAAGATTGTATGGGGACGAGGATAGGTCGTCTTGGGCTAGGGGTGCAAGGAGAGTGAGCAGAGTTGCATGCCCTGCTTCTTCCGCGAAGTAGCCACTTGCACGGGGGTCCAACAGGAGAAGGCGGATTAAGTCAACCACTGCAAAGTGGCTGTCACCAGGAAGTGTCGAGTATACCGAGTTCAGGGTGGTGGCAAAAGTGTGCAAGTCAGGGACCCTGATATCAGCCGCGGAAGTGTTCCCAGACGATTGAAGTCTGACAAACTCGATCACCTCTGCGACACCCGATCCCTCCTTGAATGCAACGGGTAATTTTTGAAGCAGTTTGTCGAGTGGTGGGCTCTTCTTATATGTGACAAAGTTTGTTATTTCCCGCTGGAGGCTTGGGAGGCGCAATTGACGATGGGGATGCGCTGGGTATGTCATTTCAAGCAACATTCGTACGTTTCCAGCCAACTGAGGTGGAGAAGCTCCACTCCACTCATCGAGCTTCTCGCCTCGCACAAAAGTCATGAATGTGGGTGTTGCACGCACACCGTACTTCATGCTCACATCGTGAGCTACGCTGATATCAACCTTGATCAACGTACCTCGCTCCCCGGCCTCGGCTGCGAGTTCATCATAGATTGGGTAAACAGCCTTGCAGGGAGGACATGTTGATGATGTGAAGAATATGACTGCACAGGAATTTGACGCGCCTTTGAGCTCATTGTCTAGCTGGTTGAGGTTGCTCACCACGCGAACTGTGCCCGCTGAGGGCACAACAGACTTTTGTCTAGCCGGGGCAGCAGCAGCGGATTGAGCACTGGGACCAGGAATAGGACTTGGTCCGGTACCTTGGGTGACACCTTTCAGAGCTGACTCGATTTGAGGTTTCATCATCTGCCCAAAAGGCGTCTCAAGGAATGTTTGAGGCAGGTTGATGATGTGCTCTGGGATACTTTTGCCAACAAGGAACATTGAAAAGTCTTGGGTGAAGTTGTTGCAGTTGTGCAGGAAAAGATCATAGGACTAAACACACATAATCAGTAAGTCCCCTTGAGATGATTGCAACTCTCGCCATGATGGAACAGACCTCGGGTGTGTAAATGGTCGCTAATGAACCGAGATATTCTTCAATAACATCACTCGGGAGCTCCGTGGTACCCAATTTCACGACTTCCATTGGTTGTCCATGGTGAGTACTCCCCGGGACAGAAGTCTGGATTCCTTGGCCGAAATAGTATTCAATACCATTTAGCACGATAGACGTATGATAGATGGCATCCATTTGCGTCCCCGTAAGAGCAAGAGAGTACTATCAATGTTAGTGAATACTCTTCATTTGCACCAGTGCCCAGGTGTACATACCATTCGTGCCAGACCCTATATTTGAGGTTAGTCATTAGGTCCCAGACTATCATGGTGAGAAGCTCACCTTTGACAGGTCATAGACATAGAGTTGAACATCCATGGCTGAGCTCTTTCAAGTGAAGATAAAATGAAAGGAAAGGGATCTCCAATGTAGAAGAGACCTAGGGATAAAGAGGCAGGCACTTGAGGGCTGGAAGGCTGCAGTGCGATAACGTCAGCAACATCACTGCGATCGCCTTCGACCGTTTTCTACGCCAACTTCAGCACCATGTTGAGCTTTGGGCGAGTGAACACAGTGAATAAAGTACCTACCGTGGATACAATAAGGGCTTCGAGACTATCGTTCTTTGCTGTTGACAAAGGAATTTCGGAGTTGCTATGCATTATGCCTATCTTTCGACTTGGATGTCCGGAACCATGTAAAATGGCACAAATGGCATACATCAATGGATTTTTTTAGTCAAGCTACACAAACCCGTGATGCTGCCATGGACATTTTACATACATTTTACCTTGGAGGTCGGGAGATTCTATAGATCAAAACGGAGATTGTCGATAAAAAGTGCTGTTGCTTGGCGCTATGACATAGCTCTCTCCCCACTTCAAAACTTCGGATTCTCTGCAACCCCAACATTTCCTAGTGAACAGAATGGTAAGCCTGAGCAAAGCCATTTCTTAAAGTCTGTCTGACACGCGCACAGCCTCCAAAGCGGCGTGGAGCTGCCGCCAGCTCAGCACCAGCTCCGAAACGTGGGCGTGCATCGAAGCTCGCAAAAGAGAACAACATCACAGCCGAGGAAGAAAATGAGATCAAAGAAGTCTTCCATATGTTCTCAGATAAGAACGAGAACTTTCCAGATGAGAAGGAAGGCGTGCTGCCCCGAGAAGATGTGCGCAAGGCATTAGTGTAAGCCTTTTCCCCAATCTCCAAACTCCAATCTACCGCACTCCGCACCAACCCTGGCAAACGCTACATCATACCCAATTCAAAGCCACACTCTAATATTATCTACAGGGCTCTTGGCCTCCCACCCACAGACTCGAGCGAGCTCGCCGAAATCATATCCGCCCTCGATCCGACGTCATGCGGCTTCGTACCCTACAGCCCCTTCGTCTCAATAGCGGCTGCGAAGCTACATTCGCGCGATGATGATGCTGTGTCGGCCGAGGTGGACGATGCGTATCAACTATTCACGCGCGGCACGCGCGGTCCCATTACACTATCGCATCTGCGTCGCATTGCGCGCGACTTGAAGGAAGATAGCGTGGGAGACGATCTACTCAAGGACATGATCTTGGAGGGCAATGGTGGTGCTGGACTGAGTGCTGGTGTCACTTTGGAGCAGTTTCATGATGTCATGACTCGGGCTGGTGTATTTTGATCTTATGCTTGACAATTTGGGCATGGTATTTGGGCGCATTGATCAGAGCATCAAAAGGCTTTTGTTTTTTTTTGTTTTTTTTTTTCCGGCGATGGGATTTCTCAGGTCTTGGTCAATAGCACTACTCGTGACCGATAATGGGAATACGGCTTCAGTGCTCTGCACAAGACGAAGTTGTTTGTTCATAATAGTACCCATTTGTGATGTGTCATGTTCTGGTTGTAGATACATGCTTTCCTCCACCGGCTTCTGCGCAGCAAGCAAAAAGAATTAAGCTGGTAATAGCAAAAGAAAAAACGTAGAAAAAGACAACCATGGAAAGAAGCAAAAAAAAAAGGCAGCAAGGTCAATAGAAGACATGACCTGCGCATCAACCATAAAGAACCGTCGTCGAAAGCTGCAATGAAACCTGAATCATGCGGAAGCAACGATGGAGGAAAGCGATAGCAATCATGCCAAGCTGTTCAAAGGATTTCATCGTTCATGCCAATGTCCTGGCTAGCGTTGGCCTGGGCGACGTTGCCGTTGGCGGGAGCAGCCTCAGCGGGGGGCGCGTCGGTAGTAAAGTAGTCAACCATCTCGGCATCGAGTTCCTCAACAGTCTTGGGCTTTCCGCGGCCAGGGTTACGGCCGCGACCACCAGCAGCGCGGTTGCCACGGCGGGATCCCTTCTCAGCGGTGGCGGTGTTCTTGGTATCCTTCTTGGCCTTGGCCGGGGCAGCGGCAGACTTAGGACGGGCCTTTTGGCTGTAGATGAATCAGCAAGTGAAGGTAAAAATAACAGGGTGGGATTATCACATACGCAATGCGCTCGGTGAGGGGCTTAGCAGCTGGGGCGACAGGGGCGTGAGAAGCGTCGAAGACGACTTCAATCTATGTGGTTATCAGTCACTGGCCAACCAAAAGCTATGGCGGATTGATTACCTTCATGGGGCGACCGTCGACAAGGAGTCCGTTCAGCTCCTTGGCAGCCTTGGCAGCAGTGTCGGCCTTGTTGAAGATAATTGAGGCAATGCCACGGCTGGTGCCGTTTTGGTTGTAGGTCAGCATGACACGTTTGACAGGGCCCGCAGACTTGGTGAAGTATTCCTATGATGGAGACCATTAGTATTGCGTTCTGGTTCAGCAATGATAGCAGGTCTCGAATGTCGAATAAAAAGGCGGCGGCGCAAACGATGACGAGCAGGGGCAGAAGAGCACCAGCAAGCGCATCAGAATTTCCATCGATCATCAAGTCTCTCCCTATCTTCCAGTATCAAATCCAAACTTCCGTCCCAGACCAATGAGCGTGAGGCTCATTGCCAAGAAGAACATCCCTCTTCAAAGTAAAACCACGTAAACAAGACATTCTCCACGTTTCCACTTCATCCACAAATTCACAAAGAGATTGACAGAAGCATATCATCTCGCGCCGCTGCCATCGACGCGGTCTCAGCCGAAGTAGATCCATCTGCCCATGGATGTCTACGCACCAAGAGACAGCTGTAAGACACAGCAATCCCCCAAGGTAACATGTTGGGTCATCACCCCATAGCTCAAAGGCTCTTCACACAAAGTGATAAAGACAGCGCAGTCTTGAGGAAAGTGGTCTCAGTTTGCCATATCCATGTGTCCCACAAATTCAATGATGCACTTGCTGATGCTCGTCTGGGTCTCAAGTGGAAGAGGAGAAATGGAAGCGTGCGACCGAAGAGAAGTCGGATGTTGAGTTTTCATCAATCATCCTGGCACAGCACTCAGAGAAAAAAAAGCAGGCGGATTCCCCGTGGTATCAACGCGAGCAATGAATCTCCATCACCGTACTACGACAAAGCTCAACTTCATGTCTCGCACAGCGCCAGCGATAAGATCATGCAGAGACTGATAAAGGAGCAACTTGTCTGTGCCTTGCATCGAGGATCATCCGTCGATGTGAGAAGGGTAACACCGGAAAAATGGATCGAAATCGTTTGCGCCGCAAGGCTTTCGAGAAAAGAGAAGGCGATGAAACGCCAAGGTGAGGGCCTTCTTATCAACATACCTTGACATTGCCCTCGGAAACATCGGAAGGCTGAGGAGGTTAGCACACGAACAAAACAAAGAGAGGATACAGGAAACAACATACCAGTCCACTGACGAGAATCTTGCTGGAAGCAGAGTGAGTGACAGGAGTCGGATGAGCAGGCTTGGGTGTAGCCTTGGTAGACTTCTTGACGCCTCCGACGGAAGGCTTCTTGGTGCCGGCGCGACGACCGACGCGGCGACGGTTGTTCTGGCGGCGATTGTCGACGAGATCGTCAAGAGATTTATCCAGGTTGGCAGACATGATGATGAGTGAGAAGTGCAAAGCTGGCGATTTGCGGGTGGCGTATTACGCGTCAATAAGCAACCTGATTATAATCAGAGCGATTTAAGAGGAGTAGTGGTTTTTGGTGGCCTCAACGGAAGCGTGATGATATGGGTAGATGGATGAAGCCTATGATCGGGGAGAGCTGAAAGAGAAGGGGGGACTCACTGTCAGGGTGGCGCTAATCTATTTTCGGTGTCGGGGATGAGCGCGGGCGGTGAAGTGAAGACTGCAGGCGGTGAAATTAGACCTGGCGGTGAAGTGAGGCTGGCAGTTGACTGGGTGAGGCCAGGCGGTATGTTCTGGCAGATTGAGGCCGGAACGGATTAATGATACTCCGAAGGTTTCAAGGAAGTGCTTCGCAGCCCTGGAGGTGCATATGGATTATAATCATTCGCTAGTCATTTGCATAGATTGATCACGGGATCTGAAATAGCCCGCAAAGGCTTGGTTATAGGAACATCCTTGGAACTCTTTGATAGAAAGAGCAAACAACAGATCAAACACCAAACTCAACACTTAGCAAGAGCGATAGGAGGCGCTAACTTAATATTTCTTTGTCCCGAAGCACATTATTTCATTTGTTCTGCATCTCATGGCTCATTCAATAATTCCAATAATCACAAAGAAATGGACATAATCCGAAGGTTCATTAGCAGGCCCAGCCTGGGAGATTGGACTATGGAAAGACCGCGCATCAACTCCGAACGCAATACATCAGTGTAATCCACATGACGAAGATCTTGTGCTCTCAGAAGATACACATAGTATTAGCTTTTGAGAGCTTCCAATCGTCCGCGCATCTGCTCGAGCGTGGCTTCTTGGTCTTCAAATTCATCCTCGGCTTGTGGGGATTCAGGTTCTGAGATCTTGTGCACAGGCTGGGCGGCGACAGGCTGCGCCTGAGAAAGCTTGCCCTGCAAAACTTCCTGAAGAATCTTCTCAATTTCGAATTCTGCTTCTTCTTCCTCGTCTTCGAAGACGGAGGGATCCGTGATGGCATCGTCAACCATCTCCTCGATGATGCCAGCCCTGACTAGCTCAGAGGAGAGCTGGTGCATAGTGGAAGATAGTTGAGGCAATCGCACTAAAGTGTTGACATCCTTCATAATACCCGTTGACTTTTGGAGGCTGCCTTGGATCTTGCGAGCCGAGAAGGCCTCGTTGACCTGCATGCCCACACTTTGTAATTGAGCGCGGCTAGTATGAAGGCGCGTTGTTTGCTTTCGGATTCGCACAAGCTCCCGGGCAAAGACCTTGGTGTCGTTAGTGGCTTGTTTGGCTTGAGATGGATTTCGCTGGGCACGTTTGGAAGCGTTCACGATGTGCTGGCGAGTCTGGCTGTCGCTGATTTTCAAGCGGGCTAAATCGCGGTCAAGTTGGCGTGTATTGGAGCGAATTAAGGCATTACATTTTCTCATCTGATGACAAGGAAGTCAACATTAGCGATATGTTCAGAAATGTCTCTATCGTCTCGTCTGCCTACCTGGGCTTGTGGGTCGGGCCCAAAGAACACGGCTTTGAGGGTTTCCATGATTGCAATCCAGTAACGAGTGGTTCACCAAATTTCGAAGTGAAGGATTTGAGACGTTAAAACACGGGCAACGTGCAGCGACAATGATTTCGTAACGGCGTTTGATCAGCGATAAGGCTCAAGCCCGGGGCATCGTCCTCAAAAGTGGGTGTGTGTTGAGGCTGACTTGACTGTTTTCTGAGCGTGAGATGATTGAGATATAAAGTTGGAAGAAGCCTGATGCTTCACCGCAGCCACACTTCCAGGGCCTTTGTGTTTACTTGGGTATGCAACCGTCCATGCAAGAGGCGACATCATGTCGCCCACCCGGGACCGGCGACCTGAGTCAGTAGTTACGTAATCCCTTGGCGTTTACATAATCTGATATACTGCTTATGTAACAATGTCCCACATTCTTGGTGCCTGAGGCAGCAGTGAAGGAGGTCTTCCACGAGGTTCTAGCACCTTTATGCGCATGCTGAGCTTCCCTAACCATTTCTCCATCTCTCTTTGACAACAGTTCAATCCTTCCTTGGCTCTGCTTCCTTTTCTCAATTATCTCTCCGCACTTAATTCATCATGTCCCAAACCCTGACCCCCGAAGGTATGTTCTGATTCCTCTACTTCTTCCCCGCTCCTGGACGCGGGACTGCACATTTTTGCATGATATTTACGATGACGTTATCCCATATCGACATCATTCTACAGGGATTGTCCCAATGATAATCCCATCGAACCCGGATCAAATTGCTGATAGTTCTCTCTTTCTAGTGACATGGGCCCAGCGCTCCTCCGACGATGAGCCTGAGCGCAACTACCTTTACGTCAACATCAAGACCCCCGATGTTCCTAAGTCCGAAGCTACTCTTAGCATCACCGAAAAGAATGTTTCTTTCAAGGGTCCTTCCAAGAAGGGCGTAACATACAGTGTCTCACTGGACCTCTTCGCCGAGATCGACCCTGAGAACAGCAAGGTCAACCACACCGACCGTGAGGTCGAGCTCGTCCTTCGCAAGAAGGACCTCAAGCTTGAGTTCTGGCCCCGTCTCCTTGAGAGCAAGCAGAAGATGCACTTCTTGAAGACCGACTTTGACAAGGTATGTCGGAGCCTTCCCAAACCTGACGGGCAGCTACTAACGGGACCCAGTGGGTGGACGAGGATGAGCAGGACGAGGCTGGTGAGGATGATTACGCCAACAACTTTGGCGGCTTCGGCGGCGAGGGTGGTGGTGACCCCAACGGTGGCGCCGGTGGCCTCGGTAACATCGACTTCTCCAAGCTCGGTGGTATGCCCGGCATGGGTGGTGGTGCCGGCGGCATGCCTGACCTCAGTGCCCTTGCTGGTATGGCTGGTGGTATGCCTGGTGCCGAGGGTGCCGAGGGTGCTGATGATGATGTAAGTTTGTCTCGATCTCATACTTCATATTAGTGCAAAGACTTACATTATTTCGCAGGATGAACTCCCCGAGCTCGAGGAGGCTGATGCCCAGAAGTCGAGCAAGATCCAGGAAGTTTCTTAAATACGTCACGGCTGAATTCTGCGAATTCTGTTACGACCAGAAACGAAAAACAGGGTGCTTCAGGACACCCACGGGATAATATGCCGGGGCTAGCTTTACTTCAAGTTCTTACCGGTCATTGATTGCGGGCTATTGCACTATGGATCCGAAGAACTGTGACATATAGTAGATCTGTCTCATCCAAGACATCCCAATGATTGATGAAGCGTGATAAATGAACACTTCCCTAGTAGTATATACACGTCCATGCATATGTACTTTGTCAGATAGTCATTCTAAAGTTCGAGGGCTGTTAATTTTGGTTCTAGGCACGCCTAGATACTGCCCATTTGGAACCATGACATTGCAATGCCCAAAGGTAACACTTTCTCTAGGCCTTTCTCAGATGCAAGACGAGGCTCCCCTGATGCCTCTTTCTTGTTCTCGCCTGTCGATCAATGTTACCCCGTCGTACTGTATAAGTACCTGGAATTTGATCATGTCGACAACTTGTCGATTCTAAGAGATGCCCACTCACACTCCAGGCACCGGTAAATTTCTAACGTGTTTGACAGTAGAGCCAGACTTTCTTCACAAAAGAAGTTACCCAGGTCCATGTCGTCTGCTACTCGCACTGAACTTATTTTGATGCTGATGCACACACGCCCCATCGTGCTTGCCCACTGTGCTCGCCAATAAGGCTCAGACCCTTGTTGGTTTGCCTTACTGTGTAAATCTAGAGATATCCAGCATACTAGTGCGCCGTAGATCAGATCTCTTTTCCATGAACACCTTGCTAGGTTGAGGATGAAAGCCTCGGTGTTAGATGAGAACTGGGGTGGGATTGATTTCACTTGAAGGGATCATTGTTCTCATCCAGAGCTAAAGTCGGACCAATTATCCTTTCCCCTTGGTGGCAACCACTTATAGACATATGAGCATACCTTTGGGTTCAACTCTCTGCGTATGCCAAGAGGCCAAGAGTTTAACACTGTACTTCGTGCTTCGACGTTATATGGGCTGATATCTTGCTGCTTGTCTCAGCCCCCAACCTTGGAAGCCTGTGGTCATTCTCACACATGCAGGGTCCCGCCTCGTTGCCGCCACGTTCCGCCCGGCCCGAATCTAAAACTAGGCGATAAAGCCACTGGGATCATCCCAGAAACACAAAAGCACAAAATGAACAATTACTGTCAACTTTAGAAATCGATCGTATTGTAGGAGACGGAGAAGAAGAACGAGCTACTTGACAATCTACTGCTCAAGTGCCCGGGTGAAAGCCAGGCGGGACAACTTTAGAAAACCTTGGGACGAATTCCGGAAAAGCTTCCTGTTATGTACCTGCATATCTCTACGTTCAACTTAAAGAAATACATTTAGGTATCACTAGTACTTAAGTACAGATGTGCAAAGAAGAATGCCATGGCACATGGTAATATGTCTCGTGCTGCTTTAGATATCCTTCTAGATTTCAGAGTGGTTCGGCGTAGTTCCAAGGTTGTTTAAATGTCGATGCTATTGAACTCTGGCAACCTTGAAAGGTTTCCTATAGAACTAAAAGTATGATAAAAAACAATTATGTCTGATAGACAGATCTCCATTAAATGGAGCCTTTTTGTGTCCCAGAATAGCATGGGCCTTAAAATCAATTAACGCCGATTTGACCAGTATCAATAAACGGCACCCGTGGACGCTTTCACACGGTGTCATACTATCGATACGCCGATTGAAGATATGGTAGATAATAGGGGTTGGAGGGAGCAATACCAACTTTAGAATTACCCAAAGAATCGAAGGCCGTGCCCTGCAGAAAATACAACAACTTCTGGCTTCAGTCAAGTTTACTCAAGCTAAGTGCGTGATATACTACGCTGGGTGAGCACGCGCTGATTTGACCAAGTCCCCAATGGTTCATCCTGGGGTTATCCCCACCCAGGTATAATTGGATGTTTTATCTGACAAATATTTGGCCGGCATGGTGGCTGGGCTCGGCTTTCCTAGTGCGAGACCCAGCTATGAAGCTGAATCCTTCAAACCAGCACATCGCTCTGGATGGTTGCTCCCACCTTCTACGCTCGTGCGCAATATCACAATTTCGAAGATAATAACTTGTGGAGATTCTTCTATTTATTAAAAATAACAATTTGACATTTACGTCTCCAGGGAGTTCGACCAGCAACTTCGAGTGATACTTTTTAAGTACATACGATCAGCGTTTGAAGCCCCAGGGTCTCGCAGGATCAGGCTGCCCCACCAGAGCCCCATTAGGAAAATGAACTGAAGAATGCCCTCAAAGTTGAGAGAGGTATCAAAAGAAATATGTCACCTCAAATCCATCCGCCTGGTAGGGGTTTGTTTGCCACTTCATAAACAGAAACCCCGTTGCCGATCTTCAATTTTCGGCCCCCAACTCAGCATCCTGACAACCTCATCTCTCCCGATCTGGAAATTGGTATAGATGTTTTTGTATGTTCCATTGAGTATGTCTGGATACTCTGACTTTTCATGGCAGTACCTATTGGACAGCCTGACCATGCGGATGGAGCCAGTATTACCATTGGAAGGGAGTTCAGCTGAAGACCACGGGGTTGGATGGGAGGGATGAAGTATATAAAGAGCCTCGGGGATCGTCTTGTTGATCAACTGTCAATCTTCTGCGGATCACTCCAATCTATCGTCATCACTGTGATACTTCTCCACCTCGATTATGTCTAAGTCTATTCTCGCCCTCGCCGCATTTGCCTGCGGAGCCAACGCTGCCATCAAGGCCGTCTGGCAGGCTGGGTCGTGCGCCAGCCCTACAGGCCCAACAATTGATATCTCTCCAATTGGGATCAACACCTGCACGCTCTACAACTTTTTCCCCAACGATGACCCCCGTGGCCATGTCGTGGTTACAGTGGAAGGTGGCACCAACGGCATTGCATTCTTCCAGCTGCCCAAATCCCAAGAGGACCAACACATCCAGTGTGGCTCACTCCAGGGTATCTTCCACCAGTCCGGCTGCTACGACTCCATTACCCCAGCTCTGGATGTCGTGACTGCCGAATGCGACCAAACCGGCTGCAACAACCTCTCTGGCATTCCCTCTGGTAAAATGGTTGCCGCAATTGACCCCTCGTCAACTGCCTCAAAGCGTGAGGTTGAAGAGCCCAAGAAGGTCCAAAAGAAGCGCGAGAGCATCTCCGAGCGCCGCGAAAACAACATCGTGCGCCGTGACGGCTGCAGCGGCTCTACTTCCGTCACCTGCGATGATTGCCAGACCTGCTATGCCCAGGGCGCTCGTGTCTCGCCTTTCATCAGCTGTCCCGGCCAGGGCGAGTCCTGCGCTGCTCAATTGACCCAATCCATCACTATCACCGACGAATACAGCATCACCGCTGGCGTTGCTGACGTCTTCAGTGCGTCTGTCGAGACTAGTCATTCCATTGCTGTCACCAATGGTGGTTCGCAGACTTTCACTGTCTCTCCTGGTCAGTCCGGCTTTGTTCAGTATGAGGCCCTCGCACAGTGCGGTACTAAGACTGTCCACAATGGTGATGGCTCTGTCTGTGCCCAGGCTAAGGGCACCTTTATCCTTAACAACCAGGGTGCAGGTGGCCAGTTCTCTTTTGTGCGCTCCAACTAGGTAGCCGTTTCACCGTGGCTTGTCTTGTTCAAGAACTCCACAGTGACGCAAGATGGTGACCGGCTAGTAGGATAGATTGGGTAGTATGGACCTGAGAAGGATTGGAGCAGCAATGCATCAAGATTCAGGTGATATGAAGCTAAATGGTAGCTAGAAGCAAGATATTCGCAAAGACTTCCCTTTAGTTATTGACTTCACTCTCTCTAAAAGTGTGCTACCTTTCCAAAACAACGGGTAAAGTGCAATAATGCATGAAGATTTAATGCCAGTGAACCCAAAACCAACGAGCCTCCAGAGCTAGACTGTTCGGTGGCTGAGCTGATTCGCCGCCATCTTTCTATACCGTGATGCAGTGGCGATTCTCGCTCGCTTGCCCCACTTAAGAAGGGGGATAGGCATTAGAAGAATCACAAAAGCGATAACGGCGACCAGTATATGCAAGTCCCGCATGCCCATACGGTTCACCCATGGGGTCAGAACAAACAAGACAATGACCGAGAAAATATTTCGCATGAATATCACACCAACCAATGCATCACCAATGATCTGGATAGTGTCAGATAAGAAATTTGGAAGTTAATTATAGGTCTGGTGCAAGCATGTCACTCACGTCTTGGTAGCAATCCATAAGATAGGAGAGGGCAATCCCACTGATAGCTGCAAATGCGAACCCGAATATACCAAACCCAACAGCAAGCAGGGCCCAGTGAATACCCTGTAGTCCGTTAGTAAGAATGATCGAGAAATTCCGGGAGGGTCTCACATAGGCAAGTCCTAGTCCAAACATGAGGATACCCACAGGGGTAACCACAGCAAGAGGAAGAGCAAGCCAAAGACGCATCTCTGGCTCATAGAAACCACCGTTCCGTTTTGAAAGCCACAATATTGACTTATCACTCAAGTGTCCACCGCATGGGAAACCAAAAACTGCGCCAACAAATGGAGCGATGTTCATCAGTCCAACTCCAATCGCATCAAAGTTGTACGGGCGGTAATAGCATGTAGGATGCCTGTAGAGAAGTCATAATTGCGAACCAACAAAGAGTAGTCCCGTATGTAATGGCCGCATATGAAACCGCAGGGAAAGTAAAGAGGGCCTCGATGGGCTGGTAGAAATGAGGCCACAGGGCATCGTCAGTCGGAGTGATCCATGCCATTCGCTGGAAGTATGTCTTTGGTCTGATTTCCGGGTTAGTCGAAACCCTGTTCGCTTTTTCAAATCCGTTGACGGCCGTCTTCTTCATCGAATTGCCATCTTTGTTGAACCGAGACGACTTGTCGGTCCCCTGTGGCTCCGCAATGACATTCCGTCCATTCAAAACAGGTATGTACTTCGATTCCTCAAACAGGAGAATCACACAAACAAGTGTTATTCCAAAGAAGATAACACACCACCACCACATCCATCGCCATCCCTGTGACACAACGATATAGCCCGATGCCACAGGTCCCAGAAAGGCTCCTGCAGACTGCACAATCACATACCATCCATTCATCGTGGCATGCTGATGAACAAAAAACATGTCCGCAATGGTAACTTGCACTACAATCTCACTGATCGCACCTCCGATACCTGAAATCAGTCCGCTGCCAATAAAGTCCCCAACGCTGTATGTTTGGGCCTGCCAGATGCATGATGCGAATTGAAGAGCGATGCTGAATATGTAGATCGGGCGTCGGCCATACTTATGAACCAGGGGCATGAAGAAGATACAGCCCACGGCGAGACCACCGTAGTTGACGGCTGCACCTGCATTGAGAATATCAACCGAAAACCCGAGCTCTGTCTCCATGGGACCCCATGCTGTGAAGCCGATATCCAACTGAACGAAAGTCCATAGAACAAAAAAGCTAACCAGCGTAAAGTTGAGGGCTTTCCGAGCCTTTGACCAGTTCAGGGGATCATTGGGGTCTGACGAAGGGGTCGGAAACAAGACGAGGCTGTTTCTAGATTGAACTAGATTGATCAATTGGTGGCCCCTCTCAAACAAAGGAGTATTTCACGTACTTTCTTCGAGGGCAACGGTTCCGGGGGCCCAAAAAGCCCCATCACGATCATTGTAAGCGTCCATGGCTGGGACATCGACTAACAAGGTCCAGCATGGCAGGCAAACACACTTTTATTTCATCGTCTCCCCTAGTGTCTTATCAAAGGCGCTGAAGTAAATGCGGGGAAACAAGCAAATAGTCCGACAACAGCGAATCAGCGAGCATCAAACATGCCGGCTTGGCGCGATTGGGGTTTATCTTCGGAGTTTATATTCATCGGCAACAAGCTTCGTGTACACGTCCCCGCATGGACTCTTCTGCGCTGTGTTGGCTTGTGTCGAGTGCTTGATAAGGGCCCAAGCCTCCCAGTCCCAAAGCCGGATTATCACGACGCCAGATTTAGTAGTCTTGTTCGAGAGCGATAGTCAAAGCCACAGGTGATATTGATTCTAAAGTCGCCCAAAGCGGGGTAGAAGTTAGAAGTGGGATGAATCATTAGAAGAAGCAAGGTTTGATTGAAGTAGGTCACAACACAGACAAGTAACACATAAGCATGTGAATGATCCGTCCTCGAGATCTCTAGCCAAAAGAAATGAAAAGGCGACTATACTTTCAGTCACAGTCAGGGGACCAAATATAAGCGCGGAACATCTGGCGGCTATAGTGACTCCAAGGGAAAGCAGTCAGGTCATATTTGGGCTGGAGAAGTCGCTTGTCTCTTTCATTTGCTTGGAAATCACGCACACTTTTACAACAAGCGCACTTGGCCGTACAGTGACCCCATCCTTTCCTTCGACGAGGATCTGGGGGGACCTCACAGCATCCGCAAGAGCGGCCACAACAGCCTCCGCGATTAATGCAATCCTGGCGAAGCCATTCACTCCGAAGATACCAATCCGACTGGCTTCGAATCCACAGATATCCGCTCTTAATTGGCCCTGTCGGGCACCCATCCACAATGGTTTCATACGTCCGTTCGAGGCGATCGTACTCATGGTCCAGGTTTATCAACTCTTCGACCATGTCGGGCATAATGGCTTTGGCGACGGGGTCGGAGTTTGCATTCACGATCTGAATGCATTCTTTGACAAAGCTTTCTTGTTGAGTCACCTCTCGTAGGAGAATTTCCGTTTCAATCACCGATTGGGCCCATCGTGAGAGTACGTCTGGGTTGGTTTCCCAGAGCAAAAGTCGCTTTCCACGCACAATCTGCCACCGCATCCAATTTGCCGACACGCGCGTCGCTCCCTCAATGCATCCCGACAGTCCCCCAAATATAGCAAGTTTCTTGTGCTTGGACTCACTCTTCATTTTGAGAACTTCACTTGAAGCAAAGTGACTTGAACAAGGCAAAGTTGGTTTTACATCACTTTTCATCATCCGTTTTTGAGATGCTTCCCCTCAAGCGTACGCTTTGGTTTCCATCCATGGGTGGGATAACACTGAGGGTTTGAACCATATGTGGTAAAATCTCACCATGTACTCCGTCTTGCAATGACATCCAAATATCAAGTCCTTGTCACACATATCCGCTAGACCATCACGTGCTGGCGGCATCACATTCTCCCGTTCTGCGCGATGACTCCACATGAGACGTCCGAGTGCGAGTGTTCTTGGGGTTCCGGGTTCCACTTACGACAGCTACTGCTTCAGAGGGGCTGGCTTGCTCACATTTGTAATTTCTCGGCCACTGTCTCAACTAAGATTTCCAGAATTTTCCACTGACTCCAAGTCAGGAGCCGAGACAAAGTCAGGAGCTGAGACAGATTCGAAAATGAATACAGAGAAGCGCCGCGTGCTGGTGGTGGGATCGGGGGGTGTGGGGACAATGGTCTCTGTCGCCCTCGAACGATCCAACATGGCATCAGTCACCGCGGTGCTCAGGTCTAATTATGAACGAGTTATTGAAAATGGATTCGAGATTGAATCCATCGACCACGGCAAATTGACCAACTGGAGACCAAGTGCAGGTATGCAGGGAAACCATTTTTCAACGGACTCGCGGCTTATCAACGACGGCTACTCGTAGTTGTCAACTCGGTCCCCATGGCTGATCTCCACGCACCATTTGACTATGTGATTGTGACCATGAAAAACATACCGGAAGTGAACAATATCCCCAGGATTATCGCACCGGCAATTACGCCGGGTCACACAACAATTGTACTGTTTCAGAACGGGATGTACATTGAACCACCCATCATTGAAGCTTTCCCGTCAAATGCCGTACTATCAGCGCCCAGCTATATTGGCGCACACGAGAATAACGGATACGTGATACATGATGATCACGACAATTTCCACATAGGCGTCTTCCACAACAAATCGCTAGATAAATCCCATGAGCGAGAAAAGCTAGAGGAGTTCGCAAAGATCTATAACGGAAGCAAAGTGGTTGATGCAAATATCGTTGATGATATCGTGTTCTATCGCTGGCGGAAATTGCTCTGGAATGGGGTTTTCAACCCTATGTGCGCCATCACGCAGCTGAACAGTGGTGCGATCCGAACATTCGGCGGTGAGCACAGCTTGATTAGGCCCGGCATGATGGAAATGCTGTCCATTGCAAAGGCAGATGGCTATGATCTTGGACCTGGAATTGTGGACGAAGTTATCAATAACCCGCCTCTTGAGCTATCATTCCGTCCAAGCATGCTTGTGGATGTGGACAAGGGTAACCCCGTAGAGGTGGAGGTTATCCTGGGGAATGCTCTGCGTGTTGCGAGAGATAAAGGCGTCCAGACGCCACTCTTGGATACCACATACCGATTCTTGAAACTCACTCAAGCGCGGCTGCTGGCTGCAAGGGGGTTGATTGTTGAACCAAAAGAGCTGCCAACCACTGATTTGATATAGATGCTTCACAATTAAAGTGAATGGCCCAAGTGTGGCCCTCTTCGACTTCTTCGTGCTCTGAATATATGAAATACCAATCAAAACCAACGTGCAACCCTCGCGGCTTTGTGTAGCATCCCATAGTATGGAGTGCGCCGTAGTTGCGTGGTATAAGCACCACTCGGACTGTCGATCATTAGTCCCGCCTGCAATGCGGGGACTATTAATTCCAACCAGCCGTCAAATTCCCACTGGTCTCAGATTCAGTTCTTCAACTCCGTCCCTTGTTCAGTATGGAGAGAATCGACGTGCACGCGCATTGCGTACCACCCTCTTACCGTGAATACTGCCTACATAGTGACTTCGCGGGAAAAGGACATCCAGATGGAATGCCCGCAATTCCAGTTAGTTCTCCTAGTGAACATTTCCATCGGCATTAATTTCACTAACTAAACTCAGGAATGGAGTGCTTCAGCCCACATTGAATTGATGAGCAAGCTGAAAATCAAGAAGTCGGTGCTGAGCATGTCATCGCCAGCAACACATCTAACACCAGGAAATGATGAAGAAGGTCGATCCGTCACCCGTCGGGCCAACAATGACATGTCTCAAATCTGCGCCGATCATCCAGACAGATTCCTGTTTTTCGCCTCACTCCCACTGCCGGATGTCGAGGGCTCCCTTGCAGAGATCGACTATGCATTAGACCATCTTGGCGCGGTAGGATTCCAAATCCTGACCAACTCCCATGGCATCTATCCAGGTGATGCACGTTTCAGCCGTGTTTTTGACAAGCTGAGCGAGCGCAAGACTATTGTTTTCTTTCATCCGACAACGTGTCTTATACAAACGGATAGTTCGTTGACAAAAGTCACGCCACTTCCGGGCGTGCCGGCGCCGATCATGGAGTTCATGTTTGATTCGACTCGGTCGCTGATGAGCCTGCTCACTTCGGGGACTGTTGAGCGGTGTCCTGGAATTACATTTGTGGCCTGTCATTGCGGCGCGACTTTCCCTCCGATCATGGAGAGAATCGCGGAGTTCTCGCCTGTCCTTCTTGGTCCTAAGAATGGGATCAGTGGGGATAAGATCAAGCAGCTTCTACAGTCCCGTTTCTATTTTGATCTTGCCGGTGTTCCGTTCCCGGATCAGATTCATGGCCTTCTTCGATTGGTTGACTCGTCTAGGTTGCTGTATGGAAGTGACTACCCGTATACCCCTGCAGCGCTAGCTGAATCGCTAGCTCAGAGAGTAGATGGGGGGTTAGAAGCTCACTTTGGAACGGAAACGGCACAGAGGATCTTGCTGGGCAATGCCAGAGCTATGCTTGGTGAAAACTGTACATAGATATGGGGCTTATAGCAGTTTATAATCGTCTCAATCCCCCCTACCTTCAAAAACAACGGACTATCACTCCGTAGACCGGTTATAACTGAAATTTATCCCGGCGTGGATCTGTTTGATTGGAAACCAGGCGTTGAAGGCAGACAGGAGCTGTTTTCTCTGAGCTCCAGTCTCCCACTGTTGATTTGAAGCAAGACCCCTTCGATAGAACGCAAGCCAGTATGTGCTTCCGCCCCTCCTGGCCCGTGGAGGGATATGGACACCAAGATCCTCGCTCTTGATGACATTAGTTAGCTCGGTATGGGCAGATAAATTAAGTGACTTCAAGTTCTTCATCAATACGCCTCTTTTTCACACAAACCATGACAGCCTCATTAGTCTCGTCGCTGTAGAGGGACTATAGACCCCGCAGGGTCCGGTGGGTCTTACATATCAAACGGTGGGGAGTTCCCCGGACTTCGGGATGCTGTGAAATATGGGAATAGACCCTCAGTGTTGTCCTCTCAGGCCCTTGGATATGACGTGGAAACCTCGAGCCTTGAGGTATAAGAGGGTAGCAATTTGGACCGTATGACTACGAGCTTGATCTCACTTTCAAATATAGTAGGCTGTCTTCTTCAAATCTCGAAATCAATCTATTATAAATCTAATGAGCCACATTCAACCCCAGAAAATGTTGCTTGTTTGTGTTGTTTTCCTTGTGGATTTCATCATCAAAAGCATCATCACAGCTCTCAGGCCTGGGCTGAGAGCAATACCTGGCCCTTTCATTGCAAGGATCTCATCTCTCTATCGCCCATGGAAGATATCAAAGGGCGATGCTCCAGACTTCTACCGGCGGCTTCATGAAACATATGGCCCCATTGTCCGCACGGGGCCAAATACCGTGGACATCTCAGACCCAAAGGCCATTTCAACCATATATGGCATCAACAGCAAATTTCTCAAAGTACACCTACGCTGTCAACTTTGAGCCAACTCCATATCCTAACATTCACGCTAGTCACGTTTCTATGACACATTCCACCCCGTATATGAAGACGAGCCAATGCCGAGCATGTTCTCTGTCCGCGATCCAGTACAACATCAAGCCCTACGCCGACCAGTAGCGCAGAAATTCTCGATGTCGTCGATCAAGGCCCTGGAACCTTGCGCGGATGAGTGCACAAAGATCTTCATGGACGCGATGAGAGATTTGGAAGGGCAATGTATTGATCTGAGTGCATGGCTGCAGTGGTATGCATTCGATGTAATCGGCGTCATTACGTTCCAGCGGCGTTTCGGTTTCATGGAGAAGCGAAAAGATGTCAATGGGATGATTGACGCTCTTGATAAGGGCCTTCATTATGGTGGGATAGTAAGTCAGGTTCCGGCGCTGCACCATTGGCTTTTGGGAAATCGCTGGGTTGCGAAGTTCATAGCCTTGCAGCCATTTATTCATGTTGCTCATCCGCTGCGCACAACCTTGGAGGTAAACGGTGTTCTTTTGCACCAAGCTCGAGAATTTTGGATTGACAAAGTTTCAGTTTACCCAGCAATGCATAGATGAGTATGATTAAAAGGTGGCTGAGCACACTGGCCGGCCAGACTTCCTCGCTTGGCTACGAGGTGAAGAAACGAAGGGTAAACCAATGTCGAACCGAGATATGATCAATCATCTAAGCAACAATCTGTGAGTCTCTCGTTTTCTTTCTTCTTTTTGTTATTGGATTTTGCTGACTCTTTCTCAATATTCACCTGGGCAGGCTTGCAGGAAGCGATACTACTGCTATCGCGCTCCGAGCAATCATCTATTTCCTCGTCAAGAATGTGTCAGTATACAACAAACTGCAACATGAGATTGACGAGGCCGATCAAACAGGCAGGATTTCTGAGTACATCACTTATGCAGAGTGCCTTGAGCTACCATATCTGTAAGAATGACTTTGATCACACTTTCACCCTCGCTAGAGCCTGACGATATTCAGCCAAGCCGTGATGAAAGAAGCGATGCGATGCCACCCAAGTGTCTCATTCCCCTTGGAACGGGTAGTCCCTGAAGGTGGAGCAATATTCTCCAATATCCACTTACAGCCAGGGACGATTGTCGGTATCAATCCAGCAGTGATCCACCGCGACAAGACCATCTTCGGAGACGATGCAGATGCATTCAGACCCGAGAGGTGGACTGAGTCAAGTGAGGACCACATCAAGCTTATGGATCGACATTTGATGACGGTCAGTCGAGTATCTTAATACCCTATTTTCTCGTACTGACTATCTCTGTAGTTTGGATTTGGATCCCGGACCTGTATTGGGAAGAATATCTCCATTATGGAGATGGGTAAGTTGATTCCACAAATCATCCGACACTTTGAACTCGAATGGGCATCCGAAAACCAGAGTGGAATGTGCAGACGTTCTTCTTCGCCAAGCAGCATGGCTTGAAATGTCGTCTACGTGCCCGTTCAGAACATGCGCAACGATGAGGGAATCAGCGACGTAAGAGTCACGTAGCTACTTTCAACTTTCTCTTCTTTTTTTTCCCTTTCTCTTCTTCCCAAATTGCTCTTCACAAAGCCAACAATCTGATATTTTGCTCTGAATATGTCCTATACAGACGAACTATGTCAAGAAGTTTTTTCTTATCCGTCATTCCTGGTCGGTTTCATGGTTGCAATCCTCGCCGTCATCATGGTCAAAGCCTTGATATCTCTCAAGAGTAGCTTCAATCGACGCCGCCTACACTCAGCTGGAGACAGATCCAACAATCTGACTCCAAATCTGTTTAAATCCTATTCAACTCCTTCCCGCGTCCCAGCCTTCACAACCGCAACGACTGTGCCCAAACATGCCATTTCCGATATGGATCGGGATATCGAGTGTCAGATGTTACGACAGGGTCTGAAACACCCTTATACTGAGATACATCCGTAACACATCAGCTCATCGCATTTCAACGATCTCGGAGCTCGTGAGGGCCATGCAGGGCTATTGAGCCAATTTGTTTGGATAATATGACCCCAGTATGATGGAGTGATGGACATGAAGGCTCATGCGGAGAGGTGGCCAGAGTAGCGGTCATATGAACTGAGCGCGGTGTTTGAGGTTTTCTGGAACTACAATGTACTTCAAAATTGAAAGATTCCGTTATACTATGTTGCAAGAAATTCGAGGCAATGTAATGTTCTTGATGTCAAATACCGAGAGGTAAAGGAGCCGCCGGGAGGTGCCTCCGTCGCATTCGTATATCTGTTTCTACTTAAGTATTAGATTGAATAACGATATTTAGTAACTGGAGCGTTCCCAGTAGTGAGTCATGCCAATATGACAGGATCTGGCCTGAGAGTTGAGGGTGCGCATTTTGCTTGGCAGTGATATCCATAGATGTCTACTAGCACATTCATATCATGGGAAGATCTCAAATAGCAAATCTTTTTTTTTATCATTTCTGTTTCTATTTCTCATCAAACCTTTTTTTTTTCTCTCTTCCGTTTCTATTTCTCGTCCTTTCATCGACACTTGAAAGCAAAGGGGGAGTTCTCAGATGGCGATTCTGATCCCTCTCTCATAAGATCGCAAATCTGATGTTGAATTGAGCAAAGAACCCTGCCCGAAAGTGTGCCCTTCGTCTCATCAAACTTGCATGCCACCCACTGAGCAGCCTTAGCATAAACAAGCTCCCAGCTGCTTTTTGTATCCTTGTGGTTATTCTCCAGGTATCCCATCATCAGCAGGGTCGCAACAATGGTGGCTTGGTCATCGCGAGGAAAGTCATCGGGAACCATGCCAAATGACCTGGCATACAATTCAGCCACATCCTCGGTGGTTTTCTTCCTATCGCAGTGCATCAGCTCAAACAACTTGTCAGGCATAATCCAGCTTCCCTCGTAGCTTTGCTGGTCAATAATCTGGTAGACCTCCGTTGAATTGCTGTCAACATGCACATACATCGCTGCATGCGCGATGGGCGCGGCAAGTGCAGGCTGACTTTGTGCGGTCCTGACGAATTGTTGCTGTTGTTGAGGCGGCTGAAACTGCTGTTGCATAAATTGAGGATGCACAGGATGAGCTGTTATGGCAGCCATCTCGCGCAAAGTTGTCAAGTCTATACCTCCCCTACCTCCGCCCCTACCTCCGCCCCTGCTACCTCCCCTGAAACCTCCCCTGAAACCTCCTCTGCTACCTCCTCTGCTAACTCCCCCGGTCTTCGACACGAGGGACATGAACTGATGATGACGAGCTTGGGGTTGATATCTGCTGTTGTGACGATGGCCAGCATTGAAAGAACTTGCAGACTCACACTCGACGGGGTATTCCCTCGGGGACTTGTTCTTGCCACTTTTTCCCAATTGAGTTGATTCTTCGACCGCCACAAATGAGCTGTACTTTCCGGTGATCCCGAATTTGATTCCAAGGCTTTGGCATTCGCGTTCTGCGAGTCGTTGCTGAGTGGCCATATGAAGGTTCTTGAATGCATTTCCTTGGTTATCTCTGGCATCAGAGAGCCAGCCAGACTCTTGTTCAAGTTCCATAATAACCTTGCGCGAGGCGAGCTGATGGATGGTCTTTCCAAGGCCAATGTCACAGACTGGCACTCTTAGAGTCAGAGGGCCTTGTGGCGACGTGGCGCTGAGAATTACGGATGTTGGGGTTTTTCCAGAGGTTTGGGGATCCATCAGCAGATAAACGTTGGTCCTGATGAACGGGTACAAAGTGGGTATCTTGTATGGAGCTTGAATCGTCTGTGGTGGGTTGAGAGTGGGAAGCTCGACACTTGTTGCTTTCTTGTTCGTGTCAACATCCATCTCGCGGTCTTCAAAGTTCTCGTCGAACAGTGAGATTGGCTGTTGTGAAGTGCATGTTGGTTCCTCCATGATGGAGTCGCCGTCATAGGCGTGCTCTGTCTCAGAAGTCAAATCCTCATTTTCTGCGCTCACATGTTCGAACCCGCCATCAGGCTCGCCATCATACTTGATCTCCAATTTGTAGTCGCTTATGTGCGGGGTCAATGCGCCCTTCAGCATGCGGATCACCTTGCGGTCAAGCCCCTCATGCTCCAGGACTGTTTGGCAGAACCCATTTCCAGCTCTTGCTATTCCTTCGATCAAGGAATGAGAGACATTGTCGCCAATACCGAGTGTGAAAAACCGAACATCGCCCTTGATTGCCTCTCCGCGAACGAAGTTGAACAGGGAATCCTGTTGGAAGATCTCTCCATCAGTGAGTAGCAATACCTCTAGGTCCAATTGCTTCAAGCGATGTGCGACTGTGGCGACAACTGCCTGTTCCATCTCCGTGCCACCCATATCGGCTCCGATTTTTTCGACAAATGAAATCGCCTGCTTCAGGCTGGAAGCGTCGTAAATCTTGCTGCTGGGCCACAGAAAAAAGTACTTGGATCCAAATGAGCAAATATTGAAACATACTCCGACTGGCAAAGATTTCAAAAACACTTTCAGGGCAGAGATCAGGGTCGGGATTTTTTTACCCATGCTCCCGCTTCTGTCAATGACGAACACTATCTCATTTTTGTGTGCAGTAGGTAGTCCAAACTTCGGCACGAGAGTTGTCATTAGTGCTCGTTGGTTGGAGATAGTAGGATGTGTCTCAACCAGTGCACAGGGTTGGTCGAGTCCATCCACTTTAATCAGAAGCACGAAGTCCGTCCCCAGGAATGTTTCACTCGGGCCTCCACGGGGTTTGATAGCCGCAGATGCTTGACAGGGATCGAAGGCAGCGTTTTCTGCTAGTGCAGTAGAAGTCCGTCCCAGCGAGACCTTGATTCGATGGCTGGGCGATTCTAGCTCGGTGATTACTGAGTGTTCGTCCATTACAACATCAACTGTAACTGAGGTTGCTTGAAAGTCTTCATCATTGTGCAGAGGAAGAGATGATGCTGTGGTAGGAAATGCGCCTTGTTGCGTTCCATAGCGAGGGGCAATGGCAGATGGAAGGGTATAACGAATGCCGTCCGTTTGAGAGTCTTGTTTCAGCTCACCCACGAAAGTCAGATTGACGTTGACTTTTTCGTGGGCAGGGACGTTCCCAAGACGAATTAGAAACACGTCGTTCTGCGAAGTGTGATGCATGACAGCAGCCACTCGGTCCTGGGCCACTTCAGCCTCGTATAGCTCGTTAGCTTGAGACTTGGTCTTGACACTGCTGTGCAGAACGCGGTCCCCAATCTTGCAGTCAAAGCCAACAACACTGACGCCATCGTATAGTGGGAAGTTGTAAGAAACTTCCTTGATCTTCTTGTCAGACGAGTTGACGAACGTCTGTGACAGAGTCGTGCGGGCTGCCGATGATAACACGGTAGCATGGGCCTTGAGAGCGATCTGGGGGATGTAGACCGGCTGGTATTGTGAATGAGGGTAATAGAAGCAGCCACCATGGCTGAAATATTGGAGTGGATTCCCATAGACATCCATGCTGGGCAGGGGTGCAAGGGATTGTCAAGAGGGTTGTGGTTTGTATCAATGTATCAAATGAAGAAGTGAGCAACTGAATATCGGTGGAAGATGAATGTTATAGATGAAGTTGTAAAAGTAAAGAACATTGAAGTGGGATAAGTGATGCCTAATATAGCACCAGAGCGGTGTCACACATTTGGACGTCACACGGTAGCAAATCCAGAAGCAAACATGAGTCATTCATATCCATGGATAACCTCAGCTGCTGACCTCTTCAGAGGTCCAGCCCTGATTCCAGACGTCAGTGTGTCGACTTCAAAGGTCGATGTTACTCACCTCCATGGGCTCTCCAGGGCTCTGATATAAAGATCCGATTTCGGCATCTTCCATGGCTCAACAAACAATATCACAGAAATTGTTCCTGGTCTTTCTCGGAATCCTACCAGATTATGGCTTGGTTCTGGGGTATAGCTACCCCAAGGTCCCATCCAAGGTGGGATGTGGGGGATGTGGGATAGGTCCCAGTCTCCAGAGGTCCAAGGATCCACGAAGTGGATGACACAATGTTACCTCTATGGCTTGACACCACCTTGGTGATTCTCACCCGACGTTCGATTTAGTTGCCTCCTTGCGTGACCGGACTATTGAACAATGTCTTCAAATCAGCATTTCTCGGCTGACATTTCATTAAAAGTATACTAATTTAATACAGGGAATTTTCAACTTTTGAAACAGTCACCTCACCAGGTGTAGCCATCGAAGCCGTATCGTACATTCCCAGGCTTCATTCACGAAACTCATACATCGGGTTCCAACGCTTTACAGCTTGAGCTGCAGCAGGTTTCCAACCATCTCAACGGCAGTGATGCGGGTGGTAGCCCACAGAGTGGGGAAGTCGAGGGTGCTGGAGAAGGTATCGGCATAGCCGAAGAACAGCATGGGAGGGATCCAGCCACGGGCGTACTCCAGCGCGAAGCAAGATTCGTCCATCTTGTACTGCTTGACCTCGCCGCGGACAAGGTGATGCACGCTACCGGCGGGGTAGACCTCGGGCTTGAACTCGCCCGGGACATAGGCCAACTGGGTGCCCTGGAGGATGTTGAAGTAGTCGTCGGCGGTGTGGCGACCGGTATGGCCCTCAGTGCCGATGGCGGTACCTGCAGACTGTTAGACGCGCGACAGGATGGATGTGCTGCGGAAACTTACCGAAGACAATCAAGTACTCCGTGATACTGGCGTGGATCACGTACATGGCGCCCATGGCACCGCCAGCATTGTTGAAGACCCACTCCTCCTGAGTGCTCAGGTAGTTGGGGCCGACCTTCTGCTCCAGCTCGGCAACAATGAAGTTGACAATGGAACGAGTGTCTTCGCCATGGGCGCTGATGGCCCGCTGGGAAAGATCGTGGAGGTGGTCCGGGTCGAAGATGTAGAATTGCTCCAGGCGCGCGTCGAGGAATCGGTAGACCGCGGAGAACAGGGCAAGGAAGATGGCCAAGAAGCTCAGGGTCTTGAATGAGAAGCAGCGACAGCCGCAGCCGGAGCTGCTAGAGCTGCTGGACTTGGAGGACTTGGAAGGCATTGTGGTGTGTTGAAGATTCCAAGTTGGGGCATTTGAATTTAATTTCACGGCCCCTGGCAAAACCCCCGGAGTTCCACTATGTGGAGCCAAACATCTACAACCCTCGCTTGGTCTGAGATTCTATCAAGCCATTGAGCTCTAATGTGCATTGATGGGTTTCCTTGCTCATGACTCTGCCTGGTTTTATTTCCAAAACATCTTACTCCCGATTTCTAATATTCGAGAACTACGTGCAAATTTCCTCTGGAGTTGTCGATAGATCCAAAAGGGTCTTGTTTGCATTGTTTGTGCTGACTCATGTCCAGGTGGACCCGTGGACAGGCCATGCCGGATGCTCGCAATCCGTATCACCGACTGTGCCATTGGCCAGTTGCGAAGCATATGAACTTTGAAAGAGACTCCAGATTAGTATCAAGTAGTGCATTCAGTCCTTGAGCTACAACTCTTGATGAGATCGTTTCTCAGGATTCCAATTCAATGAAAATATAGTCACGAGATTTTTACCTTAAAGTACACCCCTCAAATTACAATTGGTACAATCAAATCTACCTACTACCATATACACCTTCACTTCCATTTGGAGAGTAGTGGATGCCTCGAGACTCAGGACCGCCATCAGAATACATTTGCCTTCTATATCTTTACTTCTAGTTTACTAGGTAGCTTTTTGCTCTACTTCTTTCCTGCGCTTTCAATGGTAGCATCTCCTGAAGTTTACATCGCACACTCTCGGATGAGAACTACCAAAACTTCTAAAGTTCATCATAGCATCTAGCGAACTCATTTCAAAGCTCTATCAATTCTGTTTTCCCCCAAAGCTACTCAAGATGACGAATTCCAATCGTATTCAGGCACTCCATAAGTTAGTCTTTAGTACACTGCAGATCTAGAACAAGCAAGTTAGAGTTTCAGTATTACATGATTATATAGTATTTCCAACCTGAAGGAGCCCCAGGTCACATTTCCGGGTAAATCAGATTGATGATCGCGTACGGAGTAGTAGTTTAGTCAATCATCTCCCCTTTTAGGACGGTGGACCCTCCGCTTTTATATGTAAAGACCGCAAAACCGTCAAGGTTTAACGAAAACTCGCATTGAGCCAGCGTATGCCTGCATGTCTTTCTCAAGTTGGGTTGCAGGCTACATATTCCTGAAGAAAGGACAACGAATGTGGCTTGAGCTTGCTACTTCAGACTCCACCAATCTGCATTACCCTCTATATGTTCCTACCCGTATGTGGAATACTCCGTGAAAATGTCCAATACTAAAAGTCCATCATATTCAATTCCAATAGCACTATTCAGAATATAGAAAGAGACCCCTTTTCTAAAGCTGTCTATTTTCAGAAAAATTTTCACATAGTACTATAAGACACTGGAGACCGAATGCTGGACACCACGGAAGCCCATTTGACCGTGTTCTAGAAGCAGTGGTTCTCGGCCCCGCTCTGCAACGCCGGCGTCTCAGATAAGCTGCCAACGCCCGGAGTTCTTCCCCAAACCGCACTCTAATCTACGCGAACATCCTGCATAAAAAACGCCCAGTCGTGGAAAAACGTGAGAGTCTACGACGATCTTTACTTGCACACCGGACCAACTCAGGGCAAGCTTTCACATTATCCGAGTGGAGTCCCGAATGACATGTCCCAATATGAAATTGAGACAGGACCACTCCGTGCTCTATACGGAACAGGGAGCCCTGGTTCCAGGTTCAGGTCCACTAAGGGGAGATCGAGAGCCAGCACGTATAAAATCGACCTCGAGCCCAGTCTGGGATGATCACAAAACTCAACTCTCCTTTTTAAACTCACCATGAAGTCCTTCGCTCCTCTCTCGCTCCTTTCTCTGGCGCTGGCCGCCACCGGCAGTGCCGCTTCCCTCCCCACCAAGACTCTGGCCCGCCGTGCCGACTTCTGCGACCAGTGGGGCTCCGTCACCACCGGCAGCTACATCGTCTACAACAACCTCTGGGGTCAGAGCTACGACACCTCCGGCAAGCAGTGCACCGGTGTCGACTCCCTCAACGGCAATGACATCGCCTGGCACACTTCCTGGTCGTGGTCTGGTGCCTCGACCCAGGTCAAGAGCTACGCCAACGTCGCTCTGAACTTCTCCGCCCGCAAGCTGAGCGCCGTGAAGAGCATCAAGTCCAACTTCAACTGGAGGTTAGTATCGAACGAAGAACGGGATGAGATTGAGATCCATATCTGACTTTGACCAGCAACTCCAACAACAACGTCGTTGCTGATGTCGCCTACGACCTCTTCACCAGCTCCACCGCCGATGGCGACGAGGAGTACGAGATCATGATCTGGCTTGCTGCCCTCGGCGGTGCTGGTCCCATCTCCTCCACCGGCTCTGCCATCGCCACCACCAACATCAACGGTGTCAACTGGAAGCTTTACTCCGGCCCCAACGGCCAGATGACCGTCTACAGCTTCGTTGCCGAGTCCACCGTCACCGACTTCTCTGGTGATCTGCTGAAGTTCTTCACCTACCTTGAGCAGAACCAGGGCCTGAGCTCCGACCAGTACCTGACCCACGTGCAGGCCGGTACTGAGCCCTTCACCGGCAGCGCCGACCTGAAGATTTCTTCTTACTCCGCTGTTGTCGCATAAGTTGTTATCGGAATCCGTGTTGGTGATGTTCCGTACATAGCATAGTAATAGAATCAACACAAAATTCACATCTGCTCAGAATTCCGACCCAACTGACCGATCGCCACTGGTTTTTTCGGACATGTATGTCTCATGATGCATCAGACATTGTATTGCGTGTCGGTCATATGCGGGCGCAGAACGGAGTGTTTGAGCCCGCAACCGCCGATCCAGACACATGAAACGTGTAGCTTTGGAATCTTGAAACGGGGCTGTTTCAGGCGCCTAGTTTGCAGAACTCCCAGAACGAGTAGCAGAATGGAACCATGACTCTGTAATTGTTGAATGTAGAATGCTGTTACCTAGACCCTTCATTGTGGAGAGCGAGACGCTGAGTCCGAAACTGTCCAGATGGTGCATCTGCGATAACGGGCATGGCGGACATGGCGTCCGGGGAAGAGACCAGAACCCGCACGTCGGGACATATGGCGGGACCCAGGACCTAAGAATAATCGGAATCGCACCGCCTATCCGCTCTAACAATAGAAAAAAAACCCAAAGGATGCTAATGTAGCGGCGCGAAATGTCACAGCAAGCGCTGGAAAGTCGAGGATGCAAGCGCTGGGCGGGATGGCGGGGAGGACGGGCGCTTATATGCAGTGCGTTGGGAATGTCTTTAATGGGGATTTTAGCTGCATCTCTAGGAACGTTAGTACGGAACACTAGTGACCCGATTTAGTTTTGTCAATGCATAGAATTGTAATAGACGAAGTATTCAGTACGCAGGATGCAGCACATTAGGTTCGAGAGGAGTAATAAAGGGCCAAAATGGATAGATCCAAGGAGAGAACCACCTTGGAAAGGATAGAGAACAATGTGACCTATGTGACCTATAAACTATGAGAGAGAAAAAAAAAGAGTACATAGACTCCTGCTCCGTGCCCTTGACCCCTCGAACACGCTAAACTCGTGGCGCGCCATGACAGGGGGCCATTGGGCATGTCATTTGTGGACTCGAGAGACAGGGATCTCGCCCCATGCCAGGCATTGCTCGCCACGGTCGGAAACTGACAGGTTTGCTTGGGCAGGATTTTCATGTTTTCACAATTTGAAATTTCCATGCCTTTTTTTCAGCTGGCCCTACGGAGTACAGTGGATTGTACTTTAGTAAACGCCAGTTTCAAAGTATAGATAGTATCAAACCAGGTGGGAGAATGGAGTACCCCATACGAAGTACTACGTAAACCTTCTACAGTTAGCATCGTAGGATCGGAGTTTCATCTCTTCTATCGCGTTCAGAGTGCGACGCGATCGCTAGGTATAGGCTCCCGAGGCTATGGGGGGCTGGTGAATAATTGATCGGGTCCACCGGCGATCCTCAGCTCCTCCCTATCGAGTACATACTCGTAGGCCAAGAATTGACCCTACACTTGTCTAGGTCAACGGAGAAAATTCAGGTCTACTCCTACGGAGCGCAGTCAAGAGTACGAGTACTCCGTACTCCGTACTAATGTCTGTATGTACAATGTACAGTACAGACGTAGGAGGTACAAATTCAATCTAGGGATAGCGCGTACAGGTACAATAATAGTCTAAATGCGCAAATCCAACTCCATAAAAACCGGTGGAGCAAATCACATTAGTCTCCCGCGTCTCAGACTCCGCGCGCGAAGGTTCGAGCATCTCAGATCCAACTATGCAGGTTCACTATACCTGTGCTGTAACCCCTGTGAGCCTGTGAGCCTGTGCCCATTCTTACTGGAGAACGGGGCCTTGCTGCACGCCCCCTATGGCGCATACCAACTTATAACTAGAGTACATTTCCGCCCGAATTCTTCACGAGATTCATCCACATGCCCCAACGTCATTCCCTTTTCGTCTTTTGAAGGTTTCTCTCTATTATACATTAATATCGTCCCCATTTCCACTTGTCTCGCCGCTGCAAATCTCCCTGACACTTTATTGCATAAATCCTGTGGATTCTGTCTCAATAAATTTTCCCCGGGTCTCACTTCGTCCGACTCAGTTAGGGCTATCAAATCGATAAGAGGTTGACACGACAACCCCAACTATCCTTGCGGCAACATTCCTTCATACAAAGGCGACATCTTTTGACACATCCTGCCGGTCAGGAATTCTTAATCTTCTTTGTGTGTCTTTGTGGTCTTTCTTTCCACACACAACGGCATTGTCTCTCTTTTTTCCTTTTCATCCGGAGCGCATCTACAAGTAGATCTATATATCAGATCATCCTTCCTCGACTCTCATTGCACACCATTCCATTCCCTCCATACCGACCACAAGATGAATTCTCTATCGCTCAACCGAGCAGCTCTTGATGAGTTTGTCACTTCAAAAGTGACCCGCGAAATGGTGACATACCTGGCTCAGCAGGCCGCCCAGGTCATTCGATGCGAAGCCCATGTGACCAACACCGCGAACCCTCATGGCCAGCCTACACCACCATCCACTCCTCCCATGGAGAACTCCGACCTGCCTGCCCTTCCTTCAATCGAAATCTTCATTGCATCACTCGTCACCCGATCCCAAGTTCATGTGTCTACTCTCATGAGCTGTCTTGTATACCTCGGCCGTCTGCGCTCCCGCCTGCCTCCAGTCGCCAAGGGCATGCGCTGTACTGTCCACCGGATCTTCCTCGCCTCACTCATTCTCGCTGCGAAGAACCTGAACGACTCAAGTCCCAAGAACAAGCACTGGGCCCGCTACACCGTGGTCAAGGGCTACGAAGGCTTCGGGTTCTCCCTCCCCGAAGTGAACCTTATGGAACGCCAGCTCCTCTTCCTTTTGGACTGGGACCTGCGCATCACTGAAGAAGATCTTTTTACTTACCTCGAGCCCTTCCTTCTGCCCCACCGCCAGCGCCTGATTGTCCAGGAACGCGAGCGCAAGGCGGAAGAGGAACACCGTCACAAGCAACAGCAACATCGCGAATGGTATGTCAGAATCTGTCCGATTAGAATTAAAAATCGCCGTAAAGATAAAGATATCTAACAATTTCCAGGCGCCGTCTTCACGCATCAGCGGACCTGCTGGCCAGCCGCCTGCGTCGCCAGAAGCTTGAGGCCCGCGGTGAACGCCGCGATAGTACTCTCCGTCGCCTACCAAGCCACGCCTCCTGTCCAACAATCCACAACATCAACCCGCAAAGCGCGGCCGAACACGATCGCTACAATCCCTATATCCGTCGATCCCCAACCAAACCCCGTTCTACCTCACCACCATCCGTCCGTGATGTCCCTGCCCTCTCCCATGCAGAGACCTTCAATTCCCTTTGCTCGCGCTCTTCTAGCATCGCCCCAAGCTCTAGAGGCACACCCGCCTCCATCAGCACCGTCTCCTCCGGCCCTGATGACCTCACTTTCTCCGACCAATCGCGCAGTCCCTCGTCCCTCTCTTCCCTCAGCTACAGCTATGTCAACGTCCCCACCGAGAAGAAGTACGAGCCCACCCGCCAACCCTCCAAGAAGATGAAGGTTGGCGGCCCGCACAGCGGTTTCGTCGCTCGCTTCCTCGCCTCCGCGACTGGCTCGTACATGGGTGGTCGTCGCTCTCACTAGATCGAGCCGGTCTCGATTCCAATATTCTAATCATCTCTGCCGATCTCTTCATCCCACATTTCCTATCTGCCATCTCCTTGTCTCACTATCTCACTATATGATCTTTTATTCACCCTTCACTTCCATACTTTGCTTTTTGAAAAAAAGCAATCGTTGATACGCATGTGCCAAAACTTTGTCACGGCCACAGGCCCTAGAGATCTGACTTCTCCATTTTCTTACTTCTTCTACATTCGTTACTGCATGGCACGGCGTTCTGTGTCTTCAGTGATCTTCATACGTTTTCATGCTTGGCAATCTAGACTCTGCCTTATGTACCATGATCTATCTATTGAACAATGATATCTTTCAAAATCACCTCCACTGTAATTTTGTAACTTGAAACCTTTAATTCCCACACCTTCGAGCCCTTTACCAAGTATGGTGAATACTAACCATGAAATTCATCCCCACGAGCCTGACGTCGCCTGTGCAGTTGCCCCACCTTGGTTGCCATGACCCCGGAATCCAAATCATGCAATCGGTGCAAATGACATCGATTCGTAAAGAAAGGTTTGGCGCGAGGGGCAATTCAATTTTCGACACCGTATACTTGCGGCCCAATTCCTTTCGGGTCGTCACTATGGGGATGGATCTAGATGGGGCTGAGAGTCCAGCCCTGGTGCGTTATTTAGATTAGTATTGGAACGGAAGAATGACCCAGCTAGGGGGGAAGGTTTCCTTGACGACCCGAATTGAAGTATAATTGATAAATCTAGAAGCAGTGAAAATGAATGGATTTCAGATCAGGCAATGTTATTTCGTTACTCATGATGGTGATGCAAAAGCTTGAAAAAAAAAAATTAAATCGCCGGCGCTTCCCAATACTCGCGCTTGATTCTCATGATGGCGGATTGCTTGTGCGGGAAGCTAACCTCACCTTCTTTATAGAAGCCCGCTTCTTGGAGGTAATTAATGAGTCTGGGATTGGGTTAGCTTGATTTTTCCCAGAGACTGTAAATGCCAGAGTAAGACTTACTTGATGTTATCGACGCGCGGCTCCAGAATAACAGACTCGGTCCGCATATCCGACAGGAAACAATGATGGACCAATGCACTCAACCATACCGCGACACGGTGCGCGCCGCGGAATTCCTGCTCGCCAACAAGCAAATGGATTCCGCGATCATAGTTTCCCACGTGGTCCATCAACCGGCCCAATCGGTCTTCCTTCACCCAGTAGATCTCGAAATATCCAAATGGTTTACCATCCCAGCACCCGATGACAGGGAATTTGTGCCGGCTCGTCAAGTTGTCAATGAGGAATTTCTCTTGCGCAGCTCGAGGCCCCCCTTCTGCCCACATTGCCTCTACACGAGGAACATTCATCCATCGGTGCAATGTGTCCACATCCGAACAAATATTCTCGGTGAGATGCTGCTCGATGCCTGTCACTGCCGAGCTGACTGGTGTGCCTGGTCGACTACCGTCGGCCTTGACCATCGGCACGAATGGCACACGGAACGAGAGATACTGCTTCAAACTGGGGATGTAGCGCACATAGAAGACCTCGCCTTGATGAGGCGGTTTCGGGCGGATGGGATGCCGAACTCCATCCGTGGACGTGTATTGCGTCGGCGCGGGCGGGTAGTAGGTTGGCAGGTGGCTTCCGGAAGTGAAAGGGCCCGCGGAGGTGAAGGGGGCGAGGTTAGCTGTGTGGAAGGTAGCTTCTGTTGGGGCCAGCGAGAGGGCCGCGACATTAGGGAGACCATCGCGAGTGGGCGATGCGCTGCGGGACTGGAAGGTTGGTGTGGAGGGAGCCCCCCGTGGAGTAAGTGTGAAGAGGAACAAACGAGGGTCGAGCTGCCAGAAGCTCCGTCGGCTGACGAACATGTTGGTCCAGCTGGTCCAGTCTCTTGTCTCGACAGGTTGCAGTCCTACTGTGGAGTCTTCGGTAGCGATGAGACCCATGCGCTCGAGTTTCTGTAACAGATTGCGGCCTTTGAAGATTCCCTCGCGTTTGATGTTGATGCGCCATTCGCCCTTTGGTCGGCCGTCGCGCGGGTTCATGCTTGAGGCAGCGGTCTCGACGTGCAGGTCTGGCTGGGGCTCGTGGAAGTACCACCACAGCGTGGCCCAGAGCATCATGGCGATCTGGCGCGTGGGCGAAGTCACGGGCTTGAAGTCGCTGGATGGTGGGTTGACGATATAGGAGATGTAAAGAGAGTCGCGATTCAAGGTTGGAGTGGTAAATCGCGTGATCCGATCATCTTGATCTTGTTCTGAGCCATCTACATGCGCTTTCTCCGTGTTGATAATGATCGTCCAGCCTGGAGGAAAGGTGGAGTTTTGCTGCACGTTGAAATCGGTGGATTTGAAGGTGACCCCACCAAAAACGGGTGAGACGTTAAAGGTGAGGCCATTGGGGAGGTGACAGGTAGTATTCTTCATGATGAGCTGTTATGTTTTCCAAGATCCGAGGGATCGATGGGCTTTATAGCAAGTTCAAGCAAAGCCCACAGGTTTCTTGAGTTGACTTTTTTCCGCTGGCTTTGGCCCCTCCCTGCGCGGGGAATCGTGCACCAATGACCACTGCCCAATGCCCACAGCAAAAGCAACGATCAAGTCCACACCAGAGCTATTCCACTATTCGATTGGTAATGAACAAGGAAAGATTCGTTGAGAGAATGGCAGGTTGGACCGAGATGACATGATGACGCAGAACATCCACGGATCAGCCCATGCGCAGGTACCTGCGGTGACCTGATTGGCCTAAGCTATACTACATAGCTGTTTGTATATTTCCACTGTTGAACATGTAAATATATCTATAAGAATAGTAAGAAACTGTTTACTGACTGTAGATTCAATCATTTAACTTTGGAAACACAGTTTGGCAGCTAATTTCCGTGTGGGAGATCTGTCGATCATCCAATTTCCTGTCTGGATTGACAGCCCATTTCTCCAACTTGAGAATTGGTGGACCCATAGCCAACGAGAACAAGGCAAAAGGTAAGCAATGGGTATAAACTAGTACAGGAGAGGGAAAAAAGAGAGACAAAAAAGAGACAAAAATAGCTACAATAGAAAATTTAAAAGTCCTCCACTGTGGTCCCAAGCTTCCGCTCCCGCGCCAAGCGCACCAAATCTCCGCCAGTAACAAGATCCATCAGTCCCAGCCCAACGGATTTGTAGATAACATTGCCTCGTTGAGACCATTCGCGGAGACTTTTCTCTTCATCCACTGTTTCCTCGTTTCGTTGAGCGTCACGCACCATCAGGAGTTCACCGAGCTCCACAACCTGCTTCGGCTTGATACCCGCTTGGATGATCTCGCCGGCCTCCTTGAGGGCCGCATCCAGACTGTCTACAACAATCACGCCACTACGGTGAATGTGCTTGTGCCAGTGGCGATGAGGAGGCTGAACAGTGACCTCATCTCGCAGAATATCTGGATGAATCTCGGCCATGTGTGCCTTGTAAGATCCAATCGCACAAATCAAACGACCCTTTTGACGGCCCTCACCCGAGGTGAGATATTCCGCCGGGAACAATGGTTCAGGAGAGGGTGTGCAACAGAAGATCGCGTCGGCCTTACGCACATGTTCTTTCAGGATACGGCTGTACTCGCCGAAATCGCTGCTGACGGCCGAGAACTTGACATCCCGGCGCCATTCAGTATTTTCAGGAAGGTAAATGTCACGCAAAAGCTTGGCAGCCCGGTCGAATGATCGGTTGACAATGTACACGCGGCGGATATCTTCCCCGCGGAGCACCAGCGCTAGGCGGATGTGCCAGTAGGCCTGAGTGCCCGCACCGAATACGAGAAGAGTACGCACCTTCTTGCGCTTGTTAAACATCATCAATGACGCCAAGGCCGTGCGGAAAGCTGTGAGCTCATGGGCGTTGATTAGCGCGAAAGGCAGACTCTCGCCATCGAGAAGGGTAACACTGCCGCGGGGCGATGTGTCACGAGTTCCTGCGCCCGGCCACGCGCCAAGAGTTTTAGAGATGTTCGAAGTCACATTCTGTTGGTTCACACAGCCCGTGAGGAGGGTCGAGCTGTTGGTGCTTGAGCTGCCAGTGGTGGTTGATGGAGCGACTGAGCTACTTTCATCCTCATCGTCCTTGTCTTCCTTGTCTTCCGAGCCCACGGAAAGGTCGCTCAGGTCGGAAGATAAGGAAGCCACCGAGTTTCGGAACGAACCCCGCCTCCGTGAGGTAATCTGCTCTTTCTCTTGCGCATCCACTGTGTCACGTTCAACGGCACAGCCGGCATCGCCCCCGTCCTGCAGGGAAATCATCTTGATACCGATTGTCTGACCCGTGCTGGCGGGCATAAAGAGGGTAGTGCAGCCATTTTGACGGGTGATGGCAGTTCGCTGGGGTTGGAATGCCGCCGAACAACCCTTATCTTGGGAGCCGCTAGAATATTCCCGCAGAGCTTGGGCGAGGTTACGCTGCAGGTTCACGATCTCATCGCGGGAGAGCGCGTGCAGCAGGTCGCGGAGCTGGGTTCGAGAGAGTATGGTAAGAGGCATGCGGGCGGTTGAGAGGGTTGAAGGTGAGAAAAAAGAGTTGTTTGAACAAGTGGGGGAGAAAAAGAACTCAAGAGGTTCTAAGATCTGCGTAATAGTTCTAATTAGCCAAGGCCATCCAGTCCCCCACGCCTCTGCCAAGGTCGTGAAACGACTCACTCGGAGTTAAGAATTGCATAAATTGTGACTCGCCAAGTCCTAATGGGGCGAATCCGCGGACTCGGCGCCCTTAAAATAACTCGGGCGTTGGCGGGCGTCCGAGGACTAATTCGGTTTGAGGTGACGACTACAGTAGGTGGGGGAGAAGCGGGGCGATCAGCACCGATGAATCAAAAACAGGCGAGGCGCGCAAGGTGTTGAGGTTTGAATGATCCAAGGTCTGTGTATTAAGTATGGATCAAGAGGGAGAGCAAAGTATATGTACTACGAGAACGCATATGTACGCCATTGCAGGGAAACCCTGCCGCATCCGTGAGGCCAAGCCCAATCCGGAAATTTGTATATGGTGCCTGAGGCAGCTATCAGATAGGGCTGGGCCTCGGTGTTCAAGTACGAATACGAGTATGCGAGTACTGCGGACGCGAACATTAGTCTACTAAGGCATGTCGTTTTAGTTCTATGTTCTGCTCATGAGATTTATTGTTATCTAGGTAACCACCAAGTTATCATTTTACCTAAGCTCTAGAGAAGGCGCATTTCCGAGGCAACATCGGCAATCATCTTACCAGATCCCTCAGCATCTACGGAGTACAGATAGGGGATTGGTGCATCGACACCCTCACGGATAATATGACAACCCTTTGGATAATGCGACACCCCTGATACCTGACTTTCACCTGATTCTAATATTTATTGCCCTTTACAGTAGGCATGAATATTTCAGTCGGCTGTTCTGCTAGATTCCCTACATACGCGCGAGTATATCCCTCATTGGTTATTAAAGCAAGAAAGGTATAAGTTTAATTGGATAAATAGAGCCAGATTACTTCTAAAAAAAATACTGCAGTTGGCTTTCTAGGTCTGAAGGCCTTTTAGACCATGAGGATGCAATTTATAGAAAGTGGAATAGAAAAAGCGATGAGAAGAAATACTTATTGAGGCTACTGTCATCCTTCAGTGTTGCCTCCTGTAAAGTTGCCCGGCTATAGCTATCCAGTCAATGTAGTAAAAAAGGGACTCCGTGTGATCGGAAACGTTTCGTAGATTGGGTCGGATTAGACCCCCGATTTGCGGGGTCGACCGCCGATATCGAGCTTTGGGGAGCTCGGGAGCTCCAGCCGAGCATAAAAGCACAGCTCCGCCTTCAATTCCATTCCACACCATCATGGCCTCACAAACTCTCGGATTCGTCGGATGCGGTAAAGTCTTCATTCACAATGGCACCAAGCACCACTAACAGAAGCAAGGCAACATGGGCGGAGCCGTCCTAAACGGCATCCTCACCGCATCATTCACAAACCCCTCCACAGAACCGAAGCCGATTTCCCAATTCATTGCATGCACCAAGTCTGCTAGCTCAGCAGCGCGCATTGAAGCTGAGATCGCACCCGAGCACAGAGATATCATCAAAGTCGTTTCCGGACAAAATGTTCAAACCATGCGGGACTCTGATATCGTCATTCTCGGATGTAAGCCCTTCATGGCGGATGATGTGCTGAGAGAAAAGGGTGTGCGCGAGGCTTTGGCTGGGAAACTTGTTATTAGCATGCTGGCTGGTCAGTCATGTGAGAATTTGACGAGGATCATCAAAGAGGGTCCTGGGGCACAGGGTTCGGAGAATACAGAGCTCGTGTTGGGTCCTAAGGTTATGAAGGTTATTCCGAATATGGGAGCACAGTTCGGTGAATCGATGACTATTATTGAGACGCCTGCGGCGGGTATCGAGGAGGATCTGGTGCGTACGGTGGAATGGATCTTTGGTCAGGTTGGGAAGATCAAGTTCCTTGCGCCTGAGCAGACTGGTCTGGCGACTGTGCTTGTTGGAGCGACGCTGGCGACCTTGACGCTTCCAATTGAGGGGCTGTTGGATGGATGTGTTGCTGAAGGGTTCAAGAGGGCGGATGCTATGGAAATGGTGCTGCAGGGAATTCGGGGGTTGTCTGCTGTTCTAGAGTCTGGAGCGCATCCAGCCGCTGTGAGAGAGAGCATTTCCTCCCCGAGGGGATGCACCATCCAGACTCTGTTGAGTCTCGAGAAGGCGGGGACAAGATCGGACTTTGCAGAAGCTATGATCCGGGGGAATAAACATCTTAAAGAAAACATGTAGACAAGGAGATGTTATATCCTAAATAGACTATGTATTGGCGCAATATACAGCCAGTGTATATGCGGGTATTTCCATATATCGTGCACTTGAACTCCTGAAATCCATTTGAATCGTTTCCAGTTCCCAATCAACCCCAGATATCGTCGTCATTCTTAACCAAGTCATCCTCATTCAGAACCTGCAGCCCATTTCCTCGCTCCTCACGCTTGCGCTGCCGCTTTGTTACGGTGCGCCCGGGTGTAAACGGTGTCACAGGAGTAAACGGCATATAAGGACTGTACGGCGTAGGCATACCCGTCACCGGACCTGCTCGGTGCTTTGAAGGTCGCTCAAGGAATGTGGTCTTAGTTGCCGGGGCACTCTGCTGTGGATATGCCTCACGGAAAGGCAGAGAAGATGATGGCGATGCAGAGGCAGCAGGACCCAGAGTCAAAGGCGCCGGTGGCCGTGAACGACCTGGAGCAGGCATGACTGGAGGCTCAATCTGTAACCGGGGCACCGTTGGTGGTGGGCCAGGGTTGTAGATCCGTGGGGAGAGAGGGGGGTTTTCGGGAATATACGCCTGAGGTGTTGCCGGCGCTGGGGAAGCCAGTGGAGATGAGATTGGGAGCTTCCGAATTGCCAAGCGAGGTGAGCGGACTTTGCTTGGCTCAGGACTTGCGCGGGATCCTGAATTGAAGAGCTTGGAGAGACGAGAACTGTTGAAGCCCTTGGTCGGCGACTTCAGCGGAGCCAGGGAGTGGTCCGATCCGTGGGAGCCACGGTCCGTGAATGGATTGGTGATTTGGCTATCTGGGGACCGTGTCTGATACTCCGGTTCTCTCATGGGCAAGTCGATACCAGATGCCTTTTGGGCATCGTGCTCCATGACAGCAGCATACAACATCTCCATCTCGTCCTGGGCTCTTTGCCGGTCGGTTGCGACGATTGATTGGTCGATGGTCAACATGCTGCCGTTAACAGATGGCTGGGAGGGTCTGGCACTTCTGTGTAGTGACCCCCAGGACTTGAATCCACCGGATTTGGGACTGGGAAGGTTGTGCGACATGGGGGATACTGGGCTGGGATCCATGCTGACAGGCGGTCTGACAGGCTTCAGCATTTCCATATGCAGAGTATAGTTGGAAGACTGAACCGATTGACGGAGACGACGTCCGACAAAGATAAGCAGAGCGAGAAGAAGAGCAACGAAGATCACGTAGGCGCCCACAATGCTTCCGATTTGAATTGCTAGCAGTGGTTTGTTCACCACTGGAGGTGCAGGCCAGTTGTCTGCACGTTGAGCCACCTCTTCAGCCCAGGCTGAGTCGATATTTACGATCAAAAGAGTGAAAAGGGCACGCAGAAAGAAGGTCGGAGAACTCATCTCCAAAGGCATTAGATAAGAAAGGAGGGGAGATGAAGTACTGAAATCAACGAGATGTGCAGTCACCGATCGACATGTCGAAACCGATGAATCTCACGGTAATTGGAGTGATACATGTTCCAGAAGTGACGAGGGGGTTTTGGGGGTGTGATGAAGATGTGAAGTGAAGCGGGATCTGCGCCTGTCGTTGGTCACAAATACGCGCCCTCATGCACGATCATCACTTGGCGGCGGCCACTCACAGGCCTCAACCCAGGACTTTGGACTTGGGGGTTTTGTTGCTCCAAGCCTACGGCAATGGCCAGATTAGATATTATTTACTCGAGACTTGTTGCAGAGCTAGGCTCTATTTAGGCGTACACCCATCTGCCACAACTATGCTCGTACGTAGTACTAAGGAGTACTTGAGTAAACAGATAGTACTCTCTGCTTCATTGTAAAGAAGTTCGCAATGAGCTGCCACAGGATCAGAGTGTTCTCTTTTGCTCTTCTGCACAGATGAAGACACCATGACGTGAGTATACCATCGCACCTTCCCTTTGGGCGTGGATGCCTCTTTTGTGCTCCCCAAACCAACTGCTCAGGAATCTTCGCCACTTTTCACTTCCTCACTCACCTGAGAACAACGAAGAGATCCAAAATCTCTCTGATATCATCTATTGTTCATGGGAAACAAAGTCTCGGTCGTGCGTGGAGTCAAGTCAGACCATTTCTACAACCAGCAAAACGGCATCAACGAGATCTGGGTCGGCGACGTCGAAATCATCTCACGCCTTCCCTTCGGCGATTCTGATCAAGAACAATCTAGCTGGCCTCCAGGAGGAGTTCCAAAGATACCGTGGCATCAATTCATCATCCCACTTCACAAACGAGACGAGGTCGGCAACATGAGTGCATCGAGTGTCTCAAACATCCCAACATCCGCTTGCTATGCATCGCTTCCCACATCTGGATACTATGGCATGTTCACGGGAATGCCACCCCGTGCGTCATACCAAATCGGGGTATTCCTTCTCTTTGGAGCAGTTTCGATGGGAATGCTCTTTGTTTCGCTGGTCGTCATGAACTTTGTGATGCAACTGGTAGAGTCCAGATTATCAATTGAGGGCGAGCATCGCAGCGATTGTGCGCTGCTGCGGCGGCAGCGGGTGTTTCATTTCACAATGCTTCTGGTGGCCGCTGCGTTCCTGGTTTTTTCGATACTGTTGGCGGCTTTGGGGCTTCCTGCCCTGGCAGCCGGCATTCAACATCCAAACGCCTCGTTCTGGATTTTGGAGGATGGGATCTCCGCCATATTTGTTACTGTCGTGGTGGTTTGTTGGTATTACATCAAGTATTACATCAAAGCACGAGTGAGATCAGCGAACACCAATCAGGCGGAGGACCAGAATTTGCAGACCATCCCGGCTACTTGTGAATGTGAAAAGGTATAGAGAAAAAGCAGTGGATTGGTTCTCTTAATCGGGTGGGAATTTCTAATTGTCATTGTTGACCACCTTCTGGGTGGGAACAAATCTATCAGTGTATCATTAGCTTCGGTGTGAAACGAAAGACAAGGGGCACAAGAACGGGACGAAAGGTATTATCTCAGCTATCATTAAGAAGTCAATGAAGTGCCATTAATTACTCACAGTATGCATAATATACAAGCCATATCACTTCCTCCCTAGGTACCCGGAGGAGATCTAGAGAGCAGAGTATTCAAGAACAAAACCGGGTCCCGCCGGTTTCAACATTGACATTGAATATCATACATCAAACAGAGGAACGTTGTAACATTCAGGATTTGGAAAACAAATCCCGCCAAAGCTGTTTCATGCCATAGCCTTTCGATTGGTCTTCTTCGTGGACCCGTACAGATTGTGCCGTGCTTAACGACCCTATCGAAGCAGAAGCGGGTGGGACAACCGCAGCAGGACGCGCACGTTCCGTTGCTCGACGTTTGATCTCCTCCGCCAACCCAGGTGCCACTTCCGCATAACACGCCTTGAGTTCTCGATCGAGATTGATATAGGGCTTGTGTGCTGATGGCGGCGCCATCAGGTTATACGACCTTGCGAGCGTATTGATTTGCTTCACTGCGAGCTCGTGGTAGGAACGTTCGATAGAAAGGTAGCTCGGGTCTCGTAATGGAGGAAGGTGAGCTAGACTATCTGATTGTTCACTCGGGTCATTCGTCGAGGATTCTTCTGCGTCTGGAGCCGGCTGGTCTGTGTTCAACGCGGCCTCTAATTTTGCCTTTTCGGCTAGTCGAGACTCTGCTGCTGCATACGCCTTTGCGCGCTTCATCTGCACGTCTAGTGACCCGCCCTGGCTGGCAATTAATCTCGCGGCATGTCTTCTCCAGTCAGCTCGAAGACGTCCACGGAACCGACTAAGTTCCTGAGAAAGTTGCTGCTGTTTCTCAATCCAAGGAGGCACAATCTCCTGTTTTTGGATGATCTTGTTCATAAAGTACTCGGTTGTGTCAATGAATGCACTGTTTGCATTATGATCCGTCTTGGTGTTGACACCCTTGCCCCGGCGAATCTTGTCGAACTGACCTCGCGCAATCGCATCCTCAATCCGCTCATTTGCTAGTGATGAAAGCCCCGATATTGATACTGGCATGTTATACGCACCTGGGGTCAGATTCTCTCTCATTTCACGACGCAGATTTTCGCGTTGTTCGTCAGAGAACCCAGGTGCACGACTTAGATTATATGCAGAGGTTCGTTCTTTAGCTTCGGCAAGTCGATGTCCCCGGGAATGCTTAGGTTTGGGGGCCGGTTGGAGGTTGACGGGCTGCGGAATTTTGTAGGGCATTCGAATCGGTTTGCTCGCATCGTCTAACATGCGTAGTGTTGTATCTTCGAACCGCTCCGTTCCTGTCCACGCAGGTGCAGCCGCATTCTCTCGCGTGCCTTGTCCAGCTGCAGCCTGTCAGGGATATGGGGTTAATAGTTACTCGGTGGGAGTGTATGGACTTTGCATACAGGCATATCGACTATTGAGTGGGCGGCTGCATTCTCGCTTTTGAATGAAGCCGCGGCCACCCGCTCTTCGAGCTGCTTCTTCAACTCATCTGAGAATCCTGCGTGCTCGATGTTGCGATGCGCTGACCGCCCACCCTCCAGTATTGCATCTTCGGTCATCTGCGCAAGTCGACGTGACATCGCGCTACCATTTTCATCTTTGTTCGCATCCTCGCTCTCAGCTTTGGTTTCCGGCTTTGCTGTTTGGTTCCGCGAGCATGCTGCGGAAAATCGCCTAGATGCGGGGACTATCGGAGCTCCAATTGTGCACAATGAGGAGACACTGCGAATATTTGTGGGCAGTCCATATCTCCCAGCCATAATCCACAAGCTCTGTAGATTGATCAACAATCGGAATTAAAAGATCACGAGGAACTAGAATGCGGGGAGTGACCGCGTTGGAAGCCAAAAATGATTGCTTAATCGTGACTTAGCCGTATGGAGGCGCTAAGCCAAAAGGGGAACAGCTAACCTGATACGGTAACTCCCATTTTACCTAAGGCACCTCCGCGGAATTTTGTTGGAATCATATCACCGGCAGTCTTCGATCAGTAACCAGCCACGGTCGCTTGAGAGCACATCGTCTCATCTCGGGCTCGTCAACACTCGTCTAAACCACCATCAATTCCACAAATTGCCCACCATGGCTCCTAAAGGCTCCCTTTCCACCCGCATGAACCCTTTGCGTCTCAACACCATCAACCACCTTCGTGTCCGCCGACCCAACCAACATGAGCAGAACCCCTGTGTGACTGTCATGTCCTCCATGCTCAGTATGTCTATCCCTAGGCGATCGCATCGTATAACCTGCTAGCCACCGTTGCCCTGGCTTCTCGCCCCGAACACCCGAAACCCCGAACCTTGGATTCGATTGGATCGCTAACAATACATTTCCATAGACTGCTGGGCTTCCGCCGGATACGCCGCTGAGGGCTGTGCCGCTCTCGAGGCGCAATTGCGCAAGTGCATGGACGACCCGGTATGTCGAGCCACCATTGTTTGGAATCTTTTTCTAACAACCACCTTCCATCTAGAAATCCAGGGAGCAGAAGAAGAACACCGTCAACTACCACTTGATGAGAATGTACCCCAAGGTTGTCGGTCCTCGCAAGAAGGACGGTGTCCTCGGCTAAATCATTTACGCGCTGTCCGCCGCTTACCCGCAGAAGCGAGTTGTCTTGGAGTTTGGGATCTTTTTTTGATACAATATTTACGCGAAACCTCTGACTCTCACCACAATTGCTGGTTTGGGTCCGTCATTTTGCATCAGGTTATGGGAGTCGGCTTTTACTCTTATGTACAGTATACAACTTTGGATATGGAATCACCTGTCAAAACATTGATTATTATCTTTATTGTTTTGGCTACCTTTCTCAGACCAATTCGAACTTGAGTATTAATTTGTCACCACGCGGCTTTACGGTGTAGGCGTCGATTGCTTCGATGCTGTCGTCATCGGCGATGGTGGTGCGGAAATTGGTATAAATCGCCGCAACAGCCAGTTTCATCTCTGTCGGGCAATTTTAGCAAAACACCGTGGAAATTTGGTGGTATTCTACCTTGCAAGGCGAGGTTACTCCCCACACACATTCGCCCACCACTTCCAAATGCCCAGAACCACCGACGCTTCTCGTCCAAGTCAGCAGATGAGTTTTGGTCTTCAAGCCACCGTTTGGGCTGCCAGCTCTCTGGGTCAGGGAACACTTCTGGATTGCGATGCAGGGAATATCCCTGTGCGCTGACCCTAGTATTGGGTGGGATGTTTGCATAGCCAGCCAACGTGCAAGGAGGAGACGGGGTGACTCGAGGCTGAATGCCTGGGATTGGAGCATGGAGCCTCAATGTCTCGGTCACGATGGCTTCCAGCAATGGTAGGTCATCGATTGCCTTGGCGGAGGGTATCTCCGCGGACTTGGGGTACGCAAGTGGAGGGTCCAGAGTAAGTAGCTCCTCTCGGAGCTTAGTCTGGATTTCTGGGTTTCTCGACAGTTGCCAAAACAAATAGGTGAGACCAACAGCACTTGTTTCAAATCCAGCGGTCAATTGATCGTACAACTCGCATGCAATATCGAGCCTCTGCTGCACTCGATCAGGCTTATCTCCGTTCTTCAAGGAGCTCTTGTCCAGGGCTTGCTTGAGCTGCTTGTAAACAACTGGCTCGAATCCTGGCTCGGTCGATGCGATCGATTCCTCACCCTTGTCGCATAGGTCTAAAGCCCAAGCATCAAGCATTGCATTGGCTTCGTCACAGTATTTCGGAACCACACGAAGACCAATCCGCCTTAGCCATCCATCTAGATACGGCACTTCTTGCGAATAAAACTCGAATGGCTTCCGACACATGTAAAGATGGAGCCAGTGCTTTCGGAACGACTCATCTTGAAGCAGATTCGTGCCATTCTGCAAGCCGACCAGGTAGGAGGAGACAAAGTCCATCGTCAGGCCCTGGTTCAGATCATGCACGTCCAGTGGTGTCCCAGTACTTGCCGCCTTCTCAAGGATGGGTAACAATCGATCGAAAACAACTGCATTTGAGACTATTCTCAGATGGGGAGATGTTTGCAGGGTGGATTTGGAGTAAATATTGGATAGCATTCTCTTGCGGTTTGAATGAGTCTTGCTCCCTACCATGGTGAACATGCTGACTGTTCTGTGGTAGTGGTCAATGGTTGATCTTCGCAGGATCTATGTATACAAGTGACTTACCCAAAGGACGCGAACACTCGGGGATACCAATCGTGTTTTTCAAACCCACCAGTGTATACTGATTTGATTCCTCCATCGACACAGTTGATGGAGATCTCTGACGGTCCCAATCGGACAATTGGACCGAGTCTTTCATGCAAATCCTGGATTGTTCGGTTGTTTCGACTTGTAAAACGTCTCCAAAGCATCCAGGCCGGTGTAATGGGAGTACTCCAATGCGCATTGGGGATCTTGGCCAGCGGCGAGATGAATGCCGGATAGATAATAGTCTTGTAGCAGACTAGTGCAGCGACAAGCGCTACCGCCAGCGATGTCACTGTAATAGCCATTTTGTGCTTGCTGATCACCGTGGTTGAATGTTCCCTGTGTTACTTCCTTGAACTTGGCAAGTCGCCTAGTTTCTCTTTCGCCGAGCCCAAAACAGTAAATTTGGAGAGGTTGTTAAGTAACGTAAGAGGCGATCGAAGTCCCGGAGATATATAGATTGCCGACACCAGCCACTAGTCCTTAGCTTGGCCAGTTCACATCCGTGTATTACAGGTGTTGCCGGGCGTGGTTCCTTATTGCAAGATTAGCCAGTGCCCATCCGTGTATTACAGGTGTTGCCGAGCGTGGACCCTTATTGCAAGATTAGCCTACAGGATCCATTTCCGTAAAATTCCACTCACTCTGATTCGTTAAGAGCTGCAACCCAAGTGCAACCCCCGCTTGACGAAGAGGTGTCGGTGTAGTATAATGGGGTTGATAGGGGAACGAGTTGTTCCCCGGAGAAGATTGGGGTTCGCATGAACAGCCCTGGGGGCTTCGCACTTCCCCGCGAAATTGATAAGAGATAAGTTCCGGTACTTCGGAGCTCTTTTCGGATGCTTTGCCGTTCAATTTCTCTCCAAGGCTCCAAAGGGGACACTCCCATCTTGCCATTGCTTGAATCATGTTTATCAATACTCCATACCCTGAAAAGTGTCAGATACTTGAATCTCTCAGGGCTGGAGATCTGAGATGCTTACGTCATAGGGCCCGCAATCCGATCCGCATAAAATTGCTGGATGAATTCTTTCAACACAAACATTGCCCAGACTCAGATCTATTCGTCGCCAAATCAGAGCACTTGGGTACATTTATCCTATGAAGATGCAGTCTGATTTTGCTTGAATAGCGCACAGTGACAGAAGTGGCGGAACCCCACAAATGACCATGACATTTTGAAAGCTGGCAGAATATATACTTCATCAGCAATCGAGGTGACCACCCAGACCCCAAAGATGCCTGGGCTCTGTGATCTCCCATCGGAGATCATTTATCACATTGCGATACATCTCCCAACCGCCCATGCATTAGCCAATCTAGCTCAGACATGTCACCAGCTCCATCGAGTGGTCACCGCTGAAAACTCCCGCATTTTCCAAGCTTTTGTACAGAGAAGATTCCCTGGCATTCCATCAAATGCATACTGGAAAGATGCAGCGCAAGCTCTTTCCTCCCGCTCACGGGCTTTGGATAGGAATGCTGTCATCGGGCGCTTTGTGGTGCCACCAGAATCAGCCACCAAAATTGGCTCGCACGAGGTGACTCGTCAAGACAACCCGACCCTCGGGTATAGACCTGCAATTGATTCTTACGAGATATGGAACGGACAGCACTGGGCAGATAGGAAGGAGGTTCTTGCCTGGGGTGCCGCCAATCAGCTGGTGATGAGGATCAAGAAAAGTGGCACCCGGCCGCAGGAGCAATGGCTTCAGTTCAATGATATTGATCATATCAGCAGTTATGATGATATATGCTCTCTGCACCTTTTGTCGGCGGACCCAAAGTACCAGAAAGATGACATGGAGCATTTGATATTTGGTCGGATTCGAGGTGACATTGCTCATCTGGCTATCTGTCCACCAAAAGAGACATATGAGTATCAACAGAGGTTCTTGACCTATGGACTCAGACTTGATAAAACAGAAATTGGCAATGATGCTAGTCGTGTTCTAGCGGCTCATTTTGAAAATGGGTCGATTGCTTTCTATGAGACTGTCACCGAGCAAAAAGAAATAGAGCCTTTCGCCTGGTATCGACCGGAAGGTACAACCCGGAACAAATACTCAAAATTGCTTTCCTCATCGTTGATAGCTGTTTGCACTGGAGAAAAGCAGAATACTCTATCAATCTCAAAAGTGACGCCCTACGGCGTGTCCCTATGCCGAGCGATTGGGGCCGAGAGTCTCGACACTAACTCGACAAGCCTCAAATCCAAGGTCAACATTGGGTGTATCGAGCCTCTCAACAATTATGCAGTCTCGGGATCTCCCGGTGATGTCTTTTTGACAGCCTGGGATGACTACACAGTCCGACTTCATGACCTCCGCTCTCCGAAGCCCTACGAGGTCGCCTACAAGGATGTCTCAGATCTCAATCCCATCTACAGCCTGCACCCTTTCGGACACAATCATTTCCTAGCTGGGGCTGGCGGTGAAGCCATCGTAAAGATCTTTGATCTCCGCATGTGCAATACATACAACTATCTTGATGCACAGACCTCCGTCTCCCAGCGTCAAAGCCTCGACGGCCCAAAGCAACCAGTCACCAAAACGAAAAGAAACAATCCCCAGAATGGCTTCTCCATATTCCTTTCGAACCCATCACCGCTTCCATTTGGTCGAGTGCCAACTCGCCGACGACGGAATCCCTACCGTGGTCCAATCTATACAATGTCATCGCCTTCCCCATCCTCGCCAACTGTATACACTGGTATTGTGGATAGCGTTGTTCGGCTAGATTTTGCATCAACGGATGACTTGACTGGTTCGAGAAAAGAGTGGTTCCATCATAATCTTGATCTGGGAGTTGACACAGGCCCTGAACACCCGAGAGACCATAATGTGGCGCCATTGAACCTGGCTGGTTATGAACGTCCCCACGAAGATGACCTCTCCACTACATCTGTGTTGAGACGCCAGCGAGAATTTTGGAAGGCCGGGTCTGCTGATGCAGGGTTTGAAACAGTTACTGGCTGGGATCGCAGGTGGGAAGGTCTGGAAGAGCCTGGTGCTTGGAGACGGAGGGATGAGGACATTGATTTGTAAAAGATTGGAGCATATAGAACTACATAGAGTGGATGAGAGGATATTTAAGTACCTAGGTATACATAAGATATGTGCACAATATGTTGAAATGCCCCAAAACTTTTGATTGATTTAGCTAATAAGCAAGAAGGATCTATATCCACGGGTATGCTACCATGTTTTGGGTAAAATGACCTTGCCAATAGCTCCGTGTGCGCCGTGCTGAGTGATTGGGGGAAAATATGATAGAAAGAAAAAAAAAAAAAGATGAGATCGTCTCCAATCGTCACCTCTTACAGCGAGTCCCAATGCTGCAGACAAGCAAGGCGGCAATTCATTTAAGAAAAGCAGGCTAGATTTTGCTGAGCGAGTCTGTCAAAGATTGGTAGCGAGATAATGTGCCAGGCAGATTGAAATTATGAGCAAGCGCCTCTGTAATGTGGTATTGTTGCAAGAGCAAGGGTCGTTATTTAGTCTTCGAACTTGAAAGAAGTCTTGGCAGGACCGATATCAATGGGGCCGCCACGGTAAGAGCCGCGCTTCTTCTTGTTCTTCTCCTTGGTGAAACCCTTGCCACGAGTCACGGAGAGATCCTTCCAGGCACGGTCAGCGTAGGCGTAGGACATGTAGTCGTTAGAGGGGTGGTCGTGTGGCAACTCGCTGAGCAGAGCCAGAGGGGTGGGGCGGGCTCCGGTGTGCTTCTTCTTAGCGGGAAGGTTGCCAGGGGCAGGGCTGGCGCTGGAGGAAGAAGTCTGCGCAGCTGCTGCAACCTTGGTGACGGCCTTGACCTCTGGGGAGGCGGCCAGAGTGTTGCTGGAGGTGGAGTCGGAATCACTGGGGGAGTCGGACTTGGGAAGAGGAGTCTTCTTAGCCTGCTTCAGGGCCTTCTTAGACTCCTTCTCAGACTCGGACTCGGAGGATGAATCGGAGGATGAATCAGAAGAAGAGTCGGAAGAGGAGTCGGAGGAAGAGTCTGATTCGGAGCTGGAGGAATCCGAGGAGGAAGAAGAAGAGTCGGAAGAAGAAGAAGAGTTTGAGGATTCGGAGGCCTCCTTGGTAACCTTGGCTTTCTTGGCCTTGGGAGTGTCATCCTCAGACTCGGACGACGAGTCGGAAGATGAGCTGCTGGACTCGCTGCTGGACTCAGCCTTGCGCTTGACACCGGTGGTCTTCTTGACGGGCGCAGGGGCAGCGGGAGACTTTTCATCATCTTCATCATCGGCATCACTATCGGAGCTGGAAGAAGACGAGGATGAGTGAGCAGCCTCGCCCATCTCGACGTCCGACTCGCTATCGCTAGAGCTGTCGGAGCTGGAAGAAGAGCTAGAAGAAGAACTGGAAGAAGAGCTGGAGCTGGCAGTCTTCTTCACACCAGAGTCTTTCTCGGAGGCCTGGAAAAGCTCGACGAGAGACGGCACATTCTTCACATCGCTCTTCTTGGCAATTTTGGCCTCTTTGGTGAACGCGGCGCTGGTCTCGGGGAACTTCTCGGACAGAAAAGCGGCGACTGATGCGATAAGTTGAGGAGAGACCGACTTGGTGCTCTTGGGAGACTCGGTCTAATGAGTTGTCAGTTCGGTTCCTATGTAGATCGTCTTTGCTAGTCACCGAATGGGACTCACCTTCTGGACCGAAGTCTTCTTAGAAGAAACCTTGGCCATTGTAAGGATTGTGAGACGAAGGTCAAACGAAAAGAACAACGAAGTCAAATTAGATCAAACGGAAGAAGGACGAGGATCGGAGGCGAACGATCTGCCAGGTACCGACGCGAAAAGAAAAAAAAAAGAAAGTATATAGGGGGCGGTGAAGATGTAAATAGACGGTGATTGGTTAAAGGGATGTGAGGCCATCATGGTGCTCACGTGGTTCAGCTGAGGGCGGTGAGAGGATTCCGTTGCGTTGATTGGCACATGCAGCTTAGGCTTCCCCAGGACCTTTGGGCTCAGTTAAGAACAAGTCAAACAATCAATATGAATGTATATTGAATTTACACCATGGTCAGATAATTGGAAAGTCTGAACTCAGACGAGCTAGGTAGGTACAATGAGTGAGATATCATAGTACCACCTATGCTTCCACGATGCCCAGGTTCTCGTAGTTAATCTAACCCGGATCAATTCAATACTCCGCCTTCCAAGCTCTCCGCCTTACTATCCGCAACCCCAAACACAGCTCCGCCATTGGTATTGTGCATCACTGGCGACAAAACGCTCTGTTTCTCTCGCTCATTTTGAAGCCTGATCTGTCAGGACCTGCTGGCTTGTTCAAGCTGTTGGTCCGTGGATATCAATTCCTTCGGCGCGTCTTGCGTCGTGGCGTGGCCGATCCCGACCCTCCCGATCATGTCCCCTTGATCGTCAAACTATCCTCCATTGTGCTCTCAGATCTAAAATCGCAAAAATGAACGGCAGAGACCGTCCCCGTGGGCCTCCGCAGGGGCCCCCGCCAAATCGCGGCCCTGGTCCGCAATCCGATTCAAACTCCAGCCCCAGCACCATGACAAGAGGGGCCGCTTTCGAGGACGAGAAGGCGCGGATTATCAAAAGCTGTTTTTCGAAAAAAGACGAAGATGGAACTCGTACGTATACCGGCAAATATTCCATGAGCCCCGCCCCAGATTTAGTTATGGCGCATTCAGCAGTACTCTGCGAAGTGACGTACTGCGCATAGTGGTGGAATCGCATGCCCATGCGCCGCATGAGTCTCGACTCATCTGGAAATTTTAAAAAAGTTGTACTCATTGTTGATCAATTTTGCGCATTCTAGTACTCGAATCCTACATCACCCATGTCCGCATCACAGAAGACGGTACACATCCGTCAAGCCCCTTTCCTCCGAATGGCCCCCCAGAGAATAGGAAACCTCGGATTATCATTATATCTGTGCGAAAGTCAGGTCGAGTCCGCGTACACAAGGCTCGAGAGAATGCCGAGGGCACTTTCTCTATTGGAAAGACTTGGATGCTCGAAGATCTTTCCGCAATCCAATCTTATGCCTCCTTTGTACCGAGGACACAGGGCGAGCAGCAGCAGAAGGAATGGGCCAACAACTGTGGCTTCACCGTTACCATTGGAAAGCCATACTACTGGCATGCGAGAACTTCCAAAGAGAAGGAATACTTCATCGGGAGTCTGGTCAAGATCTATAGGAAATACACCAATGGTAACATGCCCAATTTGATCGGGTTTGATGACGCGGAACGCCAAATGCTGGCAAGACACGGTCAACCACAGGCCAGGCCCTCGGGGCCATCAGGTCCTCCCGGACCCCAGGGCGGTCCTCCATCCAGGGGCCCTGGTCCAATGCCCCCGGGATCCGAGAGTGCGATGCCTCCGTCCTTGCAACCATCTTATAGAGGCCGTGAACCAACCCGCGATGGGCCTCCGGAGGTCAGAAGAAAACCATCCGAAGACCCGGCTGCGCGCGCTCGAAGCCGAGATCAAGCGTCCCGGCCGTCGACTGGCTCTCGGCCATCTACTGGGCATGGTAAGCCGGCACCCTCTCCCTTTGATTTGCACAAATCACCCCCTGCCTCACTTTCCCCTGGTCCTCCGGAGCAACCGCCGCCACGTGCACCTGAACGCATCGCAGCAAACGCAAAAACACCCGCATCGCTACCGGAATCTAGGGGCAAAGAGCAGCCTCTCGCTATTTCTACAAATCTTGACCCCAGCTTTGGCGGTGTTCCAGATGGACTTCGGCCAGGGTCTTCTCGCAGCCAGGACCGTGGTCCCAAGTCTCCAGCTCTTGGGCCCCAAGGCCCGAACAAGGGTCTAGAATATATGCGCAGCACCGAAGGGCTTCGACCTACCACCGCCGGCTCATCTCATAGTGATATTCGGGAAACGGCGCCACGTCCAGCGCCTAGCTATGGCCCCAAATCACCCCAACGTGAGGCCGGTGAAAAACCACCAAGCTTCACCCCGCCACCTTTGCCCCAAGAAAGAAGCGCACCCGATAGCTTGTCAGCTGGGGGCGCACCACACCTTCGAGAGCCCTCTTCATCCCCGGGTATTGAGGGACTGGCAGCAGAGCCTGCTGCTATGTTCGCTGCGAATATGCCAACAGAAGAGCCGTCACATTCTCCTGACCCGACTCCCTCTGCCGAGATCACCTCTCCGGTCGAGACATCATCACAAGCTTCTGCAGCGCCAGCCGATGAACCGGGAGAATTTGAACCTCATCGTCCTGGCCTTGGTCCTATGGTCAAGAAGAAGGCCGGCAAGGATATTGCAGGTGCATGGAAAAAGGCCGCCACTGCTGCCGGGGCTTTTAAGCCTAGAGCGGGTGGAGCCGGAGAGCGTCTGCTCCAAGCCGCTAAGAAGCAACAGGCAGAAGTTGTTGGACCTGATGGAATAACTGGCGTTGTGCCGGCGCCTTCTCTCAGTAGGTCGGCGACAGATCCTCCGCAGAGCCCAGTGGGCGCAAAGTCGGATCAAGATCTCCAACTACCCACCCCTGTAGTCGCACCTTCGCCTGCACCTTCGCCCGCAGCTATACCTATACCTCCTTCGGGTCCGGAAACACCCACCGTCGAGATAACCGAACCAGCTCTCCAGGATAAGCAAGTGGTTGCGGTCGAAACGCCCGAGGTTTCGCAAGAGAATCTCACAGACATAGTTGTTAAGGTTGAAGATCGTTCAAGAACACCCTCTCCTGCCGCTCAGGGACGCCGGCGGAGACACCGCGAAGACCATACTATGAAATACTGCCAAGCTCTCGGCATCGATCCTCGTGTCCTTGATGGACGTGGTATCGACTTCGATGACATCCTCACCGACTTGGGCTGGAATGGGCGGTTGGCAGATGAACAGAAGATTGAAGATCTCGAAGCAGATGTTCGCCGTGAAATTGGCCGTGTCGAAGCAACCAGCTGGCTTGGAAACCTCGAACAGCAAGAAGGAAAGGTCGAACAACTCGCGAGTCTTATTGACCGAACAATTGAAGAGTGCGATGAGCTGGATGGCCTACTGACCCTTTACTCCCATGAACTTAATGTAAGTTTGGATCGATGTGAATTCTGACCGCCAATGTACTGACAATCCGAAACAGACTCTTCACGAAGACGTCGCCTATATTGAGGCACAGGGCCAGGGTTTGCAGGTGCAAACCGCAAACCAGAAGCTCCTCCAAAACGAATTGCAGAACCTCCTGAAGACGCTTTCAATCTCTTCGTCTGAGCTTGGCCCCTTGAAGGAGGCTTCTTTGAGCAATCCAGATGGACTCAGGGAAACCGAAGGCGCCCTTTCGACACTGTATAAGGCTATGCTCATGATCGACTCTGACATTGGCCAAAATAAGAGACGCCAGGTCGACGCAAGCGTTGGTGTATATGCCGATACCGAAATCGGCCAGATGCGAGCGATTAAGCAAAAGAAGGAAGAGTACCGCTCAACGGCGATCCTGTTCCTCAACAGATTGAAGCAGTTCATGGCCCTTGCTTTCAAAATGGCAGAGCAAAAACGTGCAGATGCAGCAGCCAGTGGCGCTAAAGATCAGATGAAGCTGGACACTGCTGCACGAGGGCATTTCCGCCAAGAAGTCTGGCGATACAGTGCCATAATGCTCTTCGCCAAGGAAGTCAGTATGACTGAATGGCATAGCCTACTTGGGCTGTATGAACAGCAGTCCAAGCCTTCATACCAGACCGACTTTCGTGATAACAACGCGGCTTGGAAGAAAACCGCTCGCAAACCAACTGGTGATGAACAAGAACTCCTTTTCACCCACCAAGAGAAAGAAAAAGAGACCGAAGGCCTCACCATGGCGGCCAGGAAACTCACCGTGCGGCGAGGCAAGACCGTACGGGCTGCCGCTGGGCTTCGACTGGCTTCTGGCGGAGAGAAGAAGCAAGGACGAGTTGAGCCGTCCGAGGCGTTCTCTGGCACTTTGCGGGAGACATTGAAGATGATGGCTCAGGAGCAAAATTTTGTTATCCAATTCTTCCATCTCAACTCCCTTGCTAGCGCTGAATTCCCCGATATTGTCTACTCGACGATTCCCGAAAACCGCAACTGCCCCGACTTCTCCGCCAACCAGTCACACGATCCCGATCGAGGGATGGCAAAGCGAGTGGAGCAAATCATGGATGATATCTACTCGTTCTGGCCGAATGACATGCAAAGCATGGTCGATTGGGCCATGTCCGCCGACCCTCTGCAAGGCATTGGCATCCTGCACGCCTTGGAAACTTCCATGGCCGACTTTGATGACACGAACCAAGAGTTCATCCTTCATTCGCTCCAAAAGCTTCACTCCCGCCTTATGGGTCTATTCAATCGATTCGTGGACGAACAGATTCGCGGCATCGAAGACACGAAGGTCAAAATCAACAAACGAAAGGGCGTCATCTCCTTCATGCGGGTCTTCCCTAACTTCTCTAACGCCGTTGAAAGCATGCTCTCCTCTCCTTCGGGCTCCTTCTGTGATATCCGCATCAGCGTGAATGACGCTTACGACCGCATCAACCGTGCCATGTGGGAGTCCCTCAAGTTCATCGCCAAGGAAGCTCCGGGCCAACCCCCCGGTGTGGCCGCCGGTGCCGGCGACCCAGAGGACAAGGAAATCCTCAACTACCACATCCTCCTAATTGAAAACATGAACCACTACATTGAGGAAGTGGACGTGCATAACATCCCTGCACTGGAGCGCTGGGTCGACCGCGCCCACCAGGACTTCCAAGAACACATGAAACTCTACTTGGACTCCGTGATCCACCGCCCGCTCGGCAAATTAATTGACTTTACTCAGAGTGTCGACAATCTCCTTGCCGCGGGAGGCAACCCGGCGGACATTGCGGGCCGGGCCAGCCATTCTCGGATGGTGGCGAAGAAGCTGCTCTCCTCCTACGACAATAAGGAAATTCGCCGTGGTATTGAAATGCTTCGGAAGCGGGTGGAGAAACATTTTGGAGACGCTGATGATCCAGGTCTCAGTCGCAGTCTCGTTCTCAAGGTGTTGCGGGAGTGTGAGAACCGTTACGAGCAAACGTATGATCGGACGAAACACATTATGGAGACGGTATATGAAGGACAGTTGGATCTAGACTGGCGCAAGGAAGATACTCTCAGTATGTTCCGCAAATGAGGAAATGAGGAATGAAGAGAGAGTACAACTACAACACCTTCAATACCTTGGGAAGTTCACTGTATACTCCGTAGCAGACATCCCATTGGCGAGCGGCAGACTCCACTGGTTCGGTCTCAGGGGGTCTGTGCTTCTTTAATTCGCGATCTATCACTTTTTTGGCCTCTGTTTCTTCTCTTCTTGGAGGTCTCTGGTCCTATTTAGATGTCTGCTGTAGTCCATTGACGAATTGCAATGAACTGTGGCTTGTTAACTTCATTGCTTTTTTTTTCCTTTTTCTTCCTAATCTCCCCTGCCTCTCCGTACAAACGCGCGCTGGTGTCTGCAATCTTAAAATAAGTACGAGTCGTACTTCCGGGGAATTGGCAATGCATAAGCAAGGTAGCTGTCCGCAAACCTGAAACGGACTCGTCGCCGTGACACAGTACTCGTAGATAGTGAGTTAGTACAAGACGCGGGTGGTAGACTGTGGTTAAGAGGTCGGTGTGGGGGGCGATCTTCGATTTCGCTTTTTTTTAATCTTATTCTCAGTTCTCTCGGTACTCGGTTCTCGATTCGCTGTTCTCTGCTCTCCTTATACGCCCTCTTTCATTGTATCTCTTTCTGTTTTTGCGTTTAACCACTCACGGTGAGTTGTCTTGTCCCAAGGTGGTCCTGCGGTCTCCACAGTCACTCAAGGGGGGCACGGATCTCACATTCGGAGACCCTGGGAGGTTGCGTGTCCTGCGACTCTCTCTGTGTGTTCCATGTCCTCCTCCGTTTCCGATAGGATCTTGCTGGACCACACCTTCACCGGCTTTTCGCTTTTTTCCTAATGCCTCGCGATTGTAGATCGTTACCTCCTGTCGCATTCCCGCATTCCTCTCATTCCACCGACCCGGATTGCATGTCGCCTTCGAATCGAACATTCCTCGAACCGATCAGTGCCCTTTAACTTTATTCGAACACCAATTGTGTGGGGACACCATGCCCTGGCGGCCGCTACCTCGCATCGCATTCGCTGTCGCTATATACCCCTTCAATCCCTCCTCCCCCGCGGACCTACCATTGGAGCTCGGCGATGAATTGTACATAATTGAACAAGGCGGCACCGATGGCGAATGGTGTCGCGGATATCTTGTCGCACCGCCCTCGCTGTTGGCAGGCCTGTCCAGCACCAAAGGACAAACCCTCGAGGCTCGCGTGTTCTCAGGTATCTTCCCGCGGAACTGCGTAGAGATTCGGGAAGTACTGGGCGATGGCGATGGATATAAAGCCTTGCTAAATGGGGATCGCAAAAGCATTGATCGTCTGACCCTGTCTGGCTCAGACGGAGAGTTCCTGGCGCGAAACAGCTTTGCCCTGTCCGGTGATTTTCAGGGTGAAGTGTCGGATGTTATTTTTGCGAAAAAGGGCAAACCCGCTCAGATTGTGATTCACAAGACTGAGGACCCCGCTCTGTCAAGTCCGCGCTCGGTGCAGACATGGCGGACGGGCTCCATTCCTCATACCCCGGTCTCGTTTGCTCCCCGCGACCCTGATGCGCCAAAGCCTGCGGCTCCTGTCCCAATGCTTAAAATCGGCGACGAAACGCCCACATCCTTGACGGAACCACTGGTTGATGAGATCGCATCATGTCTGCGTGAATGGCATTCGACGAATCTACATGAATTGCTGCTGGACCAGAAGTATGATGTTTTGGAAAATATGACAAACATGGTGCAGGAGTTGGACTTTGCGAGACGACAGCTATTACACAATGTTCTCACTGGAAAGGAGAAGGAGGCATTGCGGAACGAAACCGTGTGGAAACTCGTCAAGGCAAACAAGATGCTCAGCGGAAACGTGATTGTACGAGATCCAGAACAGCGGGGTCGTCTGCTCACGGGAGATGACTCTGGAATCCAACTGGCAAAGCTGCAGTCAGAGATGAGCATGCTTGAATCCAGTCCTGTCACCACCTCCGATGCTACGGCCCTTCACCACTTGCTTCTTGAGATCAACGCGGTATCAGGAAATTCCCCGGGCCCCACGACTATCGCAATTCAATTATATTCACAGACAGATGCTGGTGTGTTTGGTCCTTTGTCCGAGGCCTTCAGCCTGGACATCCCATCGCCGGATAAATTCATCAACATGAGCCAAAGCAGCAAGTTGAAAACGCTCTTCACCGAATTGGCTGCTACGGATATTGGCGACGGGTCCGCCAACGGGCGACAGCTCTATCTTGTGGTTTGGGTTCGCGCCTCAGAGACACGCTCTGCACCCGACACCACACCTGTGTCAAGACCATCTGTTTCACGAGAGAGTCCAACTCCAGTGAAGCCTCCAGCAAATGGTGGTATTCAACCCTCTGCCAAAGGCAGCCTCAGAACGCGGCGGAGCATGATGTGGACCCCTAAGCAGCGTGGGCCAAGCTTGGATAATCCAGCCAGGCCAAATGGCCAAGGTATTCCACGATCCTCGAGCAGCTCCTCTAGTTTCAAGGAACCAGTTGCCCCTCAACCTGCTCCAACAAAGGAGACATCTGCAATCCGCACTGTCGGCGTGGGAGTCTTTGAGATCTCTCAGATCCTCCGACAGGAGCGAGATGGGGAGCAGGTGATCAATATTTGGTCACCTCGCCGAGAGGGCGAAGAAGGGGATGGGCTGACAGAAGGCTTTGACAAGTTGGTTCGGACTTTGCTGCCTAGTCCTACAGGACGTTATGTACGCGCTGATCATGCTGCCCGCCTTCACCTTCACCTTCGTCCCTTCGTCAGTTCTGACCCAGATGCTTTGATCCGCCAAAACCCTACCATATTGCATGATGTTGTTCAAACACAGCGCATCGGATTCTCAAAAGCGCCCACGCGTCCAAGGTCAGATATCTACGTGACACTCTCCCAAGCTGTGTTCCCGACAGACGCTCTCCTGTCTCACCCGCAAGCCGGTCAACTTCCTCTGCAGGTCACTTCGGGCCTCAATAACCTCCAACTTACCCTTGAGGTGCGTGATGCCCAAGGAGCGCGGGTTGATCGCTGTGTTTTCCCTTCTTCGGCCAACACATCGAATACGGCATGGCGAACTACGGTCACTCAGCGGGGCTCACCGTGGAACCAGACCATCCGCCTCAAGATTCCCACAGAGAAAATTCCTGGGTCTCACATGGTAATGAGTGTCGCAGATGCGCCAGATTTCCCTTTTGCACTCGCTTGGATGCCCCTCTGGGACCAGCAAGCTTTCATCAAGGACGGCCCCCACTCCCTCTTATTGCATGCGTATGACAAGCAAACTTCTAGCATTGAGAATGGGAAGGGTGCCTACTTGAACCTTCCCTGGAGTTCCCTCGGCAAGAATGAATCTGCAAAGGACGAGGCCTTGACTGGTCCTCTGGCCACACTACAGCTGGAAACTCACCTCTGCAGCACTGAGTACTCCCAAGACCAAGTGATCCTCAGTCTGCTGAACTGGCGCGAGCGACCTGTCGATGAGGTTTTGGATACCCTCAAACGTTTGCTGTTTGTCCCCGAGATCGAGATTGTCAAACAATTGAATGGCGTCTTTGATGCGCTGTTCGGAATTTTGGTTGAGAATGCCGGCAACGAAGAATACGAAAACTTGATTTTCAACAACCTGGTCACTGTTCTTGGAATTGTTCACGACCGACGGTACAATTTGGGGCCGCTCGTCGACAGCTACGCTGATAGCCAGTTCAACTTCCCCTTCGTCACACCATGCCTCATCCGAAGCTACTTACGCCTCTTGAATGGGGCGACGGATGGCCAGCAATCCCGAAGCCTACGTGCCGCCTTCAAAGTGGGACGTCATCTGCTGAAGTTCATCATCAAGGCCCGTGAACAGCAAAAGGCGAAGGAAGAAGGCATCGGCATCACCAATGTACAATCGACATTTAACAGAGATATGCATACCATCTTCAAGTCGATGGAAACATTGATGAAGAATACCTCGCCGGCTTTGGTGGGCAGCAAAACACTGGTTGTTCAGCACATCCACACTTGGCTCCCCGAACTTTCCAAGGTCCTGAGCCGAGATGAAATGATTATGATCGCATTGAGCTTCATGGATTCATGCAAAGACGTGACAGGCATGTTGATTCTTTATAAGCTGGTTCTCATTCAAAATTATACCCAATTCGAGATGTTCGCCTCAGGCGAAGAAAGAAAAACCCTCATCAACAGCTGTATTGGCTGGCTGGCACCATACTGGGGCTCAACCCCTACCGTCTCGGATCTGTATCGCGATCAGGTGCGCTTGAGCAATTCCATTGTGGCTCAATTGCTCAGTCGGCCTGATCCCCTACTTTATGGTTTCATGCCGAGCATCGTTGCTTCTTACTGTGCCATCTCTGCAGAGGGTGTTGATGAGAGCGAGTATCTGTCTTTGCTTTTCAGCAAGGCGTTCCCATTCCAGATGAAAACTGCAAAGACTCCTCAGAGATTTGATGAGTCCTTGGTCGAACTCTCTGCCCTCATCGCTGCTATATCTAAGATCACGAACCCTAAGCTTCCTTCGTTGAATGAGCTTGAGTTGGCGACTTTTGTCGGGCAGACTTTCGAGGCTCACAATTCAATCTTGGACTGTGAAGCTTATCCAGAGTCTTGGTTCAGCATGCATGTGTACAATCACCGCGCCACCATAAAAAGCCTTGAACATATTGCTCTGTTGTTAATTGACAAGCTCCTCCCGGCACCAGATGATGCCGACACTTTCGATACCAAGCTGTGGGAGTCGTTCTTCACCACCTTGCTCAAGGTTATTTCTAGCGATGTCCTTGCGCTGGAAACCTTCCCCGAGCAGAAGCGCCGGGCTGTGTGGAAAATCGCCGGGGATGTTCGCGAGCAAGGTGCTGATCTGCTGCAGTCTACCTGGGAGGCCATTGGCTGGGAGACCAGTGATGATGAGAGGGAGCGTTTCAATCTTAAAAGATTGGGTGGCTATCAGGTCCAATATGTTCCAGGCTTGGTCCCTCCTATCATCGGCCTGTGTCTCAGTGTGCACGAAGGTTTGCGACATGTTGCTGTTCAGATTTTGCAAACGATGATTCTTAGTGAATGGGATCTGAACCAAGACATCTCCATCATCGAGACGGAGATAATTTCCAGCCTAGATACCCTCTTCAAATCGACGCAGATGAACGAGACTGTCAGCCAGAAGATCTTCATCACTGAACTACTGGATCTCTTCGAGAGTGAGACAATCTCAGATGATCTTTTGGCAAATGCAGTGAGGAGTCTCGTTGGAACGGTCGATGAACTCTTGGATCTGTTGGTGGCTTCGCAAAGCGGAGTCTCTACCTCATCTCTCCAGGCCCTGAAGTTGATGGAATATATGAAGGACATGGGCCGTGAGGATATCTTCATTCGCTACGTTCATGAACTAGCCGAAGCCCAGGCTGCGGCAGGCAACTTCACCGAGGCCGGTCTTGCTCTTCAGTTCCATGCCGACCTCTACGAGTGGGATCTTACCAAGGTTCTGCCAGAGTTGCTTACCCCCACGTTCCCTGCCCAGAATGCCTTTGACCGCAGAGAGGCACTGTACTTCTCCGTCATTCAAAACTTCGAGAATGCCATGGCCTGGGCTCCTGCACTGACTTGCTACAAGGAACTCGCGGCACACTACGAGCACACGACCATGGACTTTGCAAAACTCTCTCGAGCCCAAAGCTCGATGGCTCGAATCTACGATTCCATCGCCAAGGGCGGCAGACAGTTCCCGCGTTACTTCCGTGTCATCTACAAAGGTCTCGGCTTCCCTCTCAGTCTGCGTGATAAGGAGTTCGTCTTCGAGGCAGCGCCGACGGAACGCATGGCTGCGTTTATTGATCGCATGCAGCGCGAACACCCAATCGCGCAGATTATGTCTTCGGGCGAGATCCCTGATTACGAAGGCCAATTCCTGCAGATCAGTGCCGTCAGCGCTTACCGTGACGTGTCTCATCCTGTATACCAGCGGTCCAAGGTGCCATACTCTGTCCGTGAGCATCTGTTGATTTCAGAGCCTTTGCGGTTCTCCTCTACCTCGAGACGTCACACTGGCAGCTCGGATGTGCGTGAGCAGTTTGTCGAGAAGTTCGTCTTCACTGTTTCGGATGCCTTCCCCAATATCCTTCGTCGCAGCGAGATTGTCTCTGCTCAAGAGATTGCTTTGTCGCCTTTGCAGACGGCGATTGAGCGGACGTGGCGCAAGACCCAGGAGCTTCAGCTTCTTGAGCGCCGCGCTGCTTCAGGTGAGGACTCCAGTCTGTCGAACTTGACAGAGGCCCTCGAGCAGCTTCTTGAGCACAGATCCCCGTCATCTAACTGCGTCGCCCTGTACCGCGTGTTCCTCTCCGATGCGGAGATAGCACGGAACAAACGTCTCGAGGAAGTGGACGAAGACGCCGAGGATGTCGAAGAGTCCGAGCCCGAGCCCGTGGACCCAATGGAGACCGCACTCTCTGTTGCCCTGGTCGATCATGCGCTGGCCATCAAACACGCCTTATCTCTTTACCAGCGTCCCGCTCACCAAGCCACCCAAGCCGAGCTCCTCCGACGATTCGAGGACGTCTTCGAGCCCGAGTTGGGCTCCGTCGCCCCCGCCCCAGTCGAATACTCATCCCCAACACCAACCCAAACCGCCCGCCAATCACCCGTCGGCGATGCCCGCCGACTCCCCATCCACCGCACCATCAGCCCCGAACAAGACGTGAATGGTCGCACCGCACACGCGCGCAAACGCTCCGATCGACAATCCGTCAGCCACCGCATCAGCATCATCAACCCTTTCAAACGCCACGGTGGTTCCAACTCCATCTTCACCATCCAGCCGGATAAGACCCAAACGTCCGGCGAAGAAGAGGTCGACGATGACACGGCTACCATCCACAGCCACACTACCAACCACTCTCGTGCCGGTCGCAGCGAAAAACGTCGCAGCTTCTTCGGTGATAAAGGCTACAAGCACGGTTCCTCGCCGTCCGTCGCCCAAGAATCCCAGACTTCCTTGAAGATCCGCAACCCGTCCCAGGATGCCTCGCACAATGGTCGCAGTCGCGGCAGTTCGCAGCACCGACACCCGAGCACGGGTGAGCGAGCTCCTCCCAGCGCTAGTGGTGGGTGGTCGACACTCCCACCCACGCGTGATTATTCCCGACCTGCTACGCGCGACAGCAATCCTGTGACGATGACGACGACCAATGGTACAGCACCTTTGTCGCCGGTCAGTAATCACAGTTCTGGTAATGGCGGTATGCGGGACTCGGTGTTCCGTCGTTTCAGTCTACTCAAGGGGAAGGGGGTTGGGAGGAAAAATAGCCGGATGGATATCAAATCCCTGCCGGAGGAGTAATGTCTCATTCCTTCATTCCTTTTTTTCATTTTCTTTTCTTTTCTTTTCTTTTTTTTTTTGGTCAATCCTTTGAACACCCTTTTCTTTGATATCATTTTATTGTCGACCTTTTGTTATGAATTAGATACCATGTGTTATAATTGTAGTAATTGCACGAATATTTGCATAGATTCAATATCCAACTAAGTTCCGCAGCATACCGGGTATGAGTACGGAGTACCAGTCTCATATAATGTATCAAGCATATATAGTACTATGTACTCGTAACCCAACTACAACCAAAGTGGCACTCGAGTTGCAAACAGGTCCGTGCATTGAAATGAGGTGTGGCAGTGCTGGGCTTGGCATCGGAATGCAGCCAACAAGCATCGCCCATCTGGCTCCAACTGGTGGAGTCAAAAGTGTGATCATCACAGACCCGAGAGCTACTCTGCTGTCCGAAGGCTGTGCCAACTTTCAATTCCACGGAAACGTCCCTTCGTTACGTAGTGGCTTGAAACTATCCCCCCCGCTCATCTGTTTGACTTTTTCTTTACAGTTATGTGTAAGTCTCATATGAAAGTCCTTTCCCCGGATTCTCTTTAACAAAACCAGCAAACCCCAACTTCCGCTCCCAATTCCGAAGCTTCAGCTTTGGTCCCCGTACAGCGACAATGCCACGCAATGGCTCTGTAGATGAGCGCACTGGCCTCCTCCGTGGCTCATTCTCCGGTCTTGCGCCTCATGAGCATGACGGTCCCCATCGGCACCCCAAGGATTCCCGTCTGTGGGTGCAGTGGCCGACGCATGTCGTTCATTTGACCTGGAAGACCCTGGTTCGAGACTATGTCAATCTACTCCTGATTTGTGTCCCGCTGGGCATCGTGGCTGGTGCCCTGGGCTGGGATTCCACGGCAGTGTTCACACTGAATTTCTTTGCCATTATTCCGTTGGCTTCCTTGCTGAGCTTTGCTACGGAGGAATTGGCGGCGACCATGGGTCAGGCCCTGGGTGGCCTGATGAATGCTACTTTTGGAAATGCTGTCGAATTGATCGTAAGTGCTCTCTTCTGTGGAGATGGAGATGTCAATGTCGAAACGATGACAGATGGCAATGGCAATGGCAACGTCGTGTAAGAGATCATGGTTACTAATTCATTATGCCTCTAGGTCAGCATCATCGCATTGAAGGATAACCAGGTGCGCGTGGTACAGGCCAGCATGCTTGGCAGTATTTTGTCGAACATTCTACTTGTGCTGGGCTGTTGTTTCTTCGTTGGTGGATTGCGCTTCCGCGAACAGTCGTTTAACAGCACCGTGGCATCGACCATGTCCTCGCTCATGGCCGTTGCGTCCGCCTCGCTGATCATCCCTGCTACCCTCTACGCCGCTATTTCGAACAACAGCAACTCCGCACCGGGTGATGATGACAACCGTGCTGCTCAGCACAACATTTTGATTCTGTCTCACGGTACCTCGATCATTCTCCTTTTGATCTACGTCATGTACCTCTACTTCCAGCTGCGATCCCACTCTGATCTCTTTGAAGAGACAAACGGCAGCGATGCCGAGACCGGTGCTGCGGATGAAGAAGAGGAAGAAGAGGAAGAGCGCATTCTCAGCCCCTGGGCTGCAACAGTTGCGCTGGTCGTCGTTACCATTCTCGTCTCAATCTGCGCGGACTACCTTGTCGGCAGCATTGACAGCATCGTCGAAAAGACCGGCATGAGCAAGACCTTCATTGGTCTGGTGTTGATTCCCATCGTCGGCAACGCTGCGGAGCATGTGACTGCCGTGGTTGTTGCGTACAAGGACAAGATGGATCTGGCAATTGGTGTTGCAATTGGTAGCAGCTTGCAGATTGCGCTCTTTGTCACTCCCTTCCTGGTCATTCTGGGATGGATCATCAACATCCCAATGACTTTGCACTTCCAAACTTTCGAGACAGTCGCCTTCTTCATCTCTGGCTTGGTGGTTACACTGCTCATTCAGGATGGAAAATCCAATTATCTGGAGGGCGGCATGTGTCTCGGCATGTATATTATTCTTGCCCTGGCGTTCTACGTCTACCCCGATAACGTGGTCAACTAAGCTGGTCTTGGGAATATCAAGGTTTGGGTGGTCTCTCTTGGATTTTTGGTCCGGTGTGCGGTTTCTCTTTTGTATCTTTTTGGACGGTTGTCTATATTCAAAATTACTTGTGTTTTTAGTCTGCAATATCTTGCGAGTGGTGATACCTCAATCGTTTTACTGAGAAGCAGATATATTCTCGGAATGTTATGCACTCCATAATAAGGTGCTACCAGTGGGAAAACCAGCTTTACCGCATATCGGTATTCAGACTGCAATGTGGATGTCCTGCACTCGAAAATTCGTAAGTGATTGGCCATGTGGTCACTGAGTACCTAGATCTGGAGGTGCTAGTGAATTCCAGAACTGGAATGGTCCTGTAGTCTCTCAAGAAACATAGGCCAGTTTACAGGCAGTCTCTTCGGGATGAGTTCCACCTATTGCACACTGCCCAGTGGGTGGTATTCTGGAACTAAGTAGCTGATATGTTAACATAGTTCTAGGTGAATCCTTAAGGTGAGTTTCGAGGAATGTTTGTCTGAACCGTGATCTTATACTCCTGATAAATCGCCGAACGTCAAATATCGGGCTTTATATTGGCAGCTGCTCAAGTGCGGGGTACGGCCAACATTTCGAGAGCCCTAAGGTCTCAGGGCTCCAGGGCTACTGTCTTAACGTCCCATTCGTGCATAACCTTGGAAGTGATGCACGATGATTCATCTGAACAATCCGGCTTGGAGCTCATGACTTCACTTTGAAATGCTTGGCACGATGACTCAGCATTAATTTTGCTCAAACCTCCAATCGACACCTCCGACTCCGATAATTACATTGCGGCTTATTTACACCATTCGCCATAATGACACCTCGTCTTAACCTATTCACGGCCAGAGCCGCCTCTGCTCTGCGTCAATCCACTACCCCCGCGCTCGCTTCCCGCAGCATTGCCAGCCCTGCTCGATTCCGCGCCATCCAACCTATTCAATGCCGATGGAACTCTTCGCGCGATGGCTCAAAGAAGGTCGAGCCCCAGCCTGATGAGCAGAACTTCCCGACCTCCGACCAGCTGCCCGATGTTAGCGAGGAAGCCAACGAGATCTCTCGGATCATGGATAAGGAAAAGCGGTGCGACGGTGTTCCGTCCACCCCAGAGTTGGATCAGGGCTCACCGGTCGAGGAGGTGAGACATAGAATGCAATGGCGCTAGACTTGGTGTCAGGGAAATTATTGAACCGTCGCTAATACAGGCGGAATAGATTCTCAGCCGCGATAAGCAAGCCATGAAGCACATGCCCAAGGTCATGCAAGACGAACTGAAGAAGTCGGGCAAACGCTCATTCTCTACTTCAGCCCGAAGCCGCATGCCTGAGGTCGACGGTGTGGTACCAAATGCCGACGGCCCCAGTGCCGAGGCCGCTGCTGCTCTTGCCGACATGATTAGACAGGCGCAAGCGCCGGTCGTTGAAGAGAACCCCGGCTTGAAGTTCGACGAGCCCGTCGTTCCCCAAAATGTCAAGACATTGAACTACCGCAACAGATACGATACTCTGCAGGAACAGTTCACCAAGCTGATGATGATGGATGGAAAGCTGACCAAGGCCCAAAAGGTATGGATTTGGTTTCACTTGACATGCTGGACATCTTCTAATTATTCTAGAATATGGGCATTATCCTGGAGCACCTCCGCACCTCCGCACCTCCCCAGATGAACCCCAGACGCCCTCTCCTCGATGCTCCTCCGGCCTCTCAGATGCCCCTCGACCCCGTCAACTACCTCACTGTTGTGGTCGACTCCGTGGCCCCTCTGTTCCGAATTCGTCAGCAGAAGGGTATCGCTGGTGGTGGTGCTGCCGTGCAGATTCCCATGCCACTTAACCTGCGCCAGCGTCGCCGTACCGCGATTCGCTGGATCATCGATGGATCTGCCAAGCGTCGTGACACGTCGTTTTCGCGACGTGTTGCCGCCGAGATTGTGGCGGTTGCTGAGGGCCGTAGCGGTGTCTGGGAAAAGCGAGACCAGCAGCACAAGATTGGTATCTCTGGTCGTGCTAACTTGAGCACCCCCATGCGTCGCTAGTGTGTAATTCTTCATGGGTGTTGGGTTTTGTTTATGAGCACTTTTTTGCATTTGTACATTAGTTGGTCCAATCTAATAGATTTTGACTTCATTTTCTATACTGAACAGAGTTTTCTGTATGAAATAACCCAACAATTGAGGTTGATGTTGTTTCACATGCCCCTGATATATACCCCGTAGCGTAGCCCTGAAGGTGTTAGCTGCTTACTCCGTTTCATCTTATTGGGGGCCACCTAAGCCAACCTTAGTTGGACATGCATGAAACCTCCGATATACTAAGTTTCTCTCCTACAACTTAGATTATTATTTCTGCGACACTTAAACTCGAAGCTCCTTCGTGTTGAATGCAAAAGATTACTAAGCTTTTCCGCATCGAGAAAACGGTCCCTGAGGTCATCGCGAGAAAACCCCAAGACGCTCGTTTCCTGTTTCTTCAACGCCTCAGGGTGAATCTCAGCTATCGGGACAACCTCCAATCGGTGGCACGCCAGTGTGTTCAGTTGTTGCCAGCCTGACCATCCAGTGCAACCCACGATCGCAGCTGACCCGGACTTGGCTCTTCGTCCCCGCACACCCGTGGACCTTTTCCGGCCTTGCTCCTCCCTTCACTCGAATGATATAGGCCGATCCTCCTCCGGCCTCCCCTTCTTCGACGGTGGCTCCCCCGCGTTCTGATTCCATCGAACTAGTCGAGTACCATACCTCCCGCCGAACTTCAAGCGCACGTGGGCCTGACTGCGTCGAACGGACACGAGCTAGCGCTAAGCCTTTCACACCGGCAGCCAATTCGCAGTCGCTTGCCGGTCTTCATACTCTTACTAGTGAGGGGTCTGCGCAAGAGAAGCTAGCGCCAAATCGCCTTAGGGCTTCTCGTCTTAGGTTCTGGGCTGAGGCCCTTCGACGCCGCGCTCTCAACTCCGGGAACTCAGATTCGGAACCTGCCAAGATGAAGTTTTCACATAGTGTGCAGTTCAACGCTGTGCCAGATTGGAGCTCCAACTATATCGCGTATAGCAACCTAAAGAAATTGTGAGTCCGACTTTTGACGTCGCAGAGCCCAGGATCTGTTTGGTGTCACATTGCACGAGATGCGTGGACCGCGGTGAATTGTTTTCAGGCTAATATCGCGTGACTAGGATCTACACGCTTGAAAAACAAGTCAATAGTACCGAGGGCCAATCCACCACCGATGTCGAGTCTGCACCGCTACTGGGTGCCCAAATCAGCAACCCAGATGCAGTCTTCAAGCGCGCTCTCGATGCAGAGATGGATAAGATCTGTACCTTCTTCCAGAAGAAGCAGGCGGAGATTTTCGAACTCGCCGAGGAGCTTTCGCAGGATGCTCATGTCTACCTCTCCCAGACCGACGGTGTCAACATGGACCCTGTCAGTGAAACAATCATCAAGGCTAGCTCCCGTCGAGGTGATGGGCCCCCAGGCCCGCGTCGGCGATCTAGTGGCGTCAGCAATGATTCCATGGCCGACGACGAGGAAGGGTTTAGTGACGACGACCGGTCGACCACCCTCCCCCAGCGTCGGCGGCTGATGCAGTCGACAGATGGTGAATCTGGCACAGACGACCCGCACGGTGACCTCGCAGACTCCTCATTCTTCGGGCAACCGGCCGGGTCTGATATGCATGGATCCTACCTGAACGACGAGGACTTTCTCGCTCTGTATAACACCGGCATTTCGTTGAAGAAGCGCCTGATTGAGGGCTACGTCTCGCTCTGCGAGCTTCGGTCCTTTATTGAGTTGAACAAGACTGGCTTCGCTAAAGCTTTGAAGAAATACGACAAGACCTTGTACCGCAACTTGCGTCGTGACTACCTGGCCTCCGTGGTCCACCCCGCGGCGCCGTTCGTCGAAAGTACTATGGCTGGGGTCGATAGTAATATCGAGAATATTGAGGGTGTCTACGCGGCTATTGTCACCAAGGGTAATAGGCAGCTAGCCAGGCGCGAGCTACGTCTGCATCTGCGTGAGCACGTTGTGTGGGAGCGAAACACTGTTTGGCGTGAGATGATCGAGATCGAGCGACGTGCACAGGCTGCAAATGTTGGTATTCGTCGGACCCTCCTGGGTGGCGATGAGGATCCGGCCACTGCACGACGCCAGGGCGATAAAAATGAGATTCGTACCCAGGAAATCTCAACGCCTCTTGGTCGGTTCCAATTCCCCCTATGGTTTTGCAGCTTAAGCTTTGGCACGTTGGTTCTTAGTGTCGCCGTTTTCGGTGCTTTGCTCTCCATGCAGACCATGGAAACCCCCGAGCAGCAGAACTGCTTGGCCATGCTGGTCCTTGTTAGTATACTATGGGCCACAGAGGTAAGTCGTACCATTGGACTGGATTCTTTGTTTCTCAATGCTAACTTTGACCCCTAGGCGATCCCACTGTTCGTAACCTCACTCCTGATTCCATTTTTGGTTGTCACACTAGGCATCATGAGGTCAGACGATGAGCACCACAAGCGACTTGGACCCAAGGAGTCCGTGGGTATGGTATTCGCGGCAATGTGGACCCCCGTGATCATGCTCCTCCTTGGTGGTTTCACCATTGCAGCAGCACTATCCAAGTACGATATCGCCCGGCGCATGGCCATGTTTGTGCTCAGCAAAGCCGGTTCGAAGCCGTCGACTGTCCTGCTCACTAACATGTTCGTGAGTATGTTCCTGAGCATGTGGATCAGTAACGTTGCATCTCCGGTGCTCTGCTACTCGATCATCCAACCTTTGCTGCGCAACATGCCCCCAGAGTCGGACTTCGCCAAGGCTCTCGTGCTCGGTATCGCCCTGGCCGCCAATGTCGGTGGTGCGGCATCCCCAATTGCCTCCCCTCAGAACATCATCGCTCTGCAGAACATGTTCCCAAACATTAGCTGGGGCACATGGTTCTTCATTTCATTGCCAGTCTGCATCATTTCAATCCTGCTGATCTGGGCCTTGCTTCTGGCGACGTTCCGTCCCGGCCGCAATGCCACCGTTATTCCTATCCGCCCGGTCAAGGATCGATGGACTGGTATGCAATATTTCATTAGTATCGTCACTATTGTGACCATTGCTCTGTGGTGTGCTAGTCACCAACTAGAACACGTCTTCGGTGACATGGGTGTCATTGCCATTATTCCTCTTGTCATTTTCTTCGGAACGGGTATTCTCAACAAGGAAGACTTCAACAACTTTTTATGGACGATCATCATCCTCGCCGCCGGTGGACTATGCCTGGGCAAGGCAGTCACTTCCTCCGGTCTTCTGCATACTATTGCCGCCGACATCACCACCCGTGTCGAGCATCTCAGTTTGTACGGCGTATTGTTGGTTTTCAGCGCTCTGATCCTCGTCATCGCCTCTTTCATCTCCCACACCGTCGCTGCTCTCATCATCCTGCCTCTCGTCCGCCAAATTGGCGTCAACATGGAAGATCCTCACCCCAACCTTTTGGTCATGGCCAGCGCCTTGATGTGCTCCGTCGCTATGGCTCTGCCCACTAGTGGCTTCCCTAATATGAGTGAGTTTCCCTCGCTACAATCTTGACCCTTGTTCCTTGCTAACCATGTCTCCTAGCTGCCATTATGACCGAGGTTCCCCAGACAGGCCAGCGGTATCTCCAGGTCCGCCATTTCCTTACTCGCGGTATTCCATCCAGTCTGATGGCCTTTGCTGTGATCGTCACGCTTGGCTATGGATTGATGTGGGTCGCAGGGTTATAGATGCAGATAACTTTGCCTTGTTGAAAAAAGTTTTTCATTTCTCGTCTCAAAGAGAAGGGCAGGGCTGCTCGTTTTTGTTTTCAGTCTTCGTTTATATCTGTTTTCCCACGAGCGTTCTTGAATTTCCACATGTATTCAAACCGCAATGATCTGCAAATACAATAGATTGGGGAATGTTTGGTTGAAGAAATCACGGATTCCCGTCAGAGTTAGATGTTGGACATCATGCCGTAGAGCCCTCGGGCAATTTACAAGCTAAAACCCTGACTCTCGCACCTGTCGAACCTAAAATTACAGGGTCAGTGCTCTTTTCATCCGAACAATGAAACACAAGACCAATGCTGTGTGACTAGCTAGACCTCTCCAATGCATGACACAGACAGTTCAATGCGGAAGTTTATTAATTGATATCTCCCAGCTACTTCCAAGACGAAAGTACTATACACAGCGAGACGGATCTAGGGAAATGAAACCCGTATCAATAAATATGTATCACCATAAACCATAACTCATTGGTCCCATGCAAAGCGTAGATAGAACCGATATAAATACTCCAGAGATTAATTACTGCATGATTGTTAGCATTGCTCACTCTCCAAAGTTAGGATATATGGGATATACTCACAGCAACCCAATCGTCAAATCACCATGAATCTTCGCCTTGAGCTGAACCTCAATATCCAAATTGAGGTCCAGTCGCAAACGCAGCTGCTCATCCCGACCTCCATCGTCGTCTTCCTTCTTGTCTTGGCCACCGCCTAGGATTCCACCTACGGCTTTACCCGCACTGCCGGTTGCGCCGTTGAGCGCATTACCCGCTGTGTTTTGTACGAGCTGGCCGGCTTGGTCGACGCCACCGACACCGGGAAGGCCGCCTAGAGGACTGCCATCTTGTTGTTGCTTGGGCTGGCGCTGGCGGCGGACGCGACGTTGAGGCTTTTCGTCTTCCATTTGGATTGATTCGACGTCTGATTCTTGACGACGGGGTTTACGTCGACGACGTTCAGGCTTGGGTTGAGGTTGGGGTTGGGGTTCGGGCTCTTTTTGTTCGGGCTCGGAGTCTGGCTCTTGTGCTTTGGGCTCGGACTCGGGCTCGGGCTCGGGCTTTTGTTCTGGCTCTTCTTTTTGCTCTTCTTGTTGCTCTTCAGGCTTGGGGTCGGAGGTATTTTCTTGACTGTCGTCTTTTTGTTCCTCTTGTCCTTGTTCAGAGGCGGGAGGGGTCTGCTCTTGTTTGGCAGGGGACTTCTTGCCTAGCTTAGGAGGGGCACGCTTTGGCTTAGGAGAATCGGGGTTAGGAGTAGAAGGTTGTTCCTGATCGGCCATGGTGGAAAGAAAAGAAAAGAAGAAGGTTGTTCAGAGGGGGGTGGTGAGGGGAATATGAACTGATTCGAGTAGAATGGACCGAGCGTCACCAGGTGGGCGAAAGGGAACTACTATGTAATTGTGCGTATTGGTATATGGATGCAGATACCGACTGAATGGGCACTCTCTTGTCCAACCGTTTATATCACCAGAGGAGCCACCGGGTCTGATTCAAACCGGTCGTGGTAGATGAGTCTAGCCGCCTCCGACGTCAGATGGGCTGTCAGAGTGGGCTACCCCAGGCCGTGTCCAGGTCTAACGTGGTTGTCCAGGTACGCAATGGCGGACAGCTAGGCGAGCATGGAGGCAGGAAATGACGTCTGTTCTACCTGGGGACCGGGATCAGGCTGGAACACATCCGTATGGAGCAATGAGCAGCTGAATTGACAGGGAATCAGCGCTAAACGGAGATGCAAAACCCTGGGAAAAAATAGCATGGCCCCGCATCAGTTGCACGCGCCAATCAGACTGGAATTTCGGTGAATTTGACGCATGGACGTGCTCCACTTAAATAGATTAAGTAGACGTAAGACCGTTGCAGGCTTCGTCTCACGGAGATGGCATGACGCCACACGACGTCAAGAGATGTCTGCAGATGATTGTTTGTGGGATATTCTCGTAGATTGTACGATGTACGATGTAGTAGATATGTTGACAAAATACTCGTAGACAGACTGCCTCAATGCCTGTGAAGTTCCAGGGCAATTAAACGTGCCCAGTTCCAAGTTTTCGGAGACTGGTTCTGGCCACGAGTCTGAAGCTGTTTCCACGGATTCGAAATTTGGGAGTAGCGAATAAGAAGTGACCAGTAGTACTTAGTATAATCCCGTCTATTCTCCGGGGCCGTGACCTGGCACATATTGGCAGGTCTGGAAGTTCATTGTGACGCGGGGAGTAGACCAGCCGCCAACGTCATGTCATTTACTCTATTATATGCAATATCATTTTCTTGCTTTTTGTCTAGTTTAATCGTGACGATTTCCTTTTCTATTTTTATAGTATTGACTTTTCTCTCTCAAATCCCGTTTCTGTTCCATATACCCTATATACCCTCTATACCCTTTGAACCTCCCCACCCGATACCTCTTACTCCATAATCTAGCGGACCATGGCGACCATCGAAAAGACCAAAGAGCAGCCCAAGAAGCTCCCCGTCCAGGATGACCTCTCGGACGGCGAAGACTATGACAGCGCCGATGATTATACCGATGAGGAGTCAGAAGAGGAAATCCCCCAAGCCCAGAAGAAAAAGCAGCTCCAAAGGCGGAAACAGCCTGTCCAGCAAGATGATGACGACGAATACACCGACGAAGATGACTATGATGAATATGACTATTCGGACGACAGTGGCGACGACGCCATGCAACCCTATTCCAAACAAAACTCAAGCTTCAAGCCCAACGGTGGGATGGATGTCCTCCACAAGGAGGAGCCGTCAATGCTGGATCAGGAGGGCATGAAGCTGAGGTTGGAACTCAACCTGGAGATCGAGGTGGAATTGAAGGCACGCATTCACGGCGATCTTACCTTGGCTCTCATGTAAGTTGGCCTCGAGGCAAGAAACCCCCCTCCCACTTCCCTTCGGTAGTCTTGGACTCTCGCTCAACCGAATTAGGAGTTGATCGCATTTTATCAACAACAGGGCTTGAAACCCTTTTCCTCCTCACGAACATTCGACGTCGTCATGATCCGATCTTTTTTCATAGAGCCATGTCTTGAATAATTGTTTTGTTGGGCGGTTTTGGGCCGAGACATCATGTTATGTATATTCTCTTGGAAAATCAAAGTAATATTCCCCAGCTGATGTTGGCATGGAGTACGAGTACTTCGCACTAGTTCGTAGCGTACGTTGGTGATAATCCGGAAGCCAAGCGAAGAGCAAACCCGTGAAGCCGAGGCTTGGCGCGGGCCCGTTTACTTCCACTTTCAATTGTCAGTGTCACCTTGATCCTGTCGCGCCAGCTCATTGTACCAATTATACAAATCACAACTGCTCAATCTCTCTCTCTCCCTCTTTCTTACTATATTTCTTTCTTTCTTTCTTGTTTCTTGCACATCACTCTCATCTGACTCCACCATGTCTTCCAAAGACTTTATCATCAAGCATATGAATGCGGACCACCAAGATTCCCTCGTGCTATTCCTCCGAGCTTACTGCGGCATCACCTCCTCGCAAGCCAAATCCGCCAAGCTGGAAGACATCAATCTGACGAACCTGATCATCACCGCCCACGGCACCCGGTACAGCGCCCCGATCGAACCCCCAATGAAGAACTACTCCGAGGCCCGCAGCCGCATGGTCGCAATGCACAAGGAGAGCTTGCGACGTCTCGGCCGTAGCGACATCACACTCACCGAATATCGTGCTCCACGCGGTTTTCCGGTAGTGGTCTTCGGCTTGTGCCTCTTCTTCTACGTCAGCTGCTTCCAACGCAGTAACCTGCTGCCGGGCTCGTTCGTCTACGAGTACTTCGGATACAAGTTTGTGCCGGACTTGGCGCACTTTTTCTACAATATCCAGCCGTGGTTCTTTCCCTTGGTCGTAGGTATCCATGTCTTCGAGACCGTGCTGTTGATCGTCACCCAATTGAGACCGCTGGGTGTCCCGGTTCTCTCGGCGCTGTGGTGCAAGTGGGTTGCTTCGTGTCTCGTGGAAGGGTTCGATACATTCCAGCGCATCAAACAGATCGTTCAAGAGGAGAGGGAAAAGAAGGGCAAGAGTCAATAGAGACTGGACGAGGAATTAGATGTTATGGGCTGGTCGGTCCATCGCAATAGAACATTTCGATGCTGATCTCTCGTCGTGGAATGAATTGAACATGGAGGCCATTGACAATACCAATGCTTTGCAAAATAGTAGAAAGCCGGGAACACCCCGTTCTGAAGTGGTAAAGACGGGTGCGCATTGCGCCCATGGATATCAGATTTGTCCGACACGTGACATGAGTCAGCAATGCCGATCACCTGATCCATTCCGAGACTGGATCCGCTAATCCTAATACGGCCTAGTGTCAGTTAGGGCATCGCACAAGCGAGCGACACAGTGCGCCTGCGAAATTCAGCGACTCCACGACCTCAAACTCGCACGACAACCCTACGACAACTTATCCGCGTTTCTGGTGAAGGGTAGCATACACAGAGGTGAGTTATCGGCTGTCTCATTCCTGCAAGGTTATTCTCGACAAGAATTCTGTTTCGCTCGCGTCGCCCTCAATCTCGATCTTCTCGACTTTCGATATCCATTGCATCAATTCGGTCAACATATCACCAACCTCAACCCGATCCCACTTCGCCTTGGGAAAAAGTCTTCAACTGTCTACCAGCACTGTCGCCTGTCTGTCCGGTCCTCGAAGATATCGATTGTGTGCGGCACTCGCGACGAAACAGAAGGATTGAAAGAAAAAAAACTTGGGATCCACAATCGGCAATATCTAACGTTCATCTTCCAACATAGACCCCTCCATCAACCGCAAATATGGGTATTTCTCGGGATTCTCGCCACAAGCGCAGCGCCACTGGTGCCAAGCGCGCTCACTACCGCAAGAAGAGGTACGATTCAGCCCATCAGATCTGATTTTTTTACCCCTTCTGTGTCACACCGAGGATTCGCAACAAGTCGAGACAATATTCTTACACATTGTTCTACAGAGCGTTCGAGAAGGGTCGCCAGCCCGCCAACACCCGTATCGGTGCCAAGCGTATCCACCTTGTCCGCACCCGTGGTGGTAACCAGAAGTTCCGTGGTCTCCGTCTTGACTCCGGCAACTTCTCCTGGGGCTCCGAGGGTATCTCCCGCAAGACCCGTGTCATCGGAGTGTCCTTCCACCCCTCCAACAACGAGCTGGTCCGCACAAACACCCTGACCAAGTCCGCCGTTGTCCAGATCGATGCTGCTCCTTTCCGTCAGTGGTACGAGGCCCACTACGGCCAGCCCATCGGCCGTAGACGCCAGCAGAAGACCGACGTTCCCGAGGAGAAGAAGTCCGCTTCCGTCGCCAAGAAGCAGGCTGCTCGCTTCGCTGAGTTCGGCAAGGCCGAGGGTGCTATCGAGCGTCAGTTCGAGTCCGGTCGTCTTTTCGCCGTTGTCGCTTCCCGCCCCGGCCAGTCTGGCCGCTGTGACGGTTACATTCTGGAGGGTGAGGAGCTTGCTTTCTACCAGAAGGCTATCCGCAAGTAAACGATAAAATAAAATATTCGGTTGTTGCAACGGGTGGATCGGAGTTTCAGCTATGTCATGATCAGGGCATCCTAGAGATGCAAATTGTCTGTAGAGCTCTGAGCCATCAATCCATGGGATATGTTCCTAGTTCATCTGTTCTATCTCTTCCCGCGTAGTGCTCATGTGTAGCAGTATTCATGGGTCTTCCCAGTTTATCAGCACATCTTCCACTTGGGCAGCATCTATGGAACATCATCTAATTGCACCTGGGCAGCACCACTACGTAAAACTCCTTAAACTCTAGGTTTGGCCAAGCCCTCGGGGCTCCTTCGCAGTCTTCTTGGCACATTGTACTTCGTACTCTTCTAAGATTATACTTGAGTGCTTCCGGGCCTCTCTTGGTTTTGCACCTGGGCAGACGTGCTTAGTATTTAAGTGCCCAGCAACTTTACTTAAGTAGAACCTCCTAAGTTTCAAACACCTGGACATGACTACTGATTCGTATATGTAAAGTAGGACATTTCGATGTGTTGTATATGCCTTTAAATGATTGCCCCGAAATTTTTTAAATATATATCTCGTTGACCTTCCAACTTCATATCCTTAATGCAGACTTTAGGGGACCTAATGTTTGGGGGGAAAAGCTAGCAACGGAACATACTCAAGTATTTCAGTTGACGGGTAAGTATATACATAACCGAGCAAACGATGCACCATGTTAAAACAAAAGCTTAAACCAGTATCCATAGCTCAGAATGTTGATGCGGTTTACTTACCAGCCAGTGGAAGTTCCAAATCAACAACCCAAGGCGCATTCCTCGCCTCATACCTCACCGTGTTGATACTAGCATTGACGAATAACGTCTCATCTCCAAACCGCAACGGCCTGCCCGCCTCTTCACTCAGATCATAATATGCTGACCGATTCTCCAGCATATCCTCAATATCAGTAGGCACATCTTCTAGCTTTAGCCCATCTCCACCCCACACACCCCGTTGCGCACCCCATCCTTCATGAATATGGCCAAAGAGATGAATGCGAGGTTTCGCCCGTCCCGCAGCTCGAAGCAGATGCTCACAACCCACATTCATGTCCGGCGGGACTTGATCTAGGATTCCAAGCGGAGGCCCATGAGTCAATAAGATATCAACGTTCGGAAAATCTGGAATCGGGTTCACTGCCAGACCAGGATTGTAGCGATCTTCATCCCGCTCGTAGCCAAATGCCCAACGGCAAAATTCCGGCTGAAAAGGGGACGCGTAGACAGTGAACGACGCACCCGTCGACAGAGTAAATGAATGGACTCCTTCTTCAAGGTACACGATTCCGGCCTTCCGGGCAGCTTCACACGTCCAAAGGTCCTTGATTGAGCGGGCATATGATTGCAGCTGCTCTATGGATGGTTGACGGTTTTCATCGATGTGGTCGTCATATAGTAAGATGGATTCACCGCCTAGGTTCTCTGGTTGCAGGTGTCGGTTGTAACCGAACGACGTGAAGTATTCCTCGTCTAGGGTTATGTCGTGGTTGCCGGCGATGACGAGCTTGAGCTCTGCGTCTGCATCTTTGAGCATTTCAATCATGGCCTCATTCTCGACACGGTAGCCGACCTTTGTTAGGTCGCCGGCGTGTAGAAGGATGTTGGCTTTTGGTAGTGGAGATCGGTAGGCATTGTCGGTTTTATGTGGTGGATTTGGAGTGCTGGTATGGGTGTCTGATATCATACAAATGCGGGTTTTGACCATGTTGCTCAGGTGAGATGAAAGGCGATCTCTCTTAGACCAGATAAACCTCGATCTTGTTCAAGTCGAGAAGACTGTAGGAGATGACGTTGGGGGTCGGAGGTAGTTCCCCGCTATAAAACGGGCAAGAGATACACTGCAAAGCGTTCGGTGCAGTTTACCTACTTTTATTGCCAAGGTGGATCGAAGAGAATTTGATGCGAAAAAGCAATGATTCTGAGTTTAGTATAAGTAGGGTATGATAGAGTATGAAATTGTTTAGTTGAGAGCTCAATTGCACCAAATTCTAACCTAGTCCTAGTCATTTCGTTGATCTATGTACCGCAAGTCAATAAACTACTGAGAATCACCACGAAAATAAACGGGCATAGGTAACAAAAAGAAACAAAAGCTAGATCCAAAACTTGCCTCCAACTCCAATACTGTAAATCAACGCATAATTCTACAGCGCTCAGGGAGCACCTCCAAGACCGGCGGCAAAAGCGAGGTACCAGGTACGTGTCGCGCCACCATCAATCCAACTGTAATCAAAGTCTGGCTGGGTAAAGAATTCCCAGGAGGCCTTGGGATCGATCAAGGCAAGATTGGCATAGAGGACGCCTCTCCATCCACCCTCGACCTTGGACGCAGGCGTGGAGGCATTTTCGGCGAACATGGCCTCCCACTCCTGACGGACAAACTCCTTTCCGCGCGCGTAAGGAGTGTGGGGCATTAGAGGGAGCATGTGGATACTGTGGAACCTGTGAGTATGTTTACCGAATGGGATGCGGGAATGTCTTACCCTTGAACGAATTCCAGGTTGGCGCCGAAGTAGGTGGTGTGGTCGACTTTATTCTCGAAGAGCTTTTCTGTGTTAGGATATGCTTTCTGGAGGGAGGCTAAAACTTACAATGCCGGTGACCCGGTTAGCGATGAAGTTGGGGGGATGGTTGATGTTGTCGTCTTCCAGGAGGAAGTAGTTCTTCAGCGACCGTCCCAGGATACCAAGCATCAGGTTGCCGCGAGCTTCCATACTGGCATCACCAGATGTTTGACCCCACATCTTGATCGCGTACGCAAACATGGTGTCTTCCGATGAGGACTCTTGGTCCTTTCCATCAAAGGACTCAAATAGACCCTTGGCCCAGGAGTGGCCGTTGTACCAATCAAAGCCACGGGAGAAGGGGAAAAAGGCATCGTTCTCAATAGAGTTGCTGGCATCGCGGACAAGCACATTGACCCATTCCTTATTGGCAGACAACCATGATTGGTCAAGAGCACCAATGATGGCAGCGGCTTGAATGAAGTAGCCGTAATGGAAGTGGTGGTCGTTGTATGCGGTGTTTCCAAAGTCTTGGTTTAAGTCACCATTGTAGCCCGCGGTGGAAACAACTCCCTTCCAAACGGTATCGTATGCAAGAGGGTACTGCTGCTTGTTATCTACAAAGTGAGCGAATGCTTTCTTCAGCTCTTGGAAGGCATGGGTGGCTAGGTCGACATTGTTACCGAGCTGGTTCACGGTGTACACCAAGGTGGCGAACTTGCTCAGGGCCTTGCCGCTGTAGTACATGCTGTTCAGATCTGTCTGTTCGGAGATGTTTTGCTTCAACTCATGTGGAGCATACTGAAGGATTGCATGCTGGGCAGCGGGAGATAGTCCATGACCGCTGCCGTGAGTGGGTGACCAAGGGGCGAATCCAATATCAACAGGGAGCTTAGGCTCAACCAAAGTCCAGCTCTCTCCAATGACAGCAGTTGAGTTACCTTTCGTGGTGGTACGGAGGTGAATATCGGTGACGCGACCTTGAGTGGCTTTGTCAAAGGACTGAACGTGATGAGGCAATGCAAACATCAACAGAGGAGTGTTCTTGACATCCTTTCCAGCCTTGGTCCATGAAAGGCTATAGCTGCCAACATTATTGGTGACAGAGCCAGAGATGTGGCCAGCCACGGGGTAAACACCACACGAGTTGTCGTAGAACTTTTCGCCAGAAATACCAGCGGGGTTCTTCGCAACCTGGATAGTTCCAGAGTAGCCGTGAGGACCGCGAAGATTGATTTTCGACACAAGCTTGAATTTTGGGTCCTTGCCATCAGCCGGAGCGGCATACATGAGCCAGGTGGTATCGTCCTCGAGCTCAACCTTGTACTTGAAAATTCCCGGTCGAGGGGAGCCGGCATTCACGACCTTGCGGAAGAACACGCCACTCTCGATTGTAGGCTGCAAGTCCTTGTAAATAGCAGTAGTGAAGCCCATACCTTGCACAACAGGGAAAGAGATCTGCTGTGCGGAACCAGCAGATTTCTTGATAACCGCGTGGGCCGAGAAAGCCTTGGGTTGTTCCGTCTTCAGCACACTGGACTTGCCCAATTCACTAGCAGAGAAGATGATCTGTTGAAGGCCCACGGGGTTGATGTAGTACTGGACGGGATGTCCAGGGATCTTATCGTTCTTAGGACCCCATGCAAGCATGTCAGAAGGGATGTGAGTAATGCCCATACCCCAGCTCTTCAGGGAGCCAGCGCCCTTGGACCATGCGAGAGAGTAAGGCTGTGTAAAACTGGCATTAGTTTGAGTTCCCAAGAAGAATCCAGCGTAGAACTTGTTAGTCTCAATTGGATCTTTCGAGTCGGCCTAAGTCGCGAGGTTAATACCATCCTTCAATATTCCTGCCACTTTGAGGACATCTTACATGCTCATTCTGGACGGGGTGATCACCCCGAGACTGAATGCTTGCCGGAACAGGCCCAGTTGCAACTGGCTGAAATGCATCTTGGCCGTTCATATTCTTGGGAGTACCTGGCTTGATTGGAGGTGGAGGGTCGATAGGATGTGGGTCTACAAACCGTCAGAATTTCCTGCTGTTTCGTCTTCTGTCAAGAATGAATTACCTGTCGCGGAAGTAGCTTCGGGCTCAGGACCGCCTTCCGGGGAGTTTTTGATAGTCACAGTGGTATGAACTGGAGCCGGGTCAGGCTGTTTGCCTGAAGTTGGCTTACCTGCGGCAGTAGGTGCCGGCGAGGGTTTTGTTTGCGGATCTGGCGCTATCAACCCTTCTAGACCATGGACAAAGTTGCCCACGTCTAGCTCTGGGAAAGGAAGCTGAGATGACCGGCCTTCCCTTTGCAGTTCAAATCGATATACCTGATACCGTCAACATGATCTTTCAAAAGAGTGAATAGCTGATCCCAAAGGACCTACCGGATGAGACTCTGGAATCAAGACTCTGTCTTCCTTGTTCGACGGTGGATATTGAGTGACAAACGCACCCGTCTCCTCAGTGGTGGTCTTGTGCAGTATGCTTTCCACTGCAGTTCCCACCTGCGGCAGACAGTGGGCAGATTCTGCAGCTAGAAGCCAAGTCAGCAAAGCTGTGGCCTTCCATTTTGAGCCTGCCATGATGCACTAGTGATCACCAAGGGTGAACCGAACACAAGATGGTGGAAGTGCAAGGCTTTCCTCAATCCAATCCAGTTGGATGCGATCACTTGTGAGGAAGAATCGACTTTGGGATAGATGGCAAGCCAATGTTGACAGAGTACTCGAGAGTACTTCCGACCATGGGAATATCGGACTTACAAGTACGTACAGCGAATTCCAGGAGACGCCCTGAACCCCTCGGAGCTCAAGCACTGAGTGCCAAATTGGGACAACAGACGGGCCAATGTGTTGTGACTCGTCTTTCCCAAGAATCCGCTAGTTCCTGATCTTCATTGAAATTAGTGGTTTTCCATCTCAACTAGGGAACGGGGAAGAATGATCCGGGGTGTCGGATACATCGCGGTTCAGCAATGTAGGGTGTAAAACATCGCGTTGTCCCCACCGTTAAAAATGCGGGTGTCAGCCTAGCAACCATGCACTCACCTTGGGTTTTAGCAAACTCGAGCCTTGGAAACAGTAGGAATCAGGCAAAGGTCTGGTGAATTCGAAGAGAAAATTTACTCAAGTACTAAGTAGCGTCGGTACTAAAGTGTCAGGGGATCGGCCTAGGGAGAAGAGTCTACAGCATATATATCCGAGAATAACCTCCAGGGTCAACTTTAGAAGTAGTCACACCCTCAACTTTAGAACCCCGGAAGTTCTTGTTCATGACTTCAGGAGTCAAATATGAACGCGGTGAGCCCGTGGAATAGATCCCTGCCTTACAATCATGGGTTCGGATCAGCCGTTGGTTGCCGCATTCCTAGCCCGGTGGAGACATTAGTTTGTACTTATTTAGAGATGTCCTTGGCATGTTCGTTGCCCTTTTCATCCAAACTGTAGAAGATTAAATCGAATTAAATGGATCTAGTACAAGATTTTCGTGCGGCGTGACGACATCAAGACCATGTGGAGTTCTGGGATTCTACAAAATGACAGCATACGAGTAGCGTGGCATGGCTGAGATGTCCATACACAATCATTCCAGGGCTGGAATAGGGAATGGCAATGCTTTTGATTCAAAGATCGTGCTCCGCAGGATGGGTCGCATGAGGTGACATAAAATGAAATGGTATATGATGAATATAAACACAACGGCATAAGATCAGATCATGGGCTTCTCCATGGGCTTGATGATACCCTGCTTGACCATCACACGAGGCTTGGTGCCACTCTGGAAAGTCTCCTTGGTAGACCACTCGGGGCCCAAAGGCATGCGCAAAGACCGTTCGTACTGTTGCTTGCTCTCGAACTGATGGGGCAGCTGAGTGGCCATGTATTTCTTGTTCTAGAAGACAAAATTAGTAAATTGCGATTGCGCCGTGGTGAAACTGATCATCCTTACCTTCTGAATTCGCTTCTGGTTGATGATGACCCGGTCGAGCTTGGCGTCCTTGCGCTGCTGGGGCTTTACACCCGCGACGGTGGTCAAGTCTCGCTTTTGTCTCTTCTGCTGTTTCTTGCTGACACCCTCGCCAGCCCAGCTTCCCCAGCCCTGGAGCGTGTTGTCGATGACCTGGTCACCCTCATCTTCGATGGTATCCATTTTGTCTTGGTCGAAGTCTTGAGTGACTTCATCTCCGGCGAATGCTCTCTTCACAAGATCGTGATTTTTGAGCAGGACGGGGACATTGTCCTCATCGTCGGTACCATCTTCGTCGAACTGCTTCTTGGCAAGTGCTGCCTTAGCCTTTTGTTGCTTTTTGCTTTGGGTCTTCGCCGGAGTAACTTCAGGCCGGGAAGCATCAAGCGAGATGTCAATGCTCTCTTGAGCATCGGGGCCAGTTCGGCGACGGTTGGTACGTTCGGTTTGAACCAGCCAGGGGTTCTCCTCCTCCACAGGTGTCTCTTCTTCGGCTGCTTTCTGTTGATTGGAAGATTTGTGGGACTGTGTGGTGGGCTTGTCGGCACGAGCCCCAGACTGCTGCTTAGCAGGCCGATCGGTAACGATGTTCATGTCGTCATCTGATCCGGGGACCTGAGCATCTTCATCATCGGAATCCAACTTTTCCTCGAACTCATTCTTGGGCACTTGGTTTGCACGAGACTTGGTTTCGGGCTTCGCTGACTGGCCGAACTTTCGTCGACCAACCTCCGAATCTGCCTCAGAATCAGATTCCCCGCCGTGGAGTTCACGATTAAGCTTGCGGAGCTCCGCATCGTTCTGCTCTTTGCGGGCCGCATCGGCGTTTTTCATGAACTTCATCTCGAAAAGGTCGGCGTGAGGTCCCTTGACAGCACCGGAGTTGTCGTTGCTCTCCAGGGCGCTGAGCTTCTTCTGGATCTTTTGTCTTTCGACGTCGGACCCCTCCTCATTCCAAGGATCCTCGTCTTCCGATTCAGAGCTGGAAGAGCCGAGGTAGTCGTCCTCTCCTGTCGAGACACGTTTACCCTCGATTCTCTTCCGAAGCTCATCCTCTCTTTGAGCCAAGTCAGCTTGGCTGTTACGGGCATCTTCATCCCAGGCAGTGCGACCAGTCTGCTTCAGACCCTTGGCCCATTTGCTATCACGGTGCTTGGAGCCCATGCGGGCTTCGGCTCTCTGACGTTCACTCTTCTCCTGGTCCATCTCATCTGGATCCACTCCAGCCTCCATGAGTGCCTGTCGCTCTTGTTGCTCCATCTTCTCACGCTCTTTGCGGTGGACGCGGCGGTAAGACTTGCTCTTAATCTTCTTGATGCGCTTAGCACGAACTTCCTCGCGGAAAAGCAAGTCACGTCGCTTGCGCAGCTCGGCCCGACGAGCCTGAATCTCTTCCAAAGGAACATTGCGGGCCTGGAGCTCTTCCATCTCCTGGATTTGGTCCTCAGCACTCTTGCCTTCAGCCTCGACCAATCCACTCTCCACCAAGATGTTCTGGATCGCGCTTTCCAAATCGGTCTGTGGCTTGGCAGCTTCCAAACGGTGACTTTGCTCGGCATCAGGATCACGGAGAGGGAAGGAGAGATGCTCAGCTCGGCGGTTGGCTTTAACAGTTTCCAGCCATCGGTTCAGGGTTTCTTTGCTTTTTTCGTAGGCAGCGGTCCGATCAAGTCGATCTTGCTGGCGCTTTGCCAGAGGAGCATCGAGCTTGCCCGGAATACCAGCCTTGGATGACTGAACAACAGAATCAATGTGCTTGAGGGAGTTTTTGAGGCGAGTATCGGTGATTGAGGGCAGAAGATCGGCGACTGTCAATTTGTTGGAGGAGGTCAAGCCGTATTCGGAGGGCTTGGCTTGTTCTTGCGACTTCTGAGTGCGCTTCGTAGGTTTTCCAGTGTCCATAGACTGAACAAAGTCTTGTAGTTTAGAGAGCTGGTGCGGATCTGCCTCATCATCGTCGTCCGAAGCTGATAGACCATCCTCGCTGGCATCGCTCTCACTGTCTGCCTCAGACCCAGAATCCTCGTCACTGTCGTCTCTGGCCGCTCGCTTAGATTTCTTCGCCGCCTCCCTAGCCTCCTCCTCATCGGCTGCTGCATTCATATCCCAGGCAGTAGTGAGGTCAACGGCATCCTCTCCCAGATCGTCATCCTCATCCTCGTCGTAGTCTTCACCGTCAGATTCTTCCGACTCCTCAACATCTTCGTCTAGGTTGATCTCGACGGGTTTCTTAGGCTTGGCTGCTGCTTTCTTAGGTGGGTTTTTGGACTTTGATGCACGGAAGGTGAATCCCTCGAATCGTTCTTCATCGCTTTCGCCGAGGGCTTCGTCACTGTCGAGTTCGCTGTCGTCATCACTGTTCACTTGTCCGAGAGTCCACTCGTGGCCCTCGCTATCGCTGCCACCGTCAAGGCTTCCGGTATCTTCGGTTCTGCGGCGCTTGTAGTGCGGGGTCTCCTCCTCTTCGTCCTCGTCGTCACCGCCAGTGTTTCTTTTGCGGCTAGAGCCATCATCGTAAGCTCCTAGACGACTGCGTCGAACGCCCAATCTAGTTGGAATTTGCTTCTCGGCGATGGAAAGCGCATTGAGCGACCGTCCATTCTTCCGCTTCTGAGGTGGTTTCTGTGCTGAGCGGTCCTTGGGATTACGCTGTTGCGTTTGGCTGCGAGGCATGGCGGCGGGGGAGTCAAGAAATCAAATTCTTGACCAAAAGGTAGCTTCAGACCAGTACTAAAAAAGCACTGAATGATCTGATGGCTGCTTTTAAGACGGGTAGTAACTGCGTTGAACTTTTTTTCGCGGCAGAAAAAAAAGTTCTCGGCGCGGAGATTAGCGCGACCCTACCATTCGCCGAGTTTTGTTCTCCCGACTCCCGAACATCTCGACTTACGCTGTCCTGTCTCTCAGCAAAACAATACAGAACTACCGCCATTATGTTCAAACCAACGCAGTCAATGTTGGCGCGCGGTCGCTTGCGCTTGACCACCAAGCAAGTCAATGGCGGATACTACAAGGGAAACCGCACCGGCTCCATGGGTGGCTGGGACAAGAGAGGCACATACAAGCCTGATTTCTCCAAGCACCGTGTCTACATGGCCCCGGAAAAGCTCGAAGTTCCTGGAAAATACTACCCCGAGGACCAACGAAAGGAGCCCTTCCTGGTGAGCATGGACTCTTGACACCCACCATATCCGGAAATCGGATTTGCTAATATGCTCTAGCTCGCCCCTTTCATCACAAAGCACATGCGCCAGACGCCTTCAAACTACGTCCAAGATATCGAGAGAAATGGCAGGAAGTCCACTGTGATCCGAGGATTCCAGGGTACGGACTATTTGCAGATGTGGGCGGACACCCCCGAGGCCGAGGAGGCCCGAACAACACAACCGAAGCCCGAGAAGATTGAAACTGTGCCGACTGTCCAACTCGAGCAGATTGAGCAACAAAAGCTCCCCACAAAGCCAAGCCGCAAGGTTCCTCAGCCCGAGCCCGAGACCAAGACCAAGAAGTCGAAGAAACCGCTATCTGCAAGACTTTTCTAGTTCCGCACAGTGAACTAAGAGTTCTCCGGAGCAAGAAAGACCCTACAGACCACATCATCATAGCCAGGAATGGGTACCAGTTTCCAGCGATGGTGAGTGTGCACCAGGCTCTATGGATTGATATCAATCCTAATTGAACTGGTAGCCACACCCATCTTACCCACCGCACCCCATACAGCAATCTGCTGTCGAAAGTTCCCACCCGCTGGTCGATTGAATATATCCCATGTATTATAGTTTTTACTCAGCATACTGCCCCAAGTCGGACCTCCATCTGTCTTGGACATCAAGAATTTTGTACCACTGCATCTAGAATCCCTAATGGCAGATTTGAATACTGGCCCCATACCAAGCTTCACTTTCAATCAAAATTCACTCTAGCATGATTGAGTATTCTTGAATTTTGACGAGGTGGGATCTATGGATGATTTGGGTGAAACCAACTATTGGAATGGCCTAGAATAGCGAAGTATCAGGGTGGCTAATATCACATAATCCACTCAAATATCTGGAAGTCAGTCAGCTCGAACGTGCCAGCTGGAAGGTTCCAGCTATGGCATAGGTTGAAATACACCCAACAGCATGAACAGCACGCCTTCCAACGTTGGGCTTTGATATGTGCGTGGCCCGTGCGCACATGACCGATAAGCTCGGCCATACCGTATCGGAGACAGCGTATGTCATAGTTCTTCACCTTTCATTCGATCCCGCAGGTGCGGGCCTTCATTGTTTCCTCACTGCGTCTAGAGCTTGATTGTTATACCTAAATCTCACAGTGCCGGCTTTTGTCGCTCAGTTTGAGTTGAGCTGTTGGCACAGCTCCAATCTTCTCAGGCTCAGGTTGTGTTGATCGGGCCTCCTCGGCCTCAGCCCGCCCACATGTTCCAGTCTTTCACTGGCAATGCCCGTCGCCCAAGGCAGGTGAACCTCAGCGGTCGATCCAATAATCCTTTCGCTGCATTCCCCGGTGGATCACCTAGCCGACCAGCCCCTCATGCGGCGAACCCTGAGAGTGCCGTTGCCAATGCCCAGCGGGAGCGAGCCCTCAGACAACTTGAAAGAAATCGCCAAAACGCATCACGCACCGTACAACGTGTTTGGAGAGGCCACAGAAGCAGAACGGCGACTTACAAAAGCTGGAAGTCGGAATGGGATACATATGAGTGGAAGAGAGTCAGCCACAATTTTGGAGTGACCGATCATGAGGTCTCCATGACAGAAATCGAACGACTGGAATCCTTATTACGCCTATCCCCCGCACCATATTCCACAGCGGAGCAATGTCTTGATCAGCTCCGGCTCCTAGTTCAATTTGTGGGATCTGTGAAGAGACAAGAGGATGTTCTACGGCTGGTATATTTCTGCAGAGTATTCGAACAGACCTTCCATGCTCTTCCTACTATTGCCACGGAGGGCGAATGGACGGAACTTTTGAAACGGCTCGCAATCGCAATACTAAATGCACTCGATTCGGCAACGAGTACATTGACCCATCGCGCAGCCGTGTTGCCTCTCCTCCAGACGGTGAGCTACCTGGTTGAGTTGATACCCAAGCGAATGGCAGCGATTGGTAAATACTATTACCAAGCAATGGCGAGTCTGACGAAGAACATTGCGGTCCTTGGTGACAGTCTGTCACCGGAGCAGGTAACCAAGGCTGTGATTGCTCTGCTTCGGCCTATTACTTCTGAGACAATGACGGCTTACGAAGCGTTCGCAATTTCATATTTGACTATCCCGAACTTGGCTGGCTATCTTGGTCAGCTTGACAGCTTGGCACAGGATATCAACTACAAAGTGTTGGCGTCGGCAATTGAACCTTTGATAACTCCAGCTGATGAAGCCCTCTTAGCCGGAAATACTGAGGCTCAATATTGGCTACTTTCATACCTGATCTTCTTCCATCGCCATGCTCTCTCAGGTCAGGCTAATATCAAAACCCCGGATCTTGGATTTTTGACAGCAGTGTCTGGGTTGCTCAACTTGACATCTTCTCACCTCACCAGGTGTTTGGAAGCAGAGGAGTCAAGTGACGAAGATTCCCCCAATGGCCCCGTGCTCCATTCATTTGTCAAAGACCAGGTATCTAGCCTTGTCAATCAGAGCAGCATCACAGGGCTGCTTTCGCGTATCAAAACAACCCACCTTTCGCAGAAAGACTTGTCGAACAGCGAGTCGGACGCTACGAGAGAAGCCAAAATTCTTGCGACATATGCCTTGAATTTGTTGAGAGTGTTTCCTCGGCGCGGTGATGACATTCGCATGTGGCTGTACATGGGCTCAGCACCGTCGGGAGATCAAATTCCAGGACAACCAGGCATGAAGATACCGGCAATCAAATACTTCTGGCAGGCATCTAAGTCCAGTCAGATCTTCAACATAATCAGTAATGATTCCACCAAGGTTCTTGCGCTATTGCAGCCCCCGAAACATGGCGAAGGGCGTGCCAGTATCTCGCAAGAGGATCGAGACCAAGAATGGACGATCATCCTTTTATTCTTCGAGCTCTACACCTTCTTGCTGAAAGTCATGGATGACGAGGAGTTTTTCTCAAGTGCGTCACCATTCGCAGCTTCAGATAATATCCAGTCCTCGTGGACGAAGGAGAGTGCGCTGCCCCTCAAAGATATCCGAGACATGACAGTGTTCCTCAAGAACCTTGCATTTACACTATACTGGAATCTTGCCGATTTGACGAGCAAGGGCGATACTACCACTTCTACCGGAGATCTGAGGAACTATTTTACAAACATAACGCAACCATCTGTGGTCTCAGAGCGTCAGGAAGCCGAGGCCAAAGAGCATTCTAACGATCTCCCTGGCGTGACAGGAATTCCACTTGACTACTTCAAGGGCTTAGTGACGGGTCTACTTAGAATGCTACACGAGCGAGAGTGAGTCCACAGCCACGGTTTTTAAGCGGGGTGCTCCAAAGCTGACTTACTATTAGTTCACGTCGGAAATTCCTTCCTTCGGGCCATTGGCTCATGACAGATCGATTCGATATGGAAGGCTTCATTCCTGCCGTCGTAGCAGAGGAAGAGAAAAGGCATGAGTTCCAAGACGACGAGGATGATACCGAGACCGATCTTTTGGACGATGAGACCCCAGCGGATTCTCATCTTGTCGGGAACAGCCATGCCCGGCAACTGATTCGCCTTCAAGCTATGCGCGATCGGCAACAAAAGGCTGCGCGAGGGAAGGCACTCGCACTCATTGCGCCAAGGCTAGAGATCCTTCGCAACATGCCTTTCTTCATTCCCTTCGCCACGAGAGTCCAGATCTTCCGCCAATTCATCTTCAGAGATCAACAACGTCGTCGGAAAGGCTATGTTGACCCCGAGTCCTGGCGTCTATCGGTGGCCCAAAGTTCCATGATGAATGGGCCAGTAAATGGCGCGGATATATTGGCCCGCCACCACGCCGACATTAGACGTGAGAGTGTATTTGATGATGCCTTTTCTGAGTTCTATGCGCTAGGCGACGGGTTGAAGGAGCCCATCCAGATCAGCTTTATAGATCAATTTGGAGCGATGGAAGCCGGTATTGATGGCGGTGGAGTGACAAAGGAGTTCCTGACCAGCGTGACTTCGCAGGCCTTCAAGACTGATGACATGGAGAGTATGTTTGCAGAAAACGACCATCATCTGCTGTATCCGCACCCTGCAGCAGTTGATCAGCGCAAAGCGATACTTCACGAGGCTGGCTTGTCAAACTCAAGCAGTGCGTGGCAGGAGGAAGTGCGTGATCTCCTTCGACGATACGAGTTCCTCGGCCGAATCATCGGCAAATGCCTCTACGAAGGGATTCTGGTTGATGTCAACTTTGCGCCTTTCTTCCTCTTGAAGTGGGCCCTGACAGGCGGAACTAGGTCAGCAGTGAAAGAGTCTTCTTACCGCGCCAATCTGAATGACCTAAAGGATCTCGACGAGGGGTTGTACCAGGGCCTGGTGAGTTATGAAACCCGAAGGATCTTTTCATTCCATGCTGTAGAACATAAAACTCACTGATCCCCCTCAGCTGCAACTCAAGAACTACCCCGGAAATGTGGAAGACTTTGCTCTTGACTTTACTGTCAACAACACAATCCCGATGCCAAGTGGGAGGCATCGTACTGCGACCGTAGAGCTGAAACCAAATGGCTCACAAACCGCTGTCACCAACAAAAACCGATTGGTCTATATCTCTTACATGGCACGCTACCGTCTTCAATTGCAACCTGCCATGCAGACCAATGCCTTCCTGCAGGGCCTTGGTCAGATGATTCAACCCGCATGGCTCTCCATGTTTAACCAGGCCGAATTGCAAACGCTGGTGAGTGGAGACAAGGCCGACATTGACGTGGAAGACTTGCGACGGAACACACTCTACGGAGGAGTGTATGTCATTGGCGATGATAACATGGAGCACCCTACGATCGCATTGTTCTGGCAGGTGATGCACCAGATGAACAACGAGGAGCGACAGAAGGTCATTCGATTCGTCACATCCACGCCCCGAGCACCTCTGCTTGGATTCAGTCACCTACACCCCCGGTTCAGCATCCGAGACTCCAGCGAAGATCAAGAACGGTTACCGAGCACCAGCACTTGCGTGAATTTGCTCAAGTTGCCGCGATATTCTGATGCTGAAACGTTGAGGAGCAAACTTTTGTATGCGGTCAGCTCTGGGGCTGGCTTTGATTTGAGTTAATCGGCCTCAAGGGGCAGCCGAACATTCCTGTGTATCTGCTCTCTCTCGTGAACTTTGTGTGCGTAAATATTCGGGGTAGACCGTGCTGTGTTCTTTATCTTTCTGCATGCATAGCATGGGCGTCAAATACCAATAATCTGGCATAAAGACTAGGCTGTTCACTGCAAATTCAGGAAAACAACTGGCATAGAATGCATAGATGAGGACCGTTGATAGTTGAGGTTATAGTGAGCCCTTAAAGCGGCAAGGCGAAGCACCCAAAGGGGATTAGCGTACCAAACTCGTGCCTCTGAGTTTTCCAGAACGCCGAATTGCCTACGCAACTTTTTTTCTTCCTACAACCTCTCCTCCAAATCCGTGTTCTCTCTTTCTTTAGGGAATCTTCTTCCTTTTTCCTTTTCGAATTCTCGAATACAAAATCGCAAAAAAACACGAAAAACCCCCAGAAAATTTTTCCAGTTATCTTATCTCATTCCCGATTGTGCGGTGTGTTGTGTGGAAGATTTTCTTTCAACGACCGCCTCCATCGTCTACATTTCACCTGGTTAGTGTCACTCTGAATTCGCTTGCCCCCTCAGTTGAAAGTCTATATATGAGACTCTCCTCGTGTGCCTCTAGCTTTATTCGCATGTCATTATTCCTGGCAACCCCCCCGCTAATCGACTTCAGTGTGCATCTGCTCAAGTGAAATTTCTCCAAACTCTTTGTTCCGTGGATTCCTCGCTGTATGACCCCTCATCTTTCATTGATTCACTCCCCTCGTCGTTCTCGGTCTCTCTTTGGATGTTTGTCAAACCAACTGCATCGACTGCCGTGTCACCTTCATCTCAAATCCCTCCTTGCTTCCCCTCCCCCTCTCTCGCGATAGGCTCGGCATGCACAAGCTAAAACCATTTTTTTCATAGTAACAACAGCCGCCACCATGTCTGCTGAAGCTCCCACCACCGCTCCTGTCGCTGAGCCCGTTGCCAACGCCAGCCCCGAGGTCAATGGCGCCCCTGCTGAGGTCGCTCCCGAGGCTGCCGGCGATGCTGCCAACAACCAGCCCCACTCTGCTTCCCTCTACGTCGGCGAGCTCGACCCCTCCGTGACTGAGGCTATGCTCTACGAGCTTTTCTCTTCCATCGGCCAGGTCGCTTCCATCCGTGTCTGCCGTGATGCCGTCACTCGTCGTTCCCTGGGCTACGCCTACGTCAACTACAACAACACCTCCGACGGTGAGCGTGCTCTCGAGGACTTGAACTACACCCTCATCAAGGGCAAGCCTTGCCGTATTATGTGGTCCCAGCGTGACCCCGCTCTGCGCAAGACTGGTCAGGGCAACGTGTTCATCAAGAACCTCGACAACGCCATTGACAACAAGGCTCTCCACGACACCTTCGCTGCCTTCGGTAACATTCTGTCCTGCAAGGTCGCCCAGGATGAGTTTGCCAACTCCAAGGGTTACGGATTCGTCCACTACGAGACTGCTGAGGCCGCCAACAACGCCATCAAGCACGTCAACGGCATGCTGCTGAACGACAAGAAGGTCTTTGTCGGCCACCACATCTCCAAGAAGGACCGCCAGAGCAAGTTCGAGGAAATGAAGGCCAACTTCACCAACATCTACATCAAGAACATCGATCTCGAGATCACCGATGATGAGTTCCGCATCATGTTCGAGAAGTTCGGAGATATCACCTCCGCCACCCTTAGCCACGACCAGGACGGTAAGTCCCGCGGCTTCGGTTTCGTCAACTACGCCAACCACGAGAGTGCTGAGGCCGCCGTTGCCGAAATGAACGAGAAGGACGTCAAGACCCAGAAGCTCTACGTTGGCCGTGCCCAGAAGAAGCATGAGCGTGAGGAGGAGCTGCGCAAGCAGTACGAGGCTGCCCGCATGGAGAAGGCTTCCAAGTACCAGGGTGTCAACCTCTACGTCAAGAACCTGACCGACGACATTGATGATGAGAAGCTCCGCGATCTCTTCACTCCTTACGGTACCATCACCTCCGCTAAGGTCATGCGCGACTCTGCTGAGCGCTCTCCTTCCCCCTCCGAGGACAAGGAAGAGGACAAGGAGAACCAGGACTCCGAGGAGAAGCCCGAGGAGACCAAGACCGAAGAGAAGACCGAAGAGAAGACCGAAGAGAAGACCGAGGAGAAGACTGAGGAGGACGAGTCCTCCGAGGACAAGTCCGAGAAGAAGGGCCTCGGCAAGAGCAAGGGCTTCGGTTTCGTTTGCTTCAGCAGCCCCGATGAGGCCTCCAAGGCCGTCACTGAGATGAACCAGCGCATGATCAACGCTAAGCCCCTCTACGTTGCTCTCGCCCAGCGCAAGGATGTCCGCCGCAGCCAGCTCGAGGCCAGCATCCAGGCTCGCAACACCATCCGCCAGCAGCAGGCTGCCGCCGCCGCCGGTATGCCCCAGCCTTACATGCAGCCCGCCGTCTTCTACGGTCCCGGCCAGCAGGGCTTCATGCCTCCTAACCAGCGTGGCGGTATGCCTTTCGCTCCCCAGCCTGGTATGCCCATGCCCGGTATGCCCGCTGGCCGCCCTGGCCAATACCCTCCCTTCCCTCAGCAGGGTGGCCGCGGCATGGTTCCCGGTCAGCCCATCCCCCCTAACTTCCAGGGTATGCCCATGGGCATGCAAGGCCCCGGCGGTGTCCCCAACGGCATGGGTTACCCCATGGGCCAGCAGTTCGGTCGTGGCGCTGGTGGCCGCGGTGTTCCCGGTATGCCCATGAACATGCGTGGTGGTCCCGGATTCGGCCGTGGCGGTCCCTCAATGGGCCGTGGTCAGGGTCGCGGTCAGCCCGCCCCTGGTGGTCAGCCCGCTGGCGAGTCTGCCTCCTCAAACCCCGCTCTCCTTGCCGCTCCTCCCGCCCAGCAGAAGCAGATGCTCGGTGAGGCTCTTTACCCCAAGATCCAGGCCCAGCAGCCCGAGCTTGCTGGCAAGATCACTGGTATGCTTCTTGAGATGGACAACTCTGAGCTTCTTGGCCTGTAAGTTTTTATCCCATTTCCTTTCCCCTGCAATTACTAACCTGTCTTTTTCTTTCAGGCTTGATGATGAGGAGGCTCTCCGCGGCAAGGTCGATGAGGCCCTTAACGTCTATGATGAGTACATGAAGAACAAGGGTACCGAGGGTGAGGCCACTGAGCCCAAGGCTCAGGAAGCCCCCAAGGAGGCTGCTACTGAGGAGAACAAGTCTTAAGTGATGTGTTCAACTCTTTTTTGTCTTTCTCGGAAATCTTTGGACGCACGTTTTTGATGACCTTTCCTTTCTCTTATCACTATTTGTTCCCACCTTCGACCTTTCTCCCCCCTATATCTCTCCCTCTCTGATCCTGATATCCCTCGATTCGAAAAGTTTGTTCTTAGGCAACCACCTTTTTGGTGTTTAGTGAATGCGGTATGACATTCGGATTTTTTTTTCCATCTTTCACTAGCTTTGGTATCCCCCCTTCTATTTTTGCTTTTATGTTGTTTCAGATTGGGCTACATTTGATATGAAGGCCGTTTGGGGCTACTGGGGTGGATAAAACACTCCTATTCCTGGCGCCAACTGTGATTTGGCCGTGTTAGCTTTGATCCTTTCTGGTCGCCCAAGTGGGAGGATGTGCCGTTCTGTGTCCATTTTTTCTACCAGAAAGGGTGCTGTCCTTTTTTTTGTCAATTAGATTTATTCCTCGCGGAAGGGTTTGATCCCCATGTTCTCTGGATCGTGAGAACAGCAGTTAATAATTCAAGGGTCATGACCTTAAAACACCAAAGGAACATCGTAAGTCAGTTGCGAGGTCAAGTGGCCGCTATTATCGACCCGAATCGATGAGTCAGCTCTGTGCGTAGACCTCGGGATCAATCTGGGCAGTGGAAAGGACTTGTATCCTCTCAATGTATGCACTATGGGGTCGGAATTTGTGCCCGAAACATCTGAAATTGGTTCCCTGACAGCCCACTCGAATGAGGACAGCCAATTTGTCGGTAGTTCAAGCGGTGTCTACTTCATCAAAACTGTCAAACGTGCGTTCAATGAAGATGGCCCAAATTCAGCCGAGTCAAACTTCCCCACGGCAGAAGAAACATTAGTAGGCGCTGAGGACTCGCCTCGTGAAAAGCGCCAGCGGACTGCATCTGTGCGAGACACTGTTCCCGACGTTGAGTCCCCCACAGAATGGACCTATGATCCCTCATTAATGGGGTCTATGGGCAACCTCCCACCCCCAGAGATCGCAAAGGATCTGATGATGATGTACTTCAAGGTTTGGCATCCGCTATTCCCTTTCCTGCATGGTCCCACCTTTTTGCAGGCAATGGAGAGGATCTATTCGAGCAATCAGGGCCAGCAGACGCAAGGATCATGCATTGATCATCGCAGCACATGCTGGACGACCATCTTCCAATGCATCTTCAATCTTGGCAGCCTTCTAGCGCCAGATCTGGATCTCCCAGATGATTCAAAAATTCAATCACCCAATAGCATCAATTCTCTCCTTGGGACTCTTTCATCACGGCATGATATTGTCTCGCTCCAAGCACTCCTGGCTATACAGGTTTATCTCGTGGCGACCATGTCTCTTCGTCAGGCGTCAACTGTGGGTGGCTGCATATTGCGATCGATGCTTCATGCAGGTCTGCATCGGTGCCCTTATCGATACAAACAACTTTCCACCCACGACCGACAGCTGCGAAAGCGGATCTTCTGGTGTGCCTATGCGATTGATCGGTATTTGAGTCAGGCTCTGGGATTACCACTTGGTATTCAAGACTCAGATATTGATGTGTGCTTACCAGCTGCGCGTGAAATGCATTCCTCGCGGGGTCATATGACTCAGGCTAACGCAATGACCCCCAGACCAGGGTCATCCGCAGAAAGTGGTTATGCTCAGCCTGCGCAATTGTCGGATCGGGATTCGACGCCTGGCAATAAGGGAGACCATGGAAAAGAAAGCATCATGGCTAGCTATGTGGACTCGGGAACCTTGACTGGACGGGCATTGGAGCTCTTCCACAAGTCAATCCTTGTACGATCTGTCCGTCGCAGCTCAGTCTTGTTCCTAGTGACAGATGTTCATAAATGGTGGAACAGCCTTCCACTTGACCTTCAGCGGAAGCCACTGGCATCTGAGCTCCCAGAAAACTCTACCACGATCGATAGGGCGTTTGACTTTGGTCCGTTCTTCACAGTTCTATATCAGCATCTCATTTTGATCATCCACCGGCCTTCACTATCACTGGACTCATCGACGCCGGAGTTTTGCTCCGGTCTACAAACGTGTATTGGTGCTTCTCGGTCCATTCTCTCTGCGCTCAGACTGCAAGTAGACAGCAACCAGGCTCTATTCTGGCCAGGGTTCCTGTCAGCGGCATGGATGTCTGGGCTGGTCTTGGCTCTGGCCTGTCAGCTCAAACAATATGTGTTATCCAAGGGACTTGAGTACGCAGAACCCGTCGGTAACCGCAGAATAGCAGTGCTAATTACACCAGGGAAATAAATCAAATCTCGGAGTTTTTACACCTAATGTCTCCACAGTGGGAGACAGCCAAACACTGTCATATGTCGTTATCAGTGCTGGCCGCGAAAATACAACAGACGCCAAACAGCACCGACTCACACATGAATTCACAAGCGTATGCGATGAGAGGAAGCCCCACACTCATGGAGACCTTGAATGCGCGAGAAGAGAGACGACGGAGACTGAGCGGTTTGTCGCCTTTGCCGGAGAACCAAACATCGACTGCAGAAGGAACCTTTAATGGCCATGGCCACCAATCAATCGAGTCTAACGCCCGTGATTCATGGCGAGGGCAAGATTCTATCTGGAATCAATCAACCCAACTGCCAAATAGCAACGAATATGGCAATCTGGTTGAAACACCTTCATCACTGCAGATGAATTTCCAACATACCGATACCTCTCAGTTTGATGGTGTTTCAAATTTTGACTTAAATATGGTCGATCTGATTCAAGGAGCCAACTTCGACACTCTCTTTGATATGATAGGACAGCAGTACCCGAGCTTCTAATCCTGGGTAGCATGGTCTACATTTACAAGCCCACTGTCATGAAGACACACGGTCAATATAAAATTACTAATTATGCCCTCCCATAGGGGTTGGAGGAATGGAATGATAAGATCTCACGAGCACTTTCACTACGCCTGAAAAACGGCCGCCGAAAACCAAAAAACAAAAAAAGAACCAAAAAAAAACGGAACAGAACACCATCCTTGCGCCCAACTCCAAGCCCAACTCCAAGCCCAACCCACTAGTCTAACCCTCGCGCCGGAAAAGCAGCTCCCGATTGATGCGAACGCGACCAGTGCGAATCTCCTGGCGATAAAAGTCGGCCTGCAGCTCGGCAGCGGCTAAGATGGCAGCCTTGTCGGAAATGTAGTCACCGGGGGCTTTGATGGATACGCAAAGAGCGCGGTTGTGGTGCTCTGGTAGGACAGAGATGGTACCGGCACCATTATGAATCTGCATGACGACGTTGCGCATGATAGTTTCGTCGTCGAATTCATGATCTGAGGCTTTGAGGGAAACGTTGACCCAGTTTGAGACTTGGCGAGGATCGTACTCCGGCTCTGGGATCAGGTCCCCGTCTTGGTAGAACATGCTCTGCATTCTAGACTTGTTTAGTATAATCTTGATGGGGATCAGGATGGTTATGCTGACTTGTTTTGAAGTTTTGGTATGGGAGATGGTGAGATGAGAGAGAGGTTGTTCGAGGGCGCTGGATTGGCAAGAACGTTATATACTGACATCGAAACGGATACTGTCATTGTTCGGAGACAATGAAAGTATTTTGGATGTTCTTTTTTTCTTGCAAGTCAAGGCCTTGTTGGAAAGATGAAAGGGAAACCTATCAAAGCTATTATTTTAAGACCGGAATTGTCGCTTTCTCTTTGACAAATTGTGCGCAATCACATCCCATCGATTCCGTCTATTCGATCTATTTTCTCTATCATTCTCTCATTCTATCATGTCTAGTTCCCTTCAACGCGAGAGATACACCTCGGATCTCAACCAACAAAGAACATCCTCTCAACCATGCAGAGCGTCTATCTCTGAAATAGCAGAGCTCGATCAATCCAAACAGACCCTGCGGCAACATGCGATCTTAGAGACTCTGCCGACAACTCCGCAGCGGCCAGAATCGATTCCCTATTGTGGTGGTCCCCTGGCACTCGGATGGAGACACACAGCGGCATATCTAGATGCATGGCATGATCCGTGATGCTGACAACTCTGGTTCGGATACAGGTGACTATCGTGCACATTATCGCCAGGTCGTCGAGTCTGCCGTCTCGCTTGTCAAGGAATACATTGACCCATTTCACCCCTTGGGCGCTGGTATCAAACTCTCGCATCATGGTTCCGTTTTGGTAGAACATCTGGCCTGTTGGTGGGCTTCTATTGTAGGGGATAAAAGACCGACTGTGGAATGATGGTTCTGATATGAAGGCAGTGTGGGTATTGTTGGGTGGTTGAGTACTTCGCATTTGCTGATGAAGATGTACTTTTATACACCAGGGCAGGACTCCTCCACGCAAAGTAAGAGGATGTTTCCACCTTAATTGGCAAAGAAGTGGTTTCATGTCTTTACAATGGCAAGTTCAGGCTTGTCAAAAGATTGATCTCTTACATCTTACATCTTCTGTGGGGTCAATATACACTCCATCCTGACACCAGACGCTTTGGGCTCATTGAAGAACTTGGTCTACAATGCAAGACAGTTCGAAGGTCTGAACATGATCTCTGACTGTCAAAATTCTTGATATGGGGCCCTTGATCAATGAGGCCGTTCGCATAATGCTATTCAGGGAGACCTGAAACAAAACCGATCATGAAACAGTAAAGAAAACAGAACAATGGATTGTTTCAGACTCTCTTTCAGCGCAGCTTTTCAATCTCTGCACAAACAGCATCAACTACCCCTTGAGTGTTTGAAGTTCCACCCAAATCAGGTGTCAAAATACCAGCAGAGCAAACACTCTCCACACAACTCATCAACTTCGCCGCCGCATCCTTCTCGCCAATCCAGATGAGCATCTCTGCTGCTGACCAGAAGGTGGCGACCGGGTTTGCAATGCCCTTCCCTGTGATATCGAATGCACTTCCATGAACAGGCTCGAAGAGCGAAGGGTTCTCACGCGAGGGATCGAGGTTGCTCGAAGGCGCAACACCAATCGAGCCAGCCAACGCAGCAGCCAAATCAGACAAAATATCCATGTGCAAGTTTGTACCGACAATTGTATCGATAGAATCAGGCTTTCCAACCATGCGAACGGTCATCGCATCCACAAGCATTTTGTCCCAAGTAACATCCGGGAAGTCCTTTGCGACAGAGGCAGCAATCTCATCCCATAGAACCAGTCCATTGCGCATGGAGTTGCTCTTTGTGACAACAGTCAAAAGCTTGCGTGGACGTGACTGAGCGGTCTCAAATGCAAACCGCATGATGCGCTCGATGGCATGGCGGGTGAAGATGGCCACTTCGGTAGCGGCTTCCCATGGTTGTCCAACGTGTGAACGGCCACCTTGTCCGGCATACTCGCCCTCTGAGTTTTCTCGCACAAGCATCCAGTCGATTCCTTTGGTTGCAGTGTTGAGAGGGCACTTTGTTCCCGGGAAGGTCTTCACAGGCCGGACGTTTGCGTATAGCTGCAGGGGGCCGCGAAGAGCAAGCAGGAGACCCCAAAGAGAAATGTGGTCGGGTACATCTGTTAATCGTATAAGTAAGTTGTTCTTGGCCCACAGGGACTCTCAAGTGTAGTTCAAGCATACCTGGTGCGCCAACAGCGCCAAATAGACCGGCGTCGTATTTTCGTAGAGTGTCAAGACAGTCTTCAGAGACATATTTGCCGGTCTCCTTGTAGTATGCAGTTCCCCATGGGATATGATCAAAGTTGATATTGAAAGTGCCCAGAGTCTTTGCGAGCTTCTCGACGACTTGAATTGTAGCACTGACTACCTCAGGGCCGATACCGTCACCGGGGATGGAGGCAATACGATATGATTTGATTGAAGACATGGTGAGATGTGTGGGAGTATGAGTGATATCAAAGTGAAAATGGATAGGATTATAAGTAAAGCACCGGTGCTAGAGCTCGATGGAGATGTAGCTGGCTGATGGTTTACCCTACTTCGAGTCCCGAAAGGGATTGGTCCAGGTGGCCGCTATCGCAGACGGGCTCAGCCAGTTATCGGCAGAACTTTCAGGCGCGGCGATTTGCCACTCTACAACAACGTCGCTACTCGATACAGACAGCACTCTAAACACGCAAGGGGAAAAATGGGACCAAAAGAAAAGAAACCGGCACGGATTACAATTGCATGCAATGCCTGTCGATCAAGAAAGCAGAAATGCAGCGGCCAAAAGCCCATTTGCGGCCAATGCCTGGAAAACAATCGGCCGTGTAAATGGCCTGAGCAGCTCCGAAGAGGCCCGGAGAAAGGCTATGCAGAGGCGCTAGAGAAACGACTCCAATTGACAGAGAGCATACTGCTCAACCTTCTTCCACATGTTTCTGACGAACAGCTCTCCTGGGCAATACCGCACCGAGAAAGTGGCCAGGACCATACCACCCCGTACGTGCCATTTCCGAGACTGGAAAGGAAAGGAATCGACACTTGGTCTCAGTTTCCCCTTGATACTTCCCGGAGTGTTCGGCGGTGGCAGCAAGCTTGCGTCGATGGGAGTGTGAGCTCGGATGCCCCAAGTCCCAAGAAAAGACGCGTGCACGAGAGTCCTTCGAAATACAGTGGCGAATCCGTTCGAGTGTCGAACGAGACGCTGGAGATTGAAGGCGCTTTTGTCGAAAGATCTTATTCATCAGTGCCTGATTCTACTAGCTCTATTGAGGGGCACCCGACTCAATCGCCCGGTGATGCAAATGAACAGAGTCCCGCAATGCAGAAAATGAGCACATGGGATGGAGCCCCGTCGTTGGAATTTCAACGTCAGTTCCTCTGGTGACATCCGGAGATGATTGGTGTCTATCTAAACAGTACGGGGTACATTGTACAATCCATGCTTCATTTCGGGAATCTCGCGAATCGCGCCCCACGGCATGTTAAGGCTGATGATCTGACGGACGAGTCCGATCGAATGACCAGCCACGCGCAGCGTACTGTGGATCTCCCGAGATGTACGAGCTCGCTCGTGCGGTTGTCCTCGATGATCTGAAGCCCACAGGCTTCAGTCCAAAAGCCTTTGTCTGGCGAAAGCCCGACGCAAGCTTGATGGGGGTATTGAGAACAGAATTTCCCCTTTCTCCAAACTATAGAACATTTAGGTAATCATACTGCCCTTTCCAGAGGGCTTTCTTCATGTCTATCACGAGTTCCAAACAAAGGCGTCATCATCAAAGGAGAATAAGTCTCCTTGGAAATCTGGAAAGTTGGCGAATTCTGCAGCCATCGAGGAGTATTCCAATAATCCAGGTATCTGAGAAGCATCAGAAGTGGATAATTGAGATGGCAAAGTTAATAAATTAGGGTCGGTTTGCTGGAGCTTCACGGATTAGATACATACTCAATATCACGAATTTTCCAACTTACTTGAAGAGATGACGGTTCTGAACCCGCGGCTAAGAGATACTGGCGACAGGCCGAAAGCGCCTTTTTCGCGCCCTGCTCCATCCATCCTTGTTTCGTTTCTACTGAGCCACGGCCACGAACCGATTGTAAGACAACCGCAAGAAGAAGAATGTCCTTGACGTTATTTCCCGCCTCACCGATACGACGGGACAGACTATCAAGAGTGTGCTCAACGATACGGATCAGGCTGGCTTTATTGTATGAGGGCAACTTTGATGGATAGACAGAGACATTCGTAGTGGGTTGTGGGCTATCGGCGCCCTGCTCTGTCATTTGGGCTGACAACTTCATGTGCTCACATACACTGAGCGCTGCTGAAATCATATCATTTCGGCAGAAGGTATGGAACATATTCCAATATTCAGTGCTGTTTTGGACATCTAGATCAGCGAGGTTGGGGTCAAAGTAATCTTGGTAGGATAGAACCGTGAGAGCTGAGTCGAGTTTTGCTTGTTGAATTTCAGCGAGGGCTGAGTTAAGAATATTTGCGTTGGCGGATTGATAGAGACAGAAGAATGGTCGGCGGAGGTAGAAATCTGTGAGAAACTGACAGAAAGACACGGATTTATCAATGTGACTATTTGAAGCCCGCTCGAGCTTCAAAGAAGGTGGTACGTCGCGTAGATATTTCTCTAATGCGTGACTTTGTTTCATGATTTCGTGGGAGTCGATTTGTGGACCCGCTGAAAGAACGGAATTGGCAACGTGGATGCGATGAGATAGGCTTTTAGCGAGGATGATCAGGGCCAGAGTATCCGTTCTCTCATTCATAGGCCGAGATTTGGGTAGCTCAGTAGTGGTTTCGTCGAATTCTGAGTCGTTGAGATTCGCAGGGGAGCTGCTTTGGGGGTTGAGTTGGGGTGTCATTATTGACATCCCGGACGTGATCGAAGCTTGTAGATCCATCTCAGCGATGGTAAACCATAACCGACGCCGAATTTCAGCCTGATAGATTGACATATTTGCAGAGCCAGAGATATTGATGTGCAATCCCATGACCATGGCAGAGCGTACAAGCGAGCCAGCTCCTTTCCACGACTCTTCAGCATTGAGCAAGCGAAGTTGGCGGGCGAGGAGAATGAGCGTCTCGATTTGGAGTGTGGCAAGCTCAGTCCGGTGCTTACGAGGAAGCTTGTGGAGCCATGCTTGGAGTAGGCCGACAGCGTTGATCTTTAAATACTCCCATGAGGAGTAATGGTCGGCCTCGATCACCTTGTCGCCCAGGGTAATCGAGATCGCCAATACCGCTGTGAGCTGAGGAATGAAAGGAGATGCAAGGTAAGATTCATGGTCAGGATGAGACCAGAAATCGTCATACTGGCGGAGAAAAGTTGGAACATGTAGAATTCTGAGGGTTTTCTCAAAATTTGTGGTGTAGATAGCCAGCAGTCTGTCACAGATTCCCTTTCCGGGCAAAGATTGAAGCAGCTGGAGTAGCTCTGGGAAACTCTCCAACTCTGAAATTGATTGTGGGGAGCCGAAGAGGGGTTTCGTCTTGCTCTGTAGAAATTGCACCTCTTTGGCCAGCTTCACGACCGAGGAGTCTTTTGAACACTGGTTGACAAACCATTTGGCTTCTTCGAACTACAACGATATCAGTTGTTGTACATGAGACTAGGGGTCCAACATACTTGATTGAGAAGGGTAATTCTGCCATTCTGTCCATGATACCTCGAACGAGACCCCTTGACGACTAATGTGCCAGAGCATGACTGGAGGCTTGGCGATGGCTCATCAACTGGCCTGATGTGGGGTTAGCAGAGATTCAGGAAGAAAGATTGAGCAATCTCTCACCAAAAATTCTGAATTAGCTGATCAGAGCTGCTATTCCGAATGGCAAGCAGTTCCTCAACTCGGGTTAGGCGTTGTTGGACATCTTCTATGATGCCAATGCCAGTGGTTTTCTCATCCTTGCGCATGGCAACATCAGGAGAGAGACGAGTTCGCTTTGCTCTGGCAACCGACCCCGGTTGTGGGTTATAAGTACAGTCTGCATGCCCTGCCTTGATACAGTTCTCGCAGGGATCCACGCGGTCGCATTTGAGCTTCTTCTCTCTGCACCGGAGGCAGGACACCACCGGCCGTGCTCGTTTATTGCGCTCGGAAAGAGAACTCATCCTATGAGTCTATGCCGAGCATTCCATAAGAGTCTCAAATGCCCATTCCTTCCAAATGTTGCAACGGTGCTTATTTTAGCCCCCAACTACGGGAGACGGAAGCAACCACTAGGACCCTCGTCTTGTGCAAGCACCATAAGATTACTCCTTAGTCTTTAGAATTTAATTAGTTTTTAGTTATTTTAGTTACTTACACATTCAGAGAGTCATTCCCACCCCATCACCGCCTTTGAGTCAGTTGGTAATCACAGGGGCAGTGCCGTCCCACTTCGTCTCCATCGCTGCAGTGACCAGGAAGTTGGCAACACTGATACGGCTAGCACAGCCCATTAAACCAACTCCTTTCCCATCCTTTGGCCATTCTCTGACTTCGATTACATCGGTCTCCACCAAACGTGAAGGTCTGACCAGCACAAAAGTCAAACCACTATCCCGGATCTCCTTCTCTGCAAGGTTGTGATCTTCGTAGGAGAATGTCATATTGGATTTACTCATCAGCAAACGCATCGCACATGGCATGTTCTCCCATGATGCACCCGCACCGTAGGCTTGTAGCACGACGATCTTGCCTACCCCGAACTCCTTCATGATATGTGCCACATTGGCATTGCTGTCTGCCATCATGCGCGGTGGAGATATAGGTGCTGCAAAAGGACTATCCGTAGCTCGGAGGGCACTCAGTGTGACAATTACCACATCTGGGACCGCGAGGCTGAAGGCGTTTCGGATGTCGGATGCGTTGAGGGGAGTTCCTGATTCCAATTAGTCGAAGGAGTGAGTTGGTGGAGAGTAGTGCGTACCTTTCACGATGTCTAGACCTAGCTCTTCTCCCAGTGATTTTGGATTTCGTACCAATGCAGTGACTTGGTGGCCTCTTTTGAGAATGTTGTCGATAACGAGCTTTCCAGTACGGCCGCTGCCTCCGATGACAAGAAAACGCATGTTGCGAAGTGAGGGGATTGAGGTTTGTTGGTAGGTACAGTTTATCAGTGCCAGCTGTATGATTAATTCTACCGGAAGCTCTCGCTCTTAAATAGATTTCCATGTCTAGCAGGTCTTTATCATCAATGTAGCTTGTTCTAAAGTTGCATCCGTATAGATCAGCCCGGGTCCGAGGCCTTCGGATCCGACCGGAGAAGACCTCACAGCAATCGGGGAATTTCAAGAGGCTCTACATATTCAATCAAAATACGGGGTATAGCGTCGGAGATAAGATCGGAGATCTAACATATAATATTGCCGTCTGAATGCAGTCATTAAGCTAATACAATCTCCAGAGCTAGGGCAGAAACGTTCGAAAACATGGGGCATCTACATCTCGGGTTCTGCTTTCCGCAAGCTTCGACTATTCCCAACCAGGCTAGATCCTCATCGGTAATACCAGCGATTGGCTGGTCCCTGCAGTTCGAGGGCCCAATTCAACGACATCGCTCGCGCCGAAAGGGCTGTGACCTGCGCCACTTGAGCTCATTCTCCACAAAATGACAATATCTTCTCAGATGACCCTGGAAAAGAATCTGACGATACCCAATCTGGCTTTCAGTCGGTAGGAGCCAAGCAACAAACGAGGTATAATTCGGAATAAACATTCCCCTCTAACCTACCCCGCAGTGGGAATTCTTCTGGTGACATGTGCTTCAACATTTCAACAGCATGGCCAACGGGTTAAAGTGTGAGAAATATGCCAAAATCGAATTCTCCAACCAAGAGGCGGCACCATGCCTCAATGGCATGTGTCGCGTGTCGGGAGAGTAAAGTCAAGGTAGGCGCCCAGCCCAGCGAAAGAGCGAAATGACGAAGCTCATTCCAAAAGTGCGACGGTGGGGATCCAAAATGTTCCAGTTGCACTGTCAAGCACCGTGAATGTCGCTATCAGGCTGTGGATAAGAGGAAGTGAGTGGCGGTTCCAAGAGTCACACATCACCAGATCTTTCCCCCAAGTAACCGCGCTGATGCTATACAGACTACCACTCAGGGTTGCCATAGAGTTACTGTCGAGTAGAGTTGACCAGCTCTGTGCCTTCATTCGTGCGAACGGACTTGAGGCCCCGCCTATGTCAAAAGAAAAAGACGCAGCTCTAACGAAAGTGCTTGATGTCTTGGGCTTGACTGAGGTGCGTTCAGTGTCGGCACCGGCACCCATGCAAGAACAGCATCTTTCCGGTCCCAAATTGAGCATTGAGCATCTGCTTTCCAGTGCACTGGACCCTGGACCACCCGCTGCTAATACCGTCGTTGCAAGCGAATCGAATGGCATCTGGGCCCAGACCTCCCCGGAGAGCATGTCGCAGGCTTCCCAACCTAGCATCATACAGATGCCTAGTCCTCATACCGTGTCCACATTTCCCATCTTTGCCGAAGCCAAGGATTTGAGTGTTCCAGTTGCAGAAAATTGTATGCCGACAGAAGATCACCCAGATAACCCTTTGAACAATTGGGACTGGACCATGGATTTCGGAGCATCTTTGACACCACCATCGCCAGAGAACCAAGATCCCGCTACAGAGGTCATGCAGCCATCTTTGGAACCAGTGGGAGTAGTGCCAGGGTCATTCGAACCGCCAGTCGCTCAAACTACTTCTGGTCCTGGTAGGGATGCCAAGAGTACAGAAGAGATAGAGGGTCTTATTGACGAACTCTCCGACCGAGTTGGCACTCTTCGTTTTGGCCCCGAAGGACAATCTTATTTCTATGGTCCGACATCAACATTCAACCTGGCAGACGACGATGCGCCAGCATCCGACAGACAGACCAGCCGCATCTTCAATTACAATGAAATCGACTTTGACACAGCAGTTCCACCAGCCCTTGAAGAGCATCTACTCAACTTATACTTCACATGGCAAGACCCATCTTTCCACGTTACTGACAGGCAGATGCTCGAAGAAGGAAGGTCTGCCTACTTGAGGAGAGAGAAAACTCCCTTCTACTCGGAGGCGCTTTTCTATGCAATGTAATTGCAACCCATTTTCGTCAATCTTTCGATTTGCTAAGTGAAGCCTTTAGGTGCTCCCTTGGCGCTGCGTTTGAAACACGGTATCACCCTTCATTTGTCACATTCCCAAAATCATTGGGGGATTTCCTAGGTGACCGTGCCAAAACCCTTCTTGAAACGGAATTGGATACCCCTTCTGTGGCAACTGTCCAGGCGTTGGTCATCTTGAGCAGCTATGAGATCGGGGTTGGATCCGATACTCGTGGATGGCTTTACAGTGGTATGCTCTATCCAGCTCTCCTGTATCGTTGGCTAAGGTGATATTTCAGGAATGGCCTTGCGACTTGCTTTCGATCTCGCTTTACATATCGACCTTTCTTCACACGTTGCTCGGGGGTCTATAACGGACGCTGATGCTAAACTTCGTCGAACTGTTTTCTGGGCTGCGTACATGGTTGACCAGTAAGATTCTCAGAATTCATAGTACATTTATTATATCCGCTGACTTTATTCTCAACTACAAGACTTGTCGGCTTTTATCTGGGTCGACCGTTCTATACTAATATGGAGGATGTGACTGTGGCGAAACCCGATGGTAGCGTCCAACACCAACAGCCTCACAACTGGACACCATACGCATCTCCCATCCCTTTTGCCAATAATAGCCTGGAGTCCGGGGACTGTGTTGAAGCTGTTAGCCGACAAGAAATATTGCTCTGTGAACTTATGGCCCCTTGCGGGTATTTCCTGTGAGTACTTCCATTTGCTACCTGAACCCTTTGTCCGGGCTGAAACCCCTTCCAGCTATGGAACAGCAGGTATCCCAAGATCAAAGCTCCAGTCTCTCAACGAGAGAATTGTGACCAAACTTCTTGGCTGGAAAGCCCAGCTACCATCGTCTCTACAGATAGATCTCAATGATCACACCTCCCAATATCTACCCCACGTGCTATTACTTCAGTGAGTTACTACCCTAGTCAGCTATTCCGACCTGAAAGCACTTGCGAGTCCTTGTCTGACTTTTACCAAAGCATGCAGTATTATCAAAACCTCATATACAACCATCGGCCCTGGATGTCAAAGGGGTATCTCCAACCACAGCCACCCAAAGGGCCCGGCTACACTCACGCACGAGAGATGTGCATTAACTCAGCTGTTTCTATCGCTAAGATTCTCGTTCTCTACGAGACCAGGTATACACTCCGCCGCATCAACGTCAAAGCAGTCTCCATCACCTCCTCTGCCGTCCTCCTACTTCTCTTCGCAGCCGTATCCCAGTACCAAACACCAGCGAATGACAATATCACTGCCCATCTGAGCACATGTTTCAGGGCTCTGGATGAATTCTCCCTGTCTTGGCAGAGTGCGAATCGCGCGAAAGACCTTCTGGTAAGGCTACGGCATAAGTGGGAGGTTCGTACGCGGGCCAGCAAGCCCAATCGCGCGCCTGATGGCGCTGATTACCCACCAAGAAAGCGATTTCGCAAATTGAATGCATCGGGGTCCAATCTGGTCGATGAAAGAGGTTCCGATGCCCAGCCTGAGCCAAAGGATTTGCAACTGGATTCTGGTCTGGGTTGGATGCTTAGACTAAGTGGCCAGCTACCTTCCGATGGCGATGAAGATCTCTATTCTTTTGTGGCAAACACCGAATTGCCCGAGGCTGACTACGAGGGAGTATGAGTATGAAGGATGCAGGGTGTTTCCCTATGTTTACGATGATAAATCCGACACATTTCCAAGGATCGATTTAAATTTGAAATGTTCATAACGACGAGGACTCTTAATACGAGCAAAATTCCTACTGTTTGATCTATTTCTAATCTTGTGACATGTATTGTAGACTTGACATATCAAGAATGTGCTAGACATGTCAAAAATGAAGTCGGCCAATAGGGGGCAATTGAAAAGGTGAATGTCAGCCCGTTGGATCCGATACTTGGCGAGGCTCTGTGGGGCTGGGGAACGGCAACCTTGAGCTTCAATATCTACTCTGTACAACAATGCTAGTAGCTTCAAAGTTTCAATTATACTTAAGTAGGTACGAGTACAGGTATGTCCCTCGGTAATTGCTCTGCATTTCTCCAGGAGATTCCCAGTGGCTTGCGCTGCATCGAACTAAATCCTTAGTGCGTGTCAGACGGGTGCTTGGACGCAAGCTACCCCAATCTATCATTGGGCGAAGACTGCGGAGGGATCTCGAGCATGTCATTCATTGCACAGAAAAAAATCACTTGAATCCCAATGTCCCAATGACTCGATGTGAATAAAAACAAAGTCGAGAGACAAGATCGGCCCAACCCCCGGACTCAGAATTCCGCTGACATAAGATGTTTCCCCCACCCTTTCAATGAACCACCTTCCATCCTTCCGTCGATTTGCAGCGTTATGGTTTTGAGAAAATGCTCGGTCTGTTCGAGGGTCTTCAAAAAGACCGAACATTATAAGCGACACGAGCGCTCCCGTCAGTAGCTTCGAACGTGAAAAAAAACTGTCGCGTCGATCTAACGTCCAAAATAGACACCAAAGAACGTCCATATGAATGCAATGTCTGCCACAAGCGCTTCTCTCGCAGGTATGTACCTGTGAAGCACTGGATTCAGCCGGGTCCCTCAATGATATGCCATGGGTTAACGTGGGTATAGTGATGTGTTGAGTCGCCATGCCAGAGGCCATAAACAGACCCACACGACAGCCGGCCCATCAGAGGGGCCGTATTTGCAGCCATCGGTGGTAGCTAGTTCTCCAGTCCCAGGTGTAAACAATGCCTCCGTCGTCACAGGAGCACCATGTCTTCCCGCGTCGTCTACGACCCCACGCGAAACACCTCTGGCAACCGGGTTACCGTCGTCGCTGGACTACCTGGCTAACATATCCGCCAACCATGGCCGCAGCGAGACGGAATCAAATACGATGGCAATCGACGAGCCTCAGCCTTATTATGGCTGGAATGAAGTGACACCCGCGGGTCACCCGCCTCGGGCTGGCTTGGCCTTCGACCCGGTGCCAAAAGACATGCTTCAAATGTGGCTCGAACCGCGCACCGATACAGCGTCAAATAATTCGCTGGACCCAATACATGACAATCAACTTCCTCTCATCAGTGATAATTTTATACTCACCCCAGATCCGAGTCGGCGTTCAGTCGACAATAAGCTCGACAGCGACAATATTCCCAACGAGCGCTTCTTCAAAGTTCAGCGGTGCTGGCTGGCACCGCCTAGCACTGGGCGTCTCATCAATAGCTTGTGGCGGGACAGTGCGATGTCTTCGGTCGATAATATTTTCTCCGTCCAGTCATTGCACTTCGCCGATGATCCAAACGCGGGCCAAGGGTCGCGATGTGGATTTGATGAGGATTGCAGACGACGACTACAAGCAGGGTTCTCAGATAACACACAACCTCCTCAAACCACCCCAATAATCCCTGCGGATTGGATCGCCTCGGCATCCCATTACTCCGATTTCCCTCCCGCTGAGATCTTTGACATGTCATTAGACCATTACTTTCGGCTTTTCCATCCACTTTTACCATTCGTCCACGTTCCTACTTTCGCTGCAAACAAAACACGCCCATCACTTCTCTATGTCATGACGCTCATCGGAATGACATTGCTTGGCACTAAGGGAACTACCGCTTTCGTCTCCAGAAATTTCGCTGTATGTTCATGATGATTCTCAATGCCATGCTTGTACTGATACTGACGAACCCCCAGGCCGTTCTGGAGAATGTTACGTCTGAGTTCTCGAGGTGCTCATTGGGGCTCGACAATTCCACTGGTACTGTGACCATGCTTGCCACAGCTTTGTTATTATTGGAGCTGGCGGGATTGACAGGGGTATGTCCATCTCTCTCTTGGCTCAACGGGTTTACTTCTAACCCACACCTTCATACAGAATGGGACATATCTCGGAATGTGCCAGCCTCTTTATATCAACATCATGTCTGTAAGTTTCAGCCCGGTAGCTCGATTATATTGCTTGTGGTTGTGTTTCTGACAAAGTTTTGTGTAGGTAGCTCAACGGCACGGTCTTTTCTCGGTCACTGAGGGACAGATTCTGGATATGACGCTCTTTGAATCAGTCTCAAATATAGACATGAGATGGAAAGCATGGAGCAAGGTTGAGTCCACAAAAAGGCATGTCTTTACCTGTGCATACGTAATAGGCATCACTCTAACAGCATGTCAGAATAATTACCGGACTTCTTCTTCTGGACTCATGGTACTCCTCATTTCTTTCAACAAGCCCTATCGTACATCCAGACTCGATCCAAACCATTCTCCCCTGCAGCGAAGATCTTTTCCGCGCACACTCTTCCACTCGGTGGGCCCAGCTAATCCGCAGCGGCAACCGCATCCTTTCGCTGACAATACGAGCACCATCCGAGAAAGTCAACGTTCCAGCCCTCGAAGGGCCCCTCGAAGACTTCTGCATCCAAGCAGTGTTGGCTATTGTTCATCTTCGCCAATCCGAAGCCTATCACCGCCTCCTCTCTAATAGAGCCAGTTACCCTTTTGCACCTTGCCATACATACGCTATGGACGGCCGTGCCAGATGTCTTCCTTCACTCCAGTCTCAGCTCATCACAGCCTATGGCGAAATTCTCGATCATCTCAATTCAAATACTCTCATTGCCTGGCATTATATGTGTATGATGCTCACGGCTGATATACAAATATTTGACTTGGCCGCTGGCCGCGCGGGCCCAACTCCCGCCCGGAAAGCCCTGGCAGATATCCGCGAGTGGTCGCAGACTCCTGCTGCTCGGCGTGCGTGCCTTCATGCTGCGCTTATATACAAAGTCATGACGAACCGGAAGACATCTGAACATCCTACATTTCAGTCAATATTCTCGCTCTTCTCGGCTGGTCTGGTGTTAGGGCTGTATACTTTTATGGTCCCGGAAGCCACTAACATTTCGTCCACCCTTGGGTCGATAGAGTTGATGGATGATGTTAATTGGAGATCGGTGGGAATGGAAGGATTCACGAGTTTCATGGAGCCCGATGGAAGCCAAGCGTTCTCACCTACCGATAATCCTGCCATCAACTTCATTCGTACTGGCGCTACTATATACCTACGAGGTCTGTCGTTCCAGGGTGGGTATCAATCTGCGCGTCGTGTTCTCCTCGACTACGCTTCTCTTCTCAAAGACTCTGGGAGATGGACGGTCAACCAATTTTCTCACATTTTATATATTATGAGTGATGTGCTTATGGATGTGGAATGAAATACTGGATACGTCTTATTTCTTTTCTATCTCATGAATTTGAGAATAAGAAAGAGATTGATTGCCCATGGGACGGCTGGCGTGGACAACTGGCAATGCCTTAGAAACTTACTAGCGTAATTAGCTGGAATTTCTGGTTGAAATCGGAGAATCTGGCGCTATCTTTGGCATAACCACTCTACTTCAACAAGTCCTGAGGCCTTGGAAAGCCCTTAGGCTCATGGTGAATTAACAAAGGCTTGACTTAACATTCTAAAGTTGTTATTTGAGCTTCGAACATGCATACACCAGGACTATGTACTAAGTAGCTCTTTATCATCCTTCCCACAGCTCTTTGTTGTGCATTACTTCAGTGTGAAGGCCATTATATCATCTTTATACATCAAAGGCTATTGTTGATTGTCTCCACGTGGTCAAAGACTCGAAAATAGCCTATAGATGCGGAACTGAAAGTATATAAGCTTGACAGTATCCCACGATATCTCACCACTATCTTCAGTAACATCATCTTGAATCATCCAACTTTAGAACATCCTCACCCTTACTTACGTATTAACCATCAAAGCTTTTCAGATCTAAATCGCCATCATGGTCTTCGATCACCGTTGTTATGGACTGTTTCGTCGAAACGGCGTCATCATCCCCGACCTGGTTTCTAAAAAGGGCAACCAACGTGTGTACTGGGTCAGTGTTGACTTTAGTATTTTCAACTTACGTGTTGCAGATAACGGGAGTGCAGGACTGATGCGTCTAATGGCCGAACAGATTCGCTCGGGAGTTGCAGTTATCAGCAAGGAGCCCCTGCACCACGAGAAACCTGCTTTTCTTTCACTGCCTGTAGTTGGAGCCCCTGATCTCCCAAGGAAAGATATCCTGGAAGCCGCCGCTGAGAATGCGGATTGGCGCCATGAGGAGATTGTGTGTGGTCGGCTCACCCTTGATGATGATAACATCATCGCATGTCTCCGACCACTTGAGGAGATTAATGGCGCTTAGAGGTGGGTTTGTAAGGGAGTAGTTCGAAGTGGTATGCAGACATTAACAGACTAGAGAGATTGAGAAATTGAGAAAACCCATTACAGTCTTCAAACAAGGTATCAGACTTCAGGAGAACAAAGGACTGCCCAGGTGCTCAAAATAGTAAACTTTAGTTGTAGAACAGACTTGTATATTTCGTATAAGCCGGTGGCCCTATGTCCAAGAGGCCTCTTACTAAGTAGTTGTAGATCTCTATATACAGGCAGTGCTAAAATGAGGCAAATCTAGCGATGGATGGATGGATGGATTTGTTTAACACCCAGGGAGCCGCCGGCGTAGCCGGGGCTCTGGAGCCTCCCTTGGGGCATGGGGGTGTGCTAGCGCAAGGTGAGTTATGTACAGTAATAATCCTCCTTATGTAGCAAATCTTCTCCGAGGAAAAATTTCGCCTTTCGGCAAGTTCAAGTGCGAAAAGCCCGCCAGTTGGCTAAATCAACACGTAAAATCTGAAATGACGCCGTGCGTCTGTCTTGCAGGTGCTGTAGGAAGCAGGGGCAGCAGAGCTGCAGTTCAGGGTGGCAAATCTAGCGATACAAGATTCCATCGACCATTTCACCGATAGCCAAGCAACTCGTCAAACCAGGGCTCTCGATTCCCAACAGGTTAACAAAACCAGGCAATCCCTCTTCTTCGCGGATGATGAAATCCTGGAATCCCTTACCCTCATTGACAGAACCACCCCGACCCAACTTGGGCCGAATGCCACAGTAATCCAAAGCGATGGCATCGACATCGACACCAGGCATGAACGACTTAATCTCCTTCAAGGCCACCTGCAGATTTGCAGGATTTGGTTTCAGATCATCAGGGCTATCAACCCACTGAACATCAGGCCCAAAACGGATGCGCCCACCCATATCAAGTGTCAGATGCGTACCCAGGCTAGGCGTTCCGGGGAGCGTAGCCGGGTAAACCAAAACCGAAGTCCGCGGCCGAGAAGCCGCATATGAGAAATAGGTCCCCTTGGCATAGTGCGGGAAGAAGTGACATTCTGGCGGAAGTAGCATGTTGCTAATAGCACACGCACCGTGACCAGCACTGTTTATCAACGTGTCCGCCGTGAAAGTTGTCACAGAGCCATCTTCATCCGAAACAGCAGTGATCTTGTACCCTCCGCGCCCGCTGTCCACAGCCTCAATCCCCGTAACCCGCGTCTTGAAAGCGACATCTCCACCCCGATCTTCAAAATCGCCCTGCAGATAGGTCATGAGCGAGTGGCTATCCACAATACCAGTTGTCAGGCTCTCGACGATACCCGCGTCGGCCTTGACATCTGGCTCACGGCGGAGGGCCTCGTCTCGGCCGACGAGGCGGGTCGGTGCGTCGAGGTTTTGCGCATGCGCGTGCACTTTCAATGATGCTTCCCATTGGGCTTCGGTTTGGGACACAATCCATTTCTTAGTGTTGCGGTGTGGGATGTCGTTTTGGGAACAGAGTTCGTAAAGGAGGTTGCGGCCCCGGATGCAGAGTGAGGTTTTAAGGGAGTTTGCAGGGTAGTAAAGACCGGCGTGAATTACCTGTTCCTAGTCAGTTAGGTGTATAGAGGGGTAGGAGAGGGGGTCAAGTTGGACCTCGGAGTTGCGACTGCTTGTCTCCGTGCCTGGCGCATCATGGCGCTCAAGCAGGATGGTTGATGTGCCTTCATGGGCTGCTAATTGCCTGGCGGTCGCGAGGCCCACGACACCAGCGCCAATTACCTAAAATTGTCAAATGGTCTGCGCAGTTGGTGTTTGATGGTTAGTCTTACCGCGTGAGTGAAGTCTGCACTGGCAGCGCGGCTACTTGAAAAGCAGCGCCGGCTGGGAAGCTTGATTATATTAAATGCACGTGCAGACATTTCTGCAGAGTTGACCAGCAACTTTCTTGGGTTACACAAGAGAAAGGCAGTCAGGATGTGCCTGGATGACGCGATCCGAGGCCGGGATCGCGCTTATCTCCACCCAAGTACCTAGGTATATGCAGTACTCCTTCATACTTATTGTCGCTCCTCACACTCGATACTTGAATAGCTAGTTCATTCGTTCATAGAGAGCTGTAGATTATTGTGAATGCAATGTTTGTCTTATAATATATTATCATCCTATCTAGTACTCCGTACATATGATGCTTATGCAGTCTCGTTCTATCGTTTGGTGCTATTCCTTAACATCTCATCCAAATGCTATATGCCGAGTTAGCGAGCTCAAATCGGATCTAGAGAAGAGGTACTCACCTGTTTCTGCTCAGTCGCTAGTTTGCCTTGGGTATCCTAATTCGTCAGTCAGCGGGTGGTCCCAATCAGCAGTGGAGTAAGCCTACACTAATGATGGTTAGGATCAAAGAATAATTGTTGAACAGGAAACGTTCTCTTCGCTTGGCATCAGTGCCATTACGGCTCAACTTGGCCAGAAGCGAATCGAATTCAGCCGTCAACCGAGCCAGACTGTTAGATACCGGCTCATCGTCGCCGGCATCACTGCTCAAAACCAGAATTCCATGGAGAAGCTGTCCAAATCGCTGGGTCAAAAAGTGGGGTGCCGATGACTGCTTCAGGTCATCTCCGCCTGCAATAGAAAGTGCCGAAACAGCACTTCGCCCAGTGTTGGACCCAACGCGTTTCAGTGACTCGCCATGGTGGTCCATGATAACTTGGAAACGCGGCCATAATTGCATGTTCGTTCCATTCACGTAAGAGTCTGCGACTGGGACTTTGCGACGCTGGAGCTCGAATGCAGAATGCTGATTAAGACGAACACACATTAGAACTCCTAGCGAGTCTGTGGTTTGTTCAATCAACTTTTTGGTCAGGGCCTGGCCTAAATTGAAGACCTGTTGGAATATTTCCACGGTGTTGCGAGAAATTTGGTGGAACGTTTTTGCGGAGAAAAATTCTGTAAGGAAAGAGTACTCGGAGCAAATGTTGTCCACCAAAGCAAGGTTGAAATTGCGGAAGGGAACTTCAATGCCATGATAAGTATTATCCTCTTCAGCCAGATAAGAGGTTAGAGCTTGAAGATTGCCGGTTCGGAGAATGTCAATTCTTCTGCCCAAGGAGAAAGGATCATGTGCGACAGAGCCAGCTCGGCCGCCCGGGATTATGTTACCTGAAAGGAGTCAGTACTTATGTGGGAGTAGGTGTGTGTGTGTGTTGTTCTGACCTGTCCGATGTGTAGAGGGATCACCTCCAAGCACTTCATTTCGATCGGGAGGATAGACCTTGATCTTATCGAGGGCTTGAAGATAGCGGGTGAAATGCGACGTGTAATACCAGCGCATTGTGTTGATGTAAGCCTGAGAGATCTCCCCTGCTAGCTTTGGATGGGCCTTCGAAAGATAGCTGTATAGATCTTTGAACTTGACCAAGCGCTGTTGTTGGATAATCTGTGAATTGATATTTGGTGAGCGCATTGCGCGGATCTGAGATACCAGGTAGTCTCTGATTCTTTCGACGGCCTTCGCAAATGTCAGTCAGGTTCAATCAGGGTGGAAGCAACAGTTAATACCTTGTTTTTGACATCTGTCAAAAGCGGTCGAACGTCCTCCACAGCCTTAAATCCGTTGTTGGATGCAGCTGCCTTTGCTTCAATGTTTGTGGTTCTAGTATCAATCTCATTCAAAGCGCGGACCCAGTTCTCATCCATCGGACCTTCGACAATTGTCCGCACGGCTTTCGGAGAGATGCTGATCTCCTCAACGGCAGGACCTAACAGTCTTTCCACACTTCGCCTATTCTCTAGCATTGCATTCAATTGAGTTGATCGAGATTGTAACGTTTCAATCTCTGCTGACACAGCACCCAGTTCATTTTGGAAATCGTTCAAGTACAGCTCAACTGACTTGGAAACCTCATCGCAACCAGTGATTGATGTGTGCAGCTCCTGAAACCGATCCCGTTCTTTTTCAAATTGTTGGACGGTTTGTGCATTGATGTCGTTATCCAAAGTCTGTCTCCGCGGTGTCGGTTCCTCCTTTTCCAGGAATTCCTCGAGACTCAGCCCATCGAATCGAATGGTTTCCACCAGTTGCGCTGGTCTTCCCACGTCCGAGGATAATGTGGGAACATTCTTAGCGATTTGGGATTCTTTGCCAATGATCCCATTCAACACCTCTAGCGGATCGGGAACATTGGCCGGCCGAGGGCGTTGAATACTTGTCTGCTTCAATGGGGATCCATTGGCCCCACGCGCAGTACCTGGCAATGATGTGGTAGATTCGTTTGGGGTCGCAAGAAGAGATGTCGAGGAGGTTCGGGACGTCACGCCAGGACGATTGTAGGGACTCGGGGAGAGCTGGGATGATGATCGTCGGGGTAAGGGTAGGGGAGAAAGGTTGCGGCTATTCGCTCCGGCAGGAGTTGTCTGGCCAGAAATGCGGTCGCGCCACATATTGCGAAATGAGCAGCATGGAAATACCCAAGAAAGTGAGAGTCGCGATACCCCAACTGCGAAGTAGTTAGGAGGACACTCGGACACTACCTGTATACACACTAAACCCAACAGGGTAATAGCCAATCAGGAAGCGACCCCGCCACCGCGCCCACGAAAATCTATTAATCGCTTTGATTTTCTCTTCTCTTCTTCTACTTTTCCCCCTCCCCATCCCAAATCCCTTGTCTATCCCTCCTTTTTTCCCTCTTCCCTCATAATCTATTCACCATGTCTGCCGAGGAGGTACGTATTCCTTGTTTGCTTTTTCCAGAGCCATTGGCTATCCTGCGCTGGGGGGATTTTTTTTTGCCCAGCCCCGCATGCGGCTCCCCCTCTCTGCTCTTCTCGAAGGGCACGAGGCCACGAAAACGACCCCCGCTCATCGGTTTTGAAAGCCTTGAAGACTAACATGTTTTTAATTTAGCACGATGTCACCTTCGACTCGGCTGATGCCGGAGCTTCGCTCACCTACCCCATGCAGTGCTCTGCTCTGCGCAAGAACGGCCACGTTGTGATCAAGAACCGTCCCTGCAAGATCATTGACATGTCCACTTCCAAGACCGGTAAGCACGGTCACGCCAAGGTTCACCTTGTCGCCACCGATATCTTCACCGGCAAGAAGCTCGAGGATCTCTCTCCCTCCACCCACAACATGGACGTCCCCAACGTTGTCCGTAAGGAGTACCAGCTCGTGAGTGTCACCTGACAAAACCTAAACCCCGCGTCAGCGTACTGACCAGCAATAGCTCGACATCACCGAGGATGGCTTCATGTCCCTGATGACCGACAACGGTGACACCAAGGATGATGTCAAGGTTCCCGACAACGACGTTGGTGAGAAGATCAACCAGATGTACACCGTTGAGGAGAAGGACTGCAGTAAGTCGCAAAGCTTATACCCTATTTATGAGCTTAATCACTGACATAAATTGTCTAGACATTGTTGTCCTTACCGCTATGGGTGAGGAGATGGCCATGGAGTGCAAGGAGGCTCCCAAATAAACTCCCTATACCAGGATATCTTACTTGTTATGCCAACCTTTATGTTCCACATGGGCTCAAAGCCCCCCAAAAATTCATCTTTCATGGTTCAACGGTCGATGTGATCCTTTTGAATGATTTGGTTCAATGATTCAGGATCTTTCTACCCTATAGCCTTGGATGTGGGCTGGACCAAGAATTGCTTTGATTGGCATAATATGTGTTGTCCGAACAGTTCTGAGTCTCAGCATCTCATGATAGTGTGACGAATTACTAAATACTCAAATCTTCCAAGGTTGTTGCTTGACATCTCTAATTTGTGGATATCATTCCGCATTTGTAGCTTGCCAGAACATCTAGAAGGTATAGAGCGTATGTACGGAGTATGACCAGGTATGTACCCGTAGACGAACTTAACGTACTTGTGGGTTCCTGGTAGGCTGTGGTACACCCATAAACCAGACGAGATAAATCGTCCCAAAGAACTAAAGAGGACTAATTGATTTCTGGGAATTCCGTCCGATCTCAAGAAAGGAAAAAAAAAAAAAAAGCCAGTCAATCTACATAAATGTTGCGCATTGCGGGACTGGTGGAGCAACACCATCGGCGGTCACTAGGAATGAGGCAGAAAAAAAGTCCCAACTCTGTCTCTTCCCCAAAGCATGAACAAATGCCTTGATGGACTACGTTACCCGAGGGGTCTGCGGTCAAGAAGGATGCCGTGAAAGGCGCTACTACATCGACAATGGTCTTTGGTATTGTCGACGCGGCCATTTGCAAGAGGTATGACGCTTCTGTCGTTCCCTGCCTATCACCGCATCACCAAAGGTCATCGGAGAGCTGACCTGATTCGATCCAGGGTGTTCAAGTCGCAGAAGATGGCGATGATTTCGGGAACTTAGGTAAAGTTCATCGCGTGAAGAAAGAAATTAGAGAGAAATCAACAAAAAGTAAGTACATCGGACATCGAAACCATATGTTGCTGACCTTGCGTCAATAGCTCTACATGGACGTCCGGCGTGGACGCTTTTCTTGCAAATTTACCAACTCATTCTTTGGAAGCAATCTCATGCTTTGGTTCATGATCATGGCTTCCCAGAAGAATTAGAGGTAGGTGCAAAAGTCGATTTTCAAGGATCAAGCGCTCATCAAGTCAGATCGTGGTTCGTGATCTCTGGGCCCTGCGACTTCCAGACTATAAGTTGAAGATCACCGATTCCAATGAAGACGAAGATGTCGATACCGACCGCGAGGTGTTTAGCTCCCAGGTCATCCAGAGTGATGATTCTGAGGTCGGGTTCAAGCCAAACTCAAGATTTGTCGAATGGCCCCGTCTCATCGATGCCGTGGGACTATGCTACATCGCAGCGCTATTGATGCGGGTTCCTGTTTGTGTAAATGACTTTTACGAGTATGCATGCCGTACCCTTCAATGAGCTTGGGCTTTAGTCCCAGGCTCGTCAATGTTTCTATGCTCACACTGCTCCCTAGCATGATCATACAACAGCAAATTCCTTTTACACGCGTGACCGCAAGCGTACCTCCAGAAATGAGAGAAAAGCTTCCACCCGAGCTAACTGGAATTCTTGAGAGTAACGTGAGTATAGCCCTATCCACCAATCTACCTGATGTCAGACCTAACCGAACATGACACAGAAACTCCCCGAGGTCGGGCATCTCCATAACGCTGTTCAAGCATTATCTTTGTTTTATCAACGCCGCTTTGAAGTGGTACTTCCTCCTCTCAATTGGCCTGTACTTCTCTTTCGGCATATCAAGAGATTGGCCTTACCTAGTGAGAATACCCGTCCATGCCACAGCTCCCTGAACTAACAACCTCCTAGTCGAGGTGTATGATGGCGTCAAAAATCTGAAAAATCTATTAAATGTCACGTTCGAGTATCCCAAGCCAAAGGCGACCATTGAGCGAAAGAAATCACATCATTACCCTGATGTGGAGTTGGTTGTGCTCATCGTTATTGCCACCAAGCTTCTGTTCCCCTTCGATGATGTAAAAAGATATCCTACCACCAACATGGAGCCTGCAACACAAATCATGGACTGGTCACAATGGGCACTTGCACAAACGGCTTTTGACTCTGATTCATACTTCAAAGAGAACATCGGGAAGGATGCTGCAGTCCGTATCACAGATAGTGATGTGCTGAATATGTCCACCGACCAATTGGACCACTACATGGATTGGTACGCAGATAGCTGGCTGGATACTTCGGCAGCCCCGGGTCGTCTCGCTGAGATGTTCCCCATCCAACGGGGTGACGCCCAGCCAAACTCTACAATCGATCATGGGCCTCCTTCTGATCCAGCTGTCGCACCTGACACAACACAAAAGAAACTTGATACGTTGCTACACGAAGTTATGCAGAACATCAAACCTAGACGAGTCATCCCTGGGGACAACGAAGAGCCCAAGCGCCCCGGCGAAGTCTACCGCCGGTACCGATGGGAATCCCAGCTCAGTGGCACCGCACGGACTTTTTACGAAATTGCTGCCCAGCTCGCTGCAGTTCCGTTGAAAACATTAGTCCGTGCTGTGACACTCGCTGAATACAAGATTGCTAAGAGCGACGAGAGGCGACAGCGTCGGGAATTCTTCGAAAACCAAGGTGTGGAGGTTGATGACAGTGACGCCGATCAAGATCTTGAGATCGAGGATAGTGATGAGGATCAGGAATTTTGATTTGACTTGAACGATATTAGCGAGCACGGAACTTTATATTTATGCACCTCAGATGTGTACATTGTTTGGAGCAAGGAGTATGTAGAATGAAATTGATCTGGAGCATCACAATCAGGAATGCATAACTATTTCAGGACATCGTCATAGTTCTTAGCCCCGGGATCCATCCATCGCTGGCTCGGCTCCCCTCATTGGCCGATTGTGCTGGCTCCGGGAGTCAAGCCGGGGTGTCTACATCATCTAGTTTAGATGTTCAAAAGATGTACTAGCATTGTCACTTGAAAGAATGAACACTTGAGTATGCGCTCAGGGCCTCGATTTTCACGGGCAATCGCCTCGGTTACTCAACTAATCCTCTGATTGATCTGTAAAGAGAGACATTTGCGAATTACCCGTTCCAAATCTTGTATCACGTGGGGATCGGCGGTCAAGTAGCCCTAAGTAACAGCGGCAGAATGGTAGGGCTTTTTCACCGCTTCCCGTTCGCTTAGAGCACGGGCCCACGGCTGACATAATCGCCACAACGTCGAAGTCGCAATCCTCAAATTGACCATCGCGCCTGGAACTCAGCGACCGACAGCCGACACCAACGAAAACCGCAACCAGTACGTGCCATACACCCCTTCCCCAGCAGCATCTCTGCAATACTATGGACTTAACCAGCTAACATCGTCTTTTTCCGCGCCTTTTCAGTGCAGATGTAGGTCATCCTGAACCACTTCGATGTCATCGCGAACCCGCCACTCCCGATTCATCGCCCACACGACCCACGCAGGAAAATGAATATGGACTAATACGGTGCGATATAGTTTCGTCAAGACCCTGACGGGTAAGACCATTACCCTGGATGTCGAGTCCAGCGACACCATCGACAACGTCAAGACCAAGATCCAGGACAAGGAGGGTATCCCCCCTGACCAGCAGCGCCTGATCTTCGCCGGCAAGCAGCTCGAGGATGGCCGCACCCTGAGCGACTACAACATCCAGAAGGTATGCGATCGACTTCAACCTTGATGAAATGGACCAAAAGTGGGGGAATGTGGTATCTCAGATGGGCTGGTTCTCCGACTACTATGTCACACGACGATGCTCATTCTACGCTGGATACGCAAGAGGAGGAAATTTTTGTCGCTTTGATCTATGGTGTGCGAAATGATGGAATCGTGACTAACGTGGGAATCCATCTATAGGAGTCCACCCTTCACCTTGTGCTCCGTCTCCGTGGTGGTATCATTGAGCCCTCCCTCAAGGCCCTCGCCTCCAAGTACAACTGCGAGAAGGCCATTTGCCGCAAGTGCTACGTACGCTCACCCCGTCTCCCATCTTTATTCGCTATGCGTCGCGACACTGCTTAATGGCACCGATGATCAAATACGTCACGACAATTTACTGACAATGGAACAGGCTCGTCTTCCTCCCCGTGCCACCAACTGCCGCAAGAAGAAGTGTGGCCACACCAACCAGCTCCGCCCCAAGAAGAAGCTCAAATAAGCGACTCGCTCCTCGGTGTTGTGCTCGGCGTGCTGTTGTGCAGACTCCAGAGCTGGGGATTGGCTGGACTGCTACATGGAGAGGATTACAAATGGCGTTAGATATGATGATAAAATCAATGCAGCCACAGTCATACTTTTTCTAGTTGGCTCCTCTCGACGACCAAGTTGCACCCCATGAATGAAATGTGTAAAATCCAAAAGTCGAATTGTCTCGCATTTCTCATTTCTTCTGATAAAAAAAAGTACAATACATTCATGTGTCCTATAATAAGCACACGCCTAGCAAGTTGCGAGAGACCTGCTGCCTGAGCAAGGCCGCCAGAATGAACAGTGTTCCAAATTCAATGCGGATTTGGTCTCCACTATGCCCTGAACATCATTCCCTGCTTGTCATCTGTCTTGTTGTCGTCATTGGGGGTCTCCTTGTTTTTCTTCGAAACCGGACTTCCATGACTATCAGATATGTCAGTTCAAGATCGACTTGTGGGTGTGCTAAGACCAAAACTCACGCGAAGAAAAGCACTTTGATGGCGATAGCGAGTCCTGCATGTAGAACCACAACCAAGATCAAAAGGATCTTGCTCGCCTTGGCATCTGTAGCATTCAGGACTGGGTACAAGTTCCGCAGGAGGAAGAACACAGTCCAAGCAAAGCCAACACCAACAAGCGCCCAGTTGAGCGCAGTCAGTGGGCTCCAGCTAACCAGCGCAACGGCAATCCAAACCAAGTTCGAATATCCATACAAGGCCCAGCACTCAATCAAATCTGCCGTGGAGCTGCCGAACCAACGCAGCGCGCCCCACAGCGCAATAGGCAAGATACCCGTGTATCCATAGATCAAGCCTGCTGCCCCAGAGAGCAATGTAAAGTCATATTCGAAGTGTTTGTCGTCATTGTTCGACAGCCATTGCGAGATAGTACCCGTCAAGAATAGGATCACGACTACCGTGGTAGCAATCCAGATAGGCCCGTACAAGTCCGCTCTACCCTCCAACACATCCAGGAAGTTGGTACGGGGGTATAAAGCAGCGACGCAGCGGCGGAATACCTCATTTGTATCGACGTCGAAAAATTGCTCGTAGTAGTGCAGAGACCACCAGTTGTGCTTGGTTGGCGTGCCGCCAGGAGACCGGTCGCGGTTGCGCGACGACCCGCCGCCCAGGAACGGAGCCGAGTCGCCTTGGGGCTTGTTGTTCCTTTGGTCGCTCTCGAAGTCTAGAATTTGTTAGAAAGGGGATTGTAGTGCCTTGGGGGGAGCTCACTTGAAGGGTGGAATTCAAGGTCTTCTTGCAAGTCGGTATGCCCAAGGTCGCCCTATTCGTCGGTTAGATTGAGCAATTCACTGACGATGAAGGTAAACTGACCTCTGCATCTACGTCTACGACGACATCGTAGCCTCGGTTCGCCATGGTTGTGGTGCTGGTATGGGGTTGGGGAAGGGGAGTGGTCAAGTGTACACATCAGCTCCCGCAGATTGAGCCACCGCTTGAGCCACAACTGCGGGTCCTGGGAGTGTCATGCACGACTCCGTATTAGTACTCGTATGCTCCGTATTTTATGTCAATTCCACGTTCATCTTCAATATTGAAACATTAATCTCATAGTTTTGTCGATGAGTGATTTTGAGGATTATTAATTTTGATTATGTACATTCATTATCATACATCCATGGATATCCACGGGTGCGGCAACATCTGTCCCAAGGTTGCTGCATCGCTATCAGGCAGGAAATCATTGCCAGCTCTGGAGTGTCTTTTGAATTCGGCCGACATAGGACCAGATAGATGCGTCGAGGCCTTTCCTGCGGATGTAGAAAGAGGCCGTTCCCACCAAGATAGCCAGCGCAATTGATCCCACGGAGCGGCGGTGTTTCCACAAGAAACCGAGGGCTTGTTTCTTGCGCTCCTCGTTGCGGATTTGCTGGGATTGTTTGTTGAACAGGTATACTGCGTCTTCGACAGAAGTACCTCGATACCGATCACGCGAGGTCTTCAGCACACTGCACCAAGGAATGTGTTCCCAGGCTCGAAGCGGCAGCGACTCCGGCGGGTGATCCTCAAATAGCTGCGTCGCACGGAGGATGTGGCCATCCAAATCGAGCGGGTTGGGGAGTTTGGAGAGCGTAAAATGAAGCATCTCAGGTTCGTCTTCCGGGATTTCCAACAGCTCATTCTTTCTCGATAGGATCATTGCTGCAAAGAGATAGATCGCAACTACTGGTTCCTGCGCTAGAAGGAAGTCAAACAGCCTGGCGATACTGCTGTATTCTTGGATGTCATGGGCATATAATGTCAGAGTGGCTGCAAGTGCGAAGAATGGCTGGATATTGCCGAGATGATGTCTCAGTTCCGGGTCTGTTGTTTCAATGATTGCTGGAATCAGATGCAGGTGTTTGACTGCTGGCGAAAGTGAGGGCAGCATGTAGTCTCTTATGCGGAAGAGCGATATCTGCGCGACTGCCGGCAAGGCTTTCTTCTCGCCCAGCACCAAGAGAAGGACTTGTACAATGTCATGGTAGCCTTGGAAGTAGCATAGCATTGGGAATTCCCGGAGCACTTTGGTTATCAAGTTGGACAACTCCTTTTTTCTCGCCTGCAACTCTTCCACAGGGGCTAATATAGATTAGTAGATATTCAGGTCGGGTCATGTACTCGTTGGCAATGACCTACCGTTTTTGGGGTAGTAAACAAAAGACCGGTTCACGTCAAGATCAACCTGGTCTTCCTCGGCATGATGCGGAAGTTCTTGGCTATAGGACGTTTTAAAATTTGGAAATTTTGCGTCACATTGTAATAACATAGGCCCTGTGATATGGTCAATTGAGATATTTCTCCCTCATGAGCGGAATGAGGAGACTTACACGCAATTTGCCGTAGCTCATCTTCCAACAATCCCCCCTCTGATGTCGCATGCCTAACCAACTCTTCCACGTCATGAGATGCGCAGGCTTTGCGGATATCACTGGCCTTTTTGGCTCTTGCCCGTAACATCTCCTTTTCTTTCATAGACAGCGTTGATTCTTTTGTTTCGCAGGGCTCCATTTTAGGCTCCCCTGTGAGATGAGGCTCATTCTGTTCATCCCCGGGGGGTTCCATCGTTTGATTTTTGGTGAAACCGTTCCAGGAATCGTGATAGATTATTCAATAATCAACTAATCAGTGACCTGACTGGTTGCCTGTCGTACTATGTCTTCACAGATAAACGGGCAAGGATCACGTTTATTGTACTGAGGATGAGCCTCAGCTTGCATTGACGATCTGCATGTACCTCAATAAGGTTTCTTCAGCAGAGCATGTCTAGGTAAGCTACCGCAGTGCTGGGTCTCCGTTTATTGGCGCAATGTGTGGTGTACTGATGATTCTTTACATGTAGACCGTGGAGTCTGGAGGTCGCGACCCACTTTGTTGCCTAAGGCATCTCTCGGCCACCGCGACATGTTTTCGCCGATAACAACGTTCGTCCTGTTACAATGCTGAAGCTCACACGAATCTCTCGTGGAATTACTCCTGTGGCATCTTGGTCGTTTTTTCTTCGGTGGTGAAAGTTGCATTTTGTCAACAGACACCGGGTAGTGGGGTAGCGAAACGGCAGTGATTGCATTGCATCGCTTCCGGGCACACGGATGTCTACTTGCTTGAAGCCATCGCCCCCGGTTCACAGACATAGCTCTCATACTGTCTAATCAGTCGAGATTGCAAAAATAGTTGCTTTGTTGACTACGAAATTGCTGAAGCTTCCCGGTTCCTAGGTAGGTCCCAGTCGCTATACCTGGGTCCAGGAAACATGGGCTAAATGCAGAGACAGGGTATACTTGAAGACCATCCCTCATTCACGGGCTGGCTGTTTGAGGCACTAAACACATTACCTGTGTATCAACTTAAGTCTGACTCAGGAATTCACTAATTGTGGCCGGTTGATCTCTAAGAAACCCCGCCCCGCGAGGTATGGAGAGAGAGGTATATCTTTCCGAAATTGCCCAGATGGTTGACAATTCAACTTCATGATCTAATTGGCATATTAATTCATCTCCAAACGCATATACCTGGGGAATCCTTCAGCTGTGGGGGAATTCGCCTCAGGCCATCTAATTAAGGATCTGATATACATCTCAGCCTCGATACTGCTCCTCTCCCATCTACAAAATTCCCTTCAGAGTTCTCCCTGTTCTCTCCATCCTTACACCCCCATCTGTCTTCCAATTCCCCTGTGTCCTCAAACTCAAGCGCCTCGCTTATTCTTCTCTCACTTCTCTTTTTCACGCCATTACCTCAACTCAATGAGTACCATGCCAGGCATGCATCCAACCCCTCCTGTGGGTATCCTGACCCAGCCACTTGTACCCAGTCCCATGACCAACTGGATACTGCCGGCGCGCATCAGACATAAAAATAATAACGATGTGGTGTTTGTCGGAGAACGTGGCATCCAGATCAAGGAGGCCCTTCCCAGCGGTCACCTCGAGGACGTTGTGGAAAAATCAGACTTTGATGGCCTACCTCTTGGTGCAAAGATAATCAACGTCAATACACGATTGCCCTGGGAGACACAGTTGTCGCCATCGAGCCCCCAGGATTCTGCCCAGAGCTTTGAAGACCTTCCGCCGCAAATCTTGTTTATGGCCACCGATGCAAATGAACTTCATTTCATGTATTGGTCATATGGTACTGGTCAATTTGTGTCATATTGTCGACGTTTACCACGCGACGTCAACGCATCTGAAAAATTCGGCACACACATTGCTGTTGATCCTAAGTATGCCCTTCCCCCAGATCGGTCTCTACATTTTGAGAAAAAGAAGTCTCACTGAAAAATTAGGTCGCGCGCAGTCGCAGTCAGCGCATCGAGGAATTTCCTCGCCGTATTCTGTTTAGATCACCCCACCAATATCCAGAGACAGATGGCACGTGGGGGGCTTGATCCCATACAAAAGGTACATTGGTCTTATTGTGCTTCTTTTCAAAGATCAGAACTGACATATTCCTACACAGGAGAAATTCTTGCAAGTGGATGGTGACATCTTGTTCATGGAATTCCTCTACCCCAAGTCACTTGATGATAAGCGCACTCTGCTTCTCCTCATTGTTCATCGAGATGAGGCAACAAGCGCCATGGTATTTGAATGGGACGAGAACAGTATGCAGAACAACTTGAATCCCAAAAAAACCACAACTCAGTTTCCCCCGCAAGACTACCTACCCACCATGGTCGTCCCCTTGGCCAAGGAGTCTTCGTACTTGCTGATTACCACAAAATCAATGGCAATGTACACGCCCAATAGCTCATCTCGTCCGATGAGATACCCACCCATCATTCCTGACACCGGTGCTCACCAGGTTGGGATCTGGACTCGCTGGGCAAGGCCTTCTCGCAACTGGCTATACAGTCAGAAATACGACGCAATCATTCTCTGCCGAGAAGACGGTTGGATCTATTATCTCGAGTTTGGTAATGACGGTGAACTTGAAACTCAAACTTCGCTGGGTCAACTGCATTGCGATGTTGACACAGCATTTGATGTCCTAGATATGGGTTTTGAAGGTGGTGACTTCATTCTGGCGGCTGGAAGTCAAGGTGATGGTGGTCTGTTTGTCCAGGAGGCACGAGATCACCCGAGATGTGTGCAACGCTTTGTCAACTGGGCACCCGTCACAGATGCAATCGCGGTGCCCTCGGGTAATCAAGGGACGACCGGATTAGACTCGACCCATGATCGCCTTTTCGTCTGTTCAACATCTGCCTCCGGCAATGGGGCCATTACTGAACTTAGACATGGCATCGAGGCTCGGATTGGTGTCTCTATTTTGATCGAGGAATTGCCCGCAGTGCATGACATGTGGGCGATGCCATATGGAGATCTGTCGCAGATATTCCTCTTGGTGTCTGATCCGATGTCGTCTATGATTCTTCAGACAACATCAGATCTGGCCAACGGAATCGAGGCTCTTCCCAATGAGGACAGCTGGGGCGACGAAGAAACCCTGGCGGTGGGCTGCACTCCTCGTGGAGATATTTTCCAGGTCACAAAACATGGCATTCATGTATTTGGGCCGGGTGAACCCAGAGTATCTCATTTTACTCCGCATGGGTCCGATACCGTTGTCACGGCAGCTACGGTTGATGGTCTGAGTTTCATAATAGCCATGGCTGTCAGATCTAACAAGGGAAACTTCCTTCGGGTTGTCCGAATGAACACAGATATCACCGCGAATGAATTGCTTTACCATGATCAACCCCGTCGACTGGAAAAAGAGGCCATCTCCATATTCTATCAAAACTGGGGCTCTGTGGGGCTCATCTTTTTGGGAACTAGTGATGGAACAGTGCTTTCCTTTGAGGTTCATGACCAATTCGATGGATTAGAACAACTTGCGGACACGAATATCTCAGTCGAGGCTGGAGAGGACGTTTCAAAAGCCATCTCAAGTATTGCAGTTATCCGCGCGATGTCCAACAATGATCTCCACGGGCGTCTTTTCTGCGGCTTGCGAAGTGGTATTCTCGTCTCTTTTGAGATGGAGCTTCATGCGAACGGTTTACGAGGTAAGACATCATACTCAAACGCAAACAACCCATGAACTGAACTTTCGTCTCTAGGCCTCAAGCAAGGATCGTCAAAGCGCCTTGGTCAAACTTCCATAAATTTTCAAGCCCAGGAGGAAATTGCACTCTTCACATGTGGGAATGATTTCTGGCGAGTTTCATTTTCACCAGGCCTCGCCAATCCTGACTATGCTCTATCCAGGGTGTTTATCACTGACCAAAACCGAGTAAGCGTTACGTCCTCAATCAGACCTTTTGATGTATATGATCTAACTGTTATGCCAGCCTGCATTCTCCCCAACGAATGTCTCAAGCTTTTCCTTCGTTCACACAAATGATCAGTACTCAGGAGCTATATGTGCTTCCCTTTTCTGCTGGGCAGATGGCGAGCTTCTGGTGTGCTCTCTCGATTCAGAGGACAAGCCAATCCCCCGGCGGATCGATATTCCAGGGAACCCAAACAAGTTGACCTACTCTGAACACCTCCGAAGCCTCATTGTCTCTTACAGTGTTGCTCAAGCCAGCGAGAAATCACCTCTTAATATTGTCAGGAAGTCGTATCTTGAATTCGTGGACCCAGACACTCAAACCCAAGTTGCCCTGGTTGACGAGCAAATGGTTGCCGAAGGCCTATCCCCATGGAGGCCAAGCGGTAGCCCTGGAGAGAAAATCACCTGCATATTTGATTGGATGCCCCAGAAGGATGGCAATGCATATCATCTCATTGCCGTTGGGACTTCTATCCCGACACCTCACCATCCAACCGAGCGCACTGGCCGTATCTTGCTATTACAGGCATACAGAGACCCCAACTCTCCTTCCCAAATCGTTTGTGTGGACAAGCATATGAAGGTGTGCGCTAGTCCAGTTACTGCAATGGCGGCATACGCCGATAGCCTGATTGTTGCCTCTGGAAAGTCATTTTTGGCACTTGCCTCGAAGAACTCGCAAGTCGGATGGGTCCGTAACATCACAGCTCGTCTTCCTTCTCCTGCCGTCTCGATGTCGGTGCATAACAACCTCATTTATGTCACTACTGCGAGAGACTCCTTGTTAATCTGCAAGATTGAAGGGGGCGATATCTCGGTCGTCGACTCCCATTCTGTCGCGCTCGATGGGTTGTCGCACTCGTTTGTTGCCGGGCTCGAGGGGTGCCCAAACCGTGCCTTTGTTAGTTCCCGAGGCGGCACTGTCCAGGCGTTTGCGGATGATTTCCCTGCAAGCGCCTCCGGTGATCGCCCAACGGTCCGGTTCCCCGTCTCAATCTTGAGGCTTGTCCAGGGCTACAATGCCCCATCTTCCCTGGCAACTAGGAGCACCCTGTATGGGTTCGCTATCAATGGATCAATCTACCGGCTCGTGTCCTTGGCTGCCGATGAGTGGACTCTTCTTGAAGCCTTGGTCCTCTTATGCATGAGTGACAAACGTATGTGTCCTTCTTTGGCCCGCAGGAACCGTTTTGCAACCGCGTCCGCCAATTTCCACAAGAATCATCATATTGACGGTAGTATTCTCGCCCGTCTTCTTACTTTCGACAAAGATGTTCTTCGTAAGATGGTTCTCGACTGCAGCCGGGGAGAAAATGAAAAGTTGCTCCCTGTGATAGCAGAGACGTTTCAACAAGCGGCCTTCAACTTGCTGGGGCCTTCTGATGACTATCCTCGGGCTGTATTCTCCTGGCTTTGGGATGTCCTGCGCGTGGAAATTTGAGCATGGTCCTTTGGAATCCAACCAGGACATATCGACCCATGTGTGATGTAACTACACTATTGATAAATTTCAATATTCTTGTCAATTGCAGAGTCAGTAAATCCCAATTAAAAATCATACATGCTAGAAGCATGAATTTAAAATGGTATATAAGTAGTGTACCTGATGTATTGCTGGTCATGGCAATGAAGTGAAGTCAGATCTGATTCCCCACCGTCAATGATTCTTTCCGAAATTCTTTTCTCTCCCACACCCCTCCCTTAATCCACCTATCCAGAGAGCTTTTATCTCTCTGCCTTTCATTCTGGGGATTGTCTTTTTCATTTCTCTCTCTTATTATTCTTCATACGTGCGCCTATCACGTATCGCAAATAACCGGTTAACTCCGTTTGTGCGCTGCATTTCTCCGGTCTCCACTCGAATCGGATCACAAAACACATCAAGCTATCAACATGGCGCCTAAGAAGAAGGGAAACAAGAGACAGGAGGAGGACTGGGAGGCTGATCTTGGCGAGTCTGCCCCTGCTGTCGACGCTCCTCCCGCCGAGGAGGCTCAAGAAGACAATGAAGAGGCTCCAGTGGGTGGCCTGATGGCTGCCTTGAGAAAGAACAAGGCCAAGAAGGCCAATAAGAAGGGCAAGGCCAACAACGACTTCGTTGAGGGCGAGGATGCCAGCGCTGGTAACGACTTGGCCAGCAAGCAGCCCGAGGAGGGTAACTTCGACGACGACGATGTCTTCGCTGGAAAGCAGACCAAGCCCATCAAGGATATTGTCAAGCCCGCAGCTGAAGAGCCGGAGGCTGGCGAGTTCCGTGTGAAGACTAAGAAGGAGAAGGAGCGCGAGAAGAAGGAGAAAGAGAAGCAGCGCAAGAAGGAGCAGGTAGGTTCTTGTAATCGCCAATCTACGTAAGGTGATATTCTGTTGGCTAATTCATTCCTCTTCCCACAGGCCGCCACAAAGAAGAAGCTTACCCCTGCTCAAGAAAAGGCCGAGGCCAAGAAGACTGCTGCCGCTGAGGCCAAGAAGGACGAGCCCGCTGCCGCCCCCGCCGCCCCCGCCGCCGACACTGGCAAGAAGAAGAAGCTTCCTCCTCACTTGGCCGCCCTTCAGAAGCAACAGGAGCTCCTGCGTCAACAGCGTGAGGAAGAGGAGCGTCTTGTAGCGGAAGCAAAGGAGGCTGCTGCCAAGCAAAAACTTCTTGATGACGAGGAAGAGAAGAAGCGGGCTGAGATTCGTGAGCGCAAGAAGGAGAAGGAGCGTGAGAAGAAGGAGCAGCTGCGCAAAGAGGGCAAGCTCCTCACCAAGGCCCAGAAAGAGGCTAAGGAGCGCAACGAACTCCGCATGCAGCAGATGTTGGCTGCAGGCAGCAAGGTCGCTGGTCTGGAAGACACCGGTGACAAGAAGCGCCCTGTTTATGAAAACAAGAAGAAGAGGGCTGGCAAAAAGCAGGAGGAGGACCTCGAGGCCGCTGCTGCTCGTGCACAGGCTCAACGAGAGGCTGAGGATGCCCGACGCCAGAAGGAGGCCGAGGAGAAGGCCAAGGCCGAAGCCGCCGCCGCAGCTGCAGCCCCCGGCGCTGATGATGAAATTGAGGACTGGGAGCAGGCCGCCGACGAGGACGTTAAAGACAGCTGGGATGCCGAAACAGATGAGGAAGACGAGAAACCCGCGGAGACACCTGCTGCGGCCCAGAAGGAAGACCAGAAGGAAGACTCGGACTCCGAGTCTGAGTCTGATTCCGACGAATCTGACTCCGAAGACGAAGAGCAATCTGCCAACCAAAGGGCAATCCAAGCCCGAAAGGCCGAGGCTGCAGAGCGCAGGAAGAAGCAGCACGAAGAGGCCATGGCTGCCCGTTCCAAGGATGATCTCCGCTCTCCCATTTGCTGTATTCTTGGTCACGTCGATACTGGTAAAACTAAGCTGCTTGACAAGATTCGACAGACCAATGTCCAAGAGGGCGAAGCAGGTGGTATTACCCAACAAATTGGTGCCACCTACTTCCCCGTCGATGCTCTGCGCACCAAGACCAACGTTGTCAACAAGGATGGCAAGTTTGAGTTCAAGATCCCCGGTCTGCTGATTATCGATACACCTGGTCACGAGTCTTTCTCCAACCTGCGTTCCAGAGGTTCTTCTCTTTGCAACATCGCTATTCTCGTCGTTGATATCATGCACGGTCTCGAGCCCCAGACTCTTGAGTCTATGCGCTTGCTGCGTGACCGCAAGACTCCTTTCATTGTCGCATTGAACAAGATCGATCGTCTCTACGGATGGAAGAAGATTGACAACAACGGATTCGAGGACAGCTTGAACATGCAAAACAAGGGTGTGCAGAACGAGTTCCGCACTCGTCTTGACGCCACCAAGCTTGCTTTCGCCGAGCAGGGTTTCAACTCCGAGCTCTTCTTCGAGAACAAGTCTCTTTCCCGCAATGTCTCTCTCGTTCCCACCTCTGCTCACACTGGTGAAGGTGTTCCCGACATGCTTAAGCTTCTGACTAGCTTGACCCAGGAGCGTATGACCAACTCCCTGATGTACTTGTCAGAGGTTGAGTGCACAGTTCTTGAAGTCAAGGTTATTGAGGGTCTCGGTACCACCATCGATGTTGTCCTGTCCAACGGTATCCTTCGCGAGGGCGACCGTGTCGTGATGTGCGGTCTCAACGGACCAATCACAACCAATATTCGTGCTCTCCTGACGCCAGCTCCACTCAAGGAGCTGCGTCTGAAGTCTCAATACGTTCACAACAAGGAAGTCAAGGCCGCCCTTGGTGTGAAGATTGCTGCCAATGACTTGGAGCACGCCATTGCCGGTTCTCGCATGTTGGTTGTCGGTCCCGATGATGATGAGGAGGACCTCGAGGACGAGGTCATGTCTGATCTTGAGAACCTTCTCAGCCGTGTTTCTACCGATCAACGTGGTGTCACTGTTCAGGCTTCCACCCTGGGTTCCCTTGAGGCTCTCCTTGAGTTCCTGAAGGTCTCCAAGATTCCCGTTGCCAACATCTCTATTGGTCCCGTCTACAAGCGTGATGTCATGATGGCTGGAACCATGCTTGAGAAGAACAAGGAATTCGCTGTCATGCTTTGCTTCGATGTCAAGGTCGACAAGGATGCCCAGGCTTACGCCAACGACATTGGTGTCAAGATTTTCACTGCGGATATTATTTACCACTTGTTCGACAACTTCACAGAGCACATGGCTCAACTCACAGAGCAGCGCAAGGAGGAGGCTAAGCTTCTCGCCATCTTCCCCTGTGTCATCAAGCCCGTTGCCGTCTTCAACAAGACTGATCCCATTGTCATCGGTGTTGATGTCATTGAGGGAAGCTTGCGTCTCCACACTCCTCTGGCCGCTATTCGTACGAACTCCGCCGGTGTGAAGGAAATTGTTGACATTGGTAGAGTGTAAGTTTTTTTTCCCCACCTATTAACTTTTCTTTCAATTATCTAACCCCTCTTCAGTACCTCTATTGAGCGTGATCACAAGGCCGTTCCCGTCTGCAAGCGTGGTCAGCCCTCCGTCGCCGTCAAGGTCGAAGGCCCGAACCAGCCCATGTACGGTCGTCACCTCGAAGAGAAGGATCAGCTGGTCTCGCACATCTCGCGTGCCAGTATCGACACACTGAAGGAGTTCTACCGGTCCGAAGTCTCCATGGAAGAATGGGCTCTCGTCAAGCGACTCAAGCCCGTTTTCGACATTCCTTGATTTTCCTCTTAGAGCTTCCCCCCGGTGCAGGTCTCCACGAGTCCTCGATACAAGGTCTCATTCCAGACTTGCCATTTCTTTTCAGCGAATCTAATTATTAACTGCCTGCGTGTGGCAAGTGTTCTCCGTTGGCCCCGTCATAGCCTCCGGTTCCATCATGACCAGTGGAGGAAACGAATCGAAATCCTTGAGCTATGACACATTTGAAAAAGCAGAAAAGTTATTCTATCTTGATTGCGATTTGAACATACTATGACTGACCATGACTTGATGGATGAATGGGAAGAGATGTTGCCTGTACATGATATAGGAAAAGCGAGGTCTGGTCGATCCCAGATCTTATTGTTTCTGTTATAGTGGATTGAATTGACGTTAGATGAATTTTACTCTGCTCTTATTTGGTAACTTATCCAGATCTCCTTTGTAGGGCCCCGTCCAGGTACTTTTCCTGGCTGTAAATACTGAGTACTTGATCTGTTTCACGTTGTATTCTTATTTTCAAACAACAAAGAGTCATACTTAAGTAGACGTACAAGCTGACAGGGATATCCCCAGGCTAAGAACTTTACAGTGATCTTCCCCATTATGAAACAATCCTTCATTTTCCCCCAACAAAGATACTGTGACGATCAAAGAACCAACGCTCTTCCTGTATCTTGTTTAACATACGCTTGGCTACAGTCATAGCCTCTCCCCAGTGTCCCTCGAGGGACTTGCGCTGTCTTATTGGGAACGAAACTGTTCGATTGCCTGGTTGGTATAGGCAGCGGTCTCCTAAAATAGCTCGTTTGCTCCCAATGGCTCGAACCACAGATCCCATAATCTCAGCGTCGGTGTGGGTGTGAAACATCTCCTGGCTCAGACGAACAGATACCCAGTTGGGGCTTTGGTGGTGCTGTTCTACATAGGTCTCAGGGCCATCTTCGTATATATCGATGAAGCCACTTAATCTGTCTTGTTGCTTTCGAAGGCGAATGCGGTCGTGTTGGCGTTTCTTGATGTGCTCTTCTTTGCCCATCGCGTCAACTGGTGGGTTGAGATGTTTGGTCGGAGTATGATGGACCCTCGAACCAGATAAACTCGGTATGTCGAAGACCTATATGTAGTGAGAAAGACTCGTACCCATAGACAATGCTCCAGGGCTCTTTGTGGAGCACCTTGTCGTGCGTCGGCTTTGTTCAAATTCAACCCTGGTGAAAGAACAGCATGGTTTCCTTTCAATTAAACATCTTGCATATGTACAAATCCAGCGATCTTCCAGGTCTAAATATAGCACCTAATCGTCTCCTTCCCACCTCTCAACTTTTCCCCCATTCCTCTCCCAATCCAACCAACTTCCCCAGTAGTATCCAACGGTAGACGGATCGTACCCGGCCTGAACTGCCATCTGAGCCATTGCCTTTGCACGCACACCGGCTTTACAATAGAATATCATCTGCGCGCCGTCAACGGGCTCGGGCTTCGGGAACCCGAACCGGGTCTCGAATTCATCCGGCGTGAGGAACATCGCGTCAGGCTGTGACGCAAATGGGATACTAATTGCCGAGGGAATAATGCCGGTGCCTTGAAGCTCAGCTGGCTCACGAACATCAACTAAGATGGGCTTGTGGGTCGGCGAACCAGATTCGGAGGGGAGGGAGGCATTGATCTGGTTGTTGTTAGATTCCCTGTAGATAGTGACTTGAGGGTGGGCAATGCGTACCTCTTCAAAACCCCAGTTCCGGAGACTATTGGAGTCATTGCTGTTCTGGCGCTTTTGCAATTGAACACTCTTGCTTGGGTATGAGAATGAGGTTGGGATTTTGTATGTCAGGGCGGGGACTCGGGGTCTTGTGGTTGTGGCCAGGCCTCTGGTGGAGATGGCTCGGAGCGCTGGTGAGAGCACTCGGCGAGCTGGGGTTCTGATTGCTGAGAGCATTGCAGCAGAGCGCTGGACTGTTGATACTGTGGCCATCTCGATTGATCTGTCCGGGGGTTTGAAGTTGGAGCCGCGAATAGCCTCGGGCCTGTGATGTCAGTAATTGCCGTGTTCCACCGCCTAATGGTGTTCACAGTGCAACAACGTAGTCCGTCATTGGTCTTTTGATAATTCCAGCCTGAAGATGTGGCCCTTAAGTAAATAAACGTGGAGGATATACTACGCCTCTAGGGCTACTTGGGCAGGATGTCAATGTCGTTCAAAGCATCAATGGGTCCAATACAAGATGCACACCACTTAGGAGCATAGAACCTACTGGTTATATCTTTTATTAAAGGTTAGTACAATCCTGAAAGCTTTCTGCTCTAATGCACTGTGCGCTTCTAAGCCCTATAGGGATACAAAACAGAACCAGGAATTGGAATGAAGATCTGGTGTATGAATTTATATGATCTACCGAGCTACCCAGGTAGATATGGACAAAAGTTATTAATATTAGTCTAATGTGCATGGCTCTCAAAGTAGTCACTCGAAGAAAAGAAACGAGAAATCCCCAGTGACCCCTTTCGGGAAACAAATCATCAAGTCAAAGGGATTCCTGTGCACAAGGGTATCCAAAGCCTCTCTAAAAGAGACAATATGCTAAAGACTTTTCCTTTGCGGGCATCATGCATCAAAATCGAAAAAAAAAATGAGAAAGAAAGAGAAAGAAAAAGAGATCAGCGGACCACCCCATCTCCAGGATAGGAAGGCAAGTATCATCGTAACCAAGACCTTTATCCGGAGAACGAGGCTGGGCTCCACTTCGCTTTTGGGGTTGAACGGAATTTAAGGACGGGGACGGAAAGTGAGGAGACAGTCGTCCTGGGGGAAAATGGTAGCGAACACCTTGATATCCTCAGACTCGGGAGTAGGAGTGTGTTCCCAGTCCATCACCATACTGGCCTTGCCAATCATGGACATCAGAGACAGCTGAGCGTAGGTCTGACCCAGACAGTAGTGGGGACCTGTGCCGAAGACCAGCCAGTTCTTGGTCTGTGCCTCAGCGGTACCGGTGATCCAGCGGTCAGGGTCGAAGGAGTCGGCGTTGGGGTAGGCCTCCTCATCGTGGCAAGATGGCCACACAGAGGGAATGATCATAGAGCCCTTGGAGACGGTGACAGTCTCGCTGATGGGGAAGTCCTTCTTGACAAGGTAAGGAACCATGATGACGGGAGGGCGGTAGCGAAGAGTCTCCTTGACGACGGCACGGGTGTAAGGCATGTTGTCGAGCATTTCCATGGTAGCGGGAAGGTCGCGGTCACCGTTGCGAATGTTCAGGTTCTCCTCACGAACCTTGTCGAGGATCTCGGGGCGGTCAGCCATCAGCTGGAACAACCAGGTGGAGGCGGCACTGGTGGCGTCCTGGGAGGCGAAGAGGAAAGTGAAGATAGTCTGGGCAATTTCGAAGTCGGAGAAATCACGCAGGACCTGGGATGGCTTCTCTGAGGAGTCAACCTGGATGCCCTTGGCGATCTTCTCACGGTAGACAGCAGAGTCCAGTTGGGCCTTGACCCAGGCGTCCATGATACAAGAGATCTCGCCACCGGCAGCCATGCGAGCCTTGGACTTGGCAGCACACTTGGTGAACTCAGCAAGCACCATGTCGGCGGCCTTCTTTCCATACCAGGTCTTGGTGTAGGGCAGAATGATAGGGAAGTTGACAAGCTCGAGCGCGGCAGTGATCAGATAGTAGTCGTCCGCAATCTTCTGGACACCTTCGTCGGTCATGTAGTAGCCGACAAAGGTACGGCAGGACAGAGCACACATCAGCTCACGGAACTCGGACATCCACGGGGTGGGAGTGTGCTTGAGGGCAGCAGACTTCTCGAGGAAGCGCTTGTTGTAGGCGTTGAAGACTTCCTCGGAGCGGGGAAGGTACATAGCCAGAGCCTGACGAGTAAAGAGTCCATTCAGACCTTTGCGGTAGTCGACGTGGGCCTTGCCATCCAAGAAGACCCAGTTGGTCTTTCCGAGAAGCTTGTGCGCGGCGTCCACGACGCAAGGCTTGACGTACGCGGGCGAGTTGAAGATCTTGCGGGACATGTCACGAGTGGAGGCAATCACAACGAACCTGTTTAAACACCGTCAGTGGTCTTGTTCGACGTTTCCGACTGCACTCGAAATTTCCGGCCAGGCGGCTTTGGGGCTACTCACTTGTGGAAGACGGAGACACAGCTCAGGTCACCACTGTCCCATTTGGCCTTGTATTCAGTGAACTTGGGGTTGACAGATTGAAGGAACGGGCCCATGAAAGGAATCTTGTACATAGGGCCAATGATCGCACCCTTGAGGTAGTGGTACTTGACTGTTGATAGGGGTCCCGGTTAGTTTTCTGAACGCGATTTTCGGAAGCCACACATGTCGCAATGGCACTTACACTGATCGTAGAGGACGGCAGCAATGAACAGGGTCAAGATGCCCTTCCAGATCGTGAAGCCATCCAGGATGGTGGCCACTAGACCGGCCGGCGCGAAGAGTTGAGGCGAGACCGTCGCATCCGCGGATGGTGAGACAAAGCTCCCAGTGAGGTTGGCCATGTTGACCATGTTCGTCCCGTCAAACAGAGCCAAGTCAAGAGTAATTGCTCAAGATTGAAAAGGGCACACCCAGAACAAAAGGGAAAAAAGAGTGGAGAGGGGAGAAAGGGCTCAGGGGCGGGAACGCCAATTACACCGAGCCGGGATGCCTAGCATTGTCTCCATGCAAGTCGATTGCATGACCTGTTGAGTGGTAATTTCTGATTTTTGTTAGGCTGATCGGAATCTCTATTCTTCTGGCTATTTTTTAATCTGTTTCTTTCTGTAAACTTACGCCAATTGGCCGCCATTTGGATTCATTTACGACATGCAGGCACATCTGTACGCGAGAAATCAATCTCTGCTTTGGCCCATAGTTCGGAGGGTCTAATCTCCGAGCCGGCCAATTCCTGGCAGTCCACGGAAAAGAATCCAGAGTACAGATTACAGAGTAGAGAAGTCATAGTCCTTTGAGTAGAGAACTTCCCATATGAACTTCCGAACTTGGGACTCGCGATTGAGCGTATTTTCCCTTAGTCTCGATTCTACCGCGTACACATCGAATTGCCTATCAGCGCCATGACAACGGCGATTACTCATCACGACGTGATTCGGATACGGCACTTCCGAGAACCGTTGTAACGCTGATTGGTTGACAAAACTGTAAGGAACTAAGAGGCACGTGTACATTTGATGCCCTGATCAGACATGGAATTGGAATTACAAGGGTATTCAAGATTTTTGGTATATGTACGGAGTAAGGGGACTCTAACGACCACCAAATCCGAACCATCCACGACGGCCCTTGGATTCTTCTTCCGGAGCGGCAGCTGGAGCTGGAGCCTGAGCCTGGGCAGGCGCTTGGGCCTGCCCTTCGCGGGGATAGTCGATGTAGTTCCACGCCACGTCAAGGAACAATGGCTTGACGGGGATGGGTTGCAATTGAGGCGGGAATGGCACCAGATTGTTGAGATCAAGTCCAGATCCAGCGTACTGCTGCAGGCGCTCCACCATTGGGCGTTGGTTTGGTTGCGATGCCTCTTCCGCGGCGACCTGTTCAAGAGTGACAAGGCCACGGTATTGAGCAACAAGTTCACGCAATTTCGATTCCAGGGTACTGGACTGGGCACGGGAAACGTCCAGCTTCGGAGGACCGTCGGCAGTTTCTGAGGATTGAGGTGTGGCGGAGCCAGACAGACTCAAGGCTTGGGCGAATAGGGCGAGGGCCTCTTTGGATTTCGCAAGAACACCGTGGGACCGTCCTAGTGAAAGACATCTACATGCAAAGTACTGGTTAGTGGCAAAACACAGGGAACTCGGGAGATGATCCATACCTGAGGGCTCGGAAATAGTGACGCTTGGCTTCAAGATCTGCCACGAATGCGGAATCGGCAGCAACACCGGGAAGTTCGAGGATGAAGTCCAAGCTCTGAAGGGTCGAGTCATACAGAACAACACGCTCACGGAGCTTGTTGAGCTTCTTTCCGGTACCTGCGGTGTGTTTGGTTGCGCTCTTCTCGTTTGATTGCATTTCCTCAAATGACAGGCCGTCCTGTTCTCCACACAGCACACGGTTACGGCCCACTCGCCAACCGACCAGAGTGTAGTTCACAGCAGTTCGAGTAATCTGCAGTGCCTGCATTCTCTTGTCGCTGGGATCCACACCCTCATTAACTAGATCATCAATGGCGGTTTTCGTAGCATCGACGGCATCCTGACTGGCAATGATAACATTGTCATATGCAGCAGCTTTCTCCTTGGAAGCTGCAGACTTTCCAGCGCCTGCTAACCAAGACGTGAGACGAGCCTCTGCTGCCGAAGCGGCAGCTAGAGCCTGGGAGATCGAAGCATCATCGAGTGGGACGGTTCGTGACCTCCAGGTCACAGATTGGGGCAGCTCCTGCACCTCTCCCTCCGCAGTTCGTCGTGTTCCGGTAGCTTCTTCTGCAAGACAGGAAGGATCAAGTTTCTCGACCTCGGCCCGAATGTCAGAGTCGGAGGGGAAGAACTCAATTGCCAGCGACGAGGTGGGTTTGGACCGGGGCAGCTTCATCTGGTATGCGGCGTATCGAATGCTCGGGTCAACCGTTCCAGATAGTAGGTCCCGGTAAGCGTCTTTCTTAACACTTTGACCCAATGCCGTGTAGATCACTCTTGCAATAGAATAATCATGGAGACACTGCTCCCATCTGCGCTTTTCGAGCCACAGAGTCCCGGAGATCATTGCTGCATAGGCGCGGGTTTCCAAGATATCAGTGTCGTTAGCCCCGGTGGATGATTGTTCGTGGAGCAGCGAAACGAGGTGCTTCGCATAACCGGTAGCCTTGGTCAATCGAGATATGATGTGACGCCTAGCAGCGCCAGAGATGGCCTTGGCGGAGGGGTCTGCTGAATGTGTGGACTTCATATGCATGGCTTGCGCCCAGGCTCGTTCGGATCCGAGAAGCAGGAGGTGTACATATCTAACATGGTAAGGTGGTCAGATCGCAAATCAGTCGACAGAAGACGGGAAGTAACATACGATACATTGCTTCCAACGTTCTCAGCAGTCACGGCTGGTTTGGCGGTATACTTGCGACCTTTGACAGTGGCCTGTCCAAGCTTCTTGCGGAGTTTCTGTAATTTTCTGGTCGTATGCGCCCGGTAGGCATTGTAATCCCCCACAAGGAGGACTTCCTCTCTCTCCTTGAAGATAAAATCAGTTACCTCCATGATAATTGTCTTTAAATTGGGAATCGTTGATGTGAGGTAGAGGGGGACACGGTTGACGATGGTGGGCTCGAAGGCGGTGGTGTCTCTTCGGGCAAATGAATGGCCCGACCAAATCCCGGCAAATTCCAACTTACAACTCCGAATCCTGGGTGTTTTTTGTGAGCTTCAGGACATAAGCTCAAACGATTGCAACATCTAGAACGGTGTTATTTGATACCCGACCACCCGCCGTGGTATTACTGTCAAAAAAAACCATCACCGGTCTGCGGTTCCCATTGAGGAACCTGTTTTACTTTTCTGGTACGGATGGCACCATTCCCAACAACCTGCTTAATCCGGCTTCAGCAGAGCTTCACAAACATATATGCTGACTGAAAGTCGTTCAATTAGGCTCTCTAGATATAATACGATGCAGCTTGACAAGTAACTCGGCATATTCCAGCTTGGACTTGCAACAATTGGGGGGGCAATGCTGGAACGGGCATCAGGCTGCCTCGAAAACGCAGGACGGCGCGTTCTCCGAAACTCCCACGGTGCGGTTCGAAGCGGTTACCCCTTGTGTGATCGCAGTCGCAAGGAAAGAGGTGCTGGGGTGGATGCGCCCCACTGGCTCTTAGCACTTTTGCAGGCGTCGGGTCAACAATCATCTTCAGCCGCCGATGCCTGCCATGGAAACAAAAGTGGAAGAGCTGGTGGTGGCCCACGGCCTCTCGAATTCTTATACCCCCGAGAACCCCAACGCCTGGTAGCTCCCCGGCCATCACATCCCCAAAGGAGGCCTGGGCTGCGGAGGAGGAGATCGCTCGTGGGACTTTCAAGATCTTACGTCTCCGTCTCAAGCCTTCGGCAAGCAGTTGCCGATGTTTCTCTCGGTCATGAACATGCATCCCAGGGAACTGAAGGCCAAGAGGCTAAAGATTCATGTATTCAAGACCCGGTAACCGAAGATCAACAGGTTGAGGACCCGGAGATTGAGGACCTCGCGCCAGGAGGTCTGGGACCAAGAGACCCGGAAAATGGAAATCAGACGACCGAAAAACCTCAGGATCCCGAATCCATTGAACGAGAGCGCAATCTCCAGGCTCGGCTGCACGAGTTCTTGCAGAAAGATACCCACCTATTTGATACAGCTTGGATTCGGTTCGTTGCAGCTGGGCGCCCCTCGAATCTCGTGTCACCGCTTTGTGCGTACATGAGCAAGTCGAAAACGTTCAAGGACAAAAGACGAGCGTGGTACCTGTTTCAACTAATTCCTCACGAAAAACGCACAGCTTATGACTACCGCAACATACTAGCTTCAGACCTCCAACTGTCACATGTCGACAAGCCTCGACATTTGGACAACATTTGCACCCATGTTTTATCTACGCCGTTCGCGCAAGAGATTATTTCTCTGGTTGTGAAGCACTACGTGGAGCAAAGGGAATGGGGCCGACTTAGATTCCTTTGGTCTAAGTTGATAGCAATCCCCCTCTCCAAGCGTGGATCGCTATGTTATGATGTGCTACAGCATATCAATAGGACCAGTTTCCCAGAATTCTCCTTTGCCAGACATCTTCTTGACCTCGCGCCATATGCTATGCGTCATATCGATGATGAGACAACCTACGATTTCACTCGACGTCTGTTGCAGCGATTTGCCGAATCTAAAGACATTCTCGAATTCACGCCACCCTCCAGCATTCTTGCAGTCCTCAGAGCTTACGGCTCCACGGGGCTATTGCACCACCGTGCATATATCAAACTGATAAATCACCATCTCTTCGGCGACCGAGACCAATTCATCCGGGGCATTCTCTTTTACCGTCAGTTTCGTTCCGATATGCCTGATGTCAAGCCGCCTAAGCCAATGTTGGTCCAAGTACTGGAGCGTCTTCAAGAGCTCAGGATACCGGAGGCTGTGGATTACTTCTTGGATGAACTCCAATCCCGCACTCGACAACCACCTAGTATCTACGTCCTCGTGCGGGCGCTCAATACCTTCGCAATGTCCTCGGATGTAAAGAATGTGCACCGGATCTACAATCTGTTGATTGAACTTCATGGCCTTCCTAGAAGCCGAAAGATCGTTGCCCCTGTCCTTCTGGTTCACGCCAGGCTGGGTGATGTGCCCGGAACACTTCGACAATTTGAACGAATTGCAGCTGAGTTTGACCTCACTCCCAGCACGACCTGTTGGAACATGCTTATTCTGGCCCATGCCAATGCCGGAGACTTACAAGGTGCTCTGTCGACGTTCTCGGATTTGCTGGAAAGTGGACAACCTCCCGATACATATTCATTTGGCCCATTGTTGACACTATTCTCGAAGCGAGGAGACGTTGCCAATGTTCGCCGGTTGATCAAAGAGGCCCAGCTCAGAGGGGTCAAAATGAACACATCCCTACTCGACAAAGCTGTCCGGGCGTACTGCTCTAACGGAGAGCTTAGGTTCGCTGAAGAGCTCATTGAGGCAAGCGTCAATTTGGTTGAGGGGTCTACCCTGCGAATGTGGAACATCCTTCTCATGCACTATGCGCGCAGGATATCCAAGTATTCCTTCCGCCGCATTCTGGATCGCATTGGCAAGCTCGGGTTAGTACCGGATGCCTGGACTCACGCAGCCATCATGCTTGCCTACTCTTTGAGCAACCAACCTGATTTTGCGCGAAACTCTCTCAGAACCATGCACCGATCAGGCTTGCGGGCGACTCAGCATCATTACTCCATTCTTCTACTTGGATATCTCAGGCGGCGCAATCGCGACATGGTACATGTCATCTTTCGCGAAATAGAAACTCGATTCGGTCGACCTGGATTGAGTGCAAGCTTGTTGAACCTGCAGATGCAGATCAGGCGAGACTTGGAGAACGTACATGACAAGAACACGCCTGCGGAAAACATCGTCTTGGAACAAGCCGAGAAAACACTTATGAAGTCGATCGAAAACTTTTCTGCCAACCCTGCTGCTGCCACACATGCCTCGCCTATGACGACCGAGGGCTCCTCGGTAGACCTTGCCACCACTATGCATTATCAACATTTGGTCACCAGTTACGCTGTAGAAGGGTCGACTGAAAAAGCCTTCGATATGCTCAACCAATACATATCCCACAGGAAACTTTCGGGGATCCAGGGCAATGACTTGGAATCCTTACCGCTTGGTTTTGTGAAAGCCATCATGATACTCAACCAGAAAACCCAACGATTTGATAAGGTGGAGGACTGCTGGCACGTTCTGATGGGCAAGGTTCACAAACTCGCTGGTAATGTGAGCCTTGACGAATTCTTCTCTGCGTCAACATCAGAGTCATCTCTGGCCGCGCCAGTTGACTCTGAATCAGGCGCCAAAGGCAGCATTCTCTCGTCTCGACGTTACATGTTGGACTTCCCATTTACCCTTTTCATGCGATCATTGGCTTGTCGGGAACAGTTCGACAGGATACATGATGAGGTAGCCAAGTTTCAGCAGGCAGGATTTTCCATGAGTGGTATGAATTGGTCAAACTACGTTGCCTCGCTTGCATCATCAGACAACACCAAAGATATTGTGGCCGCTTTCCAACTGTTCGAGGAGAAGTTCTTCCCCCATTTCCCTGGGTGGTCGTGGATGAAACAAGGATACGGCATCAGGCCGCTTCATTGCCCCGTTACTATTCACCATCTCGACGGCCAATTTGGCATGAACAAACCCCGCAGGATGATGGGTAGACACGCCATCAACCACTGGCGAAGACTCGATCCCGGCTACATGCACCCTGATTACCCAACCATGGTGCTGCTCGCGGCTGCGATCAGACGGCTGAGGGATGCCAGTATCGAGGAGGGTCCTGAGCGGATGAAAACCCTCCATGCCACTGCGACGAACACATTTGAGATCATCGCCAATATGCCATACCTGCCTGACAAATATCAGGGTGCATTGCTTCGTGACAGAGAAGTATTCCCAGATGCACTCTCCTTCCCAGTCAAGATCTTCACCACAAGGACTGGTGCTCTGGGTGTTGAACGCGGCCCCACCACCCGCACCTTCGCTCGTGCAACCGAGGAGCCTCTCGATCTTGATATGCACATCAATCGCAACCCTGTCGACGAACAGAATGTCACACGATTACTGCCCGATGCAGAACGTGAAAGTTTGGGTGCCCTCGCGACCGTCATTCCCCGTGAGGATCGCATCGCCATTGAACAACAGTTCTATGAGTACAGTGAGCTCACGAGAATCTGGAAGAAGCGAAGCGCGCACCAGCAGGGAATCATCCAGAAAGCCAAACTTGAAAATAAGGGCTTGATGTATGGCATTCCGGTCGAGTTCGTCCTCAACAAGTACAAGCCAAAGAAGCTGGCATTGGAACAACAGTTGTTCAACAAGTATCACCGCAGGTGGAGACACAAGAAACCCACCTACCTGCTATACAAGCCTGTCTCGGGTTATCGGGAGCAGCGAAACTACCGTGCCTACTCCGCGCAAGGACTGTCACAGCGCGGTATGGGCCGGAAGAGAAAGAAGAGACGAGAATTCCCCACCATGACACGCGAAGAAGCGTCTGTCATAGGCCGGGGTAGAGTTACCCGTGCCATCGAAGCACGAAAAGCGGCCAAGGCCGCTCAACTTGCTCAGGCCGCCAAGGCTGAGGAGTTCATCACAAGCTCTGAAGTGTAAAATACACAGATTGTGATTCATTGTTCCCAGGTTTTGACCTGTTGTTTCTATATGTTTATTCTAGTTTTGTACAATACATGTTGCTTTTCGAGTATTTATATCCATGGATCGCGTTCTCGATGAGGTTTTCGGCTAATTTAGATTTGGTGTACTGCTGATGTATATATCCACGTCTGGGCTCTAGGGATCACCATGATCGAAACTTACTTGAGTAGAATTAACCAAAATAAGAGCTTAAGTGCGAGACCATTGTTTAAAGCACGCCCAGGCGTTTTCAATGTGAGTATTTTATACAGGCACAGTCATGTCCCGACTACAAGAATAGTATTTAGTAGGAGTAGGGCTGATAGGGACCGGTAGTAGGTGACACCTGCCTAGGTCTACAGGTGGGCAGATGGAAGTCCATACAGAGTAAGTACAGGCGATAGGATATTAAAATGGATATTGTGCACATAGAGTAGACATAGCTACAGAGTAAGCCAGCCCTGGAGGATACACAGAAGTCCTCTGACTTCGTTGTCAAGGGCATGTGAGGTGAAAATCTCCTCGTACGAGCGAAGCTTGGCAAAGAGCTTATGTGGGGCCGAGCAAGAATTTTTTTATCTAGACAATACATATAGGTACAACAAATTTCTTCTTCAAAAGCGCGGCATTGCCGGACATAGAGATGAAAAAAAAAGAAAAGGACCTTTCAGACCTCCTCGACACCCACCAGGACCAGCCGACCGAAGTCAGACACCGAGACCAGGTCAAGATCATCACCACTCCCTGGACCGAAACACAGACACTGCGAACAGCACGCGTGACAGTCGAGGCGGAAGTAAAAAGGTTTCACTTTAGGGCACCGAGGACATAGAGTCATCAGCAAGGGTGGAGATTCTGTGGCTCTTTTAAAGAGCTTAGAAAGAGGACGTCTACTCTAAAGTGATTCTTTGAACTGTTGGAAATGGTCAGTAAAACGTTCAAGTCCGTTGACTTCAAGTTGGGACTTGAGCCTTTTGGGGGAGGGATCACTAACGTAGAGTCGCTTGAAGAAGAAAAAGTTCTGGGAGGTCGAGCAGGTATATATACCCGGGAAAATTTTAGTCGCTTACATAAGAAAAGACGCGTGAGACGTGGCTGCCTTAGGCTACGCGACTCGCACGCGTTGTGCCAATTAAACCCAATCGGGAGGTCAGAGATCGTTCCCCTCGACTCTCCCCTTCATTACCCTCCCCCCCATATTATCATACATCATGGATGGCCAACTTCGTGATGAGGCCGCGCAAGATCGCGTGCGCTCGGCCACAGAATTCCTTGACCCTAGTAAGTTTTAAAAAATGCATTCATCTTGTCAACAGAAGCTAACCTGCTTTTTTCAGACGATGCCCGGGCACGCAGGTTCGTCAACCTTAGTTGTATTTAATGCCAATCTAATGAGAATAGTTATCGAGCCGACATTGTGGTTATGCTGAATCGCGGTCTGCGACGTTTGACAGTCCGTTTATTACCCATTCCGATGCTAGGAGTTGTGGCTGATTTTTTGAACAGGTCAGCATTGATGAGATCAGAGCACACAACCGTGAGCTTGCCGACGGGTAAGTTAGAGCATTATCGATCCCCAACTTGGTATGAGTACGATAGACTAATATCTGTTTTTGCAGGCTGCTCTCCTCGCCGTTTGATTATTCGTTAGCCTTTGACACTGCTTTGAAGGCCGTCGTCAAGACACTCCCTGGACGTCCAAGCAAAGAAACCTCCGATGATGCGGTCCGTTACCATATATAACCGATTGCTCGCCATGATTCAATGTCTAATGCCTTGACAGAACTATTATTGTGCCTACGTGGGCGCATTCGGAGAATTTTCATGCAACCCCCGCACCCTGGGATCGCAACACTTGAACCACATGGTGTCCCTGGAGGGCATTGTGACAAAATGTTCCCTGGTTCGCCCCAAAATTGTTCAGAGTGTTCACTGGGTCCCTGCGAAAGAACGTTTTGTTTCCAGAAAATACCGTGATCAGACGATGAGTGCCAGTGGAGCAACTACCTTGAATGTTTATCCCCAAGAAGACGAGGAAAAGAACCCGGTAAGTTCCAATCAGCACAACTTAACTATACATGTACACTGATATTGCAATTGCTAGCTAATCACCGAGTACGGTTACTCAACCTACCTCGATCACCAATCTATTTCCATCCAAGAAATGCCCGAACGTGCCCCGGCAGGCCAATTGCCCCGAAGTGTCGATGTCATTCTGGATGATGACCTTGTTGATACCGCAAAGCCTGGAGACAGAATCCAGCTGGTGGGAATATACCGTACCCTCGGTAACCGCAATGCAGCAAATGGCTCATCGACCTTCCGTACCGTCATTATGGCGAACAACATCATTCAATTGTCCTCCAAGAGTGGTGGAGGTATCGCTGAGGCTACTCTTACGGATACCGACATCCGAAACATCAATAAGATCGCCAAGAAGAAGAACGTCTTCGAGTTGTTGTCCAAGTCTCTGGCCCCCAGTATTCACGGCCATGACTACATCAAGAAGGCAATTCTTCTCATGCTTCTCGGCGGAATGGAGAAGAACCTGGATAACGGAACCCATCTTCGTGGTGACATCAACATTCTGATGGTTGGTGATCCCTCGACTGCGAAGTCCCAGCTGCTCCGATTCGTGTTGAACACCGCACCCCTGGCAATTGCCACCACTGGTAGAGGATCTTCAGGTGTCGGTTTGACAGCTGCTGTTACTTCCGACAAGGAGACCGGCGAGCGCCGGCTGGAGGCCGGTGCCATGGTCCTCGGTGATCGTGGCGTGGTGTGCATTGATGAGTTTGATAAGATGAGTGACGTCGATCGTGTGGCTATCCACGAAGTCATGGAACAACAAACCGTGACAATTGCCAAGGCCGGTATCCATACGAGTTTGAATGCTCGATGCAGCGTTCTCGCAGCCGCCAATCCCATTTATGGCCAATATGATCCTCACAAAGACCCGCACAAGAACATTGCTCTTCCCGACTCCCTGCTTTCCCGTTTCGATTTGCTCTTCGTTGTGACTGATGACATTGAGGACACTCACGACCGAAAGATCTCAGAGCACGTTCTGCGAATGCATCGATACCGCCAGCCTGGCACCGAAGAAGGCGCCCCCGTCCGCGAACAACTCAACCAAACGCTGGGCGTGGGTGTTGATGAGCGACAAGACGCCAACGCACCCACCGAGGTGTTTGAGAAGTTCAACCTCATGCTTCACAGTGGTATGATTGATGCCGCCAATGCTGGTCGTCGCCGTGGCAAGAATGTCGAAATTGTCAGCATTCCCTTCATCAAGAAGTACATCCAGTATGCCAAGAAGCGTATCCAGCCCGTCCTGACCAAGGGTGCCGCCGACCATGTTATCGCTACGTACTCTGCTCTCCGAAACGACGAGCTGACCGGCAACAAGCGTCGCACGTCTCCCATCACACCGCGTACTCTCGAGACGCTGATCCGTTTGTCTACCTCTCACGCCAAAGCACGTCTTTCCAACCGAGTTGAGGAGAAGGATGCAAAGCACGCCGAGGCCATCCTCCGCTTCGCCATGTTCAAAGAAGTCGTTGAGGACGAGCGCCGCAAGAGACGCAAGGTCACCACATTCGAAGACTCGTCTGATGACAGCAATGATGAATTCGACGACGACTCTGATGACGATGACACCACTGCTCGAGCTACATCTACCGCAACCCCAGGCCGACGCACTGGCCGCTCTCGCGGTACCGCACCGGCGTCTAGCCTTCCAGCCCCCGGTGAAGATGAGGAGGATCCAGACAGCCTTTACTCGGCTAGCCCGCGTGCCCAGCGTGTGCGCTCCAGCCAAACGGCCCGGACCCAGACTCAATCTCAGACCGACGACTCTCAAATGTCTATTGCGTCCTCACACCCAGCTTCACAGCTCATGGAGACACAATCCGACTCACAGGGCACATCCTCTGATACCCCAATCACACCGGCCCGCATGGGAGTCTTCAAGCAGACTCTGGGTCTGCTAATGGGCAAACGTGTCTTCGCAGATAGTGATACCAGCAAGGTAAACGACCTTATCGATGCCGTCAACACCACTATCCGGGAGTCGCCCAGGCACGGCGCAGCGCAAGTATTCTCCCGCTCCGAGGCCATCCAAGCTCTACGTGTCATGACCGATGAGAACATCCTGATGTATCTTGAAGATGATGATGATGTGTACCGCGTTTAATACCTGCTAGCGGTGTCTATATCTTTGGAGGATGCTGGATGTATCTGGCTTTTCAACCCTCATGTGATTGATTGCATTGGGATTTGATATCATTGCATGTTTTCTGTGTTTGGTGTTTGGCGCGAGGGAGATATCAATGGAATCAATACGATAAATATGAATGAATACGGAGTGCTCAATTGCTCGACTACCTGCCTACTTAAGTAAAACAACCTGCGTCGATCTACTCCGTACTCCGTGCACTACTAGTTTGTAGACTCTTGATGCATGAGATACATCTTTGCTCCAGCTCTAGAGCCATATGTGCCCTAAGGCTTCACCAAAAGCTTTCCGATGGTGTCGATTAATTTGTTTGTATGACACATGCCAGAAACTATCCTATCTATCTCTAGTCAATATGTACCGTACAGAATGTGTGAAAAGAGAGTGAAAACGCCCCAAAAGAAGAGAAGAATCGATCAAAGGTTATACATGATAGCAAGATCACATCTCAGCATGTCTTCGTTGAGTATTACTCACAGCAGACGGAAAAGGGTATATTATGGTTGGCGATTTCTCTCGCGGCGATTAACCTCTTCCATTTCGGCGAGGATAACGCTATTGAATTCCTCCCAACCGTCAAGGTACAGATGGTGGCCAGCATTATTGACAACCACGACCCTTGAGGATCCCTCGTCAGCGCGCCGTTCTTCAGGAGACGCATCTGCGAGAACCCTCTTTTTCTCTTTGTCCATGCGAGCTGCGGCAGCATGACCACCCGAGACATCCATCCAGTCATGATCGCCATACATGAAGACGACTGGGAAACCCTTTTCGCGCTGAGCGGGCTGCGAATCAGAGGGAGCAGTGGCACCAGGTGCATCGGATGTTGAAGGAGCGGTGGGGGCCGCCATTGGGGGTGAGAGAGGGCTATTATTATGAATCAACTGACGGCCTAGGCCCTGGACGCGGTGGATGAGAGGACTGCGAGCAAATGCGCCAGGGGCCAGGATATATGCGAGGGCATATTCGCCACTACCGCGAAGGCTGAAAATGGAGTACGAGTAGTCATGGAGAGCGGATGCCTCTTCGGCAGGGAGATGAGAGAAGCGGCGGGAAGTCCAACCCGAGACGATGCGAGGACCGAGAGGACCGGCCCAGCGGACTAAGCTAAAGGGGGAGATGTTGGCTTCCCACAAGTAGGCGAACCACTTGGGCATGTTTCGTCGTGGTGGTTGGTTGGCCTCTGCGGGTGGTTGCCGGCCGGTGATGAAGCTGCCGTCGCTTGTTTTGGGGGCTGTCTCGGGGACGGATGTGACCTCCCGCTGATCTTGGGTGAGCTCATTGGGCAATGTCGATGGAGAGGGCTCAGTCACTTCTGCAGTGACGGCATATGGATCCTCTGGGATTCCGACCGGGGATGCCAGAATGAGCTTGTTGAGATGACCGGGGTATTTGAGCGCATAGGCGACAGCCATGTATCCGCCCAGACTATGTCCCAGCAATGTGAAGCGATCTATCTTGCGTTTGATACGCCATTCCTCCAATGCATCGACGAACCAAGCCTCGGCTTCTCTGATGGCGTCTTCTCTGCCCTTGGCCTGGATTTTGAATGCGGGTCGCGTACTGCGACCCATGCCCAGCATGTCCAGGGCATGCAGTTGCCAGCCCTTGAGCCGGCTCAGCGGCTCGAAATTTTTATAGAAAAAGCCAAGACCTGCGCCATAGCCGTGGAGCATGACCAGATGTTGGTCTGCTTCCTCGCCGATCCTCTCCACAGAAAACTCGTTCAATGCGCGGTCCTTCCCGTTCAGTTCCACCATACTCGAGGTCCACCGACGAGGGCCATATGGGTCATCCTGGGAGCTTGTGGCGACTTCGCCTTGTTGGTTGTGGTCTGCCGCCTCCAAGCTACTTGGGGTTGTGCCATTTGGAAAGTCCGTCGTCTTTCCCGTCTGTAAGTGGGTGGGGGCGTGGTGATGCAAATAAGGTAGATACGAAAGAACTTTGTGTTCGGCCGCTGCTGCAGGTAAACGAGCCCACTGTGTGAGAGGATTGTTAGCCACGATGCTACTCTGGCGTTGGGGGGAAGATCGTCGCTCACCCATTGACTGAACCCTTCTCGATACCCCAACGGAAACATTGCGCGCGCCGCTGCTGCGCCGGCCGCCGCTCTGGTCGCGTAGGGAGTGTTTTGCGAACTGTCACTGGAGTTTGCATCTGACCGTTGTCCACGGACGTTCTCTCGGGACGAGTTCAGAGATTCAGAGGCCATTGTAGAATAACGGTGCCTCCGAAGAGTGGCAAAGACGTCAAAACGTCTGAGAGTGCGGTAATGAGGGTTCAAGAAGGCCAGATTTGAAGTTGAGCCTTGAGTGTAGGCGCGAAAAGATACGGAAAGAAGAGAGGTGTATATAAAAAAGAGATCGGAGACAAACGGCCAGCTTAACGCCGGGGTAGCATAAACCCCGAGAGACAGAGACCGAAACAGAGACCGAGAGTAGAACAGAACAGAACAGACTGGACAGACTGAACAGAAATTAACAAAATATACAATACAGACAATATACCAGATAATATCTGGAACAGGAAAAATGACCACGCACTTGAAGACGCACTTGAAGACGTCAAGTGGATAATCTCAACTTCCGCCTTTCCTCACATGCGATGACATTGGGCCGGAACGTCTTTGCTTTCGCCTCTAGGATTTCACCTCGACTCGGTCTTCTTTTCTGGGGTTTCTTCTGGGCTTCTTCTCTACCATGGCCTCGCCTTTGGACCAGGTGATCAAAGGCGCTCCCACACCAGAAGCCCGCGCGCCTCGAGAGCCTCGACCGGATACCGCGCGCCCCTCAACACCAGACCCGCTAGCAAACCTCCCTTCCTCCCCGCCACAGATCTATCTCAACCTCTTGATCCTCGAAACCTCGCTCAGAGCCCAGTACCTCGCCCTCCGTGAACGCCGCCGCCAAAATACCTTCTTCCTCCTCCTTCTCGCCGCTTGGCTCGCCTACTTCGCCTATGCGCTCTTCCTGCGCCCGCGCGAAGATGGTCGTGGTGTCGGTGGCTCCGTCTACTGGGTGGTCGAGATGGGAGAGAAAGTCGCCCTGCTGGGTGGGGTGGTGACTGCCCTCCTGGTCTGGGGTACGGGGCAATGGGAACGGGGAATTCGCTGGCCACGCCGTTGGCTGGCGGTCTCCAATCGTGGCCTGCGAACAATGAACACCAAGATCATCGTTCTTCGCGGTCCCTTTTGGCAGGAACTGCTTTCCTACTTGTCCTTCCTGTTCCCTTTCTATCTTCCATTCTTCCCCTCTCCAAATGGCAACTATCACTTCGTCGAGCAAGACAAGCGCTATGGCAGTCGGCAGCACTACCAGTATTACAATGGCGACAGCGAGGCTGGGCTCATAGAGGAGGATCTTAGCTCCGGTGGTGACTACATCCGTCTCCTCCTTTTACCCAAATCCTTTTCCCCGGAGTTCCGCGAGAACTGGGACAACTACCGCACCGATTTCTGGGAGAAGGAGAATGAGCGTCGAGCCCAACTCCGCATCAAGCTTCGTGAGCGAGAGAAGCAGCTTGCTCAAGCCGATGGATGGCTTGGGAGACTTGGGCTGGGCTGGCGCGCTTCACAACGCCGCCGTCTAGTTGCCGCGACTATGAACCGACCCATCGAGCCCGAGTTCAAGCAGCGTCTCGCCCACGGTCACCATCCGTCTATATCTAAGGAACGTGTTCCATCGCGCCGCCATACACGATCCGAGTCCCACTCCCGTACTTCATCTCGCAGTACCACGCCCGTCGAAATTGATGACCGACCACCTTCGCGCTCATCGACGTCGAGCCGGCCCCGGCGGGGAAGTACCGCGTCTGGGCAGGAAACGCCGCAGCAGCGGAAGCGGAAGGGGTCGACGTTGAGGCGGGGTCTCTCTCCTCTGACGCAGGCGCAAATCCGGGAAGGAGTGCGTACGCCTTCGTTCTCATCTGATGATTCTATTCTACCCATGGGGATCAGTGAGAAGGACAGGGAAGAAAGCCTGACTTCTGTTCCACAAATGTAATACTGGGGCTGTTCATATTTATACCCTGTTTTGTTTAACTGTGACATTGAAGCTGCCTTGAGACTGGCGTTTGTATGCATATCGACATCGATCCCATAGATATCAAGACGGACTGTGTTTTGCAGATGTATGGGTCCAGTTGCGCGTATATACATCAAGTGTCTCCAATCAGATCGCGTAGATGGTGTATACAAAGAAATGCAGCATAATCACCAACATTAAAAGATGAAAGTCTGCTAGATTTCCTTAGTCCCAGATACAATGACGTATGATCAAATATTATGCAAACAAACATAGCATATGAAGGCCATGAGAAAGACACGAGGGCATAAAGGAACAGAAGACCAAACCAAGAGATGGTAGTGTACCGATACTTTTGAGCGGTGATGTCTTCGTAGGTATATTTGATGTTTGAAAGTTGCAGTGCGTCCTGAACAACCTCGAGAGCCGATGTTCATCACATGCGCTATCCAGTCACACCCCTCGCAGGCCCAGACACACTCTGCCTGCGATGTCGAGGGCTAGTAGGGTAATGCGCCATCAAGCGTGCCGAAGCCAAAGAGGCCGCATCGCGCTCTTCTGTCGACATACCAACTCCGGGCGTCGTATACCCACTCGCAATGGGACTGACCATCCCGGAAACATGACTACCCGATGACCCGGGTCGTCTCAGAGAAAAATAACCACCGCCCCTATCAAAGCTCCCACTGCTATTACTCCCAAAGCTGTGACCCAGCTCCCCGGAGCTGGAGAGATAGGAATTGGAGAATTGTGCCCCATTTTGAGAGCCGCGTGCAGCTCGTGACTGAGAGTGAGACGGAGCGAAAGGCTGGGGTGTCATGAAAGGAGGAGGGAGCCGTGGCGTTGACGATGACATGGAGATATGCTCTCTTGAATTGGGAGCATTGTCAGCTCTAGTGGATAGAGCTAGGGAAAGACCCATTCCAGTACGTCGATCAGAGGTTGTCAACGAAGATGTTGTGAGTGAGCGGTGATGGTGTCGAGAACCAACCCCATTGGAGGCTGGTTCGGCTGCCTCAAGCAAAGATTGGAAGTTACGACCATTGCGAGAGTCATTCTCACCCAGCGGACTGTTCAATGTACTTCCACCATATGTACTCGTGCTTAGAGTGATCAGTTGCGACGGAAGCTCAAGTCGATTGTTTAGAGAAAGCCAGGCGCGCTCATCGGCGTCGACAGTCGGATCTACATCGCTGATGCTGGACGAAGACGAAGTCCAAGTGGTTTTCTCGTTTGAGCTACGTGCCTTGGCTGGGTAGGAGCGCCAGCCGCCTACACCTTCAAAGTCTCGTCGTTCATCACCGCTGATGGGAAAGCCATAAGGCGTTGACGGAAATAGGTGGGCCTCAATCATGCTCCGGGCATAGGAGTTCTTTTTAGGATAGTTATCGACCGTAGATCCCAGAGCCCAAGACGATGGAGAGTCGTGCTTGCGTTGTGCTGCATGGTTGGAGTTCCGTCTCGATCTACCACTCACGGGGGTTGGAGGCTCCGAAGCCACGAAAGTCAGCAGTGAGGATGTGGGCGAAGTGGGAACCGAGAGGAAATGCACTAAGATGCCGAAGACGAGCTCCACATAAATCACCGAGATTCTGAGTATGAGGGCAACGAGGGCGATTGAGATTGTAACCCATGCCGACAGAATGAGTGGGATGGAAATGATGGCCAGGATAGGCAATGCTATCAAGGTTGTTATTGTAGACCACATTGAGAGCTCCCTCCCAATCGCCCCAGAACAAATCAAAGCTTCATGATTAAAGAAGCAAAGAGAGAAAACCCCGTAGAAGAGGTGAAACGAGCAGTCGAGTGTTTTGCGGAGAAGACATGTGATGACCCCGATTACATCACTTCCCCGGTTTCTCGACTTGTTCCTTTTTCGGTTTTTTTTCTTCTTGTCTTTGGTGTTTGGACATTTTGTTTTCTCCCTTCGACTGCAAGCTCCTCTCTTTTTCGGACATCATGTCGGAGCCATTCCCTTGGGAACTCGGCGTCCACGATGCCCATTGTCACCCCACCGACACAATGGCCTCGGTGTCCGACATCCCGCACATGAAAACGACAACATTGACGATCATGGCCACACGTGGAGATGACCAGGATCTTGTACAACAAACAGCCGAGTCTTATTCTGCCCAATCAAACACGGACTGTACAGATCGTAAAGATCGCGTAGTCCCCTGCTTCGGTTGGCATCCATGGTTCTCGCATCAAATCTCGAACACAGCTCCATCAGACCTCCAAACTAAGAAAGACCACTACGACAATGTCCTAGCGCCCTCACCAGTCGAAGACCAAGCTTTTATCGACTTGCTCCCCGATCCAAAACCCCTCTCCGAGCTCCTCTCCGAGACCCGAGCTCGTCTCCAAAAATTCCCTACCGCCCTAGTCGGCGAGATTGGTCTAGACAGATCTTTCAGAATCCCAGGTCCATGGACCGAAGAAGAACTCGAGAAGCGCAATGATCAAGTAACGCCAGGTTCACGCGAAGGTCGTCGTCTCTCGCACTACCGTGTCAAGCCAGAGCACCAGCGCACAGTCCTGAAAGCGCAGCTTCAATTAGCAGGGGAGATGAACCGAGCCGTCTCATTACACAGTGTGCAGGCGCACGGTGCCTTAGTCGATGTCTTGAAAGAAGTATGGGCAGGTCATGAACGAGTTGTCCTCTCACGACGAAAAAGAGACAAACAGCGGGACGCGGAGTGTGCGGACTTCGAGGATGAAGAAGACGCTACCACCACGCCGAATCCATTTCCGCCTCGCATATGCATGCATTCGTATTCCGGATCTGTGGACCCAATTCGACAACTCATGCATAAGTCTAATCCGTCGGATGTCTACTTTTCATTTTCTAGTTTGATCAATTTCAATGGTGCGCCGGCAAGGAAGATTGCTGATGTTGTCAAAGCGCTGCCCGAAGACAGAATCCTGATCGAGAGTGATCTCCACAAGGCTGGCGAGGAGCTAGATGCGTTAATGGAGGACGTGGCCAGGCGGATTTGCGAACTACGTGGGTGGGAATTGAGGCATGGCGTTCAAATTCTAGCCGATAATTGGCAACGGTTTGTCTATGGTTAGGTGTTTCGTTGCATGATTAGCGAATGTGCATTTCAAGGCGTGCTTAGGATTGCATGCATTGTAGTTTGGAATCGGCGTAGGAATACAAAACCTTTTCTATGGCATGGGCCACAGGCACAAAAAGGACCTCGGGAACGTTCAGATTTGACATATCTGCCATTTGAATCTAGCTTTTCAATTATCAATTGATTTGATCTTGTATATCATTGTTTGGGAATATATGACATGGTTTAAATCTATCATTGTACGTCGTTTGTGACATGGTATCATAGGCTTTCTTGGAACATGATGCCTGTAGGTGTCTGTGTCCTGACATGGTATTTAAGGGGGGTTTTGCGTATGTTTGCGCGCCCTGGCGTAGCTCATCTCGTCGTCAATGTGGAAAGAAAGGTGTGTGGCGAGGGGGTGGTAGATAATGAGAAAACCCCTGCAGGGGTTCCCAAAAGCAGTGAGGCATGACTATCCATGACCCCATCCACCGTCGTGGATGAGGTCTGCCATTGGAGCATCCTGCCAGTAGATCTGCCGCCACTCGTCTTCAAGCTCGGGCAGACCTTCGACTCCCGCAGGCGGGGGTAGGTCTATGTCTCCAAAGGAGAACAATTGTCGCCAGTCGGGATAGTCTCGAGCCGGCTCTATAGAATCCACCTGCATGCTGCTTGAATAAGGATCGTTTCTTTCCATAGGGCCGACGTTGAGTCGGAGAGGAGCAATCCAATTGTTGAATTGCGGAGGATTGGGCTGCGGTGAGAGAGTATTTTGGTGTAGAGAAGACTGAAGGGATGTGGTCGACTCTGGGGTGGGCACACCAAAAGAGAGTGCTCGAGGGGTGTGCATGGTGATTGAGGGGACGGGAGATGCAATGGGCATTGGCATTTTGTGTGAATGGGGCTCGCCAAAGGGCTTGGGTCGTTCCGTAGTTGCCATTCGGAGGTCCTCTTGTAGGCGTTTGGAGTCCTCAAAGAGTCGCAAGATCGTACCTGCATGGACCCAGTATTGAGCCAATTCGCGCAGCGAGTAAGAGGCAGAGTCAAACCGTCGCAAAGCGTTGATGGCAAGAACTGGGTTTGAGAACCGCAGCTCTACTCGAACTTGGATCATGGCGGTGAAGAGCGTGTGAACGCCTGTATACCAGAGGAACTTCAAGCGATCATTCATCCTTAGCTCTTCAAAGATAGAGGCTATAACACCAGCAGCAGCGCTGCAAATTTCTGCGTCGTGAGGGCCATAATCATCGGAATAAGCTGAAGCTCTGGGATGTGGTCGATGCAGCAGAATGAGGAAATTGTTGTAGGTCAAGTGGAGCATTGCGGACCAAGGATCCATGTCAGACGCTCGTAGTCGGAGATTATCAGGAAGTTTTAGAGACCATGTGGCCAAGGATCCATCTGCTTCCTGGAGGACTGCCTTTCGTCGCTCCTCTGTGGTCCGCAGGCCGAATCGATCGCGAATGAGATACGAGATCATTGTGCACAGTTCAGTGAAGTTCATCACGTATTCGGCTTGCACGTGCGGGCCACAGTTCTCGAAATCCGCTGGCGTTAACGGAGACACATCGGAATCGTCCAGATTGATAGCCTGCGGTCGACCATATGACAGAGATACCATCACGTCGAACTGGACTAGGATAAACCATACTCTTCTCCACATGCGCCTGTCACGGGTCACGAAGCTGCTCGAAACGGGGTTGCGGTGCATGCCAAGTCCTGTAGCAATTCGTGCCGCTGCACCTACCCAGAAATGAGCGTCTGCGGCGACATCGTCATCCGCGCTGTCAGAATGCCAGGTCAAAAGAAGTGCTGCTTGAACAAGGATGTCGCGATTTCGCTCAATCCGGTTGTCAAATAGGTACTTCGTACGACGGAAGAATATTTCCTTAAGAGCATCCCGCTCTAGTTTGCCGCGAGAGACGTGGGCTCCAACCAGCAAAATCGCTTGGAGGAGTAGTATGGGTGGGGGATCTGCAGGGTCCCGATTTCGATATTGCGTCATGAATAGATCTTCGTCGACGATGGGATAGCCTGGATTGACATAGGTGAAATACGCCTGAACCAGCTCGTCTGCCAAAGGCGGTTCTGGGAGTGTGAGAGCGTCCATAAGAAGCTGGTCATGGCCCGTCTTCATTTGGCGCCGCGGAATTTCATTGCTGGCAAAATGATAGACATCATCGTCTTGATCTCGTTGTTGTCGGATCAAAAAGGACATGTTTGAGAGTTCGTGTCCAACGTAGAACGCGCGCACGCCGCGTTGAATTTCCCTTCTTCCAGATTCCTCTTCATCAATCAATTTGACGAGATGTTGTTGCATCTCACTATGGGCCTCCTGGGCATGCGCCAAATCAGGGCCTTGACGGCCGAATGCCTCTGGTCCCGTACCTTGCGGAAATCCATGTTGTGGAAGACCTCCCGAGGCAGAAGTCCCATGTCCGTTTGGGAAAGCGGTTGGAAAGCTCGGTGGTACCGGCGTTCCCGCGGCAAGAGAAGGGTTTGATGTTTGATCGGTCAATGGTAGAGGCCGAGATCGGATTGGAACGGGATCAAGGATAGAGCGCACTGCAAGGCGCTTCTTCTTTTCGTGTATACGACAGTCGGTTTTTCCAGAAGCGCGACAGTTTGTGCAGGGTGTTCCGACTGAACGGGCATCACAGCGAACCTTGCGCCGGTGACAATGAACGCAAGCGGCGGAGCCTAAGAATTTTTTTGAGTCACCGTTTAGCAACGCACTTTGTGGGATACAAGGTGATCAAGAGAGGGGCCCGGGATTGGGCTTTTGGACATCAGGCAAGATGACCCGAAGTATACGGGTGCTTACCTTGCTTGCGCTTGCTCAGCCCATCGGCCGGCTGCGGCGAGGGGGCGTTATCGTTGACGGAGGACATGGCGAGTGTACTATTGACATCATTCTAGGTCCAAATTGGCCAGAATTCTGCATCCTTCACAAGGCAAATTCACCGCTCAGTTCAAGGCATCATAGCTTCCAATCCGATTGCCGAGGGACAGCAATCACAAAGAACGAAAAAAGTCGGGAAGTTGAGGGAACAGCGGCATCGGGTCCGGTGGAGCCTCACGTGGATGCGGAGAAGATTATGTAAATCGGCCCCGGTGCCCGATTAGGGTGTACTTTATTTGAGCCCTTAAGGCTTGTTGTTCGACCTATGTCAATTGATTCATACTTGGAGTATGTTCTTATGGCACAGATCGGACAATCTGGGAATGTTATGACAGTGGAATATAAGTTCTACTTTAAGCCTGGACTTCTTGGTGGCGAAGAGGCAAATGTGAGGTTGGTCATTACACTCATGTAGTAGTCTGATCTGTCAGATGTTCGTGAATACCCCGTATGGATAAACAGGTATGTACTCTGTAGATCATCTATGTTTACGGGGTACTGATAATGCATGTTACTACGGATATTCACGCTCGACATTCCCAGTCACTTGGCCCGTATAGATCTTAAAGGGGAAGCGATCATCCCAGGTCTAAGCTTCTTGTGAGCTACTCCATACTTGTACTTCGTAATTCCCAGACTGTCATAGGAATTGTCTCAATTGATCGACTCAAGAATTCTCGCGCTAAGACATCTAGTCTCTGCTAGCGCAAAGCCCTGTCGCATATAGACGAGGGATTGCCATCCATGGAGGGTGAAATTTTTCAGAGCCTACATACTTTACTCACTCAGTGTCAGGAATTGATTTACGAGTGTACAGCTCATGACCTGCATTGATCCAAGATCGACCAATCTCCATCAGGATCGACAATGCAACCCACTTGAGCAGCCGATGGCCAAACCCCTCAGCCTTGCGTGATCTTACTCTACTTCGACTTCTCTCAATCTTCTGTTGGCTTGACCCGGCCCATGAGTACGGTCATTGACCTTGAGCTGCTTAAGTAGCCACCCAGAGCCTCAAGTGATTGTTTGTGTTACACAGGACGGGCATAAAATTGATCAGCCTCATGGGGCAGTGCAACTTTTCATCACGCGTAGCTATAGGATTTTCTACTAAGATGTGTCTCACATCTCAATTTTATAAGAAATGTTGAAGCCTATCCTGTTTTACTCTGGCGAAGTAATTCCAGGGAGGGTTACTTCGTATTTAGATCTGAATTCAGCAACCAGGATGCTACCCAGGTGATTGCTGTATAACATAGAAAGGCTTCCGTGTAGGAACCCTGTAAAGTTTCTATCCAATATCCAGTGTGAGATGGTACCTGAAAAGTGAGGAAGTTCCGCCGGAAATACTTGAACTTTATACAGTCCTAGATCGAGGAAACACCGAGCAAGAAACAACCACCTGGCAGATACTCAAGTACTTCAAGCTAGTTACAGTCTAGTAGCACAAAAAGGGTATCACCTACTCCGTATCATCAACGAACCCCGATGACTAGCATCTAAAACTGCCTATGTTGATCATTTCTGCACTTGAAACGAAAAAGGATATACAACTTTAGAAGGGCCGGCATCTTCAAAAAGAGAAAGGGATAGCAGGTAAAAGCTTGCAAACTCTTCGGAAGCTAGCTAGTAGCCTATGCTAGTTAAGTAAGCTGCCAATTGCCTAGCAATGCTTGCGGCGTCTCCGGGTGGCACTGTTTCAGGATAATGTGCGACAATGATCGATTCCGATGATTTCACCACGCAGACACCCTCCCCGTCCTAGTATACCCACGAATTAACAAACCATCCGCCAGTGTCTCGGTAGATTGACCTACTTGTTGAGCATATATGCTTTCATCGTCCGCTTTGGTAACCTGAAGCTTTTCTCCTACGATGTAGAGCCCCCCAGAATACAGAGGGATGGAATCTTCAAAGCCTCTCAGGATATATTGAACTTCTTCTAACTTCACCTGTTCGATGACCAATTTCAATGAAGATGTTCTCAAGTTCTGAAGGCGACCGATCAAACACTTACATCAAACCCAGCACTCGATGCGAACTCGACGTCTCCTGCCGCCGAGAATATGGCGGCCTTATCGATTTTTCTGGATCCGACCAGGGTCTGATCGACCCACCCTGCTCAACTTAGTCGGTGTTGATTACCACGAGTCTATGACATACCTTGCCAACTCATGGCCCAATTATAAATAGACCTGGGGGTTTGTTTGGCACGGAGGAGAGATGGATGGGGGATGTACTCCGCACTCCGTAGTGTCGTGGCCGGAGGGGTTCTCTCGTGGGGAAATTTGGAAAGTCTGAGAAAATTGGCCAATGAAAACCGACCATTTGCGAACTTTGATGATCGTGGATCTATAGTGCCCAGGTGGTGTATACAGATTACTTGTTTCCGCCTATGGTGACGCCCTTGCTTACTGAGTTACTCCGTAGCCAAGTTTCACCAGTTGACAACACACCGCTACTAGGTAGAAAAGCCGCAACGAAAGGCCGTATATTTCAGCGATCGACTTGCTGTGCGGATTTTGTTTATTCTCTACTTTTTCTAAGAGCCATATCCTTTGAATTTCTTTTCTTTTCACACTAAGTTGGAATACACGGTGAATATTTAGGATCACTACAAGGTTGCGAAGGCCTAGACAAGATCAAACAAGTGTAAACCAGGGAGCAACTCAACACCAAAACCTCCCGAATAGCTCTCGAGGGTGGCCCGGGACAAACCAAAGTCATTTCTCCAGGCCCAAATCTTGGAACTCTCGAGCCTCAACATGCCTGGATAATTTGATTGGCTCCGGCGTTTGTAGATCGCCTTGGCTCCGCTTTGTTCTCTCCGAGGTCAGGGCCTTGGCTTAACTAGCACTCGATGCTTGCCCTGACAGGGGAGCAAGTCACTGCTGGCCATTGCTGATACGTTAAAATGGCGGTAACGCGATGTGATCTCCCTGAGGTCTACACCAAAAGAGGAAAGATCGCCACCCTCCATCGATAGTCTCAATTATCCCGGGTTCATAATGCAAGGCCAACACACCCTGTCAGCTCGTGTTCTGAATTGTCGGCAAATTTGACTCATTTGTGGTGTACCGAGTAATTGAGTATACTGAAATGCTGCGTACCGTACTCTCTTTTGTTCCAGATATGAAGGGTGCGAAGAATCTGGATTCCAAAGAGTCTCCCTTCACTCCGTCATGCACGAGCCAACCCTACTTTGTTGCAAATGCAACAGCACCAAATAATATGTGGACCCCGATTGATTGACGGCAAAGCCACTCATATTTCACACATTATTTCTAGATCGGTCTAAATGTACAATATGAACACACAGGAGCGGATCCCTGCGTCCGGGGGCCATGTTGGGGCTGATCTTGCCCAGTCAGGCCTACTCTCTGCGCCTCGGTTAAGCCGCAATCAATACGGAGTATACTCTATTTTTTTTTTTTGTAAATAACCCTTATAACTAGACCAGCCCCCGACATCCAACTTCCGCTGGACAACTGTGATCTGCCGTGCCTTTCCAGCGCCGGAAAATCCACCTATAATGAAGTGGCCCGTTCTGTTTTGCGGCGGACTGGGTATTGCGTCAGCTCTCGAGAAACCCCCAGTCAAGAAGTTCGAGCTTGACCTGACTTGGAGCAGTCGGGCGCCGGATGGAGTGGAACGGGAGCAAATTTTGGTTAATGGTCAATTCCCTGGACCCCCTCTCATTTTTGACGAAGGCGACGACGTTGAAGTGACAGTCAACAACTTCCTACAGTCTGATACCACGGTGCATTATCATGGAATTGAGTAAGAGCTCTTCTCAGGGAGTATATCTTGCTATTCTAATGCAAAAAACAGGCAACAAGGTACATCGTGGTCAGATGGCGTACCTGGCGTCTCGCAAAAACTAATCGCCCCTGGACGAAAATTTGTCTCAAAATTCACTGCGACACAATATGGAACACACTGGTAAGCTTTTGATGTCGTAATAAAATGAGCACAGTTAATATTCCGAAGGTACCACTCCCATTCCAGAGGGCAAAACATGGATGGTCTTTACGGACCGATCTACATCAGGTTTGTCAATCCAACCAAAATTTGCGCTCAAGATTGACTGAACGTTGTATAAGACCACGAAGCATCCCCGAAAGTCTGTTCAATGCAATTTCAAACGACAGTCTGACTCGTTCTCAAATTCAGAGGGCGATTCAAACCCCAAAACTGCTCATGATATCTGACTGGTTCCACAACACATCCGAGGAACTTCGAGACATCGCGTTATCTACAAATATTGACACATTGTGAGTGAGAATTATAGATGTAAAGACATTGCTAATTGGATGTTCAGATGTGTGGATTCTATCTTAATCAACGGCAAAGGAAGAGTGCGCTGTGTCGACCCAGGTTATCTGAGCAGCCTAATTCCCCCTCCGCTTTCACCTTTACTTCAAGGTCAAAACTTCACAGCAAAAGGGTATGTGATTCCATCAAATGCGGATTGATGAGCGATAGAGCTGACTGTGAATGCAAAGATGTCTGCCAACCCACAACACCTATGCTCAGACGACCACAACCCATCATAACTATAATGAGCTCCCACCGTCCTTGTTTGACCAGTGCAATGCCACGAACGCAGCAGAGGAAGAAATAAGAGTCGATCCTCGGGATGGCTGGATTAGTCTTAACCTGATAGGCGCTGCATCTATTTCGACACTCGCATGTACGTTTTCTAAGGGCCTCTACCGCGTTTGGGTTCTTCGGCTAACCAGACTAAAGTCTCTCTCAACAACCATTCTCTATGGGTATACGAGGTGGATGGGCAGTACATTGTGCCCACTAAGGTTGATGTACGACCCATTTCGGCATTTCCTAATCACCAGAAAACATGCTAACCAGCACATCTAGACCCTCACACTAAGCAACGGACCGCGCTACTCTGTACTCGTCCAGTTAAACAACACACCTGGCGATTATAGGATGACATTCGCAAGTGCAGGATTTAACCAAAAGATTGCAGGATACGGCGTACTGTCGTACATTAATGGCGATCCTTCTGTGGTAGGGACGCCCCTGCTCAATTACGGCGGCGTTGAGAGCCCAGGTGCCATCCCGCTCAACGAAAACACCATCAAGCCCTTGATTCCCAATGCACCAGCCCAAGAAGCAGATGCAACCTTCCTCCTTGCGATTGGTCGAATTGAGAAAGCTTGGAAATGGTCCCTCAATGGGGATCATTCATATGATCTGTCACTGGAGGCGGAAAAGCCACTGCTGTGGGATCCTGAATCACAAGCGAATAGCAGCCTCGTCATTACCGCAAATAATGGCACCTGGGTGGATATCATCTTCGATGTCACTGGAACCAAGACGACCCTTCAGCCGGGCCATCCAATTCATAAGCACTCGAACACGGTCTACGTTATTGTGAGCTAGCTGTCTTCCTCTTTTTTGGGCCACGCTAATATGCAGAAATAGGGCGCGGGCACTGGGAAGTTCAATTGGACAACTGTCGCAGAGGCGAGGAAAGAGATTCCACATCTGTTTAACCTGGAGAATCCCCCAATAAGAGGTACGCCAGCCATTGAAATCATAGTGACAACTTACTGATTAACCCAGATACCTTTACAACACTACCTGCATTCCAAGGACCGAGCTGGATGGCCGTTCGATACCATGGTGAGTGACCTCTGATCCTTTCATCCATTTATTTTACATCACTAACTTGTTGATAGTTCAAAATCCTGGGGTGAGAACACGTTAAGAAACATACAAGGTTATTTTACTAACGAAGCTCAACAAAACAGGCCTTTTTGCTCCATTGCCACATTGACCCGCATTTGACAGGTGGAATGGCGTAAGTTTTCTTTTCTTTGCATGAAGTTTGAAGCTATTGACACAACATCGCAGGCTCGCCATGCTTGATGGCATAGATACCTGGCCTGAGATACCCGAAGAATATGGTCCGACAGGTAAATGGGGTAAAGCAACCGAACGAAAGTAATAACTGGTATATAATCATAATACATACGTTTTCAATTTTCATCCTAAGGAATGCCTGGCCACCCTCGGAGAAATTTTGCACAAGGCCAGGTGGACCTCGGCCAAAGTATTGACACTCCAATGGCTCTATTTGAATCTAGCCTGTCCCTCCAGACCAGCCTTCATGATCATACCGAAGATCTCAAGATCTCTTTTCGCGTCCTCAGAGGTAGTCTTCGCCGGCTTCCCTTCAGCAGCAAATGCGTACAACTCCTTCATCTCCAGAGTATACGCATCCTCATAGGTTTTCCTCACCATAGACTCGCGGAATGAGCCATCATCCATCTTTTCACGAATATGCATGGTCGTAGGCAGGCCTTTAACATAAGGTGAGTCAAAGCAGACCTTGACAGTCTTCTTTCCACCGAAGACCTCGATCGAGGCATCGAAACGCGGCACCTCATCAATCCCAGACTCATAAGACACAGCAAAAGAAGGGTATTGGAACAAAGCACTAAGAGAGTTAGTGTTACTGCTCTATACAAAATGGAAAGTCCACATACCTCCAGAATTGTGGTCCTTTCGACGAACACAGCGAAGCACCAAGAACACCCTTGGGCATTCCCAGCGCTTCTCTCATGGCACTGAGATCATGAGATCCCAGACTACCAAGGTTCCTCCACTGATTCGCGGTATCAGCATTAACCTCAATACCCAATTCCCTCGTCAATCCCTGCTCCAAGAACTCTCCAGTCTTGGAAGCCAAAGCCTCCGAATCCTCTTTCCTATAGTCCACAAAGACCCTGGGGAAAGTACCAGACTGACCAGCAAAGTCAGAATTGGGACCTACGATATCCCGCACGCGCGCATAGTGAACCTGGTCAAGGGAGCCGATCTCGGAGACTGCATCGATGAACGCGCTCGTGTACCGACGCATATACCCGACCATCACCTTACCGGATGACTGTTTCTCCAGTTCGATGATGCGGTCTGCATCGGCGAGCGAGAGAGCCATTGGTTTTTCGATGAAGACAATTTTGTTGTGCTTCAGGCCTAGGAGGGCGTGCGGGACATGGAATGCATCGCTGTTGGCGATCATGACAATGTCTACTTCTGATGAAGAGCAGAGATCTTCTGCATCGCGGGTTGTTTGGGGTGTGGCCCCGATCACCTTCTTGGCGCAGTGCGAGAGTGCGTTGTCGGAGACATCGCATAGGTAGGTCACTTGGAATTTGTCGGATAGGAAGCCAAGAGTTGGGATATGGGCAACTTGGGTGATTTCACCACAGCTGTGAGAGAGTTAATGAGATGATTTGAACTTGGGATAGGACTTCTTGTTACCCGATGATTCCAACGCGCAAGATGCTCATGATGAGTGACGTAATAGGTGAGAAAGTCGTATAGGGTCTCCAGGGCTAATCGCAAGTCGTGTTGTTCAGGGTAAGTTCAGGGAAGTATTTGATTCTTCAAAAATTTCCAATTGCTCGAGTGTGTCAAGATAAAGGAGGTTGAATTGAAGTTGGATCTGCCCCGCGAAGAGCCCCGCAGGACCATCTGCACGTATGCAATGGTCTCTATATTGCCTCGCTGCCTATGTTCTCCCGAGGTTCCTATATACATCGAATAATTGAACTAAGAGAACTGTCTGTATCCCTGAATAATAGCCTCCCATCCACCAGGATGATTGTACTCCGTCGGGTTACTCTCACCATCCAAGATCATCACATCCGTCTTCCGAGTATTGACCGAGTACCAGACCAGATTCTCCGGCTTGTTGGTAACCCGCATCATGTTGGTTTGACAAGATCCTGAGCATTGGGTGCCATAATTACCATCCCACTGCCCATTGAAGAATGCCCACGCAGCACTGTTGTAGAGGAAGATATCCTTGCCGCCATCAACATTGGTGGCCAGCGAACTGCGACACTTGCCGTCATCACCACCGCACCAGGAAAAGTCCGGATCACCAAAGCTGGCCTCAGCGGTCCATGGTGCTGGTGCGAGCTTCGTAGCTCCGTTTCCTTGCATATAAGGACTTTCGGTCTGCAACATGCCTGCGAAGACGTTCTGCGCGGACTTGAAATTGTAGTTGTATAACCAGTGGTGTTCGGATCCCGTGCCCGTGAGCCAGGTTCCCTTCGTTGCCTCAACAAGGATACCACGACCGGTGGAGATGATCGTTTTCGAAGAACCGCCGTCGAGGTTGTGGTCGGCTGTCCAGCCCCAGAAGTTCTCGAGGTAGGCTGATGAAGACTTGGTCAAGTGCATAACCATGAATGCAGCCATGCATTTGGAGGTATCTTGATTATCACAGTTGTCCTTGATGCTTGTCTCGGCAGTGCCGCCAACAGTGACAATGGTGTTCCACATTGCCACGTCGCCAGGGTTTGTGCCTGCAGCGTTCACTTCCAGGATAATGGCACCGGGAAGGATCTCAGCAACACTAAAGCGCATATCTTGGATTTCGATAGTACCAACATCGCCAGATTGACCAACTTGGACCACGGGCTTGGGGTTCTTGGAATCTTTGAAGGCATCGCCTGCGCCAGAAATAACGGCCCAGGCTTCACCTGCAATGCGAGATCCCACTGGGATCTTCAGAGTATCCTTGACGATGTAAACACCGTATGGGAAGTAGGAGATCTTGCAGTTGGCTGCATTATCTGCCAGAATGGCATTGAGAGATGCCACATCATCTGTGGATCCGTCACCCTTGACTTCATGTCCGTCTACGTTCTTGACGTTGACGACTTGGTCCGCGGCATATTCGGCGTAGGTAGGCTGGGCGCGAGTGAAGTACTTGCCGTTGGACAAGAGAATGTCGGGTCGAGAGGTGGTGAGGCTTTGGCCCGAGACGTACTGACCAGGAGTCAGGTTGCCCCAGATCCAAGTATCGACCTTGCTGGTGGCGGCAAGCTTCACATTGTTATTGCTGTCTACTGCAATAGCATTGTTGGTATCGTGTTCAAGGTTTTGAATGACCAGTTGGCTGTTTCGATTGCCGCCGTCATTAGAGGAGTCGTGGAATTTCACCACGGTACCGGAGTTGGTGGACTTCGAATCCAGTAAGACCAAGCTTCCAAGCCCGTTGCTGGTCATGTCAACTCCATATCCAACAGTGTCGAAAGTCGCACCCTGCAGAAGAGCGGTGTGGCCACCAGCTGCCTTGAAAGCAGTCGTGCAATATCTGAAGTAGATATTCTTGAAGTTGACCTGCTGGTTCGAGTTTTTGATACCGACAACACCTCCAGTGATGTCGACATCAGTCACCGCGATCGTTGATCCGGCACTGATATCGATACCGGTATGTCCAGTGGAGCTAGACGGCATCTTGATCTTGACATTAGTCAAACCAGATCCCTGAGCAACACCCCATTGCAGGGCAGTGATCTTTATATCAGCACTGAGAGCAGTGGTATCAATGACCACGTTCCGCAAGAGGGTCATGAAACTAGTTTCAGGCTGACCGTTCTGACTATCGAATCCATTGATGAGAGTATCACCGTTGAAGCCGGGAGCGGCTTTCAGAACTGGTGGGTTAAGAGGATCACCAGTAATCACAGTGCCGACACGCAAGTTCAAAGTACTACCCAGCTGGTAGGTGCCACCAGGCAGAAAGACTTCAGCAGGATATCTGGTTACACCTTGACTTGCGCGACTGCCACCCGAGCCATCGTCATTGATGGCATTTTGGATGCTGCTGGTCTGATCACCCGATCCATCAGCAGAGGCGGAATAGTCTTTCACGTTGCGCCAGACGGGGTAGTTGGCATTTGAAACGTGGGGGGCATATCCTCGTGGCCATCCGGTGTGATCCTGGTCCAGCATCCAATAGGAGCTGGGAGAGGATGATGTAGGTCCGGTGCATGTATCCCGAGTCTCACTATACATAATCAGAATTGGCTTCGATTCAAATATTTTGTTATGAGGAACTTACTAGCTGGAGGGAACTGCCACCGCGGGGGCGACGGCCAATGCACTCGCTAATGCAGTCCACCGAAGAAGATGCATGGTGGGAAAAATAAGGGACTGTGTCCAGAGAAAATTAAAAGAATGTATGTACTCAACGAGCGAGGGAAAAGAGTGTGAAGATTTCAGCTGAAGAAATGGTGCCTTTTAAATTGCTTTATGTACTATATAGAGCCATACTCGCACACCATTACCGATTTGGACTTAGAGGGTGAGATTTTAGCCACCTGAATAGTTCGAAGGATATAGAGTACTCGTACATCCTATCCATAGAGATCGCCATGCTCGCGCCCCATTTCCTTAATAGGCCTCTGCAATCTCCGATTGGGGTTAGGATCATTAGAAACTCATGCGGGTAAAAGTGGAGGTCGAGTCAATGGGGAACAGTCAGGGCCAATTTTAAGGGCAGCGGGCCAGCGGGCCAGCTGAGAGACTTAGTGGGTACTTCAGGGGTCTAGGGCCTAATTGGGGAACTGGTGTTGGCGTGTTTTGGCGAGCTCACTTTTTTGTATGTATTCGTAGCACTCGGTACTCCGTACTCCGTAACTCGCTTGTCTGCAGGTCCAGGACCCGCATGATCCTCAATTATCTTAGTTCGATTAGCATCAATTTGACCGAAGTGCACTAAAATTATGTGCTTGCACGGCTGTGTCTCTGAATTTACCCGGGCCATCCTCGGAGTACGCTAGGATAACCTTAGGGTGCGTAAGTTTCGGCTGAAACAATAAGCATAACGTCTTCAACGCAGTGAGCATGCTCTGGGGAACGCGACAGGTTTAATAGTAGGGGACGGTATTCCATTTACTCCAATGTACAGATGGCAGCCTCCCAGTCTTGTAAAGACCTCGCACTGTCGTAGATACATGCCCTAGTCCCACCCATAGTTCCCAAACTCCCAAACGATCAAGAAAAATGAATATAGGGCCACAGTTGCCGAAATGAAGAATGAAGCGTAAAAAAATCCATGCTGGAAGGGCGGTTCCTTCAGATCCCAGTGCAGACAAACGCAGAAGCAGGGAACAAGTTCGACCCAAGCACCGGGAAAGAGATTTGGTCAAATCGAATAGCCACTGGTTGGAACCTCATGTAAATGGGGACGTCCCAACAGCTTGAGGAAGTCCACCCACTGTATCAATTTCCTTCACAACATTGACTTTAGTACGACTCCGCACCTGCACCGTTGTGCGGCTGGCCAACCATTGAGGGATAGCCATACGCAGTGGCATCTTGCTCGGAGGGGTCCAGGTTAGGGTTCAGCATGGGATTTCCACCCTCGGCGTCGGCGAACCCGGCGGGGCGAGCAGGTCCCTGCCCGGGGGCTCCTACAGGTCCTCCGGCGCCGTAGCCAGCACTCGGGGGGCGCTGGTTTTCACCACGGGCAGATTGTGTCTGGTATACGATCAGTAAAAGCGAACTTGGCATTTGTGCGGTGCGGGCATCTAGGTCCTGGGATGGGGATTCGTCCGGGGGTGGGGGTGACTGGGAGGAGCGGGGAGTTCCTACCTCACGGTACTTGGACAGGTAAATCTTCAGGGCTTCCGCGTAGTTCTCAAAGCCGAGCGAGGTCATCGCAAATAAAATGTCTTCACCGTTAACGGTCTTGCGCTTCTCCTGTTGGCATTTCTCCGAGGCTGTGGAGACGGTTGGTCAATATCCACGGTAGGTGAGCTGAGATATCTAACTGACCTTCACTGGTGATGAACGAAATGAACTCGCTCACGCATTCTTGCATGCATTCTTTGGCCTCTTTCGCGATCTTGGCATTTTCTGGAAGGGCCAGCTTCATGATACGAGCGACTAGATAGGATTATCGACGTTAACATTGTAAAAGATGATGGGATCTCTTTGCCGGAGGGGTGAAACAGTAGTGACGAGGGAATGGTGGAACACGCGACCGACAAACTGCGACACAAAACCACATGGAGCTTCAGCTTCGTAGCGTCGGATCAGAATGCAATGGACAAAGTTCAGATCCGATGCGCGCAAAAGTTCGGACCAGAAATGCGGGGAAATAGGGAGAGGCCAGCCCAGCAGCAAAGGCAAGGCACGCGCAAATCAGAGCAATGGGACAAATGCAAGAGGACGCGACTAACCATTTGCAATCGGAAGCCACCGATCCTGCTCCTTCACCTCAAACTCGCCATGATGTCCCTGCGCGTCGTGTTGTTCCTTGTCCATGTGCTCTGGTTCTTCACCCGATTGCACCTCGGGGTCAAGTTCTGGTTCCTTAGAAGGCGAGGTCGACGACATAATTATGGGCGGTTTGAATACGTGCAGCGGATCCTCGGTTTAGGCGTCAATGCTTGTGTTTTCGCTCTGTTGTCAGACCACGTCAGTTCTCAATGCGCGCGTTGATCCCCGGTGCAGACAGCGCAGAGTCTCGGCTGCGCCGAAGACGGACTGGGCTAGCTGGGTACGAACCGCTTCACAGGAGCCTTAGGCAAGAATGGGGATTTGGCAATAATGCAGGTGATAGCTCTGTACATGCGACTCGCGCCACCAATTAGCTGTTGTTCTTGTAGTTGATGGTGATTTTCGCGGGACAGGATTCGTTATGCAATTGCGCCGTAGCCGCAGTGTGCCAATGACGCGCCTCGATACGACGTACGGAGCAGTCGGGGCGGAATTTAGGCCGAGTGAAGCTTGGGGTGGGATGCGGGAACAGTGAAGGTGGGTCAAATTGGGGGGGAAAGCCCAGAAGAATGACAAAGGAGGCTACTCCGTAGCTACCTTTGAGCCCAGGAGAATGGAATTCAAGCGAGCGCAATTCTTCCGATTCGTTTGGGCTTAAAGCGCTAAAGTCAGGATGGGGGTGTTTTGAGTGTTTTGAGTGGCAGGGCCTGGAGGTCAATTGGCGAACCAGAATGGCAAATCGAAAGGACGCCTTCGGTTGGTCACTTACCAAAGTAGCCCTGGAGGTATATTTGGTCGCTCAGTGACACTTTCAAACGAAGTCAAATATTCGCTGTCCTATTGAACTGATCACCTATGATGAAGCCGGTTAGAGGAAAGAGAAGAAGTTCAGTCATGATCGCATCCGACTACAGCCGCCTCAGGCATGGCTCTTTGGTATGACAATTACTGTTTTATTTCGGTACATGCAGTGCAAAATCGGTAAGATGTGTAATACCAATACAGCCCTCGACTCCGACCAAACCACTGCTCAAGTGAGTTATATGGAAATTCCCAAAAGAAATCTTCCCCGGATTGATTCTATTCCATCCCACAGAGTGCATCTTTCAAACTTCTGATACGGGTTGGGTGGTTTAGGGCCCAATACCTATTTGTAGTCAGGCACCAAGGTTTGCATCCCAGTAGGTATACTTGCCTACAGATATGCCGTACTACTTAGGTACTTAGGAGGTTGGAATAGAAACTCTAACTTTAGAATATGAGACACCAGTCAGGCATTGATGGCAATTTTTAAGTTGACTTGGGCCAATATATGCGTGGGTTAATATATGCGGGCCATGCCATCTCATGACATTCTTCGTATCCGAGAGCGCACGCTACCGACAGGTGCGTAACAAGGCACTAGAGGCCTAGAAGATATGGGTATATTCCTGGATATGAAACAAAGCTGTTGGAAGTTTGGCATCGAAGCACGAATCAACGCTGCATGACTGCATTATGTCTAATCTTTTGCCTTTCCCAGTAACGCCGATAGTCTGCACTCGCACTCGGGCAGCACCTGGGAACTGCGTATATCAAAAGTACACAGACGGTAGGACAATTCTCCTTTAAGGCTGCACAACTTGAATGTTGTTCTTTTTCTGTAGGAGGACAGGAACGTCAGTATGGTCCATATAAAATCGACAAAAGCAGGCCACAGGTCCGGCAGAACCAAAGGGGTGGGAAGAATATATACCTTCCAGTTATCCAACTCATTTTGCTTGGTCTTGTATTGCTTAAGCATGTCCTCGATCACTTGCTTCAGTCCGTCTTCGTTGGTCTTGAGCGTGGGGAGGACGTCCTTGATAGTGCGCTCGACCAGAACACCGTTCACCATGCGGAAGCATTTACGGTCCGCTTCGAGGGGATCCAAGGTTTGAATAACAAGCCTGCAGGTGCATAGATTAGCAAGGCTACTTGACCATATGTCCTTGCCTGCACTGGTGTGGCGTGTTCAACTCCAGCGGACGTTGCGTTGTGCCATAAAAGCGCGTAAGCCTGGAGAGGGGCTTACTTGTGCTCCTCTTGCTCCTGCTCAATTTCGCCAATCTTGGTTGCCAATTGTTGGAGGGTGTTCTTGAAGTTCGTGTACTGAAGCTGAAGCTCTGTGTCGAAGGGTTCACATTAGCCTTCCTTTCCCATGGAATCCTGCATATGATAACATACCCTGTTGCTTCTTCGGATCGATCTGCTTTTGGCTAGACATGGTGGTGTATGCTGACGCGGTGTGGTAATGCGAAAGCTCAAGAAATTAAGATGACGATGCGGGGCGGGTGCTTTTTTGGCGGAGAGCCGCCACTACTATCGGGGTTGATTCTCATACTGAACAGAACATATTGAGGACAGCCTAATAATCTCTATATCTATGGTACTTATAGACACAATGCTAGAAACAGTTAATTTCATACACACACAGCTCTGGCTGTAACTATCAGTTCTTCGTGGTATAGTCACGTGATGTATGCATTGTTTGCACTGTTTGATAGCGTTAGGAAGAGCTTCGACTCCGAAGCAATCAGCTTGGTAAAGTCAACTTTAGAGCCCAACTCAAGACTCCTTGTTCGGCTTTTCTGGGACTTGCCTCTCATTCCCAAGTCGCACATCATGTCTCGCGATATGGGCCCCCCGGCCAAACGACAAAAGGGCCCTGGACACCTCCCAGCAGGCCTGCGCGATGCGAAACGAAAGGATATCGACACCTGGGAAACCAATCGCATGCTCACCTCCGGTGTAGCACAACGGCGTGATCATGAGGGTGACTTCACCGTGGAGGATGAGGAAGCCAATCGAGTACATTTACTTACCCACGACCTTCGTCCGCCTTTCCTGGATGGCCGCACGATCTTTACGAAGCAACTGGAACCGATATCCGCCGTCCGAGATCCACAGAGTGATCTGGCTGTGTTTAGTCGCAAAGGCAGCAAAGTTGTCCGGGAACGCCGACAGCAGCGCGAACGACAGAAACAGGCGCACGAAGCGACAAATTTGGCCGGCACAGCACTCGGAAACGTCATGGGTGTCAAGGAGGATGAAGGAGACAGTGCAGTCGCTATGCCTGTTGAGGATACATACAAAGGCGGAGGCAACAAATTTGCGAAGCATTTGAAAAAAGACGAAGGCGGTGCCAGCGCATTCAGCAAGAGCAAGACGATGCGCGAACAGAGGGAGTTTTTACCTGCATTTGCTGTCCGTGAAGATCTGTTGAGAGTCATCCGAGACAACCAGGTTGTTGTTGTCGTGGGAGAAACGGGATCTGGAAAGACTACTCAATTGACACAGTTCCTGCACGAGGATGGTTACTCCAAACACGGTATGATTGGATGCACACAGCCTCGTCGTGTGGCTGCCATGAGTGTCGCGAAGCGTGTCAGTGAAGAGATGGAGGTAGACCTCGGTGGTACCGTCGGATACGCTATTCGTTTCGAAGATTGTACAAGCGACGAAACGGTTATCAAGTGTAAGTGGATCTTAGTCGGACAAAGTTTACTTCTGCTAACTCTATACCAGACATGACGGATGGTGTGCTACTGCGAGAATCTCTTGTGCAGACGGATCTTGACAAATACTCCTGCATTATCATGGACGAGGCTCACGAACGAGCTCTCAACACCGATGTCCTGATGGGACTTCTGAAGAAGGTTCTGGCCCGGCGTCGGGATCTCAAACTTATTGTGACATCTGCGACCATGAACTCAGAACGCTTCTCTCGCTTCTATGGTGGTGCTCCCGAATTCATCATTCCCGGCAGAACGTTCCCTGTCGATCTTCACTTCTCCCGCACACCCTGTGAAGATTATGTTGACAGTGCGGTCAAGCAGGTCTTGGCTATTCACGTGTCGCAAGGCCCTGGTGACATCCTCGTCTTCATGACTGGTCAAGAAGACATTGAATCAACCTGCGAGCTAGTTGATGACCGCTTGAAACTGCTCAATGATCCACCAAAGCTCAGTATTTTGCCCATTTACAGTCAGATGCCCGCTGAGCAGCAGGCGAGAATTTTCGAGAAGGCCGACCCGGGTGTGCGAAAAGTCATTGTTGCTACGAACATTGCCGAAACCAGTTTGACAGTCGACGGTATCATGTACGTTGTGGATGCAGGTTATTCTAAGCTGAAAGTCTACAACCCGCGCATGGGAATGGACACCCTGCAGATTACACCAATTTCTCAAGCCAATGCCAACCAGCGATCTGGACGCGCCGGACGAACTGGACCCGGCAAAGCATATCGCCTATACACAGAGATGGCATATAAGAATGAATTGTACATTCAAACAATTCCCGAAATCCAGCGCACCAGTCTTTCCAACACCGTGCTATTGTTGAAGTCTCTTGGGGTCAAGGATCTTTTGGACTTTGACTTCATGGACCCACCCCCTCAAGAAACCATCTCTACCTCCCTATTTGAACTGTGGTCGCTAGGTGCTCTGGATAACCTGGGTGACCTCACACCTCTAGGTCGCCAAATGACTCCGTTCCCTATGGACCCTACCCTCGGCAAGCTGATCATCATGGCCGCGGAAGAATACGAATGCAGCGAGGAAATGTTGACCATCGTCTCAATGCTTTCTGTTCCAAACGTCTGGTATCGCCCCAAAGAACGAATGGAAGAATCTGACTCCGCGCGTGAAAAATTCTTCGTCCCAGAATCAGATCACTTAACCCTCCTCCATGTATACACACAGTGGAAAACCAACGGATTTTCCGATTCTTGGTGCGTCAAGCATTTCCTCCACGCCAAAACTCTCCGTCGCGCGAAGGAAGTCCGCGACCAGCTCCAAGACATCATGACTGCACAAAAGATGCCACTCATCAGCTGCGGCACAGACTGGGACAACATTCGCAAATGCATCTGCTCAGGCTTCTACCACCAAGCTGCGCGTGTCAAGGGTATCGGCGAGTTCATCAACCTCCGTACAAGCGTTACGATGGCTCTTCACCCCACGAGTGCTCTCTACGGTCTCGGCTATGTGCCAGAGTTTGTCGTATACCACGAGTTAATCCTCACTGCCAAAGAATACATGTCCACAGTGACCGCTGTCGACCCTCATGTAAGTTTATTCTTCAGCCCTTTTCATTTGTCATATCTAACATAGCCCAGTGGCTCGCGGAACTTGGTGGCGTCTTCTACTCCGTCAAAGAAAAAGGCTACTCGAAGCGTGACCGCCGTGTCACGGAAGTCGAGTTTAATAAGCGCATGGAAATTGAAGCGCAGATGGCTGAAGATCGTGAGCGTGTTGCAGCTGAAAAGTTGCGCGAAGAAGAACGCAATGATCCTGCGCGCAGAAGAACTGAAGTCGAAGTCGGTGGTAAAACTGCTGTTCGCCGTCCTGTCATTAGACCCCGGGGCAAGGCCGGTGGCTTGACAGCCTCTTCGTCTTCATCTTCACGTCCGACTACTGGCGCGCCTCGGGGCGGTAGTGTGGTCAAGAGACCTTCCGTGAAGAGGAGACCTGGTGCTTTCTAGTCTGAATGGACTTTGTACCAAAACCATTCCTTGATGTCCAACCATTTATGTATATCTAGTCAAATGAATACCCGCGATGACGTTACACACAACAGGTCGTCACCCATCATGTTATAATTCTCATGATAATCGAGCATCTTGGGGATATAGCTGACCCATCGGGGACTGAAGTAAAACACTTTTGATTGAATAAATCTTTCCTACACGCCCAGCCAAAGGTTCGAGCCGCAAGTACTTGTTCAACAAGTCAATTGGTATAAATAGGTAGATCATATGGACAACATCAATCCACCTGGATTGTGGAGTGTACAGAAGGTGATAATCAAAGACGAAGTTATCCATTCCGACCATCATTTGTAGAGAGAACAGGCCAATCCCAGGGAACAGGCCGTGCAATTGAGCCTCGAGCCCGGCTTAGTTAATAAAGTTGATGCAGAAGAAGTGTAGAATCAGGCTTCCAAAGATATAATCGGCAAATGCCCTGTATATAAAAGTTAATATTCCACAATAAATCGGCATAGAATCTCCCTCTGGAATGAATTCCGCGGCTATCACTCACCTCTCATGCGAAGTACCTGTCCCCTCTTCAACCTCATCTGCAAACCGTGCATTCTTTCCCTTGGAGCTTGGCTTTGATCCCACACCACTGTCACTAGTTTGCATGCGCAGACTTGCCGTCAAGACGAATTGGCCAACGGCGGCACCAAAACCACTGAGGAACGCGTTGAAGGGCTGCAGTGGACATGGTTAGTGGCGGGTTGCGATTGGTGATCGCCCATGACAATATGAACGAATGCATGTGGGAAATGGCGTTGGGGCTTTCAACTTACGTAGTTTCCAGCAAGAACGCAGTACAAGAACTGCAGGCCGCCGACTAGCACGAGGAACGCCATGAAGGCGTCTAGGAGGAGTGTTCGCCGCGGCGTGGTTGACGAATATTGATGCCAGACATGCTGGGCAATTTCAGCGGCGGAAGCATTTGCCTTCAGGGTGGCAGGGCCAGACGAGAGTTTTGGTGCTGCGGGCGTGGTGATCGCGGAGGGAGCCGCGGAGGTAGTTGAGGCCGCGTGGCGCTTTGGGGCCATGGTGATTTGGGGGTTTGGGAATTGAGGAGATACAATTGATTTCAAAGTTTGATAGGAGGTATGAAAGGGAGTATTCCCTAGGATTATGGTCGAGAGGGTGGGTTGGAGGTCAATGGCGATGTAGAGGTTGGCAATAGATGCCAGCTTGGAGCTTGGCCGTTATCGCCGGTCACGTGGTGATTTCTGACCCGATTTGGAAGTATACAAACGAGACGTAGGAGACAAGAATTGGGGTTACATGGTTCATTTGGTCGGTAGTCCTCTCTGGAAATTTGTATTTGTATTTGTATTTTGGGTATATTGTTTGTGTAGCATTAAGGTGGCTGCAGCAGCCACCCACAGCATATCAGTGCAGAGGGAAGAGTGTAGGTATAGAGACAGGGAGGGGGGAGGGATATCATTTAGGCAACGCCGTCGTCAAATCATAAATCGCAATACAAGGTACATGACATGGCGCTTGGGGTTGAAATGATCAATCTCAGACTCAAGCAAACCATTCACCGACGTTTGTCCCCTTGGTCGGATCAGAATCGTCATTTTCAACATCCATCTGGAAATCACGCATGACTTGATCCCATTCCTCCCAGCTAAGCTGAGGTGCCTCAGATATCTCGGGGCACGTTACTGGGTTAAGAAGAGGATTGTTCATGGAGTTGTAGGACATCACGGAGGTGTCTGGGGCGATTTGAATAGAATCATTGAGCAGATTGGTTGACGGATCGAAGAGGTCCAAGCCTGAGCCTGAGAAAATGTTTTGCAGAGCGCCCAGTGGCCCCTGACTAAGATCAATGTCGATATTTTCGCCTGATGCAAGTGGTGTTCGAGCTGCTGGTAGATTGGGCATGTAAATTTTCGGGAGGGATTGATCATCCCCACCAATCACTGTAGGCCCACTGGGAGGTATTGGTCCGAACGTCTCTATCAGCTCCTGGTGCTGCGCCGCGCGTCTGGCGGTAGCTCGCTTCATCAGAGCAGCAAGGGGCCGCCAGAGCATGCCCTTTTTGTGGGTCGCCTGGACTGCCCAGTCTGCGTAGAGTGAGCTGACCGCGTTCCATGCTCGATCGGTCACTGGACACATTGAACGAACGCAGATTTCAGAAAGCACAAAGGCGACCCCGTGCCATTGCATATTGGTGCGGAACAACCAGCCCCATTTCGCAGTTTTAGGATCGGCTTCGAGTAAACGGCCGAACTCAAGAACTTCAATTGCGGTCTGGAATAGGCTTTCGCGTGTTGCTTGCGAGATGTTGCTGCGATCTTTGCGGGTCATGGGATGATGAACGATCAGCCATAGCTTAGCAAGGATAAGACGTGCCACTGTTGCCGAACACCATTGGATTGGTATATTCATGTCGCAGTGTCTGATGTATTTTTGCTCACAGCGATCACTGATGATTTGGATCATACGCTCGCATCTTTCCGGGGATGGTATACCACCAGGGGTGCGCCACTGAGCACCAGGACAAACGTAGTTGGCTCGTCGCAGAGCGCTCGTAATTTCGCAACGGATAAGACAGAATGTAGCATCTGTGCAGCCCTCCCGTTCTGCGGGTGGCTCGTCCATATCAGGCGTGATATCTTCGTCATTAATGTTCAATGGCAGTCGAGTATCGTACATGGTCTCATGGATGAGTGGATCCGTGCCATGGTCCTCTGATGCTCGAACATCCAGCAGCGAGATATGCCACCATAACCGGCGGCGCATTTCAGTTTCGAATGGTTTGAGAGCAAAGTTGGTTCCATCCCGGTGGAGACCTAAGCCCTGAGCAATGCGTAAGACAATTGAAGTCATCGACCAAACAAATTTGCTATCATCTTCTCGTCGGACACAGACCAAGAACATGACCGCCGCTTGAAGAAGGATCAAGCTCTGTGTGTTGAGGAACCCGGCTTTTGCAAGTGCTTGCTCCGTTGCAAAACGATACCGCTTGACGGCCGTGGTGCGATCTAAGCCAAATTGAGCCATGCACTGGTCAGGCTTCATACTGACAAGGGCGCAGAGGAACATTGAGAACACCAGAGCCTCCTGGTTCTTATCCAGAGCACCTGGGTTCTTTGCTGCTTCGGCGAACAGGTTCCGAGCTGTTGGCCTATGTACGATAGTGATTAGAGGGGCGACATTTTCCTTGTAAATTTCCCAAAGCATTGATACTTTGGGCATGGGAGGATAAAACTCTTGGAGAGACTGTGAAAGTGAGTAGAACCCGAACAGGAACCCATCATGTGAGCCCGAATGCGCCGACTCTGGGGAAGCCACTTCGTCTTCATCGGAGGACGAGTGACCGAGAATATCCTGCAACTCTTCGATCTGTGCAACAACATCGACCCATCAGTAAAGATCATAGCATCGGATTTGAGCCATCTCACCTCGTCACCAAGACTCGCCCAGAGCCGATTGCTTACGTATCGGCTGCGGCCTTCATCGATAACCAGTCGACCAAATTCATTTTCGAGTATCTTTGGCGCATTACTCGGGTCTGCGTTTTCAAATTTTTCAAATGGACAACCGTGATCCTGCTGTGGCTGGGGTTGTGTTTGTTGTTGTTGTTGTGGCTGTTGCGGCTCAGCCTCAGACCTCGAAGTGTCACTCCGGATAGTGGAAGGTCCCGTCGAGGAGCTGCCCGGAGCTGGAGGGCTTCCCTCCGCCTGGCCACTCTTGAGGTGGTCAATAACGCCCTCCAAACGACGCAGACGCGAAAGCAGCTCAGCGTCTGGGGGGCGTTTCGATTTACGCGGGGCACGGCCAGGGGGCGGGAAGACACAGTTGATCCCGGCCTTTGTACAATTTGAGCATGGCGAACGTTTGTTACATCGGACCTTACGGCGGCGGCAAGTGACACAGCTGCGGGAGCTGGAGGTGGGTTCCACAGTCGTGCGGGTAGGTAGGGTCGGAGAATTATCGCTGAGCGGGGAGAGGTTTAGCTCTGAAGCTGAAGGGAATGCCATAGCGGATATCCCACATTCTTCGGCTGACGGGGGCTTTTCAAAGGATCAGGGCTCCAAGGCTCCAGGACTGGAAAAAAGTACAAGGCTCCCACACTTTTTCGTTCGTCTTATTGGGGCCATGATCGGGAATTTGAAATTATGAGTCAGCACTCCCTTTTGGGTAAATGCACTATCTCCGAGAACCGGGAGTATGAAGTTGGATGTTTAGAGTATACCATAGAGTCGATGGGGCTAATATAATAGCATAGTATGTGCAGACAGAAATCAGAATATGTTCAAATAACAAACGCCGCAATGCAAGGGGAATAATAGGATCGACGCGCTGAAGATCAGATAAGAAATATGTACGAAACAAGATGCGCTCAAGCCTCACGCCTTTGAGGAATCAGCTCGGACGTGAGCACAGGTAAGTCGCTGCGCCACCCTCGACGGAGGAATCTCTTGAGCTTGCGTCTAGATTGCATCAGTCAGACATTCAACATACAGCTGGCGTGGAACTCACGAGGCAGACTCCCAAATTTTGGTGTGTTCATTGAAAGTATGACTGGAAACATGTTAGATAAAGACAGGACGGAGGAATGATCAGACATACCCGTAGAAGCTCGTTCGGGTGAGTGCTTTAGCACTGTATTCCTCCTCAAGAAGATAAGTATAAGCATACGGGATCTTAACCGTAACACCTTCAAAAAGACTCTCTCGCAGTGGGAAGATATCATTCTCCTATACCACATTAGCAATGTTCATCCCAAAGTCTCAACATCACATACATCGTAGTGGTGCTTATCCTTGCACGTCAACGCTTCCGGGTTTCCCTGGCTCCTTTTTTCCTCGTCCTTCCTAACTGCCGTGATATCAATGAACAAACCAGATGACATATCGATCCATCTTGCATCGATCTTGTTCAAAGTATCTTCCTCGGACTTCACGAGATAGTTGGGGTTGATCTCGAGCATATATGTGCGGCCGCCCTTGACATTAGGGATATCGAAGTGATGTTCTGTCATGTTGTAGTAGTCGGCCAGGAAATGAATGGTTGCTTCGGAGATCTGGACATCGAGGTCATTGTCCCATGGAAAGATCTGCAGCATGTCAGTACGGGAATCGCTGTGGTAAATCCTCGGTACGTGCCTTTTGGTTCCACCACCACGCTAACAGAGTGCCGTGCATAATCCAGGTTTCGGCACCAATCGCGTTCATCGTAGTGAAGTATGTCTGGATCAAGGCCGAGAGATGAGGGATAACTTCTGTATCGGGAAGGGTTTCGTTGGCAAATCTAGAGGCCATTAGTTCTAGTCAGATTAAAATGGTCTGGGAAATCATACCGGCCATCGTAATGATGATGGAAGCTGCAATGGGGCTGGTCTTAGTGGTCACAGTCTTCGAATGTACCTCCAATGGGTGCATTTACTTACTCTGATTCATCTGTGGGGTTCGCCACGTCAGTTTGGGTGGACGACAAAGGCTTGTGGATATCAACTCACGAAAGTATTTCTCCGTCGGTATGCGCGTTTTGCTCTCATACTCCTTCGTTACATTCTTTCGTACACTCATGAAGTCAGGCTCTAACTGGCCCCGGACGACAGAAACGATAGTCGCTAAGAGAAACCCATAAAGCCACAAGGTACAGGCAGAAGACCGCATTCTTTACAGAGTCGTCCGATTTTGCATGCCCAGTCGATGAGATGGCGGGTTTCAATACGTCCGGAGAAAACCCAGTTCCGCTCTGAGGGATGCCGAGCGGGATATTTACACGAGGAATTGAATCGAGAGAAGGGGATGCAAAGATTCACAGATCAAATGTTTGGGAAAGTCAACGGAATTCGGACAGATGCCTCCCTGTGCGCACCAAAGGCCATCCAAGCCCTGATTGGGCCGGGACTCCCATATCGCATCAAGGCTGACGACGTATGGAAGAATTATTAAACGAACCGAGCACCGGTAGATCCGCTGGTCGAATCAGAAGAGTCGACCCAGAACTGTATCAGAGTTTGCCCCACTTGGCAATGAGCTTGTCTGTCGAGTCGCGTGGCTCTCTTGGCACATCGTGGATGTCGTGCATTTCAGGCCTCTTTGGAAAAAGGTGACAAAAACGTGTAAAAAAAACCTCTGGAGTAATATTTACACTTGGGAACCACAAGTGGTTTGAGACTCACGACAAAGACGGTGAGCGAACCTTGGAAATACACATGGCGCTTGGTGAGAGAGGTATACGCGGCCTCCAGCATCATCACGGATTAGCCTGTTCACAGACTTTTCCGCTTAATAACGAGCGGAATAGCGGAGCTATACGACGGACAAATTTGATCATCATATTGCATCGTATCTCTGCTGCGCCGATTTCATCGGTTTCACAGATGTCTTGGTCTTTGATGCCTATTGAGAATGCGTGGATCGGGAGTCTCGCTGTCGACGGGTGCGACCGAAGTTGACCAACAATTCCGACGGCAGGAGGAGCTTGACTTCAGGATCAGTTGGCCACAGGTATGGTGTGACATTTGGGATTTTGACGTGAAAAATGTACGCTGGTCATAAAGAATTCCAATGCTGGATGGAAATGGGCTGGTCAAAAACAATCACCAATGTGGTATATTCACTGAGCTAGTTCTTCGAGTGAAGCATTCCAGCAATGCTCCTTGGATAATGGGGCACTGAGGGGTCTCGTGACCACTCTGTACTCAATATACACTTGAGCAGCCAGGTGCGTGATGGTGCTCAAGTGTGACCTAGGGAGAGATGTAGGCCAAGGGAAGTTTAGGAAGAGAAGTCATCCGAATACCTACAAGCATCTCAAGATGCTCAGGTGAAGCCGAGATGTCACTTTTAAGGTTGTTTCAAACCGCATGTGTCTTTACATGTTCCTAGCCCAGGTATATGTAAACACTAGTCTCCGGCCCTAGTGGTTGAAGATGCCAAGAACTTGCAGACATCAAGGTTCTTCGAAAAGACGCCCCCTGGACCCGCAGCGCCTATCTTCCCCGTACTTAATTTCACGAACTCTGCTGCCAAGCGGGTGTCAGCGGTGGATTCTACTCGGGTTCGTGGGCCTGAATCCGCTTCTAAAGAAACCCGCCGATCACCAAGGAATTCAGGTTGAAGTTGATGAGTGGACCGGACTCTTTTTCCACCCGTGCGACCGGAAAGATTTGAACTGAACAAGCCTCAGCATTTTTGGCCGCCTACTGAAACAAACAGTTAAGTATTATCAATGTTTGGCGATTGGCTGGGAGTCCTTCGAAGTTGGACAAGGGTTCGTAGCCCTACCGTTCACAACCTTGGGAAGTACTATGACACAATGGTATCAAACAATTACAACTCAGAATTTTAATCTGCGCAACGAAATGCATGTGTTCCTCCAGGGCTGCCCGAGATTTTCCTTATTTCCTTGTTTTCCTTTTGCCTTTTGCCTTTCCCTCCAAATGCTACTATCCACTTCTAAAGTTGCCAACGCTCAGAAATTTCTCTAAGCGTCCAACCTGAAACGACCCTAGCTAACTATAGATAGAAGTTAGCACATGTCATATTTAGAAGGCCCACCTAGGTACTCTACCGGCATACCGAAAATACGACGTTGTCTCTAGCCGAGTCTATCACATGGGAAACTACATGTGAGAAAGGAAGTATACGGAGTACAATTACGTGAATTGAATGGCCCCACGCAGGTTCATTGGGTATTTATAGTAGGAAGTTAAGTTCATGCCCTTCAATCTAGACCCAAGAGCAGAGCATACTTGTATTAATGCGAACAAAGGATTGGAACAAAACTTGCAGATTTGAGTCGCCGACCCGGGGTTCTACCCGGGGACTGACGGACCAGGGCCTTTCGATTCTTGGATGAGCCATGAGGGAGTGCCTCGCTTATATTTGAATTTTGCCATGAGGCTACTTTCTAAGGCTGTACACGCTGTATACCCGAATAGAACCTCTTAAAAGGCATTCAAGAAGGCAGCTCACAGCGAATTCGCAACGTGACCCGAGTTGGGCAATCTCGGTCGTAGCCGCTCGAATGAGAATGGCCAATGGGTTACTCGAGAGGCGTAGTGGAGTAGCCGTGACACATTGATTCGCTAGGTTTTGTGGTTTAGCTTTGTTATGGTCGATGCTCTCGTCAAAAGGATCACTTTGGTACGACTGGTGCCTGTTCCTCCCTAATTGAGCCACCGAAAACCCTGGCAAAGTTAGATTGATTGAGCAGATTTTGATTATTTTCCATTGGTGTAGAACTCTCTCTACCCGTATGGTTCCCGCAAGTGTGTATTGTGTTGTGGACCGTAAACGCTTCCCCATATTGCGGACATGGGGGTGAACTTCTGCAAAAACCCTGAACCGATTGCCTTATTACCTTTTGGATCGATTTTACCTAACTTGACCTGCTGATTACTTTTATTATTCGGTCCTCTCCTGAACCTTCAATCCCTGCAAACCTGTCTATGATTTCCCGCATCGTTTTCGTTGCTATTTGTCCTCGCTGTGATACGATGAGTCGATATACCCAATAACCATCGCTATCCGGACGTACATTTCCGTCCTATTTTGAATTCCCACGGAATATTATCGCGTGACCATGTCAGAGACCTCCACGCCCCAAGAATCCACCGGATCACAGCTCAATCGATCCTGTGAATCTTGTCGAAGTCTCAAGGTCCGTTGTCTCCCCAGTCCATCCACGCCAAATCAATGTCAGCGATGCGCAAAAGGCAAACGATCCTGCATCTTCGTGGCCCCGCAGCGCCGGCGGCCACGTAAAAGAACCGACTCACGAGTCGCCCAACTGGAAAAGGAGATGCGCGTCATGCGTTCGCTGTTGAAAAATCGAATCCCGGAAGAAGATGAGGATTCAGAGGAGAGCGAAGACGAAAACGAGGAGTTGAAAAGCAGCGCCAGAGACCAGTCCGCGAACTCGGATGACCTGCGCTATATGGATTATTCTCCTGAGCTGCTAACCCACGGGGTATCGGTGCCGGATTTTGCGTTTCCCGCGGGTGTCGAGGAGGAGAGACAGCCCGTGGAAGATGTGATTGATCGTGGGATTTTGTCCATCGAAGACGCAGAGCAATTAGTGGCCTACTATATTCATGAGCTCGCCTCATTCTTTCCATTAGTTGTTCTCCCCCACACCACCACGGCAGTCAGTCTACGGGCAACCAAGCCTGTCCTCTTTCTCTCCGTGATAGCCGCGACGGCGATCTCCGTCGATGCAGGCCTAGCTACCGTTTTGAACCGTGAGATGGTACGACTCTATTCCGAACGGTTCTTCATCGAGGGCGAGAAATCCCTGGAGTTGGTGCAAGCCCTGCTGCTTATGATTATCTTTTACTTCCCACCCGCTTCGCCTCTCAAGCTGCAATTCTACCAATATACGCACATTGCATCAACAATGGCGCTGGAGATCGGACTTGCAAACAAACGCCGCGTGAAATCCGATCGCAGGACCGCCCACGACGAAACGCTCGCCGAACAAGCTCGTGCTGTTCTTGGTTGCTATCATCTCGGCTCGACGGTTGCGATGAAAACTCGTCGTCCCAATCTCCTCCAGTTCAACGACTGGATGGTCGAGTGTGTCCGACATCTGGAACGTTCACCACATCGAACAGATCAGCACCTGGCTATCTGGTTCGAGCTCCAGCGCATAACCGACGAAGCGATGTCCTCTTTCGGACTGGATGACACGAGCACGACATCGCCGCTGACAGAGTCCCGGGTTCAAGCCGTGCTGCGTTGGTTTGATAAGCGCATGGAGACGTGGAAGACGAACACACGCCCCGAGATGCTGACTGGTAAGTTCCTATCCCCTGCGCTCTTCACTGCTTGACAACTAACGAGACCCAGTTCCTCTTATCCTCGAATATCGCTCGACGGCACTCGCCATGTACGAACTAGGCGTGGGAGAGGGTTACCGCGATCCAGACGCTCTGAAGAAACGATATTTCACCCTCCCCACACCCGATGAACCAGATGCACAATCTCCGCTTAGTGCCATCCGCATAGACATCAATATGAAGTGGATGAATGCTGCCCACGAAATGCTCGACGCGATTTTGGCTTGCAGCACGGATACCATGCGCAAGTTGCCCAACCTGATGTACACTCGACTAGCAATGGCGGTGACATCACTGCTTAAGATCCATTTCTCTGTGCGGACCGGGGCACTCGGTGAAGTTGTCACGCCGGAAACCGTCAACGTGCACTTTTACCTCGATGCCACGGCTAACAAGTTAGCCGAGGCGAGTGGCGGTGGGAAGTACAAGATTCCCAGTCGGTGGTATCAGGTCATTGGTGTCCGGGGGCGAGATTGGTACGAGCGTCTTGAAAGGCGAGGCGAGGGAACGGTAGAATCAATGGCTGTACCAGGTAGCCAAGGCCAGACTCACAGTCAGGCCCCAGGCCAGGGCCAGGAGACCATTAACGTCCAGTCCATGAACACCTTCCCTGTGTCGGTGCCGATGGTTGACCCGCGTGATGGGTACGTAGCAATGAGTGGCACGGGAATGTGGCCGCCAATGGATGCACAAGGCCATAACCCTAGCCCTCAGTTCTTCATGGGGTATCAGCATTCACCTCATCCGGCATCATCACAGCCGATGCCGCCTCAGTTTGCGTATGAGCCTCATAGGATGCCTGCACCTGGAACGGGCATGGAGTTGGACGGCTGGCTTCCTGATGGGAGTATCTTTGGAATGCCGCCTTTGCCTGAGTTTTAGCTTAGAGAACCCGGGGAACGGGTGTATTTCTAGGACATGTTAATATATGAGTGACATGAACCAGTCATAAAGATATCGGCTTCTCATCTTGTACGAAGTATCAAGGTAGATCGGGATAGAATTTGTAGAAACATCATGGTGTCAAAGCTGTAAAGCTATGAACTGCCATGAGAACAAGAAGAGTAACAAAGAAAGAATACAGCCAGAAAAAAAAAATTGAAAAGCCCAACAATCTGGATAATATACGGATGATATCGCATTTACCCCATTTACCCCATTTACCCAGAATGGCGTATCTCGGAGCGTCGGGAGAAACGGAACTTCCGACCTTCAGTTGGGAGACATTTCAACAGAATGAGCATCGGATTGATGTCTCCTCCGATAGCTGGGCTTAGGTGGGTTTTCCCAATTTTGGTGCCTCCATTCCCTCCGTGCCTCCGTGTCAATCATCCGAATACGAACCCGAAGCACTGTGTACCATCTACTACTATGATGTTTCCTTGTTATTTTCTTGACTTTCCCCAAACTGAAACCTTACAAGGTTGCATGTTACTTAAGATAGACCTTATGGATGAGGTTTATATTCCGTTGCTTGAAATACGAATGCGAAAGTCTTTCACTCACTCTCAAAGTTCTGTATGGTTCACTCATTGCTCGGTGTACACGGATATCAGAAAACCAATCAAAAAAAAAAAGAACATAAGATGAAAAGTCATTACTTCGTTAACATTTGCGGCATTTCCTCGCATTAATCAGCCATCACAGGATCGAGAACGCTTCCAAAGCATCCATGAACCCTGCTATCGCACCCACACCCACTAGTCCCCTTGTAGCATTCCTCGTCAGGGACTTGTGTCGTTGTTTGGCTTCTTCGCGCTCGCGCTCACGATCATGATCACGATCACGATCACGCCGATGGGATGGCGATCTTTGCGCCGAGCGGGGCGGAGAGGCTCTGTGATCTGCAAGTCGGGGATCTGAGCTCCTAGACTCGGGAGTTGATGTGGAAAGCGGGTTTGTGCGGGATCTAGGTCTGTAGGGGTCGAAGTGGACATGGTTTTGTCGAGGGATCGGAACTGGCATGGGGATTGGGGTAGCGTGATTTGGCTGGGTGGTTGGGATCGATCGAGGAGCGGTTGGAGGTTGGTATTTGGGTTGGTTGTGCTGGGCTGGAGGTGGGTGCGGGCGAGTCTGAGATGGTGGTGGGTAGCTGCCACTTGGATATGCATATGGGTATGGTTGTCTGTCGATGGGGTGGTCTGAGAAACTGTTTGAATGGGGGCGACGCATGTTGCTGGTGTGAGGATGGAGGGTTTCTTTTTCTTCTTCGCTTGAGTCGATGGCTTTGTCACGACTTCGATGCTTCGATTCATCAGGCTCGGGCTCGCTTTCGACGTGGGCTTGATATCGGGAGTATTCCTGTCGTAATTTTGCTGCATGCTGCCGGGCCTCTTGCGAGTGAGGGTTTCTCCAATTGTCTGTTTTGCCTTCAAGGTAGTAACCTCGAGGCTCAGGGCTGTCGAAGTCGAGCTCGTCGGAATGGTCGTCTGTGTCGGAGATGTAGACTCGCGGTTGGGTCTTGGATAAATTGCCATGATTGTATGGTCTCGAAGGACCCATATGAGGTACCCACATCGATAGCAGTCGATTCATCGCCATCTCCGACAACTGAACCATGTCCTTTGGGGATCGTTCCATGTCGCTCAAGCCTACATCACTTTCTCCAAAGGTCACGACAGCTAGTCGTGTAGGACCTGCGCCCCTTGCCGCAGCCACCAGTGGATTGACCGCGAAGGCTGTGTTGGAGTAGTTGGCATTGATCTTTTGATTAATTGGGTCCTTGGCAGCATCGACGGCTTCCTGTTCCACAAGATCCCACAAGCGATCAAGACGTTTGACGGCCCAATACCGAACAATGATCATATTTTGAGACTCTGCTTTCTCCTGTGCAATGGTGTCGTCGGCAGCGGATGCAAGTGAGTCCGTGTCAATTCCATCGTCTGTGTTGGCCTTGATCACATTCCCAAGTTGTAGTATCCGCAACATCACAATAAGACTGAGCTTGAGGGTCTCCACCTGTGCTAAGAGATAAGTGACATGCTGTTTGGGAAAGCACCACTTCAGTCTCTCTTGCAAGGAGAGTCTCATAAGATCTTCGTTTCGGTCCGTTGCCTTCAACTTATCCAACATGTGTTCAATTTCAACGAAGATGAGCTGGCCCTGTCCCGCAATCTCGAGTGCCTTCTCTGTCGCCTCGGGGGATCGATCAATCCCGGGGCCCTCGATGGTCTGTCCAACATGTTTGAGCGTCAAAGCAAAGAGTGAAATACCCTTGGCGATGCTGTGTATCTCCAATTTTGACTGTGCCAGTTGACAAGCGGCAGCGTTGAGGAGCAATGAAAGCCGAAACCCCGCGCCGGCGATCTTAACAATGGAAGCCTGGCCTTGAAGTTGTTAATGAGTATTTGACTTAACTTTCCCAGTACGCCATACCTTGTGCCATAATGAAGTGGTGTGTCCGAAGTATGTCAAAACCATGTAGAAGAGAAGAGATCAAAGACCAAAAAACGTGCAGACAGTTCGCCCCGAATTAAAGCATAATAGAAAGAGCCGCACTGCATATCAAGTGACTCAGGCTACTAACAGGGTCTGAGCCCCGCGATTTATGTTCATGACGCCATGATATACAGTTCTCCGTGCGCTCGTTGGCTCAGGGGGGCGGAGTTTGTTCTAGCGTCCCTGATGAAGACCCGGGCCAAAGTACGGAATACTCGGCACTGCCTCTATAGTCATCAAGAAACTACTCCAGGGCTCGTACCGCGTGCTTGAACTTCTTTGTCTCGTTGGAAGTTGCTTATCACCTCTCGTGTTCGCAAAAGGCTGTTTTGTACTCCCTAGATTGCTTCCAATGTGGCCAAGGCTACCGGGGACCCTTGCTTTTTACCCGGGTGTTGGGCGAAGCTATCTTTTCCCCTCGTATTTCAAGAATCTTGGCCGGAGTGAAGTTGTAGTCTTGTGGAAGGGTCGTTAACTCCGGGCCGCAGCGAGATGTGCAGCTCAGTGGATACCATTGACTTTGAAAATGTCTTAGAAGGGCCATTTTGCCTCATCAAGTCCAGTATTTGGACTATTTGAGTAGACCATTTGAGTACGTACAAGTATAGAGTGTGAGCGACTGCGTTCGTGTTGACACAACATTGGCATGTCCGCATCCGGGGGTTCCAAGGTTGTGCGAAACCTGGTGTTTGTGTATGCCTTACATCTACTACAATTAATTCTACTACTGACTACTCCGTGCTCTACGAGTATTTTGCTTCATATATTCTCAAATTGACCTGTCCGAATCGTATGAACGGTGGTGCCTTGTCCGCCCCTCCTTTTTTTCCGCCGCGTGGCCGACTGATCGTCATTTGCGGAGATTGCCACACTTCTGGGACTCGAAACAAAGAAAGTACAGGAGCACTTAGGAGCTCATCACAGAGATCGTGAGGCCGGATGGGTGAGCTCTTGAAGAGGAAGCGACGCAAGGGACAATCCGACACACCACCCATCTCGGGGCCTCCAGGAGCCCCCAGTCCATGAAATCATGACCCCAGCCTCAGGTGTCAGCGAAGACACCTCCGACCACTCGATACCCTCCGCATTGAACGGCCCCAATCCGTCCCAGCCCACACCGGGTGAAACTTCTGCAAGTCACGCTGAAAACCAGGACAGTGCAGTGTCCCCGCCCGAAGCCGCAAGACCGGTCGCGGAGGCTCAGCAGCTTCCACAAACCTTGAACGAAGTTGATGACTTCGGTCTACCTATCCGACCCCGTCGAAAGCCTGAACCAGCTCCCGCCGAGCTCTCCACGCAAGAGATTACCGGTCATGATCCCCAGGTCACTGCGGGGTCGACCACATACAGTGATGCTGTGAAAAAGACGGCAGTGCACGAGCCGGCACAGGAAGAGCCGGAGCGAGACACCCCCCTTGAACCGGCAAACGGGAATGTTACGGAGCCAAGGCGCTCGGAGGCCCAGGAGGCTTCCCCCGCGCCTGCAGAGAAGCCGCTAACGACTGGGACCTCCGATCAGCCTCGATCCTCGATCTCTAAGCAAAAACCTCCACAGGTATCGGAATGGTCGCACCAACGACTCGCACAGCCTGGTTCGCATCAACCGGAGAGTGATGAGGAGGAAGAAGAAAATGACGAATGGACGACGATGCCTGCTCTTGGAGAATTTGACTACTACGACGACTACGGGCGGCTCATTGCTCGTGGAACCAAAGAGGAAAGCGAGGAGGCAGTATATCAAGGGCTCGGAGGCGCAGGGAGGGGATATACCCGGGTACAGCTTGACGAAGATGCCCAGTCTGCCACGAGTCTTGATGAGGATACAAGCTATTTGTTTCGAGACACAGGCGACAACTCTGCTGGTCTTGTCGGAGAGGAGTTGCGAGACTCCCTGAGTCAACTGCAGGCCACAAAAGATCTTCTTAGTGAAACTCAGAAAATCGCCTACGTGGGTGTTGTCCGGCTGTCGATCCATAATATGAATCATGATCTGGCGTCGATCGCCACTACTAAGTCTACCCGCAAAACCATGCAAAAGGCCTCAGATGCTATGCGAAAATGGGGTCAAGCAATCATGGCGCGCGTCTATGCCCACATGGACATCGATTCAGCCGAGCAGATCATGATTGAGCAGCTTGCTGGTCATGGTGTGCAGCCTGAGGATCTGATTCCACCTCTCATGCAAAATGCGAGAGTGAAGAACCCTATGGCTGAAAGTAAGCCCAAAAACTCTACGTCCAGTCTGAAAGACGGCCGTCTATCCAGTAGACTCTCTGCGGATACCGATTCTTCTGAACTAGACCCTCCACCGCCATATGAGGCTCATGAGACCGAGGAGCCCCCCGAAGTTACAACTCCCTCTCAGATGCCAACCTCCGATCGCATCGACATCGATCTCCGTTGGACAGTCTTATGTGACCTGTTCCTTGTGCTCATCGCAGACTCAGCATATGACGCGCGCTCCCGAACCCTCTTGGAAAAGGTTGGCGCCGCCTTAGAAGTTACATGGCTGCAGATCTCGCGATTCGAGAAGCGCGTCACAGACTCTCTTGAAATGCAAGAGCAATCCGAGAAGGAAAACTGGGATGAGTCTGATCACATGGAAAAGCGCCGCAAGATGGCATTGAAGCGAAAATATATGATAATGGGCCTAGCTACCGTGGGTGGTGGCCTCGTCATTGGTCTTTCTGCTGGATTACTGGCGCCAGTCATCGGAGCTGGTCTCGCAGCTGGATTTACCACCGTGGGCATCTCTGGCACAAGTGCATTCCTGGGAGGCGCCGGTGGCACTGCCTTGATTGCATCCAGTGCTACACTGGGTGGAAGCACCATTGGAATGAGAGCTTCGCACCGGCGCACTGGTGCGGTGTCGACTTTCGAGTACCGACCTTTGCACAATAATAAGAAGGTTAACTTGATTGTCACTGTCTCGGGGTGGATGACTGGGAAAGTTGATGATGTTCGTTTACCATTCAGTACTGTGGATCCTATAATGGGTGATATCTATTCTGTGCTTTGGGAGCCTGAGATGCTCCGAAGTATGGGTGACACGATTAACATTTTGGCAACAGAGGTAGGCTCTCTCTCTCTCTAATTGCAGACTTGGAACACAACTAACGAAATTCAGGCACTGACCCAAGGCCTGCAACAAGTCCTGGGCAGCACTGTTCTTATGGCGCTCATGGCCTCCTTGCAACTACCTCTTGTTCTTACAAAACTCGCATATCTGATTGACAACCCCTGGATTGTCTCATTGGCACGCGCCAACTCGGCCGGCCTTGTTATGGCGGACTCTCTTCAGGAGCGTAATCTCGGCAACCGGCCAGTCACATTGCTTGGCTTCTCCCTCGGCGCGCGTGTGATCTTCTCTTGCCTCAAAGAGTTGGCTGATAAGGGTGCCCATGGACTGGTTCAGAATGTATACTTATTCGGATCGCCTGTGGTTGCAAATAAGGATGAATACCTTAAAGCTCGCAGTGTTGTGTCTGGTCGTTTTGTTAATGGTTACGCTACCAATGACTGGATTCTGGGATATCTGTTCCGTGCGACCAGTGGTGGCATCATGAAAGTTGCCGGTCTTGCGGCAGTAGAGGGCATCCCAGGCATTGAGAACTTCGACATTACCTCGCTTGTGAACGGCCATATGGACTATCGTACCGCCATGCCTCGTATTCTGAGGGAAGTTGGCTGGGAGGTTCTAGAAGATGAGTTCGCGGAAATCGAAGATCCAGACCCCGACAACCACGCCGAGCGACAGCGAGAGCTGATCCGTGAGATTGACGAAGCTCGACGGGAGGCGGAAGCGAAGCCCGAGAAGAAGAGGTTCGGCCTTTTCAAACGGGGCAAGATGGCGGAGAAGAAGAAATGGGAGACCTACGATGTTGATCGAAACAACACCCCAGACGAAACCTCTGATCTCAACAGCAGTCCTGGCACTGTGCTCTTCGATATCGAGGCTATTCGAGCGGAGCTGCACTCGGAGGCAATCGAAGTCAAAGAATTAGAGTCGACAATGCCTGTGATGAAAGTGGACCTGAACTCCCCATCAGAACCTACTCAACCTTCTCCTACCACCAAGGAGCCAAAGTCTCCTGACATGCCACCAGTATCCCGGGCGGTCTCAACGCCAATACCAGTCGGGCAATATTCCCCTCACGAACCCTCCAAGCATGACGAAGCTGAATTGACTTTTGACACTTCATTTCATGATTCCCCAAGCACGAGCGACACCCCTTCTTCCCGACCCGAATTGCGAACAGCTTCCACAATGCCTAATGTTGGTGCCACTGCTTTCGGAGCCATGGCCATGGAGCCCAATGCTTGGGCGGACGGAGGACATGATGGCGACATTTCAATGACCTTTGAGTAGTGGTTTATCTTCCCTTTCTTTTATATACTTTTTCTTCAATAATAGACCTGTGCATCTGCATGGGTATTTTGCTATAATTTGGGTTTTTACATATTCAGTGGATAGTCCACCGAGTCCCTCCCGTTCTAGGGAGTCCTTGAGTTCATACTAAGAGTGGATTGCTAGGCGGGTCCTTTGTCTGCATTTCTTACAGCTTAACAAAGACCTGCCCATGGACTGAAAAAAGTAAAATAAAATAGACCTTTAGATTGGCAAAAACCCTCGATAATTGAGTCCTGGATACCCGTACAGTCGAATAATTTCAAGCTTGACAGTGCGGTGTAGTTAAGCTGAGGTTATACAAAAGCGCCAAACTGAGGCTAGCACGTGTCACGCGTTTCTCCCCCCTCAAATGCTCAATGCCAGTCTGCATATCTCCACTCGGAACCCTGCATAGGGTCCTTTGTTTCAAGAGATAAAGGGAGATATTCAAGTCGACGATTTCAGGTCCGGTTCAAGTTCCAAATCCGCCCTCCGTGTCGCAAAACACGTCCCGTTATCAACGCGCCGCAATCCCAACTGCCTCGACCCCGAATCCCTCTGTACTCTACACTCAGTCCGAGGGTCACAATGGGTACCCCGGCAAAGCCTAACTCCAGCTACGCGGCGAACCGGTTGACAAGGAAAAATGGACCGAATAGGTCTCTTTTGTCGAACTTTAACAAACAGCCCGATGTCAAACCCGAAGCTGTCGATGTTGCAACGAAAGCCCGACGCGAAGACAGCAATGCAACCCCTGCAGCTATTGCAGTACCATCGTCACCACTGAGCTCTGCCGCAGACAGTGAGCTCTCCGACGTGCCCAGCGAGGTCCTAGAGGTCCTAGACACAGAAGATGTGCTCCCGAGTACGGAGCTTGGAACAAGGCTGGAACCAGGCACAGATGATGAGCCCTTGAGCTCGGAAGAAGAGTCGAGCGATATTGAAGCGTCACCGCCGCGCAAGGTTGTCAATTACGTGACTTTGGAGCAGAAATTGGCGGAATCCAAGGCTTCGGAGGGCAGTTTGCGCAAGACCAAACTCATACGCACAATGAGTGATATGACAGGCGATAGTGATGAGGATGAGATCCTCTCCTCTTGGAGCTCGTCACAAAGTAAGCGCCCAAAGTTCAACACGTACCAGACGAAGGGTTCGTACTTCAATCGGCCGGCCTTTGCTAGACCGGCACAGAGCCCTGAAGCCAAAGCCAAGGAGACACCGAGATCTCAGGAAACTCCCAAGGCTAAGGAGATCTCAAAATCTAAGCAGACTCCCAAAGCCAAGGCAACCTCAGAATCCAAAGAAACGCCATTGGTTGAAAAGGAGGCTGTCGAGGAATTGGATGAACCAGAGGTTACGTTTATTGTCCCTAAGGACATCATGTCTCCAACTTTCACTCCTCAAGAGAAAGAAAACAATCCGCCTGGCGCATCACAAACGGGAGACTACGCAGTATACAACAGCGGTGCTGACTCGCCGCTCTCAACAACCTCGTCATCCTTCTTCAAGGGCATGGAAGTCGACAAGGAACCATCGCCTCCTCCCAAATCGCTGTGTCCAATGTGCAAAGTAGAAGTTGACCCTGAAATTCTGGCCGAGTTCAAATCCCAACCAAATCAGCGAATCCGTGAGCAACAACAATTCTGTGAATCGCACAAACTTCGCAGTGCATTGCAACAATGGGAGCAACGCAAATACCCTACAATTGCGTGGGATCAATTTGAAACCCGGGTGCAGAGTCTGTTCCCCGCAATCGAGAAGTTGCTGGTGCCGGATGCTCCTTCTTATTACCGTAACACGCTCGACGGGATCTTGGCTTCGGGCAAAGCCAAGAACTTCCGATTGACGATTGACGGGAAGGCACTTGAGGTGATTACTTGTGGTTATTATGGTACGAAGGGTGCAAGTCTGATGTATGTGTTTTCCTTTGTTGGACGAGATGCTGTACTAATTATTTCTAGGCTGGATGCTGTTGTTGCCCGGTTCTCTAGGTCGCTGCGTCGTTTGGCGGCAACGGATCGAATTGTCAAGACCGCTGGTGTGGCCGGCTACGCACAGTGTGTCCTTGTGCCTGAGTTAGCCATGCGATTGGTAAAGCAGGATATGGGTGTTGATGACGAGGAAGCTCGTCAGATCATGCGAGAGAGCATGGATATTGGTCAGAAGTTGAACCCTGAAGCCAATGACGTTGTTCCCGTTCCAGCTGGACTTGACGGCCTCGGTCTCGTTGCTCAAAGTGATGATGAAGAGGAAGACGAGGAAGAAGAGGAGGAGGAGGAGGAGCTAGAGGAAGAGGAAGAGGAAGATAAAGAGAATGAGGGAAACAGAGAAGAAGACGACAAGCAAGCTGGAGACCTCGAGGACAAAAAGCCGGCAATGCAGGCAATGCAATCAATTCAGGCAGTGCAGGCAAGGCAGGCAAGGCAGGCAAGGAAGAACCAGAGCAAAGACACTGAGATCAGATGATTGGGGTGTTATTCTCATTGTATACCCCATATTTTGAACATTGCATATATAGCCATGATACTTGATATGATTACCATTTGATACCCCATATGACCTGTTGTGCTACCGACAGCGTCACATTCGGCACTTGACCTGCGGGACCTACATCGAATTACCCGATTAGGAAAGTTGCAACCCGCCTTAGTCATGCCCGATAAGGTGTGCTCATTTAGTCGATGATACAATGCGGAGATGCTTGTTTTCCTTTCTTCCCCATCACACAAAATGAAAGAGAAAGACATGTCGTATTCGGAGACGACTCCTCTGCTGGAGGTCGGTGTCGCTCCTCGGCGGCATAGATATCCGCATCACGCCCTTCGTCGAGCTTGTACTATCTCCCTTGCCGCGCTGCTATCTGTAGCGACCGTACTCTTCCTGATTCCCACCGCCATCCTACCTCGAGAGAGTGGCTCGGTCTGGTCTTATCTCCCATGGTCCCAACCAATTCCACATGAAGCATGGCCAGAGAGCTATGGCCTTCCTTATGATCAGCTCCAGCAGATCCTCCTCAATGTTCCGTCCGCGGAGAAGGCCCGAGAGTGGAGCAAATACTATACAGCGGGACCGCACCTGGGCGGCAAGAACCTGTCACAGGCACTTTGGACTTTGAACAAATGGAAGGAGTTCGGTGTGGAGGATGCTAACCTCGCAACGTACGATATTTATTTGAACTATCCGTTGGATCACCGTCTGGCTTTGCTGAAGACCTCGGACGATAAGACCGAAGTCACCTTCGAGGCTACCTTGGAAGAGGATGTTCTCGAAGAAGATCCCACTTCTAGCTTGGAAGATCGGGTGCCAGCCTTCCATGGTTATTCTGCTACTGGCAATGCCACTGCTCAGTATGTGTATGTCAACTTTGGTACATTCAAGGACTTTGAGGACCTCGTCAATGCCAACGTCACACTCGAGGGCAAGATCGCCATTGCCAAGTACGGTCGTATCTTCCGTGGTTTGAAGGTCAAACGTGCACAAGAACTCGGAATGGTCGGTGTCCTTATCTACAGTGATCCGCAGGAAGATGGTGAGATCACCGAAGAAAACGGGTATGAAGCTTATCCAAACGGACCGGCCCGCAACCCCAGTGCTATCCAGCGAGGAAGTACTCAATTTTTGAGTAAGTCCCTCTTTTTATTACATATCCATTTCATTGCAAAGCTGATTGTTGGACCAGGCTTGCTCCCCGGTGATCCCACCACACCAGGGTATCCATCTAAGCCCGGATGTGAGCGTCAAGAGCCAACCTCCATTCCCTCCATTCCATCCCTTCCCATCTCCTACAAGGAGGTCTTGCCATTTTTGAAGGCTTTGAATGGCCACGGCCCCAAGGCGTCCGACTTCAACAAGTGGTGGCAGGGTGGTGGTCTCGGTCACAAGGGTGTCGAGTATAACATTGGACCCTCTCCCGAAGATGTGGTGATCAATCTCCACAACCACCAGGAGTATGTGACGACCCCATTGTGGAATGTCATCGGTACCATCAAGGGCCACATTCCCGATGAGGTCGTCATCCTTGGAAACCACCGTGATGCATGGATTGCCGGCGGCGCCGGCGACCCTAACAGTGGATCTGCTGCTCTGAACGAAGTGGTCCGTAGCTTTGGCGAAGCCCTCAAGGCAGGATGGAAGCCATTGCGCACAGTTGTATTTGCCAGCTGGGACGGCGAAGAGTATGGCTTGCTTGGATCCACTGAATGGGTCGAAGAATATCTTCCCTGGCTTTCCAAGGCTAACGTTGCCTATCTGAATGTTGACGTTGCTGCTGCCGGTACTCATTTTGAACCTCGCGCAAGCCCGCTGCTGAACAAGGTCATCCACGATGTCGCCAGCTTGGTGCAGTCCCCGAACCAAACCGTACGCGGTCAGACCATTGGTGATGTCTGGGACGGCAAGATCTCAACTATGGGCAGTGGAAGTGACTTCACTGCCTTCCAGGACTATGCCGGTGTCGCCTCTCTGGACTTCGGGTTTGGCCGTGGTAAGAACGACCCCGTCTACCACTACCACTCGAACTACGACAGTTTCGCCTGGATGGAGAAATACGGCGACAAAGATTTCTTGTACCACCAAGCAACCACCAAGCTCTGGGCCTTGGCAGCTGCACAGCTTGTCGAGTCTCCCATTCTCGCCTTGAACGCCACAGACTACGCTTTCGGTCTAGAAACTTATCTAGACCGCATCAAGCCAACAGCTGATAACCTCCCTAAGCACACCCATTTCAACTGGGCACCTCTTGAAAGGGCGATTCTTGAATTCCAGGAGTCTGCTCAAGCCTTCGATGCCCGCGCCCTTGATCTCAAGTCCCAGCTTGGCGACGACGTGCCTTGGTACCACTGGTGGAAGAAGGTGAGATTGTGGTTCCAGATCCGCGCTGCCAACGCGAAGTATAAGGGCATTGAACGGGCCTTCCTTTACCAGCCCGGTCTCGATGGTCGTGATTGGTTCAAGCATGTTGTCTTTGCGCCGGGTATTTGGACTGGCTACTCGGGTGCTACGTACCCTGGTATCGTTGAGAGTCTTGAAGCCGCAGACGTGGAAAATGCCAACGTAAGTTCGCCTGCATCTTTGTTTGGTACTTTTACTGACTGTTTTCTCTTCAGAAATGGAGCTCTATCATTCAGGAGCGCATTGCTGCAGCGACCAAGCTGCTGTTGTAGCTGGCTATACCTCGGGCACATCCCATGGAAATACGAGATAGGGTGTACACCCTATGAATATTCGGAGTGTCGTATATATGAGCAAGCACAAATTGAAGCAAATGACCTTTGTAAACATTCCCGAGTACACCGTAGTCCCCGTATACATCGTAAGTTCTACCCCAGGCCCACACGTGGGGGTCGCATGTCATATTACTAAGCTATTGCATGACCCGTGGACCTGGAGCTTCAATTTCCCCATCTACTCCGTACCTTAACTCTTCCCTCACATTCTCCAATCACCAAAATGGTACGATCATAGCAACATCCCCAAGAGCAATCTAACAAACCAAAAAGGCACCCGTTACATCCGCGCTCGTCCTCTCCCTCTTGACCTCCCTCGGCGGCGCAATCGGCTATGCCCGCACCGGCTCAGTCCCCTCCATTGCAGCCGGTCTCTCCGTAGGCCTCGTTTACCTCCTATCATTCATCCGACTGCGCAGTGGGCAGAGCTACGGCGAAGAATTGGGTTTGCTGGCATCTGCAGTTCTGGGAGGCAGCTCTATTCCGCGTGTCATCAAGACAGGCGGAAAGCCTGTTCCTCTGGGCTTGTCTGTGCTTGCGGTTTATGGACTCTGGGTCTTTGGACTTGCGTATAAGGAGCGGAGGTAGTGGTTGAGATTGTCCGGCATCGGAGGGATCTTGTGGTTGTTTTCCAGCGATACTTGAAAATCAATTGTTTACTTCCATTGTCGTTTTCCTTCCATGACTACAGGCGGGTTGATGATGTCTACAGTGTTTGGACCTTAGGAATTTCCAAGCCTACTTTAGTGGGCAGAGGAAGAGTGCTTTGTGCTTTTGTTATTCGTACTGCATACTTCGTACTCCGTATAATGGTGCCGGTTGATATTAGGATCATTGAACACGGCAATGAAAACGAACATGGAAAGGAACATATCACTTGATTGAGATTGTGTAGATAAGGAACTTCCCACCAATATCGGGACCAAAACGCCCATACCGAAATGGAATCCCTACCTCGAGAGAAACGCTAAACTTACAATTGACGGTAAATCATCGTCATGTCGCTGGGACATTAAATTGAACAGATCCAGAACCAGGGGGGATCGGGGATGAAAGCAAAAGGGTGTGGACACGTACTGACTGAGGCCATTCGACGTTGGCAAGGCAATTCTCAATCGGACCCTGTCCACAGGTGATTCTCTCAAACTTTCGTGGATTGCTTTTTGACTTTGTTTTGGTTTTCAGGTTTTTCTTTGGGACTCACAAGAACTGACGCTTCCTCGTAGGAAAGGAAGCGGCCCCGGGAGGGGGTGGATTCATCAGAACTAGGATTTGGATCAGGGCCACTGACAACAAAGACCCAGCCAGGAGAACTTGTGTGAGTTTATGCGTCGAACTTAGCTGGGGTCCATCCTTCATGCGGGGATAACAAAGCACTTAATGAGCTGGGTCGAGCACCGTGTCGGAGTCTTGGATGGCGCCCACAATATTGGAGCCGGGGACGTCGCCAAGAACGGTTTCGGTGCTGTGATCGGGGTTCCAGGCGTATCGAGGCAACTGTGCCATTTTCTCTTCTGGGCTCAAAAAATCGTGGTTGTAGACCATTCGAACGGGGGGCTTCGTCTTTTCTTTCTTCGCTGGTTTCTCGGTGGCCTCTGTCTTAGCAGCTTCCTGTTCGCCTGAAACCTGGTCGTCAATGGGGGTCTGCACGGGTGCTGGAGTGTTGTGGCCGTTCGAGAAGACCGGGGTAGCCGGGGTTGCCGGGGTTGAGATCTGCTGACCCATGTGCATTTGTTGCATTTGGTGCGCGTTGACTGGAGGCGCGGCGAATGCAGGGCGTTGAGGTAGACCAGAAGCAGCCGGTAGACCAGGTGGTGTGGGTTGTTGGGTAAATGTAGGAGGGGCTCCGTAGGAAACTGGGGGTACAGCAGGCAGCCCAGCGGAAAATGTAGGAGGGTATGCGGTCTGAGTGTAGGGGGAACCATCGGGCAACTGCCCACCAACGGGAGAGTAGCCAGAATAGCCGGGGCTACCAGTCTGCGGGAATGGAGGGGCGGCTGCAGTGGCATTTCCGCCGTAGGGCTGAGGGTAAGAGTACTGAGACGGGATCGCTGCGGGCTGAGGCGGGACCTTTGGAAATGTCAGTGTTGAGATCCTATCAGAAGAAACAAGAAAGCTTACATATCCAGGTGTGGGGGTAGACTGGGCAGATTGACCACCAGCGGGTGTGACGTCGCCGCTGCTAGCTCCGCCAAGTGCCTGTGCTGCGCGCTTGGCCTTGTGCTCGGCCAATCGCTTCTTCAAATCAGATGTGGCTTCGATCTTAGGCTTCTTTGCCTGTTGACCGCCACCAGCGCTGCCAGCAGGAGGGTTACCAGTGGAAACCTGGCGTTCAAGTTCCTCTTGGTGGAATTGAGTTGCGACGCGCTGCTGGTGAGCCTTGAGGACTTCATCAGGAATACCTTCCATTCCAAAGATCTCAAAATCGAGACCCATGCGGTTGGGTAGTGCGTTCTCAACTTCAGTAAGTTGCTCTTTGTGAACTTGACTCAGGTGCACGGAAAGACCTGAGGCGCAGGTGATCAGCCTGGTGAACGATTGAGGATGATATTCAAGTGAACTTACCTCCCGCAGTATTCAATCGGCGACCGCATCGCTCACATTTGAAATGTTTGGCTTTTTGGTGGGAGATGAGAATCTTCAAGTCATCAAAGTCGCGTTCGCAGTAGTAACACCAAGGACGTTCCAAAAGTTCCTCTAGAGAGGGACCACGTCTTTTTTTGCCCATTTCGCTGGAACGTGTGGCGTAGAAAGATGCAAAAAGAAGAGCAGGGGTGAGGGGTTGTGGAGAGGAAGGTCGATCGATCTGAGGTGCACTGCTGCCCGGATAGCTTGACATGGGGCACGTGATGTTGCACGTGATGTTGTTAGCGCACGTGACTGGGTCGAAGTATGAAGATCGCGTGATGAGATGGAAGTGAGAACTGAGAGATGAATGTAAGAGAAGATGGAAGTGAGAAATGAGAGATGAATGTAAGAGACACAAGCCTGGGACTTGCTTAGACAGACAGGTACATATCTCCACTTACATACATTATATGCGGCAGTTCTCAATTTGCTGTCAAGGTTGCTTTTCTTAACATAACTTCACATAGGCCATCTAGTGAGAACAGTGTACTCCATATCGATCAACAAAGATATCTGTGCCATGTATTTCAATGGTCAAACTGCATGCTGATTATGAGATAAAGAGCCTGACAGTTTGATACTGTTTAACGATCCTGCAGGAGTCTTTCAAATGTCAGGAATGTCGAGTACTGCTTGACATAGTAGGAATCATTTACATGCTAGAGTTCGACGCAGGCCTTGCTTCAATCATACATTAAATTTGAACTAAAATACAGATGAACTCGATTAAACAACATTGCCTGATCACTTCCCGAATTTTTTGTGTTTAATGGCGAGGATCCCGTGGATCATGTGAGCCAGGTAGGTGGCCCATTCCGTATTGTACATATGGGAAAGGCGCGTACTGGGGAGGCATCGGCTGCCCCAGTTGCGCCATTGGGGGAGCAGGAGGCGGAGGGCCATACGGGTTTATAGGCCCGGGGCCGTAGTGGGCTACCCCCATAGGGGGAAAGGTGGGAGGCATGTGCTGCTGGGCTTGTACACTTGCCATTGAGGGCAGGCCAGGTCCCTTGGGGGCGAGGTTGCCAGCCAGAGGGGCCAGCGAGGGCGAACGCTTGCGGCGCCCAGGGCCAGCAGGTCCCATGGTCATGGAATCGTCAGCGCCATCGACGGTCCGATCTTGCTCAATTTGAGCCTTGGAACGCTTGGGGTTGCGAATGCGTCCTTCGCGGTTGAATCTATCCCAGTGATCGAGCATCGCTTTCGTTCTCTTGGGGTTCTTCGAATTGGCAATCTTCTGGCGTCTGGTCTCTTCAATTGCTTCAAGTGAAAGAGCCTCTTTTTTAGCCCCTCCCGCGCCTGGTTCTGAGGGGCTTTCGGCTGCTGTTGGCTCTGTGGCTGGGAATGTGTTTTCTGCCGAGGGTGTTGCAGAGGAGCCCATGGTGCTAGCGCCACGTCGACCTCGGCCACGACTTGAGGGTTGTGATGTTGGAGCTGGGGTGACTTCAAATGTAGCGCGCGAAGAAGCAAGTCGACCATTTCCACGACCACGGCCTCGGCCGCGGCCACGACCAGAACCCCGACGAGAGTTGTTGTCTGAGTTATAAGACTCACCACCAGCAGCACCAGTAGCACCACCACCACGTTTGCCGCCACGAGGCCGCGACCGCCGCTTCGCGGAGTGAGCTTCTTCTTCGGTTTCGTCGCCAGGGTCACTAGGATTCCCGTCGTCATCGGTGTCTGGTTGCTTGGAAGACAATTCCACCTCTGCGGCTTTGCGTTTCCGGGTGACCTTCTGAGTTGCTGGTTCGCTCCGTTTCTCATACATTTGAGGGACGTATTCCAGCCCGTGCTTTTTCATTGTCGTCCAGTTGTCCATATTGCGGTCACCATATTCTTTCTGCTTGGCGATCATCTTCCTCGCCTGTGCAGGTGTAGGAACGAACCCTCCTTGAACAAATGGATCTTGGGCTTGGCGAATTGGGATAAGTGGTGTGTGGTTCGGGAAATAGGTGTGTTTGTAACCGTAGAGCATCGCCTCCTTCTTCTCTTCGAAATCAATTTTATCTTCATAGACGTGAGCCAGAGGCGCTCCGCCCTTCTTCTTATGGCCTTGCAGCTGATGTTTCTTTGCCTCGTACGATGCATCATCGCGTTTGTGGCGGTTCGCTTTCAGGTAAAGCTTATCAAGGGCCAACCATTCGTCTTGGAGGGTCTTCATGGTCAACGCTGCAGTTTGTGTGATTGCATAAAGTTCCTCGGGGGAGTATTTCTCGGGGGTGCGGAGCATGGTTACCAAATTTTCGAGTTCCTGGGTTTGGATTTCAAGGAAATTGTCTCTCTCGACTTTGGCCTTTTTGTATGGTAGAATATGAGGAAGCGGCTCGGATGCTTCACGCTTTCTAGACTTTGACGGGTCATTGAAGGCATTTTCCCAAGTCGCTTCACACTTTGAGGCTTCCTGTTCATAGGCGGGCGAGAATTTGGTGGTCTTGTGAACAGTCCAGAATCTATGAAGGCGTTGCTTGACGTCTTCTCTTTTCCATGTCGCCACGCGAGCGCGGTACTCTTCTGGATATGATGTACGCGGGTTGGAGAGCCACTCAAGCAGGTCAAGCTTGCCTTCAGGCACGTTTTTGACGCTGACTGCAACTGTGGTTGGCTGAATGCCATTTGCATCCTCTGTGGTAATTTCAATGGTTGTTTCTTCGCCCTCGCCCTCACCTTTGCCATCTTGGGGCTCAGTGTCTTCGGGCTGGGCGGCTTCGACTTCGACTGCAACCTCCTCATCTTCTTCTTCTTCAGCGGCATCGTCATCCTGGAGGTCGCCAGTCTCATCATAAGTTTCATCGGCGCCATCCTCGGCACCATCGTAGCCAAAGCTAATCGATTTTGGGTGTGCTTCATTGATGTGATCATTGAGAACATCATCTGCTGAGGTTTTCTGGTCATTCGGGAGCATTAAGAGCTTGCCGCACCAGTCACATTTCACTTGCTGGATTGGCTCTGGCGACTGGGACATTTGGGTAGAAGTAGACTGAGGGCGGAAAGGCTCCGAAAACTGACGGCGCAGGGGGGAATCCTGACTGTCGCCAACATCTGAAGAAGGGTTGTCCCCATCCAGATCAGCTCTTGGGATTGGAGCCATTTTCGTCCAAGCGGGAAAAAGTTAACAATAGGGGGGTATGGAGATTTGAACAAATCGCAAGATAAAAGCAAGAAAATTGAAAAAACAATTCTCAAATGAAGAGCTAAGCGCGTTGGAGATGGATCTGTATAGATGGTCAGCTCAGTTCGCTTGCGAGCGCCAAGACCCCAGCAACAACAGCGCAATTCTGTGTTAAGCGCCAAGGCAGTGGGGAACGAGCGCGAGTGAGCGAACGGGAAAATAAGGTGGTTTACATGATCACGATCTGGGAACCAGAGATATCGAGCGACCAGAAAGAGTCATGAAACAGAAAACACGGTCGGGCAAAAATGTGTGGATCAAGATCTGCCCGGGAAGTACGCAGTACTGCCAGACTACAGGACGAAAAAGAGGAAATTCACGACGCGCCACTTACCATGAGGGATTCAAAAGTCACGAAGAATGCTGGATGAAAAGACACACGTCACAGCCAATGACTGCTTACTGTTAGAGAGTGTTGCAAAGAAGGGTGCAGAGTGGACGTGGGTGGCTGCCAGGGATGTGTACTTTACCTATGGGGATGGCGGCGTAGATGAGTAGGCTTCCACTTTGAGGAAATCCAGTGTGCAGGTGAGCCCGATGAAGAGGGTGTCAGGAGCACAGGCAATGAGAAGTGCAATATGTCAAAGGCGCCGAAAACTGTTGGCGCGCAGATCTTGCGGTAGTATGAAGGGAAGAGAAGAAAAAAAAAGAACGATCGACGCGATGCGCGAGAGAGAAGGATACAAGCACAAGGCGAGTGGGATACGATTACCACAATGAATACAGAACCAGAAGGATACTGGGTGAGCAGGACTAACGATGAAGCGGACTGCAGAGATTGAGGTTGAGAAAGAGATCGATTTGTAGTTTGTAGCCATTGACGGGGGTTTCCACTGCCCGTCGTGGCCCGACCAATCAGCGTTCACCCATCTACTAGCGGAACTACATCGAGGAAAGGGGCTTTGATTCAGGCTCAATAGCCTTCAATTGACATGGAGAGGGTATTAGTATTGTACTCGAATAGACTCGCTATCTATTCACGGTGTTGAATCGGGGATTCAAGGCTTCTAGATGTGTTTATTGGAGTCGAATTGGGCCGAATCACCCTGTTCCAAAGAGATACGTCACATGATGTGTACTTTAGGTGTCGGAAATTCTCTGGAAATGGGGTTGGAGGTCGCCTATGCCATATGGAAAATCGAGGGAACAAACGGTGAAATTGTTGTGGGGACCCAGTGGAACTGGCGCTTATTTGCCTCTAACATTGGGAAGTGGACACGTTCCCGAGGACTCGACTCTATCCACGTAGATACGTGCATTATGGACCACCATGGGCCTCGGGAGTCATTGAGAGCAATACCTGCACTCAGATAATGTTCAGGCGTTGGTATCACTTTCACCCTCAACAAAATTGTTTCAGTGATCAATGGTACTATCCTAACAACGCCTATTTGGATGAACACATACTTCTAAAATATACCCCTTGTTTCATCTACGACGGAGGGATTATAGCCCATGGCATTACTCCGTAGCTCCAGCGATGTAAAACTTCCTCTACGCTTTCACCGCAGAACCAGCAGTCTCTTCTGAAGTTGCTATTACATCCGGCGGTCATAGGTAGTAACAATGCACAAAAAAACAGGCCCTGGCTACATGAAAGAAATGTGTTTTAGGACAACTCTAGAACACTCCATGATATTATCTCTAGCCATATCCTGAAGTCTCCGCCAACGAAACGGGTACCTAGGTAGCCGGCTTCCAACCTTGTGATGTTTCTTTTGCAGTGAAATTTCACTTGTAGGGTCAGCGTATAATCCCTTTTTCGTTAATGCATTCGTTACATTGGAAGCTGGAGCCAATTGGAATGGGTACTTCAATACTCCGTATTGGGGCCTGTAATTAGCACCTAGTGCCAGGCGACGTTTTTTAATTCTTGATATTACGCGTCTTCTTCACTTGGCATCTGCGGCATCCTACTTCGAACGTGCAGGGTGGTGTACAGGCGGCCTTCGTTCAAAGACACGTTAATAACATGGAAGATTATAGATCTGAGGATACTCCTGAAATTCTGTGCTTCTATAATTTGCAATCTGGTCAAGCTTCTAAATTTGGTTTCTTCTAAAGTTGTAATCTCTGGGTTTGTTGCACTTGGTAACTTAGAAAGTATGTATTTTATAAAGTAGCGCCAGTCACAACTCACAAAGCACTATCAATAGTCAGATCAAGAGTACAATCAGACTCAGGAAGCTTATACTAGGACCTATCTAGCTACATATTCTTGATACCTAGAGAGAAACCGAAAAGTAGCGACATGCATGCACTGAACTAGTTAACGAGTATATCATACTTGCAGTTACTTCGTACTGCAGGAACCATACGCGTTCCCCACAGAAAATAACGATACGCAGAGGCACACAAACACTAAAAAGTAGGCTCAAATTGAAATATGACTTCTGACCAATGAGCTACTGTCCTGGGTATCAATGCAGTTGACGTGCATGACGTGGGCCTGGATCAATTCAAATGTTTTTTTCCTGCACGTCAACTAAACTTAGCTCGAATCATCCGAGAGGCAACGGTCAAGAAACACTGAGCACGTCAAATTAGGCGAGATATTCGTAGAGTCTGCACTAGTCGCCAGTGACTCAACTTAGACTAAAAAGCATAGCATACTTCCTTGTAACGCGAGCGTCATATTGATCCTATTGAGACCGAATTTGGGATTGGAGCGACCTGATTTCTTGGCCCTCCAAGGCTTCTATTGAAATATAACGAGATGTGAGCGTCTAACTTGTCTTGTTTCTACAAAAGCTCAGGCATTGCAGAAAGCACATGGGACTAGATGAGAAGATGGACAATGGTCTATCGTAGAAAAATACTAATTCTCACTTGATAGCAGTGCCACCCATGCACTTGGACAATTACCACAGTCAACAGGACTTACACTCGTGGAAAATCATGTCACAAAGTACTTGAGGTTTGATATTTTTCTAGCTAAATATGCATAACAATATCTGAAGTACATCTATAGACCTTCATTGTTAATCATCGTCCTAGGTTTACTTGTAGACCTCGGACCTTGATATGTTTACTTATCATCCAGGAAATAAATGCATTGACACCAATGGATCTCGATTCCAAGGTTTCAACCTTGAAAGTGTTCCTCCCCCAGGTATCGATGCCAAATTCCCAGTTCATTGCTGGCAGTTTAGTATGGGAAAAGCCTGGTCATTCCCAAGAAGCACATACATCGATCCATGGATGGTATCACGACTTATATTAGGTACATGTAGTTTGGCATTCAGTAATACTCCCTACTACACTGTGGGCCTGCCTTGGCAAGAAATTATTGCACGAACTATATCCGGGCAGAAGTAATTAAATAGAGTCTAACGTCTAAAGATGCCATATTGAATTAACTATATGACTCCCGGGGTGGAAAGGCTCAGTGGTTCTTTTCCCCAACATCCAAAGCAACCAGAAACCTCGAAACACAATTATAAGCCGCGATTGTCGCCGTAATCTCTACAACCTCCTTCTCGTCAAAGCAAGCCTTCAATTGTTCGAACACCTTCTCTGGGACCGTAACTGTCTTCGTCATAGCATCTGTATAAGCCAGAACGGCCCTCTGCTCGGCTGTCAAACTCGGGGACGAGAAATCCGCCTGCGCATCCCCGACAACCTTCAATGCCTCCTCGCTAAGCCCTCCCTCTTTCAATAAGGGAGCGTGTTGCTCCCACTCAAATAGTGCGCCATTGACAACTGCCACACGGCAGATAGCCAGCTCGCGAATGACAGTCGAGAGGCCTGTCCGTGTGCGGATTGCGCCGATGAATGAGTTCCAGCCTTCTGTCACGGGGTAGGAGTGAAGAAGGGCGAGGTCCAGAGGGAGAAGAGGGTTTGGCGCTCTGCGGGCTTGGACACTAGCTAGGATCCTAGCTTCGTCGGGCGTGTTGGTTGGGGGGGGGGTTTTCGACATATGGGAGGCGCATTTTGATTGTAGAGATGATTTGCTGGAACGCTGTCGGGGGTTTAGTAAGGCATTTCAATTGGGCTCAGTTAACATACCTAAGAGATCGATTGGCTTCCAAGTTCGTGCAGAATTCCAGTCAATTGTCTCCGAAGGGAATGAGCAACTATTTATCTCGGCAACCCCGCGCGGTCCCGCTATATGGGGCCGATAGAAAAGCCGCGGGAGTCGGGATAGTCCTTCCGGCGCAAATCCGCCGGTTCTGGTGCCATCAATATGTTGGTGTTTGGATCCTGAAAGTTCGAGTTGTTCTGTTAGGTGTGTGCATTCAGCTGTCAAACTAGAGCTATATGGGGGTGACACATCGAGATTCAAGACTCGTGGGCAACATGGTGCCTTTTGAAATTAGTTTTTGGTAAAAGTAAAGGCAGAATTACAATGGATCATTCCAATGAGATATAATCACAAATCTATAGCATTGAACTTCCTGGTGTGTTGGAAGTTGTTCCTTGTCGACTACAAGCACTGTCTCAAGTCTTGGCACAATCCCCACAACGGGCTCAGAGCTCCAAAGGTGTCGTCACCTCTCCTGAACACAACAACCATGCCTCCCAAGGCCCCCAAACCTACAAGCGATGAGCTTCTCGCTCAGTTTGATGATCTTGGTCTCGGAAAATCCGATCAAGCACCCAAGCCAGCCGCAAACCCCAGCGGCGGACAGGAGGAGGACATCCTCGCAGAGTTGGATCACCTAGCCGCGCAGCGTCCAGCCAGCGGACCAGGCACTCCCCGTCTGTCTATTGACAAGGCACGGTCATCTACACGCTCACCTCGGCCAAGCGCGACTATCGAACGCCCGACTGAGGACAAGTCCGTCCGCCAGTCCGAAGACACAAGCCGGCCTTTGCGCGCAGAGACCAAGGAGCAACCCAAATCGGAGCCTGAATCTGCCCCGGAGCAGTCAGCTTCAGAGGCCGGTGGATGGTGGGGAGGCTGGGGAGGAGGCTTATATGCCACTGCTACTGCAGCTATGAAGCAGGCCGAGGCGGCTGTCAAGGAGATCCAAAATAACGAGGAGGCACAAAAATGGGCCCAACAAGTCAAGGGCAACGTCAGCGCCCTCCGGGACCTGAGTATGATTGTATGAAACTCATGTATACTGTACAACTAACGATAAATAGGTGGTGAACTTCGTGACAGGGCTATTCCAACCTTCACCAATCTCATCCATACCCTCGCACCCCCCATTTCCTCGCATGAACGTCTCCAAATTCACGTCACTCACGACCTGTCCGGCTACCCTGGCATCGACCCCTTAGTCTATGCTGTGTTCTCACGTGTGATGTCGCAAGTCGAAGGCGGCGACCTCCTAGTGATCCAGCGCGGCCAAGAATCATCCCCCAAACGCCTCGATGTCACGGGTCTCATGACCAGCGCCGGCTGGAACGACGGACCCTGGTGGAGAACCGTCACCCCAGGACAGCCGCGTAGCATCAACTCTGTGCGCGGCACAGTGGAGGGCTCAAAGCTAGCTCGGGCCAGTGCTGAGTCCTACGCTACAGAATACTTCTCATCCCGCGGCGGAGTGGAAGAAGCAGCCAAACATGCCTCGGAAGTCCTCAGCGAATCGAACCCTGTGCGCAGTAGTGATATCTTCCTTGCTGTTCAGGCCATTAGCCAAACAGTATCCAAGGATCTTTTCCAGGCTCCAGGCGAGGAAGAAGAGACCGAACAGGAAGAGGAAATCTCCTTTGCTTTGTACCTCCATGATCCCATTCATGGCATTGCCTTCCACGCGATCTCTCAAGCCATCCCGCAGGCATGGATCGAATGGCTTGATGCTTCTGTTGCCGCGCCTGTGGACGAGTCGGACGATGAGCACACGCAGCGAGTCGTTGTTCCCGAGGCTATTGCGGAGATCATCGAGAGTGGAGGTGTCGATCCCCGCGAGTGGGTTTCAGAGTGGATTGAGGAAACTCTTTCACTGGCTGCTGGCACTATTGCACAGCGATATGTGGCTCGTCGCATGGGTGTTGGAGAGAGCGGTGTTGCCAAGGGTAAGATGCGAGCTGAGCAGGCTTCCACTGTTGACAGCGGAGCAGGAGAAGCTGCTCGTGCAATTTAGCTTTACGATACACAATTGTCTGTGTTTGACAGCGCGGATATATGAATGAGATTCCTATGCAGCGTAATATTTACAACCAGATCCCTCCATATTATGCAAAAAAAAACAAACCATGGGTATCGTTCAGGCCATCCAAAAATCAAGAATCCAAAACCAGCGGCCCTTCAAGGCCAGGGACATGCCAGAAGTTGGCTCGGAGAGCAGTGACACTAGAAGGGTTAGTACTCGCATACTCAGGGCTTCGCATTTTCATGCCTCGGATATTCATACCTGGTCGAGCCGTTCAGCACGGTGTGGGCATCTGTCCCTTCCTCACTTTCTTCCAACGTCTTCTTCATATCAGACAAATTAGCAGACCACTTGAACTGCCTCTTTTTGGGCTTCGCAACCCCATTGACTCCATTCGTTTGCGCCTCGTCATCATGCACTCCGTTAACACCGTTTGTCTCGCCATCATGCCCATTAACCAACTTCTTCCCCACCTCAGCATACAGACAGCCCCGATTCCAATAATAGGGCAGGGTTCTCGTATAGAGCACAGGGCGATCCTCCACATCCTCGCGCATAGGAACATTAATATTATAAAGCTCCACCCTCTCATCCCAAACCTCATACAAATGCGCAACAAGGCGCACAGCCAATCTTGCCGCCGCCGCAATCACCCCATCAGTCTGGGGATCCTTACTTCCAAAGGAGATCGCAATCCCGCGCTTCCCACAAAAGACCGCCTCCAGCGCACCCCCAACAGTACCCGAAGACAAGTTGTAAATGGTCGACGCATTGCGGCCATGGTTCGGACCGGAGATCACGAGGTCGACCGGCGCGCGCTCGTTGAAGAGGTTGTATAGACCTAATTGCGCGCAACTAGCCGGTGTACCATTTGTGACAACGACCCAATCATCCTCTGTGTTGGGAGAAACGAATTCTTCATCCCAGGTTCCGTCGGGAAGGAAGGCGTCCGGGTGCACGTAGGTTGCTTGGAGGTTGGCTTCGATCAAATGCGCCTTGCCGATCCAAGAGCGGGAGGCTGCTGGGATTGCCACCGAGACTGTATGACCTTTGGCTTTGAGTTCGTCGACTAGTGGGCGGACGTATGGTGAGAGGCGGGTGCTGGGAGGCCCATCGTCGTTGACGACCTGATTTTGGGTGTTAGTTTTGTGATCTATGGGATGCGCGCAAAAGAAACGATAGGACGTCATGCGCTGGTTTTGCGACGATCTCCTTGTACTTGAATTGCGATTGCCGCGGTGATGCCGCATGAAGCGCAGGAAGAAGATTGCCGATCTCACTTACTAGGATATGCATGATTCGGATTTTGAGCGCTTAGAGCGATATAGATTTGGATATCTGATCTGCGTATCAAGACAAGATTTTAGAGGCGTTTGGGTTTGACTTTTTTGCGTAAGAAAAGTCAAAGTGGAATCGACGCACCCCACCATTGGGATGCACAGCAGACTTATACGGGGGTAAGGATTGAGCCATCCTGGAGTCCACACCGGGGGTGAAGCCGTTCAGGCTGCGGGGACGGTAATGATAGGGCCCGAATGCAGCGTGCGGTGAACCGATCCGGTGGTTCTTTCGGGTGTGCTGGCCATAGATATCTTTTCTATTATTCAACTGGATTGCACGGGGATTGGTCTTCGGGACTTGGGTTTTTATCTTTTATTTCTTTTTTTAAGGTGTTCTAGAAGCCCTGGAAGATGCAGATGTACTGTAGTCCTATGGAGCTCAACTGCAGACTCCATATATACCCGGTAGGGAGTACAATCTGGGAAACCTTGAAAGATCCTACTAGCATTACTGTAGATCAAAGTGTCTACTTTTGCACAGAACATGCCTATACATGAACTTAAGTACATTGTCACAGAGCATGTAGTACTCTATACGATCCAAGTCATGTTCGAAAGTCATAGATCTATAAAATCCTCTGCCAAGAGTCTGACATAATCTGTCCACCGAGCACTGAAACAGGCCTGTGCCTGAGACTACGGTGGGTAAGTGAGGCCCAGGCACACGTTTCTCTGACAAGATCGTCTCTCGTAAGGTGTACATGGTGTACATAGTGCTCAGTCCACGCTCGGAGATCTACACGCCGGGCCATCTTTTTCTTTTTTGTCGTCCTTCTTTTAAAAATGACAATGCAATTTTTTTCCTATGTTTGCTTTTGCCATGTAATACTGAACATAATTAAATATAAATATTCTAAAACAAGTTCAATACCGAGAAATCCAGAATCTGGTTCTCAGCCAGTAAAACCAGGAACACTCAGACCGTGACACGCTAAGAGACGATCGAAGAAAATCTTGTGGTGGGGACCACCTTCGTCTTTTGGCCCCTCAACTCTTCTTCGAGTCAACAACCTACAACAATCCAATACTGCACCTGCTTAACCCCCCCTCCTTAGCAAAGTCTCAAAAAGTTCATCTTTTTGGGATCTTTGCTTAAACTCGTCCCCGCCAACTTCCGTCATATCCTGTATGGACTGTGGAAGTACCGGAACCGCTGCGGGGATTGACCCCAAAATCTTAGATAACTGGCAAACTGAAGGCGCCTATTCCGTCGCGTCGTGGGAACATCTGGGCTACGATCAACCGCCCGAGTGGGATACCAGCCAGGAATCAAGCCAGTGCGATGCCGACATCGCCGACTTGGGAACCTTCCAGGGTCCATTGAACGAATACCGTCGTTTGGAGAGGTCCGCGGCCCCGAAACACCGTGCGTATCCAAGGGAATCTCGCTAACAATCAGTGCAGGAAGCGTGATGTAGCGCCCGAGAATTTGAGCTACATCGATGGGGTCCCCGTCGAGGGCACCGGCAGCGGCACGATCAGCCCCAAGACGATCCCATCGTCCGCAGACGAAAACTTCCACTCCGACGAGGCCTGGCCGCACTTCCAGCTGTACAACTCGGTGGGAATGCCCATGGACGCCTCACTGCTCTACCCTTACGCGAAAGGACCGAACCCCGCGACCGGGGCCGTGATCGTCGATGATGTGGGCGAGATGCCTCATGGCGGCTTTCCGGATGCTCCGGCAGAGGGCATCATGTCCTTTCAGCAGATCCCTCAATCCTTTCCCATGATCCCCGAGCAGTGGGCCGAGATTCAACACAGCCTGCCCGCAGAGAACATGCCCCCGCCCGATGCGATCCCAATCGCGACAAAGACACAGGGATCCCCCAAGAACCACTCATTGCACCAGTTCCAAACATCGATCCGCTCTCTTGAATCGCGTTGGCTTAACAGTCTAGAGTCTCAACTTCCCATCCCGCAAATCGCGCCGCAGAACGTTGGGAACAATGCTTCAATGGGACAAGAGTTCCAATTCAAATCGGAGAATTCTTCAGTTTCGGGGGATATGTCAGGTATCTACGAGTGCTCGTACTCTGCTACGAGTGAGGACGCTCCAGCATTCGCTGATCGCCAGCTGTCCGACGACGACACCCAGTGGAAGATGTCTCCGCACGAGCCTAGCTCGCGCGAGGGATCGCAGCCTGCGCCAAAGACCACCGCCTTCATGGTGAGCGAAGTTCCCGAGTCCATGGCAGCTGGTGGATCGAGGTCGAGGGCTTCCTCGACCGCTGGGCGGGGTGGACGCCCAAACGCACTCGCTATGCAGTCCACAGCTACTGTCAGGAAGCGCAAGACCAGAAACCCTGGCTCTTCGATTGACCACGGCGTGAGACCACTGCAAATTGTCCAGGAAGATGGACAAGGTGGTTCCATTGCCTCCGCAGATTTTGTCTCGCCACCTCGTGGGGCCCGTCGCAAGGGCCCCTTGAGTATGGTTGGACGAGCTAATGCAGGCTTGCGTCGAAAGAACAAAGATACGTGTGTTCAATGTAGGCTGAACAAACGCAAGGTAAGCATTCTTTCCAATTTTGAGAATTTCATGAGCTAACAGCCCCAGTGCGATGGTAGCTCTCCCTGCGACGCTTGTCGCCCAACGCTTCACGAGCAGCCATGTGCTCGTGCATGCTTCTCCAGCATTGTCGAATTTGGAACTTGCAACTATATCTGTACGTCTAGTCCACTTCTACCTTTCCATGACCCAAGCTCATCCCTTCTAGCTCAACGTGCTGTCAACCATCCCACAATGGACGGTAGCAACCGAGTTCGAATGGAAATTCCATCCGAGTTCGACCTCGGTCAGCTCTTGTCTTTGCTCGCTGAGCGTCAGGGGCGGTTCAACATCCGCGCCAGTCAGGCTTGGGGCTCTCTCTACGTCCTCGACCTGGGAGAAACCTACAAGTTCCTCAAGAATCTCAGCGAGTATAACGGCAACTCCAAATCCACATTCTTGGAGTTCATTGATCGTCGAATCGTCGACTCGAAGGACAAGTCTAAAAACTGGCTCTCCTGTGTCGCCGACTGTGACCCTATGAACCAGGCCTACGTAAGTCACCATTGATTCCACCTTGTATTACCCTCACTGACACCATTCCTAGACTCTCCTGTCACAATGGAACAACATGCCCAGCCGGGCAAAATACAGTTTTGTCAGCTTAGACGACTCCCCAGAGCGAACAATGGATATCAACAACCCCTCAGATCGCCGCGAAATTCTTCTCGCAGCTCAACTCTCCCGGATCTTCTGCCGCATGCTTGAAGTCGAAGGTTTCCGCAAACTCGAACGCGACTTCTACAACATCAAATGGAAGCAAATCTCCCACGAAACTCACCTCCGCTTCCTCAACGAACTCGGACACATTCTGCTTACACTCCGTTGGCGCGTCAGCTGGTGGAAGCGACTCGGCGACGGCGGTAAATCTCCCGACCCGACACAGCAGCATTATATCGATCGCGTGGAGTTGCTATGTCGCATTCTCTACGTTTACTATACGTGCGTGCAAGCCAAACTTCCATCATGGAGTGCCGCAGAGGTGCCGAAGGGTAAATGGAGTACGTATGCGGATTCAGAGACAGTTTGGGATGACTTCCCCTCTGATTCCAGTGACGGGGGCTTCCAAGGTTGGATGGACAGGGGACAAGATCTCATCGAGGCGGCAGGTGTCCCTGGGCGAGTTTCGAAGTTCTAGGTTTTCGACAGTGTGTTTGGAGTTGGTTTTAGATACCCTTTATTTCTTTTTTGTTTTTTCCATTTTCTCTCCTCGTCTTCCTATTTCTTCTGTTATGCATCATGACTTCTCTATATATTTGCTATGATTAGATGAGTGTTGGTTTTGTACATTTTTTTTCTACTATAAATACAATCTGCTTCACAGACACCATCACCACCCATGGGACCCCAACTAAATGATCCTACTTCACTTACATCCGATCCTACGAGTAAACACGTTTTGAGAGAAAGGGTATCGATTTCATGCACTCATGCCAAGCTCCATATTCAAGCCTTCTTAGGACCAGACCCGGACTTCAAAGTTCCAGTCTTCTTCGCTTGGTTCCTCTCCTTCTCCAACCGATCCTTCTTTCCACCAGCCAGCATTTCCAAATGTCCCGCTTTCGTCGCAAGACTCTTCTCAGTCATACTGACAAGTCCGGATGTGAGTTGCTGCGCAAGCATTAGTATGAGCAACTTGATGGAAGTAGCATAGCATACCTTCGTCAGCTTCTTCTGCTTGATGAGTCCGGCTTTCTTGGGCGCTACAGAGCGGACACCGGGTCTTGTGGTCTTCGAGGGCCTATGTTTGTTAGAATTGGAGTTTCTTCCGCCTGCTTGGCCCACTCACTTTCTGCCCGGACCGGAGGGTGTGGCTTTTTTCAAGGATCCTTGCACCATTTTGTGTGTGCGGGGGTGGTAAATCGGGGATGCGAGAAGGAAGCGCGGTAGTAATCGATGGTTGTAACGTGGGGTGAAAAGTACTGCCTGCAGTACAGCGTAGTTATTGCGTTTGATTGTTGGAGACTTTTTTGGATGTTTTTTGGGGGCGTTGCTGAGGGAAAATTGCTTATCGAACTTATCGCATCACGTGCAATGGTTTTTCCGCTCCGATGTATATTTTGCCAAGAACTGGTTGGAATGGCTTCAACTTTAGAATTGGATGATTGTCTGGAGTCAAGATAATTTGCGTTATGGATGTGAGTCAAGTAGATCTAAAAATTACTAAGAAGCTACTAGACAACACAGACAACCATGTCGTATAACTTCAGTATGTGTACTTGAACCCAATCTGTCCCTCAATAGGCTTGCCGCCTGCCTCGACGCGCCGATTTGCCCGTTGAAACTTCCAAGTCATTGCACCCACGATCAAAACGACCAGTGCATTGGCTAGCATGGCGCATAGCAAGCCTGGACGGTAATTTGGCGCATCTTGGGCGCGGAAGACGGTCGTTCCAATAATGCCTCCTATGCTTCCCCCTCCGATAAGTGTTGCCGATGTGAAAGCCCGCTTCCATTGACCGCGAATGTTATTACTAACCATGTTAGCATAGATAAGTAAAGAGACGACAAGATTCTCACCTCTGCCAGGAAACCAACGCAGGACAGTTCGCATTTGCTTTTGGTCTGTTAGTACTGCGATCAGACTGACATGGTCACTGGACTTACCAGCAATAGTGGCCAAGAAGACACCAAAGTACCTGGGTGCCGGATCATTGAGGTATCCCAGAAGCCCAAGACCGAGAAGTCCCATCAGCGCATTACCAGCGACAATCGGACCACGAAGTCGCCATTTATCAGAGTAAACAGCCTGGACAAACATCACAATTGCAGCAGCCACATACGGCGGTGCAACAAGACACTGAGCCTTTGCAACAGAAAATCCCATACTTTTTTCCAGAATTATAGGCAGGAAGTATGCAATAGAGTAGCTGTTTGTTGTCGTGAGCATATACAAAGACGCATAAGCCCAGACTTTGCTGTCTTTGCAGTTAGCAAGATATTTACCCATTGAAAAGGGCTCCACCGAAGCATCTGCTCGATCCGCTTGGATCTTTGCAATCACAAATGAGGCTTCTGACTCGTTCAGGAATTTCCAGGATTTTGGTGATTGTTCGGGGAAATCGACGAGTAGTATGTAGGATCCGATTCCTAACACACAGGTCAAGAGCCCTTCAATCTAAATTTCGGAAATTAGTACTTGTTGTAACCGAGTATGGAGCTAGGTGTCTTACAATGAAGATCCATCGCCAGCCAGCTCTACCAGCTAGCCCGTCCATTTGCATAAGACCATATGCGAGAATCCCTCCGAAGCCAGAAGCCATGCTTCCAATGAGATAGAAGGTTGCGTTGCGTTTTTGAAGTTCGTAGCGCGGATACCATGTGCTGAGCAGATAGACGCTGCCAGGGTAAAGGCCTGCTTCCAAGGCACCAAGAATGATACGTAGACCGGCCATTGTTTCCCAGTTTGGGACAAAACCGAAAGCCTGTGTTTGTTAGAACAAAGCCGCGAGGATGAATCACCGTCAACTTACAAGCATGACCGCTCCCCATAAAATTACGATGCCTGAGAGAAAGAGTCGGGGTCCAATCTTGCGAATGATGACAGTGGCTGGGATTTGGAAGATCGTGTAGGTAATGAAGAAGACTAGCGATGTGATGCTGTATCCGTTGTTGGTTGCGTTCATTTTCAGGTCTCCTTGCATTCTGTTGAGAGTCAGATCCATATCGATTGAGACGAAGAAGAAGTTTTGACATACCCAGCAACAGATGCAGCTCCGAGATTCGTCCTGTCAAGGAGACTGACGCAGTATAGAAACCCGAGTGTGATGACGAGTCGTATGTCAATCCTTCGAATGAGTTTCTTTTGCTCTGCTGGGCTGAAGGAGGCAATGATCTCCTCGTGGTGGGAGGCGCCCTTTTCTGTGTCCTGCTCATTGTGAAGTGAATCCATTTTCTGTTTCCGTTTAGTCTTCGGGGTTTAGTCAAGTAATGTACCATGCAATGACATGGAGACGGATGTGGTTGGTATAAAGAGGTCGGCAAGATTATTAGAAGTGAAGACACGATGACACCGACGAACAGCTTTATAGACATTTTTGCGGGGTAATTGTCGCACGATAGACCCTCTTCTCCGCAAAATTATGCGATCTGATGCATGTCGGCTGAGGTCCGGGGAAGGTGTAGGTCTCCGAATCGCGGCTGTTGATTGGCTTGTTATCTTCCGGTGGAAGACGGAGCTATGAATATGCTCCCTTGGATGGATTTTGGAGGTTTCCACCGGAAGTTCCATCATTGAGACTTTGCTATTTGTTTGTCTTCGTGGGTAAGGTGGGCTCTAACTCTCCTCTTGATACTGAAGTTAGGGAAATGCCTTAAGACATTCAGGCACTACCAGCATCACTCTCACGATTAATTATTTATTCTTGGCGATTCAAATTTCATCTGTCACTCCAAACGCACTGGGCTCTCATGCAGGGGCATACTTGGCATAAAGTTGAAAAAAAAACCTGCTGTCCCTTCAAGGCAGCCAACATTGAACCCATCAGAGCTCGCCTGATGTTCACTTTCACCGGACGAATCCAGGACCCAATAAACCACCACATGAAATGTCTCCAAGACCAGGCAGTAAATTGACCTAATTCACCAGCAAACAGAAAAGTATGGGGATTATTTGCAGTTTGAGACCGGACACATGCAGCGATATCTGGCCTGAGTTTTTTTTAGGACTGGGCTCTTGCTCAGTTGGACTCTTGTCCAGAAATGCAGCATCTTCAGTGCAATTGTATCCCTTGAAATCAGACTTCCCAATAACCTTGGGACCCGGAAGAGGGAAGGTAACTTCTTGTTCCTCGATAGTAACGCATTTCCCTTCACGATTGATGTTTGCGATAAATATCTCTGGAAGAGACTCAAACTTCGGGGGGTTTGTGACGTTTTTGTTGTCGTTCAGACTGTCGGGAGCATCACTAATAGTGACCATGGCGCAGTTCATATACATCTCGCGGTTTCCAATTTTGTTGAACCAAGTCCAAGCAAATAACGCGTTCCCAGGGGGTGCCTCCTGTGGGATTTCAAATTCCCATGTTTTGTTAAAACCACATCCTCCTATCATGGATTGAATGACTCTGAAGCTCTGGCCTTGGTCATAGCTCAGCGAAAGCTGACAAGAGCCTCCTCGATGTGGTGAACCCCCTTCAATCTTCATTTCGTATGATGATCCCGGGACATAGAATTCCTGGGAGTTAAAAGGATCTGTGTGGTACCCTTTACAAGGGTAATTTTTCCCGGACGCATTCAATGGATTGGTATAACCGTAGTCCACAGGTCCAGCGGGATGGTTGTCCCAACGACTTCGAATGGGGATCGGCTTGCTCATCTGCATGTGGGCGAACCCTCCAGCTCCCCAGAGTGCAAGGAGGACGATCTTGGTAACCGTGTAGAATGACATCGCGTGGGAGGAATTGTGGGTCCGGGGGTCTGGGGGGATCTGGGGTTTGGTTAGGCTCACAATCGAGAGGCACAGTAAGATTCAGTTTCGTCTTACATTTCTGGGAAATCAGGTCAATGGCGGATTTGACTGCCTTCCCTCAACTCGAATCGCTCGCTGGAGATAAATGAAAATAATTTTGTTGAATTTTGTACCTGGGTGAGAACTAGAAGACTATCAGCCCCGGGGGCCAACTTTCCTTACGTAAAACCATTTTGCCCAGGTGCCTGTGAGATGCAGGTGCTTTGATGCAGGTTTGATGCATGCATTGTCTGGAACATCACAAACCAACAGGGTAAGCAGGTGCTGACATTCGTTTGTTTGCTTGGAACTTCCATAATCCATATGCATTAGGATTGATTGGGCGCTTCTCCGGTCCAATACTAATCAAGTATCACTTGAGCACTCAGACTGATCTTTCTTGTCAAGGATTTAAGCAAGTCATATTTTTTCATATCGCTGTGGGATAAATGGAAGATATGTATCGCCCTGAGTATTTGATTTCAGTGAGTAGTGAGCAGAGTCTGTGTTGCAATGAAAGGCTTGGCGCAGATATGATGTAAAGTCAAAGCTGTATTAATGTGTCGAATTTAATCATTCAAATTTCATCAAATACCAAATTTTGGGGTTATACACCTGGGCAATCTCAAGAGAAACCTCATCGGAAGATGGTACTTTTATCCCAACCTGTGCCCTTCAAGTTCTGGAGGGATTTAGTTGGGTGCGGTTTGCTTGGGTCGTCATACGCAATCTGGTAGGGATTGGGGTCGACTGCTTGGTTCAAGTTCGACAGGGTGTGATTCACTTCACGGTGTTTGGCTTCATCCGCGCGGATGTACATGATAAGATCGCGCATCGTACGGTGGTCTTCGGGTATGTTCCAGTACTCAACCGCGATTTCAGGGGCAGTCACTTTGTCCCAACCTGGAAGCTCACCTGCGTCGATTTCTTCAAGGGCTCTGGTGTAGGTAATAACAGCTTCCTCCTCGAGATAACCTACGAAACGATGGCAAATTCGCGGAGACATCAGGTAGGCAAGGAAAAATCCATTAAAGAATACACCCTGGGCACCGAGTACCATCAAGCGCATGAACCAACCCGGCTCCATGAGCTTCAAGAAGGTAAGGAGGTGCATTCGCTCGTTGAATGATTCTTCGAGCAGTGTTTCAATCCTACATGGTATGCCATAAGCTTCTTCACTTGAAATGCGGGCTATTCAGTCAGTACGTACCATCCATTATCCCGTTTCATCCGTCGGAGACTGCGCAGATGTCGCAGCATCCCGCCTACCATACCGGGAACACCTGCTACACTCTCAAGAAAAATGAACCGGACCAGCCAGTCCTTCTCAGTCATCTTGAAGCGAGCTGAGAGTTTTTCATTGGGTTTAGGATGTCGATACCCAGTCACCAAGTCCATGCCCCAGCGGAAGAATCGAACAGTTCCAAGAGCGGTCCAATCAGACCAGTTCTTGGCCTGTCGATGGGCAATATGAATATCGCTCATCTGCTTGTCCGTATATCTGGTTGATTTGTCAGTTAAAGGGCGGCTCGGTGCAGATATTCTGATATTGAACTTACACCGGATGTGTCCATGCTGTCTTCACCTGTTTCACGCCTTTTGTGCGTGGAGGTGGGAAGTAATCTTCGATTTTGGACTGGGCGGTAACTGAGAAGAACCGCTTCGGCGAATTCCCGAGCCCATCAGGCCGCAAGGATTGGACGCATATCACTGTGGAATTTGGAGCAGCGCGTTTCGTTGGCCAAGAAGGCGTCGATTGGGCTGCTACCCGTACTCGAGAAAGCATCATAGTTCTTTCGATATGATGTGTACTAACAACTTTAGAATGGGATCTGTAATCTTTCTTTTCTTTTTTTTCAAGATATGCTATGGTAGTCACCTGGGAATTTATATCTGTACTGTGTAGGTTTTCCACTTCTATAACCATGACGAAACTCATGACGTCTACAAGACATCCGGGTACTAATTAGAACCCACCAGTGCTGTCTCTCGATCACCAACTTAGAACTCTTTCTCCTGAGGTCTTAGACCAACTTTGTCAACTTGTAGGATACCTCCCTTTGCGGTGTACTTGGGTAAATGCCTCGTAAATAGAAGCTAACCCAAGCATCTTACCACAATATATATTCTCTTCGGTCACACCAGCACGGACCCTGAGAGAGTAAAAAAAAGATTTCATTGAGGTATTCAGTATAAATACCATAAATGGCAGGACACGTAGTCCGATATATAACCACGAGATCGCTGGAAGCAGTAATGTTGATCCCACAACCTTGGAAGACAGCTCCAAGCTGCCATGGATGCGCATTCATAAGTAGCGAAATTTTAGAACTCATTCTTTTAATCAAACCCAGAATAGATCCAACAAAAAGACGGACCTCAATTCATTCCATACTCAACAGCTACTTAGCCATTCGGTGAGCGCAGCTCTCACTCTCTCCACCCGGAGGACTTGCGGACGGAGTGATCCAAGTCTATGTGGAATTGAGTGGTCTTTATCTCATATTGTGAGTGAGTGAGGGATGTAGTCTTTCAAGTTTCTTCAATTCTTTTGATCACCTTGAAAAGTCGGGTTGCCCTTACTTTCAATGAGTATAATCAACGTCCACAGGTATGCTTCAGACTAGCATGCCGCTATTTCCACCTCTAAAGTTCTCGCCACCCAAAGAGCCCGGGCCAATCTGCTAGCCGCTGAACTTTAAAAAATCGTGGTCTATAGGGATGTACTATCATCAGTTTCCCCCTTCTAAAGTTGCATCTAGGCCTGAAACCAGCCCTGGAGGGCTAAACCAGGTGGCAGGTGAAGTAGCCAGATCATACTCAAGTATCAACCTTGAAAATTAGATATCCAGTAGGTGCAAAAACTGCAAAAAGAATGCCCTTATCCAGGATCGAACTGGAGACCTTCGGATGTCAATCCTGTGAACAGGAATGTCATACATCTTAAAGTATGAGACCAACGTCATAACCAACTAGACCATAAAGGCTTGTGATGTCCAAGCCTTCCTTATTAGCCGTTCCAAGCAAGAAGTGGTGTTCAGGGACCAACTTCAGCTTGTTCGGTCCTCCGTACCCGAGTATCACCGTCTTGCACGCTTTTTTTTTTTGCATCTCACTACACAGATCAAGCGCAATAAGAGAAAATCATATATTCCTAAGATGTTTCGCTAAAGGAAAGAGAGGCATAATTTACATTTAAATGTTGCTACTGCATAGAGTACTCTGTGGATGCCAGAAATCCAAATTATTAGGGCATGGAAAAGTTGAACCCCCCAGAACTAAGGTTCAATCTACGCATGGACCGTGCACCATTTGGACAAGCACAAAATCCGCGGTATGGAAAAATCGAGATAATAATCATGAAACTGTTCATCATTTACACTGACTCTATGTTTTTCCTCCCTCGAGATATTGCGTGCGGAGGCACTTAAGTAAGATGACGGTGAGTGGGACTTCAATTCCGGGTTCTTAGTTCTGCTGTTTGAAAGTAAGGTCCCGAGAATAGGTTGTTCAATACATATCACCGAGCGATGCTTGTTCAAGGCTCTATGATGTTCTACAATGGATTGTCTTGGCTCATTTAAAACGGTGGAAACTTGATAATATCTCAATGTGACCTTGCATGGCTCATACTTAAAAATATGGAGCGAAGATTCATACTTCTAGGGCTCACTGCATCTGTCGGTGTATATACCGGATTTTAAGCCGCATTCGTGATTTCCCAAATCGTTGCGTTGCCACTTCATGAGGGCGCTCAACAGATGTAAAAAAGCAAGAATCATCTGATAGCGTTCGCGACACGGCTAAAGCCAATGTACGAACACTGTTCACTCAATCTCGATGATAGCGAAAATCCGCTTCTCGATCCGCTCAAGCAGGGCACCGACGAATTCTTCCGGAAGACTCCCCTCTTCATGACTAACATGTATAACAGTAGCACCATTTTGAACGCCGATAATGTTGAAGGTCAGATTTGAGCCAATACCAGCTTTAAAGGCACCTGCAGAAAATTCCATGCTGGAAATGGCCCATGGTCCACTGACGCTCGAATCGGCGGAGGAAAAAGCGCCCAAATTAGACACTGAAAATGTTCTATTCTGAACAAGCTTATAGCCAGGCAAAAGAGTGGAAATGTAGTCTTCCTCGTCTTCTCCAACCATGAGGATGGACAGCCAGGCTTTCAACCACGACATCTCGTGTTTTAGATCGTTCGTGATATGAGCTTTATGTTGTTGCGAGAGATCCCATAGCAGTTCGGCGTTCACTATGGAGGGTTCCTCTCCGTCTGGGCTTTGACCTGCTTCTCGGAACTTCGAAAGCCAGTCAAAACTCGATATCATTGATACAGCAGTGCTTATGGTCCTCTCCCTCTCCTGGGTAGGGAGATACGGTCGGACGTCGATAACTGTCTCAGAATGGCTGAACTTGGCCTTCGGGTAGAAGTCAGTTGCCAGGCTCACCTTGATGAGCGTGTGTAGGAGGCTTGTAAATGAGGTCTGGTGTTCGCGGCATGCGTGGAGACATTTGATCATGGTCTTAGCGCTCAGGCGGAGAGTATGAAGCCTCGTAATGACAACATTATCCTCCTTTTTCGGATCGTCAAAGGTGAAATCTTGCTCCTCATACTTTGCATCGTGGAAGAATACACTAGTCCCTCTGTAAAAGAGACAGATAAACCAAAAGCGCAAATAATTCAAGATGGCCCAGAAGACGAACGGCTTCCCCAAGAGTTCGACCGGATCCACCTCAGGAAATCCTTTGACCTCCGAAGTCAATTGGACAATAGATGAATCATTTTCGTTCTGGTTTGGAAGATTGAGCGCTTCTCGCAGGCTATCAAGGATAAAAGTAGCCCCGCGTCCATCCGTGATATAGTGGTCAAATACCAGCAAAGTTTGTCTCCCATTGATCACGATGAACTGCCAAGGTGGCCTTTTCGAGTGATCGAACCAGGTACGGTGGTATCGCTCGATTAAGCCAGTCAGGCTGAGTTCCTCTTCATTTTCTGGAATATCTAAGAATTCCACGTGGTCATCGAGATTGACACTGCGCAAGAAACCGGACATGCACCGATGGTTCGACTTCTTTTTCTTGGATGGCCCGTCAAAATACACCATAGAAAGCTCTGGATACTGCTGTATAATCCTTCGAAAGGCCGGGTAAACCACTTCTTTAGAAAGCACAGTTGTCCTAGCCTCCGAATTTGCGAATGATGCCGCGAGGATCACATTAGATTGAAGGCCGAATCGATTTAGCAAGCTGAATTGTCGTTGATATCGTTCTTCAGAATGTCAGTGAAGTGACTCGGGACTTCAGTCAAAAATACCAAAGATTGAGCTGGACTGGATATTACCGGCTGGTTGTATATTCAGGAAATCAGACTCGGGGTTCGCTAGCGATTCGCTCTGTGTGTTTCCTTTTTCGGCCATTGCCAAGTCTGGGGTTGCTGATGATTTCGCTGAGTGCAATGAATAAATCGTCTGAGTTCCAGGGCTCCTTAACACATCTGCCACAGAAAATATGTCGACACTAGTGCTTACTGGGTTTAATTAAAGGGTACATGTATCCAGACGTTTTCATTGGCTCTGCGTGATTATTCGCACGTTCACATAGATTAGTATATGTACGCTAAGGATGCAGTCCATGTAATCTCGTATGTCTTTCATATAAATCAAGCAATCGTATTCATGACCCATAGCAGCAATAATTCCCTTCTTGAACTGTAATAGCCACAATTGATCGGAAAATCATCTACCGCCCCAAATTAGAAAGTTGGATAGCTTCAATGGTAATCTAATATTTCGGGTCAAAACAGGCTGGGACTTGAATTGTAATTTGGCACCCAAACTCCATCAAGCCTTTATGGTCTAGTTGGTTATGACGTTGGTCTCATACTTTAAGATGTATGACATTCCTGTTCACAGGATTGACATCCGAAGGTCTCCAGTTCGATCCTGGATAAGGGCATTCTTTTTTGCTCTTTTCCCTGTCGGTTCTGAATTCTCCGGATTTTTTTTTGGCGATAAATCTAATTGTGTGTTTTTTTTTAATACCGCCAGAGTATCTAGAAATACCTGCGGATCGTTTGTTAGTGGCGCCTTGACTATAAACAGAACATGGGGAACAAATGAGCATGGAATAACCTACACAGATCATGACCGACTGACCGATGGACTAAATGACTACCCGAAAGTTGCAGCCGCGGATGATAATTAAACATGGCGTGCATTTGATTCTTTTGCTTCCCGATACTAAGTTTCCCGAAAAGAGAAAATATCCCAACGTTAACCTAGCGAGCTTACATACCATATGAGAAGTAATATTGACGGAACAAGGGAAACCCTGAAGTACAAGCCCGGATGGAAATAATGTATGTCATAATAATATCCAATTGAAAATGTATCCGGGAACTCAAGCAAACGCTTAAGATCCCAGCTATGTACAAGCAAAGCGATCTAAAGCGATGTATATTACACTGTCCAGCAGCCGAGACCCAAAACACCGTAATGCAAATGCCTCTAACCAAGACGCAGGCGACCAGGCACAGCCCGGCCACTAAACACACCAGCTTCCTCTGTGGTATTGTTCTCATTCGACATCCAGCGAGGAAGCCGGAAGGGCTCACCCTGGAACCACCGAGGAGTGTTGGTGGTTTCAAATGTGTTTTTCACCCGATGGGCGAACGACTGGAAGAAGTTCTCTTCTTCATCTTCTTCGCCATCTACAATCGTTGGAGCAGAAACTGCCCGCTGGTTAGACTGGGGAGAACGTGATCCCTCCGCGACTGGAACGCGTAGTCGAGACGAGCCGGGGGAACCTTCGTCGTCGCGATCTGAGGCCCAGGTGGAGCGGCTGCCACGGGAGGACACCGCCAAGGAGCCGAAACCATTCAATTCGCGCTCAATCAGATCACGTCCCTCGCGCCATCCACCCATACCATAGCCGGCGGGGTTGTTTTCAACGTCGTGGACATCGTCATCCTCGGCGAGTCCGCATCCGAAGATGTTTTTGATGCGCCCGTACAGGTTGAACAAGGTCGCACAGATGGGTAGTAGGATGAGTATGGGGAAGATGAAATCAAAGCCTTTGCCCAAGGGGGTCAGGTTGATCAGTTTACCAAGGAACTCGTAGAAAGTTGTGGTCCGTCGGAACTCCTTGGGCAAGAAAGTCAAGAAGTTGTACGCAATTGGGACCGTCAATCGAGCCACAAGACCAGCATACCAGCAAGCACTTTCGCCGTAAGTGTTGCGGCGGACCAGTGCTCGGTTGCCCCATACCTTGACATCACTGATGCCAACCATAGCCGCCGAACACATGTATAGTAGCCAGGCAGAGGCGACGAACTGACCCCCAAAGCCAACGGGCTGGTTCTTCCAATTGGGAACCACCGTCAAACTCACAGCAGAAAGGTGTGGTGCTAGGGATTTGATTAATTCAGACCAAACGATACAAGCCGATACGAGTGCGAAAAACGCGCCGAATGCCAATCGAACCGAGGGGATGACGTTGGAGTAAACTTGGTACCGCATGTAAGGCGTGAGGACCTTTACGCGAGGCATCAATGAAGACCGACGCGGAGCAGGAGGGAACTCGAGCTTCTTTGAGGCGGCAGAGTCGATGATGGCTTGGAGATCGGCAGAGAGTTGGACCGTGCGATCCCACTCATCTACAAACCGAGCCTTCATATGCCGCGCACGCTGGAGTCGTCGGGTGAGGTCGGCCAAATAGCGTTCGGTGATAACGGAAGGAATCGTAGCAGAGCTTTCGGGGGCCTCCAGGATTGGTGCCCGCACGTCTGGCTGACCATGGCCTTCCCTGAGTTCTTCGATCCACTCCTGGAAATCACGAGCAGTCCCAGTCTTGCGGCGTTGCAACAAAGTGACCTGGCCGTTGAGATTTTCCAGCTCGTTCACCGAATCCATCAAGCGGTCGTGGATTTTAGGCGCATGGGCCTGGATCCTTCGCAGTCGACCGCTGACGTTGGAGTTGCGGAGAAGATTGCGCGGGATAGAAACCAGACCGTGGCCCATGAGATAGATGGCAAGTACCAGACCCCATACATATGCCAAGGCCATGATCAGACCCTTGATGGAGGTGAACTCGAATCCGTTCGAGATAGAGACATAGACCAATCCCACGATGGCACAGGCCAGACAAATCAGCTGGTATTGAGCGTTCGAGCGGAGGGAGTACATAAGGCGACCTTTCGGGTCACGGTAACCGGAGTCGACATATTCGCCGAGCAATGGCAGGATAGCCCTGTAGGAAAAGTGTTAATGAACGGATACTAATGCCCATCGGATGGTACGGAATACTGACCAGGTCAGGACGAAGATCAACCAGTATGCGATACGCCAGCACACGAGGACCATTCGCTCTGGTAACCAAATTGCCTTGGGGCCGGAGCCATCTCGCGAACTCGACGCTAGATCAATGGGGACGAGGAGCACGACACTTGCGGGCAGGGCTAATGCCAAGAATATAGGGACGATTAAATAGCCCGGGGTGGCGCGCAAGGTCAGGAATCGTCGCAGGAGAAGTAGCACAAGAGCGGAGATCAAGAATAGGGCGATTGCGAAGAATACGTTGGAGCCCACGGAGATGGGCGGTACAGAGACAGAAAACATGCTGAAGAGACAGCGACAGGGAAACACAGAGAAGGATCGTTTCAGCCGTTGTTCATGACGAGTTATTTGCCAGCCAATTCAACCAAAAGGCAGCAGTGTGTGTATATATAGAACAGTCTGGGGGGGATTTGACGTTTTGGGGGGCAGGAGGGCTGACTTAAGTTCTGACTAAGTGTAGAGGTTAGTACTGGTGACCTTGTTTTGAGTGTATTTTGTAGGGAGCGGTGGAGTACCAGGTACTGGCCAGCCACAGACTGGCTGTTTCCGTTTTTTTTTCTCGACCAATTGGCTTTTCCGGATCAGGTCAGGGCCAGAACGCCTGTCGATCCTGATTAGAGAGGGATTCGTGGACTTGGTGGGGTTTTTTTTAATGAGATTTGTTAGATATTTTCTTTGGCCTGAATTCCGGGTATAGTATGTACTGATGGGTTAAGGAGCACACCATAGAGAACAACTAAATTGTATAAACTCAAGGCGATTCGCATTTTAGGCAATGTGTCGAGTGCGTCTGCAGACAGATCTGATGCTCAATGATCCACCTTATGACGACGTGTCTGAGCTTCAGGTACGGTGGGCTCCGTAATAACGGGCTGATGTACTCGTATTGACGGGAACAATACTCCGTAAAGTACTTCCTCGTAGGCGGATCACCTGGGCAATAATGCATGTATCCCGACAGGATCGCCTGACCCCATGGGCACCCTGAAAACACAATACCAGGCTATTGATACCGTGATACCTACATTCTCTCTCTCTTTCAATCTCTCTTATTTGTTTCTTCTTTACTCAGATTGAAGACTCTCTGCCCTTCATTTAATTCGTTCCTTTCTTCTGTTTCTTTCTCTTTTCACCTGGTTCTCTTTCGTACAGTAAGTCCAAGGGCTCTCCCGCTTTGTTCTCGGTACCTTTGCTTCTTCCCGAACTGGAGTGACTGGAATGACTGGAATGACTGGAGCGACTTAATCCGAGCTGCACGATCCCTGTGATCCCATATACATTGTCCTCATTCGCCATCCAACCTGGCGAATTGGATCCCGCTGACGCTGGTGCCCGAACGCCTTGCTTTCTCTGGTGTTGGTCGCCCGTTATTGCCCTCTTGCCCTCCGTTTCGTCCGTTTCCCACTCCCATCCCCACCCTCCCTGATCGACTCGGCGGTTCCACTCCAGTAGCTTTGCTTTTTTTTCCCTCCCATCACCCGTGTGAGGAATTTCTCCTTCACCCGCTGACCTCTGGCGATTTGACAGTTCTTAAATCAGCGAATGCTAAACTCCACACCCTCTCCGCGGATCCCTCATTGATCCACCATTGATGGGGTGTCTGTCATGAATCCCGGAGACTTCAACCCGGGCGCGGGGCCTGGCCGGCCAGCCCCAAATCCTGCGATGAGAATGAAGGCCAACATGCAAGTTCCTAAAAATGATAACGTGCAAGCCATGATGAACCATGTTGCGCAAGTGCTGCAAAGTCAAGGACCCTATGGGGGTTGGAAGGCGGAGGTTCCAACGAAAACCCGAGCGACTAATGTGTATCAAATGTAAGTGTTTGTGTAAACGGACGCGCTTCGTCCTGTTCAATCTCTTTCGATCTCAACCTGACTTCTTTGCTCTTCCTCTCTTAGGATCACCTCACTCCGTTTAATCCAACCTCGCATTGATCTCACCCAAGCAGCCCAGGCGGCCATGAGCTTTGAGCTGAAAGCCTTCACCAAAGCGAACGAGAAAATGGAATACGACAAGGAATGCACCGAAAAGCTTCTCCACATTAGAAACACTCGCGAGCGACAGGCGGCGGTCGCGTACCAAAGCGGTATGATACCTCAGACCGGTGGGCAGAATCAGATGGCAGGAAATTTTCCACAGCATCTCAACCAGAACATGCAGGGGTCTCCATCAGGTCCGCAGATGGGGATGGGGATGAATGGCCATAACCAACAAGCTGTGATGCAGCGACAGCAGCAACAGCAACAGCAGCAACAATCACAGGCAATGCTACACCAGTCACAACAGCAGCCACAACAGCAACAGCGCAACCCACAGCGCCCGGGTAGTGTGCCTCTACCCGATGACCTCAATACCCTTTCACCCCAAGACCTCGCCCATGTCATTCGACTGGCAGACGAAATGAAGAACAAGACATCTGCAGAAGATATGGAAAAGATCAAGATGAACCTGTCAAACATGACTCCAGAACAGCGCGAATATCTCACCCGCAAGGATCTTGACCCCATGACCTACTTCTTCCGATCGCAAGCACTCAACCAGATCCGACGCCATCGTCGCACCCGAATCGAGATGGGACGCGCGCCCAACGCCGGAGTGGATGCGAATGGCAACATGATGGCCGACCCGTCATTGAACCAACAGCAACAACGACAAATGCTGCAGAATATGCTGGGCCTCCAGCGAAACTCCTCGTTCCCGGGCAATCCTGGTCAGTCAATGGAACCTCCGAATTTCATGGGCAATGTGGAGAATATACAGGGACAACAAGCAGACGGTCTGCGCTCTCAGGAAGCAGGTCATCTCGTGGTCCCTGCCAGCTCGTCGCAAATGAACCAAGCGCCATTTTCAAAAAACAATAAGAACAATAATATGTTCCCTCAACAAATGGGGCAGAATGGTCAGGGAAATATGAACGGGAACAATTTCAACGCTCAAGCTCAGTCGCTTGCCCAGCAACATATCCAGGGTGGCTTCAATACACCTCAGGAGCGGATGCAATTCCAGGCCCAGCAATCCCAAGCCCAGGCGCGAGCTCAAGCGGCTCAAAAGGTCCAGATGTCGATTTCGGGTCACGGCGGTCAGGCAAACACACAAGCACAACCGCAACTTACCGGACAGAGCCCTGTTATGCCAATGCTCAACCAGCCCATGGTCCCCGGTCAAATGTCTCCTGCCCAAGTGCCTAATCAATCTCGACCGCCCTCCCGAACTCCAAGTATGCCCCAGCATCCGTCTGGCGGCGCAGGACAGACCCCAATGCAAGGTCGGCCCCAAATTCCTTCCAACATCCCGCCACACATCCAAGAGCAACTCGCTCGCATGCCCCCTGAACAGGCGCAGGCTTTCATTATGCAACAGCGCCGTTTAGCTTTGAACAACATGGCTCGGGCAAATCCTGGACAACAACCCCAGACTCAACCTGGCCAAGGTCAATCAATGATCAATAACCAAATGGGCAATGGTATGATGCGAGGCTCGATCGGCGGGCCACAAGATCTGAGCTCTATGCCGCAGGGCCAGCAGATGACCCCACAACAGCGCCAACAACGGCAGAATGAAGCTTTTAAGCTCCAACTCCTGCGACAACATAATGGTGGCGTGGAAATGACCCCTGAACAAAGCAGGCACATGGACCGTGTCTCGTACCCTCCATCAATCTTGAACATGAATGGGACTTCAATGCAAGTTCCTAATAATGTCAAGTCATGGGGCCAACTAAAACAGTGGGCTGCCACAAACCCTCAAATTGCCAGCCCCAATGATGTTCCGCGACTTGTGATGCTTCAAAAGCTTCACCTAGGACAGCTCATCACTGCCTCTAATAACCAGATCAAAGACCCGAACGCCCAAGGCCAAGGCCAAGGAGCAACTCCCTTCCAGGGCACACAGACTCCATTCCCAGGCGCACAGAACTTCCCTGGAGGCCAGCAGCCACCTGCTATCAATATGGCGGCCATGCGGCCAATCTCCGCCCAGGACATTCAAATGGCACGCCAAAAGCTTGGTCCCCAGGCTGCAAACTTTACGGACGAGCAAATTCGTGAAATCCTGTACAGAAATCGACAAAAGCACATGATGCAAGCGGCTGCAGTCGCACAAAACCGAGCATTGCTTGAAGGAAACGCGCAGCCTGGTCAACCGACTGCACAGTACCCAGCCCCTGCAGTACCCCCCGTTCCACAGCCCAAGCCGCAACCACCCCAGCCCCAACAGGCACAGTTGAACGCCGCACTTCAAGCAAAGAACCAAGCTGCCACCGCTGCGAAGGGTGGCAAAGCGCCTGTTGCCAAGCAGGTGCCAAAGAAGAGACCTAGCACGGATGACACAGCGGAAGCCCGACCAAGTACTACCCCTCAATTGACCCAAAGCACCCCTGTCCCAGGTGCTCAAGCGACTGCCCCTTCAAGGCCGGGTCTTCCAATTACTCAAGAGCAGCTTGCTCAAATGACCCCACAACAGCGTGCCCAATTCGAGATGCACATGCGCAAGCAACAGCAGCAACCCCGCGGTCAAGTTCTCAGTAGAGCCGCTGCAGAGGAAGCATGGAGCAGAAACCTGCCACCCCAGGTGATGGAAATCTACGAAGATATCGCCAAGAATGCCCCACCCGCAAAACCCATACCTGTATCGCCGGAGCAGAAGGCTGCTATGACCAAGCAATTGCGCGAAGCTTTGGATGTCCTCGGCCGGCTGGATGCCCTAGTTCAGTGGTTTGCAAAAATGCCAGGCCAAGACAAGAATGTCAAGAATCTTCTCGCCATGGTAAGTCACTATTCGGTTATCCAACCCTTCCCATACTAACTTTCTGTTACCTAGCGTATCCAATTAATGCGACAATTCAAGCCATCTCCGGAATGGGCTGTCAACGATACTTTCACGGTCACCTCTGATTATCTGTCTGGTGCAATAATGTTCATGCGCAAGTTGTTCGCATTCATGATTAATCGTCTGCAACAGCAACGTCCTCAGCAATCGCAAGGTCCTGGTCCGAATGCGCCACCAGCCCAGGCCAATATGCCAGCACTGAATGCAACCAATTTGCAGCAACTCCAAGCACAGGAGGAAGCCTTACATCGAGCTCGGCGTGCCTCCAGCCAATCTGCCACCGCCGCGACTGCACCTTTCGCGGCCCCATCTCCCAGAGGCGTTCCCCAGTATGCTGCCGGGGGGCTTGCTCCGGAGAATCTCAAGTTGCCCCCTCCCAAAAAGCGAAAGCAGTCCCATGCTGGCGTGTCGTCCAGTCCGCTTCAAGCCAATGCGGTTCCAGGGGCGGCAGCCGCCGCCACAACCAAATACAACAAGGCGGTGGCCGATGCCACATCCAATGCTGCGGCTCTGGCTGGTGCTTTCAAGTGCAATGTGGTCGAGTGCCCCAACCATTACCAAGGATTGCCGTCTCAAGCTGCCCTGGACAAGCACGTGGAAGAGAATCACCAGCCAGAGGAGGAGGAGGTCATTGACGATTATCTCAAGTACTACCATGAAAGTCTCTCAATCGGCCTCAACTTGAACCCGAACGACACGATGGAAGCGCAAGCAACGGCTGCAACTGGACTGGCACCATCTTCCACCCGACTCAGTGCTGCTGCTTCGCCCACAAAGCAGGGTATTTCCACTCCTGTCATTCCCAGTACCACGCCTATGGCACGGGTCACCAGTCAACTTGGGACCAAGACAGCGTCCCCCGCCGCGTCAGCCCAACTTCTCACGCCGCAGATGTCAATTGGCAAGGCGCCTAAATCCGCTGCCAAAGACGAAAAGAAGGATATCATTAAATCAGAACCGGGAGACACTGAAAATAAGGATCCTTGGGCGGACTGTCCCACCTCGCTTGACACGATTCACGATACTTTCTCTAATCTCGCGAGCAAGGATCTACCCCATCTGGGTTATGAATCACTTGAGGACTTTGATATCAATGAAGCCACCCCGGTCGACGACTGGGTCAACTTGGCTACTTTGACGCCCCCGGATGAGGCCGAAGAAGCTGCTTTCCTTGACAAGTTCTACGAACCTTGGGATGAAGAGTCCATTGCCCTTGCTGCCGCGCGGATGCGCATACCCCCAGAAATCCAGGTCAAGAACAATGGCCCTATGGGTCAACTTGAGGTTGATTGGGACGCCGTCGCGCGTTACGAGAAAGAAGGCATCTCTATACCCATGTGTTGAATATTGACATTTCAGATGTACACTTAGTCCTTCCATATCACTGGACTGATTGAAAGTTTCCATTTCCAGGGCTTTGTTTTTACTTTTTTTTTTTTTTTCTGGCTTACCGGCGTACATATGAGCGGTGCGTTTGTACACTACGGAGTACCCTTTGCGGGAAATCCTTATAATCTTGATCTTGCCAATCCTCTAATCCTTTGGAATTGTGTTTCAGCGATGGCGTTATTTTAAGGAAAGTAAGGATTTAGCTCTTTGGAATGTCAATGCATTTGGTCAGCTTTGGTGGTAAATGGTACTTCGTAGATCTTGACTCTGTATCTCATGCGCCCCAGTAGATATGTGGGTACCTTGCGGCCGGGTACTCGGCCCGTACAGTCAGCGCTGCGGAGGTACCGCGTGATCATGTAGTGATGTTATCATGTGCGATAAGCCCGGACCTCCGCTTTGTCTCCTCCCCAAGGACGCCTTGGTTCCTACAACTACTCGATCTCGAATCAACGAACCCCCTCCCCAAGGCCCTGTCTACTCTTTAACTGCAGGGCAAGATGGCGAACAACGCCATGGTTCCATTCTTGGTCACGATGATGCTCGTGACCGGAGTGTGCAACACCATTCTCAACAAATATCAGGTCAGCTCGTCAGCTCCAAAAAGCTAGGGCTAGCTATCTAGAATGAAGATCCCAGAGCTAATATACCCACTCGAAATAGGACATGCAATGTGTGCGGAATTGTGACTCCTCGGATCCCGCCCACTGGAAGCTGTTCGAGCAGCCTGTCATCCAAACGTAGGGCCGACACCATAGCATGACAAAGATATTAGAACTGACCACCACGCCAGAGCACAAATGTTCATCGGAGAAATGGGCTGCTGGCTAGTCGTTGCGCTGACCTTCCTCTACCGTCAATATGTCGCCCCCAGGCTGTCAAGTGATCCCTCCCCGCTCCTAGCAGGCGGATACCGCCCGATCAACGGCGAAGCAAACGACGAAGAACACGCAGACGAACTGGACGATGGCACGTACAAGCCTATCGAGGACCGCATTCCACTTCGTGGGTGGAAGGTCTTCCTTCTCGCCGCCCCTTCTACCTGCGATATCGCCGGCACGACTCTCATGAATGTAGGCCTGCTCTTTGTCGCAGCTAGTATCTACCAAATGACCCGAGGTGCCCTCGTTCTCTTTGTCGGCCTGTTTAGTGTCCTCTTCCTGCACCGCAAGCTCTACATGTATCAATGGAGTGCGCTATTCATCGTTGTTCTCGGCGTGGCGATCGTCGGCCTGTCGGGTGCTTTGTTCAGCGGCGATTCGGGACACGATATCACGCAGAATGCCCAGAGGGCCGTCCTGCATGCTCGTGCTGTAGCACAAACTCCTGAGGCTGTCCAAACTATCATTGGTGTATTGCTTATTGCCGCTGCGCAGATCTTCACTGCCTCACAGTTCGTGCTTGAGGAGTGGATTCTGGAAAATTACGCCATGGATCCTATCCAGGTTGTTGGATGGGAAGGTGTCTTTGGATTCTTGGTCACTCTCATTGGCATGGTGATTATGTACATCGTCGTTGGAAGCACCGATGCTGGCCGTTACGGATACTTCGATATCAAGGAGGGTTGGAGCGAGGTTGTTCACAACCGTGCAATTGCTGTGTCAAGTGTTTTGATCATGATCAGTATTGGGTATGGTTCTTCTTTGCTCTCGACCTTCTTGACCTTTTCTAACTGTTCTTTAGTGGCTTCAACTTCTTTGGTTTGTCTGTCACCCGTACCGTCTCCGCTACGTCTCGTAGTACGATTGACACATGCCGTACGCTCTTTATCTGGATAGTCTCGCTCGGCCTAGGCTGGGAATCTTTCAAATGGCTCCAGGTTGTTGGATTTGGCCTGCTTGTCTATGGAACCTTCTTGTTCAATGACATCGTCCGCCCGCCGCTCAAGGCTTGTTTGCCTCGTGAGCATAGGGAGGGCGAGGTCTTGCTCCCCGAGGATCCTATCGAGCATATCTGATTGTCCAGTGAGTGCTGAGTGCTCACTTGCATACTATACCGATTTTCAATTTATATGCCTGCCACTTTGGTCCTAGGTCATCTCATTGAGGCCTGATAGACTGGAAGCTTTCACTGTGGGGGTTTGACGCATCATATTGTTTTGCATTTGTTTTCTGCAATGGGTTGCCTTTTCTATAACGTTATCTTTTCTTTTTGGTTTTGGGTTCGTATACAACGGTTTCGTTTCGCGTTTCATCACGAGATTGGTAGTACTTCTGATGACTTTTTGATTAAGCCGCTCGTTTGGGGGATTATAGCATCTACGAGGTTTCCTTTGGACTACACATGTATCTGTGATACATTCAATACACATCAAGCTACAGAAACTTCCTTGTAGACCCCAAGAGCAGCGAAATGTTCCTCCTATGATTGGGCCAGTGCCTCGCATGACATCCGAAGCTCACTATCAGTGGTACATCGCAGCACTTTGTGCACTCAGACTTTGCTTTGGCAAGAACATCCATCCATGGGTGGATACAAATTAAACAAGTCTTTCTCTTGGACTGCGACACGACAAAGAAGAATTCAAGGCCAACAGGGCATGTCTAAGGGTGTATAGCACTGAATTTTGACTGTTTGTTCATAGAAAAATTAAAGCATTCGTTCAAATGAATTTTGGACATCAAATCACCAAATCCATCTATGGCTCGGACCAATCCACCTGCTCGGTGACAGGGTCTCCACCATCCCGAGCGTAACTGACACGAAGACGAAGACGGAGTTTGGCAGGGAGGGCCTGTAACCAGTTAGTCTGGGAGGTTAATATATAGGAAAGGGAAACATACCCCATTCAGAGCGGTCACGCGCATTGATTGTGTGCCCTCGTCGCCAGCCTCCAGCTCAGCCTTGCTGATTGCACTCAGCTGCAAGCGCTGGCTCTTGGGCACAGCAGCCTGCAGACCGACGCTGGTGAAGTGGTCAAAGTTGGATTCGTTACGGAAACGAGCCATGATCTGGGCATTGGGACCGCTACGCTGGAGTTGCAAAGTAAGGATAAGACCGTCTTTGTTCAGAGCAGTGTGCGCGGGAGTTGAAGCGGCGGGGGGAGCGGGTGAAGCAGATGGCGATGGTGCAGAGGCGCCCATTCCTCCGCCTAGCAGATCCATTGATGCGGATGATTGCTGAGCTGGCTGTGGAGATGGCGATGGGCCATTTGAGCCGAACAGGTCCATGATGGCGCTGTTTGGATTCTGCTGGGCACTAGGACCCGGCGCAGGCGATGACAAGCCTGAGTCTCCACCGAGGATGTCTGCCAGCAGATCGGCGGTGTTCGATCCGTTCGAGGTCGGGCTTGTAACGGGGGCGTCGCCGCCGACCAAGTCAAGGAGCAGGTCGTGTTCCGCTGGTTTGGCGGTTTTGGTGGTCGCTTTGCTGCGGAGAACTTTGCTTTGGCGCTTTTTGGCGGCAGGCGCGCCCAGGACGCGTTGCTCCTCTCTAATCTCGGGTGCGGGCATCCGTTCGAGAACACCACGGCGAATTTGGTCATAGCCGAAAAGATTGGTATACTCAACGGCACGCTGTTGGATCTCAACACTCAAGTCTGCGGTCCGGCTGGAGAGAAGGCGGCGCAAACGTTCGATTTGAGCAGGATCAGACATGCGCACTGTAAGCTTCATGGCCGCAGTAATGATATATTCAACAGCAATTTGAGTGGCATATGTGCTGTTCAAAATGTTGGTAAAGACATCGACGAGATCACTCTCTCGGACCTCCTTGACTAATTCCTCTTCTTCGTACTGACCACCCTGCAGTAAGCTATCGGCATATTCACCGATAGTCCATGTAGCGGCCAATGTGAGACCCTCTTGTGAGATATCTTCCTTCAATGATGAATAGAGCTTTTGCACTGCGTAGGTCTGCAGATCAGGGGAGGTGGCGATGAGACGGACGAAAGATGAGAGGATCTGTTCCTTGACGTAGTTCCCAGCCAGCTTGAGAACACGTAGAATGGTATCCATGTGCCAGCGCTTGTTGGGAGCAAATCGATCTGCCGCAATGCCGATTTGGGTCGTCATCACGGGCTTGAATTCGTTATCGGCTACCTCCAAGAAGGCTAGCAGTTCCCGCACTAGCACTCGCACATTACCTTCATTGATCAACATGAAGCTGAGATCAAGCGCTCGCCGGCGAATGCTGATATCAGGATCCCGCAGACATTCCAAAATCGTATTACGGTGTCTCTGGACTGCATTCGGTTCGATCGCAACCACCTTGTTGAGAGTGTTGAGCGCCACGTAACGGATGTTATTGTCTTTATTGGCCAAGAACTTTCCGAGAATGTTGACGCCCAGCACCCTCAATCCCGAGTCGGCTTCGATATCCAGAATCGTGAGAACAGCCTCGTATAGAATAGAGTTACCCACGTTCTTGGAAGAATCTGTGTTGGTAGCCACCTGGGCCAGAATATCGTTGATCAATTCACTGGTGGCCAGATCTCCGCGACCCAGCACACGCAAGAACCGAAGGATCTTGACCTGGAGGAATGGGTCTGTGATTCCGGACACATCATGCTCAGGGGCGTATCCGGATGTCGTAAGCCCCTTCAAAGCGCGGACCAGCCCTCCAGCCAGCGGGCGGAACATCTCGATGACGCCCTCCGGACCTCCCTCTTCCTCTTCTTCTTCCGCCTCACATAGATCGATCGCCAGCGTCAACCCGCAAAGGAGAACGCCATGGTTTCGGTCCGACAAAAGATTCTTGGCTTTCTCAAGGAAATGCTCGTGTAGGTCTGGAACCTTGCGACAAATGCGCATGGCGCAAATAGCCGCTTTGCGACGAATGTAAGGGTTGGCCGTAGACATGAGACTTTCGACTTCGGGGAACAGATCACGGGACATCTCAACGGAGGCGATGTTTCCAAGGGTGCAGAGGGCGAGACCGACGATATATTGGTTGGAGTGGTTGAGATCACTGTGTTATAGTTAGCGCGGGCCCTAAGTCAACCACCGTGCGAGACTTACTTCTTCAAAGAGTTGGTCACAAGTGTCAACACTTCTTGATTCTCGTCCAGTAACAGCATAGTGCCCAGGTAGCCCAATCGCTTGTCGGCGAATCGGTGTGAGGCGAGTAGTTTCAAACATTCGATTTGGCCGAAGTGTGTCCGCTCTCCAAGAGTGAAAAGATACAGGAGCTTGGCGACATTGTTCCTCCTGTTAATTGTCAGAGCTTGATCGACTATTCCATCTCGGATGCTTGGAGCTCACCGAATACCGGAGTCGTGGCTCTCTTCTCGAAATGAGGCTCGAATGGCGGCGCTTTCTTTTTGAATGACTGCACGCTCATCGGCAATGGTTTTGGCTGATCGGACATTCCGGATGAATTGTTTGACTGCATGCAGAACGAATTGTGTGGTTAGAGGATCTCTCAGGGGAGGAGGGGCGGCGGGCAGCACATACGGGAAGACATGACGACCAGAGGGACCCCCGACGGGGCGAGGAAAGAAAATATTCAATGGGAAGGATCAAGCCAGTTAGAGAAATGCAAATCAAGCACCGCGCTCACCAAACTCAATGAAACGACGAAGGGTCGAGGCTCTGGAGGTCTGGACTACGGTATTATTATTCCTCATGGCAGTCGACCTGGCTTCTTGGCATGGGGCGCTAGTGTGAATGTGGCCTAGTCTGAATCCCTGAATCACGTGTCATCTATATAGTACATCAACCCTTCGTACATGGTGTTTGATCCAACCTCACCAGCATTATATATGTTCGTATCTATAGCTCCGAGAGAACCAAAGGTAGTTAGTGCATTGGAAAACTTCAGTCAGACATCACCACACCTGTTGAAGTCCATAGCCGTAGTCAATATAACTCAGTGTCTCATTCAATGTAAACATACACTTTATACACTCTAAATAGGCAAAATCCCCATAGATTAGGCAGTGTCTTACTCGATCTATACGATTCTTCCAGCACATATGAGCTCACAGACACCACATACGGAGTACCCAAAAAAGATATTCCCATCACCCTTCTCTTGTGCTCAAGTGCACGAGATGCCCATTTCACCGCCTTGGGGCTGAGTCACGCTATGACATAAGTGGCCTGGCAGATCTTACAGAAATAACAAAGTACGCAGTTGAGAACTCCATGTCTGGGATTTGGACAGGATGTGCAATATAGTCTCATACAATAGAATAAGTCAGTTTGACTCAAAAAAGTCAACAACTCAACGGTTTGCGGAAAATCAGTCTGCCTGATACACAAGGGGTCTGACGTAGTGCCGTTTACTCCGTACAAACAAAGCTGAGAAACCTAGCTCCACTTGGCCGTTTCTTCAACTCACTGTTTTCACTATTTTCGATGTACAATCCCATTGCACTTGCCATTGCATCCACTTAGGATGTCTAGTGCCGTCTCAAATGAATCTGCAACTCTGCGGCCCCGGGCTGTCCCTATCCAACCCGACGGGAAATCGGATGTGCCGCTGCCCCTTCCGGTGGACAAGCTAATTCAGGATACAAGGTAAGTCGCTCGGGATGTATACAGCAAGATCCCAACTAAGAATCTTGTCACATTGCAGTGGTCGCTCTACCCCTGTCGCTGAAGATGCGCCTCCGTCGGCGCATTCGATCTCGTCCGCGAGGAAGCAAGTCCGCGCCCGCAACCGCCTATTCTACACAATAGACTATATCCCTCGTGTGTCACACTTTGACCCGGATAGCAACTATCACAACTTTCGAGGGTTCTTCACCCTCTTCTGGATTGGCCTGGCCATCATGGTCGGTACCAGTATGCTGCGAAACCTCAAGGAAACCGGGTTCCCCCTGCGAGTGCGCGTCTGGAGCCTCTTGACGGCTAACGTGTGGATGATGGGCCTGAGCGATGCCGCCATGGTGATAAGTTCGGCACTAGTGTTGCCCATGCACCGGCTATGGCGGAGTGGCCCGCGGTGGCTGCAGTGGACACGAGGAGGGATCATACTACAGAGTCTAGCTGAAGCATTTTGGCTGGTATTATGGGTCAAGTAAGTTACTTCTCTATCTATCTGGCTGAGGAAGTATGAAACTAACCGGAAATCCCAGCTGGCCTTTCATGATGCAGTGGACCTGGACTGCCCAGGTGTTCTTTACACTGCACACACTGACCATTCTGATGAAGTTGCATTCATATGCATTTTATAATGGCCATCTCAGTGAGACCGAGCGACGTCTTGCTTCATTGGACAAGCCGGGCGAGAAGCCTTCCGACGCTGCGGCTGCAGCTGCAGTGCACTACCCGGAGGTTCATCGACGCCGACCATCAATGAAGCAGCATGACGACGATAAATCCTCGGCGCCATTGGATAAACTGCGGGAAGATCTTGCCACGGAGTTGACCTCTCCGTTGGGCAACATCTCATACCCGCAGAATCTCCACGTTGCAAACTACGTTGACTTCCTCTTCTGCCCGACCCTTTGTTACGAGCTGGAGTATCCACGCCGAGAAGAACGACGTTGGTCGGAGATTGGTTGGAAGACCATGGCTGTGTTTGGTTGTATCTTCCTACTTACCTTGGTCAGTGAGGAATACATCCTTCCAGTTCTAGTTGAGGCTAGCGCCCAGCTCCATCACTTCACCAGTGTTACAGACAAGGCTCTCGTACTTGCAGAGACCATCAGCATGCTTCTGTTCCCATTCATGATTACCTTCCTTCTTGTGTTCCTTGTCATCTTCGAATACGTGCTGGGTGCATTCGCAGAACTAACTAGGTTCGCCGATCGCCACTTCTACGCAGATTGGTGGAACTCATGTGACTGGTAAGTTGGAAACCTCAGCTTCTTACCGAATTGATTTATTGATTGTTCAATCTTCTAGGATGGAATTCTCTCGCGAGTGGAATGTCCCTGTCCACCACTTCCTCTTCCGTCACGTCTACTGGCCCTCGCGCTGCAATTTCTCCCAGCCTGTGGCTATGGTTATTACGTTCTTGGTCAGCTCTGTCTTCCATGAGCTGATAATGAGCTGCATTACCAAGAAGTTGCGTGGGTACGGGTTTTTGGCTATGATGCTTCAGCTTCCCATTGTAGCCATCCAGAAATCGCGCTATTTCCGTGGACGGACAATTCTCAATGTAAGATCTCCTGAGAATTTAGAGACTTGTGGATGTCACTGACTTCTTCCAGAATGCATTCTTTTGGTTTTCAATGATTTTGGGTCTTTCCATGGTAAGTTTTCTTTACCTGCAATCCTCAAGGCTCGGCATTGGAGGTATCGATATATTTTCTCTTGGCTAACATCGTCCCCTAGATGTGTGCATTATACGTCCTCGTCTAGATTGAGTTACTGCGCTCAGTTCGATCGGACGTAGGTTCCACCATATCCTCGGACTTGCAAAGGCCGAGAAACCCTGGAACAGGACTCGGCGACTTGCACCGATGATATGAATCTGGCACCCTGTACAATCCCTACTTCTGTACATACCTTCAGCTAGTTCCTGGTGTGCTCTTGATTTTTTTATCACATTTATGGATAATGACATATCAATTCTAATTTGATTGACAAGGTATTTGATCTTCGGCACACAGGCGCGGTTGCATCCCACACCTGGGTGCTTCTCCAACCTTGGAACCTTGGAGGTTCCAGAGCAGTCACCATAATTATCATCAAATGGCGTCCCACATGGGCATACCATCTACCCTGTCATTGATTGGGCAGCAAGTCTGCCGACAGACTGTTAAAGTATTACGAGTAAAGTATTCTGAGCATCCAAAGTACGAGTCGGGAATCGCTTCCGATTTGTGTTACCCTTATCTGCCTGTGTCCTTTGAAGTCTAAATTCGTTGTTTTACAATGAGCTTCGACTTTGAAACCCCGGAGTCTTTCCCGAATAATCAATATGTGGCTTATTGGAGCACTGCACGAGGGCCGAACCCTTGAACCCTCGCAATTCCACCTGGTGTTGGACCAAAAGCCTCAACATCGCACCCTGGTTACACGAGAGGACGATAAACTTAGAACTTACATGTATTGGGTTTGATATCACCTGTGATTTTTTTATGTACAACCTTGAACACTGCTGATAGGACCAAGCCATAAGCAGTGTGTTTCTAAAGTTTCAAACTTTGGAAGTTGAAGACTGTCATGGTCCAAGTACAAGTATCGACACAATATATTTTGCCCAGATAGTATATAAAGTTATATTTAGCCTTCTCCCCAGTTCCTTGAGCAACCTGAACCTAAACACATCCTACGACAACAGACAAAGGAAAGGCAAAACCAAGAAGAAGAAAAATAAATTGATAAAACTTTAGAATAAGGTCATGATCTTATCGTCACTCATCAGTTGGAATTCCCGCTATATACGGAGTAGTCCACGGGTATCTATTGGTAGCCCTGGAACAAAGATAAAAAATGGAAAAGAAAAGCAAAAGCACAAGCCTCAACGGATAGAACGAGTATCTTTGAAAAGTCAAAACGCCCCAGGTGCAGGAATGCAACACACCATAACCCCATGGATAGCGCCACGAGCACATCATATCCCGGTCCGAGCCTCCCAAGAATCAGTAAGCAGACATGGTGACACAATCCGCATTCGACCGAGTCCGCTAGATGCATATGCACTAGGCACGTGCAGCGTGCAGAAAACTGGAGCCGAGATCTAGTTTGTGCCAAGCAAATATTGGCTGCTCTATCGATAGGTACTTGGTGACTCCGGATGGACAAATGATGATATTGAGCTAGAGATGCAAAGTAGACAAATTGGAACGCCCCGGCCTCTGGTGAAAATTGTTGGGAAATATTGTTTAATAAAAAGGTTTAAAGGTGAAAGAAGAGAATGAAAGGGTATGCGTGAACTGTCGTAGATCATGTTTTCGTGGTTTTCGTGGTTTGCGTAGGGTTTCATCTGACAGATTGGCGTCTGTCTGGAGGGAATCGATAATCATCGTCGCCGTAAGTGCGTCTAGACGAATAAATATCATCGGGATAGGCCCGCGAGGATTTCATATCCTTCTCCTTGGGCCTGGAGATATAATGGACATCATAAGAGCGAGGAGTTCGCGAGGAGCGCTCCCGCTCTGAACGTGGTGAAGGCTCGTATGCTTGATACGTGCTGCTTCGTTTGGGGGTTGTGCGAGTCGTGGTTGGGCGTTCCCGCTCCGGAGATCGGGCTGAACGGTACTTTGAGGACTTTGGTTCAACAATGCGACATTCTGGTTCCTCAAGGATGCTGTAGCGTTGGGAAGTCTTGGGAGAGGTTCCTCGTGGGAGGTCTGGGGTGCTTGGACTGGAATAACCAGAGTCGGTGCGATCACGCATTTTGGAAGTGCGTGATGATGGCATTGGTTCATGCGCCATATCGTGGAGAGTCGAATCACGAGACTTGCGACTGTCACGGGTTTCTAGCTTGGTGCGCACGTAGCCAGTGGGTGTACTGGTGGTAGTATGGGAGCGAGTGAAGGGGAATGGACGTGGAGTCTTGATGCTTGGAGCGGTCGTGGCAGATGGCATCTTGGACGGTTTGACCTCGTAACCCCTGGGGGTACCCGTGCTCTCATATGAGTTGTTGCGCGATGAGGAACGAGGGGGTCGCCGTTCGGACCGTGAGCTGGAGGACTCTGGTTCCGTCGAGTCGTAACCACGGTAGGCACGTGGAGACTTGGAAGATCGACCCTTGGATGCGATGTAGTCCTCCGCATCGAAGGTTGTGGTCTCGATCTTATTTTTCAAGTCATCGTCCCCGTAGCGACGTTCACGGCGGCGTGAAAATTCTTGTCGGGATCGCGACTCTCGTTCGTCCCGGTCCCGGCGAGGAGTTGCACTTTGTCGCCTCTCATGCCTGCGGTATCCGCTGGAATCCGAGTCATCATCGGAATCGGCATAATTGGCCTCGAACTTGGCCTCGGTTTGTCGTCGCCGCTCTTGATCGCGCAATTTGGCGCGGTCGTAGTGTGTGGCTTTGGTAGTATCCCGTTTTTCCTTTGCCGCGCGGTCCGAGCTCAACGGAGTGCGAGGTTTTTTCTTCTCCTCCGCGGCCGTAGGCTTGGGCTTCGTACGGAAACTGAATTCTTCATTGGTCTTGCGGGACATTGGGCGGGGCTCCTCTGTGAATCGCATCGCCTCCTCAAAGTAGACATCCAGCGGGACCCTCTCCTCCACGATATGGCCATTGCGGAATTCGCGATTGTTGGCGCGCGGAGAATTGTATGGGTCCGTCCGTCTGGTCTCTGCTAGCTTGCGCTTGAGTTCGGCTATCTTGACCTTCTCGTCATATTTCTGTCTGCGAAGATCATCTGAGAGTAGTTCATAGGCTTGTTGAACTTTCTGGAATTCATCTTGGGCTGCATTCCGCTGTGAGACGTCCTGAATCTTGTCGGGATGACATTTGAGCACCCGCTTCCGATGAGCCGCCCTGATCTCGGTGGTTGTTGCATCATTGGCGACACCGAGTACGCCGTATGGGTCGATATCTGGTGTAGACATTGGATTGATAGATGTGAAGTGAAGTGAAAGAGAGAAGGAAGAGGGGAAGAGGCGGTGGGCGTATATGGGGGAATGTCAACAACCTGACGTTGACGTAGCCAAAATTCCACACCGATGCATCCAGAATGAACTGGAGACAATTATAAATGTATGGGAATTGTCGGATGTCGCCTTGGGGGGAAAATGAACGGACAATAAAAAAACAATCTCAAAATGAGAGACAAAAGCCAAATCCAGACGGGCACAATGAAGAACCAAATTGTTTAGGGGCAAAACTGCGCCACAATTTCTCTCAAAGGACGTATACCTTGGTAATGTACCTAGGTATAAAGAGTGATATGTAAGGTGGTAAGATGGTAAGGCGATGTCCGAGAATCAAGTGATAAATTGGTAAAGATGATATAACAATCGAATTTTACAGAAGGTACGGGATCTCGAGCAGCCCAACTCTTCTAATACACCAAACTCCCTAAACTCCCTTAATATCCCCGGCAAGGCACTCACCACACCGTATTAACTTGGGCCGTGCGCTTCATCCGATTTGTTGGTGCTCTCTACCAATCATTACCCCGAGTCCAGGTATTTGGCGATCAATTTAACACGAGCCTTGATCCCCTTGGGTAATGGCGGAGGCCCCCCCTCTCTTGTGGTCGTCATGCTCATCTTTTCCTTCTTCCTGTATCAGTCTCGATCTAGTAGTGCCGCGCTGCAGCTAGTGAATAGCCAACCCCCCCCCCCAACTTTCCAATCGCTATGGCAATTAGGCGTCTTTTGGGTCGCCTCATTTATTCGCCTTGCCCAAGATATTTGCGTATTCCAGAATGTGGGTCGTTCACCGTAAGTGTGTACAAGTTCTCGTAAGTACAGTATGTATCTTCGTACCTGGTTCCGTGGTCAGAGTACCCCGGTCCGCCCGGATTACCGTGGACACCTTATTTTCTTTCGATCTATATTTAGTTCGCATTTCTGCTCTCTCGATTTCTCTCTACTCTTTGATCTCAGATGAATTCTCTCTTACTTGACATTCTTATAACTCAGATGGGTATGCAGCTTGGCCTAGACAAGACTTGAGGAAGGTTCAGGCATTGATTCACACCCAACTGGTTGTCCCACACCGGACCCATTCTCCAACGTGTCTCTGAACACCCCACCCGAGACTATCTCTTTCTTCCTATACGTTGCGTTGGAACATGAGACCATCGCACTACCATGACTTCAGGAAGGGACGAGTATGAGCTTTTTCTGCTGGCCCGTGTCATCCGGATCCAGGCTGCGGTCCGCGCGGCGCAGAGAGATATGTACAGTGTTGCTCCATGGTATGCACCTGATGTGCGGCCCCGATCATGACAAGTCTATTCCAAGGTTGGAAAGCATGCAAATGCCGAGGCATTTTAGTACCCTGTCAGCATTACTCGTAGACTGGACCATTGATTTGCCAACATAACCAGTATCACTAAAGGTAGCATAATTGGCAATGCGAGGTCCGATGTCTTACGGCCCTCCGTAGCGAGAAAGATCGTTGTCGACAGGGATCCGTCCTGTCGCCCCCAGGATCTTGTGTCTCGGCTCTTATCCCCTCTGAAATTTGTCATTTGACTATCTGTGTGATAGTGATGGCCCAGGTGCACAACTCGAAGAACCCCCAGACAAACACCAGTCAACCGTCTTTCCAACCCGACTGCGCAAGCCGAATCCATAATCCTCCGATCCCATCAGCGCTGTTCTCAATGTCACACAAAGTCTCTTCATCCCCCTGTCAAAACACAGGGTTGTAACCTAATCCTCTTGAAGATTTATGCCCCTCTTCATTTTTTTTTTTTTTTTCGATTGTCACGCAACCCAGGACCGGGGTCGGTAAACTCGGGATTGGACACTGAATCTTGTTGACCGAGTGAGGAGTGACACCAAAGCTGTACTATGTAAGGCCAGAGGCTGGATTTAGCAAAGGGAATCGCAACCGCATGCATCCGAATTTTAGCTGAGGGGCGGGTTCGCTAGGGAAACAGAGTAAACGCAGAGCCCTGCAGGTTGCCTGCAATAATATGACGCTACTATTACATACTGCAATAATTGAAGTGTTATTGCAGAGGGCCAGACCACTCAGACCAGCCACTGAACGCCTTCTAGAATGGAGGGAGTAAGAAACTCACCCGCACATGTGTTTTCCACGAGCGTTTGTGTAAATAAAAAAATCCCTGAAGAAAGCCCAGCCCAGCACCCAAACACCCAAGGTGAATACATGATCAGCCTCGCATGGTCACATCGTCTGTCAGAGTGCGGGGGTCTATTGGCTGAAGGTGCTCCCCTCCACTCGCAGGTCGTTTCGAAGCGCTGGTCCTGGAACGTTTGAGTTTTAGGATCCTCGTTGCAGACTGCAGATGACCTGTGTACTTTTAGTGCCTGGACTAAAGGGAACTCTGATGTGATGTCACAGAACCTGTAGGTCGGCTTGGTACATTCTGTACGGAGTATACGGAGTATGCGGGGGCGGTTTAGCCGGCAGGGAGAATTAACAGTAATTACGACAATCAAAATCAAATCAAAAAATATGGAGAAATATGGATCATTCCTTGGGTTCGATGCAGATTAACTCAAATGCAGATCTACGGGGTTAACCAACAATGACCTACCAAGTATCCCTACAAGTCGTCAGGATGCTCGAGTTGCATTCCTTGGAGAAGGGCAACCAGTATGATGGGGTCGCCCACCACCCTCGACGACGCCCACCTGAGAGCGCTGGGAATAAATGATGTAAGCTCAATAATCTGACAGCACTAAGATCGTGCATCAAGTCCCTAGCCGACCAATGTTAAACTCCTCATGCACCGAGGCGCACATTTCCGGCGTTAACGGGAGGCCAAAGCCCCACAGGTCACTATACGTTCCGAATGGTAGGTCCCATCTGGCGTCAAGCCACTATGCAAGTCCAAAAGTTAAGAGATTGCCGTTTTGATCGGGTCGGCCAGGACTGAATACGCTTTGCGAAGTCTTGAATAATTAGACTTATTGGGAATCACCCGTTCGCGACCGCGTGGTCAGCCTACCACAGGAGCAGCTCACGTTGAACGAGAGCCGGCGCGCTCAGCCGTTTTACCCCGCTAGGTGTGGCCAGCTCGTTGCCACGATGGTGGAGCATGCGATGCAGGTTTCCTATCTGAGTGTTTGCGAGGCGTGATCGAAATGGCGGAGGGTACCCGCGCTCAGGGACGGGCGATCGGTTCGGCGAATTTCTAGATAAATTTTTGCTTCTGACTTTTCACTTACCAGTTATGGCAATGGAAATGCTGTGGGTCTGACCTCAGCTATGCTGATGGCATACTAGTTGGACTCGATCGCCCATGTCTATAATCGAGGCGTGGAAACTTTGTTCGGTTCGTTGCGTTTGCCAGACAAGTCGATCAGGCTGTGGTTGTGGTTTGCTGCCCTCGGATAGCAGCTTGCGAGTGACACGGTCAAATGAATCATTTTGGAATCACGATTCAAGTTTGTTTCTCCTGGTATAGCCGATGGCCAGCGAGCCCGTTCGTACCCTCGCCCCTCATGCACATCGCCGCAAATAGAACATGGCGGCCTGATGAGGCTCAGAGATGTGCGAAGCGCATCGCATCGAGCGATCTAACAGGAACTGCGCCAGCCCTGTTTTCGTTATCGAAGTGAGACTATGGTGGCGTATGCGGCACGGTGATATCAAGGTCAAGTGACTTTGAGCCCTGAAGCCCTGGAGCCCAGCAGCATCTTCTTCGACTCGTATCAGGGGTCGCAATATCTTTCAAACCCGTGGGTGCGGGAAACCAAAGGCGATTCAAGGTTCGTGTGTTGGGCTCGTCTGCTCGAGACAAACAGACCTAGGCAGATCAGGGCAGATCCGAGGCGACGTGAGCCGACTGACAGTTACTCCGTGATGAGTTTGATGCAATCCTGCAAATCTCCAAAGCATTGGCTATTAAAGCTGCGTTCATGTTCGAGTCATAATATCATAATGCTGGGTTCGCTGCGAGGACATGGATGTCTGTTCACCAAGTCCGAGATATTCCTTGGGCCGGTTTTGATTCAAGGGAATGGGAGGGTGCACATCTTTGCGAGGATGATAGCACAGCATTTATTGCCCAGGATCATACTGAGAATGAATCGGGCTCGTAGGAACCGAGTTGGGAGGCTGACCACCACCAGTGATCCTGATTTCGAATTCGGCCCTGCGTATCCAATCGACTGTCCGGGCACAGCGCTCTTGGACTTCCACTGTTGGGTAACTTGTCGACAGACATTCAGGTTTCCCCCTGCTCGGAGCTTGAGGCCTAACTTGGAGGGCGCGTAGCTGTTTGTATCGGAGAGGCGGACGAATACGTCTTTGGGCGCATGACTCGAGCCGTTGGCGACATTCTTTCAAACCATGCGAGTCAAAGCAACTTTGATTGCAATGCACAGTGCCCGTGCAGGTGGCGCAATCGAATAGTATGATGTGAACATGTCGAGTATCACGACTGTTTTTTTGTTTATAATTTCTGTTGTTTCCACCGAGAGGAACTTGATAGGCCGAGAGAAGAAGAGAGAGAGAAAAAAACAACACGCCCGCGAACCCTGGTAGCCCTCAAGTCCGCGGGTCTAGAATAAATTAGTCATCGGACCCAGTCTCCAGGGCTTCGATTCCAGATCTGATAATTGCAGACTTGGTTGAATTCAGGGCTACTACCAGCAAAAGCCATAGGTGTATCAGAAAGGAAATGTTTGGCAATGTAGGATCATTCCTAATTTCAAGTGCTAAACGCTAATAATTGTTACACCGACAAGGTCTGCCAACTTTTAGGGAGCCAAGTTGATCATCAACTACTTCTAGAACCATGCTCCGTATACTCCGTATAGTTGCCAGCCCTAAGCCACACAAGAGAGAATGCAAAAATAGCGCACAATGTCCGAATGATGGAATTGAATATTTGGCCACCAGGCAAGTATAGGAGTGGATCCACGTGAGTCACCTGACTCAGTTATGATTGGTCGATTTAGGGCATGGCTAGGGCTAGCTCTTACCGTTTGTTAGACAGCCTCGCTTAGCCCGGCCGGGAAAGTGCGACTCTGACTTTCGTTGTGAGCAGATCCGACGACATCCTACGACAATCCGCCAACTCCATCCCCGGGACATTAGATCGCCAACATGTCCTCTTTTGAATCAGTTGTCACGATCGACGGGAAGGGTCACGTAAGGATTGCCCTCATCTTGCCTGCACGTTCGCCTCTAATCAGTGATTCTACAGCTTCTCGGTCGTCTCGCCAGCACTGTCGCCAAGCAGCTGCTCAACGGTCAGAAGATCGTCGTTGTGAGATGTGAGGCCCTCAACATCTCCGGCGAGTTCTTCCGTGCGAAGCGTACGTTCAACCCATTCTCAAAATTTCTCCCACTTTGATATCAGGAACCGCGAACGGTGGAGGAACACAACGATCCATGAGGAACCCAGCGATTTCGAGACTGTTCGCGAGTTGGAGGAAATGCAACATGGGAATCATCAGAAGACTAACGTGAATTCCGCCGCACAGTCAAGTACCACGCCTACCTTCGCAAGATGACCCGTTTCAACCCCACCCGTGGTGGTCCCTTCCACTTCCGCGCTCCTTCCCGCATTCTCTACAAGGCCATCCGCGGTATGATTCCCCACAAGACCGCCCGTGGTGCCGCCGCTATGGAGCGCCTTAAGGTCTTCGAGGGTGTCCCCCCTCCCTACGACAAGAAGAAGCGCGTTGTCGTTCCCCAGGCCCTCCGTGTCCTGCGTCTGCGCCCCGGCCGCAAGTACTGCACCGTTGGCCGTCTCAGCCACGAGGTTGGCTGGAAGTACCAGGATGTTGTCTCCCGGTATGTGAAGTGTCCCAGATTGCGTACCGTGATCTTCCCCATGATAATCTCTAACCGTTTATTTCTACAGTCTCGAGGAGCGCCGAAAGGTCAAGAGCAAGGCTTACTACGAGCGCAAGAAGGCCGCTCGCCGCAACCTTGCCAAGGCGGAGCAGGGAGCGAACGTGGACAGCAAGACCAAGACCCAGCTTGCTCAGTATGGATACTAGATACCTTTAGCGCGGCTGGATGTTGTGTCGAGCGATGGTTCTGGGATGGGATCGCGGACGGTTTTCTTTCAGCGAATTTGAACGGCAAGCCGACCGACCTTGTTCTGCGGCCCGGTCCCCTACCTCATGAATACCACTTGTTTGTGACGCACATGGATCGGGGACTGGGGTCTTCGGGATTTTCAAAAGTCGAAAAAAAACGGAGTCGTTTGGGATTAAAGGTTCAAAATTAGCTGGCCGTTGACTCGCGCCGTGGCGGTTTAATCCAAAGAAACAATTTTCAAGAGTTCAACATGATTCTTATGATTAAAAAATACTCTAACCTATCTTTTCTCACTATCTCAGTGTTCCAGCTCCAATGTGTAGTGTCACTAAATTGCGTACCTAGGTAGCTACATCACTCCACCTCTGCATGCCCAATTGCCATCTCAACCTTGGACTTCAGGAAAGCCCGTACCCCCCACCTCCCTCAGGTAGGCGTAGTACCACCATATCTACTTGAGCAATTAAGGACAAGTCATCTTCAAGGCTTTGCCTTGATGTCCAGGTGTATCTAAATGTGTCCCTGGAGCCCCTAGACTTCAGGATCACTCGCCTAAATCTAATATGAATAAGCTCACCTAGGCAATATGTCTTAACCCACTAGTATATATATATTTACCTTGGTCTCTGCTACAAAAACATTTCTCCTTTAGCCATAGAGGTCTGTTTGCAATTTTGGGGCTGACCACTGTGCGGTCTGGGGATACCACAAGTAAGGACTTCAGGTCGACACCTAGTCCCCACAAGTTAGATCAGACCAATCCGTTCAGATGACGAACGGATGCAAAAATGAGAACTTGTCCCCTTAACCCGACCCCAGCTTAGTTCCCGAACCCCCGCTTCCGATCCGCTGGATTGTATAGCCTAGGTTAACCGCATTAGTAACGAAACTTCTAAAGTTCATCCCCGCATTTCTCCAACTTGGGGGAATTCAGCTCTGTACATCTCTGTACATTACTGCACCTCTCTGTACATCTCCCCTTACATCTCCAGATCTCCGCTGTATGACAGCCTGTGCTTCCAATCTCTGTGCAACATGTCTAGTGTGAAATCCCGACTCTCAGGCCTCCTGGGTCACTTCAATGGAGCCCCTTCTCCCACCTTTGAGCACCGAATCAATAACCATACGTTGTCGCCGACCTTCTTTCTCCCCCGTGCCGCGGCAATTGAGCCCAATGTGAGCTTGCCATTGACTGGTTGGAATTTATCAGCGTCTGACGAGGATTACACAGGCCGAGGCCATTTACCATGTAACCGCCAACAACAAGATCCTGCGTCGGACTTATGGTGAAGCTGCAGACAGAGCCAGAGGCCTGGCATACTATCTCAAGAAGCATGGATACAGCCGAGTCGGTATTCTTTGCCCTAACACCCCGGCATTCCTCGAGTCAATCTTTGGAATTGCCGCAGCGGGTGCTGTCAACGTTGGTATGAAATTACATGTATCGAAAGGGTGGGCACGACGAATCCATCTAACATCCTTTCAGCCGTCAATTACCGCCTCAAGCAGGAAGACATTGCCTACATTTTTGATCACGGCGATGCACAGGTCCTCATTGTTGATGAGGAATTCCTCCCGCTCTTGGAGAACTATCGGTCCCAATACCCCCATATCCCTATCATTGTAGATACTGATACCGATGCAACCGAGGGTGAACTGACCGGTCCCTTTGATGACGCTATCCTGGAGGGCCTGAGACACGACTTGGACACTGGCTCTCATGGCTGGGAAGGCCTGGAGACGCAGGCAGCCGACGAGGAGTCAACACTTGCGCTGGCTTACACCAGTGGCACAACAGCTCGACCCAAGGGTGTCGAATTCAGCCATCGCGGTTCTTATCTCGCGACACTGGGAAACATCATTGAATCTGGCCTCAATTACCACAATGGACGTGCTCGCTATCTTTGGACACTGCCAATGTTCCATGCCATGGGTTCGTCTATAAGAGACTTTCAAGTGCAGGAGATTGAAGCTGACACTCATGTATTCAGGATGGACATTCCCATGGGCAGTGACAGCAGTTCGTGGCACACATTATTGCTTGCGCAAGATAGACTATCCTGAGATTTGGAGGCTATTGAAAGAAGAGCGCGTCACCCACTTCAACGCCGCACCTACTGTCAATACACTACTATGCAACGCCAAGGAGGCAGAGAAGCTGCCTGAGCCTGTGCGTGTCACAGTGGCAGCGAGCCCTCCTACTCCTCATCTTTTTGAACAAATGACCGACTTAAATTTGCATCCTGTACATGTTTACGGCATGACCGAGACTTATGGTCCGATCACCAAAGGTTACCAACTACCCGAGTGGGACCTCATTGAACTGAAAGAGAAGTACAAGAAAATGGCCCGCCAAGGCCATGGTTTCATCACAAGTCTCCCTGCGCGGGTCATCAAGACCGAAGTCCCCGAGGGGACCATCACCGATGTTAGCAAGAATGGACAGGAGATCGGAGAGATTGTCTTTATCGGAAATATCTGTGCTCGGGGTTACTACAAAGACCCCGAAGCAACGCGAAAACTTTTCGCTGGAGGTGTTCTACACTCGGGGGATCTCGCCGTTTGGCACCCGGATGGCGCGATTCAAATTCTTGACCGTGCTAAAGATATCATCATCAGCGGTATGTTTTTTTTTTTTTTTTTTTTCTTCGAGAGTCCCCCGACACACAGGATTCACTAACGTCAAATAGGTGGTGAGAACATATCCTCCGTGGCCCTGGAGTCAATGCTAGTCACACATCCCGGTATTTTGGAAGCCGGAGTTGTCTCTGTTCCCGATTCTCACTGGGGCGAACGGCCCAAAGCCTTCATTACTGTCAAGCAAGGCATCAGCCTCGAAGGCTCTGAGGTGATCACCTGGGCTCGTAATGTCAGCGGAATCAGTAAGTTCATGATCCCTCGCGAGGTGGAAGTGGTGAGCGAGCTTCCCAAGACCAGTACTGGTAAGATTCGGAAGAATATCCTCCGTGACTGGGTGAAGGGCCGGACGGAAGGTTAGAGCATTTCAAGACCCAGACAGTAGAAGATTAGATCTTCCAATGTACAAAGAAATTCTGGAAGGATACAGGCAACTTCCCTGCATTCCAATGAGGTCAGATGTTCATGTATTTCGGTGAAATGTAGATCGATTGCAGATCAAGCACGAGGGCATGTCATATGAAGGCACCGGGAGTGACGAGCAGTACTTTGTACCTTTTTTTCACTTGCTTATTACATCGTAAAACTTCCAAATAAGTCATCGAGTCAAGTGTTGGACATTTGAGTGATCAGAGCCCGACTACGTGCATCTTATCAGGCGATAAGGACGTTGCTTGGCACGGACTCCGCGCCATTGTGAAACCCGGGCCCCATTGCCTCCCCCTCCATTGCCGCCTGTATCCCTTCACATCTTGCTGCATTGACTCTTTCGTCGTTTGCATTTGATCCAAGGGGTGCTAGAGGAGATCTAGATCGCTCAACCTCACTTTGAGTTTGATCCATTTCTTACTCCCTTCCATCTACGCGCCGAGATTCCCATGCTTACACCCTCAACTGCGTGCATCGTACTGCAAACACCGCAGACCATATCCATCTACCCGTACACCTCGACTCACAGTCTTGGGGAATTTAACTGAGATCAGACAGCCTTGGTGGACTGGACTTGCATGAATCAGCCCCTCACATGCACCTTCCACCCATGCATGTTCCTCTCAAGTAACGAGACTCCAACAGTTTAACGAACAGAACCGCCTCCAGAACCGGTCTACCACAATCGAATCATCATCGGCGCCTAACATGCCTCGCCCACGAGAAGCCGGTCGGCATCCCAGCGCAGCCCCTTCCGAAACCTCTGGATCGACGTCACCGGAACGTGCCGCAGACGATGACACCGATTTCTTCATGGCCCAGGGCAACGATTCGCAATCATCCATAGGTGTTGCTAATTTCCGTGACTCCCACCCACAAAATGTGCGATCCGCGCCACTGCCGCCCATCGGCCGCCTACCACCTGAGATACTGATTGCGATCTTCTCGAAACTGGTCTCGCCCGTGGATATGCGGAACTGCATGCTGGTGTGTCGTGGATGGGCCTCGAACTCCGTGGGGATACTGTGGCATCGACCATCTTGCAACAGCTGGAGCAACCTAGGGAGGGTGACGACATCGCTCGGGGAGCCGAACAGCCTCTTCAACTATGCCGATCTCATCAAGAGACTGAACCTGTCTGCCTTGTCCAACCAGGTCAATGATGGCACGATTGTTCCTTTCAACCAGTGCAAACGCATCGAACGCTTGACACTGACAGGCTGCAAGCAGCTTACAGATAAGGGCGTCTCGGACTTGGTAGAGGGCAACCGACACCTACAGGCACTGGATGTTTCGGAAATCAAATATCTCACAGATCACACCCTCGAAACCGTGTCGAGGGACTGCCCTCGCTTACAAGGTCTCAACATCACGAACTGCGTAGCCATCACAGACGATGCCCTGCTCGAGGTGTCGCAAAAATGCCGTCAAATCAAGAGGGTATGGAAACCATGGAAACTATGCTTTGAATAATACTCAATGCTAACCGATGACTAGCTGAAACTCAACGGAGTGTGGAGTGCCAGGGACCAATCCATTCTATCTTTCGCAGAAAACTGTCCTTCTATCCTAGAAATCGACTTGCACAATTGCAATATGGTCACCAGCAAATCGGTGACTGCCTTGCTCACGACACTCCGACATCTTCGAGAATTGCGTCTCGCACACTGCACTCAGATCGACGACTCTGCATTCATGTCACTACCACCAACTATGACGTTTGATAGCCTCCGCATACTCGATCTCACGGCCTGTGAAAATGTGAGGGATGAGTCAGTGGAAAAAATCGTGCAGGCGGCTCCTCGTTTACGGAATCTCGTACTGGCCAAGTGTCGGTTCATCACCGATCGTTCCGTGATGGCTATCTGTCGACTCGGAAAGAATCTCCACTATGTTCACCTGGGTCACTGCTCCAACATCTCAGACGTCGCTGTTATCGCGCTGGTCAAGTCCTGCAACCGAATTCGGTACATTGATCTGGCCTGTTGCAACCGTTTGACCGACCATAGCGTGCAGCAATTGGCAACCTTGCCTAAACTGCGACGAATTGGGTTGGTCAAATGCCAGGCCATCACTGATCAAAGCATACTGGCACTGGCAAGACCCAGGGCATCAGCTCACCACCACCACTCTGGCTGTCACAGCAACAGTAGCAGTAGCCTGGAAAGAGTCCATTTAAGCTACTGCGTCCAGCTCAAAATGGATGTATGTATTACCCGATCAATGAGTCTGGAGAGTGTAAATGCTAACATCTTCTTCCACCAGGGTATTCATGCTTTGTTGAACCACTGCCCCCGTTTAACCCATTTAAGTTTGACAGGCGTTCAAGAGTTCTTGCACGAAAGTCTGACTACGTTCTGCCGAGAAGCTCCACCAGAGTTTACCCAACAACAGCGAGACGTCTTCTGCGTTTTCAGCGGCGATGGTGTCACCCGACTCCGTGAGTACTTGAACAAAAACAAAGCTTCTTACCCCGAAGAAACAGAAGCCACGATGTATGACGACGACGAGGAACTGGACGGAGATGGAGACGGAGACGAAGGTCGGATGGCTGGGATGATGAACGCGGCTGTCATCAACGACGACGATGACGAATTTCTCGACGTTTCGACCTTGAACACTTGATACGATACCCCCTTTCCTAGTTGAAAATGAGCCGAGGGCCGGTTGTTTCTTTTAATTTCTTTAATTTCTGCTATCCTCCGGATCCAGGCAGTCATCTCTATTCATATGAGCGAAGATCATCTTTTATGTGGAAATTGCATTAGTTCACCAGCGGTTACTGTCTTGATATCTTGCGAAATGCATAGAATACAAGCATCCCTATTACCACCCCGGCGTTTCCTACAGTAAGACATTGCTTTCATGTAGACCGACCGATGTGTTAGCATACTGTGATATGTCTTAAATGTCTGGAAACAGCAACTAGATGGTTCCAGGATAGAGAGGCCACTAGGAAAACACATATTAAGCAACAAGATCGTATAAATTATCGTAGTATCGACTTATGTGTGGAATACATCGGTGGACCTTGAAAAGTCGCATGCACAGTGTAGCATTGTGGATCTGCGCATGTGAAGTTGCTTCTTCCCCCGCATTTGCTGATTTTCGACTCCAACACCACCTCCAGCCCCAACCACCACAGGGCCATGGCTTCCCATAAAGCCAAGAACCCCCTCGGGTTTACACCGTGGCCGGTGACAATCATCACGACAGCCGTGTACCTTGCCTTGATCATCCCTTTGCTGGTGATACATCACAACGTCCCATCCGCGCCTCAGACGACCCCGAACGGCCTCAACCTCACAGAAGCTTGGCAAGACCTTCAAAGCCTCACTAAAGGATTCCATCCCTATAATTCGCACCAGAACGATGAGGTCCGCTCATGGCTGCTCGAGCGTATCGACGCGATCCAACAATCCACCCCGTCCGCCGATGCCTTCCATGACGCACAAGAGGAAAAGCCAGACGTTTTCGTTTTCGACGACTTGGTTTCGAATCTGACATTCGTCGATAAAACCGTCGGTGTTTATTTCGAAGGGACCAACATCCTGGTTTACATCCGCGGTTCGGACGATAAGAAAGCCCACTGGTGGGACACTCCCGGCCGGTTCCCCGTCGGCAAAGGCGGTGTTCTGGTCAACGCACACTATGACAGCGTCTCGACCGGCTACGGCGCTACCGACGACGGAGTTGGTGTGGTGACTTGTCTGCAGCTGGTCAAATACTTCCTGACGCCTGGCCACGCACCCCGACGCGGGCTGGTTGTTCTCTTCAACAATGGCGAAGAAGATTATTTGAATGGCGCGCGCGCATACAGTCAGCACCCGATGGCGAAATTTGCCCACACTTTCTTGAACCTGGAGGGCGCCGGTGCCGGTGGGCGCGCTACCTTGTTCCGCAGCACTGACACGGAGGTTACCCAGGCATACGCGAAGTCGCCGTACCCGTTCGGCTCCGTGCTGAGCTCGAATGGGTTTGACAAGGGTTTGGTCAGCAGTCAGACGGACTATGTTGTTCTCGATGGTATTTTGGGCTTGCGTGGATTGGATGTTGCTTTCTTCGAACCCAGAGCTCGCTACCATACCGATCAGGATGATGCCCGGCATACGAGCTTGGATTCGCTTTGGCATATGCTCTCCGCTGCTGTCGCGACTACAGAGGAGCTTGTTTCTGATAACACCGATCGATTCGATGGGCATCTTCGAGATGATAGAACCGTACCTAGTGGCTCGGGGACTCGGGCTGTGTGGTTCGATCTTTTTGGAAGTGCTTTTGCCGTTTTCCGTCTGCATACGCTCTTTGCCTTGTCGGTCACTCTGCTGATAGTGGCGCCCTTGACCTTACTCGTCACCAGTGTGATACTGTCCAAGGCTGACAAGATGTATCTGTTCCGCTCCTCGGTATATTCTGAGATTGGCGAGGAGTACATCTCACTGCGTGGTCTGCGAGGATTCTTCCGCTTTCCATTTTTGATTGCGATCCCCACGTCGGTAACAATCGGATTGGCCTACCTGGTCACGAAGGTTAACCCCTTGATCGCGCATAGCAGCTCATATGCTGTCTGGAGCATGATGATCTCCGCATGGTTCTTCCTGGCTTGGTTTGTATCCCGCGTCGCTGATTTTGCGCGTCCATCGGCTTTCCACCGAGTGTATACCTGGACCTGGTTGTTTGTTCTGACTTGGTCTTTCATGGTTATTGCCACAGTCTACGAGAACGAGGAGGGTCTGGCTGGTGGGTATTTTATGTTGTTCTACTTTGCCGGCACTTTCCTGGCCACTTGGATCTCATACCTAGAGCTCTTCTCTTTACCCTCAAAAACTAGCTACGCTAGCCAGTTCGGCGACTCAAGGCGACCTAGTACTCAAGCCAGCCGCCTAGCCGCGTCTGGTGACGAGCATCACGAAGATGACGCAGAAGAGGACCCAACCGAGTCCACCTCGCTGTTGCATGGTCCAAACCGGCCCACTTTTGCAAATTATGTTCGTGTCGGTGGAGATCACCTGTCCCATGGACCAGACGGGGAAGAAGAAGAAGAGGAGAAAGACCCCAACGTGTATGAACATGAACAGTCATGGAGTGGGGCAATTCCACGGTGGACGTGGATATTACAGCTACTATTAACAGCCCCTGTTATCCTGATGTTGATTGTGCCTCTTGGCCTCATAATTACCGGCGCTCTCAACCAGACAGGCCAGGATGGCAGCCCCCAGCTCATTGTCTATCTCATGACTGCCGGCCTCACCACACTGCTGTTTGCGCCCACGTTGCCCTTCATCCACCGCTACACATACCACCTACCTGTTTTCTTGCTCCTAGTCTGCATCGGCACCATGATTTACAACCTCACCGCTTTCCCATTCGCAGACTCTAACCGCCTCAAGCTGTTCTTTTTGCAGGAGGTAGATCTTGACAATGGGATTTCCACTGCTTCATTGACTGGCATGCCTCCATTTGTACAGGATGTTGTATATGGCCTCCCCACGGCAGCAGGACAAGAGGAGACTTGCAGCTGGGTCAGAAAAAGCAAGAACGAGATCCAGCGCTGCTCCTGGAATGCACCACTGCCTCGTGTTACTCCTAACGCCGACACACTATCTCTTGACAGCAACAATACCGAGGCTTTGGTCCAAGCCACCGAACTTTCGTCTGATTGGATAACGTTCGGTATCACTAACCCGGAGCCAGGAACCCCTTCGGCCCGGTTCGAACTATCAGGTCAAAACACCAAGGCCTGTCGCATCGACGTTGACAACCACAGCATCAACAACTTTAGCGTTTCCGGATCCTCTGCTCCAGATGACCGCTTCATTGACCCATCTCCAGAAGGCTTGAAACAAATCCGACTCTGGAGTCGCACTTGGGATAACAGCTGGACTGTGGATATTGACTTCGCCAAGCATGATTCGTCCGACGCGGATGAGGCCGGGACTACCAGCGACTCTATCACAGGGCGTATCACTTGCCTGTGGAGCGACAACAACCAAATTGGTCTCATACCGGCTCTTGACGAGGTGAAACAATTCAGCCCAGCGTGGGTAGCTGTGACAAAGTTCTCGGATGGCTTGATCGAGGGATCGAGGAAGTTCGAGATCAATCGGTCTGACTTTGGGCTCTGATCTTGACCAGCGGAAAAAATTACCATGTTCTTGTTTATTGTACGATTTAGCTCTTAGCTTATCATCTTCCAGGGTTTCGGAATGTATGTGTCACTTCGCTCGATGATGTTTTTAATTTTCGCCCAGGGTTAGACCGAATGCATTTGCTTGCAGGGCACCTCGATGTATGGACTACGGCAGTATGCAGGTGTTACCTTTGAGTTCTGTCCACATTACTTCGTAGACTTCACCTGCATACTGCCATTGTATGGACTATCAGTGATAGGATATCAATTGTGATTCCGCCTCACACCTCTCCATGATGATTGGATTGGAACATATTGCTTGATTGAGATAATTGTTCAAATTGGAATGAACAATTGCTAGTACAGATGTGCAGTTCCGACAAACTATGGAACACTGGCTAGGATACATACGTACAAAATGCATTGCTTCATCGTGACCTGGGGTAACATAGAATGGGCTGGTGAGCCTGCTGGCTGGTAATGGCAATCCGAGGAAATTAGAGGGGAATGCCACACTTCCCAAGCTCCCGGAGAGGACTCGAACTGTCACAAGAAGATTGTTTCTTGATACGTGCTCATGAAGCCGTTACTCACATCCGAGACGCTTCATGTCCCGTAGGGCTTGAGTGATCTCGACGCGGAGGTCATCTTCATCTCTGATTAAAGCTTGAAGGTTGTGCTGTGTCACACAAGGAACTTTCAACTCCCAAAGGAGCTTGACGGCGGTGTCATTTCCCATCGTTTGAAGCTCGACAACATCAGGCGTGTTTACATATTCAACGCCTGAAATCTTGAAATCTGCGAAGTATAGATTGCAAGATGGCCTTTGCGGCCCCGAGCCAGACAGTCTGACCACTGATAGATATGTGAGTTCAGATCTTAGCTGATATAGCTTGAACTTACTTTAGAGTCATCACTGATCTTCACGAACGTCCATGTTTCCCCGGTTGTTACTGTAGAAGCGTCATGCAGGAGAAGATGATGATCATATTGGGTCTCCCTAACTAGCTAATAATGGGAGGTCGGGGCATATGAAAGTAAAAAATAAAAGACAAGAAAAGAAAACCAACCCTCAGGCTTCGTCGCCTTTGGGTAGATCAGGTAAACGTCTCCCTCCGATGGTTTCCATTCCCTTTCGATTCGTGTTCGTTGTTTTGTCTCAGTCAGACTCCTTTTTTTGAGAGGGCTCGACTATCTGGGGTTCTTGGCCGGATGTTTGGGGTGCCTGTTCGGACTCCTCGGGTAATGTTGCTAGCGCGCGCATTCGATCGAATAAGTTTGTAACGATTGCATCAGACGTTTTGAATCGCTGACGTTGTTCTAGCGACGTCTGGTAATCCTTTTCAATCGTCCCGAGACGCATGTGGGCTTTGAGGATCGCCTGTGCGTCGGGTGTATTGAGGGTCTTTCTTTTTGCGCGGACCTCGTCGGACAGGGCTGCTAATCGCTGAATTTGCTGGCATTCTAGCACTTCCTCGGGTTCCATGAACTGAAGCAGGTTTGCGGCCAGTCTCCCACATTCATCTGCGGTGGTTCTTTCCCCCTCAGGGGTAGTGAGGTCGTCAAAGCAGGCCATATACTGCGGAGTTTCGTTTTCCTTCCGATTTCCGCAGTCGATGAATAGAGCCTTAAAAATTTAGTTATTTGGAAAAAAGAAAGAGGATATTGTAGCTAGTGTAATACATACCCACATAAGCCAGTAATTGAGCAATAGGATCAGTTGATCCAACCGGTCTCTTTGCCTCAATGATTATGATATTGAGACTTCGCCTTCCTCGCTCACAACGAATGCACCAGAGTCACCCGTCTCAACAAACGGATAGAGAACATCAGTGAACACAAACTCTTCCGTATAGAGATAGTCCATCTTACGCTGGCCTCTCGCTTGGTGGACTGCTGGCCCGTTGGCTTTGCAACCGGCTCGAAGGCTCGTGGGACTACCGGTCGAATGCGTGGGCGGATTGGAAGCCGCTTGGGCAGCTTTGAGTGGTCCATTGCTTTGGTCCTCGGCGTAAGAGAAGATAAGACGTGAAGACGAACCGGTCGCCTTTTCTATTAAGGCGAGCGCGTTATCGCAATGGGCTCCCAGGCAGCCCCGAATTCCTGGCCAATCGCCTGCTGAAAGCGCCCTTGTAGGCCGTACTCATCGCCGACGTGGACAATCTCTCGCTCTGTTGTGTGCGGCCCATGATCATGGCGATACAATATCGCCCGTCGTGCGATATTGTTGGTGATGTGGGTAGACTTAACATTCTAGAGAAAGTTGGTCCATGGATTGGGTCTTAGGGTAAGACTGTGCAAGCCAAAGTCAAGTCTGAGGTTCTTTGTCGCTGATTTCTTCAATGACGAAGCCCATCCATGATGCTTGGTATAAGAATATACCCAAAGGATTGATGTAAAAGACAGTCATGGGTATCTCTGAGACCCAAGAGGTTTATGGCGGAGCATCGAAGGGCAAGAGCGAGGGCAGGGAAGGAGCTGGAAAGTGGAAAGATCCATTTATTTACACTCAGCCTAATGTAAAACTTGCTGCTTTTGAAATATTACTTAAGTAGTAACTCGGAATCATGTCTAACATCTTACATGACCAAACTTCTCGAAGGCAAACATGTGCAAGATTCACTTTGTGATATGAAACTGATTTACCCTAAGCAATGAAGTGACTGTATTACCAGCCTTTTCGTATTGACTGTTTCATCAAATCAATGACCATGGGAGCAGATCCCAAATGTCTCTGCATAGTGTGAATGATCAATGTCGATTCACCGGTAGACCTCGTTCCTGTTAACAGCCAAGAAAGTAAGGGACCACAGTTGTCTAATATTAGATTCTATAAGAACACAAAGTCAGTTAAGCCAGGGCATCAAGAGGAAAGGCCTGCCACAGCAGATAACTTACCAGTTTGACCTCCAACCCCGGGTGGCGCAGGCAGTACCCCCAAGGGTGTAGTGACAAATTTCCCATCACGATATACCCAAGACCAGACTTCGCCCGAAAGTTGATCCGCGTTAGCCTCAATAGAATCCCATAGAGTATTATATGCCTCCTTGACATTATCATAGACATAATCATCGGTACAAAAGGCCGGGACTGGTTGGATATGAGCTCCTTGATGACCTCTGATCCGAGAAGTAATGGAGAAGTTAGACTCGACCTCACATCTGTCAAGTTGTCGTTCTAATCCTTTAGCCATCATAGCAAGCTGCCAAGACCAAATGACAGTTCCATGATAGGCGCCTGTGGTAAAGTTCTTTGCATAGATGGGATCCTCGCCAAATGCAGGATTGGCAACGATCATTCCAGCATCTGTCATCAAACCAGCTGGGAAAGTGCGTTTGATGTTATTGGCAGATTGGTTCAAGAATGGAGTGAGTTGGGCGTCAGTTGTGGTGTTCAGAAGGAAATGGCGGAAGCAGTCATCTGTGTTCATGACTTCCACTTTCGACAGATTGTTGCCGCCTTCTAGAGCCACTGCATGGAAGTGAACATCATCGTCTATGCTTGATGCTTGATCAGGGCCGGGGAAAGAGGCGTTGGCAAAGCTCTTCACGAGGGAATGGGCCTTTTCCTTGGGAATTTCGACAGCGAAGAAGGAAAGTGTTGAGTCTTCCCATACTTTAGCATATTTGTCGGCCAGGGTGGACCAGTGTCGCTGCTTAGTGTAGAGACCTGATCTAGCAAGAGTGCCAATTGCACGCAGGGCAGCAGGGACGAGAGCTGTGTTCACATCGTAGGGGATTCGACCGCCGCCAAGACCTAGTGTTTGTTAGGTTTCAGAAGTAGTGCAATGGTTGTTGGGTGATGGTGTTTGTACCGTATGTGCTATCCCGCCACTCTCCAACTACCTCGCCCTCATTAAGGCGAATGAGATTAGCCCTTGTCTGATTGAGGAAGAAGGGACGAGCAAGACGCATCACTCTCTCCGAGCTGATCAAGGCAAGGTCGCCCCATGTCAGGTTTGCATTTGCGGGATTGATGGATCCTGCAGTGGTACTGTGGTAATTGGGTAAGAAGACTGATATGATACAAGCAATGAATGAAACTCACTTGAGGAAGGCAGATGATCTATTCTTCCCAGCTGGATTCTGTACCAGGTAACGCTCCATCAAAACCGGGAGGAAGTAATCCGTGTCAACCTAGGTTCAGAAACCCATTAGAATTGCGAGAATATCGATGTCGAACGTGTACCAACCATCTTATAATCACAACCCATCGCGGTGCTGTTGATATTCTTCTGTGCATTTATCCATGTTGCATAGTCCCTTTGATACCTCGATATGAGCATTGGTTTAACCCAAGTGATGGAATCAGAAGCACTTACCCGATAGTCTCCTCATGGCAAACAGTCCCATCTGTTCTGTTGACGCGCTCTAGAACAGCACCAATAACAGCCTCCATAGCACTTCCCTTGCCATCGCTCAAGACAGGCTCAAGCAATAGTGCTGAAATCATGGAGTCTCGACCAAAGTAAGTAAAGAAGCGCCATGCACCAGCCATAACCTTTTCCGAGTAGGAAAGGAATGACAGCGCTGCAGTCTGAGCAGGCTTTTCCGTTGTCAGGTTCGCGGAAGCTGCGTTGAGCACAGACTTAGGCTCGAGTGCCGTCAATTGGGGATAGTTAATATCCGCCGAGAGGATGTAATCTCCCGCTTCGAAGGTGATGGTTTTGTTCGCTAGCTTGACTTGGCCATTGTTTTTCGAAGATGAGTTACCAAAAGGTTTAAATTTCAAGTTTGTCGTCGTGACATTATCCAGCCATGTTCTTTGCAGCGACACGCCTGTATTATCAGAGGTGAACCTGAGAGTGTCCTGGAACTCCGGGTGTAGAAGGCTAGGTCCTTCGACAAAGTCTCGGATAGTACGTATACTTCCCAAGATGGAGAGGTTGAGAGTTGCAGTGGTGTTCAAGCGAAGAACACCCTGAATACCAACACTGGGATATTTGCTTGGTGACTTTGGAGCGGAGTATACCGGGCCCAGAGGAGTGCCGATGGTTGAATTGACCAGCTCTATAGCGAGTGTGCCATTAGCACTACTATGCGGCTCAAAGAACATGCATGCACCGCTATCGCCGGCTGGCCAAGCAACGATTAGTCGCGGACCGATGATCGAAAGGTCGCTGTCGGGCTGCGGAGTGGTTACCACTGCCTGAGCAGCGACATTGCAATCGGAGTAGAAATAATTGTGGTACGGAAGATCTGTCAGTGACAGAGTCGAAGCTGGACTGGTGCATTTAGGTGCAGCTTTGGTCCGAGGATGCTATATGAGAATTAGTAGGAGTAATTGGAAACATGAAGGTGCGCCACTAACAACATCACTCGCAGCTACACCAAGGCTTGCCAGCAGACTCAACTGTGTGATGATTCTCATAGTGTGAGTGCACTCTGTTTCGAAATATGCAAAGATAAGATCGAGGGCAGGAGCAGCCTTTTTAAACACGAGGTGACATATATGGACCTTCCTGAATCGTTCCAATACGTGAAGTCTATCTGTACCACTGACAGCTTCCCCACGGGGGATGTGGAGAAGGATATGACAGGGTTCCGATATTTCTCCGCGAGTGCCGATCCCACATACTCCATATGGAGAGGTGCGTGCAACCAAAATAATTGGGTTATATTCAATGACTAGATCCCAAAGGCGATGACCGGTGGGGCTTGATCTATATACAGGGGCATAATGCATAGCGATGTTGCATTCGGCATTGCACGGCGACGGGTCGCCTATTTGTGGATTCTTCTCGGATTGTTTGTTGGCTCGTTGGCACAACATCGGTCGGAGAATCTTCGACGTGGAGTCAAAGAGCCAAGCGTAAGCCCCGAAATTTCACCGCAGAAGATATATCTTCAGGTTGTCGGGGGAGTCGGTTTGACAATGGTCGGGGTGTGACCAAAAAAGGTAAAGTGGGCATATCAAGAATCTCATCAATGCTCATATATCGTAAAACATGATTCATAAACAGAATCGGAAGGTTATTGATACTACCGGATGCATGCTCAGCCCGGTTCCTCGGGGTTGCGAGGCCGACTCGTATGGCGCTGGGTTCCGCTGAAAGGGTTGGTGAAATCGATTGGGAGGTGATCGATATGATAAGCACGACCTTCATTGCTCCAGGATCCGGAGAGGTCTGAGTTTGTGCGTCCATGTTCGGGAGGTCGGTGTTCGAACATGGCAATAGAGATATCGTCGGGGTCCATCCAGGACGGACCGCGTTGACTTGGGGGCGGAGCGGCATGGGTCATGTCGGAGGTGACTCTTGTTGCATCGACAAAGTCCGGGAGATCGTTGGGGGCGGAGAAGGATTCGGGTTTCCAGACGTGATTCTGGACTAGGAGGATGAGTTTGCCAAGGACGGCAAATTCGAGTTTCAGCTTGATGCTATACACAGCACCTTTGAGCATGGTTTCCATGATATAGAAATTCAGATACTCTGCGACGAGTAGCCCGATATCGAGAATTATAATGATCGTGTTGATGATCAAGAGTTGGTATTGGATTCTGCGTTTGCTGTGGTCCGGGTCGAGACGTATCATGCGCACGGTCTCCCAGATGTAGAGGCCGGATATGATAAATTCCTGCAGGCAAAACCCGGTCATTTGAATCTTCTCCATTATGCTGTACCCCGCCTTGTAGGGCTCCAGGGTCCCCTCTGAGGTTAAATTTGTGCCGTAGGTGAGAACAGTCGTGGGGATGTGAAGGATGATCGCGTTCACTGAGATCATGATCAACACGCGACGCAGGACACGTTGGTTTGACAACACCAAGTGCAGGCGCGAATACAGGACAACAGATTGTCCGGTCACCATGCACCACCACCCAACCGTCAACAAGGTCACCGGTAGCCATGCTTGACTGTCGGTGATGTTGAAAAATTTCAACAAAAAGCCTAGCGAGTAAGGCAGTAGACCCGCCGAGGAAGAAATCAACAAACTCCAAAAGTAGAGGCCTCGATAGTCTGCAAAGGTGACGAAGAGAAGGATCATCAGCTCGAAGGCATTATACCACGTAACACCCGCGAGAGTCGCGATCGTGATCTTCATGCCCAGAGAATGACCCTGGTAGCCACCGCTAATGCCATTTCCAGCCGCGGTGAAATCAGTCATGTCGACTCATGGACATAGTGGGCGCGTATGGAAGCGGAATTAAGGAGACGCGACATAAACCCGAACTCTGAAATCTGGGGAACTGGAGAAGAGAAAGAAAGAGAGACAAAGAGAGGCGCAGCTGAAGCCCGAATCCCCCATGCGGGGGGCCGTGATACCCCGGACTATTTGCATTTGAATAGGCAAATAGTCACACCAAAATGGGTCCAAAAAAAAAACAAAAAACCAGGAAAAAACCGACTATCGGTGAGATCCAAACGCACGGAAGGATTCGGTCAAGCGAATCGTGATTGGAGCTTGATACGAGAGTCTACAGGCATATGTCATTTGGTACTACAAAGTACTCTGTCTACAGGTACGGTGCACACATTCTATAGAGTAGGTTACAGACTCGTTTGATCGTATCCCTTCAGATACTTCTCAGGGGCTAAATATGCCCAATCTGCGAAATGTGCTAAATACTCGTACTAAATATGCTAGTGGGAAAAAAAAGCCACCGCGGTTAAAGGGTAAGCTTCCTTACTGCCTCGTCGATGGGGAACCACTTTTTTTCCCTTGTGTTTTTTTGGACATATTTAAGTATTTGAGAGGATGCTGCTTTACTTAGTATCCTTAAAATCATCATTATTTACCTCTGTAGATATATAACAATGCAACTGAATACATACAAAACAGCCAATTGTTTTGATGTCATGTGGCGGGTGGCTCGCTTAATTGGGGCCGTTGTATGATCCCGCCTCTTTATGTCTCAATAGTCTGGGGGTTGGATCTCGGCTCATAATATTTCATCCAATGATGTTGTTCTCGGAACCCCAACAGCTCCTTAATCTTCCGATTAGTGATGGGAGCCTCCCTGGCCCCCAATTCACGCGTCACCGGTACATCAGGGCATACCCGGGCAAGGAACGCAGCAGTGCTCTCGTAATTCGTAATTTCGTCATTGGTTGCATTGAAGATCTGGAATCCAAGGCCATCCTTTTGCACCGCCAGATCGCACATTTGCCCCAGGTCCCGAGCATCAATGTACGCCCACCCGTGCGCCGCCCAGCGGTCGGGATTCTCGACGTAGGAGCGGAATAAGGACTCCTGGTATTCCTCGGGCGCGAAGATACGTCCAATGCGCAGAATGTAGATGTCACTTCCGTATCGGCGCTGGAACCCACGCGCGACCCGTTCGCCGCACACTTTCGCAATGGCGTAGGTGTCCATGGGGTTGGTGTCGACGGTCTCCTCCACCGGGAAGGATGGGTAGTCTACATCACCTTCGGCGAAGGCCACGCCGTACACGGTGACGGAGCTGGCAATCACAATCTTCTTGATGCCAAGGCGCGAAGCGGCCTCGATGATGTTATATGTTGACAGGGTATTCCCGCGGAAGGTTTCTTCGTCGGGAACGATCATATTGCGGGAATAGCCTGCCATGTGGATGACTGCATCGGGAACCAGCCCAAGGGGTTCGCGGAAAGGCTCTTGCAACCGGAAATGAGACCCCAGGGCGCTGTATACTTGGCCGCTGTTGGTCAGGTCGACGCGCAGAGTATGAACTTTCTCCTCTAGCTCCGCGGGAAGCGGAACGAGGTCCAAATTCAGGATGGCATGGCCCTGCTGCAGAAGATATGTGATGATATGCTGTCCTGCTTTACCAGAGCCCCCAGTGATCACGATGCGTTTCCCCATATTGTCGTTCAATGTTATCTCAGTGAGCTGCAAGGTGAGGGGTATGGTGTAATCAGAGAGGTTGACACCAAGTGCTAGAGCCGAATTGAAAAGCTTGTGTGTGCTGAAGGTTCTAATTCTGAGAAGCCACTAAAAGCTTGCAAGTTGATCTCATCGCTTTCTTCGTGGAGAGCGGATCCGGAACATGACTTGCCGAGGCGTTCGGCCCGAGAGAAATGGAAGGAAATATCCCGGAGACTCAAATCTGGGGAAGTACTCGTACAGATCCAAGCCAAAGTTAGAACAACATCGCTTGGAAGTTGGAACTCTCGCATGAACGTTTTCTCCTCAGCCCCATTTTCCTACGAAACTCACAGTCCACAAGCTCCACCAGCACTCCAGCGAACATTGGTCCTCAAACAGGCAATCAATCCAGCGACCTGCAAGACGATGCGATCACGCCGTTAAAAAAAAAGAGGCCGTTGGCCTATTCTACTACACCCGGGCTGTGATACTGCCTTCTGCACAGACATTCTCCTCTGGGAGCGTAACTCAGTCATGCCCTGATTGATCTTTGGTACAATTATGTCGCTCATATCGCTCGAATCCCCACAGACTGAAACTTGGAGTTGCCGATTGACCCCTCCATCCCCCGCCCGGTAAAAGGGTTCCCTGACTTCCAAAGTTGGTGGGTGGCTTCCAAGGCGGTTCGCAATCGGTTGGCTGGGCATATGTCCACTGCCAATCCTCCAACCTGATACCGAGACATCTGGTTGAACAAACTGGAGATCCGGGTAATGCCGACTAAGCAAGGCATACTTGCAAAATGCCGCGAGTCCCAACGAAGCCAATAACTCGACCGTGTGCTTTTTCTTCAAAGTGGGAATCGCGCTTACGACTTCAAGCCCAATACATAGACCGCGGTATACTGGTCCCGAGCCTCCAGGGCAACAGAAAAACTGGATGAAAACACTCGATGCTCTGGACTGGGGATATTCCTCGAGAGAGAGATTGTGTGTGGATGTGAAGAGAGCGACCCATCTCCAAGGCTGGGGCGTTGCTTTCGTTCTCATATTTCGCCATACCCTTTTCCCTGCTACTTTCTCTTGGCTTTGTCACAAATATCAGGTGTATCATGCAATGGATAAGAGAATCCCCAAATTGTTATTTGAAAAAAAAATCTTCATTTTTGTGTTAGTGAAGGAGGTAAGTATTGCTGTCAAAAGTTACCATCTTGAATACCCCATAGCAAATTTAGCGCCCAAGAGGAAGAGAAGAACGGTGTACACCTCTCATGTGGAAAAGATGCTTATTGTCCATCACGATCCATCACCTTGTACAACAAATGGTGATTGGTGAGGTTTCAGCGCAAGGGCTTACAAGCGGCAAATGCCAAGAAGTATAGGATGATCTTTATCTTGAATATGAATAGCTCTTCTCCACTCTGTCAGTTTGACCGAATACCATATTGTAGGTTCTCGTAACGAAAACTTAGTGCAAATCTCCTACTCCTATCTTCACTCTGCGAGTTCTGCTGATCTGGAGGCTGAGCGGTGGTAAATTACAACCCAGTTTCAGCGCTACTGCAGGGTCTAACCTGAAACCCCAAACACAGTAATGATTCCCTCAATTCGCCCCTCTCTTCGCTGTACAACGGCGATCCAGGAAGGATGCACACAGCCTGGACCTGTCAGCCGCTTTTGCACGAGAGGACTGCGGGACTTGCCCCCTTTACCCTTTGATTCCTCTCCATTTTTGATCCAAAACAATGGCCACTGACAACCGGACGTGTTATTTTCCCTCGGGGAAGGAAGCTCCAAACAATGTTCCTTGCAGATCTGATACGGATACCTGGTGTTGTGGTGGTAGCGACATTTGCTTAGACAATGGCCTTTGTTTGAATGCTGGACATCAACCATATGTTTTGTCGCGAGGAGCATGCACAAACAAAGATTGGAATGGATGCACAGATCATTGCAGTAAGTCATGTGTTTTGCTTCCTCCACAGTCACCCACAATGAACGATGGAACAATATTGACCAATTGTGGTGTTACAGAAGAATCCACTCCAAATATGGGCGCCTCGATTATCAATACCTTCTTTAATGGTTCAACCTCCCTTTACTGCTGCGGCTCGCCCATAGCCGTCGGGTCTAGTGTTGTCTGCCCTTCGACATCTGATAACGACGGAGCGCCATTCACTGTGAACAGTGGAAGAGTGATCCCCGGCCGTGCTTTCCTCCGGAATGTCCCCACCCTCAAGAACACATCCTCCACAGAGAACACAACAAACGAGCCCTCGACGAGTTGTCAAACGTGTCATGACACCGCAATAGGCGCTGGAGTTGGTGTGCCCCTCGGGGCTTTGGCTTTACTGTTCGTGATCTGGGCACTTCTAGAACGGAGAAGAGCTTCTCGACTTAGTCGTGCTTTGGATACACCAGGACCCATAAACAGAGGACCTGTCCAATTATCGAGTGAGAACAGTGAGCTTTCTGGGCACACAAGAAAGAGGAACAACATGGTTGAGTTGGAGGGTGGGCGTCCTGAACTTGATAGCGGCGTTTCAGCAAGAGAGTGACCCATGGTCATCGCATCTTTTAAAGAGCGATGAGACCTGAGGCTGGGTCAGTTAATACTTAAGTACGAAATTGCTATGATGTTCTTATAAGGACTAGAGTGATATAATAGAGGAATGTTTGCCTAGGTGGCCCTTCTACGCTATGTCAGAAACTTGATACCAGGACACGACGTGGGAAGAATGACAGACTATCTAGGTCAACCATTGGCCATACACCAATTGAACTGAGCTATCCGGATATAGCTTCATAGAGCCCATATGTAGTATCGGTGATCTTGGTTCGACTAAAAATCACTCCGTAACTGCGCAGGTCTAACGTGCTCAAACAAGAGGCCTGAAAAACAAGGCCTCGGTACTTTCGTGCGGGGGTTACCCCAGATAATTTCCCGTTTTCGAATATCACCCGTGGAAGCCCTTTTCCCCCTATGGCTCTAGGTATATTCGAGATATCTGATTGGTGTGGAATTACCCAGTCTCTTCACAACAAGACCCCATGCTTCGTCTCCAACCATGCCGGATGATTATCCTAACAAACGTCGACGCGGCAAAGAGCGTGTCCGAGTGACTCGAGCCTGTGATGCATGCAAGCGGTAGAGTTCATATCTCCGGGAAATCTTTGCGATACTGACAGGGAATCCAGTAAAAAACTGCGATGTTCCGGGACGTTGCCGTGTTCACTTTGCCTTCGGTCGGGTGCTGACTGCGAGTACAATGCGGAGTACACCAGAGGCAAGAAGACCGACATTCCTCTGCTTGACCAGCGAGAGTTAGTTTCTCCAAAGTCTCCGTCCACCGCGAGAGGTCAGTCTCTACCAAATGCCAATCTACGAGCATTGGACTCGGGGCAGCCTCTGTCGGAGCGATCGGTCTTCTCCACCGACGAGCATTCCCTCCCCGCATCTGCATCGCCAGTACAGATCCAAGTCAGGACTACGGATCACGAAGGGCCATCATTCAGTCTAGATTTAGGCTCGACACAAGAAATATCCAATTCACGACTACCAAACCCTCACCTAGCTGCCTTGCAAGGAGAAGAACATGGAGCGGTGTCCTCTCGCACCTCCCCCGAGAGAGATCAAACAGATCTCGAAGGGCACTATGTGGGCCCGTCGTCGGGAGTTTCATTCTTGCTTCGAGTTCAGAAACGAATCCACGAGAATGTCACTGTTTTCTCAAATGGGCCAATCTTCAATTTCGGCGATGCACCCTTACCCAGACACGATCCGCATTTCTTAGTCCTTCCACCAAAAGACGAAGCAAAGGTCCTGGTGCGACGGTATTTCGATTTTGCCTTTCCGACCCATCGCTTTCTGCATCAGTCTACGGTTGAAGGATGGCTCGAGTCATTCTACTCGGATGTACATGACCCAGAAAATACGATGAGCCAAGCAATCAAGGCTTTGTTGTTAATGGTAATGGCCCAGGGGAAGCAATACCTTGCTGAACAGGATTCAAGCGTTGCCCAGTCTGTGAAGAGGTATTTTCTCACCCAATTCTCCACACAATAAGCGACATCAGACCTGGCCGGATCAACTGACTGTTACCCCATCAAGTAATGTTTACTTTGCCGCCTCGGAAAATCATTTACTGTCAGAAACAGGCTCAGTAAGCCTTGCGAGCATCCAAGCCCGTCTTGCCCAATGTTTCTATCTACTCTCGGAATCCAGAGTGAATCATTGCTGGAGCCTGTTTGGTACAACTGGTCGCCTTGCGCTTGCGATTGGTCTGCACAGACGCTGGCGACGAGAGGCCATAAACGATCATGTCGAAAGCGAGTGTCGGAAACGGGTCTTCTGGTGTGCTTATAGCTTGGATATCTATCTCAGTGCTGCTTTGGGCCGACCGAAAATATTTCATGATGAAGATATTGATCAGGTGAGTGATCTTGCATTGATCCTTGTGGCATTCCTAATCATCAAAAGCACCTTCCGACGTGCGCGAGTGATAGTCAAATCACAAGAAGCGCAATACTACCGAATCTTTCCCATGGCCAAAATATCATGTTAGCGCCTGTGTTCCACGCAAAGTGAGTTAAGAACTGCTCGACCACGCTGCCCAGGGCTGATTATATCGCAGGTTGGTTCGAGTGATAAGTGGAATCTTGAAAGACCTCTACGGACTTCAACAGAAAAATGTTGAAGCGCAGACAGTGATTGCACAAAAATATGGCGCTGAGCTCGCGGATTGGCGCAGTGGCATTGGCCCGTTCCTGGAGACCCCAAACATTGAACTTCTCCAGGCAACATACCAGAGACAGTATAATGTTCTAAATTTTGCTTTTGCGCATGCAGAAATTCTATTATACAGGCCGTTTCTACTTCGAAATCTCGCGAGTCTAGGAAGGCGTTCTGGCCCGAAGCATTCACAACTACAGCAAGACATACAAGCCAACGTCGAGAGATGCCTACATGCAGCCTCGAGGATTGTAGGGTTATTCAAAGAGCTTTGCAGATCGAAGAAGATGTACAGATTTTTCTGGGTGAGTAACACGTCCTTTCAAAAGAGCATTGTCTGACTCTATCTACTCAGTTCACACACTACTACGTTTTCTGTGCAATTGTCATCTTGTATGTTTACGTGATACAGAGCCGCGCATCCCCAGAAAAAGGTCTCCTACAATATCTACAGACAGGGGAGGAGGCCCAAAGTGAGCTTGCGAAATGTGGAGCACAAGCATCCTTCCCTCAGCGATATGTGGTTGTTCTTGAAGAGCTCCGAAAAGAAGCAATGAGGCTCATGGAGCAGTCTTCAGCAAGGACGGAAAATAGAGACAGTGCACAAGAGTATCATGGCGAAGCTGGAAAACCTGACACCGAGACCGCATTTTCTCACCCTGCGGTCCATGATCCCAGCACTCACAGTGATACGTTCAATAATGAGCTGGGAGACCCTTCGTCAGCGGGCTGGATTACAAATTTTGCCCAAGATCATAGTCCGGCATCCTATCTTGCAGATATGACGGGATGGGGTGAATTTGATTCGCTAGTTCTGACAGGTTTAGGGGAGTTGAGCCATATTTTCCCAGACAACGATGATCAATATTAACTACTTTCATCTTTTCGATATTATTTATCCGGTCAAACAAGGAAGTGATCGAAGCCTTTCTCTGAATCTTCATTTGTTTAAAAAGCCTAGATTTTATTGGGGTCCATGAGCGGGGAGCCAACTCTCCTGGTACAAAGCAAGGGGGGCTGTGGCTTTTCCGACCAGCTGCTTTTCCGGGTTGTATTGGCTAGCCAACCGGAAAACTGCCCAAGTCAAGGTGAGTAACGACCTTGGAAGTGGCCAGGAACTCGAGGAATACAAGGCATCTGTTTGCCTACACAGCGAAAATAGGTAATGCAGCTATCCGAAGTTGTCGACGAATGACGGTCGCCAGAAAGATGCAATCTTAGAGCAAAAATCTGAAACCCTGAGTAACTGCCCGGCCAGGAAGTCCTTCCTCTTCATTCTCCCGTCTTGAACTTGAAGATGCAATGTTTGTACCCTCTTCTTCTGCCAACCTTTTGTTCAGCCGGCCTAGAACAATCCTGAGGATAGTGGCGAAAATTATGGTCACCGCTGACATGGCGATATTGTAGGAGAATGCCATAGTGTATTGAGGTGCTGCAGAATCTGCAATATATTAGAGAGAAAACCAGATTTCAGCAGGCGTACTCCAACATACTCGGGTATAAATAAGGTGTGTAGACTTGACAGACATTGCTTAAGCAATTGATCAGAGCCAAAGCAGCGGCTCGCTTTGTCGCAGGGCGTGGGAGGACTAGAGATTGTTATTTCTGACCCTCTCGCTCACCCAGGATTTTTGCTCACTGTTCGAAATATACCCGAGCACTACGACATAGCTCGAATAGATTCCGCCGATCATGAGGCACATAGCACTGTAGCACAAGTCACAGTTAGCCTTGAGCACGCGACTGCAGATGAAGAGCTTACACATATCGCGGTGCAAAAGATGTCGTTGTTACTGCAATGATGAAACAAGCAATTGCTAGGATTGGGGGAAGTGCAATATGCAAATATCGCTCTCCGGTCTTGTCGGCATGCCACGCGGCAATGAGAACAACGATAGTTCCGATCAAATATGGCGGAGTGGTGAGAAGCAAGGTCGTGACGCTGTCTTTTCCAAGGCCTGACATTACACTGAACAGGTCAGTATTGGCAATCTGAATTATCCAAGCTCCTAGGCAAAAGCTTACATTGGGAAAAAGGTTGTCACGGCACCCGATGCAGTGCACCCATAGATTGTCCCGAGAAGAAGCCAGACTTTATAATCCCTATTTACAATGTTAGAAAAGTCAATTCAGCATATATAGGGTCGAGAGGAGAGTGGTTACTTGAAAGCAAGCTTTGCTCCGTGAAACATAGACTGCTGCTCACTGTCAACCCAATCTTCCTCGCCAATGTCTTCTGTCTGACGCCAAGCAGCAAGGGCTTTTTCATCGTCGGTCAGCCAGGATGTCGTACGTGGCAGATCCGGTATAATGAAGATGGAAATCAAAGCAACAAAAATCTAGACTAATGTCAGCATCATGCAATTCAAAGGGTTCGATGTAGTTCCCACTGTGATAGCTCCCTCGATAATGAACAACCATCTCCACGCAGAGATTCCGCGTGCGCCACTCAAACCATTGGTAATGCCAGCTGCAATAAGCCCTGAGAAGGCACCAGAAATTAAGGAGCCCGAGTAAAGAAATGCCGTTCGTTTCACTAGTTCTTTGCGCGTGTACCATGCTGAAAGCAGGTAAAGGCAGCCAGGCTGTGTATATCAGCATATGCAACTCCCAAATGAAGACTATTCTTACAAAATAAGCTGCTTCGACAAATCCGAGGATAAATCGGCACGCAAGTAGACCCCCATAGCTCTTAGTCGCAGCTGTGCACGTGGATAATATTCCCCACGCCAGCATACAACCAGGAAGATATATCGATGGCTTGCCAAATTTGTTGAGAATCATGTTGGACGGAACTTTCATCATGTTAGTTCCAAGGTTCATCGCATAGATTTGGTTAGACCGGGATTGTTACCTTGCATGAGAAGGTATCCAACAAACAGGATGCTGACTGATGTCTTGACGAGGTCAACTTTCTGCGATCTCTTGTAGATGGAATTCACGACAATCGTACCTGATACTGCTCGCCTTTCAAATTGAGATCTTCCTCCAGACCTGCAAGCTTTGCTGATGCAATGTTGTTGCGATCTAGATAGTTCAAGATGTACATCACTACGATCATGATGAGGAGCCTGATGTCAATCTTGCGGACAAGCTTTTTTTCCATCTTCTCTCTCTCTTCCGATGACAGATTGACCAAACATGTCGGCATCTGGCTAGCCAAGTGAACATTATCATCGTCTTTTCCAGGTGAATACTCAACATGGTCAGGAACGTTCCCTTTTGAGGAAGACATAATAGGTTTGGAGAATTATAAAGTTTTTTTCAAATTTGATTGAAGAATGATTTGAAAGGCTTTGGATTGCCAATTAAGCATGGCCAAGACCTTGGCTGGCCACTTTCTTTTGTATCCGAAAGAGTTAAGCTGTACAAACTGGGGTGTTGCGGGGTAAGCCACCTCGGCGATCATGTCTTATCTGGTCTCGGAAAAGCTCAACAGTCGTCGGATATGTTCCTCAGAATATCCCCTGGATAAGAAACCGGCCCTAGGACCAAGCAAGGAGCGCAGAGCTTGTGATAGGGCAAAGCTTGCCAAAACAAGTCGGGTGCAGACCCAGATCTCAGCTCATGCTGGCCTTGCCCACGACCCATTTTATGCGTCCGAAGATTTTGTGTGCGATTGATCTCTCCTCTCAAGTTTGGACCTCATAATGTCTGGTGATGATGATGACAATGGTGTATGTGAGCCTTTCGAGCTTGACTGACATGTCAAACCTGAGGGAACATAGACCATCATCATCATCATCACCAGGCGAAACGAGGCCCAACTTATTGAGGAAAGTCCACACTCACGACGATGCTTTGGACGAAAGGAGCTTCTCAGCTTTTTCGATTAAGATGTCCGCTATCACTTTCATCCCGGCCAGATTCGGATGAAGAAGCGGACCGCTGTCTAATGATCCCACCCAAGGCTCCTTGCTACCGATAGCATGTCCTTGGCTAAGCTCGTGAATTGGAACTCTTTCACACCAATCAGATCTGCTTTTCTCTGCAACGACATAGGCATTTTGCAGAATGGATGCAACGTTGCGGTGATAATCAATTCTCTCCTGGGTCAATGGAACGTCTACCATTGGTTCGGTATCGGGACCGAGAACAGCAAGATACTCGACAAGAAAGACATGGGCACGCGGGGCACGCTTGTGGATCTCATCTAGGACTTCACCAAGTCGCTCTTCCAATTGAGTGGGCGATAGGGGCGTCGACGGGGACTCTGTGCCGCAGACATCTGAGATTATGCCGCCGATGTAGTTGATGTCATTCCCTCCAGCGGTTATGGTGACGATATCGGTGTAATCGGGTAATCCTTCGAGTTGCGGCGGGAATATATCGGGAAAGGCATGCTGTTCTTCGACAGTTATATTAAGCAATGTTGCACCGGATACAGTCCGGTCCGTCAAAATGGCGTCTAGGTGGATTGCGAGAAGGTTTGGATAATTCTGGCCTGATCTCAACGCGCCAAAGGGCTCAATTTGAGGAGGAATGTCAGGACCAGCAGCAAAAGAGCTTCCTAGACTGGCGATGAGCGGTCTGTCGGAGTCGTCCATACTTGTTGGCGCTCAAAATTGAGATGGGAAAGTGATGGATTGAAAGCTGTACAAGGCTCAAAGGGTGGTGGGGTGGATGTTTGCCAGACTTCAATACGATGCCGCGTCGGTGAACTTCACCCGTATTTGGCGCTAGTGCTAAAGCGGAACACGCCTTGCCAGGTTCGGCCTAGGCTATCTCTCCAAAGATTATGGTGCCTGAAAAGCAAGGCTCATTTCTCCAAATATACATCGATCTGTCAATTGGGAATCATTTTCCACTGATCTCCAACTCTAAACCCTTCTGGAAATGGGTCGGTAGAGTCCAGAACTACCTGCTTGAAACTTGTGATCCAAGCCCGTCCTGCTACAGTTGGAAGAACTGCCTGATATTCGCCCACTTGTGTTGTCCCCCGGATATGGCTGATGAACTCTGTCCCGATAATGCTGCGATGTTTGAAGATCTCGTTCTCCGCAATCTGACCCCGAGAATGCATAACTGCAAGTCGAGCACATGTCCCAGTTCCACAAGGACTTCGGTCAAATCGCCCGGGTGAGACCACAACAGTATTGACCGCAGCCTTGCAACCATCCTCTTGCATCAGAGGCTCTGTGATGACTATGTTGGTGACACCTCTGATTTTGGGGTTTTCTGGGTGAACAGGGGTGTATGATGCTTGGACTGCGCGTTTGACACGTTCGCCGAAATCCACCAACTGAGTGCTATACTGGGAATCGACTTTTAACCCCAAAGAGGCAGCCTCGACCAGCACATACATCATTCCTCCCCAGGCAATATCCACATGAATCTCCCCGATACCGGGTACATTGACTTGGTAGTCGAGCTTGAAGACAAAAGCAGGGACGTTATCGAATTCCACCGACTTGCATTTCCCTGCTTCACATTCCGCTTTTACTGTGACCAGACCAGCAGCAGTATCCAAATTCAATTCTGTGATTGGCTCTTTCATTGGAACCATGCCAGTCTCCAGCAACACCGTTGCCGTGCAGATGGTGTTGGACCCAGACATCGGTGCGTATTCCTCGCTTTCCATGATCAGGAAACCGGCATCGGCTCGTGGATCACATGGTGGCAGAATCAGGTTGGTATTCATCGAAGCCCGGCCTCGCGGTTCATTTAGGAGAAGTTGACGGATCTCATCTTTTTTGTTGAGAAAATGAACAAGTTTGTCGTACATCGTGTTGCCAGGAACATCCAAGACCCCACCAGTGATCACATCGCCGACTTCGCCTTCGGCATGACACCCGACAACTGACAATGTACGAGAGAAAGGCATTTCAGCTATGAGAGGTGCGAGTGATTTCTCTAAACAAGCAAATAGGAAACGAGACGACTCGACCACATACAATGGCCGTCGACGCAACGAAAGGCTTCATGCTCCAAACCACAAAAGCTGTGTTACGATTTATATATTTGTCTCCACTTGGACTTTTGATTCAGCTTGTCCGAGGGCATCTGACGCGTTTGATGAGGGGGTCAGACCAAAAAAGCATAATTGCTTTTGAGGTGCTTTTGATCTGGCCCAGGCGAGTTATTCTCGGCGATTAACGCTGGAACCGCTGCAAAGTCTCTTACATCCACACCTCGCTGGTCTAGATTCCAAAGATGAAAAAGGCACATTCTCGGAAGTTGATTGGATTACCGACGGTGATTGATCAACAGGAGGATCCAGTGCGGACGCAATAAGACAAGACAAGGGGCTCGGACCTCGGGAGTCTCCAGGTGAGCGGCCAAACACTAGTCACGTCATGGGTCAGACACGACGTTGCCTTCTCTTTTCTGAAGGCCAAAATTTCATCGATACCTGGCTAAGTATCAGGATCCGCAAGGGTTCAAGCCTATCTAATAGCCAGATGTCGCGTGCCTGGACCCCGATCACGTGTCCGGCTGTATTTGAAGATGAACATCCCCGCCCGATGGGAGCAGAGCATACAAAGCATCCCGGATGTGCTCTGTGGGAAGCAGGAGCTGACCATGCTTTTACCCCAAAATGGGGGCCAGGTCTCGCCAAGGATGTCTGCCCTGCCGAAGGCGCAAAAAGAAATGTGACGAAATCCAACCCATTTGCACCGCCTGCCAACGCAATTGTTAGCCTGTGATTGGCCTGCCCCGTCTTTCCAGCAGACGCAAACGCACAGCAGATCATCTTTTGATCACCCGAAGTTGAGGACGCAATCCTTCTGGGCCAAACAACCGAACGGTCTAGCCCACATACCTCTGTCGTTACCTTCCCTCTTTATATGTCGACCAAATTCATTTGGACCGCACACCCAAAAGTTGATTTATCATTATGTAAATGATACAGCCAACAAAATCGTGTGCTTACAAGATAATGACAATCCCTTTCTCCATACAATATTTCCTACTGCTTTCGGGGATGACCTTTTGATGCATGCCATTCTTGCCCTTTCGGGTGCCCACTTAATGCAGCGACTGCCTCTCGCCTCTCGCGAGATTCAGCGTTCAACTTGGTTCAATTATGCGCGGGCGCTTAAGGCTCTCAGGGTGGGACTGTCTGATGGGTTCCAATCAATCAGCGGTGTAGCTCCTGCCTTGCATGCCCTGTTGGTCGTCCTCATATTTTATATCACAGAGGCATGTAAACCACTTGGCTCTTGTTGTCAAAGGGAATGCTAACTTACCACAGGCCACTATAGGCACTAATATTGAAGCCATGGGAACTCACCTCAGGGGCGCAAATCATTTGATGGACTATATCCTGCGCACAAACCCTGCCAGCATTCAATCGAGTTTAGGATCTTACATCATGGAAGTATATGTATACCATGCTAGCCTTGCATCCTTCACTGTTCGCGGGTCAGACCTAGCGATTCTGCAATCAAACCTGAAAGCAGAGAACCTTGCTTTCCAACATGGTAAAGTGGGAATGTTGAGTGGATGCACTCAATATCTATTTGGACTTATGCCAAAGGTATCCGTCTTGCTTCAAACTATCACAGAAGCCAGAGGGCGCCCAGATAGCCAGGGCCATCAGTTCATCCAAGATTATCGGGATTTCAGATCGTCAATTGCAGACTGGGAACCCGTTTGTACCGAGTTGGGCGCTGTCCATTGCGCAAGTCTTTACAAATTGTCTATCTCACTTCTTTTAGACGCGCAATTTCAGCCAGAGACGAGAGAAAAGAAGGCTCGACATGCCTTCGATGATCTAAAACTTCTCCTCTCACACTTACCACCAAGTGCGCCGTATGCGACAACAGTTACATGGCCTTTGTTCATATTCGGGATGGTAGCACGACAAGAGGAGGAGGTGGAAATGATCAGGACATATTTGCATTCTTTGATCAGCGCCTTTGGAATTGGCCTTATGGGGACAACCCTTGCATATCTAGAAAGAGTCTGGAAGAATGACAATCATCTCGACGGACTGCATGGGCTTGTTTCGAATCAAAACAACATGCCTTTGATCTGCTAAATTGTTTTCAGATCATCATAAAAATTTCGAGAAGACCACGCGGCGAATCTCAGGCCAATACGTCCACACCAGAGTAGTGAAAATTGTAGTCGGTATAGCAAAAACCCAGTATATCCAAAATTGACTTGACATTGTCCAGCCAGAATCACCACCAAAGTCAAAGAATGACATGCTGAAGATGGCGCAGATAAAAGTTGGCGGGAGGAAGGTCAGAGTCACAAATGCAATGGTTTTCATCGTAGCACTATCCAGCTGGGTAGCCCGACCGATTTCAAGTGTAACGCTCGCATCATGTTGCGCTACAGTATTGAAGGCTAGTTGCACTTCGTTTTGTAGTCTCTTTTCATTCGAAATAGATCGGTACCGCAAGTTGGCGAGGAAAGAAAGGAAAGACCGGAGCCGAAGATGAATATCTTCGGAGCACGAATTATTTTCTGTACTTGCGACCATATAGCTCTCATGTTGCACCAGGATGTCTTCTAGATTCTGAACAGCAACATCGAGTGTTTCGTTTACATGAATTGCATGTCGCGCAATGTCGTGGAGGCGTCTGTAGTCAGGCTGTGGCCTGCCTTCGGGTTTTCCCTCTGTCTCTAACCCTCGGACGTGGTCTCGAATACCCCAGACTGAGGGCTCTTGGGCTCGAGCGACCTGCTCGACTAAGGCTGGGTAGACCCAAAATGGATCTTCAAGCCACCTTGGGTCTCGGGCCATGACTGCCCTCAGAAATCGATCTCTCCATGGCTGGTCGAAGTCAAGTGCAAGTACAATAGTCTGATTAGTTGAGGGAATCCATCGAGTGAAAGTACTCATATGGTACCATCTGAATCTGGCATCGTGGTCCACTTGTTTCACGGTAAACTTGCCCCATGTGTCTGAAGAGGTCAGTATCACCTTGCGATGAAAGGGGCTTGGTACTCACTGATCCCAGTTAAGCCCCCCGAATCTTGGGTTTTCTCGTATCCAAAACAGCCATTTGCATTTTGATAAAAAAAAGACCACCAAAAGTGGGGCATAGAAAGTATCTCGGCGATGGAGCTGCGACACTGCGAGCATCTGTCAATTTGGTTGGAATATCCAACACTTTCGAAATTAGCCTCATTTCACCAGGCTTTCGTGGGAATTACCTACATGATACAAGTCTGAGACCAGGCGGGAATGATTTGAAATATGTCCTTGGATTTGTCAAAGTGGAAGTTCAAGGACCGAGTCTCTTGCCAGTTGCCAGGCTGCCCAGGGCTATTTTTGCACTGCAAAACTAAAAGTTCTGCGCATGATCGCTGCTTTTGTTCCTGCATTGCAACTGAATTTGGGCAGCTGAAGACAATCTACGCGCTGTAAGAGAAAAGTAAAGGCCAGTCTGACATTAGGTGGGGGTTAAAACCGAGGACCGTGCTCCTCGCAGCACATCGCCTATTTGAGAGAAATTAATTCGCCTCATTTCAAGCAAGTAGGTTGATATTGAAATATCCAAATTATTTATAGAAACTCAGTCTACCACACCTCTGATGGGTTGTACTCATCATCTACGGTCGGTGGACCGGAATATTTGTCGTACCCCCAAACCCAATACCACGCAGAAGCGATGAGAATAAATGCGACAAAGACCACTGGCGCGTAGTTAACGGTCTCTGCAGATACCGGGATGGATGTAGGCATGCAGAATAGCGGTATCACAAGGACACTCCAGACTGGAAGTAAGTTTCAATCAGCGTTTGTCAAGGGAAGAATCAGAATAACTCAGTCTTACCCAAAGAGATAATATTGCAAACCAGGCCAAATTTGCCGCAATAAAATTGCCCATTCCGGACTTGCCTTCGACCGCCAACAAGGGATACGATAATAGGACAAGCATAACTAAGGGTTAAAGTGATGACTCCAACCCCAGTGAAAGCGTTGAATGCGGTTGTCGATCCAAAATAGATGAACCCTAGCAGAATCTCGACAGCCATGCCAAGCATCATGGCATTAAAAGGTACCCCGTCATTGTTGATCTGTTTCCACCATTTGGACCCGGGGATACCTCCGTCTCGGGCAAATGCCCATGTGCTTCGTGAGACAGCTGTGGTGCAACCTATCACACAGAGAAGGGAGAGAACTATCAATGGGAGAAGCAGCATGAATGAGCCAATCGAACTCCCAATGGCAGATTTAATGATAGTCGGTACTGGTTGACCAGACTGAAGAGCATTCAGGACTCGTGTATCGGGAAGCACAAATACCAGCGGAATAAGAAACAGGAACCCGGCCAGCGTGTTGAGTATAACTGTTCCGACCATTGCTTTTGGAACTTGAGTGGCTGGCTTCTGGACTTCTTCACACATACTTTTGCTTGTAAGTATTTTTTTCACGATCGGTCTTTATCAATGAAGAGGAAATTTAAACTTACCAAATCACCATGCCGGTAGATGATGTGCTGTAAGCGGCCTGCAAAAGTCCAACGCAGAAAGACCACCCAGCGGGCCAACCAGACTGGGGCTCAAAGCTGGTGAAGACATATTCGGCATCATGTCTGCCATCCTTTGCAATCGCAAGAACGCAAATAATGATAGCGAGGACGCCAAAGAATGTCCAGAAAATTGCGAATGTCTAGTTGCTGAGTTAGCAAAGAACCAATGAGCAGAATCTTGAAGCGCACGTCAAGGAATGGCAACCATGCATTACCATAAGCACAGATAGCATTAGCCAAAAATGTGACTGCAAGGAATATGAGGAAGATTTGGTAAGTCTCCGCTTGGAAGATACCAACCCCCGGAGAAGACTCAAAAACGTTTAAACAGGAGACAAGAAACAGGGTACTGCCAAGATTCACTGCCAGGGTTATTGTTATGTTGCCAACAACATATGACCAACCGCAGATCCAAGACGCAATTCTCCTGTAAGAAGGAGGAGAAAGCATAAAGGTCTGGTAGTAAACTCCGCCAGCAGTTGGGTATACCGAAGTGATTTCGCCCAAGGAAACAGCCACGCAGAGGATGATTAAAGAGACAGCAAGCCATCCCCAGATGATGTTAACAGGGCCTCCTCCGACCAAAGGATAGGTGAAGGTCGTGGCCAATCCGTATGGAATTGCGGCGAGTACAAAGGACATGAATGCCACTTGGAGGGTGGATCGATTTCGCACTAGTTCGGGCTCATACCCAAGCGCTTCGAGGACTCCATTTGCGGACGTCTGTTTGCCCTCTTCGATATGGGGGTAGTCGGTGATATCAATGGGCTCGGGGGATTTGTCCTTGGAAGCGTGTCGCTGGTGGGAATCGATCTCTTTCGCCATGGCTAGTTGACTTTACAAGTCGCAGTGGGTGGTCGCAAGTGGTCGATGATAATATTGGTCGCACGGGGAGGAGTATACAGGTTATGATTTAGCCAATAAGCCAGGCTTCAAACATCTGTTTTTGATTCAAGCAAAGTGTCCGGCTCGGCACTGGAAGTATCGACACGACCTCGGGAGCGAATGATCTCGAAGTTGAGTCAAGAATTCGAACCTTCTCCTGTTGTTTTTATATTTGCCAACTCTGAGCGGAGGGTGAGATCATGATTTGGTATCGTGCTAAGCTTGGACTTCAGGAAGGTTCAAAACATCGGTCATCACCACTCCAACGCGTCCAGGTCTTGCGTATCTTCGCCGGTGGCGTCCACCATTACTGTTTGAAACACGAGCTGATCTTTACCGTAAGTCATCCCTGCCGTCTGCGAGCTTGTGGAAACCATAATCATATATCCCTCATAGGTTGGTGCGACACCTCAGGGGCCAGCTGGCTCCACATCGTCAGGCAACGGCATCAAAATTTGCTTGAAACGCATTAGCAGAGATGCGGAAATGCGCCGAGATAACACTGCGATGAGAATATCTGAAGATTCGGTCCGATTGTGACGTTGACATCAGGGATTCTTCAGGGTGAGTCCTCCGTATCATACCACGAGATAGCAAAAATGGCTCACCCGGGTTTGTGTCTCCGCAATTCAAAGCTCTAGCGCTAGTCAATCTGGGTTTAGCATGCTGGATCTAACGCATGGCGGCTACGCTAGTTCCCTTTGGAAGCTTAGGTGGGCGCTCCGGTCTGAGCGATGAGTGAGGTGAGTCTCGAGTGATAAGAGCTGGACCTTGATGGATATGGATTACACTGCATCTTGAGGGCTGGTGGGATGACCCAGCTCCAAGATTCGATCGCGATCTTGCTCCCTCTTCCTCTCTCCTTTCTCTCTTGGCTAATCGAACCGATCGTTTCCGTTCACGTTTCCTTCTCGCCGTATTAGGCTCAAGATTATACGACAACGTGCCGTCCCCTCACCGTTGAATTCAGACCGAGGCTCTGGTCGACAACCCATCGTCATAGGGGCTGGATACCTTTCAAGAACACCCCGACTGTGTCTAGCAAAGCAACCACTTTCCACAAGGGGAGATCAAGAAAGCCCAGCACGCGATTTTGAAGCTTTCCTAGGAAATCATGTCGATAAAATCACATTGGCTCTTTCTTTGCCGCATCCGCCTCCACGGTCTCAACTCGAATGACCGATTCTTTGTTTGCAACATTCATGAATACCTCGGTGTCCAAATAAGCCCAGGTCCGGAATGGGTTCTGAACACCGCGTGTCTCTAACCACATACTGTTTTATGCTCTACCACGATAAATTGTCAGTATCTTCGATGCAATAACACAAAAAGTACTTGATGTGGGGCCAATATCTATAGAATCCCAAAGGGGAATTCCAATCCACCCGCGTGTTACCGCCCCTTTTTGGGATTAGCGGGAAGGGGACGTGCGGGGTCGAAGCGGCGACGGACCCGGGGGCTCTCACCCCCAAAAGATCCCCCAAAAGACCCCAAAGTACCAATAATTGTCCTCGGACCAATCGGGACCCAACAAATATTTGCTTATCGGCAGGTGACCGGGTGTCGGTTCGTGTCTTGGGGACATCGAAATGCACTAGTTGTGGTTTTCGGCTCCATCACCCGTCGGCCGGCTTTGCCCCTCCTTGCGTTTCACTTTTCACTCATGTCGGTGATTATCCAACAAAATGGAAAGTGCAAAGAGGTCATCACCTCAACAAAAGAAGAAGCAGAATCCGAACCGGTGTAGGCCGAAATCCAGAGGGGGCTGCCAAAGGTGCAAGCAGCGGCGAGTAAGTTGAGGTGAAAATTGCACAGTGTCTTTCTTCGTTTACGGGGATCCAACTTCAAATGATGCGGCGGCTCTAACTCTTTATAGCGCAGATGTGATGAAACAAAACCAAGCTGTCAGGAATGCTCCAAGCGCGGCTACGAGTGCCCCGGATATCAAAAGCAGAGCTTACAGTGGCGACATGTCTTCAAAGATGGAGAAGAGGCCCAGGGCTCAGAGTCTAAGCCTGGGGGAGCTGTTGATACATCCGAGGATGGAAGTACTCATCCTACCGTGAACAATTCCATTGAGACCGTTGCCTATAGCAGTCCTCAACTTGAGCTCCCAGACAACTGGCAGGCCTCTCCAAATGTGTTCGACCAACTGCCAGACTTTTCGGAGCCGATAGATTCCTGGTTCAACATTGAATCTGAGCCAGAGAGCGTAGCGCTGGCAAAAGCCGAAGCAGATCCAGATGGGCTGTCCATCTTACGCCAGCGACTGGCCTCCACATCAGTCCCTTCTTTCCTCATTCAACTGCCAGTAATGTTAGTGCAGTACTGGTTCCATACAGTCTGCAATCAATGGTCCTCTTTCGACTGCCCTCTCAACCCATTTCGAATCATCCTGAGTCGACTTTGGAGCCGAAACGCAGCTATCTACTTTGCAATCCAAAGCATGTCAGCAGCCTCTCTGGCAAATGATTTTCCGAATATGCGAGCCATCGGAATACAGACCCAGCAACAGGCAATCGCATGCCTGAACAATGCGGCTCAGAAAGGGCCCGCACAAACAAACGATGATGAGTACTTCCTGGCTCTTCTACTGGTCGGATCTACTACTGGGTGGCACAACCCATCTGATCTAGGCCTTCCATACCTGAAGGCAGCCCAGGATCACCTTTCAAAACAAGAACGGCGATGTAGCAACTCAGACCCGGCTCTAGCAAAAGAACATCCGCTTTTTAAACAGTGCTTACTGTATTGGAACCTACTAGCTGCCTTTGTCGCAGAGGAGTCTCCGATAGTGGATTTAGAGAGCCACACCGAAATAAGTGAACCAGATCTGTCCATCTATCTTGTTGATGGACAGGCACTACCGCATCCATGGACTGGATCTCTGAGGTATGCCCTCAACCTCTTCTATCGAACTGCAAGAGTGATTCGGGCGGCAAAAATCTTGCATCGCACAAGGGAAGGCACGTTCGATCCCAATTTGATTGATTTAAGCTCCATGGCCGAAGAGCTTGATTTGAGGCAGAAAGCCGAAACCATCGAAGAGAAAATCCTGTTCACCGGATTTTCGTTCTATTGCGGGCCTGTTGACATTGGCGATTCAAACACACCGCCATCACATTTCCTCACGCTGGCCGAGGCATATCGATGTGCAGCAATATTGCAGATTTATCATGTTTTCCCGGACATCCTCCAAGACAGGCTGCACAAGAACGAGACGGCTGATGATGAAAATCCAATCCCGGCTCTTTTCTTATTGCTCTTCCCGGCACCAACTGGATGGACGTCTCCTCCCGCCGAGGATATGCGTCACACGCTAGCATTGCACATTGTATCTTTGCTGGACCAACTGCCAATAACCTCTGGAACAAAAGTAATGCAACCAGTAATCTTGGCTAGCATTTCGAGCGACCTTGTTTTCACCTCCGGGTCTGTGTTGGGTGCATCGGCAAATGCAATCCTTAGTTTGAATACGTTAGACGTTGAAATTGCCCAGGCCCGGCGCAAAGTCAAGATGAGATTGACTGAGCTTCTTTTGATTTTGCCGAAGCTTCCAATGCAACGCATTGTTAATGTTGTGCACGAGACTTGGGATCGTGCGGACTCTGGATTGCAGGAGTTTTGGTTAGATGTTATGCTCGATTTGAATTTGGAAACAATCATGGGTTAGGCGCAAATATTGGGGTTATTTGAGATGAAGACGCATATGTTTTGACGTGTGTTCGAGCACTTGCATTTCTGGGGAGAGCATCATTCATTATCCTTATCTTCTTTATGCATTTTAGGTAGTTTTCCATGTGAAGATGTGAAAGAAGGGAATATTTCAAGTCTCTGCTTTTTTTGGGCTTAAGTATTTGTGTGTTTGCCGATCGTATGATATTCCGACAAGCGGACTCCTATTCCAGAATAAGGCCCGAATACACCAGTTTACATATCAACCCATCAAATTTAGAGCCCATTGACGCGCACATGGGTGTCTTAGCCAAATTAATCTCTTGCAATTTGACAGATTTGTGTACCTAAGCCGTGGCTGATACTGACTCTCAGCTGGTCTCCGGGCTGAAGAAATTGCGGCGGGTTCTGGGATATTCCGATACCACAAGGGGTGCCAGTGATGATCACTGTGCCAGGCATTAATGTGTGACCCTAGTAGGGCGAGTTAGTTTATTCTAAAGTTTCAGTTGATAAATCAGACAGGGTTCGTACCTGAGAGAGATATGACACAATCTCTGGTATGCTGAATATCATATCATCGGCGGATCCATCTTGCATAATCTTCCCATTTAGAGATGTCTTCAAGTTCAAAACTCGAGCATCTGGAACTAGTTGGGCAGATACAATGCATGGGCCCAGGGGACAGAATCCATCCTATCAAATATCAGTACAACAAGCTTATTCCTGTGGCGTTCCAGGGCGTCAATTTACCATTCCCTTGGCATAAGACCATTGTGAGGTTTGATCTTGGTGTTTGCGCGCCGTAACATCGTTGGCAACCGAGTACCCTAGAATATAGTCTGCTGCTTCAGCAACTGAGATATTCTTGTATTGTTTCCCAATGATCACCGCTAGCTCGACTTCGTAGTCCGCTTCGTCGAAGTCCACATTTGATGGAAGCAGTATTGGCTCAGATGCGGACGCAATACACGTGTTTGCCTTTAAAAACACACTGTTCATAACGTTTGTATCAGTATAGAATTCGATTTGTGTGAAAAGCAACTTACGTCGGCCTGCTTGGAAGGGCGAGCTTCATTTCGGCTGCGTGTTCTTTGTAATTCAGACCAACACATCGAACGGTTCCAGCTTCATTCTGCGAGACAGGAGACAGAAGCTCGCCGATGATTTGGGTCTCGCCAGTGAAAGGCGCGTCATAATCCAATGCCGAGCTACCGGCGATGGTCCTCACGAGAACATCTTTTTTCTTCTCGATAGCCTGACCAACTGTTATATACACTCCAAGGTCAGCTGGGTTAGGTTAGGCCGCATGAGGACTGGCATCACCATCAATTTCCGTGTTCACGGGTTCACCGCCGTATATATTTCCATCTTTGCCCCTAAAGCGAACCCATCGCTTCCAGACCTGTATTCAATCAGAATGATTGGATCCAGGTTATTCATCTATTTCAGGTGAGACGAAGGACTCACGGGATGCGTTGCGGCAGGTGGTGATTGGCCTCCGTTTCCATTCAAGATTGCCATTCTAAAATAATTGATATCAATTGATGATACAAAGAGAAATGAACTTTGATGGACCAATTGTTTCCTACTTATCAATGCCAGTCCATTACCCCATGGCCGAAGATCCTGTCGGGAAATTCATCGGCAAATTCACGCCTGACAAGGCGTTAGAGTTGGAATTTACCGATGCCAAGATGATAAAACGCGGGGAACATGAGCTTGTCGGGCCGGACTTACCGATGATAACAGGGCTTGGAAAGTCTTACGCCTCAAGATTATGGCATATTGATTTGGAGAAAAGACAAGAGTTTGAGCATTTGGTCAATTGAGTCCGTTGCTAAAGTTGTCAAGTTAAGCTCATCGAGCTATGGAGCTTAATATACACAGAATGCAACGCGCCGCTGGAGCTACTTTTCTTCAGTGCGCTTATCTTTCGCCAAAAAACCCTATTGGTCATAGACGCCACTCAGACAATCGGGGATATCTCGACCCCCCTTACTCCAACCTCTTGAATATCCCGAAGGATTTCCCGACTGATAACCCACGTTCACATCTTGAAGTATAAAGAGAAGAGATGTACTCCGTTTGCGCAGATCTATCATTCCATACTCAACATGAACAAAGAAATGGATATCAAGTTACAGGCTGACGCATCATCCGACCACGATGTGCAAATGGGCAACTTCACTGTTGACCCTGCGCGTGAAAAAAGACTGCTATGGAAGCTTGATCTGTGTATTTGTCCATTGGTGATGCTCATTTTCTTGGTCGCATACCTTGATCGCAGTAACTTAGGGTAAGCTAGATATCCCACGTCGAAAATTGAGGATAACTCTGTTAACATTATCTAGAAATGCAGCCGTCGCGGGGATGCCGGTAAAAATCCCTTGCTTTCGAGGATGTTGGATGCGTTGACTGACTCTGCTCTTATAGGAAGATCTTGGTTTGGTTGGGAACGAACTAGGAAGTGAGCTCCCCCTCTCAACTCATCTTCAGTTCTTTGCTAACGACATTTCAAGATGCCGTCTCATTATTTTACGCAACTTACGTTTTCTTCGAGATTCCATTCTCAATGCTCCTCAAAAAGCTACGACCGAACAGATTGATTGCGGCATTGATCATGGGTTTCAGCGCATCCATCATTGCGGCTGGATTTATCAAGAATGTTGCCGGACTTTACATCACCCGGCTTCTGTTGGGTGTATTCGAGAGTGGTCTTTTCCCGTGGGTTAATTGGATATCCTGGGGGATTTGGCTGATTTGCTGATCATTTCTAGATGCTTGACTGTTCTCCTAACTACTTTCTACAAACGCGAGGAGCAAGCGCAGAGAATTTCGTACCTTTTTGTTTCAGCGGCTCTGAGTGGAGGCTTTGGTGGTCTGTATGTTTAACCCCCTGATGAACAGTATATCTGTGAAGCAGCAGGCTGATCTGGAGTCTAGGCTCGCTTTTGGGTTGATTCGCCTAGATGGTGCGAGCGGTCTAGAAGGTTGGAGGTGGCTGTTCATTGTTGAGGGCCTCATGACTGCTGTTGTCGGGATTGCCACCTTCTTCCTACTTCCAAATGACTTTGAGACAGCATACTTCTTGAACGAAGAAGATAGGATACTAATGCGTCTGCGTCTGCAGCAATCTGCAAGATATGTCGAGACAGAAGAGTTCGATATCAAGGAGGTTTGGAAAACACTACGAGATCCGAAGACTTGGCTCACCTCTTTTAACCAAATTTGTGTCAACATTTGCTCTTTCGGCTTCAGCACTTTCTTGCCTACAATCATCCGAGGTTTTGGCTATGATTCAGTGAAAACCCAGCTACTCACCGTCCCTGTTTATATCTGGGCCTCCGCTTTCTACTTGGTGATCGCCAACCTCTCCGACCGAGTACGAATGAGAGCTGCATTTATAACCCCACTCTGTCTGGTTAGCGCTGTGGGTTATGCCATGCTTCTGGGGGTGGATGTCCATGCACGCGGTCCATTATACTTTGCAACATACGTCTGTGTTACTGGGTATGTACATTCGATCCCTGCAATTTACATCAGAGAAGCAGACTCTAATCGGCTTGTGCAGTATCTACGCTACAGTTGGACTCGGCGTTAGCTGGAATGCGAACAGTCATTCCGGTTATTACAAGCGTGCGATGGCGGTGGGTGTGCAGCAATCGATCGGGAATTGTGCCGGATTGATTGTAAGTGAATTGGCTGATCATACTTTATAAAAGCTAATATTGTTCCAGGCAGGCCAAATCTACAAGTCTGAGGTAAATGGACGGTATTTGGTTGGCCATTCTGTTTCCCTAGCCGCGATTTGCCTTGCATTCTTCGGAAATGCGGGCATGTGGGCACTGTTGCGGTACCATAACCGACGACGATCCCAGATGTCACCCGATGAGAGAGATCGCATTGTCAATACGGGTTCGTATGAAAAGCGAGGCGGGGACTTCCATCCGGATTTTCGCTACATTCTATAATTCAAGTACTAGCGACTCGGTTCTAGCCGATAATTTTATTTTCACTATGGAGCACCCGTACGAGTATTAGCTTTAAAATGTCGCAGGATTTGCGCGGTACTTGAACACGGCAGCCGATCGGAATTTGCTCAGTGAAGATCGGAAGCATCGAGGACAAGCTTACTTGTTAGTTCAACGCCACAGACCATTGTGACCCACCCGATCGAAGGAGGGAAATGAGATCCACATTTGGCAAGTTTTGTCGCCAATCATCTTCTCGTTCAATGACCTGACAAATGGAGACGGAAATGCATAATAAATGGGGTTTTAGGGCTTCCGACGAGACAGGATCAACAGGGGCGAAAAGTCAAGCGCACGGTATCCTTTTCCCGCTCGGCTTCCAAGGTTGTCAACACATCGCTTACCCATTGAGGGCTGATCTGAAACATGATCGTGTCGATCTCTAAATCTTACTCGTACATATCCATATCTTTCCTAAATTTTGTATCAATAAGGGTGTGTCTGGGGATTGGTCACTATTCTGTACAAAGCAAGAGAAATAGTAAACTTTAGAATCCTATCAAGTGCTTTTTATCATACAATCTGAATTTTCTACGAGTACTCCGTACATTTGAGAGCGCCGTCAAAAGGTTCCACAAATATACTCGGTACCCGACCAGATATGTTACTTGACAGCTCCACGGAGCATCTCTGGATGAGTGCTCCGTACTGCTGTCTGTCATATCCACAAAGCAAACGTGGAGCGATGTGGAGCGGGCAATTTCCGTGGTTGAGAGCTATCAGACTTTCTCGGGCCTTTTAGCCATGCATTTGACCCTGATCCTTTGCAGAACATTACGTAGGAGGTTCTCCTGAGACTACAATGCGTACGTATTGTTCATGCACTCCGTACCCCTCGTTGCTCAGCCCATGATGCTTTGCATCGCGCAAGCGCCATGGCCCACTATGTCGTGTTGGGCGAGAAGTCTATGCCCCCTTACCCCCTTGGTAGCCAGTCATTGGCTTTTGTTTCCGAGGTGGCTCTTTAACTTTGGTGTGGTGATCCACGTCATATCGATCAAGATCTTCCGTATACGAGTAGTGCGTTTCCACAGGTGAAAGACCCTCGATGCGAGTCACAGGCTTATGATAGTCAACATTTCGGAAATCTTTTCAATTGGTAATGGGGTTTGAGCATAGCTACTGTAGTATTGAAACAGCAAGGCTCTCAAAAAAATAATTGATTGACCAGAGATAGGGGGTTCGACTTTCACTTCAGACGATCCACCTTCTATTGCCGGTCTGGGTCCACAGTTCCCCACTTGGAATATCAGAGCTAACAGATAGATCAGCACGGCTGGGCTGTAACACGAACTGCAGCGATTTTGAGTCCAAAGTATATCCACGCAAGTCTACCCCTCGCTCTTCAGATTTTGCAAGAAAAGCAACCAACACGATGACTTCCAAAGAGCCCGTCTATGACTCAACAAAGTTCCGAATCCTCATGATTCATGGTGAGTACTTAAGTACAGCAATCTGATATATCCAACGTGTACTCCGTACTGACAGCCTCTGTAGGCTTTGCCGGCAGTCCATCAGAGTTCCGCGCCAAATCCAGCCGAATCGTGAAACGAATCAATGAACTCGTCACCCCGCAAATTCGCGAAGAATTCCCCGGAGGAATCGAAGTGCTCTACCCAAACGGACTATGGACTCTCGAGGCTCCGATAGGAATGGGCGGGGATATCAACGATGACGATAAGACGCAGCCTAAGTTCTTCGGGTGGTGGCATGGCTTGGATGACACAAGCCGTTACAAAGGCGTGGAAGCCTCGCTGTCTTCTATCGCCCGGTATATTCATGGACGACCCATCCATGCTATCATCGGATTCTCCCAAGGTGCAGCCCTGGGAGGAATGATTACTTCCATGCTCGAATGCGGAAGCAACCCAGAGAAAGCTGCCATGGTCCGATCCCAGTGCCTACCAGTCGACGACTTCTTAAGCCTGCCTAACCAGAAGCCATTGCGATTCTACATTGCAATGGCAGGATTCCGGGGGACTATGGAATACTACGGAAGTCTGTACCGGTATCAAATCCAGACGCCGAGCTGCCATGCCATTGCCAAATTCGACACGATGGTTGAGCACTATCAAACCATGAATCTGGCACACAGTTTCGAATCATACGAGATCGTCCACTACTTTGGATCCCACTATACTCCCAGAGATAGTACGACTGTGGATTATTTAGCAAACTTTGCACTCAGAAACTCCCGTGACGATCACTCCTCACTCTTCCGACCTTCGTCTCCCATATCACAAGCAGACAGCGAGGAGAGCTATACCACGGCCCGATCTGATCGATCTGCGAGACTGTTCCCCACTTGGCAAAAGCCGTTAAGGAAGACCAACGTCACCGTGGGTGGACGATTGGGAGTTCCCCAGATCAGACGTGTCCGGTCATTTAATTGGTGATCAACATATGCAGATCATTCTGAACAGATTTGGCGTTCTATCGGGGTCGGAGGGAACTGGCTGGCGTTATTCGGAGGTTGGATACCACATACTTCAGCTCATGAAGTGCTTTCTTTTTCGTTTTTTTCTTTCTCTGTTTATGTTCTCACATCTTGTTTCTCTGTGACATACCTCTCTTTCGACTTTTCTTTTCCTTACCTTTTCTACCTCTTCAGATCCGATGATATTTTGTCACATCCATGTTCATTCATTGTCATATTCACATTACTTTGTTTTTCTCCCCCTTTCTTACTCAGAGATTACACATGATTTCCTTGATCTTACCTGGAGAGAAATGTATATTCAACCTCGCACATATAGCAGACTGTTAAAATCGAAGAACATTTTGGTGAAATAGCTGCATACCTCATCTATAATCTGAAACCCGGCTGTTTTCCAGGTCCTTCGCAAGCTTTTCGTGGGATGAACATACAAATGAAAGTGGAAGAAGAGGGCTCTCTGGGATGGTATGTGTTGTTGCCAGCCTGAGATTGCAGGCAGGATATGAGAAATCGCGCCCTCTTCTCTTTTCTCTTTACGACTCCTCGCTGTTTCCAAACACCTTGGCGATGCATCATCATCTGGGTCCACCAGAAGCCTTCGGTGAACTGCCAGCGCGCCTGATACTGTATGAGCACCTCTCGACGCTTTGGCCAGACTACGTTGTCTCTGGCCTGTCTCCAGAGTCCCACACACGCCGTCCGGGCGTGGAACAACAATGATCCGGCTCGGCTGACTTACATAGCGCATCACTTAAACGGTTAAATGTCCCGAGGTCTCTAATGGCATCTGCTAGTCTTACTGCAGGTTGGCCATTTGAGTCGGTTCTCTATAAATGGAGACTCGGTCACCCAACTCGCCTAGCTTAGTGGCGACTTCGCGCCGAGTTGGCCAGGCCTGGTATGTGAAATGTTCAAACATAGCCTCAATGACTGCTAACCAATCGACCTTCAGTGACCGCTGTAGGAGGTAGAGGACAATCGTGTCTTTTGATCAGCGTCAGCGGCTGACAACCTTCGACTGAAATAGGAAGAAAATCAAATGTGATGGAGCTCTTCCTTCGGTAAATACCCATTCCTCATGCCTGTTTTCTTCCCTGGAGTAACTGACACCTCTGCGAAGTGTCGAGCTTGCGAGAGGACTGGACTTGTCTGTGAGGTCTCTGCTACGCTCCGACGGCAAACAAAAGTGCGGGGGTAAGTAACACCTTGAAGACCTACGCTCATCTGGGTGATTATTTAACTTGCTCTTAGTTTTATTGCAGACGAGCAACGGGTGGAGCAGCTTCAGGCGGAGTTGGCAAGATGTCAGCAAAAGCTGAAACTCGAGCAAGATCGAACTGGGGCTCTCCAGCTGGAGTTATCGCGCCAAAGACAGATTGGAGCTCAATCTGAGTCACAAAAGGCCATTACCTCGAAGGAACCCTTCCCAGCGGCACAAATGGAGAGAGGTATCACCGATGACCCCACATATGTGATCAAGCATATGGGCCGGCTGGTTCACGACGAGAAGGGTTTTGGCCGTTTTGCGGGCTCAACTACCGGTGTCCACTTTGTTTTGACCGTCGAGCAAGAATGCCAAAAGGTGCTGAATCTTTCGGGTGGATTCCCAGAGAGTTGCTACCGAGCCTTTTTAGTAGAATCGCCCGGGTTTTGATGGGCACTACTCCCTTCGACGATCATGATATGATCAGACAGTATCTCACCTACCCAGCTGCGCATTACAACCAACAAGCAGATATGTTCATGCAAAAGTGGGAGCCATTCTGCCCTGTTCTTGTGATAAAGCAACTATTGGCAGACATTCAAGATCTCATGAATGCTTTATATGACCCAGAGGGTCAAAGTACTCTTGACTACTCCACTACGTTGATTGTATTGATGATCTTGAACATACAAGAATCTTTCCCCACTTCGCCAGCGCAGCCTTCCGGACAAAGTCCGAATTGCATTGAGAGACTCTCTTTGGCTCATGCGTTGATTGATAAGGTTGTGAGTCAAGGGAACATTCGAAGCCTGCAGGCTTTGGCTCTTTTTGCGCTTTTCAATCAACTGAGTGGTCGCTGTCTAATTTTGACTACCATCAACGGGATGATGGTAAGACTGTCCCAATCACTGGGATTACATAGGCATGCAAGACGTTTCAAAATGGGTGTGGGAGAAATTGAGCTTCGAAAGCGCTTGTGGTGGTGGGTCTATGTGTTTGACAGGTACCTGTTTCCCTTGAAATCAAACTCTTGCAGTTCTAATATGTTCCAGGTTTACTTCTGTTCTACACGGAATACCTCCCCTCGTCAACGACGTTGATGTTGATAATGACTTGCCCATCGATTGCCACCTTCACGACCTGGGGGCCACTGAGCTTTCTCATCCTCTGCCCGGTGAGCGAACAGGAGTATTTGTGTTTCTCCAATACGTGAGTCTCGGTAAAAAGCTATCTAGGATTCTTAATCTGCTCTATACGACCACACAAAGACGCGATGGCGCACGGAAGATCACTGAACTAGATCGTGATCTCCGCGTGTGGAACCAAAACCTCAAAGCACACGGCATCTTTTTCGATATCGGGGATAGTGATTTGCAACATTTAGCTGGCTACACTGGCCGGCCTTATCAGAGCGCGACTTTGTGGCTCCAACTCATCTCAAATATGACCATGAACCTCATACATCGCCCCGGGCTCTCCTTTGACGACACAAGCCCAGAATTCGGCATTTGCCTTAGGGCATGTCTCAATTCTGGTACTGCGGTCTTGTCGCTGGTTGAATCATTGCAAATCCCCAGGTGGCTTCGCAATTTGAGCTTGGTTGGACCTGCTACAATTTTCCAGTCCTCCCTCATCCACATATATTCTCATCTCAAATTCGGCATGTCTAAGCCAGATGGACTTCCATCGCCGGATGCGAGCATGAGTGTGATTTTGAAGGCCATCTCGTTATTAACAGCAGATGTTCAGAGTTCTGTTATCAACCAAGCACAGGAGAACTTTTACTGTCAATCTCTTAATGAGATCATCGAAACGCTACAATCTTTAATTCCATCTTTACCAATGGTCGCACAGGGTTTCTTGGAAACCGAGCCTGTTATCAACGAGGACGACCCCACGACCGACACGTTCGACGAACAAGCATGGGGTGGCAACACGCTAGACGCGTTGAATTACATGACTGCTTCTGATTGGATGGGCAATGGGTCAAGCCCGTTCATGGATTTCATGGATTTAGGCGGGTCATAATGCGGAGAACAGGCTAGTTGATTGGTGCCGGAATAAGAGCTTATGCCGAGCTTCCCAGCCCTATGCCGGCAATGAGCCTTCCATCGTGTCTCTATTCCGACCCGATGCATTGCATGACCCCAGATTCTGCAAGCCAAGGCTGTCATTTCCTATTTAATGGCCTTAATCCGGGGCCCCAGGTTTTCACTCATCAACCGGTTTCTCCTCTCCATCTGAAACCTCATTTGCGTCACGAATCCGACCATCTCCCTTGCCCTCTCAACTGCTTTGAACAAGATGACCGGGAAGTTCTGGGGTCTCCGGGGGGAGATGCTATCTCTTGCCCAGATTCTGATGGTTGTTTGCCCAGCATACACACTATTCGGATATAATCAGTCAGGGCTCGGGAGTCTCGTTTCCCTTTCAGACTGGGTCAAGCACTTTCCCTCTATCGACACGGTCAACACCGAAGGTGCTGAAGCTAGTCACAATGCCACAATCCAAGGTGTGGTGATAGCGACTTTCACGCTAGGCGCCCTGCCTGGCTGTTTGTCTTGCTCATACACTGCTGATAGATTTGGCCGACGTCCGGTAATCTTCCTCGGGGGATTGCTTGCTTTGATTGGCCAGGTGTTGGAAGCGTCATCCTACCAGTTATCACAGATGATTGTTGGTCGTACTCTGCTTGGAGCAGGAATTGGCATGCTGAGTGGCACCGTCCCAACCTGGCAAAGCGAGTGCTCTAGCTCCAAGAACCGAGGAAAGCACATTGTGCTTGATGGTCTCTTTATCGCACTTGGTTACGTGCTTCAAGCATGGATCAATTTTGGATTCTACCAATTCAAAACGGGCCCCGCCACTTGGCGAGCTCCGATCGCCATTCCCATCATCTTCGCCATCCTCCTCCTTGTATCGATCGTCTACCTCCCCGAATCCCCTCGATGTCTCGTACGCCAACACCGCGTGGGAGAAGCCCGAGCTGCCCTGGCTTCTTTGAGGGATCTTCCCGAAGATGCATCAGCCATATCTGGAGAAATTGCCAGCATTGAAAGCTCTCTAGAAGAGACGGCACAAAGCGCTGCATCCCTCAGGGATCTTCTCAAAATGGGAGAAGACCGCCTACTCTACCGTTTCTCTATCTGCATCCTGCTTCAATTTTTCCAACAGATGTCGGGAGGTAACTTGATTTCGGTCTATTCCTCGGTGATCTTTGAACAAGGTTTAGACTGGATGCTGAAACGGCACGGATTCTTTCGGGTGGTACACTGACATGGAAGTTCTTGTCATGCTTTGTATCATTCTTTACTATCGACAGGTTTGGTCGTCGTATTGCATTGATGGTCAGTGGGGCTGGAATGGCCAGCTGCATGTTGGGTCTTGCAATCGCCACATCTTTCCCCCATTCCAACTATGCTGCCCAGATTATCAGTGTTCTTTTCGTGTTCCTCTTCAATTTCTTCATCCCGATTGGATTCCTGGGTGCCAACTTCCTTTACTGTACGGAGGTGGCACCTATCCGCCTCCGCGTTGCCATGTCGAGTATTTCTACCGCGAATCACTGGCTTTGGTACGTGATCCCCTCGATCGGTAATATTTACTGGCTCTCTAACACGTTTGACAGGAACTTTGTGGTCACCATGATCACACCCGTGGCAATTAGAACGATCGGATTCAAGTACTACATTGTTTATACTTGCATTGGAGCATTCATCCCAATCACGGTCTACTTTTTGTACCCAGAAGTCTTTCTGGTCCTAGAATGCCTTGAGCTTGCTTAATGACACTCATCAGACTATGGGGCGTTCACTCGAAGAGATTGATCTCATTTTCCGTGAGAGTCCATCGGTATGGGCGACTGTTCGATTTGCCAACAATCGACCGATCGAATCCATGCCTGATCTTCCCCAGGACACCCAGGCAAAGGTTGAAGTGGAGCATGAAGAGTACTCGATCAAGTCTGCGAGTAGATGAGAAGTGAACAGCGGTTTCTCCTGCACCGTGTATTTGAAAAAATTGTACATAAGCTGTAAGGTTGCCATGAGTATGGTATAGCCTTTGCGACTTCAGGAATTGTGAGGTTGCTGCCTAGGCAGATAGTCTAGGAATACAACTATAGTATGTCCCACAAGCTTTCAACTTTAGGAGTGCCTAGTGAATTGTCCACATTGTTATCCGGGGAAGCTGTCCCCCGATGCCTGCCCAGATACTTAAGTATAGATGAAGAGCTCTAGGGTACGAAGTAGATAACAGTGGAAGTGCTTCAGCCGAGTAAATATTTTGCTACGACCTTGGAATGCGGAAACCCAGATTACACACAGATCGTAGATATACCAGGGTCGGAATGTACAGAGAATTGACACATTTTTGGATTTCAGAGGCATCTATAGATCTACACGAGGTTAGGGGATCCAGACCTGGGGCCGCAGGCTTTGATCTTCATACTCAGATCTGTAGAGACAGGTACTTAAGTAATATCGTATTCTGTCCACCACCACTTAACGACATATATTAAATGTTGTTCTGAAGTTTTAATCAAATATTCAACGTCGGTCAAATGTATACGGTGAACCGACTTACCATCGGTCTAAGGCCGGGCCTCCACTATGCCCTCGGGATAAGAGGCTATTCCGAAGCAGATGGCCGAACCCACCTAGCGTCATACACCAACTCCTCATGAGGGGGAAATAAATTGTCGATAAATTATTTAAAAAGAAGACAATTCCCCGGAGTCAATTGTTTTGTCATCTTCCCCGATTTCACATTCATTACTCTCAACTATGGCTGTCTCCGCGTTCGACTCTCGCATCTTCCGCAACCTATTCGGAACACAGGAAATCCGCGATGTTTTTACGGACGAGGCTTATGTACGCTCTCTGATTGAGGTTGAAGCTGCTCTAGCGCGCGCCGAAGCAGCGGCTGGTGTCATTCCTGCCGATGCAGGCAAAGCGATTACCGATACTTTTGCAAGCCTTGAGATTGAGTATGTTCGAACCCAGCTTCCCGCATTCAAGAAGCTTACTTATTCCGATTTTTTAGCTATGAGCGCCTCGCAAGAGACACAGATATTGTCGGGTATCCCGTCCTCCCCTTGGTTCTGCAATTGGTCGAAGGAACACCCGAAGAAACAGCGAAGTATATCCACTGGGGCGCAACAACACAGGACATCCAAGACGATGCTTCCATGCTTCAGATCAAACGGGGTGTCGCGCTAGTAAGGAGAGAGCTGGAAACCCTGAAGGGGGTTCTCAAAGGCCTTGCAGCCACCCACCGTGACACGTAAGTCCCCTTCCTCACTTTCACGGCCAACACTAATGACATTTTCAGTCCAATGGCAGGCCGAACACATTTACAGCATGCCCTCCCTAATACATTCGGATACAAGTGTGCCGTATACCTCTCCAGTGTCATCCGACACCTTGAACGCATTGGGGAAATTGAGCAGCGATGTCTGCTTGTTCAATTCGGAGGTGCAGCGGGCACAATAGCTTCATTGGGTGAAGATGATACCGGTCTTCGGGTCCGCGAAAACCTTGCAGCAGAGCTTGGACTTAAGAACCCGGACATCACCTGGCACGTTGCGCGGGATAACATCGCGGAGATCCTCAACTTCCTCGCGCTTGTTGGTGGCACATTGGGGAAGATTGCATTGGATGTGATGATCATGTCCTCTAATGAATTTGACGAGGTTTCAGAGCCCTTTGTGCCCCACAGAGGTGCCTCGTCCACAATGCCACAAAAGCGTAATCCAATTTCCAGTGAGGTCATTTTGGCTGCATCGAAGATGCTACGCGTGAATGCATCTCTAGGACTGGATGCAATGGTAACGGATTTTGAGCGCGCATCTGGACCATGGCATTTGGAATGGGTGGCTATTCCGGAGGCTTTCGTGACTGCAGTGGGTGCTTTGCACCAGACGAACTTCGCTCTCGGGGGCTTGGTAGTGAAGATCGACTCGATGAAACGCAACTTGTATTCCACCAAGGGATTGATTGTGGGCGAGGCTGTTATGATGGGATTGGCGCGGCAGCTGGGACGACAGGGGGCTCATGATTTGGTTTATGAGGCTTGCAAGTCTGCTATCGAACAAGACAAGACTTTGCTTGAGGTTCTCGAGGCGGTGCCCTCGTTGAATGGAATCTTAACGAGGGAACAGCTCGTCGCTTTCTGTGACCCTTTTAAATATATGGGGGCAAGCGGGCTAATGGTTGATGAGATGGTGAGACGTGCAACTTGATCAATTGTTATGTTCAATGCACTTGTACATAGATGAACAAATTAGGGCATTGGAAACATATGTATAGTTAGTCAATTGGAACGACCTTGGGCAGCCCTGGAGTCCCAGATGCTAGGTGTGATAAGCAATTTCTGAGATCATCTGTTCCCAGGTTTCAAGGTCTGCAGCTTGTGGGAATGCAAAATTTTGATCTTCCCAAACAGCAGGCCAGATCATATCTGGCGAAGCCCCAAGTACATTGGACTCCACATCTATATTGGTCGGCATCATCGCCTCTCGTTCGCCTTCCATTGTCATAAGATCCGGCATGACTTCGGGTGGGCTCCTTGGGGCCTGTTCAGTCGATTGCTCGGCAGCCTGAACAAGACCTGCGGTGCGTATGATACAGAGCTCTACCACTTTTACCTCAGCGAGCCCAAAATCATTCAGCCAGACATCATTTCGTAGTCTTTCGCAATATTCTTCCAGGTCATCGAGGATTGCTGCGGTTTGAGGGGCGTGAGGCCTCCGCACCGCAATTATCCCCAAGATAAAAGCACTGTTGAACATGTTGTGTGTACCCAAAGTCCATCTCATGTTCTCAGCTGTTCCGTAACCCAGGGACTTCAGTCGGACTTTCAGGTCTGCGGATGCTGATGAGATACATGCTTCGTGGCTCAGGCTGAAGCGATTGGTGATAGATTCGCGTAGTAGATAGGGTCGGTGCAGAGTTATTCTGGCGAAGTGGAATGCAGAGTGCAGATAGAGGCGATGCCATGGCAGAAATGTGTGCAACTCATCAAGTGAGAGTTCGGGGTTTTCTACCGAGAAATAGGAGGGCAGCTGCTCTTTCCAGACCAGGAGTTTATTATCCATCTCCATCACCAAATCATATGATGCAGGATACAATCCGAAGCAACGGTCTTGAATTTCACCTGCAATCTTGGCTAGGCCACTTCCAAGTAGTGTCACTGTACTCATGGTGGGGTGAGTTAATGGAAAAGCCCTCTCGAGCGCAGACTGCTCATCGGTCAGTCCATCTAGCCAAACATTTTCGGGTGCTTTGATGAGGCACATATGATCTGAAATCGCGTACGGCCTGCCGAGGGCAAGAGCAATAGTTTTGTCGAGCAAGTAGAGATTGCTCCAAAGTCGTCTGCGTGTTTCAGTCGCCTTTTTTGACAGGCCCCATTTTTCTCCATCAATATGCATGCCTTGTGCCTGGGCCATCCGCATCGCAAAACTGATGGTGAGCCAGCTCTCCGCAGTCTGTCGAGTATATAGCAGATATCTGGTGACCATCAACCCCGCCCGAACGAGATCCAAGCTCTCACCATGGAAAGAGGGAGATATCACGATCGCCCTTCTGGCGGCCCAGTAGAAACGAAGAGAAGCCTCTTCGCTCTCTTTCCGCTTTTCGGGCGAGGCGGTGGAAGAGCTATCCAATAGCACACTATATGCCAGTATAATAAAAAGAAGTGCAAGCCATCGAAGATCCACCCCAGCGATCTCGTCAAAGCCAAACTTTCGTCCCCAAAACTCTGCGAACTGCAATCTGAAGGTCTGCGGGTGGACTGTGTCGATAGCCCAATTGATCTCAGTGAGGAATCTCTCGATGAGCCTGTCGACAGTGACTTTATTGCGTGGTAAAAGACCTAGCAAGTCCCATACTTGAGAAAATGGACCGGAGTCATTCCGAAATGATTGTAGCGAGTCCTTGCTCGATAGCAAACTCATAGGGGGAAGATCAGGGGCAGACTCTTGGATCATCCGCGCTGCCACTTGGTGGCCAAAATAAGAGTTGCCGAAGAAGCTGGGTGCACCTCTGGCAATGTACAGCTGGCCCAGTTCCGTGCCTTGAGTGTCTGCTATAACATGGCACCGTTAGTCTGGAGCTCTCATCGGTTAAGAAAGCAGTACCTGTGCTCCCTACTTCCTGTGTGATCACATCTGTTTCTTTTTCAGGCCATCGACATAAATCAGGGACTCCCCGCTGAACACAGCGGGAGCAAGGTGATTCTCTGTCACATTTTTGTTTTCTAGCATGGCATTGAGAACAGGAGGTTGTCTTTCTTCCACGTTTTGCTCCTGTAGCATGTGATGGTGGATCCAAAATGCTTCTTTTTCTGCTGCTCGAACTCATCATCAGATCGCGTGAGATTGAAGTGTCGCGGAACGAAAGCCGAGGGGTGGAAGCCGGGTGTGTTCGCCTGAAAGATAAGGCTTCAAATGCGATCAAAGGCCCACCTCGGCACCATATTGATATCCCGGGGAACGATTTCACCGTTCACGGTGTCGTTCAATGAATCGCAGAATTTGATCGAATCCTTCAGGTTCTTTGATCCAGTGCCCGTCTGCATCTGCGCCCGTGAACTCCTGCACTTCAACTCGGATATCAATTTCTTGCAGAACTCGTGCTGCCTGTCGACCTAAAGAGATAGAGACATGTGGATCGTCTAACCCATGGCTAAGAAAAGCCGGTGTGTTCAGCACAGACAGGTCGTAGGCATCTCGCTCCGGTCGGCTCGAGGAGTCAGCAATCGTGTTGAGGAAGAATTCGGAAACTAGACGTTTGCGATGGATACTGTCGATACCGGGGTGACGCACCAAGCACTCGACTTGATGGGCAAACGGTAGCCATCCACAGAATCCCAAAAGTCCACCAAGTGGTGCGGTGATTCGACTAGGTGCACACAACAACACCCACAAGCTTATTGCCATGCCTTGGCTAATACCTCCCAAAAACACTCGGTCGGAGCGCCCATCAAGTAACTTGATTTCTGCTTCCAATATGTTGAGGATGTGATGGACAGACTCTCTGAGGCCCTCGATCTGCAACTCTTGATCTTTTTGTATATCATTCAAGGAAGAGGCGTCAAACCAGGTACACATTTCTTCCTTGAAGACAGTGCTGTATCGAGTGCGGGAGCTAGGGAAAACCCATCGCCAATTGGGAAGGCTTTCGGTCAAAGACATCTGTTGACTGGTCATACTAGAGAGGAAGTCCTCTGCAAACTCGGGTCCATCACTTCCCCGCCCGTGTAGTAAAATAGCAGTATGGGTATGCTCGGTTTGAGGATCTTGGATCTTGGGTGGAGGGAAAGCCATCGTTCAGGGCGCTTGTAGTCCGCTATAGCAAGATAAGCTAGCTCTTGGTGGTTGTATGTGAGTTTCAAAGACGCGCTGGTCTTTTTGGAAATGTTTGTGTGCATTGCATCACAATATCGTTGCCTTGGTTTCAAGGCACCAATACTCAAAGTAATGATTTGAAGTGACAAAAAAGCACAAAAATAGTGTAGATCACCAAAGGAAGGGGTTCTTATTATGCAGGACCGAAGCAGATGGTAAATCTACAAATAGGATGACGCGACCACAGATGCAGACTCGGCATTGCCTCCGGGGCTTTATTGCTTATGGAAACCTGATGTACTATTCCACTGAAACAAGACGAAAACTTTCTCCAAAAAAAGATACCGGAGTTGCCTGATAGAACAAAAACTATGCCTTTTTGTGTCGAGTCTGCTCGATATAGGCGGAGATGTTGGGGCGTGCTTCAATGGCCTCTACTAGTCTAGAGAGTGCTGGAGGGATGGTGTCCTGGGGCCATGATGAGTATAAAATCCATCCGGGATGGTTGGATTTTACTCACCGGGATTGTGCCTGTCCTTGTATCGTTGTCAATGGATTGATACACAGCAAAGTCGGCATATGTGATCTTATCCCCTAAAAGATAAGGTCCATCCACGTCGGAGTAATACTGGGCAAGCAGGTCATAGTATGTGGGGACATATTGCCTGTAGGAGTCGGTCACCCCTTTCAAGATCGCGATCCATTGAGACTGAAACTCGTGTTAGTGACATATCCCATATCTCTGGATTGATTGGGTGCTTTGATACCCTCCAGTCAACATAGATATCTGAAACCGCATCAACCAGATATTTCTCCCAATTGGTGTTGCCATCATAAGCACCGAGATCACGGGAAAGGTAGCGGAGTATCGGGATGTGCTATTTTCCTATGAGCTGATGTTTGTAAATCTTAATGTGCTCAATCTTGCCTGGGTAATCACTGAGCCGCCGTATTCCAGTGCAGGCAGGTGGCCAGTTCTCGTGAGTCCACTCTGGCGGAGCTTTTTGCTGGTTTCCGCCCAAGTGTTATCGTATGGGTAGCGGACATCCTTGTAGTCGATTCCTGCGTCCTTCAAAAATAGGCTGTCAGGCATTAGCTTTGACGATGACAGATGTGTAGAGTTGCTTACTTGACTACCTCTCCGCGGCCTAGCCTGCCGATATCAAGATAATGATAGATGGTGGGTGGGGTGACCATTTTGCTGGTTCTAGATAGCTCTAGATAGTTTTCGATACAGGATTTGCAAAAGAAGAGACTGGATTGAGACTGTCATCAGATGTAGGAGATCAGCTGATATCGCGGGGAAGCTGGGCCTAGACTGCTGTAAACATCACGTCATCACACTGCTCGCCTCAGTACTTGAGCCCTAACTCCCTCTTTGGTTGTTTTATCTCGCCTCTTTTGCCCTTCTCATCGCGCTTTTGACCCTTTGGCCAGAATGCATCTATCATCGGTTGTGGAGAGTTATCCAAAATTTGCCTGGGGAAGCAATCTCTGTGGCATCCCTTGTTGCTGAAACTGCGACAAAACCCAATCCAAATTACGGAAGAGACGGTGTGGGGTCTCTTCGGGTGTATCTTTAGATCCAAATCGCAGTCCTGGTGCTTGTAACTGTGTACTCCGCACTCCTTGGGTGAATTTGCGTCGAGTGTGGAAATTCCAGTGCCAGTTCCTTCCCCGTCCAACAAGTCGAGGCAGGTGTCAGACCCCCCAGAGAACATCTGTTACGCTACTCACCAGCTCTAGGGTGTAGAATGGATGGATCACCTGGCATAATGAGGGCGTTTTATTCAGCTGCTCTCTGTTATCAAGGCCCATCTTGTCCCATGGCTTGCAGGCGCATGTCTCACGTGTGAGCTCTTTTGATTAACGTCTGAGAAAGATAGATCTTTGAGTGGTTATGCCAATTTGGTGCCCAGATGTTCATTGCAAGCACAGTCTGAAGGCTCAATTACCCAAGGGCCCGTGCAGATCTTCTCGGAAATATTTTCCCAGGGTCCCGCCTGGGCACCAATTCAAGGGCATTGGCATTGACACCTCGGTTCTAAATTCGACATGAGCTCCGCCTCCTCTTCTTGGTGATCTACGAGTACTCATGGAGGCTCTGTACAGAGATTGAGCGGGGCGAAATTGCGATCGACGTTCCAGTGTTATCTTGGGAAATTTTCACATCTTCATGGTCTGTGTTTTGCAACGGAAACTGTCCTGATTGGGTGGGCATAGTAAGAAATCGGCCGTCTTCATGAACCCCTTACTAAGTTACCGCTTGTTGCTCGTGTTCAACTATCAGACCCTGCGCTAATGCCATCCGCATCTCGTATATCCTACCCCATCTCGTATTTGACTGGTTCACAATAATCTACCGGCCATCATCGCCCTTGGCAATTCCTCTTGTAGGCAAGCTTTGGGGCACACATATTGCGCTTTGTTTCATTGCGCTGAACAGAACGCTTAAGCGATTGGGGCTCTATATCCTCTGAGCCCCTGTATAAAGCACCTAGTCATCTCTGTGTCTATTTGGTTATTTTCATATTCTACAAAAGCTATACAACTCCTTCTTGCTGCTTCCACAGCCAATGCTCTCAATTTCAGTTTCTCAATCCTAAACATCGCTCTTCACCATGCGTCTTTCCTCTATCCTCTTCCTCGGCCTTGCTTCCGTCGCCGTCGCCGATCTCAACTCCTGGAACGACGTGGTTGGAGATGTGCCCCAGTGCATCAAGACATGTCTCAACGATTTCTACAACTCTGCCGGTCTCAAGTCCAAGTGTGGAAGCGCCGAATCAGCCAGTCTTGACTGCCTCTGTGGTGTCAAGAGCTCAGTCGACGATGTTGCGGATGACGCCTCCGATCTGAGCACTTGCATCCAAGATGGCTGCGACTCAAGCGAAATTGCGGACGCTTCTAGCAAGCTTCAGGGCTTCATGGACCGATTCAACAGTCTTGAGGACCAGTGCTCTAAGAAGGGTAGGCATTCATAAGTCCCCACTAGTGTCCAAGATCTTTGGCCGATTGTTCTACTGCATTGATACTAACTGTCCATATCGCAGGCTCCGCTAGTTTGACTGTTCCTGGGTACAATGCCATGCTCGCGTCAGGAGCGTTGCTTCTGGTAGGCGCCGCTCTGTGAAACTTGGGCAGAGTATCTTCTTGATCGTGTGACTTTATATAAATATAATCTAATTAAGCAATCATTTAATATTGTGTCTCTTCGTCTATATTCCAGCATATGAGTTTACGAAGAACGGTGTGATCGAATTATGCACCGGGAACTCTCAACCTCCTCTTTATCGTATAGCTTCATTCGACTAAGACCCGCTAAGGAAAGGAGTCTGTGAGAAAGCAAGCAAATGTTAGTGAAGTAGGTACAAAAAAAATCACTTTTCGACATTCACCAGTAACAGTCCCTGGGACTTCTAACCGGGACTTCTAACTGGGACGAGCTCGTTATGGGCATAATAACGAAACCCCCGTGGACGTACAATATTCAGGGAGACTTACGGATCACGAAATGCATCAATTGTCCATGAATTGGACTGTAATTGACCAAATTATACCGAGAAAATCATGGATATTCCCAGGTTTCCTCTCAATGGTCTAGTCTCTCTTTACCTCTACCTTTTGAACACTCCTCAGAAACTCACAATCACCGATAAGAACCCTAAGGAACAATTATACCACCAACCGGCTTTATACCCGAGTAACAGACTCTCCAGATTATCCGGTTTCCCCACCTGAGAGGTGATCTGTCGCGCAATTAACGCCGATGTGGCGATCCCCACGCTCTTGCCAATTTGCGATAGCATGTTAAAGACTCCACCTGCTAGGGCTTGTTTTTGGGGTGGAAATGCAGCTGTCATCACTAGAATAGCGATCGTATACATAAGGTCCGCGCCGATGGGGTTAAGGGCCATTGCCTGGAAAGGACCGCGCCAATAGTCCGGCCCATCAATGTGGCACAAGCTTGCTAGTAATAATGGGGCGATACCACTCAAAAAGCAGGTTGCAGGGACCGCTATAGATGGCCACAGGTGTGGAAGGAAGGCTCCAATGGCAATGTTCATCAATAAGCCGCATATCGGGGCAGGTAAGAAGTAGAGAGATGCTGTGAGAGTGGACTTGCCCAAAACATCTTCGAAGTATAGGGCCGCGAGCTGTTCGCTGGCATTCAGAGTACCCCAGACAAGGAATACAGTAACGCACATGGATGTAAATGGTAGGTTCGTCCATAGAGCGTTTGGAATCAAGGTGGGACGAGACAACCGGGACTGACGATGCATCCAAAGGGCAAATGCCGGTAGAAGTGCTACTGCTATGCATAGCAGGGTAATATTTAAAGGTTCACGCATACTTTGATTTGCATTTGATCCCGTTGCTACAGCCAGCTCGTAAGAGAGGAGTGCAAGACATGTGCTAATGAGTAATGCGCCGACCCAGTCAATGTCATGCACAAGACGAGAGAAGGAAGCCTTCTCTAAAATACCATCTATAGTGGGTGGGAGTGCCCATACCGCCAAGGCAAGTACAGCAGCATTGAGTACAGCCGTGGCATAAAAGCCCCAACGCCAGCCGATTGTATCAGAAAACACACCTCCCAGCACCAAGCCCAGTCCAAACCCGACAGCCTGGCCACCACCCATAGCAGCAAATGCGATACTACGGCGGCGTGGGCTGCTGCTGGCAGGAAATATATGTCCAGCGGCGCCGATGGCTCCAGGAAGACAGAATGATGCGGCGAGACCCCCGGTGACTCGTAATGCAATAAGTTGGGTCGATGTGGATGCAAGGCCTGCACCAAGTGCGCTTGCGGTCTGAAGCAGCCCGCCAAGTAAGCAGGAGCGCCGGCAGCCAAGTACATCAGCAACCGCACCGCATGGGAGTAGCAAGCAGCCGCAGGCGAGCGCGAAAGCGGAGGCGGGCCAAAGCTGTAGATCTGGCGGGATATGCAAGTCTTTTGAAATCACCGGGATGCATACAGTGAGTAGACCAGCGAGCAGATTTCCAATACCAGTAATGCAGGTAAGTGAAGCATTGATTGCCACGGTTCGACTGAGAGAGGTAGTTGCATCTGCTTCAACTTCCACGACCACAGGAGAGGGCGTTTCTCTGGGATCTGGCTGCAAAGCCGGTGGGTGTCCTTCGGAGCTTTCAGTAGAAAGCATGATGATATTGCAAGTTCAGAAGTTTATGTGCTGTGGGAAAGGTACATTCGAGCAGAGACATGGAAAGGGTTTATGGGTTTGCTTCACTACTGAGGTTGGGTGCTGCTCAAGTGGCCTGGGGGGAGGACACTTGTTCTGAGCCCCACCATGTCCTCTCCGGCTGGGGGATCGCTTTGGGGAGACAAAAATGCTGGATACCAAGCGTAAATTCCTTCTTCCTACTCTATATCTGTGGCACAGCTACTCCGTACTGTGATCTATCGAATATTCGCTGTTTAAAAGCCATTTTCCTTTCATTTTGCACATTTAAGAGCTTACCAGCCCTCCGTCGTCGCGTACAAATTGAATCGACGCCTACTGTTTACATATTGATGCCGAAACCATCGTATGTTAATTAATTCTGTAGCTTTTGTAGATTCATGTACGGGGTATCAAAGCATGAATACATATATTAAGTATTCCGTACTTAAGTAACTGACCGGACCAAGCTAAGCTAGGATGATGTGTACTAGTTTTGGCTGAGTCCTCGGTATTTGTGTCCTTAGTATGTACGGAGTACTCTCTTGGGATCATACTTTGTTCTCTTTTTCTTTCTTTGCCTACCTCGGCCTTTATCATCATCCTCCTGCCATCCTCCTGCCATGCTCTCATACACACCAATAGCCCAAAGTCATTGCATAAAGTGTTACTCGCTGCATTCGTGGGCCATGAGCTACTACCTTCTTCTTCTTCTGGATTACGGACACTGGGCATTCTCGGCTCCCTCCTTGTCTTACAAGCCCAATCGACTGAGATCTGGTGGAGACATTCATGGTGAGATGGGTAAGTTGATCAAGGCGTTGTGTTGTGCGAGTACTTGCAAAAATCGCATTGTCGAGATTGACCGGCAACAGTGCCCAGGTCTAGGCAAATCCATGAGTACGAGTGCCAGAGGCTGAGTCGAGGGACTCATCATTTCATACCTTCAATTGGTGAACAGGATATCCATGGATGGTTAAGGTGAGATGACAATTTGGTGCAGCGGCAAGCAATGCTTCATTCTTTTCTGGTCTAATTCTATGATGTGTGATACTCATGATATTACAGATCATTATGCGTTCCTCGTCATCCAACTCTCGTTGGTTCGTATGTCAGTCACAATACGTACACAATTTATCGTCTCTCATAGCCCATATCATCGTCATCAAATACAAACAACCGCAAAATGGCCTTAGCAACCTCGACTCCATCGTGTTCCAGATGCGCAGTCTCAGCCGCCCGGTCTGCATGTTCGAGATCCTTGATCCCGCCGCCATCCACTCTGATCTGAATTTGTCGCTTCACCATGTCCTCATCAAATGCCAAGTGCGCCTGTGAGGTGAACAGCCGGTTCGGGATGTACAGGCCCTGAACGGGTGTGTGATCGCTGCGTCCCCAGCACGCGACCTCAGTATCCGCCGAAAGCATCTCTGGGCCCGCAGAGGCAGCGGTCGGCGGTGCAGTCACCTGGTCCTGGTGCATCTGGTGAAGATAAATGTGGTCGTTGCGCGTACGGAAGAGGCGCTGTCCAACAGATGTGAGGTCAATGCGAGAGTGACCGAGTTCCCAGTCCTGAGTGGGCGCAGGGGCAACATTTCCACCTAGGAGACGAGCAAGGAGCTGGTGACCGAAGCAAACACCCAAGAAATGGAATTCCGGGCGTTGGATCCAAAGGGCTCTGAGAAGCTCTAATAGATCCAGGATCCATGGGTTGTTGGCGTGAGCATCGTACACGCTTCCTGTGATCACAAGACCGTCAAAGCGGGCAAATTCTTCCACAGTTGGAATCCGGCCGCCTTGTTCAGCGACGACATAAACTTGATCTGTTTCCACGCCGAGGGGCGGATGGTGGGCGCTTCCTGCTTTGGAAAAGAAACTGTGGACAATTTGTCCAAAGGAGCCACGCTCTGAATATGTGTCTGGGTGAGGCTTGTCCGTCTCAAGGACCATGAGGCGTACGACAGGTGCTGTCGGGGTGGGTCTGAATGTCTGATCCATGCTGAGTGCTTGTTTTTCTAATGTGGTAGAAAATACAGTGACTTGTCTTGAGGAGGGAGAATTGGGCTTAAAGAACTGCGATGGATGATCATGGCGAGCAACGTCATCGTCTTAGCCGCCAATGCCAAGTCGGATTTTTTTCTTCTCCAGAACAGAATGTATCGATGACCTTCCAGATTGGCGCCAAGCGATGTGGGTGGTTCTTGGCCCCTGTCGATTCCCGGATATTTTCTTCGACCTTGACGTCAGTGAGATCGGCCCCGATGCGCCAGGTCCACCTCGACAGGGGACAGCCCCGGGAATATACTCCGTGCTTTGGGGGTTCTATCTAGGCAGAAGTTTCTCGGCTGGGGTGTTGGCTCCCAACCCCGCTATGATCAGATCGCTGGGCATGTTTCAATCCTCCGGTGAATTGCGGAGTGGACTACAGCTCGTTCAGGTATAGTACAGGTATCCCAACTACCCAGGGAATAGGGTACTAATTCAGAGGTTTTAGAAAATGGTCGGAACTATTGCAGTCAGGGACATGCTTCTTCGCGAATGTTTAATATCACATTCTACGGAAATGAAGGAGTGACTGATACTCGGTGTCCACGGGTGCTGGGGCCCAAATAGGCTCACACTTGAGGCTGAACCCACAACCTTGATTTCAGCCTCCCTCCATCCTCCAGTGATGTTATTTCAATATTACCCCGAACGGCTTCTGATCAGCCTCCTGTGGATGAGTCCAGCTAGGTCCACATCCGTGCAGTTATTTCCAGTTAGGAGTGGGAAAAGCGTTTCCGAGAATCCAGATTCGTCGATCTCGAAGGCAGTATGCGCGGTCACCTATGGTGGTATCCTCAGCCAAGGCGTTCGCGTCCCATCCGATGCAGCACCGCCAACGCTTTCTTGTTCGGACCGTCATCGGAAAGGGAGTCATCGAGTTGGGTTTCCCAGGTGAGGGTAGCAGAAGCTTTCAAATGTTTTCAGCCACCAAACTTCTCTGTATTGTCCGGATGCTTCTTGGCCTTTGTAATTATCGTGTGAGTGCGCAGATCACCATTGTACCACGACTATTAGTAAGACTCTCTTCTTAGTAGGATAAAATACTCGTATTTCTGCAGTTTCTGTAGTGTCTATTTAGCTCTCAATATGTACGAAAGAGAGTACTAGTTAGCCAATGCAAACGGTACAAACAGAGCTAATGAGTCGCTGAGTCATCTGACGTGTGTCCACCGTTTGTTTATGTTCGAGACAATTGATCTGCTTCCCCACGCAATTCCTTACCCTCCAATTTTTTTCGTCTCATTCCTTGCGTTTGTGTCATGGCGATCCGTCGGTCCGCGCGCATTCGTCGCGCTCAAGAATCTCCGGAGGTTAGTAGTGGACTTTGATCATTGAGACCTCAGGGAACTCACATCATTTTTCAGGTTGAGGAAAGTACTCCGCAACCTGAGCAGGTCGCACCTTCCCGACTTGCCTCTGTTGCCGAGGGCGACGAAACTGAACTTCCTCGCGTCCAAACTCCTCAAACCAAACAATCCTCACACAGTTCATCCTCACACAAAACCCCCACCGCGTCTGCTAAGCGATCATCTACCAACGCGATCACTCCCACCAGTGTAATGGCGCGTCCGTCGCGAGCAGAAATGCACCCGAGCAAGGCTCATCAAAGCACCGCCAAGAAAGCCGACTCCGGTCTTATTCTTGGATTCAATCCTATCACGAAAGATGCCGATGGCAAGGTAGTGGGCAACAGCATCAGCGACAATACTCCGACAAAATCGAAGCCGTCGCCCGCAACCAGTGGCTTTGGAACTCCAGGTTTCGAGTTCAAGTTCCAGTCGCAGGAAACAGACCTGAGTGATCAGGCTAAATTGCTCATGGACAGTGTCCGTGGCGATGTTGCCCGAATCAAGGCCGAAATGCTTGAGCAGAAATCGAAGCAAGACCAGGAGGATGATAAGGCTGAGAACGCACACGGTGACCGGAAGATCGCCATGCCTAAGGGCAAGGCTGGTCGCTTTAGCGATGTTCACATGGCCGAGTTCAAAAAGATGGACTCAATTGCGGGACATGCCTCGTCTTTCCGTGGCACAGCTGACCGTTTTGTCCCCTTGACCAAGTCTCTGAAGCGGTCCAAGTCCAAGGCTCAGCTTGACGAGCCCGACAGTCACAACTCATCGCCCTCTCGATCCCCAGCCAAGGGCTCCAGCTTGCCAGCGCCTCCTGCCGCCTCGGCCGCTAAGCGCGTCAAGCACAACCAGGCTGAAGATACGTCTGCTCGTTCCCAGCCCTCAAAGGCCGCCGACACCTCGAAGGTTGCCGAGACCCAGAAGGCCGAGACTCCTCGCCGGCCAGCGGGTCCTCGTCCTCGCCCGTCCGTCCGCAATTCACTTATGACTCCTACACGCGCATCCCTTGCTCGCTCAACTGCTAGTGTCAAGGCGCCCAAGACCTCTTTGATTCCATCTTTGAAGCTTTCCCCGGCTGCCAAAACAATTGCCTCGCCGCGCACTCCGCAGACTGATTTCAACCCTCGCTTGAAAAGCAAATTGCCGACCCTTGGCAATCTGAGATCTATTCTTCGTCGACGTCAGCCCCTATTCTCGCGTGATCCAGCCAAGATTGCATCTGGGACCCATGTTGCTGCGCCCGACTTCAATCCCAAATGCCTTTTTGCAGGAGCTGGTGACGTCAGTGATTCCGCGCCAACTCCTTCGCCCAAGAAGCACGTTGAGTTTACTCCTAGTGTCAAGTCTCGTCACGAGCTTGCCGTAGCATCACCTTCTCCCTCTAAGGCACCTTCCGCTCACCGTCTTTCTGTTTCCGGGGATGTGAGCTATCCGACACTTCCCACTCTTACACCAGAAAAGAAGTCGACTGACACAGAGTCTACCACCCCAACTTCTGCCCCCAAATCTATTCGGCGAGTTCGCAAATCGAACGCGGGTGAGACGGCCGCTGCTTTCCCAGAGATCCCTGTGGTGACACACGGCATTTCTCATGGAATCAAGAACAAGAAGAGACACCGGGATGAATCCGATGACAACGATACACCTACCGCTAAAAGGACCAAGGATGCCTTGGTTGCTGATACTCCGTCGGGAGAGCGCAGCACCAAAAGACTCAAAGCCACTCCTAGCCCGGTCAAGAAGCGATCTATCAATACCCCTGTGCGGCCCTCCACCGGTAATGTGGGCACTCCCGTCACCGCCAGTGCAAAGCAAAAGAGCCGCGGTGTTCTTAGCATGAGTCGTCTCAACATGCTTTCCAAGCCCAAGGGACGCGCCCAGCCAAAGTGATCACAGACCTACCCCTGTGATGAAACTCTGTCTCTTGATGAACCATGTTTCTTTTGTTTTTTTTCAGCCTTACGATCATTCCGGTGCCTTGGTTTTGTTCCATGTTTCCCTTCTTTTCTTCCCTTTTCAACACATTACTCGCTGCAGTCATGATCTTCTGCGGCGTCAACGAACCAACATTTCCCTTCTTGATTTGTATCTACCCTTACTATTTTGGGCATTTTTACAAGGGGATTTTTTTCTTTCTTTCCAAAGTCCTCTTGCCCTGCATTCTGGTTCATTTCTGTCTGTGTCTATTTTTCTTCTGCCTCTCGCTCCTATGAGCCTTCTATTGGATTACTGGCGTCTCGGGATATTTCAGGGCTATGCTCTACGCGGTGTCATTTGGGAAGGTGCACTAGTAACTTGTTTGATGTACTCACTGATTGATAAATTCATCTATTCAAAATTCTAACACGGCCCATGCCATCGTAGCCTCCACCACTCTAAGCATACAAGGACACCAACGCTCTAGATCTCAAGCTGCATGTCCGATCTGATGGCCTACGAAGAAGACGAATTGGATGAATCAAGGTAATTTTGGCTATGTACATACAGAAGGGGGATCCATCCATCCCTTGTAGGGAGATCAATAAAAGCTAAGAATACACGAAGGGTTCGAAGAATCAGAATGATAACACGCAGAGGATCGAGGCCTTTCCAGCCATAAAGAAACAGGGGAAAGTGTGATTAATCTCCAGTCTTGCAGACAAGAGCCTCCATAGAGGAGATAGTACAGGGGCATTAAGCATGAATCGTCGTGCATGGATGTTTTGGGAGGGGGGTGAAGGGGGGGGAATGTTCGGTGTGATGAAAGATGCAAATCGAGTAGAGCATAGAATGAGCAAGTTGCTCAATTCTTCATGGTTTCCAGGAACGAATCCAGGTTGTACTCTTCCTGGTATTGGCGATCGTCCCAGAGCTCCCCTAGGTCGTCTAGCCAGCCCTTTTTGCCCTTTTCTTTGACTTCGCCGTCAATGTCAACCATGTCGACTTCATTGCCGGTGGCGTCAGGTTTCTCGGCTGTTTCTGCTGTTTCGCCGAGATTGAATAGATCTAGGAGTTGGTCTGTGTCCATGGTTCCTAGTCCGGCGTTTTGTTGATTGACCACGGTAGAGGCGACGTCGATCTTGAATCGTTGCAGGCTGTTTTCCTTGTTAGTTCTTGTACGGTTTGGGGCCTCGTGCGGGTAAACTTACTTCAGAATCTTCTCTTCCAGGGTACCTCTGGTAATCAGGCGGTAGACGTTGACAACCTTCTTCTGACCGATACGGTGAGCGCGATCCATGGCTTGGATATCCTTCTGTGGATTCCAGTCGTGTTCCACGAAAATGACGGTGTCAGCTCCCGTGAGGTTCAGGCCCAGACCACCAACACTGGTAGTCAAGAGCAGGACATCGTAACTAGGATCAGTGTTGAAACGGTTGACAATGTCCTGACGCTTTGTTGCTTCCACGCCACCGTCAAGACGAAGGTACTGTACTGATGGGAGAAGCTTTTTGAGAACATCATTCTGAACAATGTCCAACATCTCCTTCATCTGACAGAACACGAGAGCACGGTGGGGGCTGACATAGCTTGCTCCAGTGTCCAATTCACCCTCTGCAGTGTGGTCAAGGCCAATACCACAATCCACCAGGAGGTCTTTGAGGGCGTTCAACTTGGGCGCGTGGGAAACGTCCCTGATATTTGAACGCTTAGAGGTTAGGAACGTTTGAACCTCATTGTACTGCTTGTGGCCTTCCTTGACAACCAATGCAGGGGAGTTGCATAGACGACGCATGTATTGAAGCGCCTGGAAAATGTGCTCTTTGTCGCCGCGGTCGGCACTGCCAACCTTGTCTGCCAGCTCCTTCTGCTCCTTCTTACTGAAGTCTTCGAAGAGCTTCTTCTGCAACTCACTTGGGTCGCAGTAGTAGTTCTGGATGATCTTAGGGGGCAGGTCGTTCAGCACTTCCTCCTTCAAACGACGAAGCAGGAAGGGCAGAACTTGTTTGTGCAGAGCTTCGATTGCCAGGGCACCCGCCTCCTGCTCTTTGGAGGACGATTTGCTGAAACGACTGGCTGCAATAGGCTTCGCAAATCGGTCCAGGAAGACCTTTTCTGTGCCGAGGAAACCAGGCATCAGGAAATCAAACAGCGACCATAGCTCAAGTACGTTGTTCTGGATCGGTGTGCCAGATAGAATGAGACGATGATTGCTCATCAGTTTCTTGACTGAAGAAGTAATCTTGGCTTTCGGGTTCTTAATGAGGTGACCTTCGTCGAGGACACAGTAATTCCAGTTGATGGGACTGAGAACATCGTTGTCGTTTCGACAAACATCATAAGAAGTGACGATGATATCTGTAGTAGCCAGCATTGGCTGGAGTCTTGATCGTTCGGCTGGAGGACCGACGTATGCGATACAACTCAGGAACGGAGCATACTGCTTAACTTCTTGTTGCCAGTGTCCAGACAGAGATGGTGGGCAGACGATCAAAGAAGGGAGCTTCCGTGAATCAGTAGACTGGCTCTTGGCAAATTCTTCCGCGCGCATGTGGTGATCACTGGCAACAATGCAAATGGTCTGCAATGTCTTTCCGAGACCCATGTCATCACAAAGAATACCGTGCAGGTTGTAGCGATTGAGGAAAGCAAGCCAGTTGACACCATCTTGCTGGTAGGGTCGAAGCTCTGCTTTGATCGCGACCGGAATTGAGAATTCCTCGACCTTCTTTGGATCCAGCATCTGAGACATGAACTTCCGCTCGCGGTCTCGTCCCTTGAGCAACTCTTCTGAGAAGCCAGGTGGGTCTGGAATACCAGCCTCGAGGGGAACCAGCTTGACGAGGGTCGCGAAGGAGGTCGTTGCCAGAAGTCGCACATCATTGTCCGAATCGCTCATTCTGCCAAGAACAGGAACCACCAAGAAGATAACGTAAGGGAGGATACCATCTTCCATGACGTGAATCAAGTGATAGATGCACTCGATTGCGCCTTGACGATGGTGGACATCCAAGCCGTTGCTGATGATAGGCAAAACCTTCTCCACGAGCATGGTCATACCCTGTACTGTAATGACGCTGCAAACAGTGGCGAAACACTTTGCTGCTGCGTATCGGATGACAGAGAGGCGGCACTGAAGACCCTTCGCGATGATCGGCATGAGGTCGAGAACCCATGGGTAAAGACCCGGGTCGAATTTGGGGAGCAGAGCCCTCAGTGTAGACAAGCCGTCGACGATCTCTTGACCAAGCTCATTCTCGGGGTTGGTGATGTCTTCTGGGAGTTCATCATTTGCCAAAGCCTCTCGCAAAGGCCGTTCAACCAACTTGGCAAGATTTGGAACCTTCTCCAGAAGTTCGGCGCCGAACTTGACAGTCAATTGCTCAAGAGCATCCTTGGCACCACGTCGCATGATCCTTGCTTCCTTAGCTTCTCTTTCAAACTTGGCTGCATCAGGGTGATCGCGGCGGTCCTCCTCTTTGCGGAGAGACAGGATCGACTTCTCGAGCTGGGCGTTGTGTGGGAACTCAGGTGTCTCAGAGGTGTCAACACAGCAGTACTTGACCAGGTTTCCGATAATCTTGTCCACAGGACCACGCTTGGTCGCGGCTGTGTAGTATTCGATTAACCCGGCCACCGCTGTCGCTGAGCGCTGTTGGAGTTCAAGGTTCTCCTCCTTCTTGATGCTGTCCATCATCCCCTTAATGATGTTACCAGGCTTCTTGGGAATATCCCGTAAGGCGACAAGAGCACCAGCTGTGGCAGCCAAGACCCGCATATCCCGCTGTTCTCTCATCAGTCGTGCTTCGTCGACTGCAGACAGGGTGGTTGCGCGGGTATCTGTCAAAACTTGGGTAGCGGTGATTCTTTGAGCGGGTGTCAGGTTCTTCTTCAGCCTGTCAAAGTCAGGGCCAACGATCTTCTCGGCATCGGCCAAAGAGAAGGCGTTAGGACCAGCCTCTGAGTCGCCTTGAACAACGACGGCCAAGGTCGGCAGCCGGGAAGGTGCAACGTGTGCATGGTCACGGAATGTATTCAACAGCGAATGACATTGGGCGCGCGCAACATGCAGGTAGCATGCGATGTCCGAGTACCATGGTGGGCGCTCGTTTTCGAGGATGCGTCGTAGGTTTTCGCAGAGATCAGAGGTAAACTTGCTGTCTGGTCCAGAGCGGCGAGCGTATTCTTCGATGATCATCGCCGAAGCGAGCTGAGTGGTTGAAGCAGAAACATTGAGACCCCCAAGGATAGAAGGCCAGAAACTCGGTAGCTCGTTCTTGTCCCAGAAAGAGATCAGCTCGCCCAACGCCTTTGAGGCAAAGATCTTGGATCGCAACATGGTGTCGGCACCGACGAGGTCAATATCGCCAGATAACATGTGTCCGTCCACATTGTGTGCCGAAGGTGCTGGTGGCTCTTTTTCCTTCTTCTCTGACTTGCGTCTGCGTCCAGGTTTTGTCTCGGCGGCGCCAGGAGCTGGAGGTGAAGGTTTAGAAGGTGTAGGGGCGGGGGCGGCGATGGAGAATGGCAGTCCTGACGGCTTGATGAAGAGTGATGCGTTCATAGGGATGGGGTATCGAGGAACACCAAAGGCGCCCAATGTCAGGCTGACGAGAGGAGAGATTGATTCGGACAATTCTTCTGCGGATTTGAAGGAACCGCGCAATTCGGCGACTTGGAGGAGCTCAGACCACACCTGGCCAGAAAGTTTCAAAACGCCCTCGTTGCGCTCCACCAGGAGGTTCTGGAAGATCAAACGTAGAGCCTTGCCATCTACCCAGTCTGTGGTGCCTTCGCCTTCCAGTTTGAGGAACGTCGTCAAAGCACGAAGTACAGCTGAGCGAACACTGGTAATGGTATGGCGAAGGAACGGGTAAAGGCGAGGAACAAGCTTGCCAAACGATGCCTCGGCGTCATCAGCAGCGTTTGCCTTCATTGCGTCCAAAACTTGAGGGTAGGTGCACAGCTTGGCCAAAAGGTCCATCACGGAACCTGTACTGGCGCTGAGATCATCCTGAAGGTTAGAAAGGCAGTCCCAGACGATGTTCATCAGTGGACCAAGAGTGCCAGTCCGTGATGTCACGAACTCTTCGGCAATGGGCACAAGTGTTGCGGCACTAACGGCTCGAACATCGTCGTCGAAATCAGCAAGTCCTTTCATAACAGCCTCCAAAACACCATCCATCATGCTCGAATCCTTCACGAGCAGGTCTTTTCGGACGGCAACTAGATAGCGCAGGCCGATCATACCACCGTGGCAGACCTCCCAAACAGGACGTTCTAGCCCTAAGTCTGTCTGCATGATGATGCGGTAGAGGCATCGATAGACTGATCGGACTGATCTCGGGTGAAGGTGTGAGAGCAAGGCACCCAGCGTCTGGCCCACGGTTTCACGAATGGGGGCCACAACGTTATCGGAGATGTAATCACCGAATCGGTCGAGCATCAAGACGGAGAGAAGTCTGCAGGCCAGATCGTCCAGCCATTGGCGGTTAAGAGTGTCGTTTTCGGCACGACTCTTTCCATCTTGACGACCAGCAGCCACGCCCTGAACTCGAATCACTTCACGCAAGGCCATAGCCGCACCATGTCGGACTTCCCAGTTGGAGTCAAAGATGTCTATGGTGAGGAACTCACACATGTGTTCCAATGGCCATCCCCCACCCTGTTCCGCGATCTCAGGTTGCAGGTGAGGCCTCTCTGGGGCGACAACACCCTTGAACTCGGAGACAACTTTAGAATCGTCGTCTTCTTCGTTGCGTTCAAATGAGAAATAATCATTCTTCGTCTCGCCGTTCTGGTCATCCCCATTTTCCGCCTTTACAGGATGGGGGGTGGTAGGTGTCGAAGTCGTCACGACCTCGGAGGGTCGACGCGAGGATAAATCCACCACGCGGACCTTATTCGCCCCCATCTTAGCATGTTGCTTGTTTTTGCGCTTCAATTGGTTGAGCTGTCGCTTGCTCAGTCCTCCATCTTCCTTGATCGCAGTTTCATTGGGCGAAGAGGGACGACGCGAAGGAGCATCCATTAGCGTGTTCTGACGCGAAAGGGGCGCGATCTTGGGTTCATCCTTGGGGGCCGGAGAAACCACTTTGGGTGCCTTCTCGACATCCTCGATCAGGTCCTCTTCGAGATATTCGCCGTTCAGACCAAGTCGCGAAGTGAGTGTCTTCTTCTGGTGTTGTAATCGAGCCGTTGGCTCCATCGACGCCAACGAGTATTCGTACTCCTTGCCCGCACTGCCCAGCAGACGTTTTCCGAATTTCAAAATTGACGTGAGATCCATCGTATCAAGCTTGAGGAATTCGTCGATTGAGAATGCCTCTTCTGACTTCACCTCTGACTTGATCTCGACGTCATCTTCATCTGCGGCTGACTTGATCTGAAGCCCGTCATCTTCATTTGGGTCATAGATCTCTGCGTTAGCCACAATCAAGCCGATGGCCTTGGCCGAGGCCGTCCTGGTATCCCAGGATTTGGATCTGAGGTAGGGCAAGATGCGCCCGAGCAGGTTGAACAGCTCATCTGGATGCTGTTTTTGGACATCTGCCAGCTGCTGGGCGGCTGTATTGCGAATTAGTTGCGTACTGCCCGTCTCCAGGAGCCTATATTGTCTGGTTAGATTGATATCTCCTTCCCTGGACCCTTAACTCACGTGACGAGTCTGTCTAATCTGCGGTGGATGTTAGTCATCTGATCACGTGTCGGAGCTGTTGATAGTACTTACCGGGACCCCATCTCGAGTCGCGATCAAGTAAAAAAAAATCTAAATCACAATTCGCAGAGGATCAGAGCAATTGCGCGCGACAAAGCGCGCAATTGAATTGAAGAGACGATAAGTAGGAAAAAAAGATTAAAAACGAAAAGAGAAAATTAAAAAAAAAAAAAGAAGAGACCTTAACGCCAGATGCCAAGGAGAGAGAAAGTGACTGGACGTAGCCCTTGAGAGCCTCTGGAACGCCAGGCCGACCTTATTATAGCAGAGGGCAGGCGCGGACTAATTTGCGCCTTTCCGTTTTGGGCCTAGTCTCTGGGACTAGCGTTGGCGGTGAGAGCTTCCAACCACTCACCGCGCGGCAAATTTTCACTGCGCCGGAATACGTGAATCCAACGGGAACGCGTAAAATGGATGACATACTCTTTCTCCTGGTTTGGGTGCTTCACTTCTTACTCCCTCGGATACTTCACTCTGACTTCAGGATGCTTAAGTACTCTGTGTATTATCAGATCCTCTAACTTGAATGAAGGAGTGAATGCCAAGACATGCCAGATCGCCTCTTGAGAGTTCGAGGAATACCGATCAGCGGGATCTATCGTCGATAATGCTGCAATGTTGATAGATGATGCGTCTAGTGCTCAAGCAAGGTGTGCTGGCCATCCTGCACGCGACCTGAGGAAAACATGGGGTTGTAAGAATCACACATACAATCTGAATGTATTGCTGGAGTCACAGACAAACTAAATAATTCTAAAGTTCCCAGGCTGCTCCGCACATCCACCTGGGCATATATATTTCAGGTGTAAGCAGCTTGCCTCATTCGGGATAGAGAACCTGCTTCTCGCCTACACACAGATTACGAACGCCCTTTCTAGGCATCTAAATAATTACTCGCTTTCGCAATTTTAACCTCCATGGACACATGGATAATCCTAAGCCCAGTTGAAAATCAAAATCCCTGAGTACGGAGCTGAACATGTATAGCAGAGAATGCAAACCATCTGGGCAGCCCTGGAGATTCTAAAGTTCGGGCCACAGAAATGAGTAAGCGCATGGGGAGATCGTTCGATAAGTTCGCCCACATCCAATCAGAATCCACATTTATTCGTTAATCAGCCGGGGCCTTCTGGGGTCGAATATGCTTCTTACGAGCATGTACTCCGGGCTTCTAAAGTTGGTGGTTAAACCAAGTACCATCCATTGCATATCGCAGAGTTAGGAAACCAAGTTTTAAGCAGCGTGTGTCATCGAATTGGAGTATCATTTCGAACCAGACATGAAAGTCAACCAGTTAAGCGTTTCTATACAGTCACAAGCCCCGGGGGAAAGTCCCGGCGCGGAAACGCGGAATCAATCGCATTGAAAAAGAAAAAGAGAACAAGCAACCCCCGTTTACCGCTGAGCCAGAACATTGGCTGCCTCCTCTTCCTTTCCAAGTAGACCCAGGCTGCGGATTTGCTCAGCCTTGGGGGCGTTCTCGCGTGGGTGTGCGGCCTCGGCCTTCCGGTAGGCAGCTTGCATCTTCATAGTGCGGAGAGCCTGTTTCCAACATCAATTGATTAGCAATTGTATCACTCCAGATAACACAGGGTATCGAGCAAGTGGGGGGTTGGCCTTACCTCTTTCCGGTGGTGAAGACACTCATGGTAATCTTCCAGAGCGGGCACACACTTCTTCTTGCCGCTCTCACCCTCGCCGGAGTTCACCACGTAGCAACCAAGGACCTCTTGCCAGAAGGGGTAGCAGCGGGAGCGACCTAGAATAAGCGAAGGGTCAGCTGGGTTCACTCGCGGGGGAGGCAACTGTCTGCGCAAGCTGTGATTCGAGACCTCGCGCATTGAAGCAGGTCACCCGGGGAGCCAGAATAGCACATACCGCCGTTGTTTCCATAACCGGAAGCCATTGTGATATGTCAAGGGAGGTGAGTGAACGAGGTGTAGGCACAAAGACCGCGAAAAAGGTGGTGATGAAGTGCCGGCGGACAACTCTTCCTGCCGTTACCGACTTGGTCCCAAGTGGTCCGTGCACCGTCCCTATGCAAGTTGGCCACCAACTATGAGACCACCTCACTTCTTGACCCTCTAGACCATGGCTTTCGAGTTATCCGATGCGCATGCCATCCTGCTTGCGACAAATCTATGCGCCAGTGGTAGCGCAGCGGACTTGCCTGCCCTACAGGCCCGGTTTCCTCATTGTTTTCCCTTTGAGCGTCTCCTGCGCATCATATTGACCTTCCTCCCCGAGAGCACAGAGCCCTCTAGCTACACCTCGGTGCTCCAAGAGCTAGAAAAAGGAGCTCCTTTGTCCACAGAACGAGATATCGATACAAGTGTTGTCAAAGACCTGACTGAAACGGTCGCTCGAAAGCGCGTACGGAAGCTTAATCTCCGACCACTACAACGCCCTGACGAGGAAGCCGAAGTCGCTTCGGCGGATCCTTTGACACAATTTCTCATTCACCGGGCGCACCTGATTGACTCTGAAACAGCACTACAGCCTTTGGTCCTCGATCTCCTCCTACCTTTCTATGAACGTTCCCCGATCATTCGAACATGGCTGATCTCCAGCCTATTACCACTGCTTCGACTCAACTACGAACTTTACGCGAATCGGGAAGAGAATATATCATTTGAAGTCTTGGAGTCTATGGATGATCAGACCGCGATCAACATTCTATTGTCTTTGATCAGCGACGAGGAAAACAGCATGGACTTGGTCAATAATTTAAAAGGTCTCATTGGGCCTTGGCTATATGGTGGCAACAGGTCAAAGCGACGGAGACTCAATGAGGCGGCACAGCAGAACTCAGTCTCATTTATCCAAGGCTCAGAGAAACCTCAACCGACCGAATTGGCAGGGTGGGAACATGTCAACGAGTGGTTAGTGTCGCGGAGCCTCGTGGACCACGAAAGCGTTGTCAATGCTTTCAGACACTGGGATGGACCGTCCGACGTTGATTTGGGAGGATATGACGACCCCGCGAAAAGATTGGCAGATGACAAGGCGAGGGAATTGCAGGTCCGATATGGTCAATCTGGTCTTGCCGTGGTGTATGCCCATGCGGATTCATCGCCGGCTGTTCTTGACGGGTCATTCGAAGTGCTGCAAAGGGTTGCGAGGCTTTTGAATCTTGAAGACAGCTTGTATCTGAGTACTGGCTCGGAACTACATTCTGTGCACTATGACACCGATCCAGTATCCTCGACCTCCAGAGCATCGCTATTGCAGAACTCTCTTCTGAGACCAGCCAATCCTCTAACAAAACCTTCACCCTCATCGATCTCATTTCTCAGCGCTCTGCTTACCTCCCTGCGTATATTGACCGAACTAGGCCATCTCGTTCCCTGTCGAGTTGCAGCAAACACCTGCTTGCACAGCACTCAGGAAATGCAGTTGACCGAGTTGAAAAGTGCCGTGGAGTCTACTGTGAAGCAGTCCCGGTCACCTCAAGACTGGTCAATGGTCCGGCAAAAATTACTTTGGCTTCGAGACTGGCAGCCGATAGAGCCAGAAAACGCATGGGATGAGCCTTCTTCGCCTTACCACGGACTTTTCTGGAGAGTCCCGCGGGAGACAGTTGAGACAGAGATCCTAAAGGCGATGCTGGCAGCTAAAGGTAAGCTCTTCCGGCATCAAACGTTCCTGACGAATACTAATAGTGCCTGCAGAATATCAATTAGCTGTTGATTTATACACCAATTCCCAATCAGCGCCGCTTGATTCTACTCAGCTTGAAGCGGCTGTTCAGGAGGCCATCTTCATAGCATATGACAATGCAAGCAATGGTAACAGAACTCGTGGCGGGATGAAGCGAGCTTATGACATGTGGGTGACACTACCGAACAACGCGTGAACACTGGCACTAACAAGCTCCAGTCTGCAATCATTCCAACCACACTTCCCCGAGTCCGCATCACTGAAGCAAATTCGCGCCCTCATTGCCGCTACACATGCCCTCTCATACTACTCTCTCACCCTCGAACATGGTGTGCCATTCCAGCCCGTCAGCATTCGGGTGCATCATGATCCTATTCTATTGATCGAGAAGGTACTCGAACAAAACCCAAGAAGCTACACCAAATTGGATGACCTCCTTTCCATCGGGCGCAACCTCGTCGCTGCGGGTGTGCCGGCAAAAGCCGCAACTCCTGACGACGAAGACGAGCTCTTTGATCGTCCATCAGAGGAACAAGTCACACTTACCTCCGAACGCCGCATCACCAGCCTGGCAATCAACTCTGCCCTCTCCTCTGACGACTTTGGCACAGCCTACTCCTACATCCAAACTCGCCTATCACCCCCTTCACTTCTCTCATCCCAATCCCTGACGCCCACCACGCCAGATGATATTTCCTGGCGAGCCGTCTACAGCGCCGGTCGCTACCGCTCAACAACACCTGTAAACCCACCACCACCCCTAACCACCCAAATCACCCACCTATCCCAGCGAATGGAACTCCTCAGCCTATCCCTTGTCCTCACCCCATCACCAGACCCTCTCCCCGAGATCCTGGGCGCCTGGCGCCGCTGCGACGAAGAACTCTCTTCCCTCCGCGCCCGCGAACAGCAAGAAGAAGACCTCTGGGACCGCAAAGGCGATACCCTCTCATCTGTACCAGGCGGTTTCGGACCATCTGATTCAGAACGCGACGCATTCGACACGGAGCAGCAGCGTGCTGCACGGCGCGCCAGGGCCCGTGCTGCCTTGCCGAATTCTCATCGCCATGAGGCGCCTATGGGTCTCTTCGATGTTGCACGCGGTGCCGCGATGGCTATTCATAAGAATGCATTCCCATTGCGAGGCAAAGAAGACGTTACTGTGAGTGATGAACGGCCTCTATCGCCGGATAGTGAGGGTCGTGTGAGGAAGAGGGATATGGTTAGCAATATGGTCACGGGTGGATTGGTCAGTGGTATTGGGTGGGTCATTGGTGCACCTGCCAATAAGTAGATTAGCCCTGGAGGGGATATAAAGCCTGTACCTTTGCTTTAACGATAGATACGAGAATATTGATGATAATTGCTGCACTAGATGTAAATATTAAAGGCTCGTCTTGCTCAAGTGGAAAGTTGGAGAATTCGCACAAGTGATCCCCCGTTGAAAGTTGACCCAGCATACTGCTTCACAGATACATATAAATATACTTAAGTACATCCACAGGTGAAGATCTATAAATCTTTGGAGTTACGGTATTCAAGACTCAGAATTCCATAAGATTTTGTAATATGTGTTCCTGGTATATATGTCCAATAACTGCATACAATTGAAGCTAAAGACAAAATGCAATGGTATTAAGTACCCAAGTCCACGACTTTCATGCATTGCACACTCCCGCATCCAGTGCAAACGAAAACACACCCGAACTGACAGGGGGCAAAAAAGAAAAGGGCTGTACACTGAGAAAAAGGCAAAGGCGAAAGACCTAGAACCGATATATTCAGGCGAGATGAAGCAAAAAGGAGAGGGAATCCATCGTGCATAGTAAAAGGAATGGGGAAGCGTTGTATCCAATCAAACATGAGAATGGCGGGCCATTAAGGATCGTAGGGGGTGAAAAAGCGTAGCCGAATTCGTCGCTGGAAAGCATCTGCTGTAATGGGTATGTCCCGAGTTCCGGCCCGGGAGGAAGTCGGCGAAAAAAAGAGGCAAAAAATAGTCGTAAGGATTGATGTTGACAGCCAGGTCAATGGGGGTCCAGCCACTAGTAAAACGAAAAATGCAGTGGAGAAAGCGCTGCGAATTGGAAGATTTTTACTCCTTCCAATCCCATACTTGCTTCACGAAGTTGGCCATGTTGACCTTCTTGTTTTTCATGTCCTGCACCCAAGGATGTTCCAGCATCCGCCAGGGACTCGCGCGTCGAGGGGGTTCTTTTTCCAAGCTAGGGGTCGGGTTAGTTGTTGCAGAAGAGCAATTTCGTAAGGGCACATACCAGCATTCGATGAAGTATTTGAAGTTGTCCGACCAGCGAATACCGTTGTCCGGCTCATCTTTCAATTTGGGAATGGGCTGGCGGACGATATAGGTGAGAAGATCTATTAGTCCTGCACGGGGTTGCATTTCTGTCCCGTCGGCAGGGAAGGGGAACCGATGCTGGGCGACTTCAAGCAAAGACACTCCAAGGGACCAGACGTCAGACGTGATGGTGTAAGATTGGCCAGTGATTCGTTCTGGGGCCATATAGTAAGATGTGCCAATGAAGGTGTTGGCGTCGCCCTTTGTTCCGAATTCACCACTGACACCGAAGTCGCAAAGCTTGACCTTGCCGTCGCGGCACAAGAGAATGTTGGAAGGTTTGATGTCTGCAGACCATTAGTTATCATTTCAAATATAGATCAACACCACGCGTTCATACCTCGGTGGATGATCTTTCGGCTGTGAAGATAGGTCAACCCGTTCAAGACGCCCTCTGCGACCTTTCCGAGCACCTTCTCTCCAGTCCGACCCCCAAGCTTCTTAACCTCCTTGTAGATGCTGTCTAGACTTCCGCCTTCACAGAATTCCATAGCGATCGAAATTGTACCAGTTGACTTGTCCATAAAGGCACCATAGTAGCGACAGATGTGGTGCGAGGCGCAGTCCTTGTTGAAGTTGAGTTCTCGCACGATTTGCTTCTTGACATCAGGATTGGGGTCCGTGGTAATGATCTATATTCAAATTAGGTCTGTGGACAGTGCGAAACTTGGAGATCCAACCAAATTAGCTTACCTTCAACGCGAACACGGTCTTTCCCTCCTTGAGTTTGCAACGGGTGACAGCACCGCCAGCACCCTCACCTAGACTACCCAGCTCGACAATCTTGTTTTGTTCACTGGCCGCATGCCAGCCCTCGTCATCGAGGTCGTCCACATCGAGAGGCCGACCCTTCTCCAGACTCAACTTGTCCAGATCTGGGAGAAGTCCGTTGACGCTGTTATCACGGTCTCCACCCTCGCGTTCCGAGTAGACCGAGCTGATCGCCGACGACGGATCCGATGAGCCATCCGGCTGTCGCAGACCCATGACGAAGTTGGCCGTCGTATATGAGTTGGCGGGTGTGCCGTTGGTCTGCAAGGACAGCTTTGGTGCGCCGCCCAACCCATTCGTGCTCAGCGGGGGCGGGGCTGGTCGACCGCTTGGCATGAGTGCTGGCTGCGATACACTCTGCTGGCCCCCAGAAGGGGTAGCTAGCTGTAGTCGTGGGGGAGCCGGTCGACCTGAGGGGCGCTGGGGTTGTGGCGCCGCTTGAGTTTGGATCTGAGGGACGGCTTGAGGGACCAAAGCGGGGGGATTGTCGACGGGTTTGGCGCTAGGGGAGGGAGGGATGCCCAAGGTGAGCTTCGGAGCCCTTGGACTGCCGGTATTGTTGCGGGCGCCAGGAATTGGAGGACGAAGGAGCGGCACAGAGGACGACATGGCGAGATTGCTTTGCCTTTCGCCAGGCAAAAACAACTCGTTGGGATCGGCGAGTGTAGCCACAGTGTCGATCTTATCAAATATCAATAAGAAACAAAGAGAGTGAGTTCTAAGGGCACGATGAGAGCAGGATGCAAAAGGCCAAAAGGAAAAAGAGGCAGAAGCGATGAGACGTTGAACGAGTGGAGTTGCGAATGGGAAGTTGCCGAGAGCGAGAGGAGAGCAGGTGACTTGTTAGCACCACTTTATAACAATACAAGCGTACTTAAGTATGTACTTAAGTATATATAGAAGTTCAGATGTCAAGATATAAAGATATAAAGATATGCAGAAATCCAATATAATGATCTCAATATCTGAATCAGAGTCTCTAAGAATACCATGAATATTAATAGAGCAACACAGCCCAGATTCGGGTGTCGGGCAGTGGGGGGGCCCTATGTTTCAGAAAGCGCCCGAGCTGAAACACGCTGTTCTCTCTTTTTTTTACGGCTTTTCTAAAGTTGCTACAGACCATGGAGACTCTACAGTATACTCGAGTTCATTATGAGATTCTCTAACAAATTTAGGCCAAAACAGAAAATTCATTTTAACCATGGTTCGGCTGTCAATTTGCCCGTTTTTCAGATTTGAAAGTGAAAATGTTCACTTCAGTAAGTATATATTAAAGAATCTGCAAACCTTGGAAACCCTTGAAAACCCTTAAAATCTTGAAAGCCAACTGGAATTGAGTACTCGGCTCCTATGTCATGATATGTTCCAAAGTTGTTGCCTTGGACTTCAGGAGCCGCAATTGGCGATTTGCCAGCACATCCATGTACTGTGACCTATCACGGATATATTGACAGAAGTACGGAGTACGCAGTACTTAAGTATGTACGCACATATACGCACATACTCGTATACACACATCTCAACCATGACATTTTGTTGCAAAGTGGACGAGTGATCTGTCAAATTAAACATATGTCATTGCAGTAGGTGGAACTTGGAAGTGTGGCTTAAACTGTGGCCGCGCAGTATGGGTCCTATGTCATCATATCTAATTGCCTATGTCATTGGGACACCTCATTCCTGATGGACTCCGCCGATCGTGAGACTCGGTATGCCGAAAATATACAAGACCTACTTAAGTATACTACACATGGTGTGCTTCGTACTTAAGTAAATATGTGGCTATACTTCTAAAGTTACTTACGGAGTAGAACCACACCTTGCTCGCGAGCACTGTTTCTCAAAATCAAAGTTAGCCTCAAGCGCACGAATTCAGGAAGATATATAGCCACTACTCCGTACTTTGTACGGAGCACAGCTCTAGAGTTACCCAAGTGCCTGGGAAATTCTAAAGTTGACCTTTTGCCTGGTTCCCGAGAAACTGGAAACTCAATCGCCATCTATAGATACCCTGCAGAAAATGAGTCAGGAGCAAACTCAGAGCCCGGCATCCAGGGCTCTGGGGCAATGAGATGTTACTCCTGAAGTCCGTACGGACTGTCTCATACATACTTCAGTAGCAACTTACAGACTTCAGGAACACTGCCATCTATGCTCGACTTTACTCCAGTAGAGGTGCATCTCACCCCAAAGCTACAAGTATTTCTATAGTTTTTCGCATCGTCTCCAGGGTCATCTTCTACTTACAGAATGCGAATCATTTAACTCTATTCCAAGGGTTCTAAGGTGATCATTGATGTTCAGTCTTCTAAAGGTTATATTCCGACAAAAATTCTAAATATGAGAAGTATGAAAGATGACACCAAAAACAGTACGAGTAGTATCGTTGTGGCAGTGTCGCTGTGCTCCGTACGAGTACTTAAGTATATCTCGCCTTGCGTCAACATTTACTCGTACAAAACTCAACCCTGCAGTGATCGAGAACCATATGAACCGATCGTTTAGATCCGATCCGTTATTTTTGGCGATCCCATTGCATACTCGTACGCAAAGGGATGTCTTCAACGGGGGAAAAATACTCCGTACTGACGTAGATCCAATTCGCTTGTGTGATTTTGCACTTGTATACAACGTGTCACGAAACTGACAAAAGAACGCGTGTGCCTGAGTCAACCTACGAGTACAATTTCGAGTACAGGGGTTCATCAACCCAACTGCCTACTCGTAGGCGAGCTGTTCCTCCAGGGATGAAGTCGCTTGCTTGTGTCATCGGCGCCAAACATGACGCGTCATTGCCGATCCGGATTGGGTTGACAGATTGTTTTCGATGACGATCAAAGAAAATCGATTGCCATGGTTGGTCCACTGATGTGATGAGTTTTCAGACCCAGCGGGATTGAGTCGACATTCTCGCCAGGAACCTTGAAGCCTGAAATTTGGAACCTGTCGGAAGATTTTTCCAATGAAAGGTTTGAAGGTGAAGGGCGACTGGCAGTGCGCTTCACATTGATCACACATTGGGCCAACGTTACCACCTTCGTCCTGCGTCGTCCATACATTGCAAGCAGGGTGAACCGGAAATCCCAGACAGGTTAGAGAATATGTCAGGGTTGAGGATGTACGAATACCCCATCTTGCGATGTGAGCGACGAAGTTGCGTAACACTCTCTGAAGTCCAAATGAGCAAGAATCTTGCAAAACTTTCGAAGCGACCCAGGATGAACTTCGGGAAAAGTCCCGGTCCACCCGTGGACACCGACTATAATTATCCCACGAACACCCCTATTGCCCATGTTCTCAGTGTGCACTACTCGTATGGATCAGACACGGTCCACCAATAATTATATCCCACAAACCTAAAGATGGCTAAAGATAGCATTCAAACAAATATGGGGTTGATAAGAGCACTGGTATACGTTGAAATCCAAGATAGCGGTCCGATCTATTGAAAACAAGGGCCAGGATGCTCATCTGGTGGAGTCCGGGGGCGCCACGAGAACGAAACCATACTCGTACGAGTACATACAAGTGTTTTGTGAACCCCCTATCGTGGAGTCGCAACCAGATCCCACGCCACGTCAAGAGACAAATGATCATTGATTGGCCCCTGAAATTCGAATACCTTTCTGATGTGCAACACGTACGAGTACAGATGTACGGGGTGGTCGAGCCGCGCCGAGTGTCTGTTCCGAGGTCTCGACTTGGGAACCTGATGAAGATCGACATGTTTGTGCAGGTTTTCAGGTCGTAAGCCAATACTCCGGCGCAGAGGTGCCGACTGTAAAGAGTACAAAGCGCAGTCAGCAATCAGCAAGGCTAGACATGCGGCATCATGTCAGGGACACCAATCAAACGTCTAGACCCTGATCTTTTTTTTTTTTTGCGCTTGGGCTCTTCCCCATAGACCGGTGTGGCTCAGGGGTACGCCACGAGCAAGCTTCGTTAAGCACTTTACACGGAAGTAAATTGATGCGGTCTAACCGTTATGGCGTGAAGCGCGTGAGACCTTCCCGTTGCGGGGGCAATTGGCTATGACGGCGTTGTCGGATTTATCGGATATCCTCGAGTCAGGCTCCGTACTCGTACAGGCCCAGCTACAGAGTGGTACAAAGGAGGATATACTACAAGTACGGAGCAAGATTCTGCGATGTGTGCTCTGAAGTCTGTGGCACAGTACTTTGCTGTTTATACCAACGGACGATGATATACCCAGGAGACCGGAGGATGCAGAACAGTCCCATTATTGCTCCACCGTCCCCTAAGACGTAATTGAACAGTACTACTCGTAATAATACGATGTCTCGGGGATTCGCTCCGACACACAATCAGGGTTGGTTCAATGAGATGAACCTCCGGAGTAAGGACCAGCCTCATTTCGCAGGTAGAGTGCACATCATCGTGAATTGCTCCCTTGCACAATACGTGATCTTGGCGAAATGAATCGCGGGCTGTTCAGGGGTAAGTGGAGTTAGGACCCACGGGGGGTTAACGCTGCAACTTGGACGCCAGGAACGGGTAGTGGATCGGCGGTCTGAAACATGGAAACAAAGAGGAATCGAAAGAGAAAATAGAAGAAAAAAAAGCAAACAAAGGGATGTATGCATGAGAGGATGGAGTAGAGACTATGGAGTGCATACTTCTATGTCTCGAGGTACGTAGTAAACGGAGTATCTAATGGAAGTACAAGGTAAGGGTTGTTGAACGATCAGCGTTTAACGCTAAGAACACTAGCGGGTCAAAATTACCAGTCTGGTGTTGACTTCATTTACAAGTGAAAACAGAATAAAAACAAACCTACTCGTGGATCCAATCAGAGGAGCTCTACCCATCATGGTTGTTCAATGATGAGGTCTCCGGTACATGTCAGGATGCGGTGTGGCTTAGTGGCGGAGGAAGTACCCAGTACACATTCGGAATACTACCCCCCCAAATCGAGTCTCCCCTTTTTTTTTTAGGGGCAATGAATGGCTGCTGATCGCGAATAACCAATCTCCCCGTTCATACAAAGGCCCCCTGCCTCCCCCGTGCTGTTCTTGTTTCTTTCCTTCTTCAAGTACAATCTTCGTTGCATAGCATCCAGTCACTCTCTCTCGACTTCGGTCTTCCACTCTTTCAACCCACACTCTCTTTCCAACATAAAAGCCTCGCTTTTTACATAAATACCTTTTTGAACACCCACGGTTTCCGTACATAACATTCAAAATGCGTTTCACTGCCGCCACTGTTGCCTTCTTCGCCGGCCTTGCCGTTGCCGCCCCTGGCGCCGCTGACCAGACCGTCTACGAGACTGACGAGGTTACCATCACCTCCTGCGCTCCCACCGTCACCGACTGCCCCGGCCGCTCCACCGCCGAGCCTACCCCCTCCAGCGTCGGTGCCTCTGAGACCCCCGCCTGGTCCGAGACCCCCGCTGTCTCTACTGAGACCCCTGCCTGGTCCTCCGAGACCCCCGCCTGGTCTGAGACCCCCGCTGCCTCTTCTGAGACCCCTGCCTGGTCCTCCGTCCCCAGCTGGGCCCCTAGCGCCAGCGCTCCCTCCAGCGTCGGCGGCTGGGCTCCTAGCTCCAGCGCCCCTGCTCCCGCTCCCCCTGCGGTCACCTCCGCTTCTTACACCGTGAGCGCCATCACCACCTGCGTGCCCACCGTCGTTTACTCGACTGTCCCCGTTGGCCCCGCTCCCTCCGGTGTCTCCCCCACCGGCCCCGCTGGCGGCAACGGTGGTGGTGTTCCCCACGCTCCCTCTGGCACCAAGGGCGTTACCTCCGGTACCGCCGCTGCCTCTCCCTCCTCTTCCCCCGTCTTCAACGGCGCTGGTGCTCTCAGCGGCTCCCTCGGCTTCGCCGGTGCCGCCGCCGCCGCTGCCTTCTTCCTCGCATAAATCAATCCTTTCGGATTGGAAATGTGAGTCACTGAGCTAGATCCTCGGGTCTGGTTTGTGGCAGTGGATGATTGGAGGTACGAGAAAGAGGGTTGTGTCATTTAGGGTTCCTGGTGATTTACTCTTAACAATTGTTTTCTGACTGGATATTTCTATCCCTTTTTGCTATGCTATATATATATTTCCTTTTATTTCTTCTTGGGCTCCCTGGATAGCTTCGGAGTTGTGCGAAGCTCGCTGGTGGCTTGAGCACGACCTTAATGTAAACCATGACAGCTTTTCACCATCTCCTTCTCTCCAGCGCCCGTAACCTTTTGGAATGTATGCTTTACTTTCTGTCTATAAATCCATAAATCCTTATACCCACGTTCAAGCCTTGGTAAATCTACTATTGAATCTGTCCATGTGTGATACCCATTTCAATTAGGGCTGATCCAGCCCGCATGCAAGGAACCATACCCCTGACCCTGACCCGGAGAACGTGGACCTCGTATTTCCTAGGGCTGAATACGCCACTCGTCCAAGTGCTGTATTGAACCTGACTGCCTTTGTCTTTCGGAATTCGAATTCAACTGTGTTCACAACTTTGTGGCCCAAACGACCGAGTTTCACGGAATATGAAACCCTGTGTTCCCCTGTGTTCCCAAGAGGGCCAGTACTTAGTACAACCTTGGAATACCGAGTCCCAAAACCATGACGATCGCGTAAATCTCGTATCAAATCTCGAACCATGGCCATGCATCTGTAGTTCGAGATCTGTTTCTACTAAAGCGACTCCCTTTGACAGATCACATTAAATTGACCATAATTGAGTCTAGCCGTATTCGCCGAGTTTCAGATATAGATTGACCCCGAGTCGATTTTACGTGTGAATACTCCAGTAATACCAGACAGGTTTCCTGAGGCGAATTTTCACTCGTATAACACCAAACCTTGCCCTTTTCCATTCTCAAGTTCACATTATACTATTACCTTCATACACTAATTTTGGAATATCCATTGTGATGGGAAGAGCAGCCCTGTAGAATTCACTTGTACACGCGAGCATTTGAGTTGCTGTGTGATTGGCCATATGAAGCCCACTATTGACCTCGGTGGCTGAGTCGGAGCCGGATACTTAAGTATGTACGGCCGTTAAGCACACGCGAGCGCCTAAGTGCGAGTAAGCCATACTTCGTGCACGTTCTTTTGATATAATCCGTGGATACTTATGTTACCTTAAGAATAACCCCCTAAGTATTATTATTAATGGCAGTTCCTTACCCCGTCTTCTGTTGAATTTATCACTTCGCCGTGAACCTTGGAACTTCCGTGGATCTTGTCCAAGTCCTGGTTGTGGGGCCAAATCACAGCCCCTTCAAGAAGTTGCAATCTACGATGTTTGGTCTGCGGGCCTCATTTCTGCTAAAAACAGCCCTGGAGTACAACTTCAGGAGTAGTATTAATAGTCAAAGTACAGGTAGGATAAATGCCCGCTCGGTATCGGGAACTGGTACTAAATAAGGGACACCGCCGAATCTGAGATGAGGGTCCTTCTCGAATGCCGAATTTGGACCCCAAGTTGTATCCCGAGCAGCTAATCAATTTCGGGAATCTGTCAGGTTGTTTTCTGACCATCGCTTCTTGCTATTGGCCCAGAAAGTTGGCCTTTGCTTTGAACAGGTGGTTCTTTTTCGATTTCGGGCAATTGGTTCTCCATAACTATTGGATGGACAAAGCGAAGGATTTTAGTGTTGAGCCCTGGAGCCCCAAGAACGCCTTGCGACGACACGGTGGATATCAATAATGAGAAACTTGCATATATCTAGCCACGCTGTCACCGAGTTCAAACCTTAGAAATGCGAGACTCGAAACTTCTTCACGTTTGTACCAGGGCTCGAAATCTTATTTTGCCTTCGGATACGAGCTACGACGATCTGCCCTCACAACACCAGCGCCACGTCGTGTCTAACAATAGGATTTCCTCGCATATCTCAGCTCATATTCGGATGTATGGCATGGAGCAATGAGACCCTGTTCCTTTGTTCGAGATTCAACGCAACCTCCCCTTCAGCCAAACTTCGAACCTCCCATCATGGACCTCTCGTCTCTCGAGGGCCCACAAATGGTGAACCCTAGATTCATCGTTCAACCAGAGATTCCAGCTCGTATCACCCGCTCTCGCACACCCACTCATATCTTGTTCTCAAAACCCCTGCCCCCAAGGCCCCCAAGGCCAGTGTCAGCAGATGCGGCCTCTCACCGACGGCGTCATAATTTCCAGCAGGAATGGCCATCCGAAAGAATGATGGACGTCAATGTGAGAGGCGAGCCCGCCTACAGAGGGAGCTCGTCATACGAAGTATTCCCCGATTGCGATCCTCGAAACCAGCATGTCCTCTCCGTGCATACACCCCAACAGTACCAATCTGGCCCCCACATTCGACGGCCCCGAAGCTGCAACCCTGCCAACCTCGTCTGGCTCGAAGATGAAAAGCTTTGGGTCGTTGGTGATGAGAGTATGGCGCGACAACACCGGGTACACGATAGACCGCCCTTAGAATCGAATTCACCCGTTTCACCACTCTCTGGATACCACCCGATATCATTCCACAGAACCGAATATGACTTTCATCGTTCGGCCCAAAATGACATACCGACTCAATTACCGGTGTATGGTGGTCATGGCTTCGGACCACCGCATGTTGCTCAGTCAAGAGACGATCGGGTTTCAAGGTGGATCTCGGTCGTTGAAAGAACGCATGTGAACAGAAGGGGCTGAGCCAGAGTCTGTGAATTTCTTCGAGATTATATGCTAGGCGTGTTGTCCACGCTGCACCGTGATCGAGAAATGGCTGAATGCCCATTTTCTCGTACCCTGTCGGCCTGCCGAGGCCCTCGGGGCCAGTTGTCATTACCAACTGGGCCATCCCCTGCAGATTCTCCCATCGTCGGCGGCTCCCAGGACTGAGAAACGCACTGGCGCTTATTCGGGATCTGCCAAAAGCGACTCCGTGGAGCCTGCCATCCCAGCGCGTATTCTCCGCCCTGATGTGGGGATTCAAAGGGTCATTGGAAGGCTTTGGCCTGTGGGGTATTCTGTACTTTGTACGGAGTAATTAGCTGTAGAGATGTTATTGAATACATCTCAATGGAAACCCAGTGGTGTTTTCAGGTGATCGAAAAAAAAATTGTTATCATTCCTTGATTTTTCAGGTCTGAATGACAACATAGGGGAACCCCCTATCTGGGCGATATGATATAACCTCAATGTAAGGTTAGAGACCCCGATCTCGATACCAAAGTGATAATTGAAATGGTTCATCTCATAGCTCACAGCTCGGGATTGATAAGGCTGAGATCCGCTGCAAGGAGGTCAACATGGCGATGATATACGGAGTACTCCGTAACGGGTAGATTGTAGTGATCACATCCATTTGCAACGCGGAACGGGAATACGGAAAACTAAGTACGAAATTGATATCAGCAAGTCAATCCAAGCGTGAAACGCTGGTCTCGGAATCTGCCGCTGTCGCTTTAACGACCACCTCTTTTTTAAGTTTTTAGAGTTTCGACTATACTAGACCCGAACCATTTGATGACTTCAATATCAGTTGATTCATCGGACTCGGCTGGCTTTGCTTCAAGTCTTTGATAGGACTCGAGTATGTTTTACTCTTGTCTCGCGTATAAGAGACATCGAGGAAAACGCCGAAGCCAAAAAAAAAGGCTGTGCACGCGATACGTCGGATGGGGAAACCAAAGTGCCGCGGGATGCTATATAGGATTGGATCAGAGATGCTGGGTGTCAATAGTACGCAAAGAACCCAACGCAGGGGTTCCCCTCTCCAGAACGCCAGTCACAGCGCTGCTGTATGCCTGTCACCTTCGTACAGAAGCAAACTGGCAGACTGGATCCACCGCTCCACTACCATTTATCGGCCTTCGCATCCCTGCAGGCCCCGTTGATGGGGTGATGGGGGTATCAGAAGACGTTAATAAGAGAAGAGAAGATTCTCGAATCGACAGCTGAAGGTGCAGACCAGTTTTTTTTTTTCCCTCACGGCTGGGAAGTCCCGGTCCAACGTCCTAGTGACTCCGTTGCTCCAATTCTTTTGCGCGCTAACACAGACCAGCAGCTCTCCAGCCTCTGGATTATTTGCCAGCCAGTAGCAAAGATTGGAGGGGGGGACACATAGAGAAATAGAGGGGGGGAAATTATTATATACTATAAAGGAGCGGAGCGCCTTCTCTCTTCCACTTAAGACTAACCCGAGAGAGACCCCGGGCATTGAGCATGTCTTCACATTGAGCGAAAACCAACTTTGAGCAAGTGACAAATCACCTCTAATACATATACCTGATACTTAAGTATCTGATAGGTATATATCTTCCAAGATTCTGATTATATCTGTTTTTATATCGCATTGAAGATATACAACGGGTGTTCCGTGGTTGAAGAATCTCTCTGATTCGATTTGGTTCTACAGTCATCTCCACACAGAAAAAAAAAAAAAAAAAGAGGCCAATGGTTCAACTCGCCCACATTTTCAAGAAGGACAAGGACAAGGAGAAACCAAATCTTGATAGTTCGCGACCAAGAACTTCTTTCTCCGCCTCACGCTCTCCATCCACCAAATCCCCGAAGTCTCCGACCAAATCTCCCGCCAAATCCCCCTCCAAATCTTCTAAACCTTCTTACTTCTCCCATAGTCGGTCTACTTCTTCCGGACCGACCAACTTCAAATTCTCCCGCTCTTCGCGTGATCAGGACACTCACCCTCTCAACCTACCGCCCGACGAGTTACGTCGACGATTGTCCGCCATGGCTGCTTCCAGAGACGACCAGCGCAGCTCCATGGATATTGATCCCCAAGAACAGCAGAATGGCGTGAACGGCAAGGAGGAACGGAGTCCCACCCCGCCTCCTCACCGGCCCACTGCTGCTTCTGCCGATGAGGCCGACTCATTCAAGTTGGCTGGTAACAAATTCTTCAAGGATGGCAACTACCGACGAGCCATCGAGGAGTACAACAAGGGTATGCCCACCTGGCGACACATGGATACGTGTCTTGGCATCTGAGAGGAGTGGAATCACTGATGATTTATTTTCTACAGCCATCGAGATTAACCCCAACTCATCCGCCTATCTGTCTAACCGCGCTGCGGCCTACATGTCCGCCAAGCAATACTTGAACGCGCTCGAGGATGTTCAACGCTCCAACGAACTCGACCCCAACAACCCTAAGATCCTGCACCGATGGGCTAAGATTCTGACAAGTCTGGGTCGCCCCCAAGAAGCCTTGGACGTGCTGTCCCGCGTGCAGCCCCCCGCAAGTGCGACCGACCGCGCTCCCGCCGAGAAGATGCTGCGCGCCGTCACACAAGCCGAGGAGACATTAGCCGAGAACCGCGGTGTATCGATGGTCATCTTCTGTCTGGACCAGGCACGACAAGGTCTTGGATCAACTGTTAAGGAGCCTCGCAAGTGGACACTTTTGGCCGCCGAGGCCCAGCTCAAGCTGAACAACCCCAACTCAATTGGCAAGGCGCAGGATATTGCCATTTCTCTGCTCCGTGAGAACAGCCAGGACCCGGATGCGATGATGATCCGGGCCCGGGCTTTCTATGCCCTCGGCGAGTCCGACCAGGCCCTTAAGCTCCTGAAGATGTGTCTCGGGCTGGACCCGGATATGAAGCCAGCTATTAAGCTACTACGCATCGTGCAGAAGTTGGCTCGCACCAAGGAAGAAGGAAATAATGCCTTCAAGGCCAAGGACTACCGTCGTGCCATCGACCTCTGGGCTCAGGCTCTTGAAGTAGACCCCTCTAACAAGGATATGAACGCCAAGATTCTTGGAAACCGTGCTCAGGCTTACATTAACCTGAAGGAGTACGACTCTGCCATTCAGGATTGTACCGAGGCTCTCCGCCTGGACCCTGGTTACGTTAAGGCCATGAAGGTCCGCGCCAAGGCCCACGGTGGTGCCGATAACTGGGAGGAAGCCATCCGCGATTACAAGAGTGTTGCTGAGAACAACCCCGGCGAGGCCGGCATCGCGGAGGAGATTCGCCGTGCTGAGTTCGAGTTGAAGAAGTCTCAGCGCAAGGACTATTATAAGATCCTGGGGGTTGGCAAGGATGCTAGCGACCAGGAGATCAAGAAGGCCTACCGCAAGATGGCTATTCAATACCACCCGGACAAGAACCGGGATGGTGAAGCCGGTGATGAGAAGTTCAAGGAAGTCGGCGAGGCATATGAGACTTTGATTGACTCTCAGTGAGTTTCCACCACCCTATTTCCTCACAACACATGGCTAACTAATCTCTTAGAAAACGCGCTGCTTATGATAATGGCGATGACCTGATGGACCCCAGCGACATGTTCGGCGGCGGCGGCGGCTTTGGCGGTGGCGGCTTCGGTGGCATGGGAGGCATGGGCGGCATGGGCGGTGCCAGCCACGTCAACATCGACCCCAACATCCTCTTCAACATGATGAACGGCGGCGGCGGCGGCGGTTTCGCCCAAGCCGGCGGCAACCCCTTCGGCGGCCAGTCTCGCGGCGGCGGTGGCTTCCCCGGCGGCGGCTTCCCATTCTAAATTCGACCCAGACTGTCCTTTGATCTTTATACCACCACTCTTCTCTTGCTGGGGAGGAACAAAAGGAATTCGCATGTCTTCGACCGGAGTTGGAGTTACACCTCGATTATCCCCATTCATTCTTGGACATCGGGGCTTTTTGTTTGCCCACTGCCATGTCATGACGATTTTGACCATGTTTCTACGGAAACCTTTCCATATGATTCCCGATCTGATAGATTATTTTCTTATTTTTATCTCTTTATTTTTTTTTTGTTTTTATTTTCCCCCATCCTGTTTCCTTTCGGACAATTCTGTACATGAGTTTGGCAATCTGGAACGAATGAATGAGAGCAGTGCATCCTTGGACAGCGGCTTGAGTCCTCAGGACCAGCATACACATCCGACAGACTATTTAGGCGTTTTGATATCTGGTTCATTCTTATTGGGGTCATCGAAAAGAATTCCTATGCATTTCACTTTCTATCTCCAGGTCTCTCTACCTAACCTTCCTCAATGTGTCCTAGTCCAACCAAGCACAAAATGAGATCAATAATACCAAATTCAGTCCTTCTACATATGTATGGCAAATGTAATCCTGAACTTTAGAAGTCGTCACTGAGCAATCTGTGGATTGAACTTAATCCAATCCATTGCTTGTACAGGGCATCATATCTGACAGATTCTACGGCAGTGATTTTCGTATAGGGCTAGTAGAAGACTGTTTTGTCGCTAGGTTGGGTAGGTATAATCAATTAACTGTCGTAATGTGCGCTGGTATGTACTTCTCAACATGCTGAACAATATACTGATAAGAACAATAAACATCAAAAACAAGGGATAAGGGGAATCTCAGAAAATAATCACGGGGCATAACAAGGGCAACGAATGAATGTACCGGACAGATAAGCATGAAGCAAACTCCGCCGCTTATGAAGGATGACGTTCGACTCAAACACAAGAAGGGGGATGTATATGGACGGTGAACAAACAGGGAATGCAATCAAAATCAATAATCAACGCTAGAAAATGCTTCAATCAAGCATAGCCCAAGGAGCCAAGCATAGTTTTGCATTCAGGACCCGGCAACGCAGAGACTCCAAGTGCACGCACAAGGGCTCCAGCCCGAAGCCGCTGCAAGCCAATAGCAACTTTCCAAGCCTCGGTATCCTGCAAGACAAAGACGTATTTCTTGCCTTCCTGGTCACGCACACTTGCACGGAGAACGTGTAGGCCAGTGTTGGGGGCGTGGACGGGGCCACCGTCGTGACTGGCTGTTGCACCGCGAGCGAAGCATGAACCAGGAGAAGCAAGACGGCATGTGTTTTTGCAGACTTTCAAGAAATTTGAGAGGAAAGCCTCTGACTCTTCGTTTGTGGGGACATTGTTTCCACGACGGAAAGAGAATGGATTGGCAGATGGCTGTTTGCTGGATGCTGTGGCGGCGGCCTGGGGACACCAGACTTCGGCCAGTTTGAGAGTCCAGGCTTTGACGTCCCATTCGCGTTGGCCGATTCCACGGAGATCGTCGTCGACGAAGAGTCCTTCTGTTGTTATACGGAGGACAAGTCCGTCGGTGATCATGCCCTGTCCACAGACGAGCTGCGCGACGGGGGTTTTCATGAAGGCGTTATTGTAGGCGTAAACTCCTTGGATCACAATCTTGTCTGGATCCTTGGTGGAATATGAGCTGCGATGGGAGGGGGGTGGAGTTGTGCGCGCAGTTGAGTGAGAAGGCGCATATGAAGATTCAGAGTAGACTGAAGTCCCAGCCACGTATGGACGTCTTGGACGGTCATAAGGACGAAAGGAATATGCGTCGTCGTCGGCAGTCTTGGCCGCTGGGGGATTGGGTTTCTTTGGAGAAGGAGTTCGAGGCAAGTTGGTAGTACTCGCTGGCTTGGGTGGTGGTGACTTGGCTGCAGCCTCTTTCTTTGCATCTTCGGCCTTTTTCTCGGCGTATTTCTTGTTTGCAGCTTCTTTGAGCGCAGCGAATTTAGCCATGGCCTCCTTCTGAGCGGCAGCCTTTGCAGCAGCCTCTTTCTCGGCAGCTTCTTTAGCAGCGCGTTCTTTGGCGGCTGCTTCCAGCCTCTCGGCCCTGGCTTTCGTCTCAGCTTCCACCTTTGCGCGTCTTTCACGGGCCTCAGCAGCTTCTTTTTCTGCTTTCTCGCGAGCCTCCTTCTCTGCTGCCGCTTTGGCGGCAGCCATCTCTTTCTCCAGTTGTTCGCGACGCTCTTGGAGTTCTTTCTCCATTGCCTCGCGCTCTCGCTGCTTCTCTTTCTCTTTGGCTTCTGCGTCACGTTTGCGCTTGAACTCCTCCATCTTGCGGCGCAGCTCCTCTTTGCGCCTTGTCTCTTCCTTGACTCGCTCGCGCTCAGCTTGCTCCTTCGCAAGTTCCTTTGCGCGCTCTTCCTTGGCTCGTTCTTCTTTCGCGCGCTCTTGTCGGGCACGCTCCTCTCTTGCTTTCTCTTCCCGTGCTCGCTCTTCCCGAGCGCGCTCCTCTCTCATGCGATCTTCCCGAGCCCGCTGTTCTCTAGCACGCTCTTCCTTGGCCCGCTCTGCTCTGGCCCGCTCCGCCCTAGCCTCCTCTTCCCTGGCCTTTTCTCGGGCCCGCTGTTCCCGGGCCCGCTCCTCTTTAGCTCTCTCCTCCCTGGCCCTTTCTTCTCTGGCCCTCTCCTCCTTGGCCCTCTCCTCCTTGGCCTTCTCCGCCTTGGCCCTCTCTTCGCGGGCGCGCTGTTCAGCCTCCTCCTTTGCACGAGTGTTATTATCAGAACTTGGAGGAGGACCAGAGCCATGTTGATTACCGGAATATTGGTTACCATAACTTTGTCCCCCACCATTGTTTCCACGTTGTCGTTGCTGGCCCTCGTTAGGGCCAGAGTTGGCACCCGAGGACTGTTGATTGGTGTTTGATCCACCAGCTCCGGGGCCACCAGGGCCCCCTGAGCCAAACCGTCCTCGAGCGCCATTGCCTTTGTCTCCCGAGCCGCTGGACTGTGTTGATCCAACAGCCCACCCGGCCAGGCCCATCCCAATCCCGAGGACAACCATGCCAGTACCACTGCCGCTAGCGACAGAGGCCACATACCATGTCTTCACAATCGGGGAGATCAAGGACCACACCACCACGACCAGGAGTGTACTCGCCACGCCTGCTAAGAAGCTGTTGCGATTACATTCCAAGGACGGTAGGTAGAGGAAGCCAGAGCCGGCAGAGTGAGGCGGGACAACGAAGATATCGTAATTGCCGTCTGGAAGGTCGGAGGACTTCCGGTATTCGCCGTGAGTGGTATGAGGGTTTTCGCCGTGCGGCGGCGGCGGGGGCGGCGGTCCGTCCATGGCAAATCAAGCGTTGACTTGTAGTTTTAAACAAAGAAAGAAAAAAATGAAGCACAATGGCTTATGACCTGGATTGATCGCCGGGATCAATTCCTAGATGGACAAGTTCTTGTTGAGCGTCAATTGCCAGGTCATATTAAATCTTGTGAGAGTTGCACTGAGGCCCCGCGGCACTCAGTGCTGGTATATATCGAATGCCAGCACAACAACAGACAATCCAAAAAAACACAAGGGATCCCGAGACAAAAAGTTCGGAACCGAGCGGCGCGTGCGAAGGGAAGAGTTGCTACGGAGGGTTTGTTTGGAAGAAGTGTGGGAGCCACTAAGGATCGGCGCCAATGCATCATTCGACGTGGCCACAAACACACCAATGGTGTCTGCATCTTCTGCGCTGTACGGAGGATGTGCTTTTAAGATGAACTATGATGTACATGACCCCGCGATTTTGGGCAGAAGTAGGGGAAATCGAGATGAATCAATGGGAATGTTGTCTCTTTCACTACAATGTGGACTCAAAGCCATTAGAGCTTGGACCGTGGTAATTTATCTGAGATCTGACTGATCTTTATTAGCGCCTTCAAATCAAACATTTCAGTCCTAGGAATATCAGTGCTCCGAGTCAGCAGCACAGATCAAAACATCGAAATGGATGTGTTGCTTTTGTTTTGTTTTTCCCCTTTAGGGTAACCCCGGAATAATGTTGATCCTTCACCGTTGAGCCTCCAAGTCTGTGAGATGGCAACGCCTCCCATACTGAACAAGGCTTGGTTGATCAGTTCGAAGTGCTGCAATAGATCAAACAATCAAACGCTTGTATATGGTCATCTGTGTAATCTGGTGCGGTCAGCACAACCCAGACTCCCGGTCAGAAGTTGATCATGTATAGCGCTGAGAGTGGAGAGAATGTCCGCGGTCGATATTGCGGTCAAGAGGTTGGGGCCAGATAGTGTGTGTTTTGTGGGTCCAAGGTGTTCGACTCGGAGAGAGTATTGTTGAGAAACCAGTAGAAGCGTAGGATAATGGTCAGTAGCTTGTGCTCACGGCCGTCATTGGGGGATGAAGCATATGTCCCATGATCGGAACATGAGACGAGGATACATGACACCTGGAGACAGGAGACAGGAGACCCATTTCAAGAAACCAGACTCATCTCCAGGCCAATTCCGAATTTCCAGGCCCTTTGGCGTGTAGTTTGATGGAGAAGAGTGAACAGTACTTCGTACAATGCATAGGAACACTGGGAGGATTTGGCAGAACGTGATCCGCAGCCGATGATTGGATAACCTTCGGCTTCGGATTCCAATCTCCAAGTTGATCATTTGGCTCCTCTCATCTTAACTTCAACCTGTTCATTTCATGATAGTTTGGTAGTCAGGTACTACCCCGTGTCTCCGCCTCCCCACCGGTCTGTCCCTTAGCCCCCTCCCTGTCGAGAGATCCGCCAACCTTGTCGCCCCCCTCCGTTCCTCCCTCTTTACCTATGCCGCGTCGCTAGCCATCGACAATCAGTTTACGACCTGCCCTTGAAGGGCATTCCGCCACCATGTCTACTCAATCTCATGGCCATCCCGCGACGTCTCGGGCGTTCCCCGCCTTCAACCCTGTTGCCGCGGTGGCAGCTCCCGCGGGGACCTTGCTTCCGGGTACCAAGATCCAGGTTGGCAGCCACCGCGTGGTGGTTGAGAAGTATCTTTCAGAAGGTGGTTTCGCTCATGTCTACGTGGTGCGATTGCCTCAGCCAGTCAATGGCACTGATACCGCTGTCCTGAAGCGGGTTGCCGTCCCCGACAAGGCGGCGCTGGCCAACATGCGCACCGAGGTGGAAACCATGAAGAAACTGAAGGGCCACCGACATATCGTGAAATACATTGACTCACACGCCTCACAGCTGCGCGGAGGCGGGTATGAAGTGTTCCTGGTCATGGAGTACTGCGCCGGCGGTGGGCTTATCGACTTCATGAACACCCGGCTTCAGCATCGCCTGACGGAGCCGGAGATCGTGAAGATCTTCTCTGATGTCGCGGAGGGTGTTGCTTGTATGCACTATCTCAAGCCGCCTCTTCTTCACCGCGACCTGAAGGTCGAGAACGTCTTGATCTCTGGCAAGGGGTCTTCTGCTACCTACAAACTGTGTGATTTCGGATCATCAGCGCCCCCTCGTCCAGCTGCTACGTCTGCTGCGGAAGGGAGACTAATCGAAGACGATGTACAGCGTCATACAACGCTGCAGTATCGCAGCCCTGAGATGATTGATGTTTATCGCAAGCAACCCATTGACGAGAAGAGCGACATCTGGGCCCTTGGTGTGTTTTTGTACAAGCTCTGCTACTATACAACACCCTTTGAAGAGGTCGGCCAGATGGCTATCCTAAACGCAACCTTCAAATACCCCTCCTACCCCTCATTTTCGAGTCGGTTGAAGCTATTTATTGGTGAGTCTGAATGACTTTGCTCCTTGATGACGCCTGTGGCTTATTGATTGGTATAGGCACGATGCTGAAAGAGGACCCACGCAATCGACCCAATATATACGAGGTCGTTCGCGAAGTATGCAAAATGCAAGGGAAGGACGTTCCTATCACAGACGTATGTCGCTCTCCCCTTTTGTGGCGACGATTCGATACTGACTGCAGCCTAGATATACTCCAACCGCTCTCATTCCGAAGCGCGCAAAAACCAAGAACTACCCCCTACCCCAACCGAAGCTCCTGCGCCCGGCGCAAAGTTCTCGCCACCAGTGCAGGAAACGGAGATTATTCCAGAAATCGCGCCTATGCGCCGTGGACGACCAGGAAAATCACAGGCATCTGATATTGGCTCTTCGCGACCAAGCCCCTCGCCGTACAGAGCAGGTGCTGGCAGTTCCTCGAGTGATCCATTCGCCGCTTTGGATGACGATGGCACTCGGAAGAAGGCAGCAGAAGAGGCAGCCAGACGGTTCCCATCGTTGGATCAATTTGACATACTACACGAAAAGGGTGACAAATTTGAGTTCGAGCGGACAGTTGAACCGCAAGTCGAGGATGAGGATCTTTCGCAGAGGCTCACTAACGCCTTGGCCGATGATGCCTTCGCTCGCCGTGCCTCGCCTGAACGTACGCCGAATCCAGTATACAAGCGACCCTCCCAAGCTTCCCCTGTACGAGCTCCCGTATCCCGCGAAACCCCCCGACAGGCAACGCCTCTATACCAGCCTACTCCGCAGCGACCTGCAATGGTATCAACAGGCACTATGACCTCACCCGCTCCAACGCCCCGCTTGAACGAACCGAAGATATCCAATCGCCCAATTTATCGGTTCCCTCCGGATAATGAACAGCGATCCTCTAGTCAGCCTTGGACTGCTGAGGAGGAACAAAGAGTGGCTAGATCTCACCGCGCGCGTTCACCTCCTGCATCAAAATTCAAGCCGGAAGAAAGCCCGCGGTTGTCAGCCGATCGGATTTCTACTCACCCCAGCTCCGCCCGCCCCTCAATGGAAACCTTGAGACGGCCGTCGACATTGGAGGTGGGTGATCATCACGCGGCCCGTTCCAAATCTGCCGTTGGCAAAGGTCGACCCTTGTCGGTGCAATCCGGGGCGAGATACGACATCCCGCGTGATGCCGAGAGCCCGCGGGCCTCGCTGGACATGTCTCGGATGCAGTATGAGGGCGGGGCGCCCTTGCGCTCAGTCCGCACGGAAGTGGACCGCGAGTCCGATCGGGCCAATATTTCATCTGATATGGATTACCTGCGAGCAATGGAGGAAGAGGAAAGTAACCGCAAGCGTGAGAAGCGCTCCAGCGGCAGCCACAAACACAACAAGCGTGGCAGTCTGTCCACTTTGTCTCTTTCAGGGGGCAAGAACCTGTTCGCTGGTCGCTTTGGCGATGCGTTCCGCCGATTCGAGGCTGGCAACCAGGATAAGCCTTCGACACCGTCAGCGGAAGAAGCACCCCAACAGATGCTAATTGGGGTGTCTGATTCAGGCGATGATTCCAACTCTCCCACCAATGAAATTGCGCTCGAAGATCCGGACCGCGACGACATTTCTCCCGAGATGCGGCGAGAATTGGAACGCCGCCGACTCTCCCAGGAGGAGAAACGAGTGGCTCAAGCCGCGGCTGAATACCGGCGCCGGGTCGCCGACAAGGGAGATGGAGGTGGCAGAGCACCAGGCGATGGTCCTCGTTCACGGACTATACAAAACAAGGTGCAATCGCTGTTTGCCGAGTCTGAAAAGCCAGCCGGTCCCAAGACCGCTACTGGCTATGGTCGGTTCACGGAGACTTCCTCTTCTTTGCAGGCAAAGCAGAGCGAGGCAACCTCCAAACCTCCTGCCCAAATCCCTACCTCCCGGACCCCTGGCCCTGTCTACAGTGCGCGTGAGAGCACAATGTCACCTCCCGATCGCCGGGACGGCGCCAGCGCTCCCGCGGGGCTTCAACAGTCCGCCTCCACTGGATATCAGTCGACTCAACGCTCTGCTGCTCGCCCAGTGGCGCCCCCGAAGCCTAAGAATCTGCGAGTCGGCGGTGAGACCTCTCGACCTGGCACCGGTAACGACAATCGTCCTCCTTCTCAGTCGACCCCGCAAAGCCCCGGAGAGGACTGGGAGGCCAATTTCAGCAAGCGGTTCCCCAGTCTTTCTGGAATTGAGATGGAGACTGAGATTGAGATCCCGAAGTTCCCAAGTTTGAGGACACGGGAAGTGTAAAGTATGAGAAAGAAGTCTTGTTTCACATGATGCGGTTTCAGCGTGTTAGTGTGTTCGCCCTGTGGGCGCAACTCGGGGGAATGACTGGTCCCCGCGAGCTATGCATATATAGACAGTGAAATATTGGACATGATATAAGTTCTTTCATCCTTTCGGTAGCTGGGGCTGTCGCAGTAGCCGTAGTTTCGGTGGTGTCACCGCCTTTGTTTCTCCCCGCAAGATCGAGAGAAATCCCATTTCATGTTCCCAAGCACATCACTTCGTTTGATACCACTATGTCGCAGGTGACATTGAAGACAGTTGATGGTCAGGAACCCCCAAAGCAGTTCATGGCGCATCTAGCTAACCTGCCCCGCAGACGAACTCAAGGATGTCATCCAGCATCTATTCGAGATCCAAAGTGCTGTCCACGGCTACCTGGGACCAGAGACACAACAAGAGCTTGTCCGCAAGATGTACGTTTACGGAGATAATATCATGGAGCCCGGCACAGATATTTTGAGCTTCCTTGTGCGAGGTCGCCAACGCATTCGCGTCAACCCCGACTCAACACATTCCCAATCCACATGCTAACCCAAGCTCCAATCAACAGAAAAAGCCTCACCCTCGCACTTTCAACCCTTTCAACACACACTCAACCTCCCAAATCTCAAGATCCCCTCCCAGAACAAGACCCCTCCAACCCCTTGCTCGCCAACATCCAGCTCCCACCAGAAATCATCGACTACGTCGACTCAGCCCGCAACCCAGACATCTACACTCGTGAGTTCGTCGAACTCGTTCAGCGCGGTAATCAAGATCTGCGCGGCAAGCGCGAGGCATTCGCCGGGTTCAGGGACGTGCTGGCGCGTGAAATGCGTAGCGCCATGCCTGAGTGTCGTGCAGAGGTCGATCGTACGGTCCAGGCTTCTGGAGGCAAGGTTGGGGATGAAGCTGGGAATTAGGACATCTTTCGCATTGGTTGAGGCTTCTATTTGACTACTTGAGTCGGGAGCTGCATGTTTGGAACAAATGATCATGGTTGCATTTTAGCCTGGCGCTTGCGGTGCATTTTGAGATTGGCGTTATTATCTTTTTTACCTCTCATATTTTCAGAGCTTTCAACTTCCAATGGAATCCAGTCTTCTGGTAAGACAGAAAGTATCAAGTCTACTTGCGTTCTATGGGGAAGTGGGCATTGCGCGGCGGTCCACGGTTGGCATTGGATATCAGTTGCATAGGGGCGTTCAAATAGACGCAATACTCTTCCGCATTTCAAGGATGCACTGGGTAGTAGTTGAATAAGCACTACACAAGAGGCATTTCATACTATAAAATATGTATTCTGTACCTCTGGTCATGACTGAACCATGTTGGGCACCAGCTGTGAACATAAACAGGCCTCATACTGGATCTTCTCATCCTAAACATCTCAAAACAAGGCTTATTGACACTTAAACACCCTGGCAATATACATTGTCTTGGAGAGCCCTGGACTTCGGAATCAATCCTACCGCTGACATCATCCGAAAATGCCGGCCCTCGGAACGAGAGTTGCCGGGTATCACGAAACATGAAACACAAGCATGCCAGCTCGGAGAAATAGGTCCGCAGCGGCCTGTGTACACTGTCGACTGAAAAAGGTATGGAATCCGATAATCACTATGCAGCTAGTGAGGACTGATCGCTGATCATGGAGTAGTTGAAATGTGACGCACAGAAACCACAGTGCAGTAACTGTCTAGCTAAGGGCATTGATTGCCAACTGGGAGTCGTCCAGCACAAACCAAGGTATATCTTACATCCCCACAGATGAGCTGCAGGGACTGGGTTGAGACTATCCTCACAGGCCAACAAACCATCGGATTGCCGAATTAGAGCAAGAGAATGAAGCTCTAAGAAGGCAGTGTGCCCAGCTGAGGTCTGGAAGTGTTGCTCCTGCTGGCAGACTTCAGTCAGAGACAGACCCCTCTTTTACAACAGTCAGCACACCGAGAACTCCTTTGCCCTCCTCGAGAGTCGGGGGAATCGGCCTTTCACGTAACGATTCTTCCGATCTGATCAGAGATGCATCGCACCCAGAACTACCGGAAAACGACCACCGAAACATCTCTTTGTATCATGGTCCTACCAGTACAGTGTACGATGATACAAGCCCGAATCACAGCGAGCAGCCCAGACTTGGTGGGCACTCCAACGAGGAGGGAATACGGCACTTCCTCTTTTCTCAGACAGCCAGACAAAGTGAGAACAAACTCAGATAGCCTCACAAGTCCCCATGATACTAATCAAACGTCAACAGGACAATTAGAACCGTTGAATCTTGCTGCAGGGAAGCTTGATTTCGATGATGTCGACCCTGAGATCGGAATGCATCTGCTTTCCATCTACTGGAGCCGTCAGCTTTACACAGCACAGATCATATACCGACCTGCGTTTATGCGAGACATGGCCTGTCAGGGGCCGTACTTCTCAAAATTGCTTCTCAATGCAATCTTCTTTGTCGTATCGAAGCACTGCCCTCGAACTGAATTAAGATCTGACCCGAACGACATAACTACCGCGGGATGGAAGTTCCGCCAACGCTTCACTCAACTACTACGAGATTGCTTTGACAAAAGTGAAATCACGACACTCCAAGCATTGCTCATAATGTCCAACGCGTTATTCTCTAGATGCGATGAGCGCAGTTTGTCGTGGCTTTATGCTGGTAATGCATTCAACATGTTCATTGACCTTGGTCTACATGTACTGCCTACCACAGATACCATCTCAGCCGAGGAACTAGAGATTAGAAAAAGAGTCCTCTGGGGGGCATATCGTGAGCCACAGCCTCTTGTCTATTGCTAACCAGTGACAATCAACTCTGACGATTGATAGTTATCGATAAAATCCAATGTCTTTTCCAGGGACGGCCACCACTTCTCAGTCACGTCAACCTGAAGGCGTCAATGAACTTTCTTGATGATTATGATGAGCTAGAACCATTTCAAGACATCTCATACATGGCCATCAGGCCCCGGAATGTGGTTCCTTCTCTCAACGTTTCTTTGCTCACCAAGCTGTGTGAGTTGACAACTATCATCGAACGTATTTTGCGTGAGATTTACTCTGAGTCTCGGGAGTCCAAATCGGTACAAAGGGCCACAATTTCAGAAGAGATTAAGTCCCAACTGCGGATTTGGCGAGAAACTCTTCCACTTCAACTCGACTATCTGTCGTCCTCGAATCAGGCTGTCCTGTTGCCTCAATCTGCTTGTCTTTTGTGAGTTTCACTTCGCTGAGACCGACCACGGCCGCTAATATCAAGCAAGAGCTCTGTTTAACGTTCTAGTAATTCTTGTGCACCGCCCTCTCATTACTGGTGGGCATAACGGCGTGATAAATCCCGCAACTGCCCATGAGTCAGTGAATGCCTGCACAGCCGCTGCCAACCAGATTATGCAAATTCTCCACGACTACTCACAGCAGTTCTCTCTCAGCACAGCACCGTACATGCTTTCGTATGCCACCTATATCAGCGCAACTATCCACGCCCGAATTGTCGCACAAAAAGGGAGTAACTCGTCCGTGTTTCAATCCCTGATTCTCTGTCGAAACATCTTGATTGAGCATCGCCGCCTTTACGCAGCAGCAGGAAAAGCCAAAGAGAACCTTGACAAGTTGACTTCTCATCTTGGCATAAAAATCGACGAAAGTGATCGATTCGGTGATTCCGTGCAAAGTGTCACCAGAGAAAATACTGTTTTGGAAGATTCAACGAGCTTCACTGGAGAGATGAGCTCTACAGATCGCGCACCTGAGTTTGCATCTTCCTTTATGAGTCTGGAGCTTTCAGATATGGACCTTGAAGCGATCGCCCAGGGCTTCCAGGTTGATGTTGAGTCGCATTCATTTTGGCACTCACTGGGGGCGTAAAAAGCCCTTGTTCAGTCAACCATTTACTATTCTATACAATACAAACCATGAAAATTATCGAGATGGGAGAACTTTCTATGTTTCTATTTTTGACATGCTAACCTCATACGGTGGCATTTAGCTACCATACGGACCCGAAGCAGTCTTACCCGCCTTTTGAGTGACAATCTCCATTTCACTCGCCAGCGAGCTAGTCAGAGCACCAACATCAGTCACAACATTGACCAAATCATAACCCAAGTCGGCGTATTGCTTCGCCTGCTTTCCATTTCCACAATAGATCCCGGCTTTCTTGCCCGCCTTATGCGCAGCCTTCATGATGGTCTCAATAGCCTGCTCCAGTTCAGGCGCAAATGTAGCGCCTAGAACGGGGTGACCAATTCCATTGCCCAGATCAAACGGCCCGACAAACAATACATCAAGCCCATCAACGGCAGCAATTGCATCCACGCTATCAAATGCTTCCCTAGTCTCAATTTGAACAGCGAGCAGAAGATTGGCGTTGGCCTCAGTGAGGTACTGTGCAGCTGATACATTGCGACCAAATCGGTCCATTGGGAATGGAGAGCCAAAGCCCCGCTTGCCCTGCGGGGGGAATCGACAGGCCTCAACGAATGCCTTTGTGTCGTCCACCGTCCGCACGAGAGGTGCCAGGACACCATGCGCACCTGCATCCAAGGTCCCTAAAATACTAAGCAACTGATCAGTTGAGAAGGGGTGTGTTTCATACGTTTGATCATCCAGGACTGGAAGTCCGGGACTCGTACAATCGGGCTCACGCCGTATGACGTTATGGCGGGCACAGCTTCGTGCATCGCGGCATCTGAGAAAATTCAGTGAGTGATATTTTCTATTGGGCCAATTGACTTACCGTCGATGTTTCCGTGCTCACAGTCCACCAAGACCCAATCATATCCAGCTCTTGCGAGAGTGCGCGACATGTTGCTGCCGGGTAAGAGCTGCCATACACCCAGAGCGAGTTGGCCCTTGTCGAGCACTGTCTTGACGCGGTTAAGGCCTTCCATATTGGATCTAGTGTCACAATGACTGGAGATGTCTCAAAGGAATAAAGAATCCAACATGAAACAACGAAGGTCAATCATTAATAACTAATGTGATTATGGGATATCCAATGTTCCGAGAGTCGGAACATAACATCCCGAGGGGCAATCCATCTCGGCAGCTCTCGATCCCCAACCAATCACAGCAGCGGTATCCTATCAAGATGTACTTGTCCGGAAAATGGTTCGGAAAGTGTCTCCCGGCTGCACTCCGCATTTTCAGAGCACGAATGGAGACGCCTCCATATATAATCAGTGACCCCCCCACGCCAGAGCCGAACATCCCACATCCCACATCATGGCCTGTTCTGAGAAAAAGTCCTGCGAAGGCTGCTCATGCAGCGATGATAAACCCCAATCTATCAACATTGAAGACTGTCTAAGCGAGCTACAGGCTCTGCGTCGACGCAATCAAGAGTTAGAAACTCGAATGGGGGTTTCAACTGGCGAGAATGCACAAGTTCCCATCCGACAGCCCGGAAGGACCCTCCGTTCTTCTGCGTGGTTCGACTGTCGCAGCAACCCCGGCATGACGGCTATTTATATGGAGCGATACTTCAATTATGGTATCACTAAAGATGAACTCATGTCAGGCAAGCCGATGATTGGAATTGCACAGACGGGCTCCGATATCGCGCCTTGTAATCGCCATCATATTGAGCTCTCCAAGCGTGTTCGTGAGGGTATCCGGACTGCCGGTGGAATTCCATTTGAGTTCCCTACACATCCTATCCAGGAAACCTCCAGACGACCCACTGCAACCCTTGATCGCAATCTGGCGTATCTTGGTCTGGTGGAAATCTTGACCGGGTATTTCTTGGATGGTGTTGTGTTGCTTACTGGGTGTGACAAAACCACGCCGGCTTGCTTGATGGCTGCTGCTACGATGGTGAGTTTCACTCCTAAATGGAATGTGGGTTCCTTATTAACGATTTGGATCTAGAATTTTCCCGCTATCTGTATGAACGTGGGCCCCATGCTCAATGGGTACTCCAAGGGAGCTTTGACTGGAGCTGGGTCCGTGCTATGGCATGGTCGAGAGCTATATGCTACCGGAGAAATCGACGACAACGAATTCATGGATTACATTGCGAGAGGGTATGTTTTTTGCCACTTGAAAAGTAAAAGCTTCCTTTCGCTAATGCAGTCTGTAGAACGCCATCAGTAGGCCACTGCAACACAATGGGCACCGCATCCACGATGAACGCCCTCGCTGAATCTCTCGGAATGGCTCTTCCCGGCTCAGCCGCAATCCCCGCAGCCTATCGACACAGAGCCCAATGTGCTTACGAAACAGGAAAGCGCATTGTGGAAATGGTAGAGACAGACAGAAAACCATCCGATATCATGACACGCGAGGCCTTTGAGAATGCAATCGTGGCCAATGCCGCAATCGGCGGAAGTACGAATGCCCCTATTCATATCAATGCCATCGCCCAGCACACCGGTGTTGAGGTCACCATGGATGACTGGGATGATCTAGGTTCAAGAATTCCACTGCTATTAAACATGCAGCCTTCTGGGGAGTATCTGGGCGAAGAATACTACCGTGCCGGAGGTTTACCTGCAATTATGGCCGAGCTTTTGGACCAAGGAAAGATAAATGGGGATGCACTCACATGCAACGGCAAGACGATGGCTGAGAATGTTCGTGGAAAGCATACATGGGATAGAAAGGTCATCAAGCCATACGATGAGCCTTTGATGAAAGACGCTGGGTTCGCCCATCTGAAGGGCAATTTGTTCGACTCTGCAATCATGAAGACTTGCGTCATTTCGCCATCTTTCCGCAAACGCTACTTGTCCAACCCCGATGACCCGGAGGCCTTTGAGGGTTCCGTTGTGGTGTTCGATGGACCTGAAGACTACGAACATCGCCTGGAGAACTCACCGCACATCGATGCGAAGACTATCCTCGTCATGCGGGGCGTGGGTCCAATCGGGTATCCCGGAGCAGCAGAGGTCGTGAACATGCACCCACCAGGCCGTCTCTTGAAGGAGGGAATTGATGGATTATTCTGCATCGGTGATGGAAGACAGTCGGGAACATCTGGCTCGCCTTCTATTCTGAATGCCAGTCCCGAGGCTGCGGCTGGAGGTAACCTCGCAATTCTGAAAGATGGTGACAGACTTCGCATTGACTTGCGGAAACGTCAAGTCAACATCCTCATTACAAATGAAGAGATTGCAGAACGAAGAAAGGTGTTAGACCTTGATGGGTTCTCTATTGCTCCCAGTGGAACCCCGTGGCAAGAGATCTTCCGTCAAGAAACCGATCAATTAAGCCAGGGCATGGTGTTGCGGAAGGCAGTCAAATTCCAGCGACTGGCACAGGAGGGTCCACCCCTTCGCCATAACCATTGATCGGTCAAATGTACCTGTAATGATTCCATGTGCATGATTGTTGAGAATTTATGAATCCATTTTATTCTTACTTAATCGAAAACATTTGGGCAGCATTGTCAATGACTCGATTAATAATTTGATTGAACATTTGAACATTTGAATGTTATGAAGTGCCATATAGAGAGGAGAATTAATTTTGCTTGCGGAATATAACCCAAGCCGCTTCTGCCCCGTGTTCGGAACTTATCGATTCATGGGAAACAGACTCAGAAGTGAACACCGTGCACCTGCTGCTTCATCTTCTTCACGTTGAGATCCTTCCAGAAGAAGCAAGAAGTCCAAGTGATCAGATAGAGGCAGGTAGCAGTGATGAGCATAAGTCGCTGAGTATCACCATAAGCATGGTCGATGGCATCGCGAGTAGCCGATCCCTTCGCATAAGACTGCTGAACGTCTAGTTGACCATATATACTCGTGAAGTTTGCCTGGGCAGACGCAGGAAGGTAAGCCTTCAGCTTAGTGGGGAAGATTCCAGTCCACATGGCGACAGCAACAGTACCACCCAGGGCGCTACCAATATTTGCAACGACACCTTCAATGGCCAGGATAGCGGGGATGTTCCGCTGAGCAGATACAGCCATCACAGTCATTTGCTCGCAGATGACAAGGGTGCCACCGCCGAACGCAACGAAAATCTGACACATCACGATGTAACCGATGTTCCCATCGGGCTGACGGAACTTGATCATGAGGCCAACTCCCAGAATAGTCAGGGGAACACCGAAGCAGATAGCCCATAGCTTGAGTCGACCGTTATACCGGAGGATGGCACCGAAAACCAGACACCAGAAGCAAGATCCGATGGTATAGATATTTGAGATGTATGTTGCTTCCTGGACAGTCTGGTAGAAGAGAACTTGCAGGAGAGAATAAAAGTAGCTATCCCAAATGTACCATGCCAGGTACAGAGATACCACCATGGAGTAGGTGAAGAAGACGGTGCGGTTCCGGATTAGCTCCCATGGCATGAACTTGACGGGGGCGAAATATTTTTCCCAGATGACAAAAGTGACGATCAGCGCTAGACCAATGACAACGAAGCAGATGATCATCGGAGACGCCCATTGTCCAGGCTGGTAGGAGTACAGATTGAATGAGAGGAGGAACAGTGAGAAGCCAGTGGCGATGATGAGCAGGCCGATAACATCAAACTCGATACAGTAGAAGACTACTGATTGGAAGAAGTTGCGCCCGCTGGGCTTCCTCTCCGTCAGATCCATCTTCTCGGCCTTCTTCTGGATGTAGTACCACAGACCCCAGAGCGGGGCGCTAACAACAGGCATGATGATAGCGAAGACACCAAAGCCCCATCGGTAGCCAATGCCTCCCGGCGCCAGGATCTCATCTGCCGCATATCCATAAATCCATGGTGTGATGAGATAGGGAGAAGCAGCGTAGGCAATCCAGAACGCACGGTTCTTCAGCGCTGTCGTATCGGCGATGAAGATGGTCATGGAAAAGTCGATCATGCTGAAACCAGTCTGGTAGAATACCTGAGCCGCACAGTATGTTTGCACATTCTTGCAAGCAGCCATCATGACGAGGCCCAGTGTCAAAAATCCCACACCAAGCGCGAAAGTCTGGGGTCTTCCCCAGATATCCATGAGTTTCGCGTAGGGGAATTTGATCAGGGCGGATACCAGCGAGGCGATCACGGTCGTCAGTCCGGTCAAGGAGTGGAGCTGGAAGCTACTGTAGATGTAAGGCGATAGAGAGCCCAGTAGTCCAGAGCTGAAGTATTCCAGGAAGTTGACAATCCAAACACTTAAGAAGATCAGATACAGCGCGTGAATAGAGAGGGGACTGCTTACAGAACATAGGCTGCGATGAGAGTATTCCTTGTCCAGGCCTGTGTGCTCGCCTGAGCTTTTTGAGTACCTGCTTGTGCCTTTTCATCGATAATTTCGCCATCTGACGAGGTCGGATCGGTTTCGTGTGTCTTTTCAAAGGGGGGCTTGGAATCGGGGGTTTCAATATCATGCGCATCGGCCGTTTGCTCGACCGATTCCGTGCGCGCAAACGGGTTCATAAAGCGCTTTCTGATAGCCATGATATCGATGAGACCGGCGAAATTGCTGAAAATCACACTCTTTTCAAGCAAGTAGTCGTATCTCCCGACCTGTGTGCTGAGAGGAACAAACTAATCGATGGAAAAGCATGTGGACCATTTGACTGGATTTATATTCTAGCCGCTACAACCTGACGCGGCGTGGACCGCCAATGAAAAATTCCAACCTCAATCTTATGACCATCAGAAGCTTACAGAAGCTTGACCAGAACAAGGGGCTAGGCGGAAACTGGATTAACGCCTCGTCTATTCTGTTTTAGGGCATCGCCGGGGATGATCACTCTTCAATCCAATATGCATAGAGCTAGCAATCACGGAGCATGGCCCAATAAGCCTCACATAAAGACCAAGTTGACTATCTTGGTAGTTCTATGGAGTTAGTGCTGACAGGGAAAAAAAAAATTAAGAAAAAAAAAACCGGAGAATTGTTAGCGGCCCGTGTTATCTGATTGATTTGATCTTTGACTTTCCGGTTTCGGCCTCAGCCCCGAGATTCCAGGCCATTTACGAGTTCATAGTAGTTTACTTTGATACTTAAGATCTACTTTCATTTGGCCTCGGTTTATCATTGCATTCAACTTTAGAAGTTACCATCTCATCGAACCCTCAATACCAAATTTAGAAGAATGCGTTTCGAAGATAGCAGAGGGCTATAGCCCACAGCTTACCTCTCTACAGAGTGCCAAGCTGTGGCTCCATCTTGCAAAGTCAAATTTTGGCTGATGCTTAGCTGCTGATTCGGAGCTGGTCGGGAAGTTGGCCACTCTGATGTGGGAAACATATGGGCTTATGGGTCACCATAGCCAATGTCCGTCAATGGCCCCCATTGTTACCGGCACTTGTAGGCTGATGGCTCGGTTGGGAGTGCCTCCAGTACTTGATTAGTGCCTTGGCAGAGGCCGGACTCGAATCACATTTTTCTCTCTGCAATTTACTTTTTGTTTTTCTCGTTTGGATGTTATTTCTGTGCTACTTCAGTAAAAAGAATTGTTGTCTTCCAAGGTTATTTTAAAACTAGTGATGATACAACAAATTGCCTCCTGGGCTTTACTGGCCAAGAGAGTCCAGATTGCCCCAAAACCCACCAATCGCTCCGGATTGCATCAGATTTGTCCACGCCATTTCATTATAATCCAATTCAATCGACGGAAGCATATCATTCATGCGACTCATGGGGTTATACATCGAAGTAGGATCGAGCAACAGATCAGCTGTATCACTCATTTGGCACGGCCCAAAGCTGCTCGGGGGAATATCTCTTCTCTCGGTATCCTCGGCAATAGGTCGCGTAGATTCCGGTCGCGAAAGATGGGTTGTAAGACTTGCGCGAAGCGCGGCGACGAGCTCGTGCTCTTGTAATGAGCGCCCTAACTGCATCTCTGAGGTTTGACGGGCATCCCAAGCTTTCAAAATTGCCTGTCCAAGACCAACATGTAACGGGCTTCGAAGATTTTGACTCAGGCCCTGATGGTAGGGGCTTTGAAGAAGAGCCCTCCACGCACGCTGGCAAAGGTCTCCCTTTGTGTGGTGTGACAGCTCATTTGCAAGGAATATATACCCGGGTAGTGGCATTTGCATATGGCTGTACCAGATAAAGCCGTGGAGATCTTCCGTCAAGTGGATTCGATTGTCAGCTTCTAGAAGGTCGATGGCAGCTGAGAAAGTGGCTTCTCTTCGCTTATCATCACCTTCTCTGGAAGAAACATCGCCGCAGATAAAGTCGAGAACGCGTAGTTTGCACAAAGAGACGCGTGTCATCAAGAAGGTAAAATTCTGAATGGGAATATTGAGATTGCATTGCTTGAGATAGGCTGATTCCATATATGTGCAATAGCGATCAAGATGATCGGATTGGTCTCGATTTGACCTTTTGCTTATTGGAATAGAGCCATCATGTACTCGGAAATTTGCCGGCACTTTTGGATTGGGTCGAATGCCATCAGGGGCAGATGCAATCATTATCTCGATTCGAGAGAGAAAGAAAGTCATTCCGGTGACTCCGGTTGAAGGCGATGGTGGCTCCTTGGCGTGGGGATGCAGATCTATATCGTTCACATTCAATGGAAATCTGCAATCGGTGCCCATCGACGAAAGTGCACTGGTTGGTGATCCAGTAATATCAGCAATTCGTTTGTCAAGGGTGACAATTTGCCACCATAGTCGTCTGCGTTGCTCGGTCTCAAATGGGGATAATCCAAATTGGGCCCCATCACGATGCAATCCGAGCCGAGTGGCTATACGAACTGCAATTCCAATGTAGCAGAACAGCGACCGAGGGTCCACGTACAACCTGAGGCCGATCTATAATTTTCATTAGCGGGTGCCTAGCCTCGGAGGGTGAACGTCCCTCAGGGAACTCACCAAATATAGGAAAAAGGCCTGCAGCACCATTATATCGTCAGATTTCATGAAGCTGGCAGTAAGAAGAGCATGCTCGGTGTTCTCTCGGGTCATGGCCATGACGTTAGCTTTGGTTTCTGCAAACTTGGCTTGAACTTCGTCATCGGTCATTGAGTTGACAGCCGTGAGATAGATGCCAAACATGAGAGCCCGTAGAGGCTTCGGCGCTTCAGATAGATCTGCTGAAGCTTCAATAACATGAGATTGTAGTGTGGGGATGTGGCTGATCTTCAAAAGTGGATTGACGTTGTTGATATATATTTGCCACAATTGTATGCTCTGCATTGAAGATGGCTGTGAGCTCCTTGTACTCGCCCGGGAGGGACCTGCAGCAAATGGAAAGCTGCCTGTTTCATCAATCATGGCATCAAATGCACGGTGGACTGTTGGTTGATCCGAGTCATTTGAACCACCATGCAGCATCTCGTTGGTGGTTCGATACTGAAAGCCCTGTTAGTCTTTCATTTTGTTAAATTGCTATTCTACCCATACATCATTGTAAAATGCAAACCATTTTGAGCTCCTGAGAGAAATTAGCAATTGAGAGAAATATCTTGAGGGTCCTGTCACCTTTGATCATTCGTTCGCGGTGAATACTGGCTCGGCGCACTTGGGATCGAAGGTGAGTTGCCAGCGACAGAGGTCTCGGGCTTCTCGGTATCACGCCGACTATCAAGGTTTGAGTTGAAGTCAATACCATGTCGACTGAGTAATTCTTCATATTTCTTCAATCGGCCCATCAGGTCACTTTCTGGCCGCGGGGCGCTCCTCTTCCCACGAGCTCGTTGGGGGATGACGGTGCATTCAGCCTTGGCTTTCACACAGTTGCCACATGGCTTTTGCTTGTCACAGCGAACTTTTCGACGCTGGCATAGTATGCACGAATGCCCTCTTGTTATACCAGACATCCCTCAAATGTTGGAGTAAGAAGGAGAGGTCCGAGAGGATCGGTGCCGAGATGTTCGGTCCCGAAGAAACACTAAACCACAAAGAGCATTTTAATCTCACGTGACGGCTGCTGAGTTTGTTCGTATTTTCTTTTTACACTAAACTTGCAATATTGAATGGTTGCATTTTCAAATGTGAGCATAAGAGACATTTTTTATAGTGCTGACAGAACACGAGTATAGTCTATAAAAAGGGCCCCTGCTCCATCAACCAGCCAAGTGGCCGAGCAGTAACTCAGCCATCACATCTTCCTTGGTCTAGTGGTGATGATTTCCGCTTGTCATTAACACCGATAAGCGCGGGAGACCGGGGTTCGATTCCCCGAGGGAGAGATTTCTTTTTTGCTTTTGTATTTTTGCTACGGAAATAACTATAGACCAAATGGATAGGTCTCTCCTTTTCCAAGCGGAGTGTCAGGTTGGATAACCTCGAGAGGGCTGACAGCCTGCGTTTCATCAAACCATATGTACCCATCAAACTGCTTATGAAGGAATGCCTGTGAGTAAGGGGAAATACGCTCCGTGTCTGGGCGGTATATGACACCGATGAAACGCTGCAAGCGCTGCTCGCCAGCAAGCGCAGAGCGCAGAGTAGGATCTATGCGATCACGACGCAGATCCAGTACGAACCGGGGGACCCCAGTTTCGTGAGCAACAATCTCCCAGCTGTCATCACGAGACGGTCGAACATCCATGACCTCCATATCGTCGTCCCATTCGTGAGCCGCGGCCACAGTTCCGGTGTGAGTTCCACACCCGAGAATAGTCACGTTCTCAGGCCCAAGCCGCTCACGACACAGCTGTCCGATGTTAAGTTCCTTGCGTCGGAAGCCCATACTTGTATAGCGGGCATCGCCAACATGAGAGTTGTGCGCCCATACGATCGCCTTTTGTCCTTCATTGTGCCGCAGGAGGCGTTCCAAAGTTTCGAACATGTGAATGTCGCGCATGTTCCATGAACCCACGGAGCTGTAGTACATGGCCTTGTAATACTTTTCGGCATCGCGGACAAGATGCGCATTCTGTTCACCGCTGTGATACTCATCGCCATCCCGAAGACCGTGTTGTGCATAGTCAAGCCGTTTCTCCAAAAGATCCCTCAGCATCTTCAGAACGTCGCTTTCACAGTCTTCAAGTCCATGTACGGATGCCAATCCGTAGGATGTGGGATCGTCGACCCATGGCTCCAAACATCCGTATCGCTGCCGCGCCTTCTTGCTTGCTTGAGGATCTACCCGGTCGAGGTAGTCAATTACCGCGCCAATCGATGCACCCATGCTGTATAGATCGAGTCCGTAAAATCCCGCTCTCTTTTCGGGCGGCAGTCTCTGATTGTGATCACGCATCCATTCAACGAGTCGTTGCATTTCAAAGTTTCGCCACATCCAGGTCGGGAACCGTTTGAAAGGCTCATACCCTTTTGCGACTCCTCCAATTTGTGCCTTTGGACCCGGACGGAGGCGTACATATCGATCGATAGCCTCTGCATCGGGCCAGTCTGCCTCGACAGCTACCATGGTGTAACCATGTCGCTCGATCAGTCGCTTAGTGATCTCTGCGCGAGCAGAATAGAATTCGGATGTGCCATGACTACCGTCACCAAGAAGCATGACTTGTTTTCCAGCAAAAGAATCGAAATGAGATGCAAAGCTCTTGTCGTCGATCTGAGGCAAGGGCTCCACTGCCGCATTGAACATTTGTTGTAGTTCAGACATTCTCGTTAACACGCGTCGAGAAGATAGTAAGCGCATGCATGGATAAGCTGATGGCACTTCAAAATACAGATTCTCCACGGATTACCGATGGGAGTTCCATCAGAAGGTGTCAAATTTCAGGAAAAGCCATTTATCTGGAAAAGGGCGCCATCCGTTGCTCGGAAACAATTCCAGCGAGTTGTGTAATGCCCTCGATTCGAACCCCAATCATCATGATCTCATATGGAGGCAAAACAAACCAGTTCAAACATCGAGACGGCGAGGTTAAGAACGAGGGCAACTTAATTTGGACGTTCAATCGCACACGACCCTTCTTTGTATACATGAACACTCGGTTTGCAAGACGCATACATACTTCCAAGATGGCCCTTCCAATCAGCAGTCCATCACCGCGTTTAGATCGATTCGGACAGGCCATGGAGTCACTTTATGGGAGCTTCACCAACATAGAAAACCCAGCGAAGTGGACACCACCCCCAATGTCAGGAGGCCACCGCGGAAGATACCTGTGGACAGATGCCTTTGGGGTTATCAACCTGATCACGATGCATCGCGAGTATAGGAGGTGTGGCAGTGGGACGGGAGATGACAATCGGTATCTCATATTTGCAGACTCTCTTATCCAAGAGGTTCATGAAGTACTAGGTAGGCAGCGGGATGGTCGGTCCCGACTGCCTGGGGCAACAGATGCGAATCCATTGGGAGGTGGATTGAGGATTGGGAAGACAGAAGACTATGGATCAGATGCCGATGGACAATATCACCATTACCTAACTGTGTGGATGTTTGCATTGAACCGGATGGGTCGAGCGTCGGGTGATGTGAAGTATAATCGATTGGCTGTACAGTTGGCGAAAGCGATTCACTCCAAGTTCTTCATTGATCGGGCGGCGGCAAAACCGAGGATGATATGGAAAATGGATGTGAATCTTTCAGAGCCGGTGGTGAAGTCGGAGGGAAACCTTGACCCAATTGACGGGTATGTTGTGTTTCGAATCCTGCAAGCTTCAGCCATAGAGGCAGGAGATGGTGAGATCCTGGCCGAGGAGATCGGGGACTACAAACGCACTATGGATCGCAAAGGAGAACATTTTGTCTCGAGCGATACCCTGGATTTGGGGATGACACTCTGGACGGCACACTGGTTCTGCGCGACAGAGGACTGGGCTGCTGATTTGACAAAGAAGTGTTTCGACCAAATATGTCAGTCTTTCTCATTTCGTCGCTTGGAAACAAACATTGAGCGAGGATGTCAGCTGACTATTTGACACAGACAACCTCTTTGAAACCAATAAATACTTGGAGCGCAATATCAAGTTTAGGCTGGCCTTCCGTGAGTTCGGTGCCTCCATGGGTATCCAATGTCAGGCTGAGATACACGCGGAGAAAGATCGCTCGGTCGATCTCAAATGCTACTCCGATGCCATCATTGCTGCATGGGATCCATATATGGAGTTGTCAATATCTGATGGCTTGACACCGGAAGATCTGAGGCCGATCACGAGGGTGATGTATGCAGCTGCTTTGATTCCTGGTGGTAAGTGAATTTATCCTGACGCAAAGATTGTTGGATTGACCATTCGCCATTTCAGCATTTCGAGCAGGGTACATAGGCGAGGAGCCCGCATTATTACCGGAGAGTTGATCCTGGATGCAACACAGCAAGTGACATGCGTTGGCTGTTGTCTAGAACAGAGAAGAATATTGTCAATTGATGAAAGCGACTGGACAGCAGCAACTGCTGTGCTTTGCTTCTGTTCATAAAACAAGGTAGTCTATCATTATAAATCTTAAATATTCACGAATGATGGAGCAACGCAGGTTCTATACCCCCGGAAGTCCGATCACGTCCCTCAGCGAACCCAAGCGCCTCGGGAGTATGTAGATGGTGTACACGGCACTCAGTGCAATGAGCAATCCAGACCACTAGATCGGGTAAAGTTAGCAAATGGATATCGAGGCAATGATAATGTTATGGGATATGGGAATGGACAAACCTTCTCTAACCATGTGTGAAACCATATAGCTGTCATGAAGAGCATCCACCAGCCCAGGCCGACAACGCCCCAAACGAGGCGCAGGGTCCAAGTTTGTGCGAATGAGCTAGCTTCAGGTGATTCGGGTGTGGGGTTGCTGTCCGCATCGCTGGCCTTGCGCTCACGTCCCACATCTGCAGTCACGCTGAAGCGAGACAGGAAGGCAGGGGCGCTAGCCCCAATGCCCTCAAATGCCAGAAGCCCCGTAGCCAGGACCAGCATCAGAACATGACCACTGATATCATGACCACCTCTCCACGCCCCACCTGCAGCCTTGCAGGTTGCGGCCGTAAACAGTGTTTCCAGGTCGGTCGGATTGCTTCCCCCGGGTCCCATGTTCCCGACTTCCCGTAGAGCACGCTCGCATTTTCCTCCCGTGGCAACGAACCCGCGATCTATAATCGCAGGACCAAAGAACCACTGTGTAGCGAGGTACCAAACTGTAGTGACGAGAGCATAGCGAAGACCGGCTTGGAGGGTGCGTCGGAAGCGAGTTTCTTGTTGTGAGGAGGATTGAGGACGGGATGAGGAGTAGAGGGGCGAAAAGATGAGAAGAGATACGAAAGCAGCTGTTGTCCAAAGCCACCCGATCTTCACAAAGTAGACGTTGAAGACATTATTCTTCCTGGCAAAATAGTTGACAGGGTTCTCGGAAAGGTGCAGGTCCGATGCGAGAGGGGGGGCCAGCGGACTGACTGGGTGTGGCGAGGAGTCACTTCCAGGTCGCGCTGTGGGTGAGAGTATGGAAAACAGGGATCCGAGGATTAAAGTCGCTGGGTATACCAGGAGGGCGACAGCGGGGAGCGAGGGTGGTCGCGAGGTGGCTGCGGCCATGATTGCAAGGGAGACGGAAGTTCAAGTGAGAAAGTATGCGAGAGCCCGTGCAGAGTAGTATTTTCAGCTGCGCATTTAGTGAACAATGATCATAGCCGGGGCAATTGCAGTCCAAGTGGAATATCCTGGAAATTGAAGGTGACTTGGACGGATGACATCAGGCTCTGCCGAGGTCGCGGCGCTGAGGCCTCAGGCAGAACATTTGAATATTCCATTCGCTGAGGTTCTAAGCCAAAGCATTCACAAGTATCAGCATCAGAAACACCACTACGAGCGAGAATTTGAGGATAACAACGATGCCGTTTTCCTCGGGAAAATACTCGTGGGTTCGAATGACAAGGTAGGCCAGGAGAGCTGCAAGAACAGTTTGGAGAGTAAGCAGGGATTGGAGACTCATTTTACTGTCGGTATCCCGAGATGACATGATCGTAATGGTGATGAAAATTTAAATGTAACCTCGAGAGATTACAAATTACAGAGAGACGGGGACAGAGGGAGAAGAAGATTGGGGAATGCTACGAAGATGTTGCGGCCCGACTAGGGAGGATGTCACAGCCAACTAACTTGAAGTTATGGTAATTTGCTTCTAAAGTTTCCTCGCAGAATGGCCTTTCGATAGAAAAAGACTGTTGTCGTATGTGAATTGGATGATCTCTCTATCAAGATATCATTTGGTATGCAGCAGTATCTATAGAGTAACAATTGTAGGTTCATCCGCTCGAAACATCGCATGTGTGATTTAGCTTTACTGACAAGCTGAGGTGACCATCTATCAAAGGAAATCGAGTTCACTATCATCTCATCAAAACCAATAGGTGTCTTTTTGGCGATCAAGGTGACCACGGAGAGTAGACATCATAGAGGGCGTATTAACCTCTAATAGTAACGTGCATGTGACCCTGACCAACTCTATGGCGAACCTGAATTGTAGCTGCTATGTCCCGGATCTCCTCAAAAAAAGGAAAGTATTCCCCAACCTTGTACTGAGGACCGCCAAGATGCTGGAAATCAACCAGTCCCCCAAAAAGACTAACAACACAGTGGCCGGGTCGTCTTCCGTCTGGACGTGGTGGACCGGTATAGTAGAACACCAGGCTGCTGTCCAAGCGATTTCCCCGAGGTTTCCAGAACATTCCGTATTGAAATGGGACATCCGACATAACAAAATCGTCTACCAATCCTATTGCCTTCGCCCTATCCATCAATTCCATGATGATATCCGTTTCGATACCCCCAGACCCGTTGATAGGCTGCTCTAGTCTCGTCCGATCCGAGAGCTCGGGTGCAGTCATATTAAGCATGGATGCCAGAGAGACAAAGACGCAGTTATCTGTTAGACCTTGGGGGTTATACCAAGAGCCTGCTCCTGTTGATGAGCTTCCGTAACAGACGGAAGCTACACGCCTGGCGATGGTGGCCGTATCGGTAGTTAGGTTGGGTGCCATGGCATCGGGACTCTTAGAGGCTGGCTTGCTTGAAACCTGAAGCGGTGAAGCTAAACTATTAGTCTCAAATAACTTGTGGACTGGCTTACAGCTCTTACCGGGTGTCTCCTTCCTGGATGCTTTGCAGCGTCCTGGTCTTGCGGGAGGGGTAGCCTGTGAGAGGGGTAGTTCGTGAGGGGATATTCTCAGGAACAACAAGAACGTTTCTAAGAGAAGCTTTACATGGGACAGAGAGGGAGAAAGAGAAAGAAAGGCAACTGAACAAGTCCTTTACATTTTCAACCCATTTCACCCGATGATGGATTTGTTTGCTTTAAAGTGAGGCTGAAACCACGAACCGTGGTCAAGTATAATTTATTATCATCGGTGATCGGAGCCCTGCCCTCAACTTAGCGTTGGTCACACTCCATTATTACCGAGTTCGGCTTCAACGTGATGCATATTGATTGCAGTTATTCTCATTGAGATCGGCCAACGGCGGTATGTCAGACATCAGAAGGCCCCTTAACTATGACGTTTACGAGCTGTGGGCTGTCGTAAACATCTTCACTGACTTCATCTTCTCTCTTGTACTCCTCCACCTGCCACGCACTCCAAGTCGTCGTCGGGATCGCAGCCCAGAAGAGGACCGAAGCCACAAGAATATTCTTCAGTAGTGACACACTCTTTGATGCGCCGAGGGCATAAGAGATTGTGCTTGCCAATGACTCACCCGATCGCAAAACAGCAGCCGAAAACGTCAAATTCTCGATCTTGTCATCGAAACAACCGAGAATCCAGTACCCCCACACGGCGAATGCGTTGTAGGGTATGAAAAAGATACAATATACTGCCACTGCGCGTGCAAATCCTGGCGTTTCGATATCAAAGACCGGATTCGTCTTTTCATATTCTGCTTCCAAGACCAGGTTGTAGATATAGGTGATAGTATATGTGATCACCAAGATGATCCATCCCGCACGAGCTCGTGTAGCTCGACTCAAGCGGTCATAATCCAGGAACCAACCGAACACCATGTTGACAACCAACCCCAGAAGAGTGATAACGAATGATGCCAACGCCCGGGACCGAACTGTGAAGTACGTTGTCAGGTAGTTGCCTTCGTATGTCTGTGCCCATTGACTGGTTAAGAAAATGGGTATCAATGCTGCGATCTCAGGGCGCTTCATGATACGCCAGAACCTTCGGAAGCCTTCGGCAAATGTTGTGCGCTCCGGTCTTGCTGGCTTGGTTCCATCACTGCGGATGAGTTTGTCGATCGGGGAGATCAAAAGAGCCAGCGGCAGACCAAGACATTGCAAGCCGATGAGAACCCAGTGTGTTTCAGAACTGATTGACCCCTGTTTGTCGTTTCCGAAATTCAACGCAAGTTGAACCGATGATGCTATGATTGAGCCGATTTTGTTCAGGCCGAACCAGATTGCGACTGTGGACATGTGTCAGAAAGAGGAAATCGTCCCCCGAGCGGAACTTGACTCACTATACAACCCTTTCCTGTTTTCCTCGGGATATCCCACACCAATGGCAGCTTCGGAAACCCAAAGGGCCGCGGCCTTCGTCTTGTTAGTCCTAGCTATATCAAAACCGACGGGATGATATACGAACCGAAATACCACAAGTTGCTGCACCAAGCAACATGAACCATTGCGTTCCATAGACACTGTTTGTGTACAACGAGGCCGAATATGGAACATACCCAATGGTACCAATCACGAGGATCCATTTCAAACTCCATCGATTACCCATGACAGCAAAGATGGGACTCAATACAATCATGATAGCAAACGTGATTACATTTGCTGCATTGACGAAGTATGGTGTTGCCAGACCGCCAGCTCCAAGCCCTGTGTGTTGTTAAGATTTGATTTCACGCCGTCAACGTCATAAAAGGAAATCGGTGATACTTACCAGCTAAAGCACTCCATATGCCTGGCTGGGTGAAGCTCACCAAACCCAGAATTATTGCATTGAACAGTGGACTTCGATAGAAAGTGTGAAGCTTGGTTCTCACCGAAGCGCTCTCATCCTGGGACATAATGTTGGGCATTGAATTAAGGCCTGCTATCAGTTTCTTTCTCTAAAGATCCATGGATCCATGGAAATTCAATGGGGGGATTCTAGGTTTTATATGTGAGATCCTTATCGTGAATTCTTGCCCATGTGGTATAAAAAACCTGCGGGGTGCGCCATTGCAAAAAGCCAAGGCATATGTCGTGAGATGCCGCCTCACAAACGACATCCATGAGAAATATGTGTCAATATGTCGCGATTTCCCAATCGGGTTGTAAGACCGCTTTGTGAAGAAACCGTTTAGGGGTTCTGCTCATTGTGTACTTTATCTCGTAGCAAAACAGAGTCGCGTAAGCTAAAGCAGCACCTTCATGTAAATAAACTGCGTGGTATAAATGATAGTATATGGTCAATTCCAGAGTTCTTCGGAGGAATAATTTCGCTGTTTCTAAAGAACCTAGTTTTAGCTGAACAGGGTCAGAACAGTGGCCGTTTTAGTTATGTGTGGTTCAGCAGTGGCTCGATAACCGAGTTGTAGATATTCCGTATTTCGTTGACTACTTAAGCACGGGCCGTTCTTAGCGTCAAATGCGGCAACTTGACGCCAATTCTGGATATTTTCACGATTTCGGGGGGTGCCGAGCCGCGTATGGGCCCCAACCCCGGGGCCATCTACCGGCTTCCGTGCCCACTATGGATTCAACACAATAATTTTAGAACTTAATGCCGTCTCAGAGAAAGTAATGGTTTCTAAGGTGTAAATTTGACAGTACTCTCACCCAATGACTGAAGATCCAACAACTACTGAGCTCTCGTCTTTCGTACTTCCAAGGTTGACATCCATAAATGCAGGTGACCGACGTGGAGAGATATAACCTGGGAAGGAGTCAGCCGTGGAAGCGCTCAAAATTAGATTAGAGATGACAATTGTCTGCGGGCCATTGGTGATCTGGAATTTCGTGCAAAAACTTCATGAGTAGCCTAGGTTTACCATGGGATCATCTTGTCACGCCTCAATATTCAAACTGCGTGTGGTACCTCTAGCCCTCTCACTGTCAAAATCCACCGGTTATTCGAAGGTTTAGATTGATCTATCATCCTCGATGAAGCTACTTAAGTAAGACTAGAAAGACATTCTAAAGTTGTTTTGGTTGCTTATAGGTCCGACCAGATCTGGATCTGGTCATTCGTACCTAGGAGACTTCAGTCTATGGCCACAAACTGCTGAGATCTCCTGAGCAAGCGCACATCAGGGCAAAGCACTTGCAGGAGGAAAAAATAACTCAGTCCTCAACAGAAGATCTCTGGGAGTCGTCATTGAATGAATAACATTACGTACTGTTAATATTCCTGATCCAGTGAGTCCAGACCTGCTGCAGATGGATACTCTTTTCGTTCTGGTGCTGTCTTTCTCCCACTGACCCCCGAGAATAGCGATACATGACAATTATTTTATCTGATTTGTTTCTGACATGTGTTTTCACAAAAATCCAACAAATGTGATAATAGACATCCATGGATAGCCCTGGAACACGAGAGACTTGGCGCATATATAGTGGGATCGATAACAAAACGCCGAATGAATTGTGTTTTTTGTTTCGTAAATTGAGAGGTCTGTTGGACCTTCACATGTTATCGACTCTACTGTTCAAATTCGAGGTTGAGAGTCACGATACGATTGATGAGTCTGGAGCAGATTTTTGTCTCAAGAAAACTAGGTTTAGTTCTAATCCAAGACTCGGCCTTCTTACTATTGCATCAAAAGTGTACTTTTTCACATCTACTAACGCATAAATTGGGGGCCGTATCCAAGCGACCCATGAGGCTACTAATTTTGCAACCACATGGTATGTTCCCTCAACTAGCTTGCCTTGAATACGGGGCTACTTTTACTTGGGGAAATTGCATTTGCCTCGAAATTCGCAGTGTCCTGTCACACAAGAAACCTACGTTAGTGGAGGGAGTCCATAACTCCCAGCCCTGCTTTGCAGTCATCTCCAAGGTCACACATGCAGGATCCATAGTTCGCCCCTACTGCAAGTTGTGCTAGCCTACGGCCCGGCGCGAGGGGCGGACAGGGGGGCGGAGGCTAGCGCCAACTTCTGGGCCTACTCGTAAGCGAATGAGAGCATGCCTCCCCCCACTACGGAGTAAGAAACGATCTACACCCCCTTTGACCCAAGCCAATTATAATGACAGCTTTACCATACCCTGCATAAAAAACATGCATGCAACCGAGGATCCGGAGATCATTCCTCCTTCCAACATTCCGAAGATTTGCAACGCTATGTACCATTAGCCTTGAACTACACAGCCTTATGGCACGACACATGACACTGATATTATGTTATCAAGACAGGCTGTTTGATCTCCTCAATCCTTCTGCACGTTCTGTTCAGCCCCGACGTAGTGAGACACCAGGAACTAGACTCCTTCACCTATGGGATCATGTCAACCCACAGGCTGCGTCTTTGGGATACATGAGGCATAAATTTTATTGGATAACTCGAGTGATCCTTCAAAAATGACCTCCATGATGACTGCGTCGAGTTTGAGGATGGGAGACCTAAATCTCAAATGTTACAGCAAGCTGCCGGTCTCGTCTATATAAGACAGCTTCACTGTGCTCCAATTGCCAAAGTATCAATCTCATCAACCTCAATTCACTACAAACTACCGTGTCAAACATTTGACAAGACAAATTTTCATCATGCAGATCACCAAAGTTGCCATTTTCCTTTTCGCTGCTGTTGGCGTTGTTGCCAACCCCATCGCTACCGAGTCCAACGACATCGATGCTCGAGCCTCGACCAAACAGCAAGGAGTGAGTATCTTTCTGCAATTTTACTGATAAACAAACGTGATGAATCTAAATCGACCATTTTATAGCAATGCGACAAGAAAAACAACGTGTGCACGTACGTAGTGAAGGGAAAGACAAACAAAGTCAAGTGTGGCTCGGCGGCCAACAAAAAGGTAATCTATAGATGTCAATGTGCTTCTGTGACAATTGATTTGGCTTGTTCTAACCATTTGAATCCTATGTTTAGTGCCGGAATGATCGCGACGCCTGTACTTACGATACCCACCACAAGAAGGTTGACTGCCAGCTCTAGGGGTAATGAGTCTTCCTCTTATCCTGGTGTTCTGTGCTTCATCATTGGCCTTGAAAGAATGATTTCTTTCAATTTCGATGATACTACACCAAGGAGAACGGGTGACGTGCAGTGTCTCTCTGTATTGGGATGATGTATCCAACCGTTCCCAGTGTCTTTTGTGTTGGCAGTTCTCATTATAACCACACTCGTTCCGTATCTAGCTAGCTATTCATACGTATATCAGCATGTTGCCTATTTTATGATTATTCCAAATTTCCATTGCCCAGTCCTGGAGGTGAGTACGAGATGATCATACCAACGATAGTGTTTTTTCAAAAAGTTTACCTGGATATAATTTTGACTAGCTGTAGTTCCTATTAAGACTGCACGGCAAGAGAAAGAGAAGGAACCGACTGAATTCAATGCGGGGAGAGAAAGAGAGAAGAAGGGAGAAGCTAGAAGGCTGCGAGCTATCTACACATGTGGTTGGGGCGAATACCCTACACAACAGTTCCAAGTCATACAATATCAGCAAGTAGCTTTTCATAAGTCTTGTTTTTCTGATGAATCTCCTGCAAGGGGGAGGGAAAAGCAAAAACACAGAGCATTCGATTTAGGGGGGAGGGATCGGGAAGTGACTGGATTTTATTCTTGCATTCTTGGTACCCATGATAATACGGTATGTGGATTTGGTAATGCTTTAAAAAATACAGAGTAGGGAGTAACGAGCGGCATAGATGAGGTTCAACATGAGGATTCACAGGCCGAGGACGGAAGGGAGACATGCATATGAACTTTTCGAATTCCCCCTAAGCTTCCATTCAAGTGTCTACTCCTCTGAATCCTCGGGATATGCAAGTTCCCTCAAACACGAAAGATGCTTATCTTGACGAAGGGAATCACCACCATTCTTGTATGCTCTGATGATCTCAGAATTCTTGTCTCGGACCATGTTCACCATGTACTCGCAGCCATCTTCGGCAAGACTTTCCAGGGCTTTCTCGTTGGCCTCTTTAGCTTCTTCCTGGATCTGAGCAAGTCGTTTCAACCAGAACATGTATCTCCATGGCGAGAATCCGGCAGGTGATCGCTGCCCGAGCTCGGATTCAAGGAAGTCTCTCCCACCCTTGCTAACATCGCTGGGGCAGTCATTCCAATACAAATCAGATAGCAGAACAACATTGTGACTGGCTTCTCTCAGCCAAGCAACAGCAGCTGGTAGCAGATGAAATACTTCAAGGTTTCTAGTACCTCGGTGTAGGTCTTCATCGTCTGTCTGTTCCCCCGTACGAAGGTCTCGGCCAATCTCAAAGAGATCACGGAAGATCAGGAGAGCAACTTGACACAACCGATCTTTAGCGACACGAGCGGATGCAAGCTTAGCCAAGAAAGTAGCAAAGTTGAGACGATGTGCTCCTGACATGGTAGCGCGATTAATGGACCACAAATTGACCATATCACCGGCAAAGAAAGGAAGATCAGTCCACAGTGCCCCATCGACGGTTCTTGCGATATCAATGCCCCTGCCCCCCGGTGAGGGTCTAGTCAACGGCCCCATTCCTTGAATGCGGAGGATATCGAGGACTATGCCCTCATGCTCCGGTGCCTCGCATGAGATGCTTCGACCAAGTTCGTAGTACATATACCACAGGGGATGAATATAGTCTTCAAGAGTGTCCACGCCATCTGCAACGCTGCAGTATCGGCTGGTGATGGCCCAGGTCCGGTTCCCGAAGGCAGTCTCTCGAACCTGTTCGAATTCACCCCGGGCGACCGACTGGCGCGTATCTTCCTGGTCTCTGAGAACAAAGTCGCCCGTTGATAGACTAGAAGAGTCCTTAGGCACAGAGCCTAGTAGAGAATCCCGAAGGTGGTGCATTTTGTGAGGCCGATAACTTGGATTATTTCACTAGGGTTGGGACTAGAGAAAAAGGACAGTGGGAATGCAGCGTTATGGTAGATCCCACGGGGACTTAAATCGATACCAAACGGTGGATTTGAATAGGGGAGAGGCGGACTTCTCTCCAAACAGGCCAGGCAGCAACATAATCCGTAGGGAGTAAGCTCTGACAGGTCCTTACCTAGACAATGTCCCAATTTGTGGATTCGTGTACTCTGGATTCGCTGAGCTGTATCGTTTTCTTTGTTTGCTGTCGATCAAACCGGGGGCCAAGGCAGTAAGAGTAGTAGTGCATGTCGATCATGCAGCCACCCAGCGGGTAATATGTAACAGGTCACAAACCCCACGTTCAAATGCTACTGTGAGGAAGGACAGAGACTTGCAAAAGTGGACTGCATGGGGGGAATGTGATGAAGTAAGATGGCTTACATGCCATTGTCTCAATTCAACGTTGCATGCGCCATAGCCGATGACCCATCGTGTACTTCGTAGGGGTTGAGCCTTGGCAGACGCAGCCTTGATGAGGGTATTAACCTTGGTGGCAACAGCAGCCATAGGGTCAGCAGGAGTCTTGGGGGTTGCAGCAGCCTTGAAGCGAGTTCACGACGACACTGGAAGGTATGTCAAGGAGAATCGAAGAGCGACTGGGCGGTGGACAGATTCTGACTTCTCTGCTTCACTCACGAAATCGGTCTGCCCCTCACGTAAACAAATTCATGCTTGGGCGTGTTGGTATTCGTCAGACCATCATCGTACAGATTGAAGAGACATTTTTCGATGTGTTTCGGCGAACGTGCGAGGTGAACATGAAAACTAAATAATTCGAAATGAAGAATGTGACAGAAAAACTCCACAGTAGAAAAGAGGAAGGACCAAATGAAGTAGAATGATTGTTGTGGAAGCTCATCCCAACCCCAGTGTAGATTACTCTCTCTTCTCACCCACGCGCTCTCTCTCTCTCTCTCTCTCTCTCTGCTCAGTCAAGTGATTTTTTCCGTCCGCTTACTCTTCCCCCTGAGGCTTCAATGAGGATCAATTTCACCGATCTAACATTCGAAATAACTTTTGAGTTCTCTGCAAGTTCACTTTTCGTTCAAACAACATGATCCACGTGATTCAAGCACCATTGGATTCTGCCAAGCATCTCAGATCTCCACTTCCTCAAGAAGCTTGGCAACGTTCTCATGGCGAGGCTTCAATCCAATACGGAACGGAACTGGAGAGCGCCCCGAGAGACCATCATACTCCTTCAGATCGATAGGTTCACCTGGAATCTCGTACATGTCGAATGCCCAAAGCATCCGGGAGATGGTCAGCCATATTTCACGCTCTGCAACGAGCATACCAGGGCAAATGCGACGACTAGGGCACTTTAGCATTCTATCCACATCATAGGAGGGAGCAAACTTACCCGGCACCGAACATCCAGTGATCACGCTCCATGGGATTGGCAACATTGGCGCTGTCGGCAGAGGTCAAGGGGTCATTGATATAGCGATCAGGCTGTTTCCTGTTAGTTTCTGCCTCGAAACGCTTTTCCGAGGCTCACATACGTTGAATTTCTCAGGATTGGAGTGGCGGGTAGAGTCATTGTGCATGGTCCATGTGTTGAGGACGACCACTGTGTCTTTGGGAATATATTGACCTTCATACACAAAGTCCTCTGTGGCAACATGAGGTGTACCCAACCAGAACGGGTTGTGAACACGCTCTACCTCCTTGATAATGGCGTGGCAATAGGGCAGATTCTTCTCGTCATCGACATCAGGAAGACGGTCCCTTCCAACAACACGGTCAAGCTCTTCCTGTGCCTTTTTCTGGATTTCAGGATACGCAGGGATGAGTGCCGAAAACCATTGCATGATAGCTGCAGTCTATGGAAAGTCAGAGATCCATCATTGATCAACCGGAAGAAAACGAACCGTTTCAACACCACCAATCATGAAGGCAGATGCCAGGATTGCCATGTCCAAGTCGTCCAGATTCTCCTTTTTGCGCACTTCAACCATAGTTTTGGAAAGACAGTCGGTGACTTGGCCTCCAGACTTCATCTTCTGTTCAATGTCTTTGATGATACCGCCGTATGTATCAACTAGGCCCTTGTGAAGCTTCTTGCCACGCTGGTGCATAGGTGTTGGGATGTATTGCAGAAGGGAGACGAAGTCAACCAGGTTTGACATGGGACCGGTGCAGTTCCTATATTCATAAGTATGTTTGCCATGTAATTTTCACAGGAAAAGTTCAGCCTACATAAACTCACGACTGAGCTTCAAAGCCTGAGCAACAAGAGGGTGGTCGATGCTGTCTGTACGGAAGCCAAAAGTGATGGTAGTCATGTTGTTCAGAGAGCAACGACCTGCGTGGGGCTGCAAGGGTCAGAATCGGAATTTGCGAGAGAACAGTTTGACATACTTGAGGGTTGACAGGCACCAACCCGCCTTTGCTTTCCTCGAACAATGCTTTGACCAAAGAGAGAGACTCGCGGTCCAAAGTGGGGGAGTATGAGTCCACCGCACGCTGGCTCAACCATGTAACCGCAATGCGGCGGTGCTTGCGCCTATCATTCATTGACCATCAGCGGGACACGTTGTTCCAAATCTTGCAAACAGCTTACCATCGATCATTGTATGGAGTAGCAGTAATACCTCTGCCAGCGAAAACAGTCTGACTCTTGATATACATCTCCTTGCGGGACGAGAACACATTGCCGTTGGTGACCATGAGATCCTTTGCAACATTGGGATCTGACACAATGACGAAGAGCTGGTTTCCAAGCCAAATTGAATACAATTTACCAAACTTCTTGGCCCAAAAGTCGAGAGTCAGCTCAGGGAATCTCGTCAAGGCATAGAAAGAACCTAAGAACTTGGTGAGCTGAGTTCATCAGTCAAAGTAAGAATTAGTCAACTACCAATGATCGGAAGCCCCCTTGGGCCTTTAGGAATACTGTGACCCTGACCATCATTCCACGGAGTGCGCAACCAAGCAAGAAGAGATACAATTGCAACTGCTGAAACGGTCCAAATAGAAGTCGAGCTGACTTCGAAAAGACTTCCCGCATGAACAGCTATCTCCAAAGGAGATGAGCTAGGGAATGCATAGGTTGAATTGGATATAAATTCCATATTCTCAAACACAGAGCTTCAGGAGTCTAATGAAAGAAAAAGCATGAAGCAACCCGGAGACTTTATAGCCTGAGCCAGTTCAACTCGCCTAGATTTCCCTCAAAAGGAACCCCGTTTGAAAAGGAACCCCGTTTGAAAAGAAGACTCGAAACATTCTCCCGAGTTAGATCAGGAGTATCCAGTTGTCTTGGCCTACCAGCCAGCTTGTGATGAATCCATTGGTTCCAATTCCATCCATGAAAAAGCGGCCCGCTTGAATCATCCAGCTGCTCATTTGGCCCCCTCTTAGCAGCGTATCACCGAAGGGTGCCACCCTGCGCAGTCAGCTTCAGCGATTGCAACTCCGTGATCTCTTTGGATAGAAGTGAGTGAATTGACTTAGTTCGTATTACTCGCCCCTCTCCACTTGCCCCATATGTGCGTCGTCAACGAGACATTTCGAGGCGGGCCTTTCAGCCACAGACTCCCAGAACAAGATTTCTGAGAATATAGACCAAACATTATACAGAGTCCACGGGTAAACTGGAATAGAGATCCATCATCAGACCCGTACGAGAAAGCAATGGCCTCGGATTTGATCGTACAGTGTCAGGCCGAGGGAGAAAGAGACAGGAAGAGACATTTTTGACTGAGGTGGGGCCTGAAGTGTAGAAAAAGCCTGCATCAGTGGTGGCTTTCGGAAGGATTCCAGTGCATGAGGCGCTTTCAGTGGCAACTGACTGAGCGAATTGGGCTGTGGAGGCTGATTAATTGTATGAACCCCGATTGGTATCGTCCGGATGGGGGAAATCAGTAAATGTGGATTCTTGGGGCTTTCTACAGAGTACTACATACTCCATATAGAGTACTGTATTTGGGTTTCGATTTGCAACTTTTCAACAATTCAAGAACTACGATCCCCACGAGGGAATCGACCAAGGGCAGCTGCCTCCCAGGACAATCTTGGAAGCTCACACGTGGTTCATATTTACTTACCAAGTACGTTTCATGATATTTTTCTAGATTGTCTTCATTCGCCAGGCTCTTGTAACTGTATGAAGAAAGCTCGGTTAATTAGAGCTCGCTATCTACTTTTCTGAATGGCATATCTTGGCGATATGGTACTTTTACAACATCAGAAGGACGTGTTCGAGGAAGAAAACCCACTAAACTACTTATACATACAGCTAGCTACAGCACACTGAAATGCTAATGGAATTTAAATAACACTGAGTGGGATCAACCCATTAAGTGGTTCGTGAAATCCAGAGGTATCATTCCCTTCCCCAGTGTTGTAATTGACACTCTCTTAGCATGCCGCTTGTAGATGCCCATGTTTCACTTCTAGAGCATCGCTAATATTACCCTTCAGCATACGCGGTGATCTCGGGCTACTCCTGGTGATCCACACTAATGCCTTGTTTCTTGAAGATTCCAGGGTCTAGATAGCCGATTGGGTGTACTTTTGTACATTTTGGCCCCCACCGGCGGGAATCGGCATCCCAGACGGGCCGGCTCGTTCGTGGGGCCTTCAAGAAATCAGTGAAATGACACCGGTGGCAAATCACACTGCATGATGCGTCTGCTTTGCTAATTGGTGTCCTCTATTGGAACCCAGAAGATTCTCAGGCAGCGTGTGGTCCACATAAATTTGGCTTGATCTAAGATGGATCGGTGATTACATTGGTCCATCGGTGCTATTCGAGCAATCCCATTCCGCGGATTTTGAAAATAGCTTCATTTTCCCGTTCTGTGAATAATCCTTCAAATGGCTCATGTCAGGCTCTTTGTGCAAGCTAGCTCGTGTGTGGACCTTGCCCGCTAGGCTGACGTGGGTCTATACGAGGTCTTTCAATTCTCGTTTTAAAATTGGATGTCACATTTTGTGAAGAATTTCTAGAGTTGAGAGCGCCCAAAAAAAGCGGTTGGCCTAATACTTCGTGGGAAAGACAGGGAAGTCTCTTCCCCCTTGTCCTGAGAAAGCTGGATAATGGCTCAGCGATTTTACTCGAAAATATTTTCAGGCTAGTAGTGATGAATTTGTAATTTTCTTCACAGCAACTCAAAGTAAAAACTTGATAAGATTTCAATTGACTTAGACGAGATATTTGTGTAAATATGATTTTTCGGTGATCAGGAGTCCTGAAACACATTACAATTTTCAATTTTTGTTCTTTCTTGCCATTGCATATGCTGAGTCGACATTCTTGATCAATCCAATATGTCTTCTAACATATCTCGTCTTCCCCCGTTCCCCAAGACCATCACATTCCTCCCGGATACCACCATCATTTTCCATTTGGCAGAGGAAGAGCAGCCACAGGCTTTGGTGGGCTTATCCAGAACACAGGGTACCGGCGCTGGATATTATTGACCACCAGAGCCACAGCCAGAATCATTGTAGAGGAAAGCAGTACCACTGGTAGATAGTACCAGGAAATATCCCACACAGCATCATCAAGAGCGGGCAGAAGGGCTGTAGCACCAGCAGGTGGATGAGTTGTCTCTGTGACCTGCATCACAACAATGGCAATTGCTGACGAGAGCGCGCCTGCCAGCCAACGCAGGGAATCAAAACGAGCCTCATTGGGCATCAAGCTGAACAATTTGGTAACACATAGGCCGACTAAAGCGCTCAGAAAATGACCAAAGATGAGAGCACGGGGTTGAGCAAGCGGGCTTTCAATGGCGCCGTACACCAGAACGGCTGATGCTCCCTTTTTTTTATCATCAGCTATGCGTTGCATGGACGGAACAAGGGAAGAAACTCACATAGGAGGCAATCAAGCCAGGCACACCACGGTCAGTGAAATATTTCGAATAGTTGAAGATGGCTTGCACTGTGCAGAGACCAGCGAAGGCAGCGATGAAGGACCAGAAATGGACCAGATACTTGGGAGGTGGCTTCGGTGCCTCTGCACGATAGCCTAGAAAATGGCTGATGGGCCTAGGGAGGCGCGACAGCAATTCCCGTTCTGACAACATTGATCTCTGAGCAAATACGATAGAGAAAGAAGTGCAAAGGCAAAAGGCCAAGAGGAATGCAAAAAATTTCTGGGCACTCTTAGCGGGAGCGGAATCGGGATCGACCTTTAAGTAAAACCCACTTACTTCCCTGGTCCTCAACTTAGCGCGCAATCGGGGGCGAGTCTAGTCCCTTGTGATCTTTTTTTTTCTCTTCTTCTTTGTTCTTTCAGTTTGGGCTTACTTTAGTTATGACCTGGAAGAGCTTATTTTTTTCTGCTTTTATTACGTTTAGCCCTTGCTCTGGTAGACTTCTAGCAGGCTCTAAATGCGCCCCATATTCCATCTTACTAAATCATATTTCAATCTTTTTCTTAATTTTTTTTTTGAAAAAAAAAAAAGTTTATGTACAACGAATGAAGACGTGGCCCTCACAAAAAAAGCCCTAGGTTTGGATCATTCCTCGACCATTGCGTTCCAGGTCCATTTTTTGGGGGCCTTTTTTGCCAATGAAGAGCTCGGAAAGGTCCCGGCCGCAAGACGCAGGTTGGGGGCAATAGGCTTCTAGATCCCGCCAGATCCCGCAACGGCCGGGGGGATCGAGTGGGGTCCCGAGATTCCCTGAAGCTTGACGGGAACGCCGAACGGAAATTTCTCGGTGATTGCCCGACTTTAGAGAAATCTGAAATGAAACCACGGAGAGACATTTTCAACCACATTCTCACGGTTCCAGAAATTGGGCGTTCGAGTCCTTTGTTCAGTTACTGACACCAACGGCCCCCAAAAAATCCTCTGCTAGCTCAGGTTTGTCATTACTGTTGATGTTTGTTTTTTAACTGCCTTTGATACATGCATGGCGAGGTCTACCAGTGTATAACTATCTTGAGTTGAAAACATGAGGGTATTCATGCTGTACAAGCCACTTGGTGGATAAGCCACTCAGCGGCACAGCCACATCTTGGCGTCATGCTTCATGAAGCAGCGGTCAGTTATTGATGCCTCTCCATGCTCCGTACACACTGACTAAGTAAAACTCCGTACTTCTTACGGAGTACGGAGTACTCCATATGAGTATGGCCATTCGGTGAAGGAATAGGTAGGCGACCAAAAGGTCTTGGATTCCACAGGTGGATCCAGCTCTCTGCATTTATTTCCCTTCATTTGCCCTCCACGTGCAGCCAATACCGTGAGTTTATTGTCTTTTATCTCTTTGCTTTTCCTCATCACTTCATGCAAGCCTGATGTACTAGCGATCTCGTCAGCGATAGTCTCGAAACTTGCATGTGAATGCATAAAAAATTGAGGCATTTTCGATTGACTCCTCGAAAAATCACGACCAGGAAAAGCCCAGACATATCCACCTAAATATGGCTTTCTTTTGTATTTATCTAAGACTCCTACAAATATCACACTGGCAAGCCGCATTTTGAAGTGCCGTTCCCTCTCACCTTTTTTTTTTTGGTGGAAAGTATATATCAGTGGTGACTTCACACGATACTCCCCTTACAAAAATCAACACATTGCTCGTCGATCTTTCAACTTCCATTCATACAGACTGTACTTCGTACTCAGCTCCAGCAACATGACTTCTTCCAGCCAGGAGGATACACGAAGTTTGTATCGGTTCATCTTTACAGTGAATCGCACTAACACAGCTGGCAGTCTCTGGCTTTGAGCCGTTGCTTTCTCCCGAATACATCCAACACGAGATTCCTGCAGTCAGTTTGAGTGCAACTCCCCAAAAAGACTCGTATAACTGACTTCTTTGTAGTCAGCCGTCTCTCTTGCAACCGTTTCCGCAGGCCGACAACAGGTGATTGACATTCTTGAGCGGCGAGACGACCGCCTCCTCGTGGTCGTGGGGCCATGCTCGATCCACAACCCTCAAGAGGCACTGGAGTTTGCTTCTAGACTGCGAGAACTATCCAAGAAGCTCTCGACAGATCTCTGCGTCGTCATGCGAGCTTACCTTGAGAAGCCGCGTACAACAGTGGGGTGGAAGGGGCTTGTCAATGATCCTGATATCGATGAGTCCTACGACATCAACAAAGGCCTGCGTATTTCCCGACAACTATATTCCGATCTCACCAACATGGGCCTTCCCATCGCCAGCGAGATGCTTGACACCATATCGCCCCAATACCTAGCAGACTTCATCTCCTTCGGAGCAATCGGCGCCCGCACAACAGAATCCCAGCTCCATCGCGAGCTAGCCTCTGGCCTAAGTTTCCCCATCGGTTACAAAAATGGAACGTCAGGGAACGTCAATGTCGCAATTGACGCCATCGCGGCCGCTTCAAAGCCGCACACATTCCTTGGTGTTACCAAAGAAGGTATGGCGGCTGTAACTCGCACCGCTGGAAACGAGCATGGTCTTGTCATTCTCCGTGGAGGCTCCCACGGTCCCAACTACGCAAAAGAGCATGTTAGCTCTGCCAAGCAGGCTTTGAAACAGAAAAGCCAGCGCGAGAATCTACTGATTGATTGCTCACACGCTAATTCTGCCAAAAACTTCCGCAACCAGAGTGTGGTTGCCATGGACGTTGCGAGTCAGATGGTGAGCGGTGAATCAGGGATTGTGGGCGTGATGATCGAGAGCAACCTCAACGAGGGCAATCAGAAAGTGCCACCCGAGGGTCCTAGTGGACTTCGACCTGGCGTTAGCATCACTGATGCATGCATCAGTTGGGAAACAACTGTGGAAGTCTTGCAAAGTTTGGCGAATGCTGTTAGGTCCAGACGGGAGTACATGCAGTCTTTGGCTGACTGCACTAGCAAATCGGCTTGGTTGGAGACCCAATCTGCAGGTATTATGGCATAGTAAGATGTCTGGCTCAGAATCAATTGTTGTTTTTGCTTTTTTGTCGATCGCGCAGATGAATTCGAACAATGTTCTTGATTGGCTGGTTTCTTGCTGTAGGACCTCCCCAGGGGCATCGAGATCTCTCCCTACGAGTTTTTTTCTTTTTTTTAAAAAAAAAAAAAATCTCTTTCTCAGTACCCTGATTGAAAAAGAAAGTAAAATGTGAAATGTGATTTCATACTTAAGTATTCACCCTCAGACGTGAGAGTCAACGGCAGCGAAAATAGAATTCTTTTGGAGACTGGCGGTGATATTAGGGGGTAACCTGTACCCCGTAACTATCTGTTGGGAAGCTCAGAGACTGCCAAAGTGACGGGGGTTAGGGGCACATGCACGGGTACATGCTCAAGGGCGCCCAATCCAAATCGATCGGCAAGGGGTGAAAAAGCGAGAAACATTGGAACTTTAGAAGGGAGGGTCATATCGCGCGGCCTAAAGTTCCTTGTTAGTTCAATAATAGTTGCTGGTGGCTATCCAAAATTCTCAGCCGACGTTTTGCAAACGACTTGGCCTAAGTGGCTTGCTGCACCTGGAGATTGCGAAGATCGATCGGATATGACAACAACATTTTTTCAAAAGTCATACAAATCATATTGACGAGAACCCGTCCACGGGTGAAAGCTCAGTTTAGTGATAGTTTTTGAAAAGTCTGAACAGCCTAAAGTTTACTAGTATAAGTCGCGTTCTTGGGTATCCCGAACTTCGACAAATCCTCCGTATTCTTCCCATCAACTGCAAGCTCCGCCAGAGCACGACCAAATGCCGGCGCAAACTTGAACGCATGGGCGGCACCCAGCCCAACAATGATATCTTTATGTATCTCCAGTGGACTGATGACAAACTGCCTATTCGGTGTGATAGAATACTGGCAGGTCACAGTTCGAAGTGCCTGGCGACCCTCATCAGGCATGACTTTGCCCATGAATGAAGACAACTGCTCGAGCAGCTGTGGCGAGTGCACATAGGTCCGTTGCTCAGGTGTCATAAAGTTGTTGGATGTGTCTCGGCCGGCCTTGATCGTTGGCTCGCCAAAAGAGGGGAAGCCGTAGAAGCAGGGATCGCCACCCCAAATCCACACGGGGAAATTGCTGGGCTCCCAGGCTGCTTCCTCTGCCGGCTTGAAATATGTAACCTGCTCTTGCATAACTGACAGAGGAATGTGCACACCAAGTGGGGCAAGAAGCTTGTTCGTCCAGGCGTCGGCTGCAAGAATGACTTTGGCGGCGTGAACTTGGCCCTTGGAGGTCTCAATGACGACTCCTGGCCCTGATCTCTTGGGTGTCACTCGATCCACTCGAGTGTGCTCCCTTAGCGCGGCACCATTGGTTCGGGCCAAGCTTTGCATGGCAAGAACTGTTTTTGCTGCGTGGGCGATTCCAGTATCGGCTGTGTATAAAGTATCGACCGAGTCCGGGATGTCGAATTGAGGCCATCGCTTGTTCACCTCCTTTGCGTTGAGGACCTCGTATGGGACATTCTTGGCGTCGAGACTTCGTGTAAAGTCCCCAAGTGGCGTAGGGGCATCTTTGGGAAGAAAGAAGACGCCGCCAGTAATCGTTAACAGTTTTTGATCGGTTGCCTTTTCCAGGTCGGCCCAGTCTTTGTATGCAGATTTGGCTAATGCCACATATTCCGGAGACGAGTTTGTTGTTCTCACAATTCGTGAGGTATCGTGTGATGCGCCGTGTACATGTCCAAGCTCGAATTGTTCAAAGGCAATGACTTTCTTGCCCTTTAAAGCTGCGTGGTATGCGGCTGCACTTCCGAGCACCCCAAGACCAACAACTGCCACATCGTATTGTTCCGTCATTTCTTTGAGTGATTTTTTGTGAGAAACTTCTTGTTTGTTGCATTTTAGTGGCAGCTGGGTATGCTCCTACTTTAAACTCGTCGTGGTGATGTATGACCGGGACGGCGAGCGGTCCGCTCACGTGATTGTCCCCCTCAATCCATGGGTGGCATTCTTCCCCGCAAGTCGATTTTACTGGCGCCCTGCGTAAATAATGTTAAGCTCAGAGCAGTATTAATCCAAGTGGCTTGGTGGTGGTTAGCACTGAAGACGGTGCCACTCTGTCTCCCCGGTCCCATGGTCATTGGCACGACTTACCGTCGTGCCCTGGCACAGATCAGCGCTGAAAGAACCTTCGGGTAAATCTTGGCATGGAAGGAAGAGAACAAGAACAATCAAAATATCTCTGAATTATCATTAATTATCCACCCACGTGTGGGGCAAGCAGCCTGCACGTAGTTGGTATATCTCTATATCTCGCAACGCGAAAGCTTCGAGTTTGGCTTGAGCCCGTCCAGGGGGTATATATAAGATCGAATGTTGCAGTCTTATGATATCGATGGAAAATAATTTTCCTGGACTTTCTTAGGACTGAGAGGAAATTTCAAGTTCAATTGGCCAATGTGTGCCCCTTTGAGTCCACAAATAAAGGGCGAAGACTGCTTTGCGGCGACTTCGGATATCGTGTGGACTCACGGGACGGCCCCAAGATTGCGAAACTGCGCTTCGCATCAGCTGCCGCAATCTTCTTTGATAGTCCGTGTTGCGCGTAACGAGGGCGGCCTCATTTGCGCGAATCATGATCTCGCAGGCATTGAGAATATCTTTGCCGCAGTTCTTTTGAAGACGTTCTACAATCAACAACATAGGCAAGCTCCCTTGGAACAATTGAATGCCGAAGAAATAGGGAGAAAAGCTGACATCCGGGTCAAAATGCAAAATTCTTCGAAGCCAGGAGGCCGCATTTAAGGCGTGTGAGATCGTAGAAGAGAAGGCTGGAGTGGTCCAGCATTCCTTGTCTTCCACCAAAAATAGCCAATTGCGCTTTCCCACTATCATCATCCGTAAAACTTGAACGAAGTATGATACGTATGCCATTGCAGTTTGCTGTTGTAAATCGTCGGGTGTTTTAATTTCTTCCAAGCCAGAAGCTGAATCGTTTAACGATGCCATCGACGCGGTCAGACTGCTTTGATAGACTCCTAATTCTTGTAGTATTTGAGCCTCAGGCTTTTTTTGATCGTACGTTTCTTGCGATCTTGGATCATTTAGCCTGAGTATTTCCCCGGTGATGGCCATGAGTGGAAGGAAAGATCCGAAGAGCGAGCAGTCGTGGAATCGGAAATCGGGAAATGCCCGACGTTTTGGCCGTTGCTCTGGGCAAGAATCAGAATTCCTCTGCGGATCGGAGTTATCACAGGAGAAATCGCCGTTCTGCCAGGACGTTTCGTCTATCGGGAGCAGTAGGCCAGCACATTCGATGTCCAGGGTTTCCGACGGAAAATTGTGGCGCAGTGTTAAATGGCGGTCCATGATATATAATATCCACCATGTTCGTCTTCGCTCTTCAAAGCGCTCATTGGCGCAGATAGCAGATCTTGCATCACCCATTAACTTGTAGTTGCAATGGCAACTGGATTCCACCACTTCATGATGGATGGACGCCAGCGTTTCTGTGAACTCTGATGACTCGTGAGAACAGTAATTGTCGTAGTTTGGATCCGAGTTGTCTTGTGCTATTGGTAAATCATTTTCTTGATTGAGTTGAAGTTTTATCGCCAACTTAGTGGCTGCCTTCCACCTAGACTTGGGTTAGAAGACATATGATTTGAGATGGTATACTGGTTTACATACCACTCCGCGTCTGAAGGGATTTCCTCGGAAGAGTAAATTGAGGCAATGTGAATGTACGTAATCACATCATCAAGGTCACCGATATCTTTCGCCATGTCGTGAGAAACTGTAGGCAGAGAACCCAGACCCGCCGGTGACAGGTTCTGATGCTCAGATGAGGCTTGCTCAGATGATTGCGGCAAAAGGGACATTGTCCAACTACCGAGTAACTGGCAGAGCTTCTTTTGTTGTGTTGATGATGCAGAAAAAGAGAAGTGCCGATCATTTGCAGCAGCAATCCAAAGCATACTCATCAAGAGCGCAGGCTTGGTAGGTCTATAACTCTTGGCCAGGAATGAGGTCTTGCGTAAGACAGAGCAACTCCAATGACCGTAAAGCGTATGCGGGCTGGCCAAGAAATCTGCAGAGAAATATCGCTCTATCAAATGACATGCCAGCTGAGGAGACACATGAGGGTCCAGAAAGCCCATCACCTCACCTAACACGGGATACCGCAAAGGGGATTGCTGTACCTGTTGAGCCACATTATTCAGAGAGCTTTCCAATGTAGATGGAAACTCGGTAAAAATGTCGGATTTGCTGTCCGAGTTGGTGAAAATCGGATCCCACGCGCCCGGCAGTGGTAGCGCAGGGAAATCGGCTTGCAAGCTTGGAATGGGTAAATTCTTGGATGACTGGTCGCCGGCCCATGGATGTTGTGATTCATCGACCTCTTGCAAGTCCCATCCACGTGAGGTACCGGATACAGTGTGCTGTTCATCCTCATAAAAAGCCAGGAGACTATCAATCTCGTTTGTCACCGGTGGCCACCGCCCACCCGCTGAATCCGGGGTTGTGGGACTCATCGAAGACGGAGAAGACTCAGAGTGAGCAAATGTGTCACTTTGAGCTTGCTGGGACTGCATCCAAAGTGTTGATTCCCGTTGGACTTGTTTTGTTGTCGTGTTACCTAGCTTCGATCGTGCCGTGCGGCCTCGTTTGCGCAAAGTGCGAGTAAACTCACACTCGATGCCTGCGTGAAAACAGCGTGAGCACGGTGATGGTGAAACGAGATCGCACCGAACGCGTCGCATATGACACGGGTCACAAGCAACTTGATTTCGTGTGAACCGCCTGCGCTTTGGGACTTCAATCGCGCTAAGGGCTGGGGGCGATGACAAGCCCCCAAGATCGGATTTCATTTCATGATGCATTCGCACGTGCATTGGAGATATACCGTAGGCCAAGGGAATTTGAGGCGATTGGCGATTCTGATTGTGTGACCAAGGCACCGTCCGATCACTGAGAGGGTGACTGGGCAGTGGTTTGATAATCCCTCATCATGATTCCAAGTGGCGGCTGTTTCAGGGGCACCCTGGTGTTGGACAGGGGATATACCCATGACCGGGTAGCCGAGGGAGCAATATATTCGAACCCCTCCATAGGAGCCAACTACGCCATCCCCACACTATGGGCGGTTTTACTAACCCATTGTCATCCTTTTCGGGCAAGCATCCCCGCGACACATACTTCGGGCCGATGACGATAGTTATTCCGGTGCAGCCGAAACGCTGATTGGCTTCTGAAGAAGTGCCCCACCAAACCAGCCAAGGTTGGTCCTGGACACGACGTCTGGAGTATTTGGTTCTGCGCTAACCTCTTTCGCTCTAAACACCTCATACACTCGTTGGCTTTTTTTCCTAGCCACAGAGCAGACGATGATGATATGGTGGATTTGAATTGCTCTAATTTGCAATGAAAACTGATTCCACAACGATTCTACAGGCCCTAAAGACGGTTGAGAAAAATGACACTTGAATATGATCGATCGCATTCACTTCACGATTTTCCAATCTCATAAAACCAAGAAGGCCAAGACAGGATACCAGGCGAGACAAGTGAAACTCTGGGCAGGAGATCACTTTCCAAGCCAGCCAAATAGGCTTTCTCGCAATGGGCACCCCGCAACTCTCTTTGTCCGGACTCCCCATGGGGCCGGGCTGTGAAGCCCAAGCCTGCTATGGATACCCTGATGAAAATTCTATATAAAGCGGGAACTCGTCGAGCTTCTGCGATGGAATAACTGCACAGGGTTTCAAATTCCTTCTTTTCTCATTCATTGCAACTGTGTCCTCTCCCCAAACAATGGCTCTCACGAAAAAGCCCTACTTCGGGCTGACTGGAGGATGGCTTACATTCTGGCTCACGGCAAGTTTCAAATTCATCCATGACATGGGTTTCAACAGCTACTATAAACTAACACAAGCGAAATTCTAGGTGGCATGTGCTACTGACATGATGTTATTCGGATACGACCAGGGTGTCTTCAGTTCGTCCAAATCTCTCCCATCTATATCCCGTCCCCTTTGAACTTACCAACCTCCCTCTACAGGCGGCGTGGTGGTTACACCCGATTTCCTTGAAGTCCACGACTTAGTCGGCCCTACCAAGACCAAAGTCCTGTCAACTGTTGCAGCTATTTATGACATTGGATGTTTCTTTGGGGCTATACTTGCTTTCACTGTGGGGGAAAAGCTAGGTCGCAAGAAGTCCATCCTCTTGGGCACCGTCATAATGGCGGTTGGCACAGTTCTCCAGGCCTCTTCCTATAGTTTACCACAGATGTTCATCGGTCGGATTGTGCTGGGTTGAGCAGATACCCACCGTGCTTGATGAATGGAAACCGACTAATGTTGATGTCTCTAGTCTCGGGAATGGCATTAATACTGCCACGGCGCCTATCTGGCAGACTGAAACAGCGCAGGCAAAATGGAGAGGAAAGCTCGTCATCTTGGATCTCGGACTCAATGTTGGTGGATACTGCATTGTAAACTGGATCAACTATGGCCTCTCATTTCGCGGAGGTGCTATCGCATGGCGATTACCAATCTCTCTGCAACTCATATTTGTGATTATCTTATTCGTCACGATTCCTTGGCTGCCAGAATCACCAAGGTAGTAGTTCAGCTACATTCCGAAGATAAGTGCAATACTGACAAGGACACAGATGGCTCATGACGCAAGCTCGGGAGGACGAAGCGATGGAAGTTCTTGCTTGCGTTGAAGCTAAGACAGTCGATGATCCCCTTATAATAACCCAACGTGACGAGATCAAGTTCAGTATCACCTACGAGACTGAGAATGCTATTGGGTGGTGTGACCTCCTACGCCCAAACAAAAGTGACAACACTACCAAAACCCTTCGCCGGTTGGTTCTTGGTGCTGGAACACAGGCAATGCAACAATTCCAAGGTACACCCCTGCTTTTCTCGTTCGTCGCTCCGTTATAGTACGCTTCGCTAATGGACTATGGTACATAAAAGGCATCAACATCATGAGCTACTACCTCCCCCTTGTCCTCATGAATTCGGTCGGACTTTCGGATAAAATGGCCAGGCTACTCACAGCTTGCAATGCGACATCCTACTTCATTTTCTCGTGCGCTGCTGCTTCGATTGTTGAGCGCGTCGGCCGCCGCGGTTTGATGATGCTCTCCGGGTTTGGACAGTTTATTTCCTTTTTGGTTATCACTGTTCTTCTATACCTAGCCGAGAAAAATACGGTATACGCTACCGCCTCCGTTGCATTCTTCTTCTTGTTCCATGTGGCATTCGGAATGGGCATGCTGGGAGTGCCATGGCTTTATCCAACTGAGATCAACTCACTTCCCATGAGAACAAAAGGTGTTGCGGTTTCGACGGCAACTAATTGGTGAGTCCATGAGAACATACTCCCACTGAATTTAACGTTAGATCTGATCTCCTGAACTATTAGGATTACTAATTTTGCCATTGTTGAGATCACACCTATCGGCATCCAAAGCATTGGTTGGAAATTCTGGATTGTGTGGACCGTCCTCAATGCTCTATTTCTGCCGATAATTTATTTCTTTTACCCTGAGACAGGTCGGTTGATCAAATGTGCACCTGGCAGTTTTGTTTATACACTGACGACTTTTAGCGAATCGAACATTGGAAGACATGGATGCGTACTATCGTTCCAATCCTCCACTCATCGTGACGGGTGATGCAGACGCCATATCGACGAAGAGACCACTTCAGTTTATCTATCATGAAGATGAAGAAGTTCAAAAGAATGCGAAGGAAGCTATTTCCGGTGACATAGGATTCGCGGAGCATGTGAGCTAGGTACCATGACCAGAACCATAAGACTTCCGAGTCTGCATGCAGGTAAGGAGGTTCATGCTGTGTGGAACGAGCATAGCATTTTGTACATGACCCTTCGGTCCATTATCTGTCATTTCTTTGATGGCAGAAAGCGGAACGCAACCAGGTTGACTGTCTTGGTGTCATCCACCTGGGTGAATTCACGGAAACGTTGGAACCCAGATTTTAGCAAGACCTTTTGACTAGCAGAGTTGCTAGCCTCAGTTATAGCAATCAAATGTTCATCCACATTGCCTTCGCCGATGACCATTTCCTTTTCAACTCGGACTTCGCGCTCCAAGCGAGGCAGCTCAGACCAAAAGCGCAGCCAGGCGCTCAAGAACTCTGTTCCAAAGCCTTGCCCCCATGTTTCTTGTCGGAGGAGATAGCCAATCTCGGGCCATCCATGGGACCCGGGGTAGAGATGACACCCGCCAATGCCAATCAGTTCGCCCGTGTCCTTGAGGCAGATGGCACAATTGGCAGTTTCGAGGTCATTTGGTGGTAGGAATGGGTCCAGTTTTGATTTCGTCATCTCAATACTTTCGTCGATGCAGCCGGCCCTAGTCCATTTCATAACATCTGGTTGCGTGCGCAACACGTGCAGCGCATCTAGGTCGTTTGGTTGAAGAGGCCGGAGTAATAAGCGATTTGTCGTGATTTCGGGTCTCTCAGTGTTTGGGGGTAGCGGGAGTGCAGGCAATGAAGCCCTCACAGTGAAAAAACCGTCGGAAGCCATGTTGTGGGAAGAATCAAAAGTTGTGAGTCACAGAAGTTTGCAGCCCTGGAGGCGGCTCAACCCGTCACCCCACATTCTGTCAGGCGGAAGTCGACACCCGGCTTCTCTTCAACTTCCTTTATTCTCTTCTCCTGTGAGGCTCGACATACACACTGCTTATTCTCAGTTTATTCCCAAGCTTCCATTTCACCTACGATCTCAGTGCTGGGCTTAAATGTGATCTGTGTACTGATCGACTTTATCTGACAAATTGCATAGATCTTGATTAATACCCTCATTTAGGCTACTTGACCGACAGTACTTTTAATGTTTTTTCATCTTGAAAAAGCCGAGCGAACCCATCGGAATGTACCACTTTGTCTCTCTTTGCGCCTTTTCAATACTTGCTCGATCTCGCATTCACCACTTGCTGCATGACACCTTTTCAACGGAATGTTGGACACACTGTCGATTTCTGTCTCCCGGACGACATCAGTGGCGTGACTCAATACTGAGGGAGACGAAGGCATCCATAGGGATCCCCTATCATCTCCATTCGAGGGTGAATGGACAAAATTTTCCACCCTACCTCCCCAAATTCGAATCAAGCCTTGACAACTCGCACAGGCATCAAGCACTCTTTGCCACACCTCATCCGGATCATATCGAGTCTTCGAGAGCTCGACGCTTTCCACCGAAATCCCAAACACATTCTCGTTTCCTGAGTCATGACCCCTTACTTGTCAGCCCCTGGTCATCAAACTTTGTTGTGAAAATGGCGATCAGAAAGAAAAGAAGCTTACTTCAACATGTGGGCTAATGGGTAGCTCTCCGAAAATTCTCCGAGACGCATCGGATCCTCAGATTTGATAAGGGATCTATTCTCAAACCTAAAACCAGCCGCTTCGAAAGCTTCGTCCTTCAACATGTTGAACCGCGCACGTCTGGCCATCTCCAATAACTCAATTCCGGAACCAGGGTGCCATGGTTTCGCGATACTGGCTCCCAGATAAAAGCTACCCTTATCACAGCCCTGCCCTTTCCACAAGCAGGAAAACGTACTCGGGGGTGTGAAAGATATCGCGGCACACCATCGGTTGTACATAGTGGTCAAAGGAAGGTAAAAATTCGAAATTGTGGCTTTCGTGGGGGCTGGTCCCATGATTGAGAGGAATCGCCCTAGTAAATCAAAGCTGCACCAATATTGAACACAACCGTACACCAAGATATCTAAGCCGAGCTCGGATTCGTTTGATGAATGTCGCATCCGATTTGGGCTCGCGCTTTGACCAAGCGCCTGGTGTGGTATAATTTTCCTCACAGAATATTCCCCTCCGTTCTCACTGTAAACATGTTCGGTTAATTCTAAGAGTCCATCAGAAGCCTGATAGTTGATTCCTGAACTCACAGGATCTTCAATATGTGGCTTTGTAACCGTTGCAACTCTGGGATGACATTCGAAGCTACCCCATAGGCATATGGGTTGGTTACAACATCGATCATAAACTTCTTGACCTAAGGTGGCAATGTTCTCCGACGTGTCATCATCAATCATCTCGCTCTCTTGTCATCACTTACTCTTTTTCGATTCCAGGTGTATGCGTCGATCAAATTCAACTTGCCATTGAATGCATTCAAATAAAATGTTGGCATCTCAGGGTTTGATCCAACTGACATAGAAGCTGGAGTTTTGAAGGTCGACGGATCACTTGGAATCAAGATATCTGTAGAATTTCCCGCCGGTGCTCTAACACCGGGCTTTGACATCTTCTAGGTCAAATTTCCGAGCTAGATCAGATTTCTTTCTTAACTCTGATCTCGCTCACACTATGTTCGCAAATCAAAGTCCGTGATATAACCTCTGTCGATGGGAGAGTATCTTGTTCGGATTTCGCAAATTTCTTTGTCTATGAGACCTCGTTCTTGTAATACTCCTGGGTGAGCACACACCACTCCTTTTGTAGGAATTTCGGAATCTGTTCCCACTTATCAGGCACAAACGATGGCAAAGAACTTGAATTTCAGACTAAGTCGGATAATTTCTTTGTCCAACACGATACCTTTGCCAGCCCTGTGGAGTGAAAGAGTGAGATTGGTTTTTGAAACAACTTTAGAAGTGGCGCTCTTTGTTGCTTCTTTCATCCAAGACTCAGGATTTTAAAGTAAGTCAATTCGAAATTTGCCTTAGATGCGATGATGAGTCTGATTCACTTGAGAACCTTTTGATTATGAACCCCTCTCCTCAAAGCCATGAGCCTACTTTAGATATAAGACTAGAAAATAATTCAGGATTATTCAAAAATCAATCTATCCAGGCAGCTTGGATCTTATATCTTTAATCCACTATTGAGATCGATTTACAAGGAGCAGAATGGGATCTTGGCTAAGCGTGAGAGCAAAAGAGGAGCAGGTTGAATTTGTTCCAGACATTCAAGACCAAGACGAGGGTGATAACCAAGAGGCAGAGGTAAACACCCCCTTGAGCGCTATAAAATATTTACCACCGAGCTGAGTGCTGACAGATATAGTGTCTCCCATCTGATCCTCTTGGTTGGTCGACAGACCCCGCGATCCTTAATCAGGACGATTGGTCCCAAGCAGGAAACGCCGCCTTTAGAGTTGCGAGAGACTTTTGCCTCACAAATTGCCGCTCAATGCTGGCCAACAGTTCACAGATCATCTTTGAAGCCCATGGTCATTATTTTCTCTGGACTCGGGGGAGTATTTACCTGGAACAGATAAATCCTAGAGATTTCGAGGAGATCAAGGAGGTCTTGAAAACCCATGGAATCGAGAAGCTGAGTAGATTCGGCATGCAGTGCTTCGGCCCTAGGCCGCCAAAAAATAAGCCGCCAAAACCGCTGCCGTCGCGGCGGAGGTTTGACTAGATACCTCAGTGTTCACCTTCAGGCTCGAAAATATCTTCGTGGCCTGATGTCCTGATGCATGAGAATTTATTTGGGATATTTGTGCTCATGCATAGAGCCGTGAAGTCAGGGCAGGTATGAGGGCTTTGAGGGGCAAATTCGCAGACAGACAAGCAATAAATTTTCAGAAATTGCGCTTCAAGGCCCATTGGCCGGTAGCTCATAATAAACGGGTTTAATCTGAGTGCCTCGGGCGTCTAACTCTGCACTTTGCCCGTTGATTGTGCCACTGGCGCTGCTTTCAACCACATTGCTCCCGCTAGAATCCCCGAGTACCGCATCAGGAGACCAAAATCTTGGTCTTGGTGTAAATTGGTCACTATTCGAGTATTCGGTGGGAGGAGCATTGTGTACTGGTCCCGAGAGGACGGACACATCTGACTCGGGTAGACTCGCTTTGTTTGCCGCCTTTTGGCGTTGACGGCGAATGAAGAAGAACAGGATTGCCGCCAAGATGACGACTCCGCACAATGCTGCAATAGCTATACCAGCTACAGCACCGTTGCTGAGTGGTGAGGACCCTCCTTCGTGGTCGGAATCCGAGGAACATTCTTCTCCGGAGCAACCAGACGATTGTGAGTCCTTTGATGTAATGGTGACAACCTGCTGGTCAGCATTTGCATCCCAAGTACATGCAGACACGTTGAACACCCCTCGCTCGTAGTCGGCTGACAGGTAACTGAACAATAGGTGTCAACAAATCAGTCGTGGTGATCGCGATATGAAAAATCAACTCACGCTTCTTGCAGGAAGGTCCGGCCCAGGGTGTACTGGGTAGCATTCGCCGCACGTTTGAGTGGGAAATAGTAGCTGGTATTGTTGACCAACGGAGCCTTGGCAGTTAACGAGAAAGCGTCGTAGGGCAAGGTGATTGACACGGCATCACCACCAGACTTCACATCAGATAGTCGGAAAGTCACTTGTGCGTTTGAATCAAGCAGTTCAGTGTTTTTTGTGTCATTGACCAAGTACAACCCCGTCTCCTTATCCAGGGTGAGATCAAACGAGTTTTCAAACTCCTTGCACACGTTCTCCGGTAGCCACAGATTTGGATCCGTTGAGTCGATGAAGATCGCAATGGGATCCGATAATAAAACGGCCGAGGTTGATCCGCTGTAGCTGATGGATTGGAGGTAGACAACGAGGTCCCTGGTGATGTCATCTGCCATTTTGAACGAGACGGAGTTCGATTTGAAGCGAGATGCATCATACCCGGAGAATATGAGTTGACCGTAGACTTGCTTGAGTCCTGTGAGGCGGCAATTGTCACTTAACATCACCCGAGCACTCATCATGTCCTTTGCGGTTACACTCACGGTATTTGGCGCCCGCCGTATAGCTCCAGCTTAAGCTCGGGATGTATTCCTGGTCCTTGAGGCTCGTTATAAAGGAAGCCGAGGATGAATTTCCCAACGAAGTGAGATTGACAGGCTGGGGGTTCAAGCCAAAAATACCACTGTTCACATGTCTGAGGTCAGTAAGCTCCCTCGGGCAGATAGGGCGAGAACTTCGCGATTACAGGTAAAAAGGCTCTGCAGTTGCGATTCCTGCGACAGTTTGATTCTTCAATCTTGGCCCGGTAAGGTCAACCCCGAGGGTGTCTTGAGCGAATTCTGCTCTTTGGTAATATCCAAGGTTGGCCTCGAGGCCAACGCCATTGTCATTAATTCCATAAAGACCCAACTCATCCCAACTGGAGGACTGATTGGCCTGGAATAATGTTCCTCTGGATGTTGCACAATCTGACGGGACACTCTCAAACACGAATTTAGAGCAGCCATAGCCCGACAAGACAACCATTGATTCTGGAGAGGCGGTAGAGACCAGCACTCTTACCGATTGTTCTGGGGTTCCAACTCGGAGGAAGAATGTGCTCCATGGTCCATCATTTCCTTCACTGGTTTTTCAGTTAGAATATCCTGGGCATGTAAAAGGCCTGGCTGGGACGGATAGTTACAAATACTGGCTGGGAGAGACCACTAGAGCCGACGAGGAGCGTTTGGCAGGTGAGTATGCCGCGCATTGCAGTGCCCAAAACAAATTCAATCCTGTCCAAACGATTGAAGTCTTCATTTTACCATCTGTGACAACCAAAGAAATATGATCAGGCAAAAATGTTGAGATCGGACAGTCTCCCTATGTGATCTTGCGACCGAGGGGATCGGCACATATTGCAGACCGTTTTTCGCCAGACCTCATTTTAACTTCTCTAACCTGTTGGAATCCAGAGCTAGTTGACTGCGATCGTCGTTGTCATTTGGTCGGGGGCAACGGAGGTCCCTGACAGGTCCACGTTGGGGTCTGCAAAACAGGATATGACGCTTAGCCCCGACCAAAACCTGCTCCGCTTTCAGATCAGGAACAATCTCTTAGGAAATGCAAGCACTGCATCTTAAAGAATAAATAGATTTTGTATCATCATTACCTTTTTTAGCGAGGTAGCTGTTTTTTCCTGCCTGTTTTGGTCAAAACGCCGGCTCTGACGCGATGCCTAGACGCGATGATCCAGTATGTCATCGCAGGGTCAACCGTGCAGCTCTCGCTCTCGCTCAATTCTTGATGTCTGATCAAGTTTTTGCCATGGTTTATGCTTCTCTTAATTACCTTTCTGTTTCTCGATATCACCAGCTGCATTTCTGTTTCATTGTCCGCATCTAGCCCACAATGTTATCAGTACTTCAATTATGGACAGCTCTTGGGCTGCTGGCCACGGAAATAAAGGCCTTCAGTGTCCCTGGTATGTGAATTTTAGATATCGATGATTCAATCCGAGTGCAGTCGCTGAGCCCATGTAGTTATTCACTCTCCGTCTCATGATCCTTCAACCCGCAGTAACATCATCACCTACACTCCTGTCCCAATCCCATCCTTGTCCGAACAAACTATTTGGGACAGTAAGAGTGAAGTGACGCTAGAAAGCACTGAGACGGAGAGTACCACTGTCTGCACCACCGCTCTGAATGTCTCTTCATTCACGTCTTCTGCACAATGGACTGAGAGCAAAGTGTCCACCTCTACTGTCATCTCCGTGCCTTCGAAGAGCATTTCAACGATATCTACTATATCAGTGTTTCCGACGACTTCTGAGCTCACCACATTGACGACCAAGATAATTTCAATCCCCACTACGACTATTAGCTATGTGCCAACGACCATTACACCACCTCCAAGCCCGCCCCCGAACCCATGTCCAACGACCTGCAGCATGTAGGTTTCTTCCATCAAATCGGCATTCAAAGCTACGACGAAGGTCAAAACTAACTTTTCAAAGCTCCGCCGGTACCGTCAATTTATTCTACTGGCCATCTGATGGGCACGTTTATCCCTCCACTTATTCCAACACGCATCTCAACTGGACCTTGTAAGAGCTTATCATGTCCCGACTTACTATCCATGACTGACCCATGACCTCCCACAGTACTTCCCCGTCAGTATACATGGTCATTGACAACATCTACGGCTACAACACTGCAGGCCGCGCCGGGCCCTCTGGCACCAGCGTCGTGTTCCCCTTGGACCTAGATCAGGTGTCGACCATCATTCCCGAAGGATCGATCACACAACAGTTGACGCTGAGCGATCTTGGAACCGACTGTCCGCAGACAGAAGCCGAATCGGTCATTGCAACAGCCGCTCCCAATGGCCGATGTGATCCTATCCTTGCAGCCCCCAAACCTGTCAAATCCTGGGCGTCCCCGTGCAACGCGTGTGGTAACTTCGGTCTTTTTGACCCTCCCTATGCGGTTGCTCCGCTCACTGGAGGTCTTGTGCCGGAGGCAACAACGACTTCAATGACAAAGCCTGAGGTTACAACTACCAGCACAACTTCAGCGACAGACACCACAGACATAGCCACGTCGGAGGTTTCGTCCGCCACCTACAATGTGGTCTCTTATTTATCCGAGACCACTCCAGTATCTGAGACTACCTCTTCTTCGGCGGTCACATCGACCGAGATACAATCATCATCCTCCACCGAAGACCTGGTCTCATCCGATACGATCTCCACAGCCATGCCCACTGCGCCGTCTACCAGTGAGATTATCAGCTCGTCCTCCTCTAGCATCAATCCTATCATGAGTACACCCGCAGTTGCTGCCGGCACAAACAAGAGCATAGGAAGATTTGCGTGGTTGGTTTGGGTCACTTCCACGCTCGCACTTTTGTCATAAAACAGCGGCTTTCAGGCTCGGCCACGGCCTCAGCGAATCTTGAATAGTAATCAATATATTCTAAGTTCAAGCAAGATTGATCGCAATATCTGACCTTCTAGACAAACAGACGAGCGCTTGATCATGCGCCTGACGCATTGGTTCGAATGGCTGCGCAAATATATAACCAGAGGCAGAAATTTGGTGTGAAATCGAACCATCTCCTGCCAGGACAACGGAGGGGTTGGTGTATGTTCAAGCCAGCCTTGAAACTTTAGAGCCATCCTCTGGGCAGAATATGACACCCTTGGAGGGACTCGAAGAGGCAAGATTCGCTTTTAGAGAATTTGCGGACGCTGATAACCACTTGAGCAGGTGTCAGGTGATATTGGATGCCGTCGTGTTGCGTCTTGTTTGAAACCCAGTACGGAGTACTCCGCATTGAAGGCCGCGATGCAGTCTTACTTTTCAGTTTCATTTGGAGGGAGACTTTTAACGAATCGTGAAGAAGGATCTGCAAGGGAGACAGAGTAAGTCTTGGCTCATGCATAAGCCCAAGATCCGACCCTGGAATGCGCGTTCCAGAACGTAAATGATTGGCTTCCGATGTTCCATCTGGTTTTGCATCCATGCGTGTCTTATCACATCTCAAACAACGGGGTACGAAGCAATCTCACCGTCACGAGACTGGGGCGCAACTTTTAATTGGGAAGCCTCGGTGGCGTACGGAGTAACCTCGAAAGGACCCGGACTGTCGGGACAGACGGCGTCCAAAGTGCTACGTGATCAGCACCGAATTGGACGATGTTTTGGTGCGAGAACCATTCAGCTGGGATTTGGGATCCCAATTTGCCCCGCTCTGAGGACGTGTGGTTGCGGTCGGACACCGAGTCGGAAGTTGCGGCACCATGCCCGCTTCAGCACGCAGGCGTTAGGTGGGAAATCCGGGAAATCAGATCCTCTATAGATGAAATCGACAGATATCAAAGAGATCTTTCAACGATCGCCCCCATGAAACATCGATTACTCGCAGGCCCGTTGTATCAACCAACCTTGGAACCTCACCCGTGTCCACCGCACAGAGAGCAGTGATTGGCTGCTCAGTGGCCCCCTTTTGGCCCTGCGGATCGTCCTGCGACCACCAGCCAATCAGAGACCAACAGAAAGGGCGCTAGCGGGTACCCAACCCCTTAGACCCCACCTGCCGACCGTTCTGCCCGCGAAAGACTTTGTACCAACTTCGTAACATCGAACCCGACGAAGTGGTACCGCGAGAATTTCGCAAAAAGGCCAGGACCAAAAGCCGTGCGATAGTCTTTGAATAGCGCTGGTCCCGGTGTTCCGGTACGCTAAATGATGTGAAGCTGGAGGGGTCATAAGTCTCCAGTCGGTGTGGTGCTGACTCCTAAAAAATTATTCTCTTTTCCTTCCATCGTTCGAACGTGTTCTTAGCCTGTGTGCTAGAAGCTTAAAGTTTGGACATTGGGGATGTATCACCAAGCCCAAGTACCGGTACCCATCGAGCCTGACGTGAGTATTCCACGATCTTACATTCTCAAATTCTCGGGGTTGACCAAGCACCTTTTAGTCCAACTCTGATGACGACTCATTGTTTCCTGGAGCGTGGGTGTCTCAAGTGAACGATGCGTACCCTGGTCGCCCTAACAAAATTTCATAGATTCGACGATGCTACTTACACAATGAGTATCACCTCAACGGCGCTAAACTATCGGTGAGCGTCCCCCCCCCCCATGGTGACTTGGCAATCTCCTTGCTAACATATCTAGATATGAGGTATGTCGTTAATCATATCTCGCCAATTTGGGGACAGCCCTGTTGATCGCGAATAGAACGGCCGCAGGTACCATTCATACCACGAAGGAGAATACGTCTTGGTATGTGATCCGATCTCTCTTTCTAGAGCAAGCTGACATTTGAACAGCCAAATGACGAGAGGGAGCAGGATCGTCTAGATCTGGTTAGTCTTTGTAAGGCAGGCTCGATCGATCTCTAACCAACTGCAGACCCATCACATTTACAACCTGCTTTTAAAGGGAGAACTGACCCTTGCACCGGTGACAAAACCACACCGGGTATTAGATCTCGGGACAGGGACGGGAATATGGGCGATGGACTATGCGGAGTAAGCTCTGAAGACTTGTGTTCAAGATCTGACGCTAAAACTAAATCTAGTGCAAACCCAGGATCTGAGGTGATCGGTATGGATATCCATTTTTGATCGCGCCAATCAGAGCATGAACTGACCCAGCCAGGGATCGACCTTAGCCCCATCCAACCATCGTGGTATTATCCTGCCCATGCTCCTCGTACCTTGATCGCTCATCTAATATTAACTTGTCTCTAGGGTGCCACCTAACTGCCGCTTCGAAGTGGATGACTTCGAACAGGCATGGTCACATCAACAACCATTCGACCTTATTCACGGGCGTGAACTGGAAGGCTGCATTCGCGACCATGGCCGGTTCTTTGCACAGACTCTAGACAACCTTAATCCTAATGGGTGGCTTGAGATGGCAACATTTGAAACCAAAACCTATTCAGATGATGACACGCATCTGAAGGCAACGAACTTTCTCTACGCGATCAAGAATATCCATGAATCCTCCAAGCTCTTCGGCAAAGACATGGCCTCTTCGTCAACATGGAAGTCTCGCATGGAAAGTGCGGGGTTTGTGAATGTGACGGAAGAAGTCTACCTGGTTTGTAGTGCCTGTCCTAATTGACGAATCATCCAGCTGATTGCCGTATAGTTACCCCAAAGCCCTTGGCCGAAAGACCCCAAACTCAAGGAACTTGGTCGATACCACCAACTCAATATGATAGAGGCCATTTCGCCCTACACGTACGCATTATTCACGAGGATGCTCCGCTGGTCCCGTGTCGAAATTGAGGCGCTGTTGGCTGGAATTAGGAAAGAGCTGCGGAACACGTCTTATCATTTATACACCAAGGTACGGGTTGTATATGGCCAGAAATCCGGGTGATTGGGATCCAGCATATGTTTTTAGAAGCTTATACCCCCCTGAATGTTATCTTTTCTTTTCTTTTACTGGAAGCCAATGCATGGCGCACTCATGGCTACTTCCAATGAATCAACTCATGGTTGAGTTTGTTCCAAGCTTGAGCTTGGGCGAACTGTTCCCAGGAGTTTTTCAATGCTCGGTGACCAATCACGCGATAGGGGTTATTCTTTATAGCGCCGCCGCTAAGCTAAGGAGTACTCGTAGGATCCAACAAATATGAAATGAGGGGGCGGTCTGTTACGTACCCCTCACGGAATCAAGTGAGCATCACAATGAGCTCCAAGTCGGAATTGGAGAGCTATAGCAGCCCAATCATCGGGATCGCTGCCTCAAGTGCCGGGAAAAAGCGGCCGGGCCACCTCGAGCTTGATTTTTTTTTGGCTCTTAGAAGGCGTTAGCCGTCAGCCCTATGAGGGGAACGACCCACAATGAAAATTTTCTTTTACATGCCGTCCGCGATGTTGAAGAAAATTGGAGAAACGCATGTGCTGGAATCTCTGAGGCGATCACACCCGAATCGGACCGTTAAAAGCGGCGTTTCAAACAGAAATTTTCGGACGTTCCAAACATCGGGTGAATGTTTATTTTTGGCATTTTGCGGAAAAAGGAAGCGACGAGTGTCTGGATTCCAGATAAAGGATCTGAATCGAATTAGGCAGGACCGAAAAGTCCGTAAATCGGAAGTTGATCGGGCACGCATCAAGCTCGGAATACTTCGTGCGACGGCAAGCCGACTTGGGGGAATTGGCGTGCATGCAAGGGTCAACAGTGTCCTATCAGCTTATCAGAACCAAGTGCTTGGGGGCAGAATCGGGCTCTGAGGGGGTAAGAACCCCTCGCGCGGAGTGCGCAGACGAAAATACTTCGGCGGTAATATCTCGGCACCCGGTCGGCTGACGCTCGGTCAAAAATTTTAAGGAATGCCAAGTGCCGATGTCATACGTCGGGATATAGATATAAACCAGTTCACTCGCAAGTGGAATTGCTATCATTCAAACAAAAATTACTACCTCTAATACCTACCCAATAATGTCTACTGCCATCGAATCAAACAGCTCTTCGCCCAAGATGAGCACTTCAAGCTCGTCTTGTTCTATTCAAGACTTCACTGCACCCGAAGCAACCCAATCCTCACCTATCTTGCGCCTCAAGAATCACTGGAAAAATGTGAAGAAGGAGTGGGGTCCCCTGATGGCGGCAAAGGACCACCTTTACGACGAATACACTTTCCCACCCGGCCGTTATGCTGGTCAGGGACTTCAAAAATAAATGGTTAAAGGTGAGCCTGAACCGATTGACTCATGTGCACTATGAACACCTGCTAACAGTCTCCAGATACAATCCAGTCATCATAATTCCCAAACATCAAAAACACCAAGTCATCAATCGCGAATTATCTATCCCCGTGTGCGAGGCAAAGTCCGGGCCTGGAGGTGACCAAAGCCCCATACAAAACAACATCCACACACGGTGACCATCGTCGAAAAATCTCCACCAAATGGACAACAGTCCGCATATCCCAACTCCTTCAAAACCCCCATTGAGGCTGCTGCGAACGCCTACCAGTTATACTCTCGAATTTTGGCACACTTTGATCAGATGAGAAAACACAGGCTCTGCGCGCCCGCAGAGGATCCCCGCCGTCGAACTCGACATTTTGAACGCTGCTGAGGATTTTCCTGGATCTTGGCTCATATCCGTTAATTTATCCGTTAATTCATACAAATATTAATCAAACATCCAACCCCATATTCATAACAGATTTGTTCTAAGCTGTGGAATGTTTGCTTCCCTCGGCATGTCAGCATGTTTCTTCCTTGCTCTATGTTTGTTTGCTTGAAGCATCTACTATATTAGGTGCTCTCCGCCTCCATAGCTCCTTCTCTCCTTCTTCTCCCCATCTTGAATGTTGTTTGTAATGTTTGCACATGCTCCCACTTTTAGTAGTCAGATCGATAGATCCAGTCTTCTCCCAACCAATCTGTCCAGATAGGTGTAAAGCCGTGGAGTCACTCATGACGTAGGCTGTGAATAACGAACTGTTGATGAAATCTGTAGCTCTTGTTTGCGTGCCAAGCTTTTTAATCCCGTAAAATTCCCGAGGTCCACCAGTCGCCACTGCTCCCCGCCAATCACAAGAGCCTGTCGTACCTTCCGCTTCCGTCACCAGCGGGCCGCGGAATTCGCCGCGGAGGTGCCAATCTTATCGTTCAGTTGCAAACGTTGAAAGGACCACTGAACTTCACCTATAAATTTGAAATTCTATCACATCCACCAGGATCACAGAATCAACAGCATGAAGCGTGACTCTATCGTAATTGTTGGGTGAGTCTGTTTGAGATTGCATTGCACTTGAACCAATTTAATATTGATACCTGCATCTTTCTAGCGGCGGCATCATTGGCCTCAATGTGGCATTAGTACTTGCTAAGAAGGGTCATGGCCGACACACAACCATCATCGCCGAGCATCTGCCAGGTGACACGTCGATAAACTACACTTCACCATGGTTTGCAACCCCATTCTGACAATCACCCTAATTCACAAATCTGACTTGACTCAGGGCCGGTGCCAATTTCTCTGCTATATCTGCAAGTGATGAGAATGCCTTGCGTTGGGACAAGCTTGGATACGCACATCTACTTGACCTTGCAGCCAAGGATGGCCAGAACGCATTTGTGAAAGAGACACCCTCGGTTGAGTATTGGGATGATATGCCCTCAGCTGCAAAGATTGATTCAATGGCTGGGTATCTGAAAGATGTGAGTTTCTTTTTCCAATTTCCTTCCAACTCTCCCAAACTCCGAAGTGTGTATGCTGAGATTCAATAGTTCAAAAAGATCCCCACGCAAGAGTTGCCCACGGGGGTTGCGTTCGGGATTAACTTTACGACAGTAACCATTACTGCACCATTGCATATCCAATACCTCCTCAAAAAGCTTACTGAAGAGTATGGTGTACGAGTTATTCGCGGCAAAGTACCTGCGATATCATCGGCATTCCTCGGTCCAGACACCAAGGTTGTTTTCAACTGTACTGGAAATGCCGCGAAGCACCTCGAAGGAGTCAAAGACTCCAAGTGCTTCCCAACTCGGGGGCAGATCTTACTTTCACATGCCCCGCACGTTCAGCAGAATACCATGAGACATGGTAAAGACTACGAAACATACGTGATACCCCGACCCTACTCGAATGGCAAGGTAATTTTGGGTGGATTCATGCAAAAGGGAGTCAGGTAAGCTGCAGAGCTCGAAAGTTCGCTTCACCACTTTCTCATCTGAAACAGCACTGCCGATACCTTCAGGGAAGAGACGGAGTCGATCTTGAACCGGACAAAAGAAATGCTGCCGACTCTGGACTCACCAAACACTGAGATATTGACTGCGTTCTCTGGCTTACGTCCATCTCGTGAGGGAGGTGCTCGTGTTTCTAGGGAAGAGATATCATTGAAAGGGACAGGTCGTCAAGGAACAATTGTACACAACTATGGCGCTGGTGGAACGGGATTCCAAGCAGGATATGGAATGGCTGTGGAAGCGGTCAATACTGTGACACAAGAGCTGCAAGGTCTTGTCCACTCCTCTAACCTCTGATACGATGGCTATTTTCCCACATTCGAGAATTCATGTGAGGAACAAAGGGAGCGACATTCTGCAAGACCCCAGTAGAGCCTAGCCAGATAACTAGCAAAACTATCGATAGAAGACAACTTTGATATTGTAAGCCACCCCATCCAATCAATCTGAGACCATGGGCATTTTTGAGAAACATCGTATTGTGTTGACGCGCATCATGCGCCGTAAGAAAGTGAGAAGGTCATTTTAGATGATTTCTAAGAGGGTGTGCGAATGCCAGACGTCTTGTTGTCATGTATCAGACCTCCAAGCAGATCAATAAGATCACAGAGTTCGGCTAACTCATCTTCGTGCTGAACAGAAATTTCTTCGAACGCGGACATGGCATCTTCCTGTTGTGTGCTGTCGCGGGATCTGAGAGCCTTTCGATATTCACGCCATCTCTTTTGAACACCTCTCGCACTAGCTGAAGCGTTCCTAGAGACCTTGGCCAAGTCCCGACACACTTGACCAACAGCAGGATTCTCGGTGTTCACTCGCTGGTGCTGGTTGGGTTGGCGGGACTCAACGGGGACGTTGTGTCTGGTACCTTGGCTGGGCTCACTCGGTAGCAGATGTTGATGATTTTGCCGAGCATGTTTGTCCTTTCCTTTGCTGCACTTGCCCATTGCCATGACACTAAATGCTCTGCAATTTCCACAGCCTGCAATCCCCTCGACACTGACGCAATCCTCGAATGGACCACATCCGTTTGAGCATGGGACACAACGCTCAGATTGAGGAGAAACCAGTCCTGTGGTCTGGATAAGAAGCATTTCGGCAAACCAGGCGTTCCATAGTGAACCTGCGCCGAATAGGAAATCAGGCTTGATCACAGGTTGTCGTATCTGGGGCAGCACGCATAGCTTTTTCAGGCGACCAGTTATGGCGTATTTCTCGGGGTTCCTTTTAAAGCAATCGATGACCTTCTGTGCAGTTTCATTCGCTGGATGTTGTTGGTTTTCGGGACCCAACTCACGGACTGGATCAACTGAGATTAAATCCATCTTGAAAGTTCACAAGGTTCGAGCGGCTACTGTGCTCAACGTGTGTCAGTATTCTCGGCATAAAGAGGTTGCATGGCTCATTCGTTTTCTCTTCCACCAACTCAAAGTCAATAGGGCAAGATTCTGTGATGTCACATACCTTCTGTAAGCTTGCGGCAGTGAAGATACAACAGAAGTAATGCCGAGTCACTGACGTGGTGTGATCTCAAGGCGATCTGCCCTCCGAAGACAGAGCAAAGATGGAGGGGCAAAGAGGCAACAAAGAAGAAACCGAGTATCACCGACGTGGCATGAGACCAGAGGAGACTGCAGCTTTGAGCGAAGGGGAGAGGTTGAGGGAGAGGAAAGGTTGAGAAGGGGAAAGTCGAGAGGTGAAGGAAGAAGGAAGGAAGTGAAGGAATGGGAAGGAGCTTTGTGAGAGCGCACCTTCCAAAGATGTGGCTGTCACTACCGATCCTTGAATGTTCCTTCTCTATTTTGATCCATTTCGACTTCCAATCCGCGAATGCGGAAGAAGATATGTATGCCCAGGTGTAGGGATGATGATCTGAGGTGAAGCTGGGTCAATGTTGACAAGTTCAGAAGACAACCCCAATAGTCTAATGCTGTGCATTCTCTTGCTCATACAAGTCAGAGCCGGAGCAGGTCAAAGTGAGAAGATATCATATTGGATTCGTTATTCGTGAGGTTTCATTATCATCATTTGCATGACACTGAACTGTGGTATCATGAACATAGAACTAACTAACAAGAAGATCATTTCATCGCACTTCATGAATACCATCGGCTTCGATTGCTTCGTAGCTTGGGGGAGGACTACGTCCATCAACAGAGGAAGACTCGAGGTCATCGGTTTCATGCTGTGTTATCACGATTTTTGGAATCATCATTGGCGCAGGCAACTCTGCGTAATGATTCATAACAGGCGACGAGTCACCCGGGAGCTCAGCCACAGAGACCACTCGAGTGATTGGGTGTTCAGAGATGCCATGTGAGGCCAGAGATTCCACGTCTTTGAGCTCGACACTGCTGATGTTCAGCTCCGCGGGGAGCGATGCAAGGTGACCGAAGACAGTTTCGACTTTGCTGTGGGCTTGGCGCATGCGGGATTCCTTCTTCATGGCACGTTGGATGTCACGGCGCGTCCAACTCTTGCGATCCAATGCACCGGCTTCTGTGTCCTTATACTTGGCGGCCCAGAATGGTGCTATAAAGGTAGACAAGTCGGTGGATGTTTGATCGGCCTCAGCGATAGTGGAATTGATCCAGTCGAGCTCGATCTCCCCAAGAACATGGCACCTCTCATCCCGCAATTTTTTGGTCTGCTCCACAAGGGTGTCGGTGGCGGAAGCGGCGTCGTGCAATGCATCGATTTGCTCTTTAGGTGGAAGTGAAGAGTCGACGACTGATGTAGGCTGTATAATTTGCGTTTTGGGCACGGTTACTTCAACTGCGGTAGCTGAAGAAGACACCGTAGAGGTGTTTGCTTGGGCGTAGAATCGTGATCCAGATCTTGTTGAGTCTGGCGAGGATGGCGGCGAAGTGTTATCTTTCGTTTGTCCCGGTCGCGTTTGGCGGCGGTCCCCTGATTGTTGTACACGGATGGCTTGGTGCATTTGATCCGCCGACTGGTTCCATTTGGAAACGGACCGATCCACCATCGCTCTGGCGGACTGCTGAGCCCGATCTTTGGAGTTGGACAACGAGTCGGCGGACTTGTGCCAGGCACCCATTGACGTGCGTTGGCAGCGTGTCTTGGAAGTGTTCCACGCTTCCATGGTGGACCTCTGAGCGCGGCTCTTTGAATTATTCCATGCGTCTACGGTTGACTGCTGGGCGCGATTTTTCGAATTGTTGAAGGCAATGGTCGATCGATCGATCCAGTCCTGTTTTTGACGCTGCCACATGGAGATGGAATTCTGGCATAATTTAGGGCTGTTGGTGATTTCGGTGGACCCCATCTTGAGACAAGAGATCTCTGACAAGAATTTGATTGATCAAGAGAATAGAAGGCTTGAAGGCTTGGGTGTCCAAACGAAAGAGATCAACTCGTATATAAATTCCCCAGCCCAAAGGTCACCGCTCGTCGAACCTAATATTACACAGGGCTTAGCCGGTCTCCATTTGTGTTTTGTTTCCCAATCGACAGCCTCAAAACGCGGGTTGCTAGAAGATCAACGGTGTTGGAGGGCTGTGTGCTGACAAGACCCCGCACATCGGGCGGTTCTCATTGGTTCAGTCGTAAAAAAATCGCTAAATTTGGATGTGGGGGGTTGGGGGCCACTTCACTCCCGCTTGATGCCTTGCGCAATTGCGCAGCCCACTTGATCTTTGATCTTAAGCACATGGCAACTCTGATATTCGAAGGCTGTGGAGTATCCGGCGCGTAACAGCAGGGAAGGCAGAATCCTGGACAACAGGATCAAGCATGCGTCCACTTCATTGCGCCTTGGTCCGGCTGTGTTGACGCAAGTTGATCGTCGAACGTTTTCCGGTTCAGGTTCCGAAAGTGAATGGTGCGAGCCGCTGAATCCACATTTGAGTCCCTGCATAGATCATCTCTACTAGGTAGAGATTCTCTACTCCGTCGGGAGGACTTTGAGATCCAGAGATCTCAGGGAAGTATCGAGGGGTAGGGGATTCCACGTGATGTCTCGGCAAAGGCTACCCCGACTCTCGCGTGTTTCCCCGGACTGAGTTCCCCCTGCGCGATTGATGGAATTTCTTCACTAAGATCTTGGCCTGACGAAATCGCTTCAAATTAGTCCAAAATGAGGCCAATCCCGGTGGGATAACTCCGGAGTGTCGTACGGTTCTCCATTTCAATTTATTTCGCGATGTGCGCAAAATTATAAAAGCAGCTAGAATGCTATCCAGTAAAGCTCAAGTAGCTCTGGCTTTCAATTGAATCATGAAGATCTCTAATATTTTGGGTATGGCTACGGCGGTGGCGGCAGTCTCCGTCCCGCGCTCCAAGAATTCCTCTCCCACCGCACTGAACAATGTGACCATCTTCACCCCTCCCTCCGACTACATTGTTCCTCGGACATTGTACCCTCGGAATGAGCAGCTCCCCAATGGTGACATTCTAGCAACCTGGGAGAACTATTCGCCAGAGCCCCCACAGGTCTACTTCCCCATCTATCGCTCCAAGGACCATGGCAAGACCTGGAAGGAGATCTCCAAGGTCCACGATACCGCCAATGGATACGGATTGAGATATCAACCCTTCCTCTACTACCTGCCGGAGCGTGTCGGGTCATTCAAGAAGGGAACCTTGCTGCTAGCCGGTAGCAGTATTCCCACTGATCTCTCTTCCACCAACATTGATCTATACGCATCAAACGACGATGGCAAGTCTTGGAAATTCGTCAGCCACATCGCCGCTGGAGGAAGAGCCGAGCCCATTAACGGACTCACTCCAGTCTGGGAGCCTTTCTTGCTTGCTCAGTACGTTCTATCTCGGTCCATCCTGGGCAATCTGCTAAACATTTACGCAGCAAGGGAAAGCTCATCTGCTACTACTCTGATCAGAGAGATAATGCAACTTACGGACAGACCATGGTTCACCAGACTTCATCTGACCTGAAGAACTGGGGTGCTCTTGTCGAGGATGTCACTTATCCCACTTACACTGACCGACCTGGCATGCCGGTTGTGGCCAAGGTAAGCACTCGACCAGGAATTCTGGAGTCTTCAACAGTATCAAGATACTGATATCTATAGCTTCCTAACGGCAAATATTTCTACATCTACGAATATGGCTCCTTCTTCGGAACTTCGTCCTACTCGTTCCCCCTCTACTACCGAATCACCTCGGACCCCGAGAAGGTCGCCGATGCTCCTCATCAGCGCCTGGTGGTCTCGAGTGGTACTAAGCCAACTTCTTCCCCTTACGTTGTGTGGACACCATACGGAGGCAAGAACGGCACCATTATCGCGAGCTCCGGAACGCAGAGTACCCTCTTCATCAACAAGGCTCTCGGTGAAGGTGAATGGACCGAAATTCAATCTCCTGAGGAGCACGGTTACACCCGGGCTCTGAGGGTGCTGTCGGAGGATGGCGGCCGCTATCTGATGGTTCATTCTGCGGGTGTGCTGCAAGGAACCAACAACCGTGTTTCGGCAAGCGTGATGGACTTGAAGGATTTCTTGTGAGAGATGTTTCCATAGAGGCTTTTGCCGATAAAAGCCAGAGCGCGTCATGGGCGCGCCATGTCACAATTTACAAGCTATCAAGAATAAGACTCAGACAGCCTCTGAAAAGATTACATTTTCTCCGCTAAATAACATCGATAATTTGAGCGCTGTTTCCAACCAAGATTCCTATCAAACAAGCTAATGTTGAGATGAGACCGGACTGTCTCGTCGGGGCGTGTCATGTGAGATTCCCAATTCAGATGGCGGTGATACACTCCTGTTGGTGTAGGTTGACGGCTGAAGCCCATTAGACCTGTGCGGTTGGTATCCGTGGGGCTGGCTGTCTGGCTTTGGGTATTCATTGGCTGGCATCTCATGCGCCCGAGTGTTATGGTTTTGATACCCAAAATCCTGATTGTTGGCAGGCATCTCATATACTTGGTTATTTTGGTTGTAAGATTGAGGGTGATGTTGATATTGTTGTGGGTGGTGATAATATCCATTGGCTGGCATTTGGTGCGGTTGGTAGGGATTTTGGTAGTAGCCATTGGGAGGCCCATTTGGGTTGGGACCGTAGTTCATTGCCGGATCAAAATTTTGGGGGCTTTGCTGGTGACTGCCACGTTGTTGCTTTTTATCTTCGTGGCTATTCGCGGCTCTAGTATAGTTGTTAGTTTGCATGCTCAATTAAAGTACGGAGTACCCAAGCGACACTCACTTGGATGCCGCTTTTATAAGACCGTAGCTGCCTGCCAAAGTAAGGCCAGTTTTGATCAGACCCATGTTTGAGTTTCTTGTGGTGTTTTCAGCGCAATGGATGCGAAACAAATGTACTGAAATGGGTGTCACTTAAGTATGTGCGGAAGAGAAATGTAGATGATAGAACAAGCACCATTGAAGAGTCACAGCCTAAGCTTTTATAATTCCCGAGAATTAAGGATCCGCGCTGGGACGGTAAAAAAAGCTTAGAGTATTTACTTTGCTCCACTCGATCAGCATCCAAATTGGCTATCCTTGTCGCAAGGCTCGCGAGGCTGTGCGAAATTAACAAAAGCAAACAGATAGTGGAATCCGAGGCCATTGACCAATGAGATAACTCTAAACGGCCTGGCCCCACGGCGCTTGACCCAAAAGAATAGAGCGTCCCGAACCCGACGTGCGCCTTGTGGGGGCCGAATTCAACCTCTCTTGATGTGTCCCTCTCCCCGATACCGAAACCGAGATCATTGCATGTCCTCCGATGCCTCCACGCTTCACCCACCGAAAGTCAACCACCGGGTGTCTCCGATGCAAGGCCCGGAAGGTGAAAGTAGGCTCTCACCCAATCCTTTAATTGGACGCCAGCTCACCCTTGACAGTGCGATGAGCAACGCCCAGACTGCAGCCACTGTACTCGTCATGGGGTCACATGTGAATGGCCTACTTTAAAACCCCGGATGTATAATCCGGATAAGCCAAAGGCTGTTACCAGACGCGTGGTTCAGCCAAGCCCCCGACCCAGCCTGCCATCCCCAGAACTCGGGTCGATGCGCATTCTCGAGATGAGGCTGGTTCATCAATGGGTCACGGAAACATGCAACACGATGAGTTCCGCTAAAATCCCCACCATGGCCCGAATGTGGGGGGTGTCAGTGCCAAAGATGGCATTTGAGTACGAGCCACTTCTGCACACTCTGCTAGCGCTAGGGGCCGCCCATCGCTCAACTCTATTACCCCAAGAAGCAAGTGCACTGCGCCCGGTTTATCACGGCTACATTGATTCGGCGATTCAGCGGCACCGCCCAGTGACTGCTCAATTGGACGAAACCACAACCGATGCTGTCTGCTTTAATACGGTTCTTCTGTCATTATACACATTGTTCCTTCGGTCGGAACCCTCGAAGCTGCCTTACAACCCACCGGTAATGTGGCTCACATTGGCTCAAGGTATTCGAACGGTCATCAAATCGGTCTATACCCAGTTGGTTGCGAACAACTCCCCGTTATGTCCATTGCTTTTCGCTGCACCGGATGTGTGGCGAAGTGCCGACCGCGAAGAGCGGATCTATACCGGGCCAATGAAACCACTGCAGTTCCTCCTTCATTATCGCCAAGAGGACGATGCAATGGACCAAGCGACACTCGAAGTCTATGAAGAGGCGGTCGCATATATAGAACGATTTTACATAGCTGTGCAAAAGGGTGAAGAGGACTATCTGCTTCGCCGAATGTTCAGCGGGTTCCCCCCTGTAATCCCGCAAGCCTACATTGGTTATGTGGCCGCCCGACGCCCTCGGGCCCTGGTGATCTTGGCTTACGCTTTTGCACTGATCCACGAACATGATGATATTTGGTGGCTTCGCGGGATTCCCGCTAGGGAGGTGGAAGGAATTAATAGCCTCATTCCTCCCGATTGGAAGTGGCTGATGATTTGGCCATGCCATGTCATAGCCGTTGGGTCGGCACAAGGCCAGGAAGTCCCTATTCCTCGGACCAGTACTGTCGTATCGGAAGTACACACACCGTCACCCATCCAAGTCACATAAAACCACCCTGGAATGTATTAGATATCTTAAAGAAAAACGAAAATAAGAATATCTTCATTTCATTTCATTCCAGTCTATTCCCGAGAAGTAATTCAGCATTGTGCATAATATTTTTCCAGCGCAGCCCGTCAGTGGCGGTCATTTTAATATCGCAGCTCACATTAATTAAAATTCAAAATTGAGTCTTTCAGGATTGACATGTTTAACATAATAAAATAAAAAAAAAAAAACCTGCAAATCGTGAGTCCATTCGAGTCAGAATGAGTCAAGGGGGATCCAGAGCCCGAGTTTAGGCAGCGATCTCCCGCACCCATTTTGGCCCGCGTTTGGCCCTTTCTTTTAAGCCTCACGCTCTGCAGGGGTTTGTGTCGGCACTTCACGATTTCAGTCATGTTAGACCCTTCTCAATGCTCTGTTGAGCTAGAGAATGTTTTTGGCCCCATAGTTGCCTCACCGTGTTTGCATGGCTTCGACTTCACCCTCCTCTTCGAAGAGACCATTCTGACCCTGCTACCATTTGGTCTGGTTTCATTAGCGGCAGCTGTTCGTATTTGGAAACTCCATAATGCTTTGGAGAAAATAAACCGATCGTGGTCATATGCCGCGAAGGAGGTGATTTGTCAAGCTTTCAGAAATGCGTTCTTCACGCTGACCCACACAGTTATCTTGGCTACTCTACATCTCATTGCATGTGGTGTTGTTGGTGCTTTGGGGTCACCCAAACACCCCCAAGACCGCGGCAACTCTATCTACGGAGATTGCCACGATCGGAACTTCGTTGGCTTTGCTCTATCTCTCCCATCTGGAGCACCTTCGCTCCATTCGCCCATCCACGACTCTGAATGTCTTTCTTTTCTTTACACTGCTGTTTGATCTCACTCGCCTGCGGACCGTTTACTTTATGTCTAACACTCGATCTGTGACTATGTTACTCGCAATATCGTGGATGATCAAGTCGATCACTCTTCTCCTGGAGGCGACAGAGAAGCGGCCCTTGCTCAAAAAGGCATATGAGAATAGCCCTATCGAGTCAACCAGTGGTGTAATCAACCGTGCTACCTTCTGGTGGTTGAACCATATTCTTTGGCTGGGATCAAAATCCCAATTGACAGTGGACAGCCTCCCTGCGCTGGACAGTGACATCTCAGCTGCCTCGGATTCTACTGTGCTTGCGGAGAAGTGGCGCAATGGTATGTGATCAACAGAAGTCATTTCCAACTATTTTGTCAACTAACTGAGCTCCGCAGCCAACCATTATTCTCCTAATGCACTGTTGTGGACAGTGATATCGCACCACAAATGGGCCTTCCTGCAGGGTGTTCTTCCAAGACTTCTACACACAGGCTTCTGTTTCGGTCAACCGTTCCTCGTGGAGCGTGTATTAAACTTTATGAACGAGCCAGAGCATGTCAATTCGACCAACTATGCTCGGGGTCTCGTTGCCGCTTATGCAATCGTGTACATTGGTATCGCTGTATGTGGTCTCTCGTCAATCAAGCGACATCTACTAACCGATACCCAGATCTCGGGCGCCGCTTACCAGCACCAAACAGATCGAATCATTGCCATGGTAAGAGGCAGCCTGGTAACACTTATATTCGAGAAAACCTTGCGCATGAGCACCTCTGTAGTTGCAGATTCCGGTGCGATCACTTTGATGAGCACGGATATTGAACGAATTAGCAGTTGTCTAAGAGAGATTCACGAAGTGTATAGCGGTCTTATCGAGATTGTCGTCGCATTGTGGTTGCTGGCACGGCTGCTGAATGTGGCGGTTATTGCATCTACTATTTTTGTCATCTGCAAGTTATCCTGCCTTGTCTTTGAACACCCGATGCTGATATTCTACGCACAGTATGTTTGATAGCGGGTGTTCCTCTCGCTGTCTCCTGTGGTGAGGCACAGGGTGTCTGGCTGGAGGCAGTTGAAGAACGCGTCGCTGTGACTTCCAGAGTCCTAGGTGTTATGAAAAGTGTCAAAATGACAGGCTTGACAGAAACCATTTCCAACAGTCTTCGGGATCTGCGGTCAGCCGAGATCAATTCCTCGTTCCGATTCCGTCTTTACGAAGCCTTGGGGATCACACTTTGTATGAACCCGTTCCGATTGTAAGACTTTGACTGATTTTCTAGCTTTCGCTTCGTCAACACTAGCTCCGGTGTTTGGCTTTGGCGCTTATATCTTGATTGCGCGCGCAAATGACTCAGCTACACTTACGAATTCGCTGGCATTCTCTGCACTTACTCTTTTCTCGCTATTGGACATACCCATGGGCTCTATTGTCAACGCCTCGGAAGATTCTTTGGCAGTGGCCAACTGCTTCCAGCGAATCCAAAAGCATTTGCTTGAGAAAGAAAGGCTGGATTACAGACTGAGCCTTGGCACTCGGTTGTCGTCATCAGAGACACAGGCTACCGTGAGTTCTCTTGTTGAAATCGAGGACTCAATCGAGCAACAGATCAATGAGCCTTGCACTGTTATGAGAAATGTTTCTGCATCATGGTCCGTTGATACTGAGTCTGTCCTGAAGGATCTCAATCTCGACATCCCCTCATTCCAAACCACAATGATCGTCGGGCCTGTCGGCAGTGGCAAGTCTTCATTCCTGAGGGTCCTGCTAGGAGAAATTCCCGAATGTTCCGGCACAATCTCTACCAACTTCACTCATGCAGCATATTGCAACCAATCACCATGGATCAACTTTGGAACGATCCAGGAAAATATTGTTGGGAGCTCATCGTGGAATCAAGCCCGGTACAATCGGGTCATCAAATTCTGCGCCCTGAAACCTGACTTCCAGCAACTTCCAGCTGGAGATCAAACAAAAGTCGGTGTTCATGGATCTAGACTCAGTGGCGGGCAGCAAATGAGGGTGGTACGTGGAGCATTTAAAGTCTGTAGACTTTCAAATAACATAATCTCGTCTAGGCACTTGCGCGGGCGCTTTACTCCAAAGAGCATGTTCTCATTTTGGATGATGCTCTTACTGGTCTGGACCGCGAAACGGAAAATATTATTCTGGAAAGCGTTTTCGCTCCCCATGGCACTATCAAAGAATCTCGCCGAACGGTCATTATGGCCACGAATTCAGGTTGGTGCTACTCTGTGACTCAGATACAATGTCCAAAGAGATAATACTGATAAACTCCCACGACAGCAAATCATCTCCTTTATGCAGATAATATCATTGCACTTGACGCAAGTGGAAGGGTCATTGAGCAAGGACGTTATCATGATCTCATGAAAGCCGGCGGTTATGTTAGCACCATTGCAGGGACATCCATAGCGACAAGCACCGCCTGTGCACCTGATATGACTCTAGATCCTGAAACGCTCCAAGGGTTGAACATCGAAGAAGATCAGCAAGAGGACTCGGGTCGAAGAACAGGCGACTTGACTGTTTATACCTTCTATTTCCAGAACATCGGCTGGTCGCTGCTATTCATCTTCGTTGCGTGCTGTGTTATGTTTATTCTCGGACTGAGTTTTCCACGTGAGTGTTGCTCTCTCCTGAGAATGAAATATTTGGCTATTGCTGACACAGATGAAAGAGATATGGCTTCAGTGGTGGACTCGGGCTAATGAGCAGCACCCAAACCAACATGTCTGGTATTGGCTGTCTATATATGCTGCATTGGGTGTGCTGTCTCTTTTCACGGCGTTTTTAGGCTCATGGTACGTACATTCATACTCAATCCTAGATATATTGTGTTTCATACTGACCCTTTTACAGGGTCATAATCATGATCATACAGCCCAAGGCATCTCGGAAATTTCACGAGATACTCCTGGGGACCACAATGAGGTAGGAAATGAACACCCATTCAAATTAAAATGGTGCTAAGCCTTTATCTAGCGCCACGACCTCATTCTTGACTTCTACAGATGCTGGAACCACCACAAACAGGTGAGGACAAACACGTTCCCGTGATATTCGCCATGTTATTAACCAAGTTTATGGTACAGATTCAGTCAAGACCTGGAGCTTATTGATGGCGAACTTCCTTGTGCTCTGGAACTAACAATCAATGCTGCCCTCAGTTGTGTCATTGAGGGCTTCCTAGTATTCTTTGGCTCGTCCTACATCACAGCAGCAGCGATTCCCTTCTGCGTTCTAGCGGTATACTACGTGGCGAGATTTTACGTCCAGACTTCACGCCAAATGCGATTGTTGGACATCGAGAAAAAGGCACCACTGTTCTCCCAGTTTCTGGAGACATTGGGTGGTCTTTCCAGCATTCGAGCTTATGGTTGGGAGTCTGATTATCAACTTCGCAATCGAATTGCCCTGGACGCCTCCCAGCGCCCATTCTATATGCTTTACTGTATTCAACGGTGGATCACCCTCGTCTTGGATCTTCTGGTGGCGGCTATTGCCGTCATCGTCATCTCTGTGGCGCTTTCCTTGCGGGGGAATGCGTCTATGAATCTATTGGGCATCGCTCTTTTCAACATCGTCAACTTTAGTTGGACACTGCAATCACTTGTGAAGAACTGGATTGAGCTGGAGACTTCTATCGGGGCTGTCTCTCGGATCCGATCGTATGAGCAGCAAACTGCGACTGAGGATCTGGCTTCTGAAACACATGTCGTTGCTGAAAGTTGGCCGCAAAAGGGCTGTGTTGAGATTTATAACCTCTCGGCCTCTTATGAGTGAGCTTCCCGGTGTGATTGACATTATTTGTCATGGTACTGACATCTTCTAGGGCCGCATCAGAGCCTGTGCTCAAGAAAATAGATCTCAAAGTGTCTCACGGTGAGAAAATCGCCTTGTGTGGCAGATCAGGCAGGTCCGTATCTCCATAATTATGACCATTGCGACTGTTCCCCAAGGTGAAGGATACTAACTTGTTCTAAAGTGGCAAATCCTCACTTGTATCAGCAATACTTCGGATCCTTGAGCCTAGTAGCGGCTCTATCTTCATTGACAAAACAGACATTTCAAAAATCTCCAGAGCAAACGTCCGCTCAAAAATTAACACCATTCCCCAACAGCCATTCTTCCTCCGCGGCTCTATACGACTCAATGCGAACCCAGAAGAGAATGCCACTGATGATTCAATCATCGAGTCTCTCGAAGTAGTCAAACTATGGTCTCACATCGAGTCCAAAGGTGGGCTGGACGCCGATTGGTCCGACGACCTTTTGTCTCATGGACAACAGCAGCTCTTCTGTCTTGCTCGTGCTATGTGTAAATCCAGCAATCTTCTTATCATGGATGAGGCCACAAGCAGGTATGTTAAAAAAACCTCCAATATTCCTGATGTATGCTGACATAGCGCGAAGTGTGGACTCTGAAACGGAGACTCTCATGCAAAGTGTGATTCGGGAGCAATTCAACGGCCGGACTATCATTGCCATTGTACACAAATTGCATACCATCCTGGACTTTGACAAAATTGCTGTCATGGAAAACGGTCGGATTGTGGAATACGATTCACCAGCGGCGCTACTGTCAAGAGAAGGATCTGCTTTCAAAGCACTGTACGAGACATTCCATCATAGTGCTGAGATTTGATGGGAAGGGCCTGGGGCAATATCGATCAGTCCTCAAGGGTGTAAAAGGGTGTAGCGTGGATGAACCCATCATTTTTGCATTCAAAAGTTTCGTGTAGCCATAATCAAAGTGTCAGAACAACCTTCCCTCTCCCCTCGAATCTCCCATTTGCATAGTCATAAGCCTCCCTGATCTTTTCAAACTCGAATGAAGCAGCAACAAAAGACCTCAAGAGTCCCCGGTTGGCCAGTTGCCCCAAATCCCCAAGAGCCTTCCCACCCTCAACAACAAAAAACAAGGCCTTGACATTCTCCCTTCCAATCCCACTCTTCATGTGCAAATCCACAAAATCAAAGCTCGCAGAATCAACCGAAATCAAAACACCCTCATCTTTCACCACCCCCCAGCAACTCTCCAAAACCTTCCCACCAACACAATCAACCACGAGATCAAACTTTCCCCCCAAAGAACCATATTCAACAACCTCATCAGCACCAAGCTCTTTCAAGAACTTCTCATTCCTCCCATTCGAACTACTAGCCGCAACAACATGAGCACCAGCCCAAGCTGCAAGCTGCACCAAACAAATCCCAACACCACCAGCAGCCCCAGTAACAAGCACGCGCTTTCCAACATTCTCACCCTGGCCCTCTTCCTGGCCCTGATTTTCTACCTGATCCACCGCCAGCGCCGCAAGCGAGCCATGAACAAAAAGCGCCTCATACGCCGTCTGCGCGCTAAGGGGTAATGCCGCGGCCTCTGCCCATGGGATACGCGGCTTGGGTGCGACTTCGGTTTCTTGCACGATGGCGTACTGAGCCCATGTTGAGCCTCGGTCTGTGTGGGCCATGCCGAAGACTTCGTCACCGATTTGGAATTTGGAGGCTGGGGGCGTTGCGCTGACTATGCCGGAGAAGTCGTGGCCGAGGATTGCGTAGGGTTTGGCGTATGTCTCGGGCCAGGTGAGCATGTCCCTGATGATGGTTGTTGCTTTGATTTGGATGAGGAGTTGGCCTGCGGATGGGGTTGGGATGGGAATTGTGTCTATGTGCAGGGATGATGTCGGCGCCGGGTTTGCCGGGGAGTATGGGGTTGATAGTGATGGGTGGACGCGGATGGCTTGCATTTTGATGAGTTGATGGCGGATAGCTTGCATCAGGATGAGGTGATATGATGAGAGATTTTGAAATGATGGTTTACGACTCTCACACAATTCTTATACGAGTACTCAGCTGGCGGTGTAATACTGGAACTAGTCGGGTTCCCGCAGATAGGCTATTGTGGGGACGGGTATACCCGTCTACGGCAATCACGCCACCGTTTTAACAATGTATTGTTCATTAACAATGTAGTGAGGGGTACTCCATGCAGAGTCCCGAGTAAAAGCTATGTACAAAAATGCAAAGGCTATTCGGCCAAATGCTTAGTCGCTAAAGTCAAAAAGAGAGACTCTACTTAAGAGCAGGCAGATCCGCCACCAAAGGCAGCTTACGCGAAGAATTACCCACGTGCACCTTCTTAGGCGCGTCGGAGATGACCCAGTTTTGGGAGGCAACGTCCCAGTTGGAGAGATCACGGCGGGTGAGTGTGGCAGTCCACTCAAAGGATTCACCAGGAGCAATGGTAACACGATCGAACAAGCGAAGAACCTTCGCGGGATCGTCGGCACCACCGAGGGAGACATACAGCTGGGCAACTTCATCTCCAACCACAGAACCAGTGTTGGTGATGGTTGCTGTGATCTCGTAGAGGTCTTCGAACAGACCGGGGTTGCCACCATTGTCTCCGCTGGAAGGAAGGAGGTCCTGGGGAGAGCCGTCGGCAACGCCCTCGGGGAGGTATTCCTGAGACTCCATGCCGTAGTCTGGGTCACCGGATGAAGCGCGCAGGTCGGTAGAGTTCAACCAGGGGTAGAGGTACTGGCGGATGCGCTTGATGCCCTTGGGGAAGAGGTTCTCTTCGACATTGCCGGCCTCTCCAAGAACGGGAGCCTTCTTGGTCTGTCCAGTGGTGGGCTTGTAGGCGCTTGGGGCAAGTGGAGTGACCGAGAGGTCGGAGAAGGCAAATTCAGTATAGCTCAGACCGTATCCAAACTCATAGATGGGCTCGATGTTGTCCTTGTCGAAGCGGCGGTAGTCAATGAAGACACCGTCCTCGAAGTCATCTTGGGGTGCGCCGTCGCCGTTGTTTGCTTCGGTGAGGATGTCGGGACCATAGTCCTTGCGGGTCTTGCCCCAGGTAAAGGGAGTCTTACCACCGGGGTTGACACGGCCATAGAGGACATCAACGAGACTGCGACCACTCTCTTGGCCAGGCAGACCAGCCCAGAGAATACCAGTGATGTTTTCGTTATCGTACCAGTCCCCGATGAGGACGGCGCCTGTGCTGTGGATCACGACGATGGTGTTGTTGCAGTTCTGAGTGGCTGTCTTGATGACTTGCTCACCGTTGCCCCAAAGGGTGAGGTTCTTGCGGTCACCTTCGTTGCCATCAACGTTAATGAAGCCCTCGCCGGAGTCAGCATTCACGAAAACGAGTGAGACATCGGCTTGCGCAGCGACCGCGGCCATTTTGTCGACGGCCCAATCATCAGTCACAGCGAAGACGTTGGTACGGCCATCGGTGTATTCGAGGGCCTCGTTCTGAATGGCTTGCTCGGGGGTAATCAGGTAAGGGTAGTTGGCAGTTCCACTTCCCCAGCCCATAGCGAGGGTTCCGTTGTCGCAGCCACGGTCGTCGCAACCGTTGGCGCCGTAGGCATTCGATCCCGCATCCTGACCCAAAATTGCCACGTATTTCTCGTGGTGTGTAAGAGGCAATGCACCACGCGTGTTCTTCAACAGGACGGTACTGTCTGAACCGACCTTGCGGATGATTCTGGCGTGGTCACGTTGAACGTTTACGCGCTCGTTAACCTTGCCCCAGTTCTCGCTGACCATGAAGTGCTGGAAGTTGAACTCGTCGCGGGTCCAAGAGCTGAAGTTAGGACGAGTACGGTGACGATCGCGGCCAACCTTGTAATAAGCAGCCATGATGCGAACCGCCATGTCATCGACACGCCATTCGGGGACTGTGCCGTTAAGCACAGAGATGGTCAGGTTGGTTCCCCAGTAGGAGTAGGGGCTGCCAAGGTAGACATCACCAGGCATGGACATATCCAAGCCAGCAAGAGCAGACTCAACACCGCTGTGATGCGCACCCCAGTCACTCATAACGAAGCCTTGGAAGCCAAGCTCACCCTTCAGCAACTTGTTGAGTGTGTAGCTGTTTGCGCAACCATAGCTGTTGTTGATCTGATTGTAGGAGCACATGACGGATCCAACACCAGCCCGAATGGCATCCACAAAGGGCCACATGTACAGCTCGTGCATGGTCTTATCGTCGATGTTTGAGCTGACACTCTGGGTCACATTGTAGCCATACCCTACAGCTTCGCCGGACTGGCGGAAGTGCTCCTGCTCGTTTCCGATCCAATGCTTCGCACAAGCAATGACACCAGCATCTTGCATACCCTTGATGGTCTCGGCCATCATCACACCGGTCAGAACGGGGTCAGGTGCGAATCCCTCCCAGTTACGACCACCGTCGGGATACTTGCCCAGTGGGCCAGCGACGGGGCCCAACTGTACATCCACACCCTTGTCGCGGTGCTCTTCGCCCATCGCCACACCACGCTGGTAAGCGAGTCGCTTGTCCCATGTTGCGGCAACATTGACACCAGAGGGGAAGGCGGAGTTGTAATCGCCTTTTCTTCAGTTAGCTGGGATCGGTTGGTCATCAGGTGGCCGACTTACTGAAGCGCAGGCCCAGAGGCGAGTCCTGCATGCACATTCCCCACATACCCAAGCGGGGAATGCCACCAGTTTCACCAACACATCGTTCTTGCTCCCAGCCGGAGCCTGTAGTGATGTTCACCTTCTCGGCGAGAGTGAGGTTGGAGACGAACTCCACAGCGCGGGCGTAGGCCTCGGACCATTCACCTTGACCAGTCATCCATGGTGAGGGGTAGTATGGGGGAGAATATTCCAATGACTGTAATAATTAGCAATCGATCTGAGACGATGCAATGGGGAAAAGAGAAAAGATGCTCAAAGTAAAAAAAATAATAATAATAAAAAAAAAAAAAACACAAAGAAAGTGACGCGACTTACATTGGCGTTTGCCACGGAGGCAGCTGCCACAGCCACCTCGATCCACCCAAACTTCATTGTGAATTTGAAGGCGTCGGATTCAAGGATTTCACAGAATTGAAGTGCGACTTGGATCCCAATGGGAGGGGGACCAAGCTGCTTAAATGTGTGGCAAGGACAGGGGCTTCCAATAGTGTGAAGCTCCAGAGACAATGCGGAGAAAGGGATCGACAAAAATGCACTCTGCTACTAATCATATTTTCCACTCCACAGCCCCATTGGCCACGATTGAATGTTCCCTTGAAAGGAGATCCAGAACATCAGTGGCTGGTATACTCGTAGGGAGTCAAGGGAGTGGAATCCCCTGGACTCCCCACCTGAGCACGCTTTGCTTTGCCTTGCTTCGCTTGAACTTCGGCAATCCCTTACATCTGTCTCAATTCTCCGGCTCATGGCTTTTTGAATTGTATTTCATCCATACGAGTACACTTCGTCCAAGTAGTATGCAAAAACAAAAATCCGATGTACTACACATACCGAAAGGGGAAACTCGTGTGGGGAAGAGGCTGTACGGTGAACCGCGGATGGGCTGCCATCCGGAGTATATCTCGTAAACGTCAACAGAGTACAGAGTGCTCCATACAGAGTACAGAACATTGAGCTATGCTCTCCACAGATACCACTGCGCGATTAAATCAAATGCGGGGGTCTGCACCAGGACCCTACGAGAGCCCGGCCAAGCATTTCCCAACGGCTCTTCACTATTTTACCAATGTGCTCGGATGCGAGCATTGGCTCAAATGGGATGACTCGGTTCGGTCTCTCATCGGAAGCGATGCAACGTACACTGCACGGGGTACTCTGTATTCAAACATCCCACTTCGAACCCCAACTTGGACTTTACCCGGCAACTCGGCTCGGTCCCCCACACCGCACTAAATCCCCGTTTCCCCGTCTTTCGGCTTAATACAACTTACGATGTCTTCTGTCTGTGCGAACATTACGCTTGATAATCAATTCCATTGGAAGCTACGTCAGCACTCGGACATCAGGACAATTATGTCTTTTCCCGCACCGAAATGACGGAGACAAGTCTCTGCCTCCCACTTTGGCGGGGTTGTCTCCACAAATGTGCCTGAGAATCGGTTTCTCATCTTGAAAACCGGACGTGTCGATGCCGGATATCTTCCGTACGCCTCTTTTATTGCAATGTCGATCCCTGCCCAAACGCATTACTGGGCAGTCATTGCCTTCTTGGCGGCTAAATATCGGGGAAATGAGCTCATATATCACTTTAGGGTGGTTGGTGGCTCATGCTTTTTATCTTGAGATCGAGGACAGGAGCCATCTTAAGACCCCTTGAACACCAACACCTAGGCGGTGGTCATGGCTTACATTGCATAGTGTTTATTAGACTGTCTGCTATGTGATATGAGCAAAACATTGAGTCGGTTTTCTCTTCCGGGTTTCAAAATAGTCGGGTTTTTTTTTTCTGCTGGAGCCATCGGCTTCTGCCGCGGGAGACCCTCGAGCGTGCCGCTCCCGGGGGTATTCAGCCGTATACGAGAAAGACTGCACACCCTAACCACATACTTTCAACCTGCATGTCGGATGCAACATTGTCTGCCCACTAGGTCCCCTTTGAGTGCCGAATGCCGATGTGCCATGCCCCAGCATGTTTCTTGGCGTTCGACAAACTTCATGCGTCAAAGCATTTTCTCAAAACGCTGAGAAAAACAAATTGTTGGTTCCGATTTTCTGGTCGGATGTTCATTCGCGGTCGGCGCTGCAATCAAATATCACCGCTGATGTCGTCCAAGACCTGAAACAGAACATGGTTCTGCACTCTGCAGCCAGTGCCATTCACACCAGGTCTGAACCCGGACCAGATCCTTTGTCGGATTTCCTCGACATCGATTCCTTTAGTATTGTACTGTGTGATCATCTCTTCGGCAATCGCACAAAGCGTCGAATTGAGCACATCTTCATCGCTTGTCGTGGCCTGTCCGTCATCCCGACATCCACAAAATGATGGATCCTTTTCTTCTGGCTTCACATTCTGCGTTGACTCGGTAATATCCGTGGCGGGCGGCTCAGTGTCCGCGCATTCAGCAACACGTTTTGTAACGGTAAGCTCTGGGTGAGGAGCTTTATTCGATCGCTGGATAGCAGGAATAGCAATCTTCCCCTTCATGTCTGTATTGGCTTGCTGGAGATATTGCTCAATAGAACCTGCTGAAACCCCGAGTCGTCCGAGCAGATCTTTGAGATGCCGATTCTCGGCTTCCACTTTCTGTGCCGCTAGTCGATGTGATATATCCTGTTGCTGCGCCTTTTCTTCACAGGCCGATAAGCGCTGTTCTAGCTCTTTCACATACTCTTGTTTTCGAGCCCGACTATTGCGCTGATTATTGCGCACCCGCGCGAGTCGGTCCACATCCTTAACGGCTGGTCAGACGTCTAGTATAGTTGGTGCGGGTGAGTAGCTACCTTCTGTGCTTTCTTGTCCATCGATATCCAAGTAGAAAGTGTAATGTTTGGGAGTTAATTCTTTGATTTCTTTATACCCATTTTGGGTATCAGTTTGTGTATCAAGAGATTGACATGTCCCAGGTGCGTGGAGTGTAGATGGGTGAAGTGACAGTTCAAATGTTTTCGGAATCCTCCTTTTTTGGCCACATCTGGTCACGTGTTTGCTTCTAAACAGGGACAAATGTGGCAGACAACTTTTTTTTACTCCTTCAAAATAATTGATAGAGCTAGATGTTGGAGGCTTTTGAAGTCGTGAGATCATGGATTAAATTGGGCATGTATCGTTTTAGTGTGGGAAGGTCAGGTTTTGATAACATCAATATAGGAACATCATGACTAGGCTGTGTAACAACTTCAGAATTGCCCAGGTGGTTTCAAATCCCTGGTTTTTTTTTGTTTTTGTTTTTTCGAATTCTACCTATCAGAAGTCATAATTACCTCTCAGCTCACTATAAACGAATTCCATGTTTGTGTAAAGATGTCTTCATCCCGAGACTTTCTTCTACTTTACAAGACCATCCCATCGATTCAGATCCTTCAACCCCAAAATTTCGGCAACATTCTGACCCTTCAGCCACTCCTCAAAGCTCTTACCCTGAACGCGAGACTTCAACTGAGCGGGCTCAACAACATTTTCCAGACCCGCACAATATCCAAACTCATCAACGAACGCAGGGCCACTCAGAACCTCAACAGGAATTGCTGTTTTCTCATGCATTTCCTCAACACTCATCTCAATGACCTTGGTCGGCTTACCGAGATTCCGGGACCATACATCCATGATCTGCTCGACAGAAAGATAATCATCATACGCAAGCAACTTCATACCGGCCTCCTCGTCCTCCACCAACGCTCTCACGAAAGGACCCGTTGAGTTTGCGGTATCAATGATAGGCATGCGCATCGATTTGCTTGCTGGAATGACAGAAACAAACTCGCCGCTTTGCGGTTGGAACTTCGGATAGAGGAAAGGGTTGGAGATGTAAGCACCGATGTAGATGAAAGAAGACTTTTCCGCGAGCCCAGGCATCTGCTCGATATACTCGGCGATTTGGGCCTTCGTCTCCCAGTGGTAAGAGTGGGCAAATTTGCCCCCCGATGCTTTCTTCATCGGACCCAGAGCCGAGTACACAAATCGCTCCAGGGTTGGGATTGTCGCGGCAGCATTGGCAGCGTTCTTCCCATGGGTGATTTCTGCTTCGAACCCAATTTTGGCACTGGCAATAGCATCTGTACCAGAGGACAGTGCCGCGCGGTACGGGAGCCAGAAATCAGTGTTGACGAAGATGGCGTGTGCGCCGTCGAAGGCGCGTCGGAGGGAGGTTTCATCGTCCAAATCTGCTTGGACAAGCTGGCCTCCGAGTTTGGATAGCTCGAGAGCTTTCTCTGAGCTTGGGTCTCGGGTGAGGCATCGGACTTGCCAGTTTGGGCGGGTGAGGAATGTTCGGGCAACCGATGAGCCTTGTGTGCCGGTTGCACCAACGATGGCGATGATCTTTGAGGTGGTCATTTTCTAGGAAAGTTGATTTGTTTGAGAGTGTGAGACTGGTGATTTCATTTTTCTAGGGGACGAGGAACTTCCTTTTATAACTTTTAGTATCATTTGCTTGTTAGAATGAGTTCGATCTCGAGGGATATAGTTTGAGGGTTCTGATTGGACCAGAAGCGTAAGCCAGCGTAAGCCACACTGGCCCACGGTGTGGCTTACGGTTTTCGGGCAAATCGGACTTAACAACTCTGGGCTTTCCAGTTGTCTTGATCGATTGTTGGACTTAACTTGAGTGTTATTTCCGTCCGAAATATGCCCACTTCGCTTTTGGGGGATGGTCAACACCCAGAAGGCCATGTGAAGAAGCCAAAGAAGCGAGTCATCACAGCAGCCCGCCAGGAGCAAAACAGAGCTGCGCAGCGAGCATATCGTATGGCGAAACCCTCTGGAAAGTTGACCAGGGCTCATTCATATTTGCAGGACAACGACAGAAAGAGCAAAAAAAGAGTATCAGCCATGATGGGCGAGTGAGGAAGCTCGCTCCTCAGCCTTCATCGGCACTCTCAAGCCTATCGCCACACACTGTATCAGAGACTCAGACAGAAGAATATTTTCCATCGTCTGTGGTCCGAAATTCATCTCCGGCTAGAAGAGGCAGTATTTCACCACTACTCTATGCTGATCCAATAAGCAATACTCTACAAACCTCTCAAGATACCATCCGGATGGCACTCCTGCAGAATGCAATCTGCCTAGGATTTGATCTCGATCAATTAACAGACTGCACCCAGCTATACATGTCACCATTTTACAGATGTATCGCGGCGCAAGATCACCCACAGGACCTTGTAGCATCAACATTCAACTCCTCGATTCCGATGCATCTTCAGCCAACTATGGCCCAGATTCTTATTCCCCACCATGCCAGCCTGGACCTTATCCCCATGCCACTCCTGCGGGAACGAGCTATCATGAAGTCTTTTGCGATGCCCAATGATTTCAACCTGTGGGATCTCAAGTTGGATATTTATACACGACATGCGGTGGTGGTACGGCGTCACCGTCCTGCAGGAACTTCTCAGCCGTGGGATCAGAAAAATTGGGAGGCAATGCCATGGTTTTTGAAGAAATGGAGTATGAGCATTGAATAGGCGATCATTTTCAAGGTGCAGACTAATACTCGAATCAACTGTGACCAAAGCATCCGATCAAAGCCGAGCATGGGCGCGAACTAATGGCCCGTGTAATGACTCCACAGTCCGTACGACGTGACGATGGGAGGTGCGTACATAAGTGGGATCTCATGGACAAGAGAATTCATTAAGATCCGCGCTCACTACTCGTTCGTAATTTACAGGAAATCTCCAATTCGCGGTGTGGTCAGGTTGTCAATCCGACGGGGCCCAAATGCATTTGGAGCATCGAACCACGTCATTGGCCGTCACCTTAGGGAATGTGCATCCCCCCGTTTCCTCCCATTCTCACCTAGGCATAACAAGTACCTAAATACTTCCACGTCAAAGTACATACCACAGCTGTTGGTATAACTTCTGCAGAATGGTCTCCACGCGACACCATCCCCGCGAATTCCCCTCACCCGAACGCGCCGCCAAAGAGCTCGTGAAATCACCCACCACCACCGCCAATTCGCGCAAATGGACCCATACACCTGCCGCTGCGGTGACAATCTGGCTTCTTGTGTCTGTTCCCCTGGTGCTTTGGGATGCTAGCTATGTCTTGCTGCGACCGCATAGTATGCCCGGGGGTCGGTTCCACTCCCCGGTCTTCACCCCCTACGCGCTCTACGGAACGATCGACTACATTTACGGGTGGCCTGCGTTCAAGGCGCGCAATGGATTCACCGCCGCGCAAACGATCCTGAACCTCTTCGAAACAGCCGGGTATCTTTGGTATCTCGCGGTTGTTTACGTGTATGGCTCAACCGTTGTGAGCGGTCGCGGATCCCCGCAGACCTCGAAGGGACTACTGTGGTTATTGAAGGGAAACAAGGTAGTTGCTGGGCGCATTGGTGCGATCGCTCTTTTGGTCGCCTACACCGCATCGGTCATGACCCTCAGCAAGACTGTTCTCTATTGCAAGTGGTCCATCTCGTCCAGATCGACTGGTCGGTTCTAACGTGACATCATAGGGCTCAATGAGTATTGCTCTGGCTTTGACAATGTCGGCCACAATGACCCGCTCACTCTCACCCTCTACTGGATTATTCCCAAGTAAGGTCCCCCGCGTTTTGATGCCTGAATTTCGCTGACTCGCCTTAGTGGCGCGTGGCTCGTATTCCCCAGCTACAACATCTACATCCTTGGAGGTGAAATTCTGAGCTCGATCGAGCTTGCGACTCCACGCCAGAAGGCTGGACGACCCAAGGCTACCTAATTCCGATTGGTTTGACGTGGGCGGGAATTAAAGGGTTTTGTGGAAAACTTTGTAGGAGATGCGACGCATGCAATAATGACCGAGGCTGAATGAGTCAACTGGTCCGACTTGACGATATGTAGAGATAGCGAGTTTTAGGAACTGTGTGACAGGTATCCTTATGTGAACACTCCCCGCAATACGGAGTAGTCAAACGGGGTCAAGCTTTGAATGGACTAGTCCAAATGTCAATCATCCGATTGTACGGAGTACTCCGTTCGGCTGCATTCCGACTGGAGAGATGCAGTAGTCTGTACTCTGTATGACCTAGATCCTGTAGAGATTTCCCCTGAGAGCTGCTGGCATCCCCGGCTCTTGTGGAAGAGCTCCAGAATACGGGGTTTAAGCCAATTACCCACATCCGAAATGTAACCTCGAGTCGATTGCGTAGGTGCAGATCCTTTTTACTCGAAAAAAATAAAGATGAAAAGAGAGAAAATGAAAAGGATGAAAATGAAAGATCAAAAGATCTAACTCTTGTTCAGAAATGCCAGCGATTCACAAAAGTTGCCCGAGGTCTCCGTAATAAGGACGCTGCCACTGGACGCATTTGCCAAGCCGCCATTCGCCGCTGAACCTTTCCCCATATTCCTTCACTCTCCTCACTCGATTACTTCATCCCCAGCGCTACCTGATCCTCGCAATAAACCGTTAAATCGCTGATCTCCCGTCCGGGAAACTCCCTTCATACATTCCGACCGTATCGAAGGATGCTTCGGGGCTGGGTCCTGGGGTATCCGCACCCGTCATGGTCCAACCGGAGGATGAGCTGCCATTGAAAGCCTCTCCGAGCTTCAGTCTCGGGCAGGAAGAAGCGGCAGCTGCTTTGGAAGACTTCGATACGCAAAGCCACACAAGTTCCCGCGATCCCGGTAGCACACAACCCGCCGACCCCGCGCTAGCCGACACTGCACTAGACGTCCACCGTGACGATAACGCCGACCCGTCCAATTTCGACGATGGCGATAAGCCCGCCTGGAGCGAAATGAAAACCAAGGCCGGTAAGGAAAGGAAGCGCTTGCCGCTGGCTTGCATCGCATGTCGCCGCAAGAAAATTCGCTGCTCCGGCGAGAAGCCGGCATGCAAGCATTGCACTCGGTCGAGGATTCCGTGTGTTTATAAGGTCACTACGAGAAAGGCGGCGCCCCGCACCGATTACATGGCCATGCTGGACAAGCGATTGAAGAGGATGGAAGATCGCGTGATCAAAACGATACCCAAGGAGGAAACGAAAGATATGGCCTCCATCGGTAGATCGACCGTGAAGCCCTCGGCCGTAGCCCAGCCGTCCAAGGCGCAGAAGAAGCGAAGTGCAGATGAGGCATTTGCAGCAGAAATGGACGGCTGGACCCGTGGGGACCAGAGGGCGCCCCAAGACACGTTCCCCATGAATCGCGAAATCAAATCCAATGATGGGAGTGGACTTCTGACCGAGGGAGCCGAGTTTCTGCCCTCATTGGAGATTCAAGAGCACCTTGCGGAGGTGTTCTTTGATTGCGTTTATGGGCAGTCTTATCTCCTACTACACAAGCCTAGCTTCATGCGGCGTCTCAAAGCAGGCACAATACCCCCTGTCTTGATTCTAGCCGTTTGTGCCGTATCTGCGCGATTCTCCACCCACCCTTTGCTCAATTCGGAGCCGCAATTTTTACGCGGTGAGAACTGGGCCAATCCTGCTGCGGCTATTGCCTTAAGTCGACACGATGAACCGAACATCACTATCTTAACGGTTTTCCTGCTTCTTGGTCTCCATGAATTTGGAACCTGTCATGGTGGACGAAGCTGGTCTTTTGGAGGCCAAGCATTAAGAATGGCATATGCCTTGCAGCTCCACCAAGAACTTGATCAAGACCCTCTCCTGAGCCAGAAAACCGGCAACGGCTCACAGCTGAGCTTCACTGACCAGGAAATTCGCCGGCGCACCATGTGGGCATGCTATCTGATGGATCGCTATAACTCGTCGGGCAGTCAGCGGCCACCAATCGGAAACGAAAAGTTCCTACAAATCCAGCTTCCTATCCAAGAAACCCACTTTCAGATGGAGATTCCGGGTCCCACGGAAGACTTGGATGGTGATATTCTCAACCCTACACCTGAGGATTCGGGGCAGCTATCTAATGCTAGGGACAACATGGGTGTTTCAGCGTACATCATCCGGGCAATCGTGATTTGGGGTCGCATTGTTGACTATTTAAATCTCGGTGGTAAAAGGAAAGACTCACATCCACTTTGGCATCCAGAGTCAGGCTACAGTCGGCTCAAAGGGCAAATCGAAGAATTCTCGGCCACTCTTCCCACCCCTATGACATTCACCTACGAAAATTTGCAGATCCATGCAGCCGAGAAGATTGCGAATCAGTTTTTGTTTTTGCATATCATCATGCATCAAAACATGCTATTCCTGAATCAGTTTGCCATTCCCTTGTCACCTGGGGGACGTCCACCGAGAGATATGCCCAAGCCTTTCCTCAGCAACGCAGGTCGAGCTGCTGTGGAAGCAGCGCATCACATCTCTGTGCTTTTCGACCGGGCTTCCGCTTATCCCCTCACTGTTCCATTTGCTGGATACTGTGCCTACTCTGCTAGCACAGTCCATATCTGGGGTATTTTCTCAAAGAACCCACAGTTAGAGGCACGTTCCAAGGAAAGTCTCCGTCATACGTACCGCTACCTTAACAAAATGAAGAAGTATTGGGGGATGTTCCACTACATGGTTGAGAGTGCCAAAGATCGATATCGACAATTCGCTGATGCAGCTATCAAGGGCTCTGTGGCTGTTCAGAATGGCACTTCACTGGCACCAATGTTCCAATATGGGGACTGGTTCGCCAAGTATCCCCATGGTGTGTCAAGGGTGCACTGGGAGGACCCCGACACCCGACACAAGGAGACGGGTGAGGACGCAGTGATGGGTCAGAAACCCGACCTTCAAAGCGTTGAAGACTTCTTCGCAAGCCTCTCCCCCACGCCTCAGTCAAGCGTACCACGCAACTCTCGGCCTCGCAGGAATAGTAAATTATCAGACGGCGTTTCAAGCATGGAACAAACCTCGCCACAGTCAATGATGGAAGTCACAATGGGGAACACACCAGGTGTCCCAGGCAGTGCATTCCCCCAAGCATCTACCTTCCACCAAAACCGGCAAATGCCCTTTGGTCAGCCACCATTTGACTTCACAATTCCAACCGACCAACTCCCACAACTGGACCGACAATTCGTCTATGGCTCGTTCTCTGAATTCGACCCCACCTCATTTGTCCCAAACAACCCTTCCATTCCACAAGTCAACGGTGCTGAAGTGCCGAACCCCGGGCAAGAATCCGACCAATCTCTTTTCACCGGCCAACTAGACCCAGGTGCTCCCGCTGGGACAGGCGAATTCTACCAGCCCAGCGCATGGTTCCTCCCCTTCAACCTCGATCCCGTCGGTGTCAATCCACCGCCCCAAGCCCCTCCCCCTGTCCCAGGGCCTAGCAACGGGAATCCCGCTCCGCCCGACATGCCCCCCGTACCAGAGTTTGGCGCGGGGGGTATGCCATTGAGTGCATATGATCTTGGACTCGGGCAAGGTCCACGGCAGTAAGTGTCTAGATGCTGGGGATCGATGATTGCTATGTGTTTTTCTATTATTTTAATGATTCCAAATCTGATTTTGCGGGCGGGTGTTTGTTTTGGTTAAAAACCCCGATGCGTTGCTTTGTGTGTATATCCACGGATTACCTCTGTTTGTATATCTTTTTTCTCTTAGCAGCTTTCATGAAGATTTCACTTTTAGATCCTACATTTCGTCATACCCACTTTCTCTAAATGTTCTAAAGCTGTCTACTGCCCAGGTGTGATGGTTTACTACCACCATCGTGTGTTTGCTTGCTCTCTCCATAATCTTCTTTTCCTTCTCCATCATTGAACTCTTGGTTGAATTAGACCTTCTTCCTTGAAGCTTTGCCTATCTTCACATCTACGGCGAAGCTGAATACTAGAAAAAAAAAGTGGGCCTCTCACCAAAAACCAAAAAAAGATGTGCATCATCCGTGAATCGAACACGGGCCTCGTCGATGGCAACGACGAATTCTACCACTAGACCAATGATGCTAGTTGTATGGTTGTCTGTGCGCAGTTGGTTACAAGAGCAGAGAGCTGCTCAATTTCCTAGTCAAAACCAGTGTAGCCCAAATTTTCCAGGTTTGATCTTTTGAATTGTACATTTAGCCATGATAATCATAGACATGTACATATTCGAATCAACTTCTAAAGTTTGAATGACTGCTATCTACTTAAATATCTGCAATCTGAATTACTTACAAGGTTTAAATGTTTGGATCGGTCACTTTCGAGTTTCTCTTCTGATGCCTGGAGCGAAATATATATGCTGTACAATCTGCCTGTATGTCCCAACATTTAGCATTTTATGGGACCGTGTTGGATATTTCAGTCCCAGGAGGCACTCTAAAGACACCTAATCAATGTCTACTACCCAGGTCAAATAATCAAGTACCCGTGGACCCAATCTCAAGTCTACTCCTCCGGGAAATTAAGTAGGATGTACTCTTTAGAGGAGATGCTGACGTGTTTGACGTTGTCTCAAATCTCCAGGGCTATGTCCCCTTAGTACTCGTGCATTTTGAAAAGCCACCAGCATGCGAAGAGTAGGCTATTAGCCGCTTGAGCACATCTAACTATTTTGATGTTGATACTGCCGTATCTAGAGTGCTTAGGTCCGTGGACGTGGCTTGGATCCTCTATGGATGGGCCCCACTCTCCGCATTTCAACCAAGGAACCCCTCTATTGCAGAGCATGTCAGATCTTTAAATATACTTAAGTACTACTTAGGAGACTGATTGATTTCTAAAGTTATTGAGTGAATTTCGTGATGTAATTTTTATTTGTTCGAGGCTCAATTCTTTCAATGGCCCCGACTACTCGAGTCATCAATCTCACGATAGTTCCTCGATGACAGCTTCGCGCCTAGACCAGACCCTCTCTTACTTGGGCGGGTCCTTTGCAGTTCAACAGGCTCATCTTCAGGCTTCCTCTGAGTTCGCTGCCACGACGGCTGAGTGGACCCGCTTGCTGATGCGGCGTCTCTGGACCTTTGCACCCGTCCCTTGAGAAGTCCGTAGACAACGGGGGCATTGGCAACAATAGCAGCAGCGAGCTCTTCGATAGATGCCCACGTCGTTCTGTTCACTTGCGCAGTGGGATTCTTGGTGTTCTGTGGCAGTCTGGCAATGGTGATTGCGACGATGAAGAGACCAACGGCAAACAAGGCCGCTAGCTGAAGTTTCCTAGAAAAGAAAGTGTGTCAGCAAGCTAAAATCACCATCATGAGACAATATGAGAGAATTGCCAGGGCCGAGCTTACTCTGCAGTGGATCGTTTCACCAAAACTAGAATTGGGATCGGCAAGGCGATCAACATAAGATCCGTGATGATGTTGAGAACGCCTGGGGAAGATCGACGATTAGAGGTTTTACATTGGAGATATTTTCCGCAGAAAAGCACATACCGAGAACGATCAATTGGAGCTGTGCCTGGCAGCATATGCCTGGTTTTGTTAACAAAGATCACAAGGAATACCTGCAAAGGGAAAAACTCACCAGGGTCCGGTAATACGATCCAGTAATGGTTGAATGGATCGCACTCTGTGAAAGTAACAATTTGTACAACTGCATATGTTGCTGCGAATATGCCAGTATACGAGATCATCGTCACCTTCTCCCACCGGAGATTCTTAAGCAGCCGGCGATAGGTATCAAGCAGGACCAATTTCTGCAACCAGAGACTAAGAGATATATTACATGAGAAAAAGGAACGATTGAAAGACCATGAATCTCATTGAACAGAATACGTACTAGGAATTATAAAACACTCGATTGGCCAGCACAAACTTGCTCGCGGTCTCTCTACGATGGATCTCCTGGGCAGTGAATTTCATCGTTTCTCTGAGCGCGGCAGGCATGTTGTTGGTTCCCCAGAGAAGAACAACGTGGACGAGAGCGAGGCGAACGAGCGCACACAGGATAGCTGCCATTGAAAAATAATCTCCCCAGACGAAATTGAGGCCTTTGATCTTCCGCAGCAGCAACCGAAAGGCAATCAAGCCGATCGTCACCCAGGTAAATACCCAAAGGAGGATAAGTGTGGAATCCATGGGGGATCGTCTCCAAGGGCCCCTAGGGCGAAGAAAGAAATGAGAGAGAAGACAAAATAGTGACAGAAAGAAGTTCGACGGAGCAAACTATAAAAATAGAGGGAGTTGCCAAACCCCGGGGAACCCAATCGTCAGGTCGTCAAGTTAAGAACACTTCCACGCCACTTACCCGTGGTGAGCCGCAAAAAAGAGTTGTGATCAGGCTTTCCAGGGTTTGAAGTGGAAATTAATAATATTTCTATAGCTATATCAGATTTGATAGGCTTTTAAGTTTCTGGAAATCCGATACCGAGGTTGTGTCTTAGCTTCTTGGAAGATCCAAATTTACTGAGAGTTAAACGGTGGAAATTAGCTTGTCAAGCTGTGGATATGTATAAAAGCAGTGGAATATTCTCGTCTTCATTGGTGATGTCTATCGTATGAGGACTCACAGTTCTAAGATGTTTGAAAATTTTAACAATTAATATACTTAGGAACTGCACGGAGCAAGGCGAGTTATTATTATTACTACTTCTAGTAATATTCCCTGGATTTCATCTAACAATTATTAATAATTAATCAGAAGATTGCTCCACTGATATACCTATTTGTACCGAACATGAGGAAAGTTCGTCAGGTTTCACTTGAGCCCTGCAGTACGACGAACCTCCCCTCTTTACCATTGACTTGCGAACCTTCAACTCTCAATGTTGCCGGCAGCCATATCTCACAACACACAAACTCAATTTCAATCTACGCGAGGAAAGCAGCGGGTTTCAAGCCTGACTTGGCAAAGTCTAGGGGCCATTCTTCCCGTGTTCTACTCCATTGTGGGCCGCCAAGATCAAATCTCGGGACGACGGAGGAGTTCCGACGATGTCCCTACGTAAAGCCCTTTGATTTGGACCAATCCGACTATTTCACCTGGTGGTCGGACTTAAATAAGGTTGTTCCCTGATGGACCTTGTGCTTGCCCTTTTCGTTGCCCCTTGACAAGATGCATATCAAGAAAGCCTTAACGTTGATTGCTGGCGCAGTTACTGCGGCTTCATGCTGGAGCAATGAGGTGCCCGCCAAGCGATCGTATATGTATGTCGGAGGACAGTACATGTTGAACAGTGCCGGCCAACATGTCTTCACGGACCAGATGTACGTGGAGAAGTTGACACCGGCCGAGGGTGCGACCAAGCCCCATCCGATTGTCTTTATCCACGGACAAGCCCAAACCGGCACTGTACGTTTCACGAGAGAAAACTACCATCTTCCAAGTTTGGTTCTGAGGCTGACCGCAATATTCGCAGAACTGGCTGAACAAGCCTGACGGAGGAGAAGGCTGGGCCTCATACTACATTTCTCAAGGATATGAATGCTATATCATTGACCAAACCTTCCGCGGCCGTAGTGCTTGGTTCCCTGGAAATGGAACACTGAGCACCTACAGCGCCGAGGTCTTGCAGCAGCGCTTCACCGCGGCAAAGCAATACAACCTCTGGCCGCAGTCGTCCCTGCACACCCAGTGGAATGGCACAGGTGTCATGGGAGACGCCAATTTCGATACTTACTACGCTTCAACCGTTGAGTTCCTGGCTTCAGCAACCTCCCAGGAGTCGACCGTCCAAGCCGCCGGTGTCGAGCTGCTCGACATCATCGGTTCCCCCGCCATTCTGCTCTCCCACTCCCAGGGCGGAGTTATGCCCTGGCTCATTGCCGACGTGCGCCCGGAGCTTGTCCACTCTATCGTCTCAATCGAGCCTACTGGCCCTCCCTTCCAGGACGCCATCTTCAGTAACTCTAGTACACGTCCCTACGGACTTACTGACATCCCTATGACTTACTCGCCCGCTATTGCCCACCCGGGCGAGCTTGTGAAGCACGTTATCCGCTCCAACTCGTCGATGTACTCCAACTGCGTGATCCAGGCCGATTCTCCCGCACCCAGAAAGCTTGTGAATCTCGCCAAGGTGCCTGTCCTTGTCATGACAACTGAGTCATCCTACCATGCGCCCTACGACTGGTGCACAGTGCAGTTCCTGAAACAGGCTGGTGTTTCGGTGGAACATCTCCAGCTGGCAGACATCGGTATCCATGGAAATGGACACCTGGTGTTTATGGAGAAGAATAGCCAGGAAGTTGCCGCTGTCCTGCAGAAGTGGATGGAGCGGAAGTAAAGACTTTGCTCTGAGATGTCTAAATATTATTTTCTCTGCCCTGCTTGGTTTGGCTGACATGTATACTTGATCACGACCATATGAATCATTGGACAAAAAATCAAGAAATCGCACAGTATTCCACAACGAGACAATATTGTTAGATTCCCAGTCGGAAGTGAGGTAAGAATAAACGCGAAGCTATAAAGATCCGTACAATTGCTGCATCTTCAATAGCGAAAATAAAGTGGATACTGACGCGACACGCGATAGGCCCACGATAACATCATTTCAGCGATCTTAGGGGGCAACTCGGTAATAAAACTTCCCAAGGAGACCGTTTCATCTCTTTTGGACATATTGGAGCACGCTATACCTCGCGAGCAGCGGAGATCCAATGTCCGCCGGGCAAATGTCACCGCTTGCACAAGGTGTAGGAGTCGCAAGCAGCGATGTGACCAAAAGATACCGGCGTGCTCCAACTGTGAATGCGCCGGGGCGGATTGTGTGAGCACTGATATTGATGGCGGAGTAGTCCCAAGAAGGTGCCTCTGGTTGAATCCTGTTTGACTTGTCCACTCTAACACTGATGTAGCTATGTGAAGAGCCTGGGGGATTGCATAACATACCTTGAGACCCAGCTTGCAGTTCATAACAGCGATAAGCCCATGCAGCCATCTCCGGGTTTATTTCCAGATCTTGAGGGGGATCCGGTATTCACTTCACTCTCATTCCAAGCCCGTACAGCTTTTGAAGACTTGATCTGTCAAATTTCGACAGATTGTATCCGAATTCAGTCACTTGACAAAGCGCACGGCGATCGAACTGAGGATTCCATATTCCAATCAATATTGTCAGATACAATGACCCGTTCATCGCGAGTTGAAAAGCAATCGGAAAGTCAGTCGCTGTTGGAAGATCTACCACCAGCCAACCCGCCTCCTATGCCTCGCAAAGAGGCCACTCACAAGTTGATCGACATATACTTCGAGCATTGTGATTTCTACTCCCCCATTTTATCCTCCAAAGAGGGGTTCCTGAATATGATCGAGCCTTTGTTCCATGAAGAATGCTCAGAACACACCCTTACTCACTTCCGCGCCTTGATAGTCATAGGCACCTCCATCTTGCTTCTGAATACAGTTGACTTTTCAGTCCCTGCAGCAAAATCAGAAAGCTATTTCAACGCGGCCAGTCGGCTTTTCGCCCAGAACCCAGCGTTGACATGTACTGACGATCTATCGCATCTGATCAACTTATTGCTCATTATTCAGTACTGTTGCTTCGCATCAAACATAACAGCCGCGTGGCATTTTCTTGGGATTGCTACAAGACTTGCTATTGAGTTAAAATTACACAAAGATAGATATGCCTCGTCAGATCACTCCGGCGTGAACGAAATGAGATGGTTGTTTTGGTCTTTGTACACGTTTGAGCGAAATCTGTGCGTCATAATTGGAAGTCCATTCTCATTCTCTGACGAGGCAATCGATACACCATTCCCAAGCATCGCACCAGACGATCCTCAGAACCCACTCGCCATTCACCTACTGAAGTACCGCCGATTGGAATCGGAAATATACACAACTCTCAACGAGAAACAGTCTTCCAACGGCGCGGTTCTTCGCAAAGATCTATGGAGAGTAGGTATCTACCAGCGCCTGCAGGAATGGCATGCTTCTGCTCCAAATGTGCAACGCTCGACACATTTAGCACCGGTCGAGATGCTCAACGGCTGCTTTTACAACACCCTGGTCCTATTGTACATACCATCGCGCCATTTCCCTAGTCCATCCATCGAGGACTTGACCATTCTAGCGCGAGCTGCCTCAGATGCGATCGATTGTTACAAGCAGACTTTTCAAGATGGTGAAATACGCTTCTTCTGGCGCACGGTTCATAATCTCTTTCGCAGTGGGGTCGCCATCGCATATTGCGCCCAGTCTGTGGTCTCATACCTGGGCTCAGTCAAGAGGCCACTACAGCATCTAGCAACTCGTGTTCCTCTCTACTATGGGGGATGGTGGAGAGATATCCAGCTGGACGGGCTTATAGGGATATTTTCGACCGACGTGCAAATTCAGTTCTGAATCAACGACGCTCAAACGACAACCTGCAAGATCGCAATGCATACTTCCAGACCGAGGAAGAGACAAGATTTCTATTTGATGATTTAACTGAAGGCATGACTGCTACACTTTTTGCACCCAACGGATTCGATGCATTGTCGTGGGGATTCACCACACCGCCAGAGGCTAGCTGAATAACCTCACATGATTTGGTTTGCGCCAAAGCGTTCAGAACTGCTTCAAGGGATCTGGTGGCGCGGGATCATACTTCAAACTCCGATCGAACTAACTTTTGAGCTTCATCATCGGTTGCACAACCCAAGTATTGAAGGCCAAAATGTCACTCTCCTCCTTGGGATCTCTCACGGTATTGAACAAGTAAGGGCTTTCGAGACGCTCAGATGATTGGTTAACCTTTGGCTCCCACACATAATGCAGTTTCCAGTCTTTCCACTTGATTGCCCGAAGCTCTTCCTTGATGTAAAACAAAAATCCCGTTCTGCTTGACTTTATGGCGTTCGGGTCCTTGAAGAATTCTGTTTGGTCAATGCCGTCAATTGGCCTATCCGAAGGCACTGGAGATCCTGTCATAGAGGCAATCGTACTGAAGATATCGGTAACATGTACAATATCGTTCGAAGTACTGGCTTCTGGGACTTGACCAGGCCATCGGATGATGAACGGCACCCACAGACTACCTTCCATGGCGGTATGGTATGTACCGGACCATGGCCCTGCTGTTCCACGATAAGGAGGTCGAAATTCAGGGCCGTTGTCAGATGCAAAAATTAGGCTGGTGTTGTCTCGAATACCAAGATTGTCAATGTGGTCGATCAGCTGCCCGACTCGATAGTCCATTTCTGCCATTGAGTCGGCAAAGTCTCCCTGGGCTGTAGATCCCGCGAAGCTTTGATGAGGAAGTGTAGGAAAATGCAAATGCACAAGCGGATGGTAGAGAAAGAATGCATTTTCCTCATTGACTTGTCTTGAGAGCCAGTCTTTAGACTGATCAATAAGCATCTCGTCAATGAGTCTTCGCTTTTCCAAGTCGTACACGGCCACATTCTCGGACTGCTCCCCGGATTTCCCTTTCATGATATAAGGAAGATCTGCTACCTCCGGTGTATACCCGAATGACGAAGTGAACTGTGTCTCGTCTGTCGTTCTTGGAATACCGAGCCATTCGTCAAATCCTCTGTCTGACGGGTATCGACCGGGAATATCGCCCAGGTGCCATTTCCCATGATGGGCCGTAGCATAGTTTTTGTCTTTCAGACATTCGGCAAGCGTTTTCTCCCATTGTGTGAGACCTTGTGGGAATCCAGCTGGAACGGATTGACGGCATCCGGTTCGAATGGGATGTCGGCCGGTCATGAGGGCCGATCGGGTAGGAACACAATCACTTTCGACATTGAAGTTATGGAGCAAAAGCCCCTCCGTGGCAAGTTTGTCGATACGAGGTGTGGCAGCTCCACGAAGGACCCCGCCGCCGTAGCATCCAAGCTCGCCTCAGCCCAGATTATCAGCGAGGATGAGGACAACATTGGGGCGGTTGAGATCTCGAGACATGTCGGCTTTTTGTGAGGGAAAATCCCTTCTGCTGATTTCGAGATGGCAGTTTGAAATGATGGGCTCGAATATGGGGGAAATTCAGCTTTCCAAAGCCTTCTACTTTAGGTCGCTCACCTCCGACGCTCACCACCGACGGTCGAAGTTCGCCCACGCTACAACCATTATCCCTTCGCTCACCTCCATTAGTCTCATACAAACCAGAAAGATTGCAGCACGCCATGTGGATGTTATCTGTTGCGATAGTCTACGCAGACTATCGGCGAATGAAGGGTGTTCACAAGTGATATCGCATGGAGATGTGCTTATATCTTTGCTTTCGGTCAAGTCGAAACAAAAGATCTTCTGTCTCTCTTATAATCTGCGTACAATATCAGATACCCGAAGAATGCCCTCTTCCAGAGATTTTGACCCAGGTTATCTGGTCAAAGAATCCATGGAACTGCCAGTGCCTAACGAAAGTAGAGAACGAGCATGGACGGAAAACGAAGAAAGAATCGTGCTGAGAAAGTGAGACACCTTCCAATTCGCCATTAACTGTATCTCACAGTTCCCCAGGCTCGATATCTTCTTAATGCCCATGCTAGTAGCTGGGTTTTTCGTCCTCCAGCTTGACCGAAGCAATATCTCCAACGCTCTTACAGACTCCATCACTACCGATCTTGGGATAAGTTCAGACCAAGTCAACTTCGGGAGTCAATTGATGTCCATTGGGATAATCATGTCCGAGATACCCTCAAATATCCTTTTACAACGTGTTGGCGCCTCATATTGGTTGACTTTCCAAATGCTTGCATGGGGTACCATCGCTTTGACACAGTCCTGGTGCACAAATATTCACTCATTCTACGCTACCCGATTTTTACTGGGCCTATTTGAGGGTGGGTATATACCTGGTGCGCAATATATGTTGGCTTTGTTCTATACTCGCAAGGAACTGGCCCGGAGAACAGCGATATTCTACTTCGGGAACTATGCTGCCACTGCGACGGGCTCTTTGATAGCCGCTGGTGTACTTCAGATGGCTGGCATAAATGGATTATCGGGCTGGCAATGGCTTTTCATCCGTGAGTTTTACACACAAATTCTTTTATTACCCACTTGATGGAGGCTGACTTCCAAGCTACTCCATAGTGGAGGGTGCCTTGGCCCTAGTATTCTTCGTGATCTTCGCGGCATTTCTTCCTCGTAGCCCCAAACACACTGCGCCGCTTCACGGTCGGTGGGACATTTTTAGCAACCGTGAACGCTTCATTATGCAATCTCGTGTGATCGAGGAAGACGAAACGAAGGCCGACGACAAAGCCCATATGACCTTGAGAAATCTAATGGGTGCACTGCTGAATTACCGGATCTGGCTACACATGATACTCAACATTGTCAGTCTTGCCCCGAAGGGAGGACTCCAACTATACGGACCTACCATCATCAAGAGTCTCGGATTTTCGAAGATCAACGCCAACCTTCTCAACGCCGTGAGCAGTGTACTTATCATAATCCTTTCCTATCTCATTTCTATTGCCTCCGACAAAACCCATTTGCGTGGACCATGGTGCATCGCGGCGTACCTATGGTCCATCGCGTTTGCGGGCGCTCTATTCAGTCTTCCAGTGGGAACCGCTAAGTGGGCTCGCTATGCCGTCTTTACACTGTTGAGTAGTGGCAATTCTTTAGCCCAGGGCCTCAATGATGCATGGGTCAGTATAAATGCCACTGATTCCAGTGCTCGAAGCCTTGGGCTTGCTATGGTTGTTATTGGAAGCAATCTTGGTGCAATTGCGGGTCAACAGCTGTTTCAGTCATCGGATGCTCCGCGGTATACCCATGCCTTCTTGGCCATCTTACTGCTTTATATCGCCTCTATTCCAGTTGTGCTCGCGTTGATGTGGATATACAAGCGTGGAAATCGGACCACAGAGGGAAACTCGGAAGTGTTGGAGAGTGCTAGGGCGAGAAGATTCGATCTGTAGATTCAATCACCTGGGAGGACATGGGTTGGGGTTCTACAAGACGGAACAGTGGCATTTAAATTTCAGCTTCAAGGCTTCGAACCACTTTCCCAGGTGGTTCGAACCCGATGAAACTTGACCCTCAAGTGAGTATACTTATATCGTGCATTGAAGGAATCTAGATGAGGTTCTTATATCCCAAATAATAAGAAAGCCCTGTTTATGATCTACATAAACTGAGGTCCCAAAAGTGTAACAGTGTCTGTCTACTGAGAATGGGTGTGAGAAAAGAACGAAAAACGCAATATACGGAGACATGGAAGACTCGGAAAGCAAGATCCTAATCATCCCACTCCTCATCAAGTTGGTCTATAAGCCTGTTCTCAGCATCCACATCCCGCCCTCCCTGACCACGTCCTCGGCCGCCAATAGCCCCAATGAAACCGCCCCGGCCGTCAGAGTCGGCACGGGTATAGCCATTCCTCGAAGGGGATCCCTTGCAGCGGAGAAGATTCCCAAGCGAAGAAAATATGATAATAAACATGTCCTGTTTGGCAGAGAAAGAAGAGGTCAGCATCATTTTCTGAAGCTCGCAACCAAAATCGATCAAGTCCACCTGAGATGAGGCAAGTACGGCAGAGAGAATACATGAGGTAACTGGAAAGCTCTCCTGGCTACTCTTGCTCTTCAAAGGGACGCAAAGGACGGCCTGCGCGTGAGAGGCATGCCCCTAAATGAACGAATTCATCCTGCGATCAACGCAGGCGAATGCAACGCATGCAAATACAAAAAGAACCAAAACAAGGAGACACATTGAACGGCGCACCCACTTGCTCCCAGAGCAATGGGTACACAGTCCAGCAAGAGGGGGTTTAATCCACCCTTGAAGAAGGCAGTCCACCATTGGATCCTCGGGATGTGTGTGATGCCAAATTGCCATATCTCAAGCTGCGACGAGACGAACACGGAATCAATGCCAAGATACTTACTTTGACAAAGTCGAAAACACCAGCCCAGAGACTGAAGTTCGGACACTGGCGCCAGCCACGTTGGTGCATGACTGTGCGCTGGTACGCGCAGCCACCAATCAAATAAACGGCCACGGCAATCAGCACACTAGCAAGGGTCAGCATGAATTGGTCCAAGTGCGTCGGGATCTCTTACATGACGCCGAACACGCCGCCCGGTCCCAGACCGCCAGCGTGAGGATCGACGGCGATTCCACCGCATGCCGCAGAGCTGCGCACCTCGAAGAAGTATGTGCATGAATCCATGGTGCCGACAAAAGATGGAGTCGCCACGCTCTCCAGAGCATCACGATCACAAAGGAAAGACATGATTGTTGATTTCCTCCGCGTGGAGGCATTGGTACTCGCCATATTCAAGTCATCAGGGCACGGTGAGCCATTGGTATAGTTAAGGACGAGTTTGCGACCACGGAAAAAGGGTTCGGAGGCTTGTTCTCTGCGGAGGATTAGCATGCGCCATGAACCTAGTCGCCGGCGAAGATCATACCCTATAGAATATACTTTCTCATCTCGCTCGTAGTATGCACTGACGTTCTTCCACCGCGAAGCGTCTACTCCAACCACGTTGGTCACATTTTCAATGACCGGCGCGCAGACGTTGAGTGTAAAGTTGGCTGGGTAGTCGTGGCCCTTCGCGTGCCAACTGTCATCCCGCGCTTCCTTCAGAACTTTCTTGCCATCTTTCAACTCAGGCGGGGATAAGGAAATTGCATTGAGATCGAAGAAAAGGCCCGATGTTGGGGAGCGGGCGATACATGGGGCATCATCATTGAGGGAGTCTGCGCTAGACAGGCCAAGGATCGTCGATAGAAGGAAAAGATAGTGGGAGGTGAGCTTCATGTCGATCGCCCAATAAAGAGAATGTGGAGAATAAGTAAATAAAAAGAGTAACCGGTTGAGCCCCGATCTGGTTGGAGAGGACGTGAAGGGGCAGAGAGAAGCTTACGTTGCATCGCGGCCCCAAACTGCGGACTTCCTCCATCCGACATCGTACGCGCGCCGTCCGCGGAGTCCGCATCGTTCTATTTAGCTGCTGCCTCCTGGCATTTTTGGCTTACTTCTGCTCAATCTCCATTGGCTCTTTACAATGGCTAAAAATACCAAAACCTCCACGGTCCAGCCCGTGCCTGAAAAGCGCGGTTATGAGTTTGGTGGACCGTACGTTTGAGAGCTTCAATTGCGCCCGAAGAAAGCTAACATTGGATCTAGACTAGGCGCATTCGGAATCACCTTCGGTCTACCTATTCTTGTCTACCTCCTAACCTTCACCTGCAACGATGTTTCGGGTTGTCCCGCACCAGGCCTGCTGAACCCCTCGACCTTGACCCTTGAGCAATTGAAAACCGAGGTGGGCTGGCCAGAGGAAGGCGTCGCGGCACTTTATGATACCAAGGTTACCCTGTGGACACTGAGCTACTATGCCTTCAGTTTGTTCTTGCAGGTCTTCCTTCCCGGCCAAGAGGCCGAGGGCGTTGAACTGGCCTGCGGAGGACGTCTGAAGTACAAGTTCAATGGTACGAACCACAATGCGCATTGATATAACCCTCCGAATGGAATCTCAGCTAACATCAGCCGTCCTACAGCTTTCAACTCGGCTTTGATCATCCTCTCCGGCCTCGCTGGTGGCACATATATCTACGGCGCCGACTTCGTCGTCTGGACTTTCCTCTGGGACAACTACATCCAGGTCATCACCGCAAACCTGATCATCTCGTCAACTATTGCCTTGTTCGTCTACGTCAAGAGCTTCACAGTTCCAGCACCCGGGACGGCAAACGTTGATCTGCGGCAGCTTGCCCCTGGCGGCCACACAGGAAATGCGCTGTACGACTTCTTCATCGGTCGTGAGCTCAACCCTCGTCTCCGTCTGCCTATTCCGTTTGTCAGTGAGGCCTCGCGCACCCTTGATATCAAGGTTTTCATGGAAATGCGGCCCGGTCTGCTCGGATGGACAATTCTCAACCTGTCCAACGTGGCCCACCAGTACCGCACCTACGGCTACATCACTGACTCGATTGTGCTGGTCACTGTCTTCCAAGCATTCTACATCCTCGATGCCCTGTACATGGAGCCAGCAATCATGACCACCATGGATGTCATCATGGATGGCTTCGGCTTCATGCTCTCCTTCGGTGACGTGGTCTGGGTCCCCCACCTTTACAGCATCCAGAGCCGTTATCTCTCTGTCTTCCCCTACGAGCTTGGCTGGAGCGGTATCGCTGTCGTTTTGGGCGTGACGGCAGTTGGTTACTCCATTTTCCGTGGAGCCAACAACCAAAAGAACCGATTCCGTACCAACCCCAATGACCCCCGCGTTAAGAATGTCAAGTACATCGAGACTGCCGCTGGATCCAAGCTCATGATCTCTGGATGGTGGGGTTTGGCCCGTCACATCAACTACCTTGGCGATTGGACCATGTCTTGGGCTTACTGTTTGCCCACTGGTATCGCAGGCTATGTTCTGATTGAAAGCATTAACCCTGCTAGCGGTGCGGTCCAGAAGCAGGCTGTGCAGACCCCTGAGATCCGTGGATTTGGTATGATCTTCACATACTTCTACATGCTCTACTTTGGAGTCCTCCTGGTTCACCGTGAGATGCGCGACGAGGAGAAGTGCGAGAAGAAGTACGGTGCCGATTGGAAGCGCTACACTTCCATTGTGCGCAGCCGTATCATTCCCGGAATCTACTAAGTTGTCTGACCTGATGGTTCGGGTTACGCCTTTTTAATGATCAGTTCTTTGTACAATGATTTTAATATTTTTGTTAATGCCTTTGCCAAGGCACTGTCACCCCAGGCTGTTCCAAAGCAAAAGATTACTGTCGCAACACCGTCTCCCCCTTCCCTATCAGATTTTCTAAGTGATAGGTGCTCACATCGTTGTCACAACGGTTTCTGCATTTTGATGGATTAGTCGAGTCAGGGTTGACGACAGATTACCTACTACCTTCTTTCTGACATATTCCAAAAGTGACTCGTTGATTGAATGATGCCATAGTTATTGTGAAATTAACGGATCTTCGTTCTATTCTAGTCCTATAATTGAAATGGCACCAAGGGCTGTCCCTGTGATCAACGTTTCCGCTTCTTAGTATCAGCCAAGACATTCAAGGACCAAGCTTCATCTCCAGAATTCGGCATCCACCCCTTCAATACCCGTTGCGCATCAAGTCTGGCCTGCATACGGATACCTAACGGGTCTCCGCCACTGCTAGCTGTTTTGAACTCTTGATATGTACTGGCTTTCGGGGTTTCCTCCGACGCCACCTCAGAGTCATCACAAGTTGAACCCGATGTAGGCTCCGAGGTGATATTGTGAAAAAGTGCCCAGAGCTTGGCCCGCGATAAAGCAGAAGCACCCTGGGCACCAGGTGCAGAGGCCCGATTGCCCTGCTTCACGCCATTGATGATGGTTTCATATAACCCAGTCTTTGAGCGACGGAGGGTCGGAACTGCCTTGCTGCCTATTTCCATCGTCGCAGATGGCACATAGTATGATGGTGCTAGTGTCCATACGGCGCTTGCATTTCCTGGTTTGCTCTTTCTCGGGGGTTGGGGGTTTGGAGTTTTTTCATTCTCTGTAGAAACCGCAGGGCATGGAATAGGCTTTGGTTTTGCGAAGCCCCATAGCGCGGACACCTTCTCGGTAGGCACCGAGAGAATTCGGAAGGGGTGGAATCGAAAGCTGGGCTCTGTTTCATCGTTTATCGTACTGGGCCAAGAATGCCCTGCCAACGCCTTCATTCGGCCATTCTCGCCGAAGGAGCGTTCACAGGCAACCTGACTGATTTCTTCCTCGGGAAGAACCAGACCAGCCATATATGCATTTTTGGTTGGGGCGACGAGGCGACTGGTCTCGCAAGAGAGCAAAGAAGATACTTGACGCAGCGCGAGTTTGTCCGAGCAAGACTTGCTGCGGGTCGATTCAGCATCTGTGCGTGATGGTTTTCGACGGACGATCCCAAGAAGGGAAAAGTGAGCACGTCCATCGAGAAAAGTCTCCTCAGTAGGGATTTCGTCGCTTTCCTGGCTCGTTGAAGAGCTTTGCTGCGGAATTTCCCACGGTGTTGCGTCTTCTTGGGCGGCCATGCAGAGTTCCATACTCCCATCACCGCACGGCGCACATGTACAGTACATGTATATGTTTATATCTGACTGAATTTCAAAAGGCGGCCATTCGGGCTTTGGCTGAGGGCTATCTTCCCTGTCCCCCGTTGTCTTTCTTCTTTGTATGAAAGAAGAGTTGGAGGATTGTCTAGCTTTAGACCCGGGGGAATCGGGAGTCGATTGTTTCTCCTGAGACAAGAGACCGCTGCACTCGGTCAGTAGCCAGTAATTGAAGGCCCGTATGGCCAAAATCTCGGCATGACAATCATGCAGGACAAGGCCATTGCAGCGTGGGATATGTGATGCCGATAGGCATTTTGCACCACTTCTGTATGGATATCAGCCCTTATGAACCCCACTTGTAAACCTTGGAAGGGCATCTCTTCTCACTCACGTCACAGCAATGCAAGTCAGACTTTCTGAAGGTGTACCCTCTCCTTTGAACTCGGAGAAACGGTTAGTATGAAGTACACTTGTCTGACTCTGTCAAAGGCAGAGGGATCATGATATGATGACCACACTACAGAACAACAGCAAAATTACCTTTGACAGCTACAATGCCGGTCATAGGAATCCATTCCCTCGATCCATCTGGAAAAGTAGATGGTTTACTCCGCGCAGGCAGAGCATCAAAATGAGCGTGCACCAGCGACGCAATCCGAGAGGATAAAGGTGTGTCCAAAGTCTCACTATCCATGTGATATTTTCATCAAAATTTCGTATATAAACATACTAGTAGCGTCCAGACGGAGAGAAAAGAAACGATGCGTCCCAAAATGACTGAGTCACGTGGTGATATATCTATTTTGGCCTGAGGCAGAGTCTCCTCCCTTCTCTCAACCCGTCGTTCTCACTACCTCGTCAGCTTCATACTCATCCACAATGGCCGACAAGCTTCGCACAATCCAGAACCTGGAGGCTCTCCAGTCTCGCTACATCGGTACTGGACACGCCGATACCACCAAGTACGAATGGACCTCCAACATCCTCCGTGACAGCTACTCCTCCTACGTCGGTCACCCCCCACTGCTCTCCTACATGGCTGTTGGCATGGGTGAGCCAAAGGAGGTTGTGCGCGCAGCAATGCTCGAGAAAATGGTACGAGGTGCCGGTAATCCACCAGCGGTATGTTCTGTTTTCCGTATTTGCAGACTCAGAGTTATGACTGACTTTTTCTTTCCGCGTACCAGACTCAAGAGTAAACCATCCAAGACCTGGTTTCTTTCTGCTTTCCTGATACCCCTTGTCGCCACATATCGCTCTCCGCTATCCGCTCTCATTTCGCAACGCGATATCTCGCTGCTCTCATCCTGCGCGCCATGTTCTTGGTGACATTGTAAATCCGCGACTTTCATACTGGAGCAAATTCGATAGGGGCATAATGCCGGATCCCTTTCACATTTGAGGAAAAAATACCATTGGGATTGAAACCTCCCATTTCCTCACATACTCTAAAAAGCCTTGCCAAGCTATCCAGATTTCTCTGAACGTGGTATGCATTATGATTTGATATCAATAGAGACATACAAGTTTCTTAGCTGAGCGGCCTGCTTGTTTTAGACTGCACTCGGCCCTCGAGGAAGCAGTATTTCGCGATATTGTGTTTGGTATGATTGGATGTATGTCTTCCTAGGATGTACGATCTTGGTCCCCCTCAATCATGTTTCAGTGTTGTTAGAGTCAAGTCAGACTATGATCCATCAAGCAGTTCAAGATATTGGAAAATTGTCAAGAGCAAACATGCAATGTGCAACAGGTATTCCTAACAGACCGCATATAGAACCCAAAAGTGGCCAAGTGCCGCATGTATGTACATGACAAGAACGCAAAATAGTATCGTAAACCAGACCTCAATTCTCCCCTTGAGCCACCAATCTCGAATTCTCAGCCTGGAGCGAGCCCACAAGATCTATATATTTCTGGCGATCATTTCTGAGCTGTCGAACTTCTTTTTTGAGATCTTGAATCTCCTGCTTCAAAGTTTCAACCTCTGATTTGGACTTGGACTTCTCAGAACGCTCCACGTGCTTTCGCTGCTTTGTCTCGATCTTGGTGGCAACTTTAAGTTGACTAGCCTCGATTTTGCGCAGCTGTTTGAGAAGCTTGGTCTCCCCACTTAGAAGCTGCGAGGCAGCTTTGTGTGAATTGGCTGCATCAGGCGTAGCTGTCTGCGATGATTTCTCACTGCTGTCTTGCGGGCTCGATTGCGTTGCAGTGCTAGCGGGAGTGGAAGAGCGATTTGTAGCTGCGCGCTTGCGTAACCCGCTAGTATCGCTGTCTGTCTCGTTGATGCCTTTCAGCGGAGTGCCTGGATTCGTGGGGAGTTGCTTAATGTTGAGTTTTTCAAGCTCTGCGCGGACCTCTTCAAGTTTGGTTTCAACTTCGCGTTTGCGAAGAGCCAGCTTTGCAAGCTCTTTCTCGTGAGACGTGAGCTTGCCGTTCTTTGTCATTTGGACCAGTTCTTCTTGGCCCATGCTATTATGCGGAAGGTCGTCAACAACGGGCACGGGTATGTCCGATTGAGCAGATGCAATTGACGCGAGCTCTGGCTCGTGAGATTTGGATGACTCGACCTCGGAAGCCGGCTTTTCCCGTCGAGCACTTCCTGGACTCAAGTGGTTTGTGGAATCTGCGTCTGCGTCGCCTTGTGATCGATTTGGTTCAGCAGGTCCATGCGGTACCTGTGTGTTGGCTCCGTATCCCAAGACCTGCGGACCATATCTTTCCAGGCCTGAGCTGAGGAGGCCTGTGACACTGGCGATCAAGCCGTGGTGAGAGTGTTCACCGTCGCTTTCGAGCGATTCGTAGTCCGAGTCCGAGTCACTGGCCTGGTTGCAGTCGGGTTCAGCATTGACTGACTTCCCGGATTTGGCCTCGGGAGTTGAAGCATTGGAGCTTTCCTTCTCTGAGGTATCCTCTTTGGGAGGCTTGTCATTCTGGACAGCCCAATTGATGAATTTTGCAGCATCCAATCCCACACTTCTAGGCGTTCCCTTGTCAACCATCCATCGTGGGATGCTGCCACCAGGGTCGCTTCTAGTTACCATGATCCACTCCACCGGGTTCATGGCATCATCCTCATCGGTTGCAAGTGTTCCCTCCTTGTCAGACCCCACCTTCTTTTCTCCCTGGCTAGAGGAGCTGCTGCCACTATCGCTATTCCTGGGAATTTCGCGAATGAGCTCAACAGATTCATAATTTCCTCGAGTATAGCCCTGCTTGGCGGGTACGTCAGGGTGGTCACATGGCTTAGAGATAATCATCCAGCTGCGACCGGGCTGTTTCGTGCCCCCAATCTGCAACCCTGAATCCGAGTTGATGATCAGGGCCACAAAATCACGGGGCGCAGTAGGCTTAGGGAACTGGGCGGAGACATGATAGACAATCAAATCGCCCAGCACAGACCCATCGTCATCTTTGATTTCGATCGATTCGACTTTTTGTTCAGCGCCAATTCCACGAATGCTTTTGTCGGCAGTCTGCCCCTTTGCAAGTTTCTTTTGGTTGACCTTCAGCGTCTCGTCGTACTCTGTTGAGATCTTGTTCCGCCACTGGTCGAAGGGAAGACCTTCGTGTACACTCCTCCGCCCAAACCACGACCCTCCGCCATCATTTGCAGAGAGTTTCCATACAGTCACGTCTAATGGGTTGTCTTTCGGCCCACCCATTTTGAGTGGCTTCCCCCATTCTTTTTGTAAAGCCGTAATTTGCGGGTCGGTTTCTCCAATTCGTGCATTTGATGGCGCAAATCGCGGAAATGCGAGGTCCTCTTCATCTAGATCGAGCCCGGGGTAGGAATCGCTTTCGGTGGAGGGAGGGTCTGGGAGCGATTCTGCTACCAGCCGGCTATCTTTGAAGATTTCGCGTACGTATTTGCGGAGCTCGGCAGGTTCTTGAGGGACCTCATCCCACGATGTTGGTTTGAGGCATTGGAGCGCCTCATGTAAAGTGGCCATCTGGACGATAGAGGGGGGTTTTTCGGAGGTTTATCTCGGGTTCATGGGTGGTTCAGGGGATTGCGTGGTGGTAGTGGGCTTTGCCGTCGTGGAGGCCGCGGGGGGTAAGATTCGTCAGCTCGTAATCGCGCTTAGATTAGGCCACGTTTATCGGCGCTTATGATTGTAAAAATTTCGATAGTGAAGATGCAACTTGACAGCCTCTTGAACTGAACAGATTGTAGGACGTGGGCGTATGATGTACAATGGGTCAAGCGGCCAGCTCGAATGGAAATGATGTGATCTCAGAAGACCCAGTTGACAAAATGATAAAAGGAGAAATGTTACAAGTACAAGGCACATTCAGATTCAGAAGAGTGGAAGTGGACACTGTTCAAGGCGGACCATTGGAGGCCCCTCTGACGTCATCTATAAATGTGTGGGGTAACTATGAGAAGGGCCTTCTATCATTAGCCAGTCCTTACTCCATACCATATAAGGCTAATAAGGCTAAATGAAGAAACCCCTGATAAAGCTTTTTGGAAAACCTTGTCATAAGTAGAATCCAGTCACTGCCTGGTACTCAAATGACGTACTTGAATGTACAACCAAGTTTTCCCGGATATAACTTATGGTGATCAGCGGCATGGATGTTCGTAATAAAGCGAGCTCGCGTAACACTAAGAACTTGGTACGTATCTAGATATCTTAATGGCAATGGTATAAACCGCATTGGTGAACACTCAGATAATTGCGAATACGGAGTTTCGAGTGTCTACGCCACGTCCAACATAGCAATATTAAATTATTTAAAAGACAGGTATATAAAACCGTCGAACGCTACCTGAAAACAAGAAGCCCGAGAGATTATAGAAGATAGATGCCGAGTAAGTTACTCGCTCGGCTTGTGGCCTGTACTAAGTACAGAGTAGCTAAATGTGACAAAAGCCATTTCGATCCAGCTTGCATTCTAAAGTTGTACTGCATACAACCTTGGAAGTCTCAGTGTTGCATGTCAGCCGCAAGCTCCTTCCACAGCAGACAACGTTCAGTCTGTGATTGGGGAACTGATTCCATTTGTGTCATATTGGTTTGCAGCTTTATGCGTTCCCCTGTGCCTGAACCCCATGGTTGCCAATCAGGGGCATTGTGATTCCGATAAACGTTCGGGTCCAGAGCTTTGACAAAGCTCAAATAATAGTCCATGGTGATAGGTATGATATCTGCGTTGATATTGGCATATGATAATGTCGGTTCGTTGGTTTTTCCTACACCAAATATGGCAGGCAGATCGAACACATGTGGAACACCCATTCCATTTGCAATCTGGGTTGGATCACGGACATTGAACCGGTAGTTCCAAATACGACTAGATGAGAACACCTTAGCCATAGACGCGGCCATGTGGTTTCCTGGACAAGTGAAGGTCGATTCTCCATAAGCGGCTGCAGCAGGAGCAAACCAAGCTGCGTGCTTAGGGAGAGGCTCAACGTGAAGATACGTGTTTTTGATGTCCTCAAGTTGTTGAGGAGAGAGACCGGGGTAGTTGTTCTTCATGAACTGAGTCATTTCAGAAGCGGTGCTCGCATTATATGCAAAGGGGGTCCCTTCATTGGTATCATCGCTGACCACCAATGGAAGGTGGATAAATTTGCCTTGTTCAAATTGATTGTAGAGGCGATCTTGAACAAAGTCTCCGTCCACAACAGGAAGGAAGTACCACAGAGGGACTGGTGTTGTACTCCCCCCAGGGAACGGCTTGTCGACATTGAATCTTTGGATTGCTTCAATATCCATAGCGCGCAAGCATGCCAAAGAGTCTTCGGATTTTTCGCAGCCAATATCTTCCACAAATCGCTCGTACTGAAATTCCATCTGCTCGACCGTTCTTGCGGTTGGCCAGAATGTTGACTCGGCCATTGCTCCAACAAAAAGTCCTAGGTCACGGCCACCATGCGCAGTGAGATGGTATGCAACTGATCCAGCACCAGCTGAATCACCATGAATGACAACATGATCTGGATCCCCGCCGAATTGGTGAATATACTGCTGGACCCAATGAAGCGCCTTCCGCTGATCAAGCAGTCCAACATTGAGATCTCCATTTTCTCGGACACGATCACTGGCAAGAAATCCAAGGACACCGACACGGTAGTTGAAATTAACAAAGACAATATCACCTCCAGATTGTTCGACAACTTCACTGCCGTTGTAGTTGCCATTTGCGTCGTTGGCGTATCCACCACCTTGAATAAAGAACCAGACGGGGAGTTTGGAGTTGACAGTAGCGTTTGTGGGCGACCAAACATTCACATATAAGCAATCTTCTGCTAATGCATCATTGGTTGACTGACCAACTCCGACGCATAGGGGTCCAAACTGTTGACGTTAGATCAAATCTCTGGAAGGAACGAAGAACAATATTACCGATGAGGCATCTTGAATACCGTCAGCCCGTTCAGGGCTCTCAGGGGCTCGGAATCGCAGATTTCCCAAGGGCGGCTTCGCGTAACTTATCCCGAGGTATTGGTCAACGCCATTGGATAATGACACCCCTTGATACCGGGAGTAACCCAAGTCGACTGGTATTGGACGTTTCGACGGCGAAGCAAAAGCCAGCGCACCAAAAAGAGTCGCAGTCAAAAGAGAGATCATTGGGGTGAAACAAGCTTGTATAAGTTCCCAGGTGTGGAGTTTTGGGACGGCTGTTGACCTCAAATGGCCTTAATCCCTTGGAACCCACGGTAATGATCCGTAGACTAAACCGAAAAGGGATATTACTAAGCCTTTTTGGGCACCGGATAGCCAAACTAACCAATCACAGCTCGGATTCAATACGCTCAGATCTCCTTTATGAACATGGCGATTGTTTCATGATTGAGTGTAAATCGAATTAGTGGATTTAAAGGACGATCTATAGACGGTGATGGGAATTCTCTAAGAAAAAGCGATCAAGACATGCTGAGTACGGTTCTTCAGTTGCCCACATGGGCAGGCGTGTGACTTGAGCAATCGCTCACTTTGTTGTATCTCACCATTGAATGGCCTTCTGTAGAAGCTGTTGTTTGCCTCATGTAAGATACAAACAAAAATCAAGTATCTTCATTACTCTTTCTGAAATTGATACGATGAAGGCCCCTATTTTCAATGCCATACTCGTCACTCTGCTGCCCCAACGCCTGGAAGAGGTGCTAGAGCAGCAGAGTGATGAGTACTCCGTACTTCTGTAGATATAGAATTGGGTGGATATCCGGGATGCCGGTCCCGGGAAGCAATAAGAGGCGGGGTAGTTGCGCATCTCAGCCCTGGAGAATTATCTTCTAAAGTTACTATAAAAGGCCTCACTCGCTCGAGCCATTTACCACATATTGTTTTATTTTAGGGACTCATCTCAACGACTATGTCTTGCGAGGCCTGTCGCACTATTCCAGCAATCATTGCGCAAGGGTATACCCCTCTAGGTAGCTATGAGACCTGCAATGGTCTCAAAACTTGTGCGTGAACCCTTTAAATACAGGCAATGAGTCGCTAACACCACTTGATTTAAGATGTTACTGGAAACACCACCGCGAGCATTGGTCTGGTCGATCTTTATGATGTGTTTGGGCTAGCCAGCCAGACTCTGCAAGGTGCCGACATTCTAGCAGCGCGGTTGAATGCAGTAGTACTGGTGCCAGATTTCTTCGAGGGAGATTCTTTAAAACGCGAATCCGTCCCAGCAGATACTCCTGAGAAGCAAAAGATTATCTCGGATTTTATAGCCCACAAAGCATCAATCCCGCGAAATGTAGGGGTTCTTCTTGAAGCAGTCCAACAGTACAAAAACCAATTTCCATCTGTTGAACATTGGGGTGCTCTTGGATTTTGCTGGGGAGGAAAGGTAATCTCCATATTTCAGGGTTGACTGTGAAAATAAAGGACCTGGGCTTATTGAAATCATTGTTTTAGGTAACTGTGTTGGCGTCAGGGCCTGGAACCCCATTCACTGCCTCGGGCCAGGTGCACCCCGGGTAAGGATATTCCATGGAGCTCCTATTCTAAATATCCATATTGACTGGTCCAATGAATGACAGGCGCATGGATGCAGTCGATGCTTTGCCTCTCGCAATTCCTCATATCGTGTTGGCCTCCAAGGACGAACCAGCCGAGGCAGTTGCAGGATATGCAAAGACAATTGAGAGCAGTTCTAAAGGTGGAGTTGTTGAGACCTACTCCAAAATGTGGCATGGGTGGATGAGTGCTCGTGCGGACCTGGATGGGGAGGAGAGTCGAGTTGAATACATTCGGGGGTGAGATTTGCCAACTTTGCTCACAGTTCGACTGGATACTAACTCAATTGTAGATACGCTCAATTAGCCGAATTTTTTGAGAAGCATCTGGAGTAATAGATTTCGCCCTGGTCTTACCGATATGTTTCTATGATATACTTAAGTATATGATTTGCGCGGTCGACTTGAGCTATAGAGAATGGCAATTAGACGTTTTGAAGTTTTATGAATATCAATAAGATGTAATTTAGCTTCCTGTCCTGAAGTCCTAAGTAATCGTCGAAGAGATGAGCATAAAGCCAATCAGAATATAGAAAGAAACGTTAGAAGTTATATCTCTGTCTATTTGGAAATATTGAAGATCTGAAAAACCACGAAAGCCTAAGGTCTTCTACTTTAAGACCGACCATCTCCGTTCTTCATCCCGGTAGCGGTTTGCCAACGGCATGATCACAGAATTGCCCCAACAGAGGTTGTTATGGCTTTGGATACTAATATTTATAGTCTGTGCAACTTGCCAAAATGCCTTTTTTGATACATATTGACCAGCATGCAGTCTGTACAACCGGCAGTTCCTTGTACAACCGCCCAAGGTTATTCTTTGTCTGAAGCTCCCAAAACCATCAAGTCCGAGTTTCCTCAATCGACTTTTGAACCCGAGACCAGAGAACAGAATAACTCCTGTGATGAACCGGTACCTGTTTACAGCGTTTTGCCAAATGGAGAAAAGACGTTTGTGATCATGGCAGGATCATTCGCAGCCCTGATATCTCCACTGTCCAGCAGTATCTATTTACCAGCTCTGGATTCATTGGCAAGGGACATGGATGCCTCTGTCTCCCTGATAAATCTGACCATAACCACCTACCTGGTAGGATTCATCTGCATGTGCATAGTCAAAAAAATGGAAATTGACCTATATTACAGATTTTCCAAGGCCTTGCGCCCTCTTTCATCGGAAGCTTTTCTGATAGTTATGGACGCCGCCTAGCATATATCATCGCATTCACCATTTATCTTGCTGCAAACATTGGACTTGCACTACAGAACAATTACATAGCTTTGATGATTCTACGATGCGTGCAGTCCTCAGGCAGCAGTGGAACCATTGCACTGGGAAGCGCTGTTGTGGCCGATCTGTCAACCCGCGCCGAGAGTGGGAAATACATTGGATATGCTGGAATTGGCATTGCACTTGGTCCCACCCTAGGCCCTGTCATCGGCGGACTTTTGGACCATTTTCTAGGATGGAGATCCATCTTTTGGTTCTTGGTCATTCTTTCGGGAGTATGCTTCACAGTGGTACTATTTGCTATGCCCGAAACATGTCGAGCCGTCGTGGGCAATGGGTCTGTACCACTCTCTCCGTGGAACCGCCCACTATGGACACTATTTGCTCGAACATCGCGATTCGATGGCACACAAGCAATTGCCGACTATACTACGATACAAAAGCTCAAGCGACGCCCAAACCCCATCTCGGCTCTTTTGATTGCCACGCAAAAGGAAATGGGTTTGGTTTTGCTATATGGTTCGGTTTTGTACGCAGGCTATATGGCTGTCATCAGCACCCTATCGACTGAGTTGGCTAGCCGATTTGGTTTCAATTCCATTCAGGTTGGGCTCTGCTTTCTTCCCATGGGTGTTGGCAGCATCAGCTCGCGCTGGATAGTCGGTCGAGCTTTAGACTGGAACTTCCGTCGCGAGGCAAGCTTGCAAGGGATGATCATTCAAAAGAATCGGCAGCAGGAGATTGAAAACTTCAACATTGAACGAGCACGACTGGCAATAACGTTTCCCCTGTTATACAGTGCTAGCCTTTGCATTCTGGCCTACGGTTGGGTAATGCAGTATCGTACTTCTCTGGCTGGTCCACTTGTGATGTGATTTTTCACTGGCCTCACGACTACAAGTGCTTTTAACACCCTGAGCACTTTGGTCGTTGACACTAACTACCGAAGTGCCGCCACTGCTACGGCGGCTAATAATTTGTTTCGTTGTCTGATGGGTGCTGGGGCTTCTGCTGTTGCTTCGCCTCTTATAAAAGCCATAGGTATTGGATGGACATCCACTTTCATTGCTGGGCTTTGGGTATTGGGCAGTCCTGCTTTGTGGATTGTTTACTACCGCGGGTATAGTTGGAGACAAGAACTTTCCAACCGCGATCAGCGTCAATCTGAACCATCCGTATGATAGCTGATATCAGGCCAACTAGAGAGCATTCATTAATTGAGATATACTGTCTCGCATTATTTGTTACTTGTTACTTGTTTTCTCAAAATCGTTGTTTCTCGCGAAAGCTTGTATGTATTTTTCAAAGCTAGATACCAAGGTACACACAATATTTGGAACAGATGCTGACGAGTCAACAAAAAGAACCAGGAGAAGTGAGGCAGCCAGCGCGAGGGACCAGCCCCTCGACCATGACAAACCAGTAAGGAATGAATCTGCCTGGTCGAGCATCTGATTCTCGTCGTCGGAAAACAAAAGAGGCCTTCATCCAGCGAAAGCCCCGACGGTCCGAGCATATCCAGGGTTTTCTAAAACCCCTGGACGATAGGAGATGAGCCTATCAGGGTCAAGTATGGTTTTTGATGAGATCGCAGAGCCTATTGCCAGGAAGCATGCCTTGGGACTTTCGCTGCCAGGGCGGGATGAGCAGATTCCGGGTCACAGACCAAGGACTCTGGAGTTCATCGCCATATGCGCTCGGTCTCCGCCACAGGCGGAGGAGCTCGAGTCTGACGACAGTCCAAGACATTCTTCCTCCCACTAGGCTGCTTGATCTGCATCTCAAGCCGTACTTGACCAAAAAGGTGTGTTCGAACAGACATCACAGATGTCAAGGACACACCATCGCGTGTACATATCCCCCAACACTCAACGAAGAGCGTCGGCCAGTCCGGTACCCTCCAGGGCTGTACCAGTAGGATAGTCCAACAGAAAGATAAGAGAAAAATTGCAGAGGCTGACCCAGTCAACCGAAGCTCATTCTTTTCCCTTTCTGCCGACACCACGAAAGAATCGAAGGCGTAATGGACATTCCACATCCAAATTCATATCCTCCACATGCCGCGAGGCAGACCAGTCTTCATGACATATATGCGGACAAAAGAAAAGAAACATAACAAAGAGCCGTCCCGCGCTTCTTGATGCAAAGGAAAAGTTGAAAAAAAGAGAAAGTAACAACGCTGACGCTGGAATCGAAAAGAATATCAAAACAAGCGCAAAAAAGGGAGTATTCTGGTTATCATGCAAACATAAAGCAGGGAGTATCACAATGCACAGTCAAATCGAGGAGAACGCCGTCAGGAATGCGAGTTGTCGTTTGGGTTCCCGGGAAGAGAGAGAGAGGAGAGAAATGAAGGACCGAGATTTGCGCGCGCACCCTGGTACAGAAACGATCAACGTTCCTTGAAACCAAGTTGCAAATCTCGGGAAGCCGAATGGGTGGTGTCAACACCACAGTCAGGGAGCTAAGCAATGGTGCCGTAGGCCATGGCGTTAAAATCTCCCCAACCGAAGCCCATCATGTTCATAGCGGTGCCGCAAGGTTGAATCAGCGTGCTCGGCAGTGGGAGGGCGCTAACTGCGGATGTGGCGGGCATGCAGGTCGGCATACAAGTCGACATACCGTCGTACCCGAAGGAAGTGGTGAAAGGCTGACTGTAAGACGGAGTCGGAGACAGCTGCGCATCACTGATATTGCAACTAGCCCAGAGATTCGCATTAGAATCACCTGTTGTCGAGTTGGGGCTGGGCGGCAGTACTTTCCACGACTCGGGCGCGGGCACGTTCCACCAGGGTTCGGGCCCAGTTGAGCTGGGGAGAAGAGGGACGGGCCGCATGACCTCCACCATTGGGGGTGGTGGGGGGATCAGAGGAACAAAGAGGTTGCCGATGGCGTTCTTCACCTCTTCGCTGCGGCCGCATAGTAGTTCTCCGGCGCCGTCTTCTTCCAATCCTTCGAGAGCGTCCGCATCTGTACGGTAGACAAACTTGTTGGCGGCTTGGACGAATTCCTCCTGCAACTTCTTCAACTGGGCGTGCTTTCCGGACCAGTTATAGGTGTTGGCGACAGCATCCACCGAGTAGATTTCCTTGTGAAAGTCGACTAGAGATTCAATTGTCTCCGGGGTTAGTTTGAAGGCCACTTCGTTCCGGGAGACCATGTCGACGTGGACCACATAGGCTTCGATGTGGATGGTTTGGTAGTGATGGATAGATTCCCAAAGCAAGTTGGCGTCCTTCTCTAACTCGGCCTCGGGGGCTTTGGTGAACATCATGGAGCATAGCGTCCAGATGGCATTTGACGACGACAAGGTCTCTGTGAGACACCGGGTATGTTGGGTGACATTGTTCAAAGGACGTTTGACCCGGTTGACTCGCTTCAAGGTTGCGGTCAACCACGGTGCAACCTTTGTGGTCAGCACGACATTGGGGGAAGATCGTGGCGCGAAGGCGGCAGCGGAGGATGGTAGTAAGACTGTTGGCATTATGACTGAAAGGTGATACGTCCTGCGTTGATGATATAAAAGAATGTAGATAGAATATAAATCATAAAGGCGACATTCGCCCACACAAAAAAATAAGGTGGTTTTTTTCTTTCTCTTTGCAAGGTTGTCGGATCAAATGGTTAATAAATTAATGTGCGGGCGAATGCGCGAAAGAAACAGAAATTAGAATATGAAAAAAAGGAAAAAGAAAGGACTGTGACAGTCAAGAGTGGTTATAGAAGAAAGAGAAAAGATGAGAGATGTAATAGAGGGGTGGAACCTGTGGAGATTACTATATTATTGTTTTTTTTCTCTCACACTACGGAGTACGGAGTATAACATGTTAGTGTTCGTATTATTTTTGTCGACTTGCATACGGAGTAAATGGAGTAGACCATTTCTCGGACTCCCCGACTTGGAGTGGCGACGAAACACCGCGTCCACAGTTTCATCGGAGTTGACGAGTGTCCTCTGTGCCTTGTATTTGCAGTCTCACACTCGTTGCACGTCCATTTGGCCAGAATCCAATGCACGAAGCCCTAAACTGCAAAAGCTAAGCCCCATTGATCCGCGCAACGGCACATCCCTCACCCAAATAAAAAGTATTCGACTACATCTCCCTCCGAACCAAGTTTGAGGGAGACCAGTAAATCATCTAGCGGGGAATAGAGACACGGTTCTCAGCTGATGTGCATTGTGTACTCCGTACGAGTACACAGTACTCGTACTGACAGAGTCCCATTGTGCGCCAAGATCTACACTGGGCGGGATACTAAACTAGTACAGCACACGCTGAAGATTCTATTAAAATTGGGCTGCAGCCTGTAGGCCAAGCCACGATCTTTCTATAGTTCTTTACCCTATCTATTCTGTACTACGAACTTTGTAGATGGAATCTAACAACTCTAGACTCACCCGAAACACATTCCAACCATTTTTGTGTGTTCTTTTTTTTTTTTTTTCAGACTCGTCGAACGCTTGGACAGTAGACTCAGCTGATGGATGATGGGCCGTGGGGCATGGTCTTGGGGCACGAGCTAGGATTCGCCGACGCGCGAGCCCCGGCCGATGCGCTGAGGGCTGAGATCCCTGTTACGATCGCCCATTGGGCTGAGCCTCGATGGCCATACTTTGGGCCGGCGCCACTAGCATTACAGTAGTGTATTGAAAGTATGTGGTATTTCCAAGAGATACTAGTTCTAGAGCACTAATCACTGTTTACATTGCGGTATGCTATACGAATCTCCCGTACCATTCCCGAGTGTGGTAGATGTATGCTCCCATGCCGATGATATCATCTCACGCCCACTGCCCTGAAATGGAATCCCTGCTGCATAGGAGTGCATATGAGTTCAGTCACCTGCTCTTGGGTGTGAAGGGTTTATTGGCTGTGACAACGCTCGGTGATACACAATTCTCATTGTTCTCGATCTTCTGTACAAAAAAACAAACAAAAACTTGTTCCTAAACACAAAAAAAA